CTGAACATGGTCTTTGCCGATCTGTTCCAGAGCTTCGAAGAACGTCACGCTTCGTTGCTGTCGAGAATCGACAAACTTGCCTATCTCACTAAGAGCAACGTCCACATTCGTGAAAAGATTCGCTCTTATATTCCATGTTCGATCCCTAAGCATAATCAAACCAGGTTTTTATCACGCTATCGTCAACTCGAAGTCTTCCTTAAGGTTTCGAAGGGTGCTAAAGAGTTCTTTTTTAAGAATCGATTTGACCATGAGTACCAGCTTACGCCAGACCAGTGCTTGGTATTTGTTATGAACAGTGAGAGGTGGAAACTGTCACCTTTTTTTTGCGTTTAGCGCGCATTTTCAAAGAATTTACGATGCTGCTACAGGGTGAGTCTACCAGCTCTCTCACCAATGGAATTGAATACTACATGAATTTAGGTCAATATTACGACGTCGTTGAGAATTTGTTAAGCAGCCCGGATGACACCCAGCTATTGAAAAGTCTCGGACTTAAACCGTCACATCTGCCATCAAAGGAATCTCAGGACCAGGTACAAAGTTTTTTTTGAGCTCGCGTCCCAAATTCGAAAAGTACAGGACGATTGCTTATAATGAGCCGGGGTATTGGATGGCTCATTTTTTGCAACCCTGTCTTAAAACAAACCGGCTAAACCGAGCTTTCGAGAAATCTTTCAGGAATGAAGTTCTCAAAATGGCTGAAGAATATGTCGATTATTGTAAACTATTCACCGAAACGAATGAGTGTAGTCTTGATAGTAAGGTAGCGACTTCAAAAGCTAGCGATAGCAGAAACAGAAAAACCAAATATATGGAGATAATGTCTCAATACTTCGAGGGGGATTCAAGAAGCAACGGTAGTGCTGCTCAAGACGAATGACAAGTATATCTGAGGAAGTCTGCTCAAAAAGACGAGTCTTACGTGGATTGTTGGCTAAAAAATCAAGCCCGTTTCCCTGCCCTTTCTTTTTACAATACCAAGTTATCGACTGCCGATGTAGAGAGGTGCTTTTCCGTCAGCAGGAAGGTTCTCGACAGTAAATTTTCGTTGGCGAGCGCAAATCTTAGAAGTACAATGATATTTGCAATCGAATGAAATGCTTTAATTTGAGCTCAGGTACGCAAATTACTGAAGAAATTCCAGTAGAGGCATGGATCATGGATGAGGAGGACTACGGCTCAACGAATAAGGAATTCATGGAACCTAACAATGCAAGCGACGGAGGCGATACAAATAATTATATGCCAAGCCTGGTGAACAGGCCCAAACTTGCAAGAAAGGTTAGCTTGCGGCTATCACAAGAGACTAGATTCGCGAATGACTTCACTAGGCGATTCAACTCGCCGGGGGCCGTCAATTGCGGTTCCCAGCGGCCCTCGTTGCCTAGAGACGGAGCAAATTCCTGCGATGGACCCTCCACCTATTGACGCAGCGGCGGCAGAATAAAGTAAAGGCGATTGTTTTTGGGTAACTTTGGTTCTGCTATTATCACCGATGAGCCTTCAACTATAAAAACCCCTAGGGCGGCTTGTTCAGAAATAGGAAAGACCATACGCGGATTGACTAAGAAGAACCAACTTCGGTGTACCTTGGCTCGAAACTAATGACTCCTTCATAATTTCGACTATGAGAGTTTTTTGCCCCGAGTCTTTCGTTTCTTTCTCAAGCAGGATTTTGCCGTGAACTTTTCGAAGCTCAATGGCGAGGCTTTGTCCCTTTTGCTTGAGAAAGGAATTTGCGTCTTTGAGGGTCTCGAGGATTACTCGCTTATCAGATCGTTCCATGTCACCATTCAAAAAACAAATTGCCAAATTGCGAACTTTAAAAAGCCAGTTTTCGAGAAAAGCACGCAGTCAATCGCACAGAAGATGTCTACATAGAGACTCAGCAAAACAGGAAACGGCGCCGCTCTTGAACTGCCTGGATAATTTAGCGACGTTCTGCGACTCCAAGTTTCCAAAACAATCGGAAGTTTTCTGATATATATTACTGATCACCCAGCCTGAGATCTTGACGATGCTCCAGGAGATCCGCGACGCGTCACACCTCGGCCGGTTCGAGGAAAAAAAGTGATTTGGCGGTTTTCTCCTTCCAATTCCGGAGGCGTTTACAACCACCCTGCGTCGTGGGTAGCATAGATCTTTTTCAGCGACACGTAGTCTCAGGCCCCAGGCATTGTAGCGCTGTTACAGTTGAGAAGCCCAAAGACAAGCTACTGCACTGTTGACAGTCGTGGCCTCTTAGTGTTTCAGCCGGATTGAGCGCGCACTAGGTGCACTCGTACACAATGATTACCCACCGCCAAAGTCTCCTCACGTGTCGCGTCGCGTCGCATCTTTTTCCACACCGCAGCATCGTCGTCGTTGCGCGGTTCACGGACAAGACGCGATGACTGCCCCAGCACTGCGTACCTTACGAATGAACGCGCCCACTTCCCACACACCCGTCGTCGCCATTGTCGCGTGCCTCATGCCCGACATGGGCATCGGCTACGCGGGCAAGCTTCCGTGGAAGCTTGCACGCGAGATGAAGTATTTCCGAGAGGTCACGTCGCGGACCGTGGACCCGTCGAAGCAAAACGCGGTTGTCATGGGCCGCAAAACGTGGGAGTCGATTCCGCCTCGGTTCCGCCCGCTGCCGGGACGTACGAACGTTGTCGTTTCGCGTCAGTTCTCGCACGCACTGGAGCCTGCGGGCCCGAAGGGCCCCGCAGGCGTGTTCCACAGCAACTCGCTGCACAGGTGCCTGGAACTGCTCCCGCAGCGGGTCGCGTCGCTGGAACGCATCTACGTCGTTGGCGGCGCCGAGATATACGCCCAGAGCTACACGCTGTGCGACGCGATGCTTCTGACCGAGATCGAGCCAGCCCCTGGCGCCGAGCCGCCCCAGATGGACACGTTTCTCGACCGCGTGGCAGTCGCAGAGCGGTTCGAGCGCCAGGGCTCTGTCGACGCGTTTGTGCCGCCAGGCGTCACGCTGCCGGACCCGGAAACGGTGCTTGAGAACGGGTTCCAGTACCGGTTCGCGCTCTACACGCGACGGGTTACGTAAGCCCCGTCGCCCCGTCTAGCTTACGTCAGCCTATGTAGCAGAGCACGCCGCACGAGCGGACCAGATCCCCCCTCCCCCCACAACGGTACGGCCACGCCTCCTTTGGCCCGAAGGGCCTCCAAAATCGAAACTCGGACCCCATCGCAAACCTTCAAGGGCGTCTGGAATCCAGCTCTGGCCTGCTGGGCCGCTTGGCGAACAGCTATTAAAGCACGGCTCAAAGGAGTGGGTCTGACAGTTCGGGTCCCGGCTCATCTAGTGTAAAAGTTTCCCGCCTCTCTCTCGCACGTCTCTCAAGCTCCCCTCACATGATCCCCACCACCGAGGACTACGTCCCGCTTGTCGCGTCGATCGACGTCGGAACCACCTCTTCCCGCGTGATCCTGTTCAACAAGCTCGGCCAGGAAGTGTCCAAGCACCAAATCGAGTACTCGACTTCCGCGTCACGTGACAAGTGCTCCGCGTTTGCCAAGCGCCGCTTCAGCGTCGACGAAGCCGCCGCGGCAGTAGCGGCGCGCTCCGCGGCGCGCCGCACCTCCGCGGCCGGGTGCCCGAGCCCGCCCGCCAGCGCAAAGGCCCGGAAGCCGCAGGCCGCCGTGGCCCCTGTTTCGCCCGAGGCTAGCCCCGGGCTCGGCCCCGAACCGGCCGTCAAGATGTCGCGCCATGGCAGCGTCGCCCCGGCAACGCCTCCGGACTACCGCCGCCCCAGCCAGCCCATCTTCTCGGCCGAGGGCATCGCCATCGAGGCCAACGAGTACCTCGAGATCGAGGATCTCGCCGGCGACCAGACGCCCACGCTCACGTTCCCCAAGCCGGGCTGGGTCGAGTGTAAGCCGCTCAACATCCTGACCAACGTGGTGCAGTGTTTTGCCGCCAACGTGATCTCGCTCAACCACCTCAACGCCGAGCGCGCCGCGTACGGGCTGGCGCCCTACAAAGTCACGTGCCTCGGCATCGCCAGCATGCGCGAGACCACGCTCGTGTGGTCGCGCCGCACCGGCCGGCCCATTGTCGACTACGGCATTGTGTGGAACGATGTGCGCACCGCGCACATCGTCCAGGCCAAGCGTCGGCAAACCTCGCCCGAGCACCAGGAGCGTCTGCGCGCCAAAACCGGGCTCCCCGTGCACTCCACCTATTTCTCGTGCTCCAAGCTGCGCTGGCTGCTCGACAACGAGCCCGCTGTGCGCCGCGCCTACGACTCTGGCGACCTCATGTTCGGCACCGTCGACACCTGGCTCATCTACCACCTCACCGCGCGCCACGCGTTCGTGTCTGACGTCACCAACGCGTCGCGCACCGGGTTCATGAACCTGGACACCCTCGACTACGACAACGAGCTGCTGGAGTACTGGGACGTGCAACGTGACAAGATCGCGCTACCCCGCATTGTGTCCTCCGCCGAGTACTACGGCGACTTCTGCGTCCCGCAGTGCGTGCGCGAGAGCATCACCCCACTCGCGTGGGATCTGCTCTCGGACTTTTTAGCCGCGCGCGCGCAGCCGCTGCCGATCCAGGGGTGTCTGGGCGACCAGAGCGCGTCGCTGGTGGGCCAGCTGGCGTTCAAGCCCGGGGCGGCTAAATGCACGTACGGCACGGGCTGTTTCCTGCTCTACAACACGGGCACGCGCAAGCTGATCTCGAACCACGGCGCGCTCACGACGTTCGGGTACTGGTTCCCGTACCTCGAGGATGAGGAGCACGCGCAGCCGCACTTCGCGCTGGAGGGCTCGGTCGCCGTCGCAGGCGCGGTGGTGCAATGGCTGCGCGACAACCTGCGGCTGATCCCCAAGGCGGAAGACGTGGGCCCGCTCGCGTCGCGTGTCGCGGACTCGGGCGGCGTCGTGTTTGTGCCTGCGTTCAGCGGGCTCTTCGCGCCGTACTGGGACCCAGACGCGCGCGCGACGATCATGGGCATGTCGCAACATACGACGGCGTCGCACATCGCACGTGCCGCCGTCGAGGGCGTGTGTTTCCAGGCACGTGCGATTCTGCGCGCCATGAGCAGCGACGCGGTGCGTGGCGGGTCGGAGACGACCGGCGGCGGGGCAGGAGCGGACGCGGCGGCGTCAGCGTACGAGAACAGTCCGCTGTCGACGCTGGCGGTGGACGGAGGGATGTCGCGGTCGTCCGAAGTGATGCAGATCCAGGCGGACATTCTGGGCCCGTGCGTCAAGGTCCGGACCGCGCCCAACTCCGAGTGCACGGCACTCGGAGCGGCGATTGCCGCGTCGCTCGCGTTTAAGAACAAGGAAGACCGCCCGCTGTGGAAGGATCTGCGCGACGTGAAGCGGTGGGTGATGTACGGCGGACACGAACCGGGCGCGGCGAAAAAGAGCAACGGAGTCGACGCGTTCGAGTCGCACGTGCGGATCTACCGGTCTCAGTCGAAGGATGAGGACCGCAGGCGCAAGTGGCGGCTGTGGGAGCTTGCCATCGAGCGGTCGCGCGGATGGATGCGCGATGTGCAGGCCGAGGAAGAAAAATTTGCCAACGGCAAAAGGGCGTGAGTGGCTGACGCCCGCGGCTCCTTTGATTTTTGATAATGATAGTAATATTCCGAGCCTGGCTGTTGACGGCAGCTGAATATATATTTATGTTTGGACACACATACGTAATAATGTACCACGCAATTGCAGCCGGTTCGGAGGCTCCAGCAGATGCCACTGAAAAAAAACAGTCCTAAAGTGGCTCGCTCCTACACCCATGCATTTTGACCGCACCTTTTTATGTTTCTCTTGTTCACACTTGGAAAATGAAGATTTTCACGTCCCAACAAGTTTCGTACGTCGTGACAGACTCGCATCTCGCACAGACGCCGAAGCCATCGAAATATAAAGCGCACCGGAACTTTCTCCCACCTTGCCCACATCTGTTTCAAGAAAGCATCGATCAAAGCAGAATGGCTCCATCCAAGAAAGTTGCTCCAGCCCCTTTGGCTGCTAAGTCTTCCAAGTCCTCCAAGGCTAAGAACCCATTGACCCACTCTACCCCAAGAAGCTTCGGTATCGGTCAAGCTATCCAACCAAAGAGAAACTTGTCCAGATACGTGAAATGGCCAGAGTACGTCAGATTGCAGAGACAAAAGAAGGTCTTGTCGATCAGACTAAAGGTTCCTCCAGCTATCACTCAGTTCCAATACGCGTTGGACAGAAACACTGCTGCTGAGACCTTCAAGTTGTTTAACAAGTACAGACCAGAGACCGCTGTTGAGAAGAAGGAAAGATTGACCAAGGAGGCCGCTGCCATCGCTGAGGGTAAGACCAGACAAGAAGCTTCTCCAAAGCCCTACGTTGTCAAGTTCGGTTTGAACCACGTTGTCTCTTTGATCGAGAACAAGAAGGCTAAGTTGGTTTTGATTGCCAACGACGTCGACCCAATTGAGTTGGTCGTTTTCTTGCCAGCTTTGTGTAAGAAGATGGGTGTCCCATACGCCATTGTGAAGGGCAAGGCCAGATTGGGTACTTTGGTCAACCAAAAGACCTCTGCTGTTGCTGCTTTGACTGAGGTCAGAGAGGAAGACGAGGCCGCTTTGGCCAAGCTTGTCTCTACCGTCAACGCCAACTACTTGGAGAAGTACGAAGATGTCAAGAAGCACTGGGGTGGTGGTATCGTTGGTTCCAAGGCTCAACACAAGAGAGACCAGATCTCCAAGGCGACTGAGGGTGCTTAAGTTCCACGATATTAAACGCTCACTAGTTTTCTATAATATATTTTTGGACTTTTCTCCTTGCAAGTTTTTTCCATGGTTCCCGTTTTGTTGAAGCGCGTGTAGTGACTGGTTCATTATAGGGAGCACGAACTATCATTCCAACTAAGAGTGGGCTTCTGCAGAAGCTTTTGTTGACGAGTTGGATTCGATTGGCTCTTATTGAAGTGCACTTTTCCACTATACGCGTTGCAGAAACGTGAATTGACATAAATTAAAAACGCTCTTAGATTGTTTTTCTTTTGGCATTGTGTATAGTAAATGCGCTGAGATTTATCATCGGGAATGAGACAAATCGAAGCGGCTCTAATGTTCAACGATTATTCTGAACTTTTATTGAACCTGCAACGATCTTAGGTGATCTCTCTAGATAATGACCCTGCGCCAATCCCCGCTAAATGATGCATTTTCGTTTTGCTCTTTTCTATCTTCCTTCAGTCATTGAAGATAACTAATAACTCTTGACAGTTTCGCGCATCTCCCAACAGCAATCAATAAACAGCAGCAATTTAACGTCTGAGCTGTCAACGCAATTATTCATAAACAATACTGAATTATATACTTCTTTATTGCAAAAGTTAGATAAGCGTTCGCACTCTCACCGGTTCTGTTCACGATGTTCGATGAATGACGGTATAGGATTGGGATCAACAATTTTTAAGGAAATTGAAAAAGATATATATGAAAAAAATGCGAAGGCGAAAGCGAATTTGGTGAATTAAACTCTTACCAAATCCGAGCGCCACAGTAACCCAAGATGAAACGTGTTACACCCGCACAGGTTCTATGGTACATACCCAATCAGATCGGATACTCGAGAGTCATTACGGCGGTTTTGTCGCTGTTTTTGATGCAGAAACATCCGCTGTGGACCACAGGTGTGTACGGAGTGTCATGCCTGTTGGACGCCCTGGACGGCACTATGGCTCGTAAATACGGACAAACTAGTCAGTTCGGAGCCGTTTTGGACATGGTGACGGACCGGTCGACCACGACTTGTCTCATGTGCTTCCTGTGCATTAAGTTCCCCCAGTACGCGCCGGTTTTCCAGCTTTTGGTCTCGCTCGACATCTCAAGCCACTACATGCACATGTACGCGACTCTCAGCTCGGGCGGCACATCGCACAAGAATATCGAAAAGGAACAATGGCTGCTCAACTTGTACTACAGTCGGCGGTCCGTGCTTTTCACGGTCTGCGCGTTCAACGAAATGTTCTACGTGGCGCTGTACCTGTACGCGTTCCCGCAACTCAAGCACTATAATGTGCCGTTTGTGGGACCAACGCACATCGGTGGCTTGCTCGCGGTGCTGTGCCTGCCCGGCTACGTGTTCAAGCAAATCGCAAACGTGGTGCAGCTGAAAAGAGCTGCCATCTTGATGGCCACGAGAGACGCGGAATTGGCTACGCAGGCCAAGAACTCCTAGTTTATGTAGAGACTTACACGCATAGAGCTTAGAACCGGACCGGGCAGGTATCTACCACGTGATATCATATTTCACGTGACCAAGTTCATCAGCACCCAAACACCCTGTTTTCCTGCGATTTTCTTCCATCCGTGCATCCGTGCATCCATGCACCCATACTATAATTCAATCACCGACCCTCCCTCTCTCGAGCAACAACGATCATCACTTTCGCCTTCATCGTCTCCCATCCACCCGATTTCTCAACAGGCTTCGTCACTCCCCTTACATAATCGTCTAACTCCGAGAAAACACCCTTGCATCCTCTCCCTTTTGTCCACCCCTTCACCCGTCGCGGTGGCGTGACACAATAGACACTTGGCCAGTTTCACCTAGTTGTTCTTTTGGGTTTGCCGCGGGCGACGGCCGCCCGCGGCCGCGGACCGCCGCGGAACGCCGCTTTCTGCTGTCAACCAGCCCTGCAGGGCGTCCTGTGTGCAGGAACGCTTCGTGCCTGCACAGGCACAAGGGGCGGGTCAGCGAAAGCGGTCATGAATTGGCTAGCGGGCCAAATCACGCCACTACTGGCATTGTTTCAAGGCCTTGCGACGTTTAGCGACGCTTAGCGACGCTTAGCGACGGACACTTCACGACGCTAAACGTCGCTCAGTAGCCTCGTGTATTTTTGTGGCAGCGCCACGGCCGCGCGCGGTGGTCAGCAGCAACGTGCGTTGAGTGGATCTTCCAAGAATCGGATGGATGCACATCTGCAAGAGGTGAGGGGCAGCCATGAAGGGGCAGTAAGTATGGGGAAGCGGCAGTACCGTGGAAATAGAGCGATGGCGCGGACGTGGAAATGAGGTGATTGGCACCGGTCTGTCTGGGCGATGGTATGACAAGGCAAGCAAGCAAGAGTTGCAGAAATTATATTTAGTTTTTTTTGTATAAATACGAGGCCAAGGTCGAGGTTGATGTTAGCTGTCCGGCAGTTTGTCTATTTGTTCAGTCCTCATCAGTGAACAAAGTTCATCGAGTATCCTATAGTCTTACCCATCACCACACCAGCAATTGCAATGTCTGCCCCACAAATCCCAACTACCCAGAAAGGTGTTATTTTCTACGAAAACGGCGGTGAGCTTCAGTACAAGGACATCCCAGTGCCAAAGCCCAAATCTAACGAGCTTTTGATCAACGTCAAGTACTCCGGTGTGTGCCACACCGACTTGCACGCCTGGAAAGGTGACTGGCCTTTGCCTAACAAGCTGCCTCTGGTCGGTGGTCACGAGGGCGCCGGTGTCGTTGTCGCAATGGGCGAAAACGTGAAAAACTGGAAAATCGGCGACTACGCTGGTATCAAATGGTTGAACGGCTCGTGCATGAACTGTGAATATTGCGAACTGTCCAACGAGTCCAACTGTGCCCAAGCGGACCTTTCCGGTTACACCCACGACGGTTCTTTCCAGCAGTACGCGACTGCCGACGCCGTGCAAGCTGCCCGGATCCCAGCCGGCACCGACCTCTCCCAAGTGGCCCCAATCTTATGCGCCGGTGTCACAGTCTACAAGGCCCTAAAATCCGCCCACTTGAAAGCCGGCCAATGGGTGGCCATCTCCGGTGCCTGCGGTGGTCTGGGTTCTCTATGTATCCAGTACGCCACTGCCATGGGTTACCGTGTGCTGGGTATCGACGGCGGTGCCGAAAAGGAAGAAATGTTCAAGAAATTGGGCGGTGAGGTCTTCATCGATTTCACCAAGACCAAGGACATCGTTGCTGAGGTGATCAAGGCCACCAACGGTGGTGCTCACGGTACCATCAACGTTTCCGTCTCCGAGGCCGCCATCTCGTCCTCTACTCAATACTGCAGGCCTAACGGTACCGTCGTCTTGGTTGGTATGCCTAGTGGCGCTCAATGCAAGTCTGACGTTTTCAACCACGTGGTCAAATCCATCAGCATCGTTGGTTCTTACGTCGGTAACAGAGCTGACACCAGAGAAGCGCTAGACTTCTTCACCAGAGGTCTTGTCAAGTCTCCAATCAAGATTGCGCCTTTGTCCGACTTGCCAGAAATCTTTGAAAAGATGGAAAAGGGCCAAATCGTCGGCAGATACGTTGTTGACACTTCCAAATAGGCTTCCGGGATGTTGTGAGCTTTTTTAATGTACTCTAAATAATGATGATATGCGTCGATAATATGAAAACAAACCATGCAAACTGACATGAAGGTCACGGTGTGTTCGTTTATTCGTTTCTCGCTGTCCCTGGTTTTTAGTTTTTGGTTGAGGGCCTGCGAAAAAGCAGAAACGACAGAGACCGCCAAAGACATGAAAATCGGGAAACCACGTGATCTACTTGACGTATTTACACGCGGTAAGAAGTGTTTGGAAATTTCGTCAGCAAAAGTACCTTATGCGAGTTAAGCATTCTATTTGCTTGGCGGAGAGGTACACACGAAACAGTGGCATTTTCCATACAAGTTTGTGAAATTCGCTTACAGCGATAACGTTCTCGTATATAATGACGCACATATCACCAGTTCTGATCTAGCTGTAATTTCCCCGCATATGCATAGTAACGAGAAAGCGTTATTACTTCTGATTGGAAAAGGAGTTTTGAAATCGGGAAGCATCCCCAAAAGCACTGCTCATCGCCCCAATCGCCCCAATCGCCCCAATTACCTTCCATTTTCCTAAAATCTGGACCTTTTCCTTTTCAGTTTACTTTTTTTTTCGTATTTTAATTTTTTTTTTTCTAGATCACGTCTCTGACATTAATTCGCTCTCGAAAGCTTACTCAAATCTACGGTCACAAATCGTTGTCATCCAGATCGAGGTGGGTCTTCCGTTTCACAGTTAGCTGTGTCGTCCGTAAAAGCTTTTCCGCTACGCTGCTATACTGCTAGGCCGCTTTCAGCATGGATACTTTGGTGACTTTTATCATGGGCCTTCCATGTCCCGTCGGAGTTTTGACACCGGTGTCGACTTTCCTGTCGAGCAAAAAAATCATAACGTCGCCAAATCTTTTGATGCAAATGCACTCGATCGTTTATGTCGCGATCGCTTACCACATAGTGTTTCTCGTGAGCCAATGGATTTTGTTTCCGCCGTTGGTGCGTTTAAGGTTTGCATGTGAAAAGCCTGAGAACGACAAGAAACCCGAAACAAAAGTGGACGACGAGATAAAACAAGCGGATCTCGTTAACCAGAGTGCAGTGCATTTTGTGAGTCTGGTGCAGAGCCTTGTGATCCTGTATTTGAGTCTGAGTTACCTTTCGGGTCACGGCCGCAGCACGCACCCAACGCCCGAATCGCGCGTGTTCTCGCAGTCTCCAAAGACAGACGTGGTATGTGTGTTCGCGGTCGGGTATTTTGTGTGGGACGCGCTCATTTCGGTCATGTATTCGAGTTTCCCATTCGTATTACATGGAGTTGTGTCTATGGTCATGTTCAGCATTGGTCTACAACCTTACATCCAGTACTACGCACCTGCGTTCCTGCTTTTCGAGCTATCTAACCCGTTTCTGAACTTTCGCTGGTTTGGCATCAAGTACTTACCGCAAGTTTCTGATCGCAACCATTCGTTCGTCGCGCGCGTGTGTAACGCACTTCAACTCGCGAACAACGTGATTCTTATGCTCGTTTTCCTGCTCGCCCGCATCGTATGGGGGTGGCTGAAAATCGGTGAATTGTGCTACGATTTCTTTCAAGTACGCAACGATCCAAGATTCAGACCCCTCGAGACCGCCGTCATCGTTGCTGGTAACCTCACATTAGACGTACTAAACGTGGTTTGGTTTTCCACCATGCTCGGCGTCGCTAAAAGAATAGTCTCTAAGCGGGGCCGCGTCCAAGACAAGCCTGTCACCGAGGCACACTAGTCGTTTGTCGCAATGTCGCTACAACTTGTCGTCGTTGTACCTTATGCACCCAATAACATACTTCTATAAAAGAACCTATAAAAGAACAATGGGAAAACAAACGAACCATCAATCGCAATCATCTCATAATTTGTTGCAACAACCGATACCTACTGACACCTAACAAGACCTTAACCTCTGCGAATCTCTGCGTATCTCTGTAGCGCCGTGTTACATACGACTACTCAGCTCATCACCATCAGGTGGTGAAAATGAAATCGGAAATGCGGTGAACATGATCCGATATTCCGCTTAAAAAGCTAAAAAGAAGTTTAATTTGATTCTGCGGTTTTAAACTAGCCTTTTATAGATCAACTTCTAGAATCTCTTTTTCCGCTGAATCGATTCGATACCTTTTATAGTATTTTTCTCCTGACAGTGACCTGACGGTTAATTCAATATATATTAAGGTTAGGTGAAAGTAAGGTGATCTGGTCCTTATTTAAAGGGGCTTTTACCGAGAGACTCAAGGCACAAGAAGGAAGACTTAGAAGGTCCGTGTGATAGTGAAGACTTGGTCATATTCAGAGGTAGTCCAACGATTTCCAAACGATAGGCGACTTTTTTGAGTATTTCCGGTTTTTTCGTTAATTTGATCTCGGTTCCGGGTGGCTCTTTTGTGAGCAAAATTTAATAACTTTCGCCTCTGAAGAATTCCTGGACTCGACCTAGCACACCAGGCAATCATGGAATACCCACCGTCAGACGTCGCCAGTTCTTTCACGAAATTCCAGGACGATGCTAGCAGTATTTCGTCGACGGATTCTGATTATTTGATGGATCTTGGAGATTCGTCTTACAATAACGAAACCGTATTACCCAAATCTGATCCACATTCTCCGTTTTTCATCAGCGTTCCCATACCAAACCAGGCAGGTCTACTGGGCAATTATTCGGACTCCAACACCGATTTACAGAACGACGTCGTACGCGAATATCCCACCGATATTCTTCTGGACAGGTTTACTAAGTGGCGTAAAATTTTGAAGGGCCTTATCGTTTACTTGCGAGAAGTTGCGTATGCGCAGGAGCAATTTGCACGCATCAATTTCCAGATTAGAAGCGCGGTCAAATTCCCGTTTTTGACCGACTTGGAAGAAAATACAAATCGGCTCATTGATCCTTTACTGCAGAAGCCTAAAAGACCCACTGGCGCAGCTTCGTCATTGAATAAAGTTAGAAGTCTCGAGGATGACACGAACGCCGCGGCTCAAGAGCCAAATGCCACTGATCCTGCGCGAGTTATCGACGCCAGTGACTCCTCTGCATCTTCTGGCTTCATGAAATTTGGTTCAGGGTCCATCCAGGACATCCAGGTGATCCTTAAGAAGCATCATTTATCCATGGCTGGCCAGCAATTGAAAACCTCGAAAGAGTTGACCGCGGTTGTGATTCCGAGGCTAGAAGATCTCCGCAGGGATCTTCAGGCCAAAATCAAAGAAATTAAGGATCTACACGGTGACTTTAGAACTAACATTAGCGAACATGTTGCACTAACCGGTCAACTATTGCAAAAATATACAGCATCGGTCAAGTTTTTGTCGACGCAGGCCAAAGACGGCGATGTTATCAAGCTCAAGAAGGATCAACATTTGAAACCGAAACACGATCCCTATCTTTTGAAATTGCAATTAGATCTTCAGCTCAAGAGACAACTCTTGGAAGAAAACTATTTGCAGGAAGCCTATATCAACCTGCAATCTTCAGCAATGGAGTTAGAGAAAATAATTTATGGAGAAATCCAGCACACGCTGCAAAAATATTCCGCTCTCGTCGATTCTTTGTCACGCGCTTCCATTAACAATCTTTGTATGGAGTTACAAAGAGGTCTGCTTAGTAAACCTCCAGCGTGTGAGTGGGATCATTTTGTTTGCTATCATCCTAAATGTCTCATCAAATGGAAATCTACTGAGCCAGTTCCACAGCCGAGAAAGCTCTCCGACATAAGGTACCCCAAGATGAAATCTCCTTTAGCCAAGTGCATTCGTGCAGGTTATTTGCTCAAGAAGTCCAAGATTTTGAAAAACTATAACAAGGGCTATTTTGTTCTTACAAGTAACTATCTGCATGAGTTCAAAGGTAGTAATTTCTTCAAGTCCCAGGATAGTGGCGAGAAGAAAGATCATGGTGAAGTTCAGGCAGGACACAAGAAAAGAGCCATGCTCCCTATTATGAGTTTGCCCTTAAACGATTCAGTCTTAGTCGAAAGCACTTCGAACAAATTCACTTTGCATGGTCTTACCACCTTTAACAATATCGATAGAAAAACCTCAACCGAAACAGGTAAGATCATCTCGAAGTCGACGTCATCTATTGGTAAGTTTTTGAAAGCGACTGGACCCAAAACACAACAGAGTAAGAAGCACCAACATCAAATGCGTGCGGAAGATGTGGATGACCACAAGCCGGCTTTACAAGAATCTGAGAAAGTCACAACTTGGGACTTCAAAACGGTTGGTCATGGTGACACGCAAGAAGATGCAAGAGACTTTAAAAAATGGGTTGGCGAATTGCGTAACCTGACCTCATTCAATAACAACGTGGAAAGAGCAAAGTTCATAGAGGACAAAATTTTAAGGGCCCATTCAAGGGCGGCAAGTTCCCTCAGTCTATTGAAAAATGTGTCAGACTCGAGCACCGTAAGCTTGAGTCGCATACCTTCGTCGACTACGACGCTACCACGTGCGAACAGATCAAACAGGCCCGATTTCATTAACCTGGGACCTCAAACTTTTGCAGATCCTGCTGCTGCTCGTGCCAAGGTGAATACTCCAGCCATTGATGATCACGGGAACCTCATCACCACGAGCGGTAAAACAAATCTCTCCCTTTCTGGATTATCACTGGCTTCACCAAAAATTTCTCCTGCGAGCACACCCCATAGTCAGTCCAGCCCAGGTCGTCCCGCTAAACCGGATGTACAGGCAAGTGGTGATAATTTAGAGGGGTATTTTGGCTTCAAACAGATTGTGGCTTCGCCTCATCATCCGAATGTATCGCCGCCATTGGTCGTATCGCCACCTGCAAAGACGTCAACAAGTGTGTCACCCTCGGGAATCCCGCAACGTCCGCATGGACATCACGAAAGACACGTATCATCGACGTCAGCCGCGGCAAGTGAAGCCAATTCTGATCAGTCGTCAACTAACGCTCCAATTAACTCGCCGGGAAGCACTGCCTCCGCGCCTAGCGGAGGTGGATACTTTGCGATACCTGTGCGCAAAACGTCACAAAACTCGACACCAGGAAGCGTTCAGATCGAACCGATTGCATTCCCGGGAGAGTCTGCGAGTCATATTGGTGTTCCTAGAGTTCGCGTCAACGATCAAGATGTGCATGGTATGCTACCCAGCTCGGCCGAGAGTCCATCATTGAACAGGACCAAGCCAGCTTATAACTTGAAGAAGACGGGGAGTGCAGGCAGTGTCCCTACTGTAGAGGCGGAAGGCGTTCATAGCGTCTACAAGAATACCAAATTGAATAATAGCGGCCATAGTTTGGTCTCCGGCAAAAGTCAGGCCCTGAGAAAACATCGTAAAAACGTCTCGTTTGGTTCCTTGAACAATCTGTTGTTCTCAAAACGAACCGGCGAGCACGGGATTGGAAGTGTTATGACTGATCACTCGTTCTCGGCCACCGACAACAAGCATGAAAGCCAGGATTCCGGTGCCATTAATGTCCATCGCTCTCTATATTCATAATTATAGATAGGATTTTTAACTTTTAAATGCGTAACTATACCCGAGGATTCCTGCTATTCCAGTGCGTCAAGTAATTTGGTCCCCTAAAACATGGAATTTTCTGTTACAATACAAGACTCCACCGTCAACAGATTGATCGCCACCGTTGGTCAAGATATCCTGAATTTCACCGACCCAAATTTCGTGGTCACCCACTTTAAACACCTCCATTGCCTCACACACAAACACCCGCTCCGCGTTTTTAAGTATAGGTATCACCAAATCCGATGACGACAGCTTGTAGGTCCGATAATGCTTTTCTTCAACCAAGTCTTCAAACGGCCGCGTAGGCACGATTTCTCCGCTCGAGTCGTGTACCATGGCACCCTTGCTGAACGTCCTGGCGAGTCTTGTTGACACCATGTTAGGTTTCAACAGGTGTATGGCAAAATGTTTATACTTGTGAAGTGCTTCTGACGTGAACGATGGCACCTGCAAATTGAACTGCACCAAAGGTTTTGGTTTTAGTGACAGTGAACTAACTGATGACAAAGTTAATCCTCGAAACGACGCATGTGACGTCTTATTGTTCATCGAAGATGTCAAAATCATAGCTTGAGAACCAATTCTTGCCATGGAATCTTTGAACCGTTGTTGAGTTATAGACTCCTTTGTTAAAGTTGATTGAAACCTGAGCAATTGAGGCAGCATTTTCAGAATCAAAAAGGTTCAACCAATTGTAGATGATGATGGATTTCGACTGATTTTTATGGGAAGCTTCCAAAATGTCAATTGTTAAAGCCATTAAACTGGTACGTCACCACTATATGGAGAACCTTTTATCACTATGTAAATCGGTGATAATCTAGTAATTATCTGGAGAAATTAGAGAAATCGGAAAATTGCGTGGGCGCTGAAAATCGATGAACTTGAAGGTAGAGTCAATTGATGAAGGGCCTATTCCAATGATCTGAATTCTTTTGAAACGATCAAGACTCTCTGATGAAAAGACAAAATCTTGGTGTGAAAGAAGCGGTCAAATGCCTTTTGAGAGCAAGAAAAGCGGTGAGACAGACGTCAAAACCGATTGATCAGAGCCCCATGATCGAGAATTTCCACAAATGGGCTGGTAAAAAACAGAAATTATACTTTCAAAGCGTTCGAGATGCTGATCTAAAATTGAGATTGTTTGGTTTGCAAAATAATGTTTATGCAGATGTACTGGCGTCACCTATGCGACAAGATACTATTGCCAAGGCCCGAATTCCAAGAGATTTGCTTTTGAAGTTGAAATTGGTACCTAAGCTTAAGCAGAGTAAGGATTTAATTTACGAAGTGGATTCAGCGATATGTTGTGATGAAACCAAGGGAATACCGTTTTATGTCGTCAACAATCGAGATTTTTTGATGAAAAATTCTAAAACCCATAAGCAATGGCTGCCCGTGAACTTACACACCTCCCAGTCGCGAATGATCGCATTGCCAGACGTCGACTTCAATGTAAATCGTTTGCTTAATAGACACGAGAAGAAGCTTTCTGACGTAAGCCAGACAACCACCACAACGACCAAGCCCGGGCTCAGCGACAAAAATACAAAGCTTGCTAAAACCAAATGGCAACTTTCGTTGTTTATGAAATGACTATAATCATCTAGCGAGTTTTAGCGGTAACCCGTAAATTACAGGAGCCGCGCCATTTAAATATTGCAAATGACAAGCTTCTCTTGCTCTTGAAACTGAAACTGCAAAATTTTCGGGTTTTTTATCAGATTGCAATAACCCCATTTGGTCGAACATGGCATAGCTAAACTTATCGATATCTCTGTCTGTTACATCCCACAAATTGCCCACTATCATAGGACAACCGGCCGAAAGGTATGCTTTCAGGATTCCGTGTGGTTCCAGTTGACCGAAAGTTCTCAGATATGCAGATGAGCAACCCAGTAAAAATGTTGGAGATAGCTCGTTACACACCTTGAGCTCTTTTGACTTTACAAACTGTTCACCACCACCATGACCAACATAAATGAAGATCGATGAATCTCGAAGCATTTCGAGAAACGATTCATCTGATGGTTTCTGGCCAATTATTAGACGTGAATTTGGAACCGAAGCAGCCCAGTCCGAAAAGGTTTGTGCAAAAGTTTCTTCAGTGCGTACCAGATCGCCCTGAGGATTCAAAATCATTGATAACCGCTCCGTCAATTGAATTTTAGGACTTATCAAGCCGCCATTTTTCTTTAGAAGATTTGCCAAGAAGGTGACAGAGGGTATTCTGGAAACGGCACGTTCCCTCAAAAATGATAAGCTTTCCCACGGTATGAGATGTGCTTCAGTGCCTATCAGGAGAAAAATATGAGACGTTTCAACTAAAAAATCCTTATGCGCCCTACACTCCTTGATCAACTCCTTTAACTGTACGTGTACCAAGGAAAGGTCGATCTCATCACAGGCGTTTTGCTCTCCATGAAGGAGAAGCACATCAATAATGTAATAAATTAAGTCATCTAGCATGTCCGTGAATTGCTCTTCAGCAGGATCCAATTTTGACAACATGTTTAAAACGCAGTCATCAAGTTGGTAGAACATCGTAGGATCGCCATAAAGTTTGCGAGAAGGTAAGTTCTGCTGGAGAATGTCTTGAAGTTTAACTCGAGCCATCAGTTTGGCCTCTTGAGAAAGGAAATCATCCCTAAAGAAGGCTTTAAACGCCCCAAACCACGTATTTTCAATTTTATCGAGCAAAGAATGCAATTTTGAATCAAGTTCATACCTTAATTGCCACCACTTCTTTCTTTGCTCTTTCGACTTGATATTACTGGTAACCTCGATTGACGTCGTCAAGCTGCTTTCTTTGATTATCTCCCTCATTTGCGATAGAGCATCATTGAATGTAAATTCTGAAGAGTCCATGTCTCTCGAACGATGTCGATTCAGCGGCAGGCGTAAAATATCGTGAACTTCGCCGCGAGAGTCCGTTTTAGATAAGATGAGGTCGTTAGTTAACTCACAACTATCGATAGAGATGATCGAATACCTTTGTGCGCTTAATTTATCAACCAACTCGCTCAACTTCCCTATCGAAGCTCTTTGACTTGTTACTGGACACTGAGGTGCATCAACTTCCCTTAAGCAAAAGTTTACCAAGGCATCTTTTGACCGGCTGGCAAGAAGCCTCTCATTATAGTAGGGCATATAGCGGGCAAGCTCACTTAGTATAAAAAAACTTCGAAAAGCAGCTTTTGGAGAGCATGCACTTTTCATCATTGACTCTATTAGCGCGAACTCGACCTCAAAATGAGCGACTTTCTTCATGTCAAAATTGTTCAAAAAATTTGAGTTTATATCTCGAATAACGCTGCGCCCTTTCACAGACTGGCTGATGATATTTGCCTGATCGAACCGCTGCTTTAGCGATGCATTTCGTGGTGTTAGAGAAGAGGGACGTGGCGATGAAAAGTTTTTGAAATGAGGCGTTTTTTTTAGCGGAGTTCCCTCAATAGTTATCGGTCTTCGGTCGTTTGCCTTATGGAGAGTTGGTAGCAACACAGACGGGATCGTCAAAACGGTGTCATTAAAACTGTTCAAGTAGGGATCATCGTTCATCTGCCTCGAGAGGCTGTCATGAATTTGCCGTATCGCGTTCATGCAATTTGAAGCTGTCTCCCAAGGATCCCTTGGGACATCTACAGTGCATCCGGTTCTTAAACGCCAATAGTTCCACAAAGCTGTTTTACCTAATTTTTCACCAAAAAATAGTTCGAGCGAGTTTAAGAGTTTATCGTATTCCTTGTTTGCAAAAAAATATTTCGTAAGAGCGTCGATATTTTCACTCCCTTCTATGCGATTGAATGTTTCATTTAGTCGGTTTGTAAATTCATTTGCGAGGTCGGCTTGCGACGTTAATTTGTAATAACCCGCAGCAAGCGCCATCACATCAAAGAGCGCTGAGGGTTCTTTCAAATGCCCCATCACACTCAAACATTCAGCCATGTAAAATTCACAATCTCTGGCACTTCCAACATGGGTGTAGATTTTCATTACGCTTGAAAACAAAGCGTTGAGAGCATCGATCAGTTCCCACTTTATGTCTAACGGAATTTTGTCACTCTTGGAGAGCAGGGTTTGACAAATTTTCAATGCTTTCTTCGCTTCTACTAGGGCATCATCGAATCTGAGACCCATCTCATATAGTTTAGATGCCGATTGTATCATTTTTATGTTGAGCATCAGAACTTTAAGATATTTTGAGTTTGTTTGCTTTGAAGTGTTGCGTATATCGAAAAGGTCAGGGCGATTTTTGGGAAGCCAGTTAACGAAAAACTCGTTAAACAACTGATACTTTCCACTGAAGACTGAGCGCTTCAGCGAAAAGTTGAGAATAGCATAGCACGCCTCGGAGTTCGAACCTGTGGACGCAAGTGTCTCCTGAATGCCAGCACTCGAGAGAAGTCCCACATCATCAGGCCATTTCAAAGATAGTCGAAGCTCGATTCGAGAGTTTTCACCATTCCTTTCTACCAAGTTTGAAAACCTATCACAGAAAGAATAGCTTTGTTTTAAGGCGTCGCATATTCTTAACACTTGCTTGTGGTGTTTATTGAAGGTCAAATAGTTGAGAAGCACTTCTGCTAAATTAAGCTCAATTTCTGTTGCTCTGTCGTTCTTATCGATTGCAGGTGATTGGACCCAATCGTTGATGTAGACATTGGCAATTTTCGATAGCAAGCGCGTTTGGTGGTCCTTAATTTCTTTTGTTAAGTGCCAATGAAGTTCTATTATGGGTGCCATTCTTCTCAGTGGGTCTAATGAATCAGTTTTGAAATCAGGTGTATTTTTAAATTCAATATTTTGATCGACACTTATTTCATAATACCTTCTAGGAAGAAGGCTCCAACTGCCCGTGCCTGCCCAAGTTAATTTTGTCATGGACAGCAAGAGACAGTCCATCAATTCCGAAGAGGTCCACGAGCCAGGTAGTTTCTCAAACCTGCATTTCTTGAAAATCGGGACGAACTCAGTCTTCGTCAGCTCAATTAGAGAGCGTAAGCTATATTCGAAAACCAAAAAAACATTGAAGACCCCGTCAAACAATGCCGGCCGCAGATGAGCTGGAGCACTCATAATGAATTTTCGCAATATTTGAAAGGAGTTTTCATTTTGAGCTATTTGAGTATACCTTGTAGTTTCGAGGTTGACGGCTGTTATCAGAAAGTCGCTGCTTCCATGGATTACGAAAGCGTTATATGCAATATTTGCAACATTCTGCAGCCTCTTGCCATCAAGAATCTCAATGCAAAAATTCTTGAAATACTTGAACATTTCTTCAAGTAAATTTATGTTTATTTCCCTCAAGTGACGATTGAGAAGGTTCAAAATTCCATCAAAGTTCTTGACATGTCCTCCAAAACGTAAGCCGTAATTGCTAATGTACCTCATGTAAAGAGAAAATAGAGTAAAAGCGTCGGCTAAATTTGTTTTTTTAGTCGTCTTCAGGCAGAGACTCACACGCTGCCTTAGTTCTTCGTCTTCCTGCCAAGTAAGGTAGTTGATTTCAAGTCGTTCATGTTGCATTTGTGTCAAAGATCCTTCGACCATAAAACGTTCCATTTGGTCAAAAAAACGTCTGGGGTGGTTGAGATCATCTGCCTGAAGTAAATCCGTAATCATAATCTTGCAAATGTTCATGTTCACTCGTGAGTACTCCGCATAAAAGGGCCAATAAAGCTCCCTAGCATCTCGTGAGGCGCTCGCGGCCCATGCAACTATGCAATCTTGATATCGGTTCTCGTCCATATTCTTGACGTAGTCATCGAACTTCAGCCGGTATTCCTTCACGTATTGGTAAAATTTGAGGGCAAAAGCTACTTTGAACTCGGGCAAAACGTGCATAAAGTTTAGCAAGAGCTTTACTAGAGCGGTAATCTTGGGAGAGGGAGAACGCAGCAAATAGCGTCGATCTTTTGCAAAAGCTTGTATTAGTTTTGGAGCGACCTTTTGTTGCACTTTAGCCTTCAATATGCATTGCATCGTCAGAATTTTTAAAGTCAAAAGATATTCTCTGTTGTTTAAATTGAAGTCTTGAAGCAGAACATCGTGAAATGTCGCAATCTTGTGTTGATTCGTGTTATTGTACAAACTTGCAATTCCATGCATCACCGATGTCGTCTCGTTTGTATCCAGTAAACGAATAATAACCAGAATGTACCGTTTCGACAAGCTTTTAATTCTTTGAATCTGGTGCTTCCTTGTGTAAACTTTAAACAGTTGGGAAAAGTAAACGTGCAAATCATGCGAAGAAGTGATTATAGAGCTGGTTGGCTTCTGTTTCAAAAAATCGTCTATCGCACTCAGCCAAATTTTGTGGTCTGACACCGGCGTAATGGGTAAAGAGGCGTTTGAGTTTTCTTTAGTCTCAGCGAAATCTCCTTCTCTGTTAAGAGACTTCTTACACATACTTGGTTTCGAAAACGTCATGGACTCCAAATCGCGTATCTGGGGTGAATTGAGATCCATCTCATTTAGAGCAGGGGTTTTGCGACTCATAATAACCAACCTGAGCCTTCAAACGACGTTTAAGTCGCACAGACCCTTAGCTGATTTCTTTGTTGACACCTTCTTCATTTGTTTATGTGTCTCAGTGTTTAGTACAATCTCTACGTATAAAGAGAGCAACTTCAAAACGTACTCACGGTAATTAAAGAACATCAAATCTGTACAATGCCATAGCGAGACTTTTGACCCACTTAAATCCAGGATATACGAATGGTAGTTGGCAAAATCGTCAATACAACACATGTCAGCGATGCACATTTAAGCCTGACAGACTCAAAAAGTTTCGAACTTTTAGAGTTCTTGAATAATATAGCGGATGAGCAATCTCTCGAGTTGCGAGATATTACCACTCTCGTCAAACATACATTACCACTTTATCCATCAATCCCAGTGGGATTCAGAGAAAAGCTCAAAAGGCTAGTATCAAAGTCGCTGCCCTTACTGAATCACATCATAGGTTTTGTTGCATCGCTCAAGGGTTCTCCAGAGACAGAGATTTACAAGACATTTTTGATTGACGTTGCGTCGGAAGAGATTAATTGCTTATTTAATTACTTGGGGGCGGTGAGAAATGCGGTGGAGCTGCGTTTGGTTCAGTCAGTTTTCATGGGAAGTAAACTCTACAATTGCTTAGCCACTTCGCTGAGCGTTACGGACTACATGGCAATATTGAAAAATCAGGTTCAGTTCGCGCTTTTGAGGGGCTGTTCCCAGAAATTGAAAAGTTTGGGTGAATTGCTGTCCGCGTTTCTATCATTCCACCCTGCATATGCTTGCGACGTGTTGTTTGGGGAAATTGTATTGCAATCGTCTCTTTCTTTAGAGTGCTTTACCCAAACACTAAAGGCTACTTCAAGGCTCGCACAAAGTCGTCTTTACAGGGGACTGACAAGGTTTTTAAGCAAAGTTTCCAACGAATCCAACTCCACGTCCATATATAACGTTTTGGAGAAAACCGGCTTTGCGGGCTCCAATTACAGAGAGCTCATAGAGCTTAAAGCGCCAATTTTAAGACGTGTCATCATAACTCTAGAGTGTCACGGGACTAGAATTGCATGCTATGAAGGTCTCATTGATGCTTTCGGCAAACATGAACCAGCCCACGACGCCGACGTTTGCCAACTTCTTGTGATGATCCTTCAAAGTTTTTCACAAGAAACTAAGGAGTTGCTCTCGCATCAAGAACGATTTCTTAATGCTGTAACAGCAAGACTTTCCTCTCAAGATACCCTCATTCGAGAAAGAACTATGTTCATTGGTAAGCTTCTCACGAATGGAAAATTGAGCTTCGACAGCCCTTTTCAGATCCATACGCCGTCTTTCAATAAACCAGAGTCCGAAGCAATCAACTTGGAATCTCTGAAACCTTCTGGTGAATTATCAAGCAATAAAAAGGACCATCAATTAGAGAGAAAGATAAATTCGCTCAAATTATCCGAAGGCACTGCCAGCAATCATAGCATTTTCTTTTTGAAGGATCTCCTCAATGAATTTAACAAAACCTCCAAAAGCAGATACGGCTTAACCGAGCTTTTGGAGATCACAGTCAGCCTTGTGCGTCAGAAGAAAGATTTCAAGACTGAAGTTGATTTCTACGCAGATTCTCTGATTTCCACGTTGTCGACTTTAAGCAACTCTTTTGAAGAGCAAAACTTTGAGGAATGGAAGACAAACGCTATCGTAAGCATCCTTGTAACTGCCCCTCATAAGGTTTTCACTTTAATAAAAGTATTATTTGAAGCAGATCTATCCTTACAGCAGAGAATGTCAATTTTATCCTCACTAGCCCTAGCTGCGAGGGAACTACGTGGACTGAACGACCAAATGATCGTGAAACTAGAAGACTGCTCTTGGAAGCCGCCGAAAAACGGATCAACTGCTCAGCTTTCTAACAAGACGCAAAAGCTGGTAAAGGACACCGTTTTGCAAGAAGGAACGGTGACGTGGAAATCCAGGAAATTAAGCAAAGACTTAGAGAAGAGAACAAATGAAAACCGCTTTCAAGCTGTTGCCGCCAAGTTTTTCTTCCCTTTGGCCCACGGATGGCTTAATGGCATTGATTTAGGACCCTACGATAAAATGTTCAAACAGCATTACCTGACGACTTTACGGTTAATTTTGTCGGCAGCTGATCCGCATTCAGAGCTGAATCAAATGTGCGAGATGATGTTGTTAGTCATGAAAAGCGCTGAAGAGCAGGATATTATAATCCAAACATGATTACCACTCGCGCTCATAATGAAGCAGAAGCCAAAAAGAACGAAAATGCCATTAAGTCAAATGAAAGCTTATTATAAAGCGAATGCGGTTATTCTTTCAAGCGCATTGACGGAAATCAAATGAAGTCAGAACCAAGATTAATCAAAATAGATTTTTTTGGGTATAAATTCTGTTTGTTTACCCACGACACTTCCCTTTACGGTCAAAACCAGAGCCAGCTCTACCCAGCTTCAGCTGGCGGACGAAAATAATAAAGTAACTGATTAATAGTCAGACCAGTGTCCCTCTATCTAGGCTTGGCATCGACTCAGGCGCTTGTTTGTCTCGAGGTGACAAAGTTTATCGAAAATTCAAATCAAGACCCTATAATGAGCTCAAAAATTTCTACTTGGAGAAGGTCCGACTAATTCTCAATGCTAGGCGAGCATTATCAGATTTTTTCGTATCTCTTATGGATCCGGTTGTCACCCTTCTGTCGCTCGGTGAACAGAGTTCTGCAGATGTCTGAAAAGATCACGTGACTGCGGTAATTTGATGAAGGTATCGGAGTTTTGAAATCATCGAGCGCTATTGAACATCTCGAAAAGCTACTGACAGTGGACCGCATGTTCAACGGACCCAGCGTCCAAAGGAATCAACACCGAAATATTTGGAAACAATCTTCCGTCAGCACATGATATGAGTGATTGGTGGCGGGGAATACTTGACGTATCGCTGAGCAATGTTCTTTTATGCCTGTCCTTGTACTGTCTGATCCAAACATTTCTGGTAAAAGCCTGCTTTCGGATAGCATGTTTACGTGTTCCGGCAACAAGAATGCAACTCAGACTGTCTTTTGGACTGACTATATTCTCATTTCAGCTCGAAACCGAGGCCGTATCGATTAAAGTGGGACGTCTGCGCTTGAGATGGCGACAGGGAAAACCATGCATTCATGCTGCGAGAGTTGTAATTCATCTCAAAGATACAACATCCGTATCGAAAGCCGCGAGTTCGGATTCAGCTGCCATCAGTTCACATGCTCTGGAGGTCTGCATTAAAGACACTGTGTTTTCTTTAGTGAAAACTTTCATGCCTCGAGATTTGTTGTTTGAGAACCTCACGATTTTCGATTGCAACAAGAGCCTTGAACTGAAAGTTAGGAGGGTGTTAATTGATCCAGCTTTAAGTAAAGACGATACTGAGTTTAGAGTTCGCGTCAATGTTGTTGATGTTGAGGAGAGACTTTCCTACCAGATAATAAAAGGTATCCAATATTATTTGCGCATCCGACTTTCTCTAAACTTAGATCATCAGGGTCATCATCTGAAAGTTCGCTATTACGAGCAGTCTTTGAACGTCAATGATCTTTCGCTCCAGGCCCCACGAGATCAATTGAGTACGCGGTCTGAAAGGCAGCCCACAGAAGGTTTCCAGCGTGCATTTGAGAAATACAGTGGGCTAATCTTGCATCTTACAAATTTAGAGTTAAGGCTCGAACGTCTGCGACTGCATCATCATGACGGGCTTGATATCTACTTTTCAACACTGACATTCTCCAGTCACCGTCTCGAGGCCCTGAATCACGACATGTTAGATTTGCTTTCCCAGGAGGAGAAGTCCCCCAGAAATAATGAGTTTTCCGTGGCAATTGTGGCTCTCGGCTGCAGTTTGCAGAAAGAGGAGATCTTTAAAGCCTCGGCGATGAACATAACGATAACCACTGACATCGTTTCGCATCTCGTTTCAGATTTGAGCGTCACAAAATGTGGTTGTACTTTTGCTGTGATAGACCCTTCAATAACGATTCGCTCTGCTCAACTAAGCACACTGGCTGATATTATCGCGCCAAGCGGCTCTAACGCCACCAGAAATTCCGACGGAGCAAGCTGCACCCTCAGGTTTCTGAAATCCGCGAATTTTATCACAAAATGCATAGTATCAAATTTCTTCCTCTCCTATCAGATGACAAATCTCAGGCACCTTGTCCTGAGGGCCAACAGTATACGTTCATTCCTTCAAAATGGCCTCCAATCCTTTCCTAACTCTTCATATGAGAAGTTTTGCCCCAAGAGCTTCCTTGTTTCCAAAAGTCATTCAGACAATTTCCTAAAGATCGACCAATTCGATTTGTCACATTATCGATTCGATGAAACTTCACCTTTGAAGCTAAAAAAACAGCCTCTAATAAGATTTAATAAATGGGAGTTTTTCAATCAAGACTTAAAGGCCAGTCCCCAACTTCTAACAACCACTTTACGAGAACTAAAATTCTCTTTCGAGGATCTGGATGCATTAACGGATCTGCATGCCTCTATTAAAAACTGGGCTCGTTTCTGGCATTTGATCAAAAGCCCCCCTCAACCAAGGGGTGCCCAAAAGACAGGGGCGATTGAATATTTAATCAAAATGCGTTTAAAAGATGCGCATTTCACATTTGTTGCGAAACATCATTTGCCACCAGAGCTTTGCGACGTAAAGGAAGGTGGTAAAAACTTAACAGATAGGGCCCGAGGGGTTGGCATTTTAGTGAGAGAAGCACTGTTGCGTTCCGATTCAGACGGCAAGAGAGCGGAGGTTGGTAATTTCACACTTTACCGTTTGCTAGAAAACGCAAGCGAAGTAATGATGTGGGATGAATTAGGCTCTTTCAGGAACATTCTCATATCCGACAAAGGCGGTATATCAGTGACTCTCCCTACATCATCGTTGAAGTTTGATGTAAATGCCATGTGGCTCTTCTTTTACATGAAAAGTATCGCGAACCGGTATTTTCCAAAAAGTGACAAAGACGCGTCTTCAAACCGTCCCCGTAAAGAAAGCGGGCTTCTGCATAATTTCGGTTTAAAACTTAACAGTATTGTTATTGATGTTGAGCTTCCACAAGAAACCAAGATGTTGATCTGTCTTCAAGATATAACGTTCAAACCTGGAGAGAAAGAAATTTGCCTCAGAAAACTCAAACTACTCATAGAGTCGGTATACTCCAAAGGAAAAAGCACAATGGTTCCATTATTAACAGTAGGCGACTTAAGTTTCGGCCGACCACAAAGTTTAAATGACTTTGATCTTATAATAAAGTCGTCTTTCATTTGCTTCAAAACGGAGTATCATCTTCGTTTATACCGAGTTTTTGACAACATAGTCACTATGGTAAAGGCGTTAAAACAAATCAGGATGGCATACATGGATTTATCTCAATTCAAAAAACTTGAGCCAGTTAGTGAAAATCCCAAGAAACTTCCTAACATAAGAGTCGAATCTGAACTTCTTCTGCTAAATGTCGAAGAAGATATATTCGAGCAAGAGCTTGGCCTCATCTACAAGGTCGGTGTTTTGGAGCAAAGGGATCGGCTTGAAAAGATTGCTTTGTTAAATGAACACCAGCCACGTTTTACAGAACATGATACTTATGAAATTTTCGAGAACGGTGAGTTGGGAGGCACTGGCACGCAACACCAATTCGACCTTCAAAAGGAAAAGCTCCTCAAAAATATTTCTACCTCATGGATCAATCGTTTTCGCAAGGCCAAACTTCTCTTCCAGGGCAAACGAGCTTCCGTATCGAAATCCTTGCAAGCAGGTGAGAAAGAATATCTTGTCTCCGAAAAAATCCACTGTACAGTTTTTAAGGTAAAGGTTGAAAATTTAGCTTTGACCTTAGGTCCACCATCGTTTCCTCTCGAGAGCTCCTCGCAGTTTCTGTTTGACTTCGGAAAAGGAATACCACAATCCACATGCTACACATTTTTATGTCCCATGAAAGTGAACCTAGAGACAAAAAATTGGACATTTTTGCTGCGAGATTATCCTTTACCTATTCTTTCCTTTCCGAATACATCCATAGTTGGTGATTTAGTTTTCGCAGAAAAGATGCCATCTTTGATCTCAAAGCGATCGATTTATGTCCCATTTGTGCCCATGTCAGATTCTCAAGCCCATTGTACTGATTCAATTTATGGAGCCAACATCGTTCGCACCATTAACCCTTTGAAAACCTATATGAATCTAGTGTGCTCGGTTAATTCGTCGGTCCCGACTAATATCACGTGGGGCAAATCTCTTCAGCCAGGATATCAGTCTGTGATGGCGTGGTTTGATTATTTGACAAAGCCGCCACTGGATCCTTCTGAAAAATTAGGATTTTGGGATAAATTCCGGCTGTTCATTCATGGTAGATTGGTGTTCAAATGGGCAACCGATAGTGAAATGCATTTAAACATCAAAGGTTCCCATGATCCTTATAGTATAACAGACGAAGGGGCGGGGCTTTCTTTTTGTTGGAGCGGAGATACAGTGCTGTCTATTCACGAATCAGATAATCCGTGCGAATTCCTTAAAATTACGTCCAAAAACTTCAAATTGGGCATCAGAGACTTTACGGATATTCGAAAGATTGATAAAACCATTATGGATCTTACTGGTGCTGTGGTTTGGAAAATGGGTCTAATATTCGAGCAAGGAAGCCTGAAGAGAGCCGGTGAAGAAAAGCGAGACTCTAAATTTCGTCCTCACTATGAAGTTGATCTTTGTAATCCGCTTTTCGTCCCGGATAAAAAGACTCACGATTCTTATCGAGGATTTAGAAGTGATTTCATTCACATGTCTTTCGGAGTTTACTCAAATGAATCATCATCAACCGCGAATCAAATTTTTTTGGCACCTCACACAATGGCGCATTTTTTGACCTGGTGGGGACTGTTTAGTGCTTACACATCTGGCCCCATTCGTCAAGGCTCCTTATTTCCTGATCTGGTTCAAAATCCGAAGAAGTTTTCTCGAGCGCTATTTACTGTGAAATATCAACTGTTTCTGGCGCCTCTAACGTTTTCACATGTATATGGACACGCCGATTCCAATTCCGATAGCACTGGAAAGAATAACGTGGCCTTCACTGGCCTCAAAGGTAAAGTTGACTCACTTAAGATCGATTTGCACCAGAAAAGGGTTAGATTGATTCACGCTGATAAAGTTCTAGGAAATTCAAGAACAGTATGGAAATTTAGACAAAATGAGGGCGAGGTTGACTGCTTAAATGCCGATGTCAGGTGTATTAGTGCAGTTTTCAATCAGGAATCGGTGGAGGGTATTTTAGCAAAAAACTTAGGTGTGAGGGAAGCCAAATTATTCGGTGGGTTTTCTGGAGGCGAAACATCTGCAGACTCTCCTGCCAGCGATGACGGCGTAGGAACTTGGTATGACTTCAGAGATTATTGCGACCTTAATCAAGTATTCTTGGAGTCATCCACGCCGCTGACTTTCAAATCAACACCCCTTTTGTTTTCTCCCAGAATATCGTACTTGCGTCATCGAAACGATGAGGGCGATGATTTAGATTATCCCTTCGGCGAGGAAAGGTCCCATGATTGCATGTTAGGACACAACGGGCCTGAGAAAACGCAAGAACATCTGGCGCACAGTCGCGCAGTGGAGATCGAGACTAAAATGGAGAGCATTAAGAAAAATTTGGAAAGAAATGACGTGCCACATTCAACCAAAATTCGCTTAAAGGAGGAGCTGCATGATTTTGGTCATAGATTGCATGTGATACATCGAGTTTTGAAGGATTTAGAGATATCCAAACTACCAAGTAGTACACTAGTGCTGGATGACATAGAAAGTCTGCCATCTGGGTTTGAGAAATGCGTTCAAACTACCACAGGAAATAGTTCTGAACTTGCAAGAACACCAACGATTCAATCTTTTACATCAATGAAGAAGGTCTCGAGCGCATTCGTGAAATCGAGCTTTGATAATAAGTTCATCATTCACAACCCATTTTTGAAGATTAACAATAGAACGAGAGATCTTTTGATGAATTATGCGTCAAATGTCTTTCATACCAAAAGATCATCATTTTTCCAAACTCACAAGGCAGTCTCACTGCTGGATGAGCTTTTGAAAAGTGGGAAATGGGATACTCCTGGACCTATTGAGGACTCTGTCTTTTTTACAATTGAGGATTTCATAACGAGCAAGGAGTTAATGGAAAGGTATAATGAGATCATCCGAGAAGTTCCAGAAGATGGACTCGAAGCCTTTGACAACTATCAGATTAAACTTCTCTCTCCTCAAATTCAGATGACGTCGATTCTCGAGCAGGAAAAAGCTGTCGTAGTTACTGCGCGAGATATCGAAGTCAGCATCATTGATGTCAATCAGGTATTCAATCGATCTGGCCAGCTCGTTCCATTAGATGTTAACACGCTGGTGGAAACAAGGATATGCACGATTCTCAATGAGGCTCGATTCCTGATATTCGACAAACAAGAGATAGTTAAAAAGAACGGCTTAGGATTTCATGTTAACGGTTATGGTTTGGACTCGAATTCATCATTTTGGCCCCCTTGGTTACCGATGGAGATGTGCTACAATTGCGAGACGCTGGGAGAATTTGTCTTTTTGGAAAGGAATGACATGGTTTTGACATTCACCAGGCCAAATTCTTTATTCTTCAGCAAAAGCAGTCAATTTCAGAGCAACGAGTCACGGCTTAAGGTTGGGTTTCCTAACGTTGTTTTCAAATCCAACTCTCAGCAGTATTCAGCCGTCTACGCAATAGCAACCGACTTGGCATCGTTTGCTTCGAAATATGATAGAAAGGTTGATAAATTGTCGAGAATTCTACTGGCCGACGAAGTTAAAGAGAATCTAGATAAGCTGGAAGCATCCATTGTTATTCGTTTACAACAGAAGATTAGAGAGCTATACAGGATGAGGGGCTATTTGAAGATTTATGATCCGCAAAGTTACAAACAAGCTGCACAAGAAATTGCTGTTGAAGCACAAATGAGCGTGATAGAGCTTGAGTTACTCATGACGGCAATAAAAAAGAACTACGATGACTGTAAGCGTTTTAGCAGTAAGGGTGCCGTCCAAGATAAGGTCACTTGGCAGATTCGAGCGGATGAATTGGTTTGGCGGCTGTACGATGCCCACAAGAAGGAGTTTCTTATCTTCGAGCTCGGACCGTCATCATTTGTTCGCTCACAAGGTTTGGATGGCTCAAACAGCAATAAACTGAAGATTTCTACGTTAAGGTGCTTTAATCTTCAGAAAGATCCAGTTTACCGCGAATTGTTGGCTCCTTATACCGAATTCTCAAAATATGATGAAACTAAAGCATCCATCGAAATACTGTGGGCCATGGGAGTGCCAGTGGGGGGTATTCCGAATCTTGAAGAATTAGTTGCTATTTTACAGCCTCTAAAATTCAAAATGGACCATAAGACATCTGCCAAGTTAGTTGACTATCTGTTCCCCGACATTCCACACTCTCCACAATTGTCAAAGAATGCGAAACCGTCAAATATTATTCCACTAACTTCTGACAGCGATAATCGCTCTCCTATCCCAGAGTTAGTGTCCCGTGATATGTCTCGGCACTCCTCGGTCTCATCATCTCTGGTGTCAGACGGACTCGCCGAAATACTACCCTCGAATTTTTCAAGCGCCATTTTGCAAGGTAGGCTTTCATCTCCTGGGGCAGCTGTTTTGACGTCCGAAAATGATCTTAACGAAATGGTTACGAGGTCTACCCAATTTTTCAACGTCAAGACTGTGGTTATACAAAGCGTGACGTTATTAATCAGTTATCGTGGATCGAAAAGCCTGATAACCAACGTCGAAAATCTCAAGGTCAAAGTCCCAACGATGAAATATTCAAACAAACTATGGTGTAGGGCCGAGTTTCTTGCCACGTTAAAAAGAGATATTATAAAAGTGGTCGTTCAACACATGGGTAATATTATTGGCAACAAATTCATACCACACAAAAAGGAAAAGAGATATAATTCACTTGAACCGATATCATCTCTTGCCAGAACTGAAAGTTTCAGATCTCAGAATCCTTCAAACAATGATTTCGTTTTCCCATCTGAGTCGAGAACAAGTAATAATCAGAGTGTGGCTCTTGACGAGATACCTACTAGCGAAGTCGAAAAATTCTACCCGGAGTCTAACTGAACTACACTTATGTTTTAACGAATTAACGACATATAAGTCTGAGTTAAGGCGATATATCCTTAAGCCAAATTAGCTGTAATGATATCTCTATAACATCTTATAGTGCTTATGATCAACATTTCGTCAATAATTACTAGTCGTCGAGTGACTTCGATGATGGAAGGGGACGAAACTATCGATCCATAGAAGACCACATTTCGTCCCACTGAAAAGCGAATCAAAGCTCGACTTCCAGCACTAATGTCGTTATTCGACACAATTAGACAGAAGGCGGCTTCTGTGAGCTTCCTAGATAAATTGAGCGATAATGTTTCTCCGGCGTTAACGCGGGATGAAAAATTCAGAAAAGAGTATCATCTCCCTGAAGAAGAATGCATCATTGCCGATATCAACGCAGATTTATCTTACTTTAGCAAACACAATGATCTGAACCGTGAAGATTCACAAAAGAAGGATGGTTTGGCTTACGTTTTCTCCGGGAGAATTTTTCTTTCGCCGCATTACCTAGTCTTTAGAGACTCTTTTGACAAGACATCATGTGTTTTAATCCTCAATATTAGTTGCATTAGACGGGTGGAGAGATCGTCTACGAGTGCACATGCTTTATCTTTGACCATTACTTTGTATTCAGGAACAAGAATTATCGTACAATTTATTGGGTTACGACACAATTCTCAAGAATTCAGCCAGGCATTAAAAACGCAACTTTCGAGCAACATTCCTCAAACGAAATTGTTAATGCCTTTTTTGGACTCCTGTTATTCCGAATATTTGATCTCAAAGAATATCGAAAAACGGCCAAATGTGACACCACCACCAGCGGGCTTAGGTCAAATATACAAATATCCAGGAAACCCGAATATTTCGAAAGAGAGGCCTAAATTGAAGCTATGGTTTGATTATTTTCGAGAAAACGGCAAAAACTTGACCTTAGTCAAAAATCACTTTTTCCAAAAGCTTATTAGAGTAGGTGTTCCGAACAGATTGCGTGGTGAAATATGGGAATTGTGCTGCGGGTCAATTTACTCGAGATTTCAGAATCCGGGCTATTATGCTAATATTTTAGAAGAAAACAAGGGAAAGCTCTCGTTGGCCATCGAGGAGATCGAAAAAGATCTAAATAGATCTTTGCCTGAGTACTCAGCTTATCATGACGAAGAAGGTATAAAACGACTGCGCAATGTTCTTACTGCTTATTCTTGGAAAAATCCTGAAATAGGATATTGCCAAGCAATGAACATTTTGGTTGCTGCCTTGTTGATTTTCATGACAGAGGAGCAAGCTTTCTGGTGTCTATCATGCCTATGCGATAATTACATCCAAGGTTACTACTCAAAAACAATGTACGGAACCCTTCTCGATCAAAAGGTATTCGAATCCTTCGTTGAGAGCAAGATGCCCGTTTTGTGGGATCACATCAACAGAAATGACATTCAGCTATCAATAATATCCCTACCCTGGTTTTTATCTCTCTTTTTCACAGCGATGCCCCTGCCGTATGCTTTTCGAATAATGGATATATTCCTGGTCAACGGACCTGTTACCTTATTCCAGGTTGCTCTTGGCGTATTGAAAGTCAATGGAGAAGATCTGTTGGAGGCAGATGATGACGGAATGTTCATTGCAATCTTGAAGAGCTACTTTCAGACTCTCGAAGATAGCGCTCACCCGGATTCAAGTGACACCAGGTACAAACAAATCAACAGATTTCAGGAGTTATTGGTTGTCGCCTTCAAGGAGTTTGATATTATAACTGGAGCTATGGTTGAGCGAGAGCGCAATAAACATCGAAAAGATATTATGCATAACATCGAATCCTTCGCAAAAAGAACGCAGCTGCGAAATATAACATCGGTGAGAAATCTTTCGGCGAACGACATTTCTAACCTATATGACGCCTTTTACCAATGTATTGAAACCGAAAAAGGCAGCAAAGATACCGAAAAGTCTCGAATGGAATTTGCAGCATTTTGCCAATTTCTGGCAAGAATCTGTGATTGGTGCAAATATTGCGAAAGTGACGATATGCCTGGATTCCGTAAGCAAAAAAGGCAATTTCTCAAAAAGCTTTTTAACTATTGGGATACTTCCAAGTTGGGTGATTTGAGTCTCAATGACGTTCTTGCTGGACTAGATTCTTTATTATCTGAGGACTTGATGGTATCGATAAACAATTATTTTGCCCTTTACGATGTTGATAAAAAGGGAGAACTCCAGCGTGAGGATATCCTCCAACTTTCCGAGGGACTTCTTTTTTTGACTGAAGCATGGAGAAATGGCAGGTACGTTGATAAGATCACGCAAAGTAGGATAGAAGACGATATCGCAGATTCCCTGATAGAATCGGGCGGAAAAGTCGAGAGCAATTTAGACACTATCGAATTGCCCTCTGGAGTCGAGATAGACGAAGAAAAGTATAGGTCCGAGCAGGCAGAAAGATATCTGAAAGCCGCGAGTAGCTTCCTTCAACGGTGCTTCGAATACGCGCGACCCTTGGACCTTGCAGGCGACATAGATTTGCTAGATTTATCAGATTCAGAAGAAGCCGGCAGTGATACGAAGAAGAAACAGTGGGATTCGTTAAAGGCAAATGCAGCTTTAGACCCCATCCACCCAATGGTACTAGATTTGGCCACCTTCAGAATGATTATTTTGGCAGAGGAGACTTACGAACTGTTTTTCGCTTCTACGCTGCGCGAGTCTATTCACGTGAGTGATCTTGTCTGTACGTCAGAGACGCACGGCACTGCTTTGAGAAGCATGTTTGATGGTTTACTTGCCGATGGCAGAAGAGTCGCCAACCAAGTGCGCCGCCGTGTTGATTCTGTTGCAACAAGGACAAGTGGTACGTCAGAAATCTCTGGAGAAAGCTCACATGGCCGCGATGACATAGACGATTTCCTTGACGATCAAAACGAAGAGCACGCTGATTTATTGAAATCTGATATCCTGGGATTAGAAATCGAGAATGAAGGAAGTAAATCAGTTATGCGACGCAGTATAGAGGGTTCAACTTCAACAAAAAGCTTTCAAGAAAAGGAAGAAAACTTGATTGACTTTGAGACTGTCTAAACGTCAATGAAGTTTTATTCGGGTTATTTTAGGAAAGAATTGTTATATTTAGTGATGTCGAGGCGCTACATATACAAGAAGAGATGATCTTTGGTATTAAACCTTAAAATCTAAGTGCTTGATGCATATTTAAGGGCTTGCTACGCTTACTTGGTTGGGAGAAGCTTTTGATTGATTTCAAGTATCTATATTTCGTTATAATGATAAACTGAAGTGCAGGATATATCTACATGAAAATGAAAACTGAAGTGCTGAACAGTTTCAAGTAAAAACCGAGATTGCCAAACTTATTTAATGATGAGTTTCATGTCGCGCTGTTCTCTTTGGTCAAGAAGCTTAGAAGGCCGAATCCAGCTCTTTGCCAAGGTAAATGATGGTTCTCTGTTCATTCTGGGTAAACCCTCTCCCTCTAGTGTAAGATTCATGGGCAAAAACCATTTATCAAGTCTAGCGGGATCACCCGTACAATTGAGAAGATTCTCAATAAGCAGAGCGAGTTCATTTTTGCGGAGGTCAATGAACAACGGGAGTGATACGAGATATGCAAGATTGAATAGATTTCAGCAGTTTGGACAAGATAGAGAACAACCGAACAATAGTCTCAGAAATCTTACGTTGTTTGGTCTTGGCATTATGGGTGCCACTTTTTTCGTCACACCTTCATTGTTCGACCATGTTCCCCCTTTTACGTATTTCAAGAGCCATCCCACGCATCTTGTGTATGGTATTTTAGGTATCAACTGCGTTGTGTTCGGACTGTGGCATGTTCCGAAGTACTGGCGATTCTTACAACGGTACATGCTTTTGGAAAAAGGTAGCTCCGCCAGCAAATGGTCGTTGATTGGTAGTGCATTTTCGCATCAAGAAGTGTGGCATTTGGGTATGAATATGTTGGCGCTATGGTCTTTCGGCACTTCCTTGGCTACTTTGATTGGACCTGCCAATTTTTTTTCGCTCTATCTGAATAGCGCCATAGCGGGCTCTCTCTTTTCCCTGTGGTTCCCACGTATCGCGAAAATTTCGATGATGGCACCAAGCTTGGGCGCAAGTGGTGCGTTGTTCGGATTATTTGGTTGTTTTTCATACTTAATTCCTCATGCTAAAATAATGCTATTCGTATTCCCGATACCGGGTGGCGCCTGGCTTTCCTTTTTGGGGCTCATGGCTTGGAATATGGCAGGTTGTGTGCTTCGTTGGGGTTCCTTTGACTACGCGGCTCATTTGGGCGGATCGGTTCTCGGAATTTTGTATGGATGGCTCATAAGTGAGAAGATCAAACGCGAAAGAGCTAAACGGATGAGAACTTTTTCACTCTTCTGATATCAGCCTGAATTCTTCGCACTCTCATTTCTGAGTACAAAGAATCCATCTTTTTCTATATCTGCGTTACCCACGCAGTTCCATGACCCACTAATTTCTCCCAAATTGACGTCCTTTTTCTGTTCCACTTCTAGTTTCTGAACAAGACTGCCAAACCCAATCGGCTCAGTACATCTTTCTACGAGCCTCGCGTGGCTTGCGTCAACGTCCTCCTCAACCTCCACACCGTGAAGCTTGTTCAAAAATGCCAATTGCTCGCCTAACTTCTCTCTAAACTCATCGAGATTTTGCAAGGGCAACCCCGACAACTTTAAAAGCTTTGTGATGACTTCCTCACTGGGCTTCTGTCTTTCTATGTCCTCTCCGCTTGCAATATACTGTTTAATGTCCCATGTTGGATAGGCAAAGCTGTTTTTCACATCTTCCAAGTTATCCAATTTTGGTCCGACTTTAATGCTGAAAAGACGCACTGAGTCGATTTTAAAACTCCTAATCATTTGGAAGCCTTTTCTAGAAGCTCTCATGAGTTTAAATGCCGTCATCTTAGCATCAAACCTCCCACCTTTGTTGTTGATTGTTATCAGGTTGATTTATCGACCCAGTGTTGATAACAATCATCCGTCAAAAATGACTATCCTCCTCGGGTTTTCCTTTTTCTCAACTTCTAAAAGTGAAAAATTTTAGAGCGATGCGATGAGATGAGTTCGATTTACTAACAAATACAGGTGAAGGAAGGCGAATTAAGTCGAGACTATGAGAATTAAGAAGAGACACACAAGTGGCAATGCGCGCAATTTCATAACACGTTCGCAGGCCGTGAGAAAACTGCAAGTTTCGCTGGCCGATTTCCGTCGGTTATGTATCTTTAAAGGCATTTACCCAAGAGAGCCAAAGAACAAGAAAAAGGCCAATAAAGGTTCGACGGCGCCTACGACATTCTATTACTCCAAGGATGTTCAATATTTGATGCATGAACCCGTACTTGAGAAATTTAGAGAACACAAGACGTTTTCGAAGAAATTGACAAAAGCACTTGGCAGAGGTGAAGTCTCTGCTGCCAAAAGATTGGAAGACAATAAGTCCAACTACAAGCTGGACCACATTATAAAGGAAAGGTACCCCAGTTTTGGAGACGCTCTGCGTGATATTGATGATGCGTTGAACATGCTGTTTCTTTTCGCCAATTTGCCAGCTTCGGACCACGTTTCTGCGCGTGTGACGAAAGATGCACAAGCCATTTGTAACCAATGGCTTGCCTACGTTGCGCGTGAGAGATTGGTGCGTAAAGTATTTGTTTCGATCAAAGGTGTTTATTACCAGGCATCTGTGCGAGGCGAAGACGTAAGATGGCTTGTTCCTTACAGATTTCCCGAGAATGTGCCCAGTGACGTGGATTTCAGAATTATGCTGACTTTCCTCGAATTTTATTCGACTCTGATGCATTTCGTCCTTTACAAACTGTACACAGATGCGGGACTCACGTATCCTCCTAAGTTAGATCTTTCCAAGGATAGAATCATCAGCGGGTTGAGTGCGTACGTCCTTGAGAGTAACAGCAACGACCAGACTTTCAGCCAGCCAATGCCTTCTTCGAACTCCAAAGAGACCATGACTTTGGACAAAAGCACTCTTACATCCGCTCTCGACGCTGACGCGGAGAAAGCTGAAGAGCTCAAAGAGGGTTTCGATAGCGAAGCGGATGAAGAGGTCGCTAAAGATGAGCTTGACGCCTTCGAAGATACTAGTAAGAACAAGGGTGATATTTTAGCACAACCTAGCAACTATGCGTCACCTGTGTCGACTTTATTTTCTGACTTCGTCTTCTTTATTTCTCGTGAAGTACCCGTTGATGTCCTAGAGTTTTTGATTTTATCCTGTGGTGGATCCGCTATCTGCGAGGCGGCGCTTGATCGACTCGACTCGAAAAACGGGATCGACTTGACTAACATTACACATCAAATTGTTGATAGACCGGTCTTGAAGAACAAAGTGGCCCACAGAACTTACATACAGCCTCAATGGGTTTTTGATTCCATTAACAAGGTTGAGTTAGTGTCTGCTAATAAATACATGCCAGGAGAGCCTCTACCACCTCATCTGTCGCCATGGGGAGATGCAAGTGGCTACGACCCAACGGCCCACGATGAAGAAACCGCTGAGACGGATGACGAAGAGGTTGACGAAAAAGTTTCGGAATCTGACAACGGAAGTGAAGCTGAAGAGGTGGAAGAGCCTTTTCCAGAAGTTGCTGACGACGATGAAGAGGATGACTCCTTGCAAGCTCAAAAGGAGCTAGAGCTAGAGGCGAAGGGAATTCAATTCTCTGACGCTAAGGAAATTCATAAGAAGCCTGTCGAGAAGAAGAGAAAGATCGACGATGTGAAGGAAGAGAATGAGTTGAAGCGCATTATGATGACCAACAAACAAAGAAAGCTTTACAAAAAGATGAAGCACTCCAACAATTTGAAGGATGAGAAAGTTGAACAGTTGAAGAAGAAGAAGAAGCAAATTGCTAAAGCAAATGCCAAGCTGCAGAAAGACAAATGAATTTTTGATTATAGCGCTCATTACACAATTTGGATGTATATTAGTAAGGAACAGCTGTATATAGGTCATATACGGAAGAAATTTCCATTTATTTTTTTAACAGCATTTGGCCCACCTTAAAGCGTATCAAGGTTATCTATGCGAGAGTCCATAGCTTTTCGATCCGGAACTTCAAGATCGATGTAACCGTTGAGTTCTTTCTGAAGAGCACACAGTGATTGAACACCTCGATTTATTCGTTTTATGTCGGTACCCTTTTGTACATTAACGTAAGCCTTTACCAAATATCCGCCTTTAGTTATCTGAGTGGTCTTGCCGTCGTGAATTTTCCATACTTTTGAGAGTTCCAGAACCACACCATGCGACATGTTATATTTTACACCAGCGGTAAGATGCTGGAAATCTTGAACGTAGCCTAATTGGGTCAGAAATGACAATATCGACGTTGAAGTTCCACCGATGGATGCTACTGTCGATTCCGTTATTGTCTGCATGGACACTTTTCTATTGTTCCCCGCCGAAGGAATATCCGAAATGCTCAAAGTCCAACTTACTTGGGATTCATCTGAGTCGTCGGTTAGCATGGCATCGGGATCTTGAGCTTTGGCAAGTAAATTTTGGAAATATGGCATATCGAACCCACTGATATCATCTTCTTGAAGCTTCTTCATGGCTTTGTAATCTTTAGGTACATCGTTTGCTAGCAATCGATCCAGTGGTACAGGGCAACAAGCTTTGATTCTGCATTGCTCTATTAATTGGTTTTTAGAATTTACACGTTCGATGTCATAAGATTGATTGGGCATCGATACCATGCTGAAATTGCTGAAAATGATTGGAGGCAAGCCAGAAAGTGCTGAAAGCGTCGAAATGCACAGATCGTATGACCCATCATCTATTACAGAGAACAAACTGAGTTGTTGAACCATTTTAGGGCACTTTCAATGATCTTGAATTGAGTGATTGAGTAACTAGTATGGTATATAAAATTTCAATACTGTGAAAATCGTCTTATGACATGGATTGATGGCGGGAATGAAAGGCCAAATCACTCGATCCTTGATGCAGAGGATAACCAATCACCTCAATTCAATTTAACTCAATGGGTTCTCGGATCAATGGGATCTCTGCGACGTCTACAACAGTTGTTAGCTACGGGCCATATTATGCAGACTGAGCTCAATGTTTTCGATCAATTGTGCAAGAGAATACCAAGAATACGGTATTGTGGGCATTAGGAGCCAGAAGGAAAAATATTCCGGATTTCCAAGATCGTCGCTCATCGCCCATCGCTATATCTTTACCAAATTTTGAAATTAAGATTTCATGATGATGAAAGATATACGGCAATTGACATTACCAGCTCTACTATTACTTCAAAGTTGAATCAACAGATTACCTGATATTAGAAGTATATATAGAAGCTTCCTCTCGAGCCCTAGAGCTTATTGGTTTAAATATCGCCATTCTGTCCCGGTTAGTTAAATCAATTAATCAATTTTCAGAATATCAAGGTAAACCAAGAGAAGACCTCGCAAGTCGTGGCAAGAACAAGTAAAGCTATACACTTACTGAACAATGCCTGTCGATGTACCTCGGTAAGTATTAGAAGTGTTTGTGCCACAGTTGGCGGATTCCCCTAATTTCGTTACTAATCGTTCGATACAGTTCTGTTGTGAAAAAGCTGATGCTTTTCACGGCCGCTATGGTCATTCTTCCCGTCCTGACATTTTTCGTTGTTCAGCAGTTCACGGACAACACGTTGGTGAGCGGAGGAACTGCTGCTTTAAGTGCCAATTTGGTGCTCATCGCATATGTGATCGTGGCCTTCACCGAAGATATCCCAACAGAAGAATCAACTAAGACTGAAAAAGAGGATTAAAAAGAGAGAAAGGTTGGAATTATATATATGTATATATATATTTATATACGTGTATATATTTTATTGTTGTAAATTACTTTGATCAGCTGTGGGGAGCAAAGAATTTTGCGGTTTCTTGTACTGTGTGCATTGGCATTTTCAAGGACATCAGTTTGTCTTTTTAATTGGATCTGAAGGTTTTTGGAACGCACCATAACTGATTTCCAAGCTGGTGATCCAGGAAATGGCAATGACCAAAATCCAGATCAGAAGGCCCGTGACCAGCAAACAGGTGATGAGGCCATCCGTCCATAGAGAGCTCAATACGGGTTTAGAGTCTCCTTCAGGATCCGAAACACCAATGGCTTCGGACTCAGCTTGGTTTCTGGCTTGTGCCTTGAAAGATTTCTCGGCACCAAGTTGGAAAACGAAATTGTCGGCGCTGGACAATTCTTCTTCCAAAAACACAAATGCGATCTCAGCAAATTCATCCAAACGTGCCAAATCGTAGTCCGTGTTCGTAAACTGGAAGACGATGCAGTTATCGCTTTTTTGGAAGTTGCCGTATAATAGTTCGGAGGGCGCAGCAGGTATTTCTGCCACGACAAATTGTTTACCGCCAGCTGGTGGAACTTTCAAGAGTTCGTCTTGTGCCAAAATCTCAAAATTCGCCGTGTTATGTAGAAGTTCGGTTAAAAATCCAGCCTGGGACTTTTGTTGCTCGATTGCGCCCAAAAGGTCGAATTTCAAAAATTGGAACACGATGAGAGGCTCCTGTGCGTCGCTTATCACTGCCAGCTGCGCCAGCGACGTTGCTTGCCCGTTCGAGACTGCCTCCCGATACTTGCTAGTGCCGAACGACGTATAGCTTGTTATAGCGGCAGAAACCCGCAGGAAAACAACCAAAACTGCTACAAGACTCCTGCAAAGCATTTGAAGTAAACCACAGATCACGTAGGCAATCAAAAATCCTTTAAATCGGTTCTATCTAGCGACTAGAACTGGTTCTTTTTGGGTATCCAAGGCTTGGTCCCCTTTCAGCAGAATATCGAAAAACTGACTTCCAGAGGGCAGCCCGTTTCTTAAAAATTTTAGCACCTCGTTTGTAGTGATGTAAATGGAGAATGATTCTCGCTACAAAATCAGTAATGAGTTTTTCAGAACAAACTGTCGCTAAACCTGAGGTCTAGTGTTGCTCCTTTCGGGCTACCAATTGGGTCCCACTCTTTCGTTTAGAAACGTATTCCAAACTGTCATCAGATGATTGTCGTATGTAGTTATTGCGGTCGCGTGACATTTCTCAAATTGAAGGAATTATCAACTACTAACAACTGGTAGATCAATTGCTTTGCAAGAAGGCTGCGGCGTGGCAATCTATACCAAACTTAAGGCTAGACGAAGACGATGGTTACCTGACCGACTTGTGCTCGTATATGAAGCATCATGATTGGCATATCATCTTTAACGTATTTCGCCTTCGATAATATTGGGATTGGACATGACTCAAATCGCTGCGCAATGGGAAAAATTCAAGCATTTGAAGCCCAATAGTGTGTAGGATACGCTCTGTACTGGGCGCCAATCTACTTTTTTGAAATTTCGACAAATTGTTTCTTAATTTTATTCGGATTGTGCCAAGAGTAGACTTGTCTTGAAACGTAATTCGAATTTTTAGTAGACCGTCGTCAATAAGGCCCGCTCCATCTTGGCGAGGTAGTGTGAAGCACAGAATTAAACTGTAATTGGCGCGAACCACCACTATTTAAATTATCAACAGCAACTTACGAGGGAAACAGAATACCATCAAGATCGCTATCATCAAGAAACCTAAATAATACCCAATTATGGGCGACAAAAACGTGGCGCTTAATGCCGTGTCGGCTATTGGAGGTGCGGCATACGATTGTTTGAGGATCCCGGTTTGGTGACGAGGTATGATTACCGTGGGTGTAGGTGAAGTATTTGAGTAATGACTTCCAAAATATGATAATTATTTATGCTCTATTACATCGGAATATCGGTACTCTGGCCGAGCGGTTAAGGCGCCAGGTCGAGGTCCTGGTCTCTTCGGAGGCGCGAGTTCGAATCTCGCGGGTATCACTATTTTTTTGCGAAAATTTGATAAAAGAAAGTCATTTTCCACATCTCATCGCTAAGTCAACGGCTTCAAAAAGACGAGTTCAACTCGTTGCTTACCGCTTTGTTTCACCAACAAATCACATCTCGTCATGTCTTTGGAGGCAATTCAGTTCGACAGATCAAATTGGCGCGAGGTTTCCGTCAAAGTTCTCGATCAACTGCTACTACCATATGTCACGAGCTATGTGCCCGTGAACACGATCGGCGACGGATACGGAGTCATCCAAAAGATGCAAGTGAGGGGTGCCCCCGCGATTGCCATCGTGGGTGCTTTGTCCGTGCTCATGGAAGTGCAATTGCTCAGGAACGACGTGTTTTTGAAGACGCAAACGTTCTACGACAGTGTAGGCCTTGAGACGTTGCGACTCAATTTATATGCCAGGCTTGAGTTTCTGCGTGGTAGCAGGCCCACAGCTGTGAACTTGTCCAATGCACTGGCCCATATCCGCGTAATTGTCAAAGATGCGAGCAGCATGGACGGGCTTCACAGGGCGCTCTTCGAATTTGTATGCGCTCTGGTGGACGAGGACTTGGCCAACAACAAGAAAATGGGAGACAACGGTGCCCGTTATTTGCTACAAGAGCTTGCGGTCGAGGGGTTTACCGGTGATTTTGGAGTCTTGACGATCTGCAATACAGGCTCGCTCGCGACTTCTGGCTATGGGACTGCGCTGGGTGTTATTCGGTCGCTATGGAACGACGCAACGGCGAAAATGGCGCAGAGGTCAAGGGGTGGTGTCAAGCGCGCAAAAAACAACGACAACGGCGGCGCTGCCGCTGCAAAGCTCGCACAAGTGTTCCCTCTGGAAACCCGACCTTACAACCAGGGCTCGCGTCTGACGGCGTACGAACTCGTGCACGATCAAATACCCGCAACGCTGATTCCAGACAGTTCCATTGCGTACCGCATCGCGACGAGCGAGATACCAATTAAGGCCGCGTTCGTGGGCGCGGACCGGATCGTGCGCAACGGCGACACTGCGAACAAAATCGGCACTTATCAGCTCGCGCTACTGTGCAGGCATTTCGGTATCAGATTCTACGTGGTCGCGCCGCGGACAACGGTCGATACGGTGGCTCGGACGGGCGCAGAAATTGTTGTCGAAGAGCGCAAACCCGAGGAATTTCAACAGGTCGCAGGCACTTTAATCGACACCCTGACGGGCACACCGGTGCTCCAGGACTCGGGGAAGCCCGTGTCCGCACGGGTGGGCGTAGCGCCGCCACAGGTGTCGGTATGGAACCCTGCGTTCGATGTCACTCCCCACGAGTACATCGACGGCATTATCACTGAAGCTGGAGTGTTCACAAAAGACGCAGAGGGCAAATTCGACCTTGCGAGTTTGTTCTGAGGAGGGCTGCATCGCTAAATAGCCTGTATATCGAAGGTGTCCTTTCGAGATGTCACGTGACTCGGAAGACACATTCCAACAAAGTGACTGCAGTTTCGTAGCCTCACGTGACAACAGTGACATATTCCACAGAACATGACATGGAGTTATCTTTGTTCGAAGCGAAAAAAAGAACTCCTCATAGGGGGCTCGAACCCCTGACATTTCGGTTCCTTGCAAGCGTGCTTAAAAGCCGAACGCTCTACCAACTGAGCTAACAAGGACGAGTTCTTGAGACCGCCCAATCCCTCATCGGTCATAACGTCGTTGTCGAGCAGAACCATATCAACACATTCCCACGAAGGCGCAGATCACCGTCCTGGGCAAGCAGCACACCACTGCGCTGCTTAGGCATCTGCGCGACGTCAGTCCAGCGTCCTCCTTATGTCATTTGCACCGTTCTTCTCTACACAGTCGACATCGAAGCAGACGCATGCAGGCAAGCGGACCCAAGAGCAACCAGAGATAACGGGGGATCCTTGACTTCCACCTAGGAGCACGGTTCCATGCTGCCAATCCTTGTAGATCCCTCTGCGCACGATACATGCGGCGCTCCGTCGCTGCGTCGCTACGTCGTACATAGCGAGCGACAGATTAAACCACTCTTCAAGCAGTGGCGGCTGTGAGCCGTTTCGGGTGAAAAGTAAACAAATGCATTCGAATCCCCGTCTAAAAGGAGCTAAAGGAACCTAATGCGGAAATGGCGACGCATATGCTCTTTACAGCGAAAGGTAAACATCGACAGAAAAGCATCGACATATGGACAAACATAATTGAAGATTTTTCGCTACGCAAGCTTAACACCACAAAGGTCGGAAGGGTTTTAGCCATCGTCCAAATCAGGAAAAGGGAAACAGGCTATTTCGGTTTGGTTGCAGTTGAGGAGTGTGGATTTATAAAGAAAATTGAACGGAAACGGACAATTTCTTGAAGAAATCGGGAAGATAGTTCATTCAATTCAGCGCGCAGCGGAATAGAGAGCTGGTAAGGGACGGATTAGTTGGCAAGGTTTCGAGACAAAGTCGTGGTGGGTCTGATCAGAAGGATTTACAAAGAAACCCGCTTTTTTTTTTAACGGCTTCTGTACCAATTGCACGTTGCATTACGTTTTGTGATCTATCCGGGACGACTTGAACTGGAATGTCGTTTGGCCACAACGAAAACGCAAACGATGCGAAACCGAGGGCTCTGAGATTGACGCGCGCGGCGCTGAATAACGTGACCAACACTTCGGGTTTGGGTGCCCCGCCGCAAGAGACAAAACCGGTTGGAACGATTTCCGGTGCCAGATCGTTTGGTAAAGCACTTCGCAATGCACGATCCAAGTTGCAGAATGCCAAAGTTGGCGGCAATCTCTTACCGCAATCAGTCCGGCAACAATCCGAGCCGATTCCTGGAGATCGGCAATCGCAACTGTCACACACAAGTCTCGTGCCAGCGTCTTCTGGTAGTCTGGCACCGCTGGAAACTGTGTCTGAGCATGATAAAGAGAACGCGGATCCTTTCACTGCGAATTTCACCAGTGTCGACGAGGATTCCAGAGCGGCTCGTGCATTGTCGAGCTCGGACGAAGAATTGAAATACGCGGAACAGCAAACCATGCTCAAAGACGCAAAATTTGAACATACACATCCACAGCAACACGTCGACATCGACTCTTCAAAAATGTCAGAAACGGACCAGGAATTGTCGGGTGGACCGCAGGCCACGGTGGCTGACGCCAGCAAAAAAAGGCCAATCTCCACCGTGGTGGAACACGAAGAACCCAAAAAATTCAAGGTTTGCGAAAAAGGTACTGAATACGAGTGGGAAGATCTAGATGCGGAAGATGTAAATGACCCGTTCATGGTCAGCGAATACGTCGACGATATCTTCGAGTATTTGCACAAATTGGAAATCATGACGCTGCCGAACCGTCATGATCTCTACAAGCATAGCAACATACGTCAAAACAGAGACATCCTGGTGAACTGGATGGTCAAAATACACAACAAGTTTGGATTGCTCCCGGAAACGCTTTATTTGTCGTTGAACGTCATGGATAGGTTTCTTTGTAAAGAACTTGTTCAATTGGAAAAATTACAATTGGTTGGAACCGCATGTTTGTTCATTGGATCCAAATACGAAGAAGTTTATTCACCAAGTGTGAAGCATTTTGCATACGAAACAGACGGAGCCTGCGATGAAGACGAAATAAGGGAAGGGGAAAAATTTATTCTCAAGACCCTTGAGTTTAATTTGAATTATCCGAATCCCATGAATTTCCTGAGACGAATTTCTAAAGCTGACGACTATGATATACAATCCAGGACTTTGGCCAAATATCTTTTAGAGATTTCAATTGTGGATTTCAGATTTATTGGGGTTTTGCCCTCACTATGTGCCGCAGCGGCAATGTTTCTCTCGAGAAAAATGTTGGGCAAAGGGAAATGGGATGGGAATTTAATGCACTACAGCGGCGGTTATACAAGAGAAGAATTGGCACCCGTCTGTAACATGATAATGGACTATTTGGTGCAACCGGTTATCCATGATGAATTTTTCAAAAAATATGCATCTAGGAAATTCATGAAGGCATCTGTGATTTCCAGACAGTGGGCTAAAAAGGTGGTTGCCCACGGCTACGATATCATGACATTGCATGAAGTGTCGGAATGAATGACTAGTACTGAATGTTCGAAAATAAATGCATGGTTATGACAGAAGTCCAATTCAGGATACCCAATACCTCTCACATTTATTCAGCCATAATAATTCGCACGGAAAACACGAACCTTACAACCCCACTTTTCGTCTTGTTGAAATGCACAAGGAATGTTGGCGACAAAACAAACTAACAGAAAAAAGTACAACCATTGGTGAGTCTTCGAAACTAAACCTAAAAGGTAGACATAATCATAATGTAATCTAGCATTTGCCTCTTCTTACAAGTTGAGTGTTTAATTTAATCAAGAAAGAAACGTAAAATCTAAAATTGAATCTTTTTAATCGTGATTCGTGGTGGTGATGTTATTATTTGATTTATTGATGATATTATTACATTATGCAACGATAGGTTGTGCCTATTGAACGGCACAGTAAATGCAAGGATGAATTGGGTAGTTTTGATCTGATTCTATTCTGCTGTAGTAGGTTCCTGGAAAAGATCCACACAATCCCGTACTGCCATGAGGTTACACCAAGCTTTAGCAGGTTCAAACACACTACCCATGCGTTCACTACGATACTTGCCTTCAAGAGCATTTAGCTGAGTCGAGGGTTCAGCGATTTCTTCCACGAGTTCACGGCACAAAGCGCGAAAATGGCTGTCATTTAAAGCATCGACGGAGCCGCTGTAATGCTTGTGCGTGTTATCCCAACGTGGCAGCTTATCTAAAGAACGTCTAGCGCAATACATGGCCATTGCGCTTAGGCGAGAAGGTACGACTTCTGTAAATTTGGGACAACAAATGGCATATTCTAGGAAAAATTTGGCGACATCACGAGCTTCATCATTATAGCCGTCCGCCTTGGAGATTCGTCTAAGGAAATTAAGCGGACTGGGATACCCTATCTCGAAACCAAGTGTCGTGAGAATGTATAACTCTGCATTTTTCATATCCTCTGTCGAACAAGCGCCATCCGTTATGTAGGCATACTGCGACAGTTTTGGCAGGTTAACTTCCTCAAACTTAGCGGCTATCAGGAGACTGCTCACGGCAAGCAACTGCAGTTTGGCCATAGAGACCTTCTTTAATGACATGAATCTGTCCATTATATTAATGCCAAGGTACAAAGTCTCGGGCAACAATTGGAATTTCAGGTGCACCTCTACAAGCCAGTCAACTAGAATAGCACGCAGTGAAGGTCTGAGATACTCCGTGCAACCTTTGGCAAAAAGGTAATTGTAAGTTGGAGTCGTTTGTTTCTCGCGTTCGTATAAATGGCAGAAAATATCGTCAGAGTATTCCGAAACCATGCAAAGATCTCGAGCCTCTATTATATCGAGATCTCTCCAATCTGGAGAGTCACATTTAGGCTTTTTCGCAACAGGAATTTCGACCTCCTCTCGCTCTTCATCTGGTGAGTCTCTGTATATCTGTCTCTTCTTGGATTGAACGTTTGTGCTTAGTACCACGCCAGTAGGCACCGCGGATACCGCACGCAATTCTGTGACATTTGCGTTTTTCTCATTTTGCGAGAAGTTGGTTTTAACTTCTTCAAGCGCCCTGCGTTGGTGGCCAAGGCTGTTACTAGTCAATGGCACCGATTTGGCCCTCCCGGCGGTACCCTGCGCCGCCGTTTGCTCCTTGAGGCAGGTATTTTCGTCCGTATTCTGGTCATTGACAGTCCTTGTCTTGTCTAATTCGCTCATTTAAGCTCAGTACTCCACTCTCTGGCTAAAGGACCGAATGCTTCCGGATGGCGCAAGTAAGCCTGGCTCTAATATACTTCCTGCCCAAAAATGGCGGGTTCTTTCTTGAGCTTTTCGAGTTCCTGGCAACCTGGCTCTCTTTCGCGCCCTGGGCCTCGCGTTTTGGCGTTTGCAGCGCCTTTTCCACCAGAAACGAGTCTCTCTCTTTTCAGATGCAGGTCCTCATCGGGCTGCCATTACGCGTTTCCTTAAAAATAACGCGTCTGTTGCCTTTACGCGTCGGATTATTCGTCAAATGTCACTTACACTTAAAGATCTAGTCATTCGACACGTAGCAACTCAAGGCTCGACACAGAAATCGACTCAAGATTTGACTCAAGGCTCGGTATCTGTCGCTTGGTACGTAGAAAACATCCACATCTTTTTCGAAGAGTACGTATGCCCACTGTATACTAGCTACACTTGGGTATCAATTGGCACTCTTATACAGCGGGGCAACGTTCACCTCACCTCTCTGCGCTGACACGGTGGGTAAACTAAAAAAGTCAATTTCTTGAGCACTTTGTCATTTGTTTCTTTTCCGTAGCTCAAGTTATAACTTTAACCCGAATGCAGAGGATGCAAGACGGCATAGTCAACCTAACGTTCATATCTGTGCCCCCAGTAACTCCTTCGGTCCATCACAGTGGCACTGGGACACCGCTATCTAGCTTTCTATGCTGTACGTCACTACATACGTCTATGATAAAAAAAGTTGTTATCGAAAGAAAGAGGCTCCGTAGACTGATCTTGATAAGAAGGACACAACCTTATCAGTCCCACGAGGCATTAGCGCGATCCGCTCACTCGATGTTACCATTTGGTGTACGCGTCGAGGCACGGCAGCCTATATAAGGACAAGAGCTTTTGGGGTTACGGGACTTGGCGCTGTTTACCCTCATATTTTTTTTTTAAGTACATGGAGGTAGTCGATTAGAGAGAGAGACTTATCTGGCATCGGCTTCTTCTGTAACAATAAGCAACTAAAATAAAAAGATGGGTTGGAGCTCTTTCAAGGTTAAATTTCTCAAGATGAGAAGATATTTGGCTGCCACGCCAATGGAGGGTGAAACCTACGAAAAATCTCCCGAGGTCAAAGACTTGCCCCACATGACAGATGCAGACGGGAAATTGATGGCCGTGTCCTCAGGTAAACGTGAATTGTCGCCCGTTTTGAGCGCCAAGTTGAATATCCAAGGTTCTGGAGAAAGACACCCTGGCCGCGAAGCGGACAGAATTGACGATGCTATCTAAAGAAGCGAAGCGTATCCACCGCTATTTGTAATTTTTTAATTTTGAAGAAGAGTTCATTCTGTATATGTTAAACATGACAAGATGAAAGATACTATATGAAGTACTCAAGACAATAGACAAGAGTTGGGAAGGTCGGCTCTAAAAATTTTGGCACATATAGAGCTTCTTTGCACTTGGTTTACCATTGTCGTACTCTCGGTAGCCAAGTTGGTTTAAGGCGCAAGACTGTAATCGAAAATTTGTAATCTTGAGATCGGGCGTTCGAATCGCCCCCGAGAGATTCTTTTTTTTTACAGAAACACCTATCAATTTCTCTCAACGGCTAGGCAGTATTTGAGAGCGTTTTAAGACTGTTTGAGGATGCCAATCCTTCCTTAAATGTCGTATGTGGCCTTTTTCACTCCTGTACATTGAACCGTCCTAAAACGGTCAAATCGTCTGAAAAGTAAAGGCAAAAAACTGCCACAACTGAGATTTGAGGTTTGTTCACCGGGGAATCCATCATCTGAATTTCAAGTCGTTCTTCTCCAGATAACCATGAACTCTCGGAGTCCGCAGGCTATGGCGGAGATACATGTCGTTCGAATCGGTTAAAAATCTCGATAGCTTCTTTTACACACCAATTTCATGCTCCCAGAAAAGCTTCAAGACTTGCCAGCTTCCCAACGAGATCCTGGCGTTACTGGTTTCGGACCCTGGCGATAAAACCGCCTCTTGTGCACTTTCCGTGACGACAGGGTCATACAACGATCCCGATTCGGTCTTAGGACTGGCGCATCTGTGCGAGCATGCAATTCTGGCCGGTGGCTCGCATAAATTTCCGGATGCGGGCCTATACCACACGATTCTCGCTGAAAATGGTGGCACCTACAATGCATACACTACTGGAGAGCAAACGACGTTCTACTTTGAATTACCCCTGGCGTCAGCGTCTGGAAACTCTACATTTGAGCATCTTTTGGATATTTTCAGCTCAGCTTTCAAGGGTCCGCTTTTCAGCGAGAAGGTTCTCGGTAAAGAAGCATACGCTATTGAAAATGAGCATTGCAGCAACAAAGCGTCAACCAGTAAAATTATGTATCATGCGACTCGTCTCCTTGCAAACGAAGCACATCCCTTCAGCCGCTTCTGCACTGGAAATCTTGCGACGTTCAATGGTACCCATAGATTAAAGCTGAAAGCGCTTTTGATGAACTATTTTCAGAATTTTTATCATGCCGGTAAAATGACACTCGTTCTGCGAGGGCCGCAGTCGTTAAACGGCCTTTCTAAGCTGGCTTTGATTAATTTTGGTAATATTTCCGCTCAAATTAAACCTGCCGTCTTTTCGCGATCAAAACGGTACAGCGAAGCGCGTAGAAGTGGGGGGAGTGAAGATGGCAGTGGTACTAAAAAGTCCCTAAGCGATTTCAATTTGCTTGAAGAAGAATGGTTTCCCAAATACTGCGGTCAACAAACGTTTTCAGAGAACACCCATAACGCCATTTTCATTCAGTCGTCCAAATCTCCTACCGTTCGACTTGTGTTTCCTATAAATTCCAAGGGACACAGATTTAGATCGAAAGATATTGACATCCTCTCAGCCGCGTGGTGTGATATTTTTGGCGATGAATCTCAAGGTTCATTCGCCAATTTCCTCACTTGTAAGGGCTTCGTCACTTCTCTTGTAACTTGGCAGTCCAAGTTCGCATGCGGGAGCAGTGGCTTGATATTGGAACTTTGCTTGACAGACACGGGATTGAAGCGATTGAAAGATATTATTAGGGCGCTTTTTATAGTGATTGAAATGATCACAGATGAGAAATTCACAGAGAAGCTAGCTCAATACTTGAGCCAGGTCAACGCAATTGAACTTTTGCGGTTTTTATACAGCGATGTCGAGCATTCCGCAATGGAAATGTGTGCCATTTGGTCGACAGCAATGCTATCTAATTTTGGAGAACTAGGTACCGAGTTTACGTTGAGAAGCTCTCCGTCACACGACTGCAACAAGATTGGATCACATATAAATAATTATGCGCAATCTAAAGAGAGCAAGGTATGGTGGATCGGTCAAGCCATTAAAGTTCAAGGTTTTGCGACAGATTTCATAACCACAAAAAATCTGCGTGTCGTGATCATGGGGCATGTATCAAAAAGTCCTTTTTCTGACGTCCTTGGCTCTTGGGAGTCCTTTGATCCATTTTATGAGTTTAATTTCCAAAAACTTTCCGTCGATGCTAATAATTGGCAAGGCGAATGTTCTGAATTTGCAATTTGGCCATTTTCAGCTGCAAACCTGAACCAATTTGCACCTTCAGTGACAAGAGACTTACAGCTCATTAAAAGCGCGTTGTTAGCGTCTTCTGACCAATCCCGACATGCACCATTGGCTGTTTTAGCGCAAAAGGACTATTTTGATATCACACCGAGACTTCGTGGCAAAAATCATGCTTATGAAATGTGGGTTAAAGAAGAATCGTTTGATCCCTCCTTCAAGTCACGTTGTATCGTCAGTTTTGAGATTATAAGCAAGTGCATAGCATGCAGTCCTGAAAGCACTGTGCAACTAGAAATTTTGACGCATCTTTTGTTTTCGACACTTTCATCTCGGCTATATCCAGCTGAAAAGCTTTCGCATACTTACGAGATATACGCATCTAAAGTTGGTGATATCAGTTTAGGTTTCACGTTCTCAGGGTTTCCTGAAGGTGTCTTGACAATGATAAAGCTATTCATTGCTGAACTTTCTTCAATAGCTGATCAAAATTACACGACGGCAACCGATTATCGCAAAGCTAGAATAAAAGTTCGAAACAAGTATGAGGAGGCTGCTTCTTCTGATTGCGCCACACTGGCGAGCTTGGGACTCTTAATTTTATTAGAAAAATATATGTGGCCATTAGAGGATCGACTCGATGCCTTGGAATATCTGGATCAGCCATCATTTCATTCATTTTGTTCGAAATTTCTCAACTTACCAAAGTATATGAACTTGATCATTCAAGGAGACTGCAGTTTACAAGATGAAATATACGCAATTTTGAGCAAATCTGTGATAGGACATTTGAGCAAATCTGCGGACGCACAACTGTCCAAACATTTGACTGGTGCGAATGAATTTACAGAGCCACAGTCCAGAAAACTATCTGAGGGAACGAATCTGTTTTTTGACCGTGAAGGTTCTTTGGATGATCCTAATAACAGCATTGCTTATTTCATCCAAACTGGCGAAAGAGATGACGAATGTATATTCATGTTAACAGCCTTTACCGATTATCTCTTTTCATTGACACTTGTTCCAGAGTTGAGGACAAGGCGACAGATTGGGTATTTTGTTATTGGAGGGCTTAGAATTCTATCAGACACCATCGGAATTCATATTACATGCGCATCCAGCCTGGAACCTCATTTACTTGAGGAAGCAATTGACGAGTTTTTGATGTATCTCGAAACCGAAATTTTGCAGCAGCTGACAGAGAAGGACTTTTTGACTAAATACGTTTCTCCGTATCTCAAGCTACTTCAAGATGAAAATAGTCGGTCCAGAGATCATTCAGGACCAGTGTGTCTGCATGACCAAATCGAGTCAAACGCACATAGCGGCAATGTGGATGACATCAAGAAAGTTTTACAAGCCCACAGATTTTTGAGAAGTCAAATATCGTCGCGGGCTTACAATTTTGAATCCCTGCACGATGAGCCGGTTAATCTCAAGCTCATAAACTCGTTGACGTTGAAAGATTATAGATCATTCTTCAAAAGATTCTTATCCATTTCCTCCCCTAAAAGAAGGAAAATTTCCATCATGATCAAGAGTCCCATGAGTCCCGATCAAATAATGAATCAACGGCTTCTCGATCAAATGGAAAGATTTTTCAAAATGAAAGGTCTGAAAATAAGCCGAAATGATTTGAAAACCATTCTCGAGAAAGCGGGCCCAAGGCCTCAAAGTTTATTCAAAGCGCTTTTCCAGTATTTCAACGCTAGAGGCATGAGTTTTAAACTTTGCACAGCTGTTGTTAGCGAACTGTTTAAATCTATTGGACTCGGATTTGGGAGTCGCTCTGAACACTCGGGAAAATCCATAAAACCCGCCATAAAACTGACATCAATTCACGATCTCCATCAATTCCGTGCAACTGCCATATTTAAAGCGACTGACTTCTATTAGCTACAGACTTTTTAAGAACAGAAGACTTAAATCAAATTAACGTGACTCCAAATGAATGGTAAAACAGAGTTTTATCTGGCGATAAAATTGATGGAACTGCGTCATACATTTTTTTATTCAGGTATGCTAAATATACAGATTTTTTCGAGTAGTTCACCATGCTGCGGTGGAATTTGTAGAAACAGAATTAAAAGTTAGATAATCTAAATCTTCAATTATTTGAAAGAGTTGTGGAAGCCCATTTGCCTCAATCGATCCTTCAGTGAGATCGCTGAACTGAATATAGCAAAAATGGCAAGCTCAAGGGAACGTCTGATGTTAGAACAAGTTACCGATCCAGAGATCATCAGGTTCACGCACCTTCAAAATTCCGAAGCTTGGAGATCCAAGTATTTAACAGCAGAAGAATATGCTGAAAGAGAAAAATTACTGGGTTCTTCTGCGATTTCTACTAGGAATAAGTGTCTAGAGATGCAAGAACAGTTCCCAGATACGTATTCATGGCTTGGTTTGAAGTACTTTGTATTAAAGAACAAGTCTTTACCGGAGACGTCAAAAATGTCGCAGATCGTCTCAAGCTGTGAGACTTTGAATCGAATTGGTTGGATGGTTGGACCCGAATCGTCTGAAATCAGGCCTGTATTATCTGTGTGCATAGGTGGTGTTTTCACATCGAAGGAAAACCGTGGTAAAGGGTACGCAGGTGAAATGATAACAAGACTTAATGCGTTTTATGACGATCTGGGCTCGCAGCCTGATGCACCACGTTTATTGCGAGACAAAATAATGTTCTTGTACAGCGAAGTCGGGGAATACTACTCGAAATTCGGATACATTTCAAAACCAGTACCGGTACATGCCATTTCGAGCTTAGAGGGCTTAGTGAACGTTTTTTGCGCTGCAAATGTGGTTGATGGAGATGGGAGGTCCTTGGGGTTTGATGATTACGAAGATCTGATAGAACTGGAAAAGGAGCAATTTCAAAAAAGTCTGGTCAAGCTACAACGAGCACATCCAAATTCCCATATTTTCACCGTTGAACCGTCACTAGAAATATATCAGTGGTTTAAACACAGAGACATTTTTCTAGCTTCGAAAGTAAATCCAGAATCCCTGCCGCCAACCAAATTTGGGTTTGCTCTTCCAGATGGAAGCCACGTAATATGGCATCACCATTGGCCGGAGAAGGCCTTGTACATTGTAAAGATTTGCATCAACGATGACACGATTAACAAAGAGGGCACTTTGAAAAGATTGCTAGCGGAATCTGTCGCTGAAGCAGCCCGCAGTGGCCTAGATCATTTAGAATTTTGGGATGAAGAAATCGCGGACTTCGAATGGTCTCGCTCTCTGTTCGAGTATTTGGAGTCATCTGAAAATAAAGAAAACCTCTACAAAGAAAATGGTTCCAGAAGCGCAATCCGTCCACCTGAAGGTTGTTCCAGCGGAGGCTTCATCTGGGACAACAATACGAAATTTTGCTGGTTTTGATGACCTAAATTGAGACGTGGGAGGTTATTTAAAATATTTAGGAAAGGCATCAAAGTGAGATTTGAAGCTTCAAAAGTTTGCTAATTACCATTCGTGATTTAGAAATTTGATGTTTGGCTCAATGTTCTGCAAAACCACAAAATCATGATTGATTTGTCGACCACCTCCATCAATACAGAAAAACAGTGCAAGCCACAAAAGAAGCCAAAAAAGACTGAGAGCTACATGCGAGAATTACATACAATGAAGAACGTGAATTGACGAACGAGTTCACATGGTTACAGTTTAGTTGAAGATAACTGACCCAATAGTTCAAGTGTCATGTGATTACGGAGCAACACAGTGGAGTGTTGTCTTTTCGTAGCTCTCAGTTGTTTAGGCTCTCGGTAGCCAAGTTGGTTTAAGGCGCAAGACTGTAATCGAAAATTTGAAATTTGTAATCTTGAGATCGGGCGTTCGAATCGCCCCCGAGAGATATTTTTAAAAATTTTGACATTGGTTTGATTACTTAAGCGCATTCTATTAAATATTGAGAGGTCAAGATACAGATCATCGCTATTACATACACCACTCAAAAAGAACAAGAATCTCAAAAAAGAGGTGACTAGAGCAGATCACTTAGAGAATCGCATTGAGAGCATTGCTTTAAACTGTAATAATATTTCTTGCTGTTTTTCCCGCTAGACAAAATGTCTCAAGGTTCGATTACTCAAGCTAAAGACTGGAAAAGGCGAGCAGCACCAATACAGGTCAAAGAAGCCGATCTCCCGTCATCGATTCCGTCTCAAACAGGTCTGACGTTTAATGTGTGGTACAATAAATGGTCGCAAGGTAATAGTGGGAAGGAACGGTTCGTGAACCCTTACAGGCTGGAACCTGAGCTGCATGAAGGCTACACTAGGGGAGATGGCGTCAAACAGGTGTTTTTCTGTCTATATTTTGGAAAAGGCATGTGTTGTTTGGGCAAGAAATGCACCTATCTTCACCATGTGCCGGAAGGGGAGGATGTTGCAAGGCTGGCTTTAAAGTCCAACGTACGAGACTGTTTTGGTCGTGAGAAATTTGCCGACTACAGAGAGGATATGGGTGGGATAGGTTCCTTTCGGAAGGGTAACAGTACTTTGTACATAGGTGGCATCGGCGGAGCTTTAAACAACAAGAATTTGAAGGCCAGTCAGATCGAGAGTCGACTTCATTTCATGTTTGGCAAACTGGGGCCACTGGAGAGAATACGATATGTGGAGAATAAAAATTGCGCGTTCGTTAGGTACAGGTGGCAAACAAGTGCCGAATTTGCTAAAGAAGTGATGAGCAATCAAACTCTTTTGATAAGGTCGGACAAAGAATGGCAAGAACGCAGAGAAGGTACAGGTTTGCTTGTGAAATGGGCAAACGATGATCCTAATCCAGAGGCACAGCAAAGGGAAAAGGAAAGACAAGAGGAACAATCTATGCAAGTCATGCTGCAACTTTTACAAAAACATGAGCAAGATAGTGCTTTGAAAAGAAAACTGGAGGAACAGCAAGAGGAGGAAGATCAGAACGCTAACCATACAGGCCCTACTGGTCACAAGCTTCTTGAAAATGGGAAAAAAGGATACACTTCCATTTTTGATTGCATACCGAAAGATTCTTTGAAAAGGCTTAAAAAACTAAATCGCGACAATCCTGCTTTTGCTACGGTAGAAAAAACCCCAGTTCCTTCGCAGTCAGGTGGATTGGTCGACTATTCTTCCTCAGATAGCGATTAACCATTTGCCCTTTGTTTAGAATGCATTTATTGTATCGTCTCAACGCCGAATATATTCACTCTTTCAATGAATAATGGCCTTCATGGTCGAGTTTTCCAAGTTGAACCGCCTGCGGACCGTCGTTGAAAACTCGTTCGTTCCCAGCTCGTCATTTTTCTTCACGTATTTGTATAGACTCTCGACCAGAGAGCCGTCTTCACCTTCAGAGAGGAACGTTATCGCCGTACCACTTTTGCCTGCCCTTCCGGTTCTACCAATCCTATGAATGTAATCGTCGATCGATTTAGACATTTGAAAATTAACGACTAGCGACACATTTTGAATATCAATACCTCTGCCTGCCACGTTTGTTGCAATCAGTATATCTGCTTTTCCAGTACGAATCAGATTCAAGGCGCGTTCCCTTTGCTCCTGCGATTTTGAACCATGCAAAACAGCAACTCGATAAGTCGTTTCTGAATAGAACTTAGAAGCTAACCAATCCGCAGTTGCCTTGTAATTGATGAAAATAATGACCGGTGCTTCAAAACTAGGCAAGATTGTTTTAGCAAGCAGTGCGAATCGTTGCTCTTCGCTAGGCAAAAACTCGATTTTTTGCTTTATTAAAGGCCTAGCATCAGTTGCGCCTACCGACACGTAGGCAGGTTTCTTGAGGTAGCCGTTAGCAATTTTCTCGAGCGATGGGGACATGGTCGCCGTAAACATCATAGTTTGTTTTTTGCCGTAGATTCCCGTCCTCGCAAGAATATTCGTCAGCTGCTCTTCAAAGCCTAAATCAATCATCCGATCTGCCTCATCGAGCACCAAGACTGATACTTGCTTCAAAACAAGTACGTGGTTCTCCAAGCAGTCAATCAGACGCCCAGGCGTAGCAACAAGGATCTCACAGCCCTCGGAAAGAGACAATGCTATTTCTTCAATCGAATGACCTCCTACTATACTGCAAACCCCGCAAGGTCTCGACCACAGCCGAGTAATTCGTTTGGCCTCATTCTCGATTTGTTGAGCGAGTTCACGAGTGGGTGCTAAAATGAGAGCTCTGGGCCCTTCCAGTTTGAACATTTCGTCCAATACAGGTAGAGACCAAAGTTTCATCAAGATCGGGATCAAAAAGGCAAGCGTTTTACCAGATCCCGTTGCCGCGATACCGAGAAAATCTCTACCCTTTGTGACGTTGGGAATAGTTATTCTCTGAATGGGAGTCGGCTCAGAAAACTTAAGTTCTTTTTCAATGATTCTTGCCAGATCTGCTTGAAACCCTTCTGAATCAACCTCATCCCAATTTCGTAGCGGTTGCTCAATGGACCCACCTTTGCTCATGATGTGGTAATCTTCACGCAAAATACGCCAATCTCGCTCCGTCATCTCCTGCAGACTTTTCTCAGACCAATGCTTTCCCATGTACATGTTTTCCAACTCATCGTTGCGGTATCGGTTGAACTGTGAGGACCTGGATCCTACTATCGGCTCATAATTACCCAAAGTGTCTTCTTCGGGTGCCCAATCAAATTTAAACTTTTGGCTTCTGGTCTGGGCTCCTTTTTTCGCCCTCTTTCCAGCTCGATTCACGGAATTTTCCTCATCCTCTTCATAGAAGCTGCCCTTTTTCGGTGCCATATTGCTCGACCTCCAATCGCTATCTTCATCACCTGGTTGTTCCACCAAGCGCTTCTTCCCGCCATAACCACCAGTTTCCTTTGAAACACCGTCCGGTAAGCCATTTGACGGTTTATCTCTCTTCCGTCTCTTGATCTCTTCACGCTCGCTTTTACTCAAAAAGAACGGCTTCTGGATCAAATTTTCATCTGTTTTCGAGTCCTTCCGCAATAGTAATTCACCAATGTTCACAGGTCTCTTCATATGTTCTCAAAAATCGCCTATCACTCTTATCAAAGCCGTTTAAATTTCGGTTTCTTGAGCTCATCGCTTTCCCGGAGTTACGTTAGACATGGGTCTTTATGAAAGTTGATGACGACGAACGTACAAAACTACAAGAGGTTAAACTTCTCAAGGTTCAAGAAGGAACTCAGACAAAACACTAAGAACCAAAAGGCAGTTAGATTACCGAAAAATAAACAAAGAGTCGTTTTTTGAACCAAATAATGAGCGCAGATTGTTCAGTGGGTGTGAATCCCCTAGGAAGTTTGAACAAGCATGCTCAAGCGGATCGAAGCCTTCAACAGGGGGCGAGTTTTAGATACTCCAATGAAGCGGCAGGACCAGCATTCAAATCGCATGATGGAGCTGTGAGTGAGTTAAATAGGGCTAGAATGGACGCTTTCAAGCAAGGGGAATGTCCAGGAGAGCATCAGGCCCGCGCGGTTCCTGCGAGCACGTTCATACCGATGGTACATCAACAAAATTCAGAAAATGCTTGGAGCCGTCAGTTTACGAGCTCCCCAGAGCTTGCTCATGGTAATTTGAAAGGTAGAGGCGGGTGGGCAGCGGAGATGAAAGCGGAGTCTCCTCAGGTGCAGGGCCAGGCTCCAAATTTGAGCTCAGATTACAGGGGCCCAAACGGGATTGTAAGCCCAGAGCAACGATTCCAAGGATTCCAGCCACGCATGATGTCACACTATCGCCACAACTTGTCAGCAGCATTGCCCATGGGGGCTCTAGGAGCGCAGGCGCCCACTCAATATCAACACCAGCGACACGGCAACATGGAGATGACTGAGCAACATTGGGATGAGCAATTTCTGCAACTTGAACGTGAAGTTTCGCAGAATTTGAATATAGAAAGTGATCATATCAGAGAAAATGTTGCAGGAGAACGCGAAGGTGTCGCAACGAATCCCGAAGAGGTTACAGTGGATGACAACTACCAAGCCGAGTTTCAAGAAGTTTGGGACAGTTTGCGAGAAGACGTGACTGATATGGAAGTCCAAAGTGTTACTGAATGGGAACGAGACTACCAGCGCTATGCGTCGGGCAGATCCGCGCGCGCCGAAGACTACAAATTCGAATCTGAAAATCAGTTTTTGCATAATCCAAACGCTTACGAAATTGGTTGTATTTTGATGGAAAACGGAGCAAAGCTTTCCGAAGCTGCTCTGGCTTTTGAAGCGGCAGTACAGGAGGACCCAGAGCACCTTGAAGCATGGCTCAAACTTGGCCTAGTGCAGACTCAGAATGAAAAGGAAACAAACGGTATAAGCGCGCTGGAGCAGTGCTTGAAATTGGACCCTACGAACTTGCGGGGCATGATGACGCTTGCAATCAGCCATATTAACGAGGGTTACGATGTCAGCGCATTTTCTATGCTCAGCAAGTGGTTACACACAAAATATCCGGATTTGGTGCCCAGCGAAAGTGCTGCCGAGAACACTGATCGCTATCAGCTCAACAAAGCTGTCAGAACAGAGTTTTTGCAGGTCGTGAATGCGCTTCCGGATGTCGATGCGGACTTGCAGCTGGGGCTCGGAATTCTTTTCTACGCGAACGACGATTTCGATAAAACCATAGACTGTTTCCGGGCAGCCCTTTCGATTAGACCTGACGACGAATTGATGTGGAACCGGTTAGGTGCCTCTTTGGCTAATTCCAACCGTTCCGAAGAGGCCATTCAGGCTTACCACCGCGCCCTTCAGCTCAAGCCCACTTTTGTTCGTGCTCGCTGCAACTTGGCCGTCTCTTCCATGAACATGGGCTGTTATAAAGAAGCTGCAGAACATCTTCTTACTGCGCTCTCGATGCATGAAGTCGAGGGCGTTCCACTACAACAAGTTGGTTTCAGTACCACCATAATCGAGACCCTGAAGAGAGCTTTTATTGCAATGGAAAGAAGAGATTTACTCGAACAAGTAGGTCCCTCTATGAATTTGGAAAACTTTAGAAAAGAGTTCAATTTTTGAAATAATAGCGTCTTCAAGCCCTTTTTTTACGCAAGGACCCCGACACCATGCATAACGACCATCAGTGCCATTTCAAGTTTAGAAACAAGCCATCACACGCTATTTAGCCGCCATTATCTCTACAGGTTGATGTCTAATGCTGTTGGGTTATCAAAAGCATGTGACTTCGGCCGGGTAAAAGCCCAATTAATCAATTTTTAATCCTGGATCAATCAAGAAAAAAGGCGTTGACTGGGAATAACAACGCCAAATAGCAGCATTTTTGAAGGTCTGGAAGCCGCGAGACTCTTCTCTCATTGTCAAAGATGGATTCTAGCGCGCCATACGCGCTTAATTCAGAAGATGACAAACGGTGGAAGCTTAACAGGCGAAGTGGGAAATTGAACAAACTGAGCGAAACATTTGCAAGGCAAAAGAATATAATTTTCGTGATTTTCTGTGTTTTGTTCGTTTTCTTTTGGTTTGGGAGCTCCAAAATCTCGTTTTCATCCGCTTCGCCAAAAGTTGTCTTGATTTTGGCCGTGAACGAAGGTGGAGGTGTTTTGAAATGGAAAGGCGAACAAGAATGGGCGATCGAGCGAATTTCCATTCAAAACAAACGCGCCTACGCTAAGAAGCACGGGTATGGACTTACGCTCAAGGACATGCGTACCGCTAGACGGTATTCGCATGAGTACCGGGAAGGCTGGCAAAAAGTGGAGATCTTGAAGCAAACGATGCGCGAGTTCCCGGACGCCGAATGGTTCTGGTGGCTGGATATGGAGACTCTGATTATGGAACCGGAGATGTCGCTGGATAAGCATATTTTTAGTCGCTTGGACGAGATTTCCTACCGAATGCTAGACGAATTCAATCCCTTGAACTTGCCACTCGACATACCGTATGTGGACTACTCGAAACCTGTCGATTTGTTGATCACACAAGATTGCGGCGGGTTTAATCTGGGATCGTTCTTGATCAAAAACTCAGAATGGTCAAAGCTTTTGCTCGACATGTGGTGGGACCCAGTTTGTTACGAACAGAAACATATGGTTTGGGAGCATCGAGAGCAAGATGCGCTCGAAGCGCTTTATGCGTTCCAACCTTGGATTCGTGAAAAAACCGCATTTTTGCCCCTCCGAACCATCAACGCTTTCCCACCTGGAGCTTGCTCTGAATTTGAAAACGATCCGCGCTTCTTCTATAAAGAAACTGATCACGATTTTGTTGTTAACATGGCTGGCTGCAGTTTTGGTCGCGATTGCTGGGCCGAGATACAGCGGTACGGCTCGCTTTTGGAAGCCAGCAACCGTAGATGGTTTCGTGGATTGTTTTAGGCGATTGTAAACACTAAGAAAAGCACGAGACTATTACCATATACAACACCTGGCTGCCCTATCCAAAATTCTTTGCCATTACTTGACAACAGGAAGGTTGATTTCTGAACTTTTCTTCGCGGTACACCTAATGTTTTCAATTAAAGTCCGTCTTTCTGGAAAAAAGACTGCAAAAGATACGAAGTCCTGGGAAACCATCTCATTTCATTTTCTAAGCTTGTATGACAATCGCTACAATGATTAGGAATGCATTTTAACCAAAATCGGAAATTGAGCCGTCATCACGTATCCATGCTTAACGATAAATAGTCTGTTGGTGGATTTAAATATCATATCGAACGAAATAAAGTTCCATCATATCTTGTCAAGTCAGAAACTCATCTTAAACCTTCGATACAAACAAAACAAAACAAAACGGACTTGAAGGGAAAAACTCCGGTATTTAGAATGGATCCTCAAGGGGAGTATGGTCCGAAGGGACAGGACCAGGATGATTTCATGAATTTACTGGATACGCGACCTCTCCAAGAAGCAGGAGCGACGTTAACTCCGCAAGCGATTTTGGCAAGGTCTGCCCCAAGTGCCGCTGGATCTCCGAATATTCAATCGGTATCACCGGCGTCTATGTTTTCTCCGATGACACAGAATGCTGGAATGAATACGGGGTCTCCACCGCAGGTAATAGGTGTAGCTGCTACACCTCAGGATATGTTTAATTATCAAGCAGCTCCCATGCAGACAACAGGGCCATCACAAGCATCAGCGCCAGTACAGGCGGCAGGTCATACGATATCACAAGCCCCAACGCCTCAAACGATTTTGAATACAAGTGGAGTGGTACCGGAGGGACAAGGCTCCGCGAATACTGGATCGTCCAACAGTGTTTTCGCTGACCGAGCCGGTATGTTTGCTGCGCTACAGCAAAGACAACAACAGCAACAGCGATATAAGTTACAGACGCTTCAGCAAAGCCAAGCGGGAGCCGGAACACCTAGTGATGGTCAGCAAAATAGTAACGCGTTTGCTGCACAATCCTCACAAATGACACAGACAGCGGCTCCGACTCAAGTTTCTCCGGCCGCGACATCTCCACATATGCAGCAGCAGCAAATCATCCAAAACTTGGATCCAGAAACCCAGGCGCGTGTGAGAGGCGAATTGAACAACAAACAATACGAACTATTTATGAAATCCCTTTTAGAAAGTTGCAAACGACGTGGGGCTCCTCTACATGCTTTGCCCGAGATTCGTGGTCGCCGTGTAAATCTGTTTATTCTTTACGCGATGGTGCAAAAGCTAGGAGGAGGTGAAAGTGTAACTAGATTCCAACAATGGTCCATGCTGGCGCAAAAACTGCAATTCCCAGATGACTGCTCGCAACAACTAACCGCGGTGTACTACCATATTTTACTTCCCTATGAGAAGTATCTCACGTCTCCCGAAGGTATGAAAGAAAATCAATCCAAAAGACTATTCTTGCAGCAATTTTTCCAAGAACTGCTTCGGAAGTTGAGTGGTCCCCGAGTAACTAGTGGATCTCAAAACGAAAGCGCCATTAGTACTCTAATCTCCACTGGAGCTGCAAACAACGATCAAGCTTTTCACAACAAAAATGCGGCTGCGAAGAAACCGAGGAAGCCCAGGGCAAAAAAGAAGACAAAGAAGGAGCTCGAAACTGAACAACAAACTCAATGGGGTGCCAATGAAGCTTCAGGACCAGATCAGTATCTCAGGCAACAAAAACAAAAGCAACTTGCCCTGCAACAAGCTCAGCTACGGCAAATGCAGCAACAACAAGCTCAACTGCCACACGATCAGATTCAACAGGGAATGCATGCAAACTCTCCCAAAGTTCCGAAAGTTTACAAGAGATCATTTGCACGGAATTATGTACCCATGAGGCGACCCATCGAGACGTCCAATGGTTATGATATACGTGCTATCTCACAAGTGGGCGAAAAAATCGACGCCAATAAGCCGATCTTTTTATATGCGCCTGAGCTAGGCACCGTTAATTTGCACGCGCTGACTTTGTGTCTACAGGCTGGTCGCGTATCAGAGGTGAACGTTGCCTTGAATACGCTATTAGTGTTAAGCGCGGATGGTGTTATAAAAATACCCTTAAATCAATCGGAGGCATTTGTTGACGCCATAGCCAGCCTGGGCTCAAAGATCTTAAATGAACTCTGTACTCAGGGGGGAAATAACTCAAACTACAATTCTGATGAATACCTTGAGAACTACAATGTGCCTGCACTCATAGAGAGTCCGACGTCCTACTCTTTGAATGATACCTTGACTGATACAGTTTTTGCCTCCCAAAATGATCAAAAAGACATGTGCAATGAAATTAAAATTATCGTTGACTCACTTACTGGAGAGGATATGGAGCAGGCTAAATCACCAGGATCGCAAGCAGATGCCGACTTAATGGATAAAAGCATTTATGAGACGACCCCTCATCCAGTTGAGCTCAGCGTGGAAAAGTGGGACTTTTTAGATCAACCCTTGCGGTTCGCAACACCGCTGGAAGAGTGTAAGCTTAGTTTGCCTTCTTATTTGAAGTCCCTCAGAAGTGTCCGCGACGAGGTTGGCGACATATTCACGAAAGTTACAACTCGTGGTGCCGAAAGTAGAGTCGTTCTCTTAGTGGATCAACTGTCAACTATTTCGATGGTAATCAGGAATTTGTCTTTCAGTGAAACAAATTCATCAATATTGGCGTCCAATTTATCCTTGAAAAGATTCATTTCCGACCTTCTTTGGGCCGTTTTCCTGCAATCAGATAAGCTGGTGTTTCATCGGAAATGCCTAAACTTTAAAAAGGATCTAATCATCCTTATGACAAACATTGCTCATCTATTCCGAGTCGATACAATGGTTGACTCCTGTCTACTTCTTTTCTTAGTTCTAAGCTTCGGCGAGGCCAAAAATGTAATGTGTGATCAAAGTCATCTCACATTTCCAGAATACTCAGTTAGTATGAGCAAATATCAAGGATTTGGAGCTGATGTTCTCGCCAAAATCCTTTCGCTTGGTTTCCCTAATCGATACTTCATCAGATCTCTTTTGCTAAACCAGCTAGAAACAGAAAGTGATCCTCAAGACGTCAAAATCTGTCAAAAGTTACTCAAGTTTTACGCCGAAAAAAGTTCTCACACTAATCATGACTACAAACTTTTAAATGACATGTTTTCTCTTCTGATTTCTACGATTCCGGTCCAACAACTAAACAACACACCAACACTGGTCGAAGAGATTGGTCCCACGATTTCTCAAAGCATGACAGCCCTTTTATCACTTGTTTCTTTCATCGAGAAAGGTGAGTGGGCCCCCACGGGTCCCAACTTACCATTGGAATGGTTAACTTCAGAAGAGTATGCGGGCTCCAGCTTAAGGCGATTGAGTGAAGCCTTATCTAATGTGGGGATTCATACAAGTAATAACTTGAAGCATTTGAAGCTTTTATTCAACTCTGTCAGTGCCAAAGCATTGCAATTGATAAAGGTCTTAGTGCAGAAGAGCATAGAACTGTGTGAAAAAGATGAAGATGGTCAAAAGTCAGTTGATTCTGAAAGCATTAAGGAAATAGTAAGCATCCCCAATTTTTTGCCCTCTGAATCCACAACATTCTCACTGTTGACTAATCCTCTTGCGGATGTTTCCATTGTAAGGGAAATGAATTCCTTGTATGAACTGAGAAATGACCTGCTTTGCCGATTTGACGGATGACTGAAATGAATTTTAATAAAGATGAATCGGATGGTTTACTTATTGATGGGCAGAATTACCTTGAATTCGGAGGTTTTTCTTACGAGGAGGTCGCAAAATCATCGCCATCCTCCTCTTCCCGGCGTACATAGTTCCAAATGCGCTCCGTCAGATCAAAGTCATCAATGATGTCCCTAATTTGATCGAGCGTCATCTCCTGTAGATTTCTGTAACTCTTGCATCTTCTAACGAGATTGTAATAATCAATATTAGATAAACCTGGCACTAAAAGAAGCTCTTTGAGCTTTACCTTGTTAGCTTTATCTCCTTGAGGCCCGATGCTGCTGACTTGTTTGGATTTAAGACCAATTTGAACACATGCACTAGGATCGGGCTGAGCTCGATCAGTTTTGATTTCCAAAAGTATGTTAACGGTCTGAAGTGGAGAAGACGACCATACAATTCTAAGAGATGGATGAGCCATGACAAGTTTGGCCAGCTGCATTTGAATCTCGTCCTGCATCAGCTTCCCCGAAATTGGGTGGGTGTTTGAGGTAGCAGCTCCGTATCTACGCTCGCTAAAGGGCTCGAGCGAGAATGATTCATAATCGCTGAACTCTATGAGAAGTGTGGGGAAGTCGTAATATTTGGCCATTCTCTTGCATTGTTCACTCAATCGACCACTCTTGAAACTGGAGATTAAGTCAGGTATAGACTTTCTTTCAACGCAAATTTGTGGTGTGAGGACATAGTCACCTACCGTCAACATGCATGGCACAACCTTGACCCCGTATCTGAAGAGTAAACCCGGTAAAGGCGCTCTAAACTCTCGAATATCAACTACAACTACGTCTCTCTCAACAGTATCAAACGCTTTCTGGCCGCCTGCGGCTCTTGAGCTACGAAGGGACCGAGAAAGTTGGAGCTTGCGTTGTGCTAAATTTCTATAACGCGAAAGATCTTCGTTCGTCTCGTAATGTTGCGCCAATTGGGAGTGCTCTCTGATAAGTTTAGTGAATGCCTCCTTTTCCTTCCTTATGGCAGTCAGATGCCGTTGCTCTTCAACACTATCACCGTAGTACATGAAATAGACTTTCGGCGACAGATCTTTGTAGACAGCTTTGTAAATTTCGACCTTCCTGATGAAACTGAGATCGGGTTCATACATTATAAGATAAGATGGCATAATCTCTTGAAGCAGTAAGTCATTAGTCTTATTATGGAATTTTTCCACGAATATCAAATCTTCTCTATTGATGTATTCAAAGTATTGCAAAGTTGCATCAACGGCCTCTAGGTCTTCGTTAGAGAGTTCATGCGAGCCGCTCAGATCATCTTCCTCTTCCTTGAGTTCGTCATTGCCTCCTAAGATGTCATCAAATTCATCAATTTCATTGTCAGCTGAACTGTGAAAAAAATCGTCCGTTCCCATCACACTACTCATTTGCTTTTCTATATCATCAATCGTAATGAGCGCGTCTAGGTCCTCTCCTCCAGCTGCAGAGGAGTTTTTCAGACGATTCACAGCAGCGACAGCGGCAGCGCCACGTGTGCGTCTTCTTTTTGAAATTACGTCTTCTTTTGCAAACGCGCGAGAGACTTGAATTTCTCCATTGACAGTATTGGCTTCATTCACCTCTTGAATATCCTTTGCAGTCTTTTTGATGGCCTCCACCCTGGCCATATATGCTTTGAGTTTACGCATCATGAATCTTCTCAGGCCCATTGGCTGACCAGAGTAACTAGCGATTTTTTTAACCTGTCTGCAGGTACGTTCATCAGAGCACATTATGAGAACCGGTCCCTTAGCAACAGTGCTTTCCATAATGTCCTGCGATATGTCTTTTAAAATTGCGATAAGTTGCTCCCATTTGGGTAACTCTTCCAACTCATACTTTTCTTCGCGATAAACTCGACTTTTGGCGTACGATATAACAATTTGCGATTCTTCTGCCATTAACCATGGTGATTCCAAATATTTTCTGCCCACAGAAGGTTTGTTGGCATCTAATATAATCTGAATCATTTCATAGAAATCAACAGCGTCATAGCTAGTCAAAGCATGTAAAAGTTTTCTCAAGGTGTTGATATCCCTCACAAGCTGTTTAGATTCAAAAGAGATTCGATGCCAATTGGGTGTCAAAACAGCATGAATGGACTTCAAAAAATTCGGATGCAAACAGTTGTCAATATTCCAAGACTCTAAGGCAAGAGTTGGATTTTTCCGGTTCAATTCGTCTATGCACTTTTTCAAGCACTCAAACAGGCCAAATTGAATATGGGACATTGCATCTGTGAGCGAAATCTTGACTTCTGTGACTTTGTTATCCTTATTAAAATTTAGCGAAGCCGAAATATCGACATGGAATCGAGGCCAGAGAAGCACCTTTTTGAGCCTTAGATCCTTTAACTTGCGTGCCAAAGGTGAAAACTCACTGACAAACGACTCTGGAGAATCAGAAACCGCTTTGATAAATCCCCATTTGTTGACGGATCGATACATTTCAACAATAAAGGATTCGTTAGAATAATTGTGCAAAGTGTCCACATGCATGATCATAAGCCCCGTAATTTTGTTGGGGTGTAGAATCCCGGAAAGTAAATCTACGATCAAGATCCTAGACGTGACAGATATGATCCCACCTTCTAGATAAGTTTGCCTTCTTTTCTCAACAGAAAGTCCATCGGAGTTCACGACATTAAAAGGTCGTTGGTTTTCGTCGCATGTCGTAAACCAAGAAAGCTCTAAAAGCTCTTCCATAATTTTCTCATTATCCTCTTCACTAGAATTCAATAGCAAAACCAACGATCGCTTGTCTTGCCCGTCTATTCGAGTTGGAGTAGCCAAAACATGCAATAAATTACCTACAATCGGTTCAGTACCCAATCCTGTACCTAGAATCAACAAACAATCGTCAGAAGAAAGCATATTTTCAACAACAATTTGCTGAAAAGGTAATGGAAGAGACAATTGAATGTCTACGGCTCTGATTTCTTCCACGTTCGGTTTTATATGATTGTCATTATCATCCAAAATTAAAGGGTATAACTCTTGATCTAAATCATCCCTTTGCCCCCCGTCAGAATCATCGTCATGTCTTGACAGCTCAACGTTCAATTCTTCATCATCTGATTCATCTCTGACGAAGAGTGACATTTCCTGTATGGTTCTTGCTCATCCCATCACCAGCCTTTAGAAATAACCTTGAAATTTTTCTAGCAATTGATCTTCTCAAGTATGGATGTTGAAGGAGAGAAGAAAAAGCTTTAAAGAGAGATTAGGCACTAATAAGAGCGATAATGTCGACTATTAAGGACAGATATGAAATGGCATCGAGTCCGTTTATATCACTGGAGTTCTTTCCGCCGAAAACAGAGCCAGGGAAGAGGAACTTACTTGCTCGTATGGAGCGGATGACAGCGTTGAACCCTTTATTCATAACGGTGACTTGGGGTGCAGGTGGTAGTACGGCCGACAAAACATTGGAATTGGCGAGTTTGGCGCAGAGAGAACTCAATGTTCCTGTGTGCATGCATTTGACATGTACTAATACTAATAAACTGGTGATTGATGAAGCTCTGAAAAAAGCGAAAGAAGCTGACATTCGCAATATCTTGGCTCTTCGAGGAGATCCTCCCGTTGGCGAAGATTGGGGCTTTGATGAAGGATGCAGTGAGTTTTCTCATGCGGTGGATCTCGTTCGGTACATCAAGAATCAATATCAAGACGAATTCTGCATTGGAGTCGCAGCATATCCCGAGGGACACTGTGAGGGAGAAGCAGACAACGGGCTTCAAGACCCAAAACGAGACCTACCCTTTTTGAAAGAGAAAATAGATGCCGGTGCCGATTTCGTCATTACACAGCTCTTTTACGATGTGGAAAAATTCCTTGATTTTGAACAGGTTTTTAGAACTGAAATATCTAGCGATATTCCGATTTTTCCCGGAATCATGCCAATCAATTCGTTTCAACTGTTCAACAGAGCAACCAAGCTTTCACATGCGTCAATTCCCGCTAAAATTTTGGACAGATTCCCGCCTCAAATTCAAAGCGATGATAACGAAGTGAAAAGCATTGGTGTGCAAGTTTTGACTGAGATCGTGGATGAGATTTTTGCCAGAACAAATGGACGCATAAAGGGAATACATTTCTACACGTTGAATTTAGAAAGGGCTATAGCGCAAATCGTTACAAATTCCTCTGCTCTATCAAAAATTTTGGAAGAAGACAATGAAGATGAAGTGCTTGACGGTGACGGGGATGTAGTACTGGAAGATCTGGAGATGATGGAAAGCGATGAAAATCTTAAGAAAAGGAGACGTCAATCCAGCCGTTCTTCCGATATAACATCAAATCAAGTTTTAATTGACCACGACCGCAACCTTGCTGGTAGGCGACAAATTTCGGGCGCCCCATCTCGGAAAGTTTTGGTTTCTATATCTAAGGGTGCCGGAACGCTGGGCAAAGATGCTACATGGGACGAATTTACTAACGGTAGATTTGGTGATTCCAGATCGCCCGCTTACGGTGAAATCGATGGTTATGGCCCTTCACTCAAGGTCAGTACGGCAAGGGCATATCAGCTATGGGGTCGCCCTGATAGTTTGTTCGACTTGCAAAACCTTTTCATTAAGTATCTGGAGGGATCGCTACCTGCTTTGCCCTGGTCTGATCTTGGACTGTCTCCAGAGTCTGCATTGATTCAGGAAGAGCTCATACAATTAAACGAGCGTGGATTTCTTTCTTTGGCCTCACAACCAGCGGCAAATTCTTGTCCAAGTACTGATAAGATTTTCGGCTGGGGTCCTCGAGGTGGCTACATTTATCAAAAGGCCTTTATTGAACTGTTTGTACATAAACAGCAATGGGAAATGATTCTGAAGCTAAAGATTGATAAAATGGGGTCGAAGGTTAGTTATTACCTGGGTGACTCTGCGGGCGCTTTCCAATCAAACCTCGAGCCCAATAGTTCGAGCGTGGTAACGTGGGGTGTTTTCCCCAATTCTGAAATCCTACAAACGACCATTATCGAGGAGGAATCCTTCAAGGCATGGCGAGATGAAGCCTTTAGCATTTGGCTGGAATGGAGCAAACTTTTTGCAAGAAACACCGCCTCGCACACATTCTTGAAACAAATGCACAGAGACTACTACTTGATCTCCATTGTGCATCATGATTTCGGTGATGGCGATGCGTTATGGGATCTGCTTTTGAGCTGAAAATGACTTTTACCACGAACGCCAGCGCCTCGAATCTAGTCAACTGCCCTCCTTTTTCTAACACCAGGCGAGACTTGATCTGCGAGCCTTGCCTCCAAATACTCGCATGTCTTATTATCTCGGCCGTCGTTCCACTTTTTCACAACGCCGCCCATGAAAGTGGCGGTCTTGTCGTCCAGGAGAAAGACGCCTCTGTTGAAGAAGGCACCCGGTAGAATCACGAGTTTGGCACCTAACATACACGCAGCTCCGTCGTTTTTGAGCATACTCATTGGCTTCAAATTCATGGCATAAAACATAGCCCCAGATTTATCCTGTAACGTTAATTTGTAAACGGTTTTATTCGCCCCATTACCGTCATTCCCCTCCAACGGAGGCATGTCCGATTCGACATCCATAGCAGTAATTAGCGATGTGTCTTCTGAGGAATTTTTTTTTTTTGCATAGTCCCGAGCATCACCATGCTTGGTTGAATTTAATCGATCAACACGTTGGGTTCTTGGGTCAATTCGTACCTTCAAATCATCTATAAGGTTCAACTTCGACCGACTTATATTCTCGACCATGCAGATTTGATACAGTATTGGATTCTCTGTCCTAATCATCTTTTGATCACCAAGGTTTTTGATCGACCAGGTCTCATTATTGTAGGCTTTCCACATCAATTTAGACCTTTCATTTGTAGCTGGTTGGTTTTCTATAATCGTATCGCCAGCAATATCTGCAGTCAACAAAGAATTCGACATTTGCACAGGATTGCGTTTGAGAGATAATTGCCTTCATTTGGAATTCTTTTACCGGTGATGATCAATTATTGACATTAACCAACTAATAACACATTGAATATAAGACAAAACTGGAGAGCAGGACAGGTGGACATGGCGATTCAAACCATTTTGGTTATAAACAAGTCTGGTGGGTTGGTTTACAAGAAGGAATTTCTCAATGGTGGACACCGCCTAACGAGTAATGAGTATTTGGTGTTAGCCGGGACGTTACAGGGTGTAATAGCGATTGCTGGTCAATTGACTCCCAAGGCTCTGCAAATCACGAAAAATTCAGGTATTAAAGACGTGACAGATCAAGAAACTTTGGTAGCATACGCTGGACCTCTGGGGATTTTGGAGTCGCAAGATATGGGTAGTTTCATGCTACCGGACTATTTTACAGAAAGCTTTAAAAGCTGGAACACAAGTGGCCTGAAACACATTACGACAGATCAACTTTCGCTGTTTGTGTTTCAATCACTCACCGGTGTGAAATTGGTCGCAATCAGTACTCAGAATTCTATCAGCAATGTGGCCGTCAGTATAGCAGAAAACTTGCTTCGCAAAGTTTACTGTCTCTACGCAGACTACGTGATGAAAAATCCATTCCACGAAGCCGAAATGCCTATAAAGTGTACGCTTTTTGACAAGAAAGTGGCTGAAATGGTAAGCAGGCTGTAGGCGCTAACAAATCAACAGGGACAGTTGTTCACATTTCTGGGTTTGATAGTTAAAGGATCGGAAACCCCACCAGGCGCTGTAGGTAAAGGAACTTGTCACCACCGCCAACGTTAGCGATTTGCTGTCGAACTACAGAACCAAAAAACACGATTACAGCACTACGTTCTTAAACTAATTTCGACGGCCGATGCATCCAACTACCATATTTCAACAAGGACAATTATATGGAAAGAAATGTTTGATGCATTTTCATAACTGATAGCATTTTACAAGGTATGAGTGGGAAATGGCATAAACAGCCATTCATCAACTATCTGATGGCTATTTGACGGCTATCTGTCCTCGCTGTATATATGGTCTCCTTGGCTTTCAATATAGTGAAAATTTTAGAAATCAAGAATAGTCTCACTCACACAATAAAACACTAACAAAAAGGCAATTATGCTTCGACGGACCTTTGCTACTGGAGTGAGAACATTGCAGCAACAAGCGGGCTCGAAAGAAGCTGTCATTTCTCACTCAGATTTTTTATCAAAGTACTATCCGAAAGAACTACTGAAATCGATACAACTTGCCGAAAGTGTGATACCAGCTGATACCGAATTCAAAGTTTCTACAAATGTTGAATTTGCGCCTTCCTATTTAGACGATTTTGCAAAGCTTGACTCATATTGGGATTACAAGCCGGGCCTTCCAAACGTTCATTCTCAATCGGTGTCGACTCAGTACCGATTTGATCAAGTTCAACAAAGATTGCCTGGAGGCCGTGTTGTGCCACCTGGAGCTTCTGTGCCCAATGCTGCAGGTGGCCGCTCGTCCCCTGTGGCAGACATCGCCAAAGGATTGGCAATTCAGACCGGTATGAGTGCTGACTATATTATGAAAAATCTGGTTATGCGTCCGCTTGTTTTAAAACGAGTTTCAAACCAGACCGGTAAAGGTAAAATCCCCAGTTTTTACTCTTTGGTGGTTGTAGGTGACAAGAACGGTATGGTAGGCCTTGGAGAGGGCAAATCGCGCGAGGAAATGTCAAAAGCGGTATTCAAAGCTCATTGGGATGCAGTGCGGAACTTGAAAGAAATTCCACGTTACGAGAACAGAACCATTTACGGTGATATTGATTATCGATATCACGGCGTCAAACTGTTTTTGCGTGCTGCAAAACCCGGTTTCGGTTTGAGAGTTAACCACGTCATATTCGAGATTTGCCAATGTGCAGGCATCCAGGATCTAAGTGGAAAAGTCTACAAGAGTCGGAATGACATGAACATAGCCAAGGGTTTCGTTGAAGCCCTAACAAATGCTCAAAAAACTTTGGATGAAATTGCACTTGGAAGGGGTAAAAAAGTCGTAGATGTAAGGAAAGTCTACTATTCCAGTTGAGAGGGCGAAATGGGACCTCTCTTTCACTTGTTGTGACCACATAAAGCGAACATGTACATAAATTAAGCAAAGATGGCGATTCCTCCCGTAATTGTTCCCTGCAATTGGAAGTACGTGCAAGAATTAAAATTATAAGTTTATATAATAAATCGTTCTCATTGAGCTTTAGAATTGATAACCAGGAAATTCAGGCATTTTAGAGGCCGATGAGATCCTCTGTTCTCATTCCGACACTTGACGGTGAACCGTATGGGACAACTAATTTAGAAGTTACCACAGTTGACTTGAAAATTAGCATTAATATGGAGTCGAACACATCGAGTTCATCCCAAGAACAGCGTGATATAGCAGGAATTTGGAATGTTTCGATTAGCACCTCGAATTGCGCAAAACAAGTTACCTGCTTGTTTGAAAATCGGGAGGAAAACAGTGGTAACTTCAACCGTTGACTGGAAACCAATAAAATCATCTAAAACACCGAATGATGAACATCAAAAGAAACCCTTTGCCAGAAAGATCTTCCTGGGATTGATGATAGCAATGCCAGTTGTTTCGTTCTACTTAGGGACTTGGCAAATGCGTCGGCTTAAGTGGAAAACGAATCTCATAGCAGTCTGCGAGGACCGCCTCACATACCCAGCTGTACCTCTTCCACGGTCTTTTGAGCCAGAGATGGCTGACAACTGGGAATACCGCAAAGTGTTGCTGAAGGGAGAATTCATGCACGATGAGGAACTTTTTGTGGGTCCTCGCGTGAGAAACGGAATCAAGGGTTACCTACTTTTCACGCCTATGGTACTTCAAGATTCGGGGCGCAAAGTTCTCGTTGAGAGGGGCTGGATCAGCGAGGAGAAAGTCTTGCCGTCCAGTAGGCGGCTAAGGCGTCTATCGCTTCCCCCTGGCAAAAACGTCGAGGTCGAGTGCATAGTACGCGTTCCGAAAAAGAGAGGCACATTCCAGTGGGATAAACTAGACACCGAGAGTCGCGTATGGCAGGTCATTGACATAGGTGAGATGGCTGCTGCGACTGGATCCATGCCTGTTCATTTGCAAGCGATGTACGATTTGCACGATCACACGTGGAACTCACCAGAAGACGCCTCTTTGGCCACCGCTGCGTCCAATGAAAAACCGTTCTGGAATTTCTGGTCAAAATCAAGCCCCAGCACATCTGTACGCGAGTCCGAAAACGAATCTGCCCAAAATCGAGACGATAGTAACGAGTTCAACGAGTTTCAATTGATCAAATACGGTGTACCCATTGGAAAAGTACCAAAGATCGACTTTAAGAACAACCACCTGCAGTACCTAGTTACCTGGTATGGTCTGTCTTTTCTCAGCTCCATTTTTCTTGTAGTGGCATTGAGACGCGGCAAGTCCAGCGCAGTCTCCCAGGGCCAACTCAAGCGTGATAAACTCAGACATGCTCGCAAGAATATGTGAGCTAAAGCTTTAAGTGCCCGATGATGCCAAGTGAGCGATGAATCTTGTATATAGAGAGGGCAATCGCGACCCGATATTTACTCAGTCATATTTCACGAAAGAAGTGTTTACATTCAAACTACCATCAAATCTAAAGTCATCGGCAACAGATGCGGTTTTGGAGAAGTCCGAAAAATGACCAGTGCTAAAAGCGATGATCGGTTACCAACACCGTCGCGGGATCAAAGGTCCGCGACAGAATATCGGCTTTCAATTTCCAGCAACCCCGGTTCAAGAAGGTCTTCTCTAGGTACTACGAACAATAATGAATCAATTGAGGGGGAAAAAGTTATTGAAACGTATCTACTGCCGCAGATTCAGGAATTAGCAGATGCGGTAATCACTCTGGATAGCAATTGCACGCAGATGAATTTCATTCACGAGAGTTTGATTGACCTTAATGAGTCGCTGGGGTCCCTGTTGTACGGTTTAATGTGCAATTCCTGGTGCGTCGACTTTCCGAACATGCCCCATGGCACAGCTAGTGAGCTTAAAAGAGCACAGGAGCTGGTAGCATTAGAGACGACGAAACAACAGCTGCTACGTCAATTAGCCGCACCTAGTCCTAAGCCTCCACCAGTTCCAGAGGACACGCGCGAAAACCGTGCCGGACAGCATGAACAGCGCATTCCAGGAATGCGAACTTATCAGAAAAAGGTCGCGCAGGCAAGGGGCTTTAGAGGTCTTGGACGTCCTCCACCACCCCCGGTCCCACAGGAATTGGCTTCGCCATCTGTAAACGAGCTTAACGACGATGACAACACGGACGCGTCGTTCGTGTCAAATCCTGCTATTTCTGCGCCTCTGGCCAAACAGCTACGAAGAAAGTCAATTCTCCACACTATGCGTAACAGTGCCGCGAACTCAGTAGATCTCCTGGGTCCTGGCCGCAGACGATCCCTTGCTGTGAGCGCTACTCGTATTGTAAACCCAAACCAAAACGTGCCTAATCTTGGCGTATCTGGAAGAAATACTTCGCAAAACCGGAAAGTTCCAGGGACAAGACAGCTTGGCTCTTTAAGAAACAGGCCTCCTTTTAGGTGACGAAGTCGTCAAGGTTCTCAAGATCGAGAAAGAATAAACTACCTATTATGTGCGATGTTCTTGGCAAGAAGAAGGCTCGAGAAAGTAAAAAAATCAAAAACACTTCTGGTCAATTCGACAAAAGTTTCGAGCCTCAAGCAAGTTGATGAAAACCTATCTTGATAGGGACGCGCATCTTCTCATGCCGATATTTTTTGACAAAACGTGGTTTACTGGTTCTTTCAAAAAATGAAAAATGAGCTATCTCGATGAGCAAATTAGTTGCGTCAAAAACATGAGCATTTACATCGAGAAGATGTATAAAAGAGAAGCATGCCGAGAGATGTCGCAAAACGGTTCTCGAGGGCTGTAACTAAACACTAAAATGGTTTCGATAGTGGCTATAGCTGCGGCATCATTAATGGGTGGGGCCACGGGAATGAACATGGACATGAGCTCCTCAACTACGGGCATGAGCATGAGCATGAGCATGAGCATGGACATGGCGTCATCAACCATGAAAATGGGAAGTTCAGTGACAGGTATGAGCATGGGGACTTCGTCCATGAACATGGGAGGCTCGCACATGAGTATGGAAGGGTCAACCATGAACATGGGAAGCATGAGCATGACTGCGAGCCCTTCAGCAACAGGTGGAATGCCAATGCCAATGTCTACTTCGTCGTCCTCGACTTCTTCTTCTAGCATGGGTGGCATGGACGGTATGGACATGGACATGAACATGCCCATGAACTCGTATCTGACACCAAAATTCATGAATTATCCCGTTTTATTCCAGGGTCTTTACGCCTCGAGCAAAGCGCAGGCGTTTGGTATATTTGTGCTCATCATTACGGCATGTTTCACGTATAAATCGATTCTCTTTTTAAGCTGGTGCCTGGAGGTTAAATGGTTCAAGAGAAAGAACCCCAATGGCAGTCCTGGCCAGGTGGCCCCTTATGGGACTGAAACAGACGATAGCTCTTCTCAACTTGGCCCAGGCAACTACATGCAAGACTTAGAGTTCCAAACCAGATACCTACCCAAAGTGCCCAATATTTTCGTAGATTTTGCTTCTCCTTCCAGCATTGAGGTTCTACATGATTTGGTCCGGCTAATATTGACCTTTGTTTCGACTATGATCGTGTACATGCTCATGCTTGTTGCAATGTCGTTTGTACTCACATATGTGTTCGCGGTCATTTTGGGTCTAGCATGGGCAGAGGTGTTCTTCAACAGATGGAAGTTGTGTCTGATAGCCAGATGGGACTTGCAGCGCGAAATAAAGAGGAGAATGAACTGCAACGGTGGCGCATCATGCAAGTGCGGTAATCACCACACCGCCGACGTCGAACGCGCCGAGCAAAACTCTTCCGTGAACGAAAAGGGTAGACTCTCGCAAGAAACTCTATCAAGAGCTGTAGTGGACAAGACCAACAAAGCTTCTGACAGTGAAGATGCCGGCTGCTGTTGTGATTCTAACTCTTTGAACCGTGAGGAAGAGCAAGAAAGACAGGCGAGAGAAATTTCAAAAGAAACGGAACAAACCGGCACAATGGATGTTAATTTGAATCCGCCCGAGAAATTCGTGTAATAGTAAAGTAATTAGTTAAAAGAATGAGCTGGAAGCCTCTATGAGAGAAGGACCATTTGGGCCTCTTATAACCAATGCTGTCCACTTTCTAGCTTAATTCACGTGATATCTTTTCACATTGTCAAATTTTTCAAACCATTAGAGAACTGATGTGAAAAAGTCGATAAACTTGAACCAGGGACGGTTACTTTGACGTGGGAATTGAAGAAACCAAGCACCATAAATAAGGCCTTCTGAGCTTTTCTCCAGACATGTCCAGTGAAGAGGTCGCGAGGAAAGATGAACCAGTTGTGGAAGGCGACGTAGAAGGTCAAAAGGCGCCTAGTAGCGAAGAAGAAGGGGAAGATGTCTTTGACTCGTCCGAAGAGGATGAAGACGCAGAAGAAGATGAAGAAGAGGCCAAGAAGGTCAGAGAGGGCTTCATTGTAGACGATGAGGAAGAAGGAGTAGCCAGCGTTCGCAAACGCAAGCACAAAAGGCGTGCTAGAGAGGCTGAAGATGATAGGCTTTCGGAAGACGATTTGGATTTGCTTATGGAAAATGCTGGTGTGAAAAGAAGCTCCGAAGCCAAGCATAACAAGGGTAAGCTTAAAAGACTAAAGAGAGGTGGAATTGATGAAGCAGAAGCTAGTGCTGAAAATGATCACAAACCAAATGCAGCAACTTCTTCGAGATTCGATGATTTCTTCTCTGAGGATGAAGATGACCTTTTAGATCGCGACCAGGAAACTCAAACTGCACGTACCTCGGCACAACACGACAGAGACGATGGAATGCTTGATGAGCTGGACGATTTTATTGAGGAGGACGAATTTTCAGACGAAGACGAAGAGTCTAGGAGGCAGAGAATAGAGGAGCGTAAGATGCTAAGAGAGCAGAAAATGAAACAGCCGGCTCAAATAACAGGTTTGTCTTCTGAGAAAATCGATGAAATGTATGATATATTCGGGGACGGACATGACTACGATTGGGCTCTTGAGGTCGAGAACGAAGAAATCGAAGAAATGGATGAGCAAGGTGGAGCCGGGAATGAGGAAGAAGATGAAATTTCGGGTGAGAATTTGAAGAAGAAGGTCACGCTTCAAGACATTTACGATTTGCAAGATCTGAAAAAGAACCTGATGACCGATGAGGACATGGCAATCAGAAGAGCGGATGTTCCCGAGAGGTTTCAAGAATTGAGAGCTGGCATGAGCAATTATGGTCAGCTCTCTACAGAAGATCAGGAGTTGGAGAAAAATTGGATCAGCGAGACTGTTTCCGTCGACAAGAACTTTGATCCAGAATACGACTTGACTGAATTTAAGGAATCCATTGGGAACGCGATAAGGTTCATTAGTGATGAGAATTTAGAAGTTCCTTTCATTTATGCATATCGCCGGAACTATATTTCTTCAAGAGACAAAAATGGCTTTGTTCTCAATGAAGACGATTTGTGGGATATCGTTTATATGGATGCAGAATTCCACAGCATCATTTACAAAAGAGACTATGTGAAGCAATTTTACGAACAGTTGAATGTCCAAGATACTTTAGTGGACGAGTATTTCAAGAACCAGGCTTCGTCAATGACAGAATTGAATGCCCTTCAAGACATCTACAACTATCTTGAATTCAAGTACGCGAATGAAATTAATGAAATGCTTTCTAATCTATCCAATGGCTCAACTAAAAAGCATCTCAAAAATTCGAGCTACGAAAAGTTCAAAGCAAGCCCTCTGTACGACGTGGTGAAAGACATAGGCATAAGCTCCGAACAGGTTGGAGATAACATTCAAGCAGAACACCAGATCAAACTTGTTTTGGATCATTCTGAGTTGAAACCCGTTGAGATTATTGGGGATTTGTTGAGCAAAGCGTCTGCTGAAATGCAAATTTTCTCGTCTAATCCTAAGCTGGCCTTGGAGACAGTTCAGAAGTACTACTCTTTAGAGATTGCTAATAATCCTAAGGTTCGTGAAAAAGTGAGGACTGATTTTTACAAGTACTACATTGCCGATGTGGTCTTGACTTTGAAGGGTAAGAAAGAAATTCAAAGGGGCTCTCCTTACGAGGATATCAAGTATGCCATTAATCGGACGCCGGCCCATTTTAGAAAAGAACCTGAGTCGTTTCTTCGCATGCTGGAAGCCGAAAGTTTGCATTTGATGACAGTCAAAATTCACATGTCTTCTCAGGCTCAGTACTGCGATCATTTGTTCCAAACATCTTTGGAAACCACAAACACATCGGAGCTTGCAAGTGAATGGAACAATTTCCGTAAAGCTGCCTTCTTTACAGCTTTGGACAAAATTTTCCTTGAAATTGGTCAAGAAATCAAAGACGATTTAAGAAAGACCTGCCAAAAGGCGGTCAGTAAGGGTGTTCGCCACAAATTTATGACTAAACTGGATCAAGCGCCTTACATTCCAAATTCAAGGGACGCAAAAATCCCTCGTGTTCTAACTATTACGTGTGGGCAAGGTCGCTTTGGTCTGGACGCCATTATTGCTGTCGCTTTCAATCGGAAGGCAGAATATGTCAAGGACTTTAAAATAGTTGATAATCCTTTTGACAGGTCAAACCCTGAAAAGTTTGAAGAGACTTTTGATACAATAATTCAAAGCTGTCAACCCAATGCCATTGGAATAAATGGACCCAACCCTAAAACCCAAAAACTTTTCAAAAAATTGCAGGAAATCATTCAAAAAAGACAAGTTGTCGATGATCGTGGGCACAACATCCCTGTCATTTTTGTTGAAGATGAGGTTGCTATCCGCTACCAGAGCTCAGAACGTGGTAACCAAGATTTTCCTAACAAACCCCCGCTGGTAAAATACTGTATTGCACTGGCGCGATACATGTATTCTCCACTGCTAGAGTACGCGAATCTTTCTGCAGATGAGTTGATGTCTCTTTCTTTGCATCAACATCAGTCGTTACTTGCGCCTGAACTTTTGATGAGAGCCTTGACTACTGCTTTCGTGGATATTGTTAATCTAGTTGGTATCGAAGTGAATCGAGCTACTGATAATCCATACTACGCTTCATGCTTGCGGTATATTTCGGGTCTCGGGAAACGTAAAGCCATAGACTTCTTGGAGTCGCTTCAACGTCTCAACGAACCACTCTTGGCGAGACAGCAGCTGATCACACATGATATTTTGCATAAGACGATTTTCATGAACTCTTCAGGGTTTTTGTACATTTCATGGAATGAAAAGAGCCAGCGATATGAGGATTTGGAGCACGATCAATTAGACAGCACTAGAATTCACCCTGAAGATTATCATCTGGCAACCAAAGTCGCCGCTGATGCTTTAGAGTATGATCCGGATGCAATCACAGAGAAGGAAGAACAGGGAACAATGAGCGAGTTCATCGAGATTTTGCGCGACGATCCTGATCGTAGAGCAAAATTGGAGTCTTTAAATCTAGAGTCGTATGCTGAGGAGTTGGAGAAAAACACGGGTCAAAGAAAGCTCAATAACTTGAACACAATTGTACTTGAGCTTCTAGATGGGTTTGAAGAGCTAAGGAATGACTTCCATCCGTTGCGTGGGGATGAAATTTTCAGCACTTTGACGGGTGAGACTGACAAGACGTTTTTCAAGGGCTGCATTGCGCCAGTTAAGGTGGAGCGCTTCAGACACGGAGACATCGTATGCATCACCAATTCGCAGGTCGAGTGCATTGTCAACGCACAACGACACATGGGGTCTCAGCTGAAGACCCCGGCCTCGGATATATATGAGGTGGGCAAGACCTACCCCGCCAAGGTAGTGTTCATCGATTATGAGAATATCATGGCAGAGGTGTCGTTGTTGGACCACGATGTGAAACATCAGTTCGTGCCGATCCATTACAGCAAGGACCCATCGATTTGGGACCTCAGACAGGAGTTGGAAGACGTGGAGGAGGAAAAACAGATCTCGATGCGGGAGGCGCGCGCGAAAAGAACGCACCGTGTTATCAACCATCCTTACTACTTCCCTTTCAACGGGAAACAAGCGGAAGACTATCTGAGAAGCAAAGAGCGGGGTGACTTTGTGATCCGGCAATCGTCGCGCGGTGACGACCACCTGTCGATCACGTGGAAGCTCGACAAGGACTTGTTCCAGCACATTGACATCCAAGAGCGGGAGAAAGAGAACCCACTGGCGCTGGGCAGAATCCTGATAGTCGAGGGACAGCAGTACCACGATTTGGACCAGATCATTGTCGAGTATCTGCAAAACAAGATCAGGCTTCTGAACGAAATTACCTCCAACGAGAAGTTCAAGAAGGGCACTCGGAAGGACGTGACCAAGTTCATCGAGGACTACTCCAAGGTTAACCCAAATCGGTCGGTCTACTATTTCAGCTTCAACTACGAGAATCCAGGCTGGTTCTATTTGATGTTCAAGATCAACGCGCAGAGCAAATTATATGTGTGGAACGTGCGGCTGACGCATACCGGGTTCTTCTTGGTCAACTACAATTATCCTACCGTGATCCAGCTGTGCAACGGTTTCAAGACGCTACTAAAGTCCAGCAGCAGGAACCAGCGCGGTAAAGGCGCCGTAGGCAATGCCCCTACCGCCGCGGTCGGCTCCGGCGGCGGCGAATACTACGGATACTAGAATCGTAGAAAGTGTATAATAATGTTTTTTGAAACGACACTGGCCCTCCTCGCATACATCGGCGGCTATTTTGACGGTCGAATGGACCAAAGAAAAAAAGGGGGCAGCCGGTCCTCGGACGTATCGTTTCGAACGAAACTTCCGGCCGCTCCTTCTGGCCCCAGCCGCCCTAAAGGAAACCCGTTTTTTAAGGGGTCCTCCATTTGCACGGGCATGCCCACAGATGCCAAGATAAGCTTAATTTCGCTATATAATGGCACACTGGAAACGACGGTGCGTCGCTCTATATTGCAATTGTATGAGAAGCACCACGGAGCATGTGTGCAAATTGACACCACCATGCCACCGTCTAAACCACAAACCTCAAACCACAAACCAGAAAACCAGAAAACGGTGTTAGACGCACTCACGGAGGAGAAACAAAGTAAGACCTGCAATGACTCGACCACGTGCCCAATATCTCATTTGAGTCCATCCGTGCACCCACGCCGTCAACTGTGACACTGTTCTACCCGTTTTCCTCCCGTTTACCCCGCACCGCCGCACCTCGTACCATGCGATCTCGGCTTCCTTCCGGAAAAACGCCTGCCATGCCGACAGGAACAACCACAAACCCGGGTCATCCCTGATCGCGCATTTTCCCCAACTCTCGGAAAATTCTTCTGCTGCCTCTCGGTGGGTTTCTGTGTGCGGAACCCCGCACGGCCATGACGCTGATCAGCCAGCTGATCAGCGTCTCTGGGCGAAAGGTGCGGTGTCAGGATGGAAGCCTCTCCCCAACGGCGAAACGCTGGAAGCCAGAAAAGCAAGCAACTAAGGTGCAGGGCGCAAAAGAGCTTGTAAGCGGGGAAACAGACAAAGGCGGACACGAAACGAAACTTAGCGCAGAGTCGTCGCGTCAAGTTCCGACATACAAAACTAGAACGGGCTGCGAAGCGGAACAAAGTGTACCAGACTTTGTGCAAGACTTTGGTGCCAGAAACACACACGATGCAAGACAAGCTGATAATATGTATGGTCGGTCTGCCGGCGCGTGGCAAGTCGTACATCGCGGAGCGACTAGTACGGTACTACCAGAACGTGTACGGAGACGCGCAGGCGAGCCGGCTTTTCAACGCGGGCAAAGAACGGCGGACGCTTGACGTACAAAGTGATGACGAGCGCCCGGAGCTAAGACGGACGGTGACGCTGCAGCCGTGCAGAATGAGCGACGACTTGGAGCCGGAGGGCGAAGCGGAGTTAAGCGGGAGCGCCGCCGACGCTGGGGAGCCGGGTAACCAGGGGCTCTTCGACACGCAGGACCGCGGCGCGGTCCTGGTGCGGGACGGGATCGCGATGCGGACGCTAGCGAAGCTGTGCGAGTGGCTGAACGGGGGCACGGAGCGGCATGTGGGCGTTTTTGACGCGACCAATACAACGCGCGCGCGGCGCGCGTTGATCAAGAGTGCGGTAGGCGTGCTGTGTGCGTCCGCTGCCAGCGTTGTGTTTCTGGAGAGCGTGTGTCGCGACGAGCGCGTCGTACACCGCAATATCGTGCACAAGGTGCACTGCTCGCCGGACTACATGCATCGCAGCGACAAGGCGTGGTGCTACCGGGACTTCGAGCGGCGGGTCACTAACTACGAGCGCGTGTATGAGCCTTGCGACGTTACGACAGAAGTGGGCGACGGAGTCGGGTGTGTCCGTGTGAGCGATCTGGGCGCAGAGCTCGAGGTGTGCGGCGACGTGCCGCCTGTCCATGCGACGCGACTCGTGAATTTCCTGCAAAGTCTCTATCCGAGAAAACGCAGCGACGAAACCGGCGCAGCCGATGGTGCTGAAGTGGCCAGTCCGCACCGTGTGCGGTCGGGGTTCTCTGTGATTGACAAGTCGTCGTGCTCGTCGAGCTCTTCGTCGCTTTTCTCGAACCCGGGCCTGCTGCTTGTTGCGCAGCCGCTGGACCAGATCGACCATGTGCTACGGCTCGGGCACGAACACGTCGAGACGAAGGCCTGCCACGACCACTCGGGACTCGATTTGTCCGCATTGAGACGGCATGCAAGAATGACCAAAGATGAGGATGCGACGCAATGATAATGATGACGTGGTAATGATAATGATGGTAATGAACATAGAGCGATAGCTGCGGCCCGGGATGTATAACTGGTACGGAAGTACTTATTTCTAATGAGTCTAACCCAGAGGCTCTGCAAGAGCCTGTAAAATAGGACTACATAAAGCGGTTGCCCAGCTATCCAACTATATATATAAAGAGCATAATTTGCCCAGCTGTCCAAAGCGCGTCCTATGGCTTGATTCTTGTATTTAAGATCACGTGCTCACTTTCCCGGCCATCGGGATTCCAGGAATTCCATAGCATCGTCTTTTTCAATGTATGAAATTTGAAGAAGCGGCTTTTACCATTTTGCACCACCTTTGGTCACTCAAATTCAAACATGTTGCGCTCAGTTCATCTGAAGCAGCACTGCTTACGGACGCAAGTCTCTGCTAGGAAAAGTTCCCGTTTACTCGCTGTAAATACGCGGATTTTCAGTCGCCAATTGGCGACTGAAAATGGCTCAAGCGAATCCCAGATCAAGTCGCAGATTAAGTCGCAGATTAACCCACAAACGGCTCCAGGGTTGCCCAAGAGTGATCCCAGCAGCCAGACGTTACCTGTGGCTGCACCTGGACCCAAACCGTCGTTATGGTCGAGAGTTAAACATGAGGCACAGCACTACTGGGACGGAACCAAACTGCTGGGTCTGGAAATCAAAATCTCGTGGCGACTTTTGTTCAAGATGTCGTCCGGATACGAGCTCTCAAGAAGAGAAATGCGTCAATTGAAGCGTACAACGACCGACGTTATCAGACTGGTACCGTTTTCCGCGTTCGTGCTCGTGCCTTTCGCCGAACTATTGCTGCCAGTCGCGCTGAAGCTTTTCCCCAACATGCTGCCTTCGACGTACGAATCCAACAAAGACAAGCAGACAAAGTTATCGAACCTGCGTAAAACACGCGCGTTGGTCTCGGAGATCATCAAGAGCGACAAGACCCATTTCAAGCCCGCAGACATCAGCGACGACCAAAAACTCGTGTTCAACCGGTTCTACCAGCATGTACGCGCAACGGGCGAACCGGAGTCCCGTCAGCAGCTTATCCAAGTGGCACGCCTGTTCACGGACGATACCGTCTTGGACAACGTTACTCGGTCCTACCTGACCGCGTTGGCCAAATACATCAACCTGCAACCGTTCGGCACAGACGTGATGCTGCGATATCGTATCAGGTACAAGATGCTGGAGCTCAAGAAAGACGACTTTTCGATCTTTTACGAAGGTGTTGACCAGCTCGACTCCTCAGAACTCCGCACCGCGTGCGCGTCGCGTGGTATCCGCAACCTCAACGTTGAGGAGTCTTTGCTGCGCGAGAATCTCAAGGTGTGGCTCAACATGAGGCTCAAGGAAAAGATCCCGTCCACTTTGCTGATCATGGCTACCGCGTTCGCCTACGGGGATATCAGTTCCAAGAAAACGCTTTACGACGCTTTGTGCGACGTTCTGAGCGGGATCCCCGACGAGTTGTACCACGAAGTCAAGGTCAATGTCGTCGAAGAATTGTCTGCGACTCACAAGTCCAAGATGGCACAACTCAAGGAACAAGAGGAAATAATGAAAGAGGAAGAACAGCAAGAAAAGAGTGCTCTTGTTCGTGTGAAAGACAACTTGAGTCTTGACGACATCGACAAGCAAAACCGCACAGCCACGAGCTCTCAAAACCAAAACCAGAACCAAAACCCACAAAACTGAGCTCCGATTTCAAATGCGCTCCCGTCCCAGCATTATGTACATACCACTTTTGTTTCTTCGTCTACTACGAACGCACCGATCAGAAACTAAAATACACTCCTTTATAGAAAACTACTCAAACCGTTTACTACTAATGACGATGGCACACAATCCGAGAGGAAGGCATCGCCAGCTGGCGCTCTTGACGGTTACTTGCTCGCGGTATTACAGACTTGACCAGTGAGTAATGAGCGGCTTGGTGTACGGATGAGTACTTTTGGGCATTTGCGTGGATAGTGATACAAATTGTGCAAGTCAGCCTACTAGCGTACAAAGAGATATATACTCATGAGTATTCGTACAAAGTTGTTACCCGCTGATCATATCTCTGATTTTTCTGCTAGATTTGCTATAAATACGCTCAATAATCATCTGCATCGTTGCCGCCTGGGCTGCGAATCGCCTTTCGCTCATAAAGAAACCTTTTGAGGACTTCAACCATCAATTGAAACGCTGCCGTAGTGGCCTCGCTAGTTTTTATGCAATTTACTCAAAGTCTTGGAATGTATCCCATCGAGCATCCTTTTTGATGAAACGCCTTCCATGAAGCTTCATATTCCATCACTCCCACAGTGCTACATCAATCACTCTAAAACTCTTGATGATCACACGAATACCTTGAAATTTCATTGGTCAAGTTGATCAGGTTTTCCAGATCAGATTCCGCATACTGAAATTCGAGGAATGCCGCCGTCTACAACTGAATTTGCCGCTGTGCTTTTTGTTCACGCGGATCGTATCAACAAGGACGCTAGACGCATGTAAAAACGTGAGGCTGACTAATTGTGAAGATCATCTAATCCGGGATTCTTACAGGCCCCCTAGCTTGATTTTGAGCAAATCCGTTCTTCGAGTCTAACTTTGAAGTCCGGCTTAGAGCCATGGTCACAAGAAACTCCGTTAAACGAGTGGAATGGTATAAAACAAGAAAGTTCGAGACTGAATTGAATAGTCCGGGAGTTGACCAACATCCTCAATCATAACTGGGATTTTCAAGCGCAGATTCTTTAGCCATTGAGATCGCCAAGAACCAGAAACTAGGTTTCAAGAAAGCTGCCTGACAATTAGCCAAGAATTATGTTGAACGCCAAGGAATTGAGAGAATTACATTTTAAAATCCCTACCGGATACGGTCTGATGGGACATACGTGGCGCAGTGAACCCACACGCAAGGAACAGTCGTTTAAGGCAATCGATGAGGCCGTCGAGCTTTCAGGCGAGATTGGACTCTACAATATTGGTGAATTTTATGGACCCGAATTCAGCAACTTGCATCTAGCCAGGGACTATTTGAAAGCTCGTCCACAAAACAGGAGCAAGATGATTTTCAACTGCAAAGGTAGCATAGATGTCCCCTCGCTCAAACCCAAAGGCAGTTATGCCGATGTGACAAAATCCATCGAAACCTGCGTTGAGCACTTTGGCGGGCCCATTGACATCTACGAAGTGGCAAGAATTGATGCTGAGCTTGCTGGTGACAAATTGTACCCCAGGGAAACCTTCGATGCGATGGTTGACGCAATTAAAAGGGGCCTTATCGGGGGCATTTCCCTGAGCGAAGTCACTGCCGAGCAGATCAGAGCTATCCACGCGGATTATGGGCAGTATCTGTGCAGCGTTGAGATCGAGGTTTCATTGTTCTCCAGGGATAATATTTTCAATGGAGTCTTGGATGCCTGCAACGAATTAGGGTTGCCAGTGCTTTGTTATTCGCCTCTGGGTCGTGGGCTTTTAACAGGCAACATTGCCGGTCTGAAGGACATTCCTGAAGGTGACTTCCGTCTGCGTTTGAAAAGATTTCAAGGTGATTCGATGAACTCAAATCTCTTGCTAGTAGAATTCCTCAAGAGAGAAATCGTCGCAAAGAGCAAGACTGGGATAACGTTACCTCAGGTGGCCCTTGGGTGGGTTAGATCTTTGAACGAAAAATACACAGGCACGCACCTTTTGCCAATTCCAGGCGGTTCCACTGCTGCAAGAGTGAGTGAAAACATGGCCTTGAAGAAATTGAGCCCCGAGGAATTGAGTAAGATAAACGAGTTCTTGTCAGGATTCACCACTGTTGGTGGGAGATACGAAATGGCGGAATAAAGGTAGCTAAATTATGCAAATCTTACAGGAAATGAATATACATTTTTCAGGTAATTTTATATCTGCGTGTAACGGCAACCTTCAGATAAAGGGAAAGAACCCGCAAAAGTTTTGAAAGCTCGCCTTTGAACATGAACAAAAAGCCCTGAACCAGAACACCTTTCAAAATTTGCGGAACGAGGCCTCTCCAAAGGTTCAATATTCCACCTTTTTTGTAGAGGTATACCAAGACTTCTTGAAAAGTGGTGAATTTGGAGCCTGCTTTTTGCAGACACGCTTTAGACACTATCAGAGGTTGCGTGACAAGTGTCGAAATAATCTTAGAAATGACGCCTAAAAGAAAGTTTTGGCCGGGTGTCAGTTGAGCAGAAGTATCTGCGATTCCACTGTCGGTGAACTGATTAAGTTTCAAAAAAATGGTTTTTAACCGCTCATACGAGGTATACGTGATCGAAGGGTTAATGGTCAAAACAAGAGACACTTTGAAGCCTCGCCAAAAATCTGTAATCTTGCCGTTTTGACGGTAAACGTCCCGCGCTATCTCTAAGATATTAGACCGGCTAGTATCTGCAGAAGTCTGTTTGCAAGTTGCCAGAACCCCAATGGGATTCGTGAATACCTGGGATATTGAAGCAGCGACAATTCCTAATATAAGTTCCTCTGTTGTCGAAAAAGACTTGGATTTGTGCCGAGCCATTTTCAACCTATAGTACCAATTTCTGGCATTGCTGTACCAGAAAAAGTACGAAAAGTTCTGCACAAAGCCTGCGGCAATGGATTCAGGGAGACCTCTGTAGATTCCAGTGAGACCTTTTTCCTTGATGATGTCCAACAAGACAGTCATCAAATTGCGATATTTGGTCTCATTTTTCTCGGCTGACGTTTCATCCTGATCCTCGTTCTGATCATCTTTCTGTTGCGTCTGTATAATAGCCTTTATCAGATCTAAAGGATACACGATCGTATTGGCCAGACAGGACGCTAACGCTCCGGTTAAAGCACTCTCTAACGTAGCTGACATGAAATGCTGTTTAAAGCTCGACGAATGATTGATTTAGGACTTCTAAGAGGTGCGCTTTCATTAGCAGATCAACTTACTGACGAGTTGGATAGATCGCCCTTTTTGAAGGCGATGCCCTCGATACTTGTCTCGGAAGATCTCGGGCCGAGCAGCTTAACGGGGCTCCGAAAAAGACATCACGTGGTTAATTTGTCATTTACACGACAACGATGCGATGGAGGCATCGAAAGCAAACTTCAGCAACTTTTTGACGCATGAAGCAGTTCCCATTTTTCTATCCTTAGTCACTTGAGATGATTTCTGAACAGCTTTTTGCTAAATAGTTTTAGTTCCAACTGTCGTCAAAGATTTCTCTAGTAGGGTTATTGAAAGCCACGTGAAGTTTAAAATCCATAGCTTCAAGCGAAAGACATAGAAACATGGTAAGCTTCTTCCTCGAGAAGCAACACATAGGCTATGGACAGGTCACTTTTGAGCATTCTGACACTGATATCACGCGGTGTTGCCACCGAGTCTGCTCGCATGATACATATGTGGGCCTATTCAAATATGTATGCTTCACCCGTAGTGAGCAAATGTTCAAGATGTGATGTTTGAAGCTTTGTAGTTTGGGGGGAAGGTACGTCTTTTCTGCGTATGCATCGCAACGTCTATCCACCTGACAACCGATATTTACACCAATTTTGTATGTTTTCTTAAAGGGTGTTATAAAGTCATAAGATTTTGTCTATGTTTGTGCCTTGCCAGATGCTCACTGGTTGTTACTCATCTGAGTCCATTTCTCGGTTAGCTTCTGCAAATGGTAAGTAGCGGCTTGTTCCACGATGTTTCCTCTTGGTTCTTGTCCTTGATCCACCTTCATTTCCTTAGCGTAAGAGTTCACAAATGTTTGGAAAAGCTGGTGGCAGGACTCACCATCGAAAAAAAAGTAAGGATTCTTACGCGAACCTTCCGCGAACATGGCGTGATTGCTTTGAGCGGCAACAACATCCCATTTTTCCATATCCAGTCTGGGATTCACCTCGAGAACTTCTTCCATGAAGAGCATCTTGTCGTGAACGGTTAATGCTCTGTAGGGGCTGAAGAAGATACCAGCAAAAACGAACAGGGCGATGCCAAAGTAAGATGGTAGCATCATCGCAAAATTATCCACAGCCGCGCTGTAAATGAGTAAACTTAAAGAAGCCACATATAGCAACAACCGTGAGATCATCAGAACCTTTCTCTCCGCCCATTCGTGTTGGATGCGGCGCTTGAAAATCTGTCTGGGCAACTTCAGCTCGGTGTCAGACAGAGAGGTTTTTTCATTAGTTACATGGGAGTGGGCGCTAGTCATACTCAAAGACCTTTATTTTTCGCTTTCAACTTTGTTCAATTTACCAACTAGCAGTTAACTTGCTAAGGTTTTCTAACGGCCTTGCTCCTTAAATCTTGGCATTGTTATCATTTTGTACGTTTTGGATTTATGCAACACGCGATCCTATAATAATAGCTACTGTACAAGCAATAAACCATGGCAACTGCGCTATATGTACTCCACTACAACCACCATCCTATAGCAAATGTATATTAATAAAAGATACAAGTAATGTGTTATAGATAACGAGCCCCAGCTACTCTTACTACGAGCAATGTACCACTTCCAATGTTGTATTTTTTAAGCTGCAAATGCTACACTAGAGATACCACAGTACCACCGTAGGCACTTCACATTCGGGAAAAATCAGAATTATCCTCTTGAAATATCCGTTGGTGGTCTCGTGACATGGATGTCAAATTAAACCCCCAAGTAAACGCCCAGGAGAGTCTCAATGTGTTTCGAAGAGATGAGAACCTCAGAGGGACCAAACGATTAAAATAAAAATCTCGGTGCAAGATAATAAATGAAATGTTGTATTAGTTTCTACACAGCTCTTTACAATTAAATCCGCGTTTCCTAGTAATATCCCCTTGCTCGTCAAGCTGATAACAAAAGACTACATTCTGTCACAGTAGTCACGTGACTGTTTCGCAATCAGTACACCGAGACTAGGGAGCTGTTCTAGTCTCTGGACACGTTGGCAGTACTTACATTAGTCCTTTGTCTTTGTCTGTTTTCGAGGCCAAGAAAAATCAAGTTCCTACCTGTCATTGAAATACGCATGATACTTGTTCCATTAAAAATGTTGTTGTGGCCCCAAAGAGATTGATGTTGTGCCGCTTTTCAGCAGTACATGGGTAAATTATTGTCTATGATAGTAGCTTCGATGTGGGTTCATCACAAGTTGCATCACAAAGTACTTCTTTTTATACGTAATTTATCAAATCTTGTTGCGGCGATTGAGGTAAATGGGTTTTTCGTAATAGAATTGTAGCGTGACCTGGTGTCGAAGCATGAGGTTCGGTTTGGGTTTGGCTTGGTTTTGGCTTGGTTTTGGCCTGAATTTGGTACTGCTTAGTAGTCAGATCTCTTTTGACGTACCGAGTTCAATATGGTTTACATTTATTGAAAAGTTTGGAAACCTTTCTTGACAGAAACCAGATATCGAGAACAATGGCTCAATATATCGGGAAGACCATTTCGTTGGTTTCTGTGACGGATAACCGTTATGTCGGGCTGTTGGAAAGCATAGATTCCGAAAAGGGTGTCGTCACTCTGAACAAAGTCCGGTGTTTTGGCACCGAAGGACGTAAGCAATGGGGTCCTCAAGAGATATATCCGAATCCCACGGTGTACGAAACTGTGACGTTCAATGGTAATGACGTGAAAGATCTAAGCATTTTGGATGTTGGGCTGGACGAGGTAAAACCTACCTTGCCTCCACCGCAGTTAGCTGCACAACAACAGGGCCAGCAAGTTCCACCTGCGATGGCAGGATACGGAGTCTACGCACCAACTGGTGCAAGCCCCACGGTTGCTCAGGGAATGGCGCCAGAATCAGCTGCTATTCCAGCACAGTCGAGAGGGCCTACACAGGCTCAAGCTCGCCAGCACGAGCAAACCGTCCAGCAGCCATCAGGTACAGAAAAGTCAGATGCTCGCGTTAGAGACGCGATACAAGGGGGTAAAGAAAAAGCGAGTCGGAAACCAGACGCCAGGCGTTCGGGACATAAAATGGACATCCCCAGAGAAGATTTTGATTTCGAGTCTAACAACAAGATCTTCGAGAAAAGCGACGATCAGGGACCACAAGCTCCGGTCGCGATTAAGAATCCTGCCGACGACGATATGTTCTACAACAAAAAGTCTTCGTTCTTCGACACCATTTCTACTTCTACTGAGACCAACACCAACATGAGATGGCAAGAAGAGAAGCAGTTGAACCTGGACACGTTCGGTCAGGCCAGCATCGGCAACAGACGCGGTCGCGGAGCTTACCGGGGTCGTGGTCGTGGCTACGGTCGTGGTGGTCGTGGAGGTGCCGGAGGTCGTGGAGGGTTTAGAAGGCCCGACTTCAACAATCAGTCAAATACCGGAGACGCTTCCTTTAAGCAAGACCGAGTGGAATTCTAATCTGGCAACTGTAGTTTATAAAGTCTACGGGAAAGGACGAGAAGCTTTGAGCATCCAAGCTCGCACTGTATCGAAAGTAATGCAAAAAGTTGTGTATATGTATGCTCGTTTGTTCAGAACTTGACATCATGTGGAAAGCACCTGTGTTTCCTCCCATCACTGCGTATGCTGTGTCCTTCGTCACGAGTCATGGCCCTTCTCATGTCAAAAGCATCTTTATTCGAATGGATATTGTTCAAAGTCTTGGGATACCCGTCCTCTAGAGAATTGTAGTAGCCAACGACCCGTCGAAACACGCTATATCCTAACTTTTCGTACAGCCTTATGGCCAAATCGTTATTGCATTTGACAAACAAGTCTATGAAATTCACATTATGAGGCTCCCCATCGGTGATAGTTTGCAGCGCCGTGCATAACCCCGACGCTAAGGATATACGTCTGAATTCGGGAGCTACTGTGACAGCAGTAATGTGCGAATGCCAAAGGGGACCTTTCCCCTCTGTCTTGGCCATCATGTAGCCTGATATTTCCGGTTGCCCATCAGGCCTTATTTTGGTCAATTCTCTACTTTCGAAAAACAGATCCGGCCAAAGAATCAGGTATTCAAAATAAAACTCTAGAGGAAAGTTCTCCGTTAAAATATCCAGATTGATATTGTTGAGCGTCAATAGATCGGTAGCTTCAAATGGCTGAATTGTCGTCATTCTAACACACCTTTCTTTATTTTGTGAACTAACGAGTTCATAATAGTAGAGATTAGAAAACTTCTGATTAACTTGTTCACTAATAACGGTTGACGAATTTATTGAAAGATCTGACTTATCAGCACTAGCACCCGCTAGCATTATCGTATCTCAAAGCATCTCAGCAGCTGACTAGCGTTGACGAAAGACAAGCAAAGTTCGCTTGGTAAATAATCATGGTTTTTTGGAAGTTCGGTAATTTGTCCACTTTTGCCATTATTCCATTCCAATTCAGTAGAAGCTTTAGGTGCATCACTCGATAAGATAACCGCTTCAATTAGTAAGACTATTTGAAATTCCAAAGACACAGGTCTTTATTTGAAAGAGAGCAAGCAATTTTTTCGAGGTTTATATCAAGACCTTTCACTCTGCCAGTCAGTGGGAATTGGAGCCAGGTATCGCCGCTCGACAGATCGGCAGCCCATATACCGTCATCGCCGCCAACCAGTAGTCCACTCCCGTCTGGTAAAGCCTTCAAAATTGGCTGAGAAAATGAATTTTGCCCTATTCCAGTGGCATAGTTTCTGATCACCATGTCGTAGAAAGGCTTAGGGCCTACATTTATTTGATAATTGCACAGCTCCGGTGGAACTCGTGCAACAATTAGTCGCATATAGGGCGTATGAGAGGATGCAGCTGCGAAAAACGAGTTGTCCGATAGTATTGGGACATGGGGGTTTTCTGAGTCGCGCTTCTCCGGCAGCGCGTTAAGCACTATGGCTGATCTGACTTCAAATGAGTGTGCACTAAATTGAGCCGTATTCAGCGCTATTCTAGCAACTTCTACCAAGCGTAAATCTGGCTTGCATCGAAGAACTGAAACTTGGGTAAAGTCCACTCTTGTTATAAATAGGAACGGTACGTTTGTCTTCGTCAATGCGACTTGGAAAGAGCTGCAATTGGTCAACAACGTCACAGAGCTTTTGGTTTCCAAAATCTTTCCTTCGACATTCAGCAAATGTGTCTTGACGAGGTTATCGGTACCGCAGCTCAAGCATGTCAGTTGCGTGTCAGTCTGCTTGAGAAACTCTATGTGAGTGACAATTCGATTGTGTATTTTATGCCTGCTTACCAAACCAAGCTCCGAGTCGAAAATCTGGAGAAACCCGTCGACTGTGCATGCATAGAACAACACTTGGGATCTATGCAAAGGCAGCACACCGCATATCTTGGCAACTGCAGCCAATGGCTCCGATTTTCGCCTCAGTTTGCCGTCGCTTGTGTACAGGTAAATCCGCCTTTCCACTGCAGACACTAAGACACAACCATTGAGCACAATACGAATGTCCAAAACTAGTGATTGAGGTGCTTTATCCACGCGGATGCTTTTGAATTTCTGTTTCCTGTCCCATGCTCGAAACTGAAATCCGTCTGCTAACGGTTCCATTTTGTTGTTTATCGCCAGACCCTTGAGCTTTTCGCTTACTTGCGCTTCATTAAACACAATCCTTTCAAGTACAATGTCCTCCAATTTTTCGCACTCGTTGTCCGTCTCAAGCACCGATCTGGGGAGTCCCGTCTCTGTCAGAAACGCTTGCAAAGTCTCGTTCAATCCCTTTTTTGCAAGGTATTGCGCTACTAGAACCCGGGTAAGATCTGAGTTTACTTGAAGCGCCATTCTCTAAGTATATTCGTAACCCAAACCAAACAATAAACCTTGGGTATCATGACAGATGTTGTTGAGGTAGTGAGATGCCCAGTACCCTGACCTCTAAGACTTCTTGGGCTAAATTTATATCGTTATCCACGTGATTTCCCTTCGTTTGACTGTTGCATCCGTACCTTTTAAGCCTTTAGAACGAAAGTTGAAACCCATACATTATTGAAGTAGTATCCTGATATTTTATATATATTATTTTGAAAAAAGTGTCTATAGCTGCTTGGGATCTGTCGCGGATTGGGAGTGGCAGCGATGGCACTTCCTACCACCATCGTCTTGCAGGAGGAACAGAGTATCCTAGGCAGGAATCCCTCCGGCGGGAGGCTTCCACTGGTGGGGAGCAGATCTCCTCTGGGCGGCACCCCTGCCCGGAGGACGCGCCTCCTTCCGGCTGGCACCAGGAGGAGTTGCCCGGATCGGCCCCCCGTACTGGCTTCGGGAGAGATCCCAGGACGAAGGAAGTATAACGAAAAAAACCATCAAAGACTTCTGATAATCTTTCTTTAGAATAACCACCGAAACAGTAATCGACCAAAAATGGGTAAGGGTAAGCCAAGAGGTTTGAACGCCGCTAGAAAGTTGCGTGTCCACAGAAGAAACAAGTATGTTTGACGTCGATTTCAGACTTGAGAAAGCAAATGTGAAAGCACTGCGTGTGAAAGATTGAGGCCAGATGTTAGTGTGGGTTAGTGTGGAGTTCCGTTACAGAGGAAAGACAGCGAATTTTATGCTGGATGGAATAGCGGAGGACTAGGAACCCGTTGGGTTTCAATATTGCATGCGCAGGTTGTCACAGATATCACAGGTATCTATTGAAAGACAATAGGTTACACGTGAATTGCATTACTAACTCAGTTTACAGCCGTTGGGCCGAAGAAAATTACAAGAAGAGACTTTTGGGAACTGCCTTCAAGTCCTCTCCTTTCGGTGGTTCTTCTCACGCCAAGGGTATTGTCTTGGAAAAAATTGGTATCGAGTCCAAGCAACCAAACTCTGCTATCAGAAAGTGTGTCAGAGTCCAGTTGATCAAGAACGGTAAGAGAGTTACTGCTTTTGTGCCAAATGACGGTTGTTTGAACTTCGTCGACGAAAACGACGAAGTCTTGTTGGCCGGTTTCGGTAGAAAGGGTAAAGCTAAGGGTGATATTCCAGGTGTCAGATTCAAGGTCGTCAAGGTCTCTGGTGTCTCCTTATTGGCTTTGTGGAAGGAGAAGAAGGAAAAGCCAAGATCCTAAGCGGAAACCATTTGCTTACGGTTATATCTGCGATTTCCTTTTTTTTTAGTTCCTCCTCCGAAATGTACCATGATTACATATCAGCAACATTGTACCTAACTTTATAATTGCACGTTCTAAAACGAAGATCAAGTTTTTAGTCCCACTTCCGCTACTGCTGCCACTACTGCCACTTGGTTCGGATATGATCTTGAAATAAAATTCTCGTTACTTAAAAAGTTTCGGCAACCGGTTATTTAGAACGTTTCGTCTTGGTTTTGGTCAACCGGGAATTCAACCTCTTGAACATTTCGCTGTTGTTCAACGAACTGCCAACGCCGACCCTCGAGCTCCCGGCCACGGTTGACATGTTACTCACAGGGGCATATTTGTAGTCGGTAGTGGCTTGTGCGGGCGCAGCGGCACGATTACGCCTGGCAGCGGCCAACTCGTACGCAGACTTGCCCTTGCTGTCATCTTCTCCTTCCACTGTCTTTCTTTTCTTAGTCTTATTCTTCGCACTGTCGAGTTGTGCCTTTTTGCGATGCTGTTCTACGTCGTATTCCATCTTCAACACACGCTTATCTCTGTAATTGTCGGATGCACCGATAATAGGCCGCGTCCATTCGGCAATGAGTCTGTCCGCAAGTCTCGCGAGTTTGGGCTCCACTCGCTTAGATTTTGTGTAAAAGATAACCACTTTCCCCAGGCCACTTTCTTTCAAATGCTCGGTTTTGATGGGGAGAGACTCAAGTGTGGCAAAAAGAGACTTTTGAATTTCAAACGATGGCAACGATCCATCTGGCAACGGTTCCAGCCATATGCGCACGCTTTGTAACAAGTTGTTGTCAAGAATGGTGTCTGCGAGATTCGCCTTCGATAGCACACCGACGACTTTAGGCAAAAGCTTGACTTTCTCCATCGCAATCCCTTTTTCGCTGGCGTTTTCAAGTCTCCTATTCAACGTCTCAATGTCTCGCTGTGCCGCAAAGTTCATTTCGTCCTTCAAACGTAGAATTCGCTCATCCAGAAACTGCTCTAGATCGTCCTCATCTCGCCTAGTTCTGCGCGACTTGGGCTTTTTGAGAATCCTGTCTAGCTTTTCTTCGAGTTCCTGACGTCGCCGGTGAGTCTGATCTAGCCCTAAACCTTGGTCTTCTCCGTTGTCGCCGTTGATTATCCGCTGTGACTCTAGTCTCTCCCTCGTGGACAGCTCGTTTTCGTCATCTGAATCTCCCTTATCGATGTGCTTTCTCTGACGTTCTACAGCGACTCCGGGCGTACTTTCATTTGCCGAATCACTTAAAACAGGATCCGCTGGAAAACTCTGCGTTCCACTTTCACTGTCACTCGGATGCTGTTCTAGGTCTCCGCCTTCGCTCATGTTCTTGGTCAAATTTTACTCTTTAAAGTGGGAAAAGTCTCTCAAAAGCGCCGATGCAATAAAAAGCGCTTATTCTAATGCTTCAGGTGCAGAACCTCGTTCGATTAGACCTCTCTGTTTCAAATGAGAGCTTTTGGTTCCAAAATCATCAATGGGCTTTATATCGCACTCGCTTCTGCTTCAATGATTGAATTGAAGAAAGTGAGCACGTGATTTTCGCCCAAACTTCAACAAGTCACGTGGCCTGTTGGCATCTCAAATTTTTCAGAAATTCAAGAAATCTTTCTAGTCTTTAAGCGGAACCTAGCCTTGAGAGCCGAGTTCTGCCTGTTATAAGACCGTGTCACTTCGCAGACCATCACAGATCATCGCCACACTATGTTTGGACTACCTCAACAACAACCCTCTGAGGAGGAAAAAAAGATCCACCAGCTGCAATCTTACCAGACTCTAATCAACGCCGGCTACGTTGCAGGACTTCTGTGGATCTCGCCAATTGTTTGGAACTTTGTGAAGAAGCAGTGGAAATAAGCAGAGTATTAGTTGGGCGTGATAGCCAGTGCGGTGAGCAGGCGCGCGGGCTTCGCCTTTTTCGTGTATATAAGCTCATATATGGGCAGAGGTACGTAATTTGCGACGTGGGTAATGAAAAGCTTTCTGTATTATTTCAAAGGCCCTAAGGTCACCAAGATGTCGCTGCAGAAGCTGATACAAAACCACTATCTGGTAGTGCAGCTACGTTTGTTGTACCGTGGCGACTCGTTGGTCAACGAATTGGCCCTTCAAAGAGCGCTTGTCTCGCGGTTGAACACTCTGGGCAGCGTCTTGTATGCATCGTCAAACGCCAAGTCTTGGCAGCACACGTTGCAAAGAAACCCCCCAAAATTGGATTTGGTAATTTCTACAAGTGATCTACCTGTTCTAGCGTCTATCGTGCTGAATCTGAGAGGATTTGGGGGCACTTTCGATGCAAAATCCGCACCTCTCGCCCCAGATGGCATCACAGAGATCAACCAAAAACCACAGCTGCGATCGGCTTATAATGATTTGCGACGTGGGTGGGCGCTTAACGAACGCCGTAGAAAAGTAAGGTCACGAGAAGTGCGATCTTTCACAGTTTTGGAACCGTGGGTCTTCGCCAGTACTCCGTCTGAAACTGTAGCCACAACGGATAACGATACAGTGACCTTAGCACTTGAAAATGCGAGCGATACAGTCGCAGTGGACCAAGAACACGATTTTAGAGGAAGCAGGTTCTTCAAATTCGATAGATGGCAGCCTGCGAACAATAAGATTACCAGTTCCAACTCAATAGGATCACCGTCAGATCCTACCAAAAGATTGCCACAACTAAAGGACGCATTTTACGATGAAATTGGTTTGCTAAGGCCCCTTGACCGGCGGTATGTATGTTTGGAGCCAAGGCTTTACAAAGATTTTGGTGCGTTACCTAAGGGTTTGAGTCAATGGTTTGAGGGCTTGGCTCAAGGAAATTTCGATCTTACAGCCACTGAGCAGGATAAATTGGGAATTCTTCTCAAGGGTTTTAAAGGTTTTTCGACATAGTTGTAGTCGTATGCGATTAATTTATTTAGTTACAAATATGATCTGAATTTTTATTTGACATATTTGGCCAGTGCTTTATCATCGCTCTCTAAGACACCATTTAGATAGATGAGTCCACGTTGCTGGTTCTTTAGTACTTCGACGACTTTCTGTATACTCTGTTCGGCTTCGTCGTTGACGCGCTGCTCCTCGGCGTCGTGTCCATCCTTACCATTCAATATTCCGTTGCTGCCCTCGCTCATTACGACAAGGGAGCTATCCAGATGATCTGAAATGGTCTTAGCGCGCTCTTTCAGCACTATCAAACGAGCCCAGAGTTCGTTATTTTTACCTAGACCAGCTGGATCGTTGCTTTGCTTGAGAAGTTGGTCAAATTGGGACCACATATTCTCTTCTCCGACGGAAAGTGGCAGACCCTTTGTCCTGAGGATAGCCAAATTGGATCCAAGTTTTAAAATGCGCTGCTGAATTTTAACGTTTCTTGCTTGAGCCTTCAATATTCTCGTCGCTGTGTCTAGATCGTGTTTTTGAGAAAGCTGGGTTAGCCTTTCAAGTACTTGATTTAGAATTACACGTGCTTGTGCAACGTGCTCTTTTTGTAAAGTATTGCGCTGATTGAGATCTTCGAAACCAAGTAATTGTACGGGAATCATGCTCGGAGACGATTTATGGAGTAATGCGTCGTCCCAATCTTCCTGTGATACATCTGCCGGCTTTGTATAGAACATTGCCTCGGTTTCATTGGCCTTGTTATAAACAAAAGTTTTCAGCTTGGACCTAGACGACCTTGGATCCCACGAGTCTTTACATTTCAAGATCTGCTCTTGAATTTGGGACGGGTAGTTCGACTGTTGTATTTGCTGTATCTGTTGTTGTTGCTGCTGTTGTTGTTGTTGCTGTTGTCGTAGTTGCTGTTGTTGGAGCTGCGTGAGCTGTTGTTGTTGTTGGTTGGACTGTCCTCCACCAACAGGTTGAGACCATCCAAAAGTAGGCTGGGTCGATTTCACGGTGCCACTACCAAAAAGTGAGTTGCCTTGACTCTGTACCTGTTGGGAAGCCTGCTGAGAGCCCATGGAGCTTCCAAAAAGACCAGTGCCACCCGTGGGCTGTTGTTGTGCTTGTTGTTGTTGTTGGCTTCCAAATCCTGAACCCGCGCTCGAACCGAATAAACCTCCTGATCCTAGACCTGTACCGGTACCTGCCGCACCACCCTGACTCAAATTAGAGCCCGTGTTACCAAAAAGACTTGTACCACCAGTATTGTTTTTACTCCCGGAAAAAAGTCCGCCTGACTGTGAGTTTTGTTGCTGGGGTTGTTGTTGACCAAAAGAGAACCCAGTCCCGCCAGTATTGCCAGCTACGGATGCGTTGTTACCAAATAGGGACGAATTGGCATTAATGGTCGTATTCTGCTGCCCGAAAAGTCCTCCACCAGTCCCTGTTGTTTGAGCGCTCGAGCCTTGACCAAACGACAGGCCTCCGCCACCGCCACCGGCAGCATTGTTCCCAAACAAAGAGCCACTTGTATTATTAGACGCCGTGCGTGTCCCAGACCCACCAAAATTGAACATAGAATCGTCCACAAGCTTGCACTTTTCGTCGATGTTGTGCTTGTTTCCCATAAAACTTTTCCTCTTCCACACGTTAAGTGTGTAGTCCATTTCTTATATGAATTGTCGTTTTGTACGTAAATGCAGTTCTAGATATCTGTAGTGATCCTCGAAGTGTAAGCAGATTCGGCTCAGGGTTTCAGTGCCTCGTCAGTGCTAGCATCCTCAGCATCAGCATTGCTCTGTCGCCTTTCAGCATTGTAAATAGCTGCCAATACAGGTAATAAGGGCTCATTAGAGTATTGGTCACGTGACTCATTAGTGGTACTGGTGCAAAGGTCTACCATTACATGCAAGCAACTTCGAAATCTGACGAGAATGGCTTCGCGTTCGTCCCGCAAGGATCTCAGTAGAGGTGAGTCCAAGTGGTTTATAGGGTGGAACGCGGCGTCTGTAGCATCCAACGCTTTGTAGAGTTCTTTGAGGAGTTCGCTGCAAACAACGGGCTCTAGTTCCGTTTCTCGCACCATAGCGGTGAGTCCTTCGCACAACTGCTTCGCTAACGACAGCTGTTCTTGTAGCATTAGATTGTTGTCCAACTGTCGCTGGAGCACGTCCAGGTTGCGCAGATAGTCCAACGTATCGCTCAGCACCTCTTTCGTGGTCTGGACATCAACCTCGGCAACTTGGGCCAGTTTTTGCTGGAACCGCGTCAGGTCCTGCCCAATTTTCTGCAACTGCGGTTTGGTCTCATTTTGTTCAGAGAAGTGAGAACACAGATCAGCAAACTGATCGTAACTGCCACACGTCTCTGTCACCAGAGCCTCGTCCATCTCGTGGGTCAGCAATTCCAGCTGCTGCTTTAGGGCGTCCAACGGAGTGTACTGGAAATTGTTCTCAAGTAGAAATCTGCTTGGATCAAATTGTTCTTCTTCGGCAAGGGCAGTGAAGAGAGCCCTCGATACATCTTTCGTGACCGGAAGTTCCCAGGTATCGTCAAGTATGTCCATGTTCTAATTGGTCGCGCTTTGATGCGCTGGCCACCTCACTGATATCATTTAATCTTATTCTCTTCCATCGTAAATAAAGTCATCATATTAAAATGAGTTCGTGTAAAGTGATGACATGTAGCGGTAATAGTTAGTGTTCAATGGCATGTCCAGCACGCTTCAAAGTCCCAACAGCAGTTACTTCGCATCTTTAATCTCTTTCAAGGGTACCGGGGAAGATAAGCATAGTCCCTGTGAGGTTTCTTTAAGTCTTCAATACCAAAGTTTTTAGTTCAAAAGAGTGAAATATTTTGAGTGTAAAATAACCCTCACAGTTAGCTTAAATTCGGCTATTCAGAGATGTAAAAGGTGGACCTACAGACTACTGTCCTGCATTGCTCTGCATGCACTATGTCAGAGGTTTCATGTATTCGTCATGTGTGAAAGCGTCTTTGTTATATATTGGCGATGAGCTTTGTACATGCCCTTACGCGTCTTTTTCAGAAAAAAAGACGCGTCAAGGACATTGACCTTAACCATCTACACCAACGCATCCTAAGAGCGGAACCAATGGCTTTGGTAGTCGAAAAATCCGTGTTCAGCTCGGGCGGTAAGACGTCGGTACAGTTGTCTCCCGATGGTAACCATCTTTTCGCAGTCAACAAGCATGGCCTGACAAAAATCTTGCCGTTAAATGCGCCCGATGAAGAACCAGAAGTGCTAGAGATTTGTTCGAACCCGACTTCTTTGAGCCCTCTCTCACCTACCAGTTGCATTGTCACGTCCTTGAAGGGCGATGTGCATATGTATGGGTTGCAAGAGGGGGATTACAAGCTCCTGCATAGATCTACACTACCCGAGCGAGACTGTGCTCTAGCGCATAATGGTAAAATGGCCGTTATTGCAGGCGACGATCTTGAAATTGCGGTTCTTGATCTGTCGCAGGACGCGAAAAGAGGCAAAATGCAGACGGAAGACCAGGTTTCGAATGTGACTTACAATGGCGTGATGAGTATCTTGGCACTTTCATTTGTAAACGGTGATGTACAATTTCTCTCCATGGCATCTGCAGAACCGCATCACATTCACAAGCTCGAGAAGTACCTTGCTCCGAGATTTTTTAACGACGACTTCGATTCTCAGGCCAATGGAGATTCTGCCCAAACTAACGACGAGTACGAAGACCCCGAGTACTGCGACGACAACAGAATCTCAACAAAAGTTGAATGGCACCCCAGAGGTCAGCACTTGGCAATGCCATGCAATGATAAATCCGTCAAGATATTCAACATCGGCGAGTATTCCCTTATGAGGTCCTTAACTTCGCCAGTCGCATCAAAGTCGCTTTTCACAGATCTCAAGTACAGTCCCCAGAGTGGAGAATTTCTAGCGGCCATAGATCTGAATAACCACCTGGTTGTATGGAGAGTCGAGACCGGAGATGTCGCATTTTCTAAAGACCTTGGCTATAAAACTACGAATTTGTGCTGGCGACTACAACCAGATGATCACCTCGATATAATACTGGGCACCTGGGCCGGTGACATTGTCACAATCAAAAACGTGGCCAAAAAATCACCACAAGTAATTGACCAGCTTGGAGGGCTTTTCGTCTCGTCCGATGAAGAAGAATCTGGATTCGAAGCTACGAAAGCTCTCAACGGCAAAGCCGAGAATAATGACAATGAAGAAGGTAGCAGAAACTCTCAAAATCTTTTTACAGATGAAGAAGATGTAGCTGCCAAAGGTACGCGATTTCATTACGATGATGATAATTTTATAGATGACGATGACGGCGCCGGTTACGTTAATCCCAAAAAACGCAAAAAGGACCACGCCCTCCCTACCTTGGTTCCAACAACAGTATCAACACGGAATACCAAATTTCGTTATAGGCCCTTTTCACCAGGCGCTACTCCATTTGGCACCTCAGACAGACGATATCTCACTATGAATACCATTGGTTACGCATGGTGCGTACGGGGAGAAGAAGGATACGCTTCGTCGCATAATACTATCACCATATCCTTCTTTGACTTGAGTCGTTTCAAGGAATATCATTTTGAGGACTTAACCGGTTATGACGTTTGCTCATTAACCGAAAACGGTGCTCTATTTGCGCAATCTAAATTGGGCATTCTCCACTACAGGCAACACAATCAATTCACTGCGAACTGGACTAAAAAGATCCCACTTCAGGAATCTGAACGAATAACCGCCATCGCAGCTACAGCTGAAAAAATGATTGTAGGTACCTCTTTTGGGTATTTGAGAACTTTCAATAGTTATGGGGTTGCTCTTGGAATTGAAAAGATGTCCCCAGTTGTTGCTGTCGCGGCACAAGGCTACAGGATTTTCTGTGTACATTTTTCTCCATATCACGGCTTGAGTTATTCCCTGTTTGAACAGCATCCTGATACTGGAGACCACTTTTTTGCCAAGGAGAGTTCCCTTCCGCTAACCCTACCTTCTGAAATAGATAATGGTGACGAATTCGGCGAAACTTTCCCCAATTTTAGCCCTCTAGGATTGAAAAGTGTCTTTTTCTCCACTTATGGAGATCCCTGTGTGTTTGGTGCCGACGACGTGCTTCTTGTCTTGTCGAAATGGCGAAATACAGTTCAGACGAAGTGGATCCCTCTCATGGATTCGAGCTTTGAGGTGTGGAGACGTTCTGGCGGTAAAAACGTCGATGACGTTCGCGTCTGGCCACTTGGTCTTACACATCATATTTTAAGTCACATTTTGGTCAAAGGACGCAATGCCTGGCCGGATTTTCCTCTTCCACTGCCGTCTGAGATGGAAGTGAGGATACCCGTTATAGTGAAAGAGAAAGAAGCAGCATCTCAACCTGACAACGCCGAGGACGTCAATTTACCGTCAGATGTAGTTGCCGAAGAAGAATTCCTCAGATCTCGTATTCTAGGTGAATTGCTTGCGGATACTTTGGAGCATGACGGTCAATTGTACGGGGATGAGGACAGAGTTCTTAACGCACTTGCAGGGGCATATGATAAATCGTTACTGCGTTTATTTGCATCTGCGTGTTCCAGTCAGGACGTAGGAAAAGCCTCTTCGTTGGCGAAAGAATTGAAGCAGGACAAGGCCCTAACGGCAGCAATTAAAATCGCAGAACGCGCAGAATTAATGACGCTGGTAGACAAAGTGAGGGCAATGCAAGAAGCAAGATTTGAAGAACAACTAAATTCACGTGGTTGAATATAATGCCATAACAAGTCCTAGCTCTGGACGAACAATAGCTCTAAGTGAACACAGGCCATGTAAGCACTAATTCTCATCGACGTATTCAACGGTTACTCACTCGCTACTCAGATATTAGAAAACTCGATGTTCACGTGACTCGTTTTCAAGCTCCACCATTGAAAAATTTTGACAAGAATCAAGCGATGAGCTAGATACCATTAAAGAAGCATCTTGAAGTTTTCCCCGTTAAGGACTATGGTGGCTTCGAGTAACAACTTGCGGAAGAGGAAGCGCAGTTTAGCTGTTCAGCGCAGCCCAGATATTGCCGATGAAGAAATAACGGAACCTTCATCAAACGAGGAAAACGATAACGAAAGTTATTCAGGTGAAGGAGAGGAGGAAGAAATCCTAGAGTCTGACGAAGAGTTTGCTGCCGAGTCGGCTACTGACAAAAGAAGACGTTTGGCGAAACAATATTTGGAGAACCTGAAGGAGGATGCCAATGAAATCGTCACGGGACTGGAATATAAGAAAGCTACCAAAGAAACTCTAGATGAGTTCAACAACTTCGATGCCAAAGATCTTGATAGGGATATTATTGCGTCAAGATTACGGCTGGATGTTGCTGAACAACAGGGTCGTGTTTATCGATTCATTGGTGAGAAACTGCTGATATCTGAAGCCAAAACGTCTTTCACGAGAGTTGGTGAAAAGAACATCACCGGACTCAGCTGTTATCAGCCCGAGATCAACAAATTCAGCCTCGAAACCAAAAGCAAGAGTAAGAGCCGAATCTACGCTTACGTGGTGAGCAAAGACATGACTTTGACGAAATACGATGTCACCGATTTCAATTCGAGACCCAAGAAACTGAGGTACGTTAAAGGTGGACGTCGTTACACTCCGGTGGGAAACTCTGAATACGACAATACAACCGAAGGTCATTACGATGAAATTTTAGCAATCGCAGCGTCTCCTGATGGGAATTACGTGGTCACTGGCGGGAGAGACCGTAAGCTGATTGTTTGGAGCACAGAGTCCTTGGCCCCCGTCAAGGTATTGCCCACTAAGGATCGTCGAGGTGAAGTGCTTGGGCTCGCTTTTAGGAAAAATACTGATCAGCTATATGCATCATGCGCCGATTATAAAATCCGCACTTTCTCCATTAACCAATTTTCACAACTTGAAATTCTGTATGGTCATCAGGATGTTGTGGTTGACATATCAGCGCTCAGTGCTGAGCGCTGCGTTACAGTCGGTTCTAGAGATCGCACAGCCATGCTTTGGAAGATTGCCGATGAAACAAGGCTGACTTTCAGAGGTGGAGATGATCCCGAAAGGTTGCGTAAAAAATGGTTGAAAAATCAGGCTGCAGAAGAAGCGAACGGAGAACTCGATCAGACTTACGAGGTTTCTGAAGCCCCGATGTTTTATGGGGAAGGGAGCATTGATTGTGTTTCGATGATAGACGATTCACATTTTGTGACTGGCTCTGACAACGGAAACATAGCTCTGTGGTCTATGAGCAAGAAAAAGCCTTTGTTCACGCAAAGAATTGCCCACGGAATAATTCCCTTACCTGAATGTCAGACAATATCAGCGGAGCGCGACCAAAGTATGTGTGAAACTCAGCTTCAGGAGAAAGCGTTGACAAGACCTTACTGGATAACGGCGTTGCATGCCATACCTTACTCCAACGTATTTGTCTCTGGTTCATGGAACGGCGTTTTGAAGGTATGGAAAATAGCTCCTACAATGAGAGAGTTTGAATTGTTGGGCGAATTAGCAAGGTGCCAAGGCGTAGTTACGAAAATTCAAGTCGTTGAAAGTGGCAAGCATGGCCGCGAGACCCTAAGAGTCTTGGCCAGCGTTGCAAAAGAGCATAGACTGGGTAGATGGATTCATCACATTTCGGGCGCCCGCAACGGTCTATATTCTGCGGTAATTGAACAAACCGATTTTTGAGTTTGATCAATTTTTCAATTTGATAGCGTGTGTATAATAATCCATTGCATACACTGATTTCATTCATAGATGAGTCGCCAATTTACGCTGTTATTGCTTGCAGTCTAGATTTTTTCCTAGCAAGTGGTTAATTCGGTCATCTTCGAGCCACAGCAGTCAGCGCTGTGGATATGTTCCTGCTTCGAAAATACGAACCAGATTCTATGACCTTCGAAGTTGATTGATTACCTATTTGCCTGCTACAGGTAAGAAGACGCGACGCTGTCTTGCAAATTGCCAAGCACTATAAATCAAATTCAGCTAGAAACATCGTTTGTATTAGGTTCAGAAAGATCAATAGTTTTACAGAAATTACACAATGCGACTGGGATATCGCATCATTGCCTTAGAGATTCATGAATAGATTGGCGATTACAATAAGCCCAAAACGGCACCAGCTGCGACACCAAGTAAATGGCCGTTGAATTTGAGAACTGCTCCGGCGCCGTGACTCTTTTGCGTAGACGCTTGCGACGAGTTACCAGCGGAAACAGAGCTCGATACAGGAGAACCTGTGGTAACCGCTGATGTGCTTGCTGCGCCTTCTGTTCCGTTCAAAGAGGCAATGGCTAATAGAGCCGAAGGTCTTGGTAGGTCGAAAGTTAAGCTGCTGCTGCTGTTTTGAGAGACAGTCGAAGTAATTGAAGCGATGGTCGACGCAGAGGGAAAGGAAGCAGTAGAAGCGTTCAGTCTAGAAACTGAAAGAACAGACTCGACGGATTTGGAGCTAGCGACGCTAGCTGCACTGACAGAGCTCACAGAACTCAAAGAAAACGCTTGCGATGCAGATAGCTCGCTTGCCGTAAGCACGCTTGCAACTGAAGAGGCGGACGCAACAGACAAAAGGCTTCTTGAAGCAACAGACGCAGAAGACGCAGAAGACGCAGAAGACGCAGACGCAATGGAAGCAGAGCTCAAAGAAGCGATTCTTGCGGCTGATTGCGAAGCAACTGACGCGGAAGACGCAGACAAAATCGATTGCACACTTGCTTCACTCGATGCACTTGCTTCACTCGCAACACTAGCGGAGCTGGCCGACACTTCCGATTCAAAACTCGAACTTGAAGCCATCCGCAGAGCTTTCTCCTGTGCGTCGTAGCTCGTCGTGTACGTGATGATTGTCGACGTAAGCGTCGTTGTTTGTTCATCGGCTGCAACACCCTGGGCTCCTATAAGGGCACTGGAGACACATAGTGGCAAAAGACCTTTGACCTGCATGCTTCTTAAGTGAGAGTTGGTATTTGTTGATCAATGACGATGTGAAAAATAAGGAAGTGAGCGACAGGGGTCCAATTTGATTGGGCTCTGCGCGCAAGGAATGACTAGGGTGAGATAATTGGTGACCGGCGGCCTAGCTTTGGATCGAAATGACAGTCGGTTTCAAGAGCGACGATTTTAACAGTCGTGGATTTACAAGTAATCAGCTTTTAGGTGCTACGACTAGAACTATATAAAATTTTCGTTTATCTGGTGATCCTTCCATCTTCCACCGTCAAGTTGTTATGGAGTAAATTACGACCTCTCTCTTCCTTTCTAAGCATCGCGGCAGCGAGATGTAAACTAAGACTAAAACGGCAAAAAGTAAATAAATAAAATAGGAAGCATTGTCTCGAGTTCAGATGTTGACATATTACTACTTCCGGAAGTAACAAAAATATAAAAATTGCCATTTCCTAGAATCGAACCAGGGTTTCATCGGCCACAACGATGTGTACTAACCACTATACTAAAATGGCGAACTGTTTATTCTGAACCTGTTAAAAGAATAGATGTAGCTGGAATCTGTCATGTTCTTCGGTTCCTGTGAAAAGTGCTTCTCCGATGTATCAGAGACGTCGCTTACCAGTGAGTTTAGACATGTATACGATGAATAAGGTGTATGAGATGAAACGCTCATCGAAGATGCAAATTTTGCAGAGCAATGAGTAGAAAACCCGAGATACGGGTATTTATTTATCTCTCCAAAATAGAGTGAAAGTTGCAGATGATGTTTTTTTTAATGTTTTATTGAACTGGGGCACTTTCGAAACATATAAATTTTATTATTGTTGCCATGTACCCAACATCTTCTCCAGCAAAAAAAACAAACAGATATGGTTCAAGCAATCTAGAACTCTTGATTTACATAGCCGCTCTTTTCCTATATTCCATGAGCTTACTTGATTACCTAGAATCTTATGCATTTCCGGTTTCCGACCTTTTACCTTTTCCTCCAGTGCTACGGACAAAAGAAGCCAACGGGATTCGAATGAACACTGCTCCGCAAATTTCTGAAAAAGACGATCGCCATCCGGGTGGCACAAACGTATGTTTAATTTTCCCAGCGTAGACAAAACACTCCTCAAAGTCAGTAAAAGAGCCGAATGTCAGCTGGGAAGTCCTCACTGAACTAGGACACGCCCTCAGTGTTCACGAACAACGCTTCTGACTTCGTGGCCAAGCTGGTTAAGGCGTGCGACTGTTAATCGCAAGATCGTGAGTTCAATCCTCACCGAGGTCGATTTTAATTTTTTCAGAGTTGTGCGCCGGGAAGAATGGTAACTCGGTTGTACCATACCCCTGGTACTGGCTGCGTGAATCCAAATATGCTTTCATTTTATGACTATTTAAAACTTAAATGCAATTGTCCCGTGCAGCTTTCACGGGCTCTGAGATGTTTGCTGCTTTTCTTTTTGGCGAAAGTCAGTTTCATTAGATGTGCTAGTCGTGTCATTCACAGACATACGGCGATGCTCTGGTTCATCAGATGAATTTTCTGTGTGATCCGCATTGCCCCATGAAAAATAATCTCTCCTAACCTCGACGTAGTCGTATGCAAATTCACCTATTTGATCCTCATCCAGCCCCATTTCCTCGGCTTCTTCGGAAGCTCTGAGATGTAGGCCCGGAATTTTGTCCACGACAAAGCAAATTATCGCAGTGACTACCACACCGTAACCGAACACGGCTCCAATGTATGCGAGCTGCTTGTACATTTGTTTCCAATTACGGGACACCCACCCGCCGTCGTGATCGGTCGCACCGTCCATTCCAATTACCCAATCGGCAGCAAACAACGCATTGAAAAACAGACCTACAATGCCAGCGATACCGTGCTCGGCCAAAATATCCATTGCGTCATCAACTTTGAGTATAAATTTCAGCTTGGTCGAGAAGTTACAAACCGCGCCTGCCACAATACCCTGTATGACTGAGCCATACAAAGTAATGCAACCGGAGCTTGGCGTAGCCGCGACAAGTCCACACACGATGCCAGAACAAAGCCCCACGGTGGACCATTTTTTTTCGAGTCTATAATCCAGCAAGCACCATGTCATCCCGCCTACTGCAGCACTCAAATTCGTATTCATGAAGGCATACGCAGACTTCAGATTGGGCGTCAAAGAAGTACAAGAATTGAAGCCCAGCCAGCCGAACCACAAAAGTGACGTTCCGATGGTGACCATCGAGACGTTGTGAGGACGAAAATTGATGAGTAGGCTCTCTTTGCGTCTGCCCAGAAAGAAAGAGTACACGAAGCCGCCTGCGCTCGACAAAATCTCGACAGGGCCGCCGCCGGCCCAGTCAAGCACCCCCCACCTCGCAGCCCACCCATCTGAGTCCCAAATCCAGTACGTTACGGGACAGTATACGAGGGTTGCGAAGCAAAACAAAAAAACCATGTGAGGCAACAGTCTTCCGCGCTCTGCAGTACTGCCCGCAATAATACTCAGCGTTACGCACATGAACAGGCCCTGGAACACGGCAAATGCAATTTCTGGATAATTGACGTCCTCGCTGGTCTTCCCATACACATTGCGAAACCCAAATGAGTCCAGATTCCCGATAAATTTGTGATTGTGCGAAGTTTTCGAAAACGCAAGCGAATAACCCCAAAAATACCACTGTAAAATACCCACTAATGTCGCCATTATCACGGCCCAAATCTGCGCCAGCGCCGATTTTCTACGGGTTAGTCCAGAGTACAGGTACCCAAGACCGGGCACCATGATGAACACGAGGGCAGACCCGACCAAAATGAAGCCCACAGTGGCCTCATCGTAAGATTCCTGCCACAAATATCCCATCGCTTACCAGGCTCTTTTTTCTGCGACTTCAACACTCTCCAATTTTTCACTTTTTCACTTCGCCAGATTTCCAGATAGAGTGCGTCGCCCGGCGGATGAGAAGAATACCTATAGCTATAAACTTCTTGCTCGTCTTAAATCGCGTAAACGCTAGGAATGAAATCTTAAAATAAACCCTGCTATCCTCTAATGCTCGCAATAAATACGATCACTTCTGCGCTGCTTTTCCAGTCTGGTGGTTGCTGTCCGTATTTCGCAATCGCATCATCGCCTTTTTTTCTTCTCTTTAATGAAGGATATTTATTTTGTATTCCCGACTCCGCCCTCTGCGGTCCAAACCCCGCCGCCTACAGCGCATCCGGCGTCTGCTTCGCATCGTAATGGTCCATTAAGCAAATTGCAGCGGTCAAACACACGAAGTGACAGATTTTTACTCAAAGATAAGATAACGAGCGCATCGAAAAGCGCGCTTCCGATGTACGACTCAAGCTACGGAGGCTAAGCAGACAGCGCAGACAGCGCAGACGGCACAGACAGCACAGACAGCAGAGGCTACGTGAGCCACACAGGCTACATTGGGTGCGCCTTGTGACCGCGAATAGAGCCTTGGTCACGGCGCCAGCCATACGGCATCGAGAGCGATGACCAACAATGGCTTTTATTGGATGTGTGAGATGAGGCTTTAGCGTGAAAAGAAATTCTCTGGCCAATCATAGAAGAGGACCCTGTTTGTTTAATCTTACATAATCTTGACGGTATCAAATTTCTTTTTTGATTATATGGAAAATCGTACAACAGTATATAACTATAAACGTAACTGAGTAGAGAATGAGTTCAAAATGATATCGTGTGATACGTAAATGAGTAGAATTTGAGTAGAAACTATGAGATCACGTGAAGCTCATCTGCATGTGAAAAAATTACGAGACCCGTAGCTGTAGCCGTATATTTCCCCATAGTAAAGAACTTGAGAAGAGAGCTGATCGCTAGCTCTTTCGAGAATCATGATTACGGTCGCTCGTGTTCCACTTCATTTCCCACAGGATCCCAGTTTTACACCAGAGTTGGACTTGCTGCGGCGAGATGCGGAAAATGCGCTTTTTGGGAGTACAAATAGTTCGCTAACAAGCCAATTAGATATACTGCATCGGTTCGCAGACGCACTGCTCCAGCAGTACCAATCCTTTGAGAACAGTCAGTTTCTGGCCACCTCCGTTTCATGCGCAATTATCAACATGGCCTCCGTGTGCCAGAAGCTGTCTGAACAGCTTTTGCATAAGGCGTACAGGGAGGATTCGCGGGAAGCTTGGGCGCGGAGCGGCAGTTACAACAAGAAAAGCATAGGGTTATTACAGTTTTTGATGCACGAACGGATCTCCGAGACCGCTGGGCAGCTGGAGATTATACAAACGTGTCTGAGATGCTGGTCCATTTCGCAGCAGCTTGGGCTCGTGCTTCTTTCGATTGCCAAGCTTAAATCGCAGGTGTATAACTTTTCCGACGGTTCCAAGGACCCCTACGAACGCCTGCTCGAGTTACAGACGTCAGATCTGAAAGAACTCTCGACAAACAGTGTGCTCTATTCGAGACTCTGCATAGGCTGCCGAGACGCTTGCACCCAGCTAGTCTCGCAAGATGTCGGAGCTCAAGCAGAGACACTTACAAAATACCTGAACGTGCTCATTTTCACTTTACTTTCACTAGATTTCTACAAACAAGACAAATGTGGCGTAGCGATCGGAATGCTCGATTTCGCCATCCAAGAGTTGTCCCAAGGGCTCGTTACCACCAAGCAATTGAAAAAAATTACAGAGAGCCGACAGTTGAAGCACATAGTGACCTCTAAAATCAAGGAATTTCGACAAGATGCAAAGCAACTGCGATCCAAATTTAAATTGATGCGCAAACCTAACGGGACCGCGACTTGTAATTCTTCTTCTCTCGATTCTTTTATGCAGACGGTGTTTGATGACTTTGTCATCCCGCTCATAATGCTTCTGCGATGTAGGTTTCAAAAGACAAACGACAAAGTGTTTTTCGATAAAGTCGTTCAAGATCGCCTAGAGCTTATCAAACTATGGCCACAGGGTAAATCTCCTGATTGTACTGGAACTGTGTGGGTGTTTAACGGACTCACGATTACCGAGTCTCAGGCATCAGCTGCAGAGTACTTTTGAAAAAGACTCTCAACGTCTCCGCTCGCCATATGCCTTTACAAACGCCCTTTTCGACCTCAAATTCAATTTTCGGTTCACGAGCTTAAATTTGTCGCCGCCGGCAAGTGATACTCTGATATCGTCTAGGTCAGCGGGGATTGGTTCGCTTATTTTGCATTTGTAAGTCACGCCCTGAGTCGTCATTCTGACCAAATACTTCCACAAACCGAGGCTCAAAGGCGTTGCCAAAGTACTCTTTATTTTCAACTGTATAGTCTGCACTTTTTTTCTGGCAACTGGGACCGATGATTTGGTGTGTTTGGCTCCAGTTGACACGCCAATTTCTCTTGCGTCGTCGTTTTCGTCGAGAAACTGATCCAGAGATTGTTGATTCAAAACCAAACCAAGTACACTCTTACCGTTGGAACATGTCCCCTCAGGAAACACAAATACAACTTTATCTTGCAAATTGCTAAATTTGGTCACTTTCCGCCCAAAATCGGAACCCTCAGGCAGAGAACCCTGTAGCGTAAACTTGAAAAATTGCCAAATACCAAGTTCAACCAACGAACTGCCCTGCACATCACTAGCAATACAGAATTTCACTGGTCCATCCGCTAGAAACCACAAGGCGACGCAATCCAGCGGAGAACTGTAATTTACCATGTACATGTGATTTTTCTGAGGCATATGAACACTGCGCTGTTCCGTGCGTCTCACGCCCTGTATACTAACCTGCAAATTCCAATTGCACAAGATCACAAGCCCAAACTTCACCAGCGACTTTGAAATCCGATTTATCCCGACAATTACAGCCAAGATTAAAAACGGCGATGCAATAGTTAATCTTCCAAGTGCCACGCAATTATGATAAAAACCTCGGAAACCTTTCTCTTGAGAAAGAGAAGGCATCGCAGGAAGAAAAGGAGGAACTCCAGTTCCCTGGTCTCGCCATTCGGTAAATTTCTCCATAAAATGCGTTGGTCCTTGATTTATAGGTCGCTATGGTCAAAGTGTTCAATATTGGTGATGAGTCTCAATGGTGAAAAATTCGATATCTATATAACTCTTGAAATGAGAGGAAAATTGAACGACAAAAGCCAACAGATCGCACAACATCTGGTATGTCACTTCCAGACGTTTTGAAACGTGGCGATGACTTTCTGGCGGAATATCCACGAAGATCGGTTTTATGGAACCTAGCATCTCACGGGACATGCCTTTTCACAGTAGGCGTTTCCAAGTTAATATTGAATGCATTTTATAACGTGAAGTTGAACAATTACGAAAATTTGGAACACGCAATTGAAAGAAGCAGTTTAGAGAATAGGGGGCTTATGACGGTGATGAATCATATGTCGGTTGTTGATGATCCATTTTTGTGGGGTGTCTTTCCTTGGAAAATGTACCGAAAAATGGAAAATATAAGATGGTGCTTAGGAGCTCAAAACGTTTGTTTCCAGAACAAATTCTTCTCAACTTTTTTTTCATTGGGTCAAGTTTTGTCTACTCGCAGATTTGGTGGCGGACCTTTCCAAGGGTCCATCGATGCGTCGATTCGGCTTCTCTCCCCAGACGACACTTTGGACCTGGAATGGATACCGCACCGTGAAGAACCCAGCAAGCCTGCCAAGCCCTCAAATTTAGAAGTTGCTTTCCAAAATGCCAAGAAAGAGTACCTTCCACCAGTAGCACGCACAAAACCATCGTGGGTCCATGTTTATCCGGAAGGGTTCGTGCTACAGCTTCATTCACCTTATGCCAATTCGATGAGGTACTTTAAGTGGGGTATCACAAGGCTTATCCTCGAAACTACAGTGCCTCCCATTGTGGTACCGATGTTCGCAACGGGGTTCGAAAAAATCGCACCAGAATCTGCCGCAGGGACGCTCATCGAGAGGTATTTACCTCAAAATTTCGGTGCTGAGATTAACGTTACGGTGGGTGACCCGATCGATGATAAAATTATTGAGTCTTATCGTGCTGAATGGAAGCAATTGGTCGAGAAATATCACGATCCACAGAACCCTACAGACCTCACAATGGAACTAAAAGTTGGCCAGGAAGCTCAAGATCTTCGCAGCAGGCTCGCTGCGGAACTAAGGACGCATGTTGCGTTTGTCAGACACGAACAAAGGGGTTTCGAAAAGGAAGACGAAAGGTTTGCAAGTCCTTTTTGGTGGAAAACTTACACTCAAAGCGAAGGGTCTTCAGACCCAGACGTTAGATTTATCGGTAAGAATTGGGCAATTCGTAGGCTGCAAAAATTTTTACAGGAGGAAGAGCGTATTCAAAATGAGTTGAATGAGTTAAATCACCCTCCGAAGGATTGATTGGAAAATAATTCTATTGTGTTTTTAACATTACCAGACCGCTGCCAAACATTGTAAATACCTTAACTCGCATTGCTGTCATATTCTTATTTATAGTACATATATCTAAAAGGCGAGCTACAAAAGTAAATGCCAGGCTAGTAGATTCATCCTACACCTGCCGGTTATTAGGTGATCTTTCTGTTAATTTTAGTCGAATTCACTTTAGACGCGAATCTGAGAGAATTTAGGGTTTCATTCATATTCTTCAAAGCTGGCGATACATTGACAAACATAAGCGTTTTTGACTCTCCAATTAATGAATATTTCAAGAGGTAAGTGAGCTTTGAATTTCTGAAAGGTATGTGTCTTTTATTGGCGTCACGACCCCCCAAACTATGAATTACATCACCGAGGCAACTCAATGATCTGTTGATATTTTGGGTTTCTCTCATTCTTGCAGGACTGTGTTGCTCGGCACTTACCCTTTCAGAGCCGGCTAAATCGACCAGATTTAAAGTTCCCACGGATATCTCCCCTGTTTGTTCGTTCGAGCCTTTTAACTTTATGACGAATATGCTATGAGAGCGAGAGGACCGTTCATTAGCTGCTGTGGCTGCCGTAGATCTAAGCCTGGAAGCTCTTTTGAGAATATCGTCCACCATCGATCTATTTGTAAGAAGACAATTCGTAATGTTTGTGATCTGAGTTGTGTGAGTCTCAGGATCGTGCCTTATGTCATGCTTAAAGTTTTCTGTGTTATCATCGCTATCACAATCGATATCTTTTAGTAGGTCTCGAATTGTTTCATTGTATATCTCAACAAACTCACTTGTTATCTCGTACTTCCAACCCAATTCCTCAAGTCTTTCGATCCAGCCGAAGATGTGATTTAGGGTCAGTGGTATAATACCATCCTTAGGATGGAGCATTGTGAAAGTCTTACCCGATCCTGTTTGACCGTACGCGAAAATGCAAACATTATAACCATCCAAGCAGCTCTGAACAAGTTGGCCAATTTCTTGAAACACTTCCTCATTACTTTCGTGTACGTCAAATATCCTGTCAAAGTTGAACTGATGCACTTTAGAATCTCTTTTGACTTCCATGGATTGAGTTCCCGCGTTATCATCAAAATCTTCAACGCGAAAGTGTGACAGATCTTTTTCTTCGTTGGCCAAAGGCGGTCGTACTCGACAGAAAACTCTTATGTTGCCGCGGAGCTCCTGCAGCTCATTGTGCAGCTTACGTCTTATTGTTTCTTCCTTTAGTAAAATCTCATTGACTTGAACCAGCTCGGAGGAAGAGGTCGTAATATATGTTTCCAATTCAGTTTTCCGGGATGTGAGGGATGCCGCTTCGCATTTCAAATCGTCCATCTGTTTTTCAATTGCAGAGTGAACCTTCTCGGCTTCATTTAACCGTTCTTCCAGCCCCTTTAAGACTCCCTTTTTTTCAGTCAAAGCTGAGCACTTCTTTTTCAAAGTTTTTTCAAGCTCATTAGTCACTCTTGATTCAAGCCGCTGGACCTCAGTCTTCAGTGTTTCGTTCTGGTTTACTTTCTTTTTCCAGCTCGTCTGGTGCTCTCTTAACCAGTCTTCACGAAGTTGGCGATCTTTACTTGTACACTCATTAAGCATATCTCTCAAAATTGATCCATTATTCGCGATGTTTCTTTCTGCAGCTTTCACCTCGGTAATCAGCATGTCTCTGCGCTGAATGAGCTTCTGATGCCTCTCATGATTCAATTCTGCAATTTTCAGCTCGTAGTCACTGGACAAAGAGTTCAATTCAGCTGCATTTTTGGCGTGTAGTTGCTGTAGCTCTAGCTCATGTCCTTTGTTCATGAACGTTTCACGCGTCTCTTGCTCCTCTTTCAGTTTTTTCAGTTCGTTATCTTTGAGATTTATCTGCTGCGATTTGACATATCTGTCCTCTTTTAACCGATCTATCTTTAGTTCTAGGGCTTTAAGTTGGTCTCTGTGGTCAGAGAGTTCATCTTTTGCTACGTCCAGCTTGACCTTCTTCCTGAACATTTCCTCCTGGAGATCATTAAGCTCCCGTAAGTTTTCCTTATAGAATGCAGTCATACGGGAAGAACTTCCGTTTCCTGCCTGAAAACTTGACTTTGCCGAGTTGCTGCGGCGTTCTTCCAGACTGAAAGGAATTGCTGGCGACGTCGCTCTCTTCTTGTACTTTGGCGAATTTGAAACTGTTGGAGACGGGATCTGAGAGGTCGGTTCTTCCGCTGCATTTGATAATTGCCAGGGTGGTGTCTTGGGTATCGGTTGTTCATCCGTCGACATCATCCTTTCATTTAGTTTAAAGCCCTTTCCAGGTCCGGAAATCGAGAAGCAGCGGCCGGCACTTACGCGGGAAAATCAGATGCGGAAAGTCTGTGACAGAAAATCTTAGCAAGTTTCTGATCACCTCGAAACCTTTAATGATCAGTAGTCTTGGATGCGATATTGAAGTGCTTGATAAGTGCATCAAGATTCGAGCATCGCGTACCATCTACGTTTGTCTTCGAAACTCGATGTAATACGTATAAAGCGATATTTATTTAATGAAAAATTTGAGCGATGAGCATCATTGATTATTTTGGAAGACTGAACTTAAGCATAAGATGGGCTCCCATAGGAAGGCCATGGTGCGTGCTGAGAGGCAGAGCGGGAACGAGAAAAATGATTCTGAGGATTTCAGTGAAACGCTGGAAAAATCTGGACAAAAAAGCGTGAAAAATGAAGAACTTGTTCTAGAGAACAATGTGAACGGCATGAACTCAAGCGGGAGCGAGCAAAACCAGGAAGACGACGAACTGGATTTAGCAGATGTCTCTTCAGATGACGGAACTTTAAATGGAGAAGACAGTGAAAAAGATGAAAGTGAAGACGAAGATGATGACTTCCCGAAAAAGAAGAAAGCCAAGATGAGTAAACACGATGACGGGTCAGCAGGGTTTTCTACCGCAGTGAATGCCATATTATCGTCTCACCTTAAGGCTTATGACAGGGCTGATCCGATCATGGCGAGAAACAAAGGCGTTTTGAAAAAAAGCCAGAAAGACAAGCTTGAAGTGAAAGCTAAAAAAGCGATCTTAGCCGAGAAGAAGAAGCTGTTGAACAAGACCAGAAAGAAGGACATCATTCCCGTGGTGCCAGAATCCGAATCCGGTGAAGAGATCAGAAAGATATTAGAAAAAGAACGTAAGCTCAGAAAGATCGCTCAGAAGGGTGTCGTCAAGCTATTTAATGTCGTCTTAGCCACCCAGGTGAAAACAGAGAAGGAAAACGCCGATAAACTTGATGAAGTGAAAAATAAAGGTGCAAGGAAAGAGCTTTTGACGGACCTCTCGAAGGAGAGATTTTTAGATCTCGTTAAAACCGCCGGCGACCCTTGAGATGTATTAAATTTAGCATTTTTGTATATTAGAATAGAAGATTAAAACTACCTACCTTTCATCATCACTGCTTGCCCAAGTAAATATGCTTTAAAACCCCAGTCCACCATTAGAGTAGGCCATTGGCTTGATATCAGGATGTTTTACAGCTTCAAACGTATCGATAATGAGGTCCTCATCGTCATTCCCATTGCGTCCAATTGTTCCTTGCCCTGGAACGACATGTATGACGCCACCCAGGTTGCCTTGGGCGTCACAATAATTAGGGGCGCTGAACACAGTCACGAGTTTCTTATTGTGTTCAAATTCAACTCCGCTCATTCTGACTTCATGAGACCTGAAGATTTTAGCCAAGTTATTGTCAGAAAGAAACTTCGCAGTTACATCAGGTCCGAAGGCATAGCCCAGGCCTCTTTGGGAGGGTCCCAAACCATCAGCCACTTGAGGATCAGACCACAAAAGTTCCATGAATGGTCCTTCCCGAGGAGGTTGTGAGAACCTTTCGATTTTCTTGAAATCCTCCAAAGTGACCGAAGAATCGCTACTCAGACCTCCATGCATGACCAGATATTTGGAATTGATTACAGTCGCCAAAGGAAGACTTTCGAAACTCTTTGAAAACATGTCAAAAATTCTGGGAGAGTATTTGTGCTTACACTCGTCTTCGAACCCATAAATCTTGTTCATGTTGTCAGTCTCATGATTACCTCTGTTGAGAAAGATCTTCTTTGGATGCAGAATTTTGAGGCAGTAAAATAGAAAAGCGACCTCGCAAGACCATGACCCACGGTCTACAAAATCACCATTGAACAGGTAAGTGTGATTTTCAGTGACTTTACCAAACTTTTGGAAAATATTCAATACGTCGTAAAATTGCCCGTGCGTATCACCACAGACAGATATCTGCTGCTCAGGCATTCTAACGTTATTAAGCTCAACAACAGCGGGTTCTTCGCGGAACAGACGTTCTGCATGTGAAATGATAGCAGCCGCATACTGTTTTGGCAAGTTAATCGCTTTTAAGAAAACATCATTGACAAGCGAAGACACGAACTCTTGACTCATGTTTGTGACTCGGGCACCAGCAGGATTCCCATTTTCGTCTTTCAATTGCTCGATTTCCAATTTGGGGCCGCTGTATTTCTTTATGTCGTTATATGCGTCAAAAGACGACAAATTGAGCGTCGCGCATACATTTACCTTATCTTCTGAGTCGGAACCGCTGATCGCCTTTTTAAATCTTTCGGCTCTCACAAACTTCTCGCACATGTCTAGAGCACGAAGAGCCGTGGGTTCATTGGGCTTTGCTTTAAGCACAATCCTGAGATCATTTCTGGCTTTATTGAATTGCAACAGCCCCACGTACGCCAATCCTCGTCGGTGATACCCTTTGATATTTTTTGGATCCAGCTCCAGAGATTTATCGCAGTCTTCAAGAGCCGACTGAAAATTGTCAAGTTTTAGATGAGCAAAAGCCCTGTTGGACAAGTAAATCGATTGTCTATCATCGAGCTCAATCGCTTTGGAATAAAATTCAACGGCCTGAGGGAAATTCTGTTCTTTTATACACACGTTCCCGCTATTTTTGAACTCCAATGCTTTAGCAGCGTTTCCAGCTGAAACTGAACTCATTGAGGAAACTTAACGCTCTTGGCTTACGTTGCGATGCCCGTCTGAAGTAGTTGGATTTTTTTCATTTTCTATATTTTTTTTTCCCACCAGTGAAGAAATCTAGCAAGCCAACATGATCTGATCTGCCAAGCCAACAACATCAAAAACGTCCAAAATTCAATGCCATATCCTCAATATTTTGATACCTTTAGAAGTGGTTCAATTACATTTAAACTTGCTTAAAAAAAAGAGCTTTTCTCCTTTTTCTCTCCTATGCCTCGACGGTGCGTCCCGCAGAAATTTTTGAACTGATTTTCAAGATCTAATTAAGCCAGACCCTGGTTTTGAATATGGGGGAGGATCGCATTAGGGGCTCGAGATTGATAGACCCCTCATTTCTTTGTTCGCTGTCATGAAGGAAGGACTAATGATGATTGGTAATATTATTCTACTTCACGACAATTTTTATTTTCTGTAAATTAAAATTATTCGGTCTCTTGGCCCAGTTGGTTAAGGCACCGTGCTAATAACGCGGGGATCAGCGGTTCGATCCCGCTAGAGACCATTTTTTGACTTTAGGAAATGGTTTCCTCACTTTCCGTTATCTGGTGTTTAAATCAAAGAATGCGATTTTGAATGCCTCATTAAAATATTTATCCAAATTTAAGCGGCTTTACCATTGCACTCCTTCTATGTAAGTGCCAAACAACTGGCCCATCTCTTCGAATTCGAGTGCCGGAAGGACCTTGATTTTCTTCGTAGTCTCTGCCTTCAACAGAGAATCATAGGTCCAATCTAAGAAATCTTCCAAATTGTAGCTTGGCTTCTTGAATGGCTGAGAGAAAATCTTGGCTAGCGTGGCAATGTTGGGATGGTAATGATTTGTCAAAGATGCTAATTCCCAAAGCGAACTTTCGATCGCGCGCGTATGCTCCGGGTTGGGCTCATTCATGTCGAAAGGATCTTTATAATCGCTTTTTCTCTGTTTTAGCAACGCCAACTCTTCTGGAGTAGCAAAAGGGTGCGTCATGAAATCAGGGTCATGCAACATGACCATGCAACTGGGATGCCTCTTGATTAGGTTGTACACGAGAGGAATAACGGAGATGATGGCAGACGGTGGCGAATCCAGCGTTAGTCTTGCGAACCGCTTAATGAATGAGGCCACCAATCCGGCTGAGATATGGGTCGATGACAGAAACAGGTCCGTCATTCTTATGAAACGAGAACGGTATTTGACATGCATGAGGTCGACGGTCACGAGTTGATATAACTTAACGTAGAAATTGGGATATTCCAAGTTGTATCGCCTCATCAATTCAAATAGACCGTTCAAAGCTAAAATGGAAATAACTCCGTTGCCCACATCGTAAGAATCAGTTAAAAAATCCATTAGCTTCGTGGGGGTCGCGAAGTGTGGAATTATCCTTTTGTGCAGAATTAACAAAAGTGTCTTGTATTGACAGTTCAAAAGACCGTCGCGTCCCAAGAACCAAAGATAATTTTGCTCCAAGTTCGCCTTGAATTGTGTTTCGCTCTCCATTGCCTGTGGAGGCTGCGGAACGTACATGTCCAGTTCGGCCTCGGCGCTAGAGTAATGATTGTCGTGATTGACCAAGCTTAGCCACTTGGCAAGGAGCTGTGAATGGTCTAGCTTGTCTAAAGTGCCATCTCTTATTAGATTGGAGAGCTCAGCTTGGAAGTAATATTGCAAATCAACAAATTTTTGATAGTACTTGTCGGAAAATTCTTGCAGAACCGGGTCTGTGGAATGCCCCGTGGCAGCATCGATGCTTTGCGGAATACTAGATTGGAATAGGGCCGCTATCAGCGCTTTTAGGGTCTTGTTGGGAAAAAAAGCAGCCTCCGGTTTCGATGCGAAATATATGGACTCTAGCTCCAAAAGTTGTATGTAAACATCCAAACAGTCCAAAGCTAGCGAATTTTCGAACCTGGTCGAGGATATGACTTCCAAAAGTCTTGCTTTGAACGACCCATACACTTTACGACACCACAGAAAAAGCTGCTTTTCGTTATCATTGGACGCTAGCGAGGGGTTTAGTTGACCTAATTTAAAAAATTTGGTGAAGATTTGCTTGAGAGACAAGGTTAGAAACCGCAGATTACTTTCTATTTCGAAAAACTTCGTCTCCTCCAAGCCAGATATCTGTTCATATTGGCCAACTAGTCTCAAAATTTTGTTGTATTGTTTTCTGTCCCCACTCGACGTGATTTGCTTGGTAGCCTGCCGTATTTCGTCCACCGACAGCACCATCTTGGCTAATGTCGTATTCTCTTCTATTGATCTGTATTAATCTCATCCCATCTCATCTCATCTCTTTTCTTCTAGAAAATTTTCCATATACGCCGAACCAACGACGTACATGATTATGTTCAGATTTACCGAGAGTCTGACAGACGACGAGATAAAACATGACACGAGCTACCCAAAGACAACCTTAAACAGTACTGGCCTTTCCTGGGAGGCCAGCAGGAGCAAACTAAACCTTTTCGACTTCAGGGAAGAGAATGATGCGCGTCGTTTGTTCGCCATAAAACGACAAAAACACCATCAAGACTAAAACTAATCCTAATTCAGGGCTTGAAGAACGCATTCCTCTCGTGGGCAATTCGCGCACAGCTCAGCTGGTTCTGCAGCCCATTTTAAGGTCTCAAACTTTCCATAGTTTGGTGCGTGCATAGCTCTATGACACGTTCGACCGGAAACTCCGACAGCTCTTCAAATAATCTTATCTCCTGCCCAAAAAACTCAAAGTATAAAGTAAAGGCCGGCGTTCATATTACAATAACTCTTATCCTCGAAAACTTTGTACAGGCGTTACTTTATATATACCGCGACTGTAGCCCTAATGCCAACTTAAAACTATTTCGTACGTTATGCTTTGAGAAAACTATATAAGAAAACGAAATCATTCACGGTCCTCGCCGATATACTCCCAACAAACCATATGACCTTCCAAGTTTTATTAAGAAGAGGATGATCCTATTTGCGACATAATTCGAACAATTCTTCTTGCGGGCAGCTCTTCAGCTGCTCTCGAGGTTTTGATGGAGAAAGTGGTTCCTGCGCAGCCATTAATCTTGTTACATTCTCAGAATGCACAAGGACACTGTTAGAAAATTCTGATTCTTACAAAAATTATCAAGGAGATCTCGGTCATCATCGTAGCTTACCACGCAACGGACGTCTGGCAGGCGCCAGACGTCCATTGTGTGAATCCAAATCGGTAGAAGATGTGAACATCCCCGCACTAAGGTGGGAGCGATTTCAGAGATATTGGGTCGCGCCTGTATTGTTTGAGTCGTGGAGTCTACCGCTGCTCTTTGATGGGGTACAGAAATCGGCTGACTGGCGCATGAAACTTGGCCTTTTCACGTAAGTTATCTGTTTCTTATCGCGATAAAAGTAACCATTTGATATGCGCCGGACATTCTTTCGAGGAGTCTGCAAGAGGCCACCTTCGCGTCATTTACCAAGAAATTTTACGAAATCTAAACTTGTAGTGTCACCTTGAATATCACATTGTAGTACCAGCGTGAGTCATGTGTACGGCGCGCTTTTCACCTTTTTCACGATGATAGGGTATCAGCGATTACTCACAGGAAGAGTGAAAAATTTTTGAATCATTATAAAAATCAGGAACCGGAATAGCGATCTTTACCATAATTGAGGGTCTTTTAACAGATTTAGGTGGAAAATCCCATTCGAAACAGTTAATAATGTGTGGAATTTTCGCTTGCCACAGGCACGAATCGGTCGAAGATTATAAACAAAAGGCGCTACAGCTCGCCAAAAGAATCAGACATCGTGGTCCTGATTGGTCCGGTAACGTGATCAAAAACAAAACTATTCTAGTTCACGAAAGATTGGCTATTGTCGGCCTCGACTCCGGTGCCCAACCTATCACTTCTCAAGATGGCTCCTACACGCTTACCGTCAACGGTGAAATCTACAACCACATCCAGCTCAGAGAGGAATTCTCTGAGTACCCATTCTCTACGCTCTCGGATTGCGAGCCTATTATCCCGCTGTACGAAAAATACGACATAGACGCTCCAAAGTATCTGGACGGTATGTTCGCATGGTGTCTGTACGATGCCAAGAAAGACCGTATCGTTGCGGCCAGAGATCCAATCGGGATTACGACATTGTACATGGGCAGATCGTCCAAGTCTCCAAAAGCCGTGTATTTCGCTTCTGAGCTGAAATGTCTCACAGAGGACTGCGACAGCATCATCGCTTTCCCACCGGGTCACGTATACGACTCTGAAACCGACGAGATCACGCGCTACTACACTCCAAACTGGCTGGACGAAAGCCGCATTCCAACCGAGCCCGTAGACTACAAGAAAATCCGTCATTCGCTGGAAAAGGCCGTCAGAAAGAGACTCATGGCAGAAGTTCCTTACGGTGTTCTTCTTTCTGGCGGTCTAGACTCGTCACTGATCGCCTCCATTGCCGCTAGAGAAACTGAAAAAGTCAACAAGGAAATGGACGTCGCTCAGTACGACTCCGAGGCCAGACATCTGTCCGGTCTGGACGACTCGGGCCGTCTGCGCAGCGCCGGATGGTCGAGCTTACACTCTTTTGCGATTGGTCTCCCCAACGCGCCTGACCTTCAAGCTGCCCGTAAAGTTGCCAAGTTTGTTGGGTCCATTCACCACGAGCATACTTTCACCTTGCAAGAGGGCCTTGACGCTCTTGACGATGTGATTTACCACTTGGAGACCTACGATGTCACCACGATCAGAGCATCTACACCTATGTTTTTGCTTGCCAGAAAAATCAAAGCCCAAGGTGTCAAAATGGTGCTCTCCGGTGAGGGTTCCGACGAGATTTTCGGTGGCTACCTTTACTTCGCACAGGCGCCTTCTGCTTCCGAGTTTCACGCGGAATCTGTCAAGCGTGTCAAGAACCTGCACTTGGCTGACTGCCTGAGAGCCAACAAGTCGACGATGGCGTGGGGTTTGGAGGCGCGTGTGCCCTTCTTGGACAGAGAGTTTTTGGACCTGTGCATGAACCTCGATCCAAAGGAAAAGATGATCAACCAAAAGGAAGGACGCATCGAGAAGTACCTGTTGAGAAAGGCCTTCGACACCAGCGACGAGCCAAACGAAAAGCCTTACTTACCAGAGGAGATTCTATGGAGACAGAAGGAGCAGTTCTCGGACGGTGTAGGCTACTCGTGGATCGATGGTCTAAAGGACACCGCCGAGGCCTCCATCTCGGACGAGCAATTCAGCCAACCAAAGCCAGAGTGGGGCGACGACATCCCTACCACCAAGGAAGCGTACTGGTACAGACTCAAGTTTGACGCTCTTTTCCCACAAAAGACAGCTGCTTCTACCGTGATGAGATGGATTCCAAAGGCCGACTGGGGCTGCGCAGAGGATCCTTCCGGCAGATTCGCCAAGATCCACGAGCAGCACATCGACAACAAATAAGCCGGTGGTGCGATGCCGCTGAATATGTACATACGTGATGATATGCGACCGCTCCTGTGTAACCTACTTACTTAAACTTATAGATTCGCCCGTGTGTCTGGCCCATATGCTCTGGGTGTTGTGCACTGTGTTGCCCGGTGTCACGTGACAGACATTTCCCATGATACATCGCTGCTATCCCAAAATCGTTATTATATCTACAGATTATTTATGCCCTCGTAAATCATTGCCTTGTAATTGCCTTGTGGCGTTCAAGCCGCCGTTCATAGCGAATGCACCGGCGTCAGCGGAATCGCCAGCACGAAAGGCCCCATTTCCGTCACGGAAGTCGAAGCTCCGTATCCTACTGCCGCGCTGTTACCATTGCCGTTGCCGCTGCCTACCTCGAGCCCCCGGTGGGTAGCCAAAGGCCAGCTCTTACTCTGCGCCGTAGGCAATTCAAAGCGTACATGGTGCGCGTCGGCCGACGCTCGGCCACCTTTACTTATCTCCGCGCTTGCGATTCCACTATGCGGCCTTCCGTCGAGCGAGACGGTTCGCCTCTTCCGTTCCGCGGAACCGTGTGGCCTGCCTTTCGGCAGCCGCCTTTTAGATTTTAAATGTTCCGGATCCGAGCTCGTGATTCTCCTGGAGCTCGCTGACCCACGTGACCTACTCTGGCCTTGCTCATCAGACCGATTCGTAGACGCTCTAGCGAGATCCGCTGTCAAGCTCATAAGGCGCCACGCTTTGACCACGGGCAGTCTGGTGAGATTCCATAGCGAGTTGAAACTGGCGCTCGATTCTATGTTCATACTTAGTCTGCGAATACTAACAACGTGGTTTACCTCCATCGTTTCAGTCTTGCGCTTACCGTGCAATACAATTAGCTTACGAGACCTTTATACGCCGGCCGTAGACGTTCTTTTATATATTTTACGTGTTTACGCTTCTCTCACTAAGGATGCGCTTTTGTCATCCCCGCAGGGTTGTGCACACTATTGTCATCATGAAATGCAGGACCCTCCAGCGGATATAAAATACACATTAGCCGCACTCCGCGGAAACCCGTGCTTATAGTAGCATGCAGCGGCGCAAACAAACCCGCCGTATACCCGCGCCGGGTGCGGATGCGCTACGGAGTTTGGACGGAAAATGAGTAAGCGTTCTTTCGTACATAACGCCCTTCCTGTTCACACGGCGTGTGCACGGGTGCACCTCGCGCGGAGAACGGAGAACGGAGGACGGCGTTGCGAGAAGTGATGAATCCCTGACGGAGCAAGCGTGCTATATCGGCCTTCTTTTGTGCGTGGTCCTCTGTCGGTGGGCCTTTCCCGGTCCAGAAATCTGGCTTAGGCGCGCTATGCAGCTCCAAGTCTGGTAACTAGCTAGCTGACGGAGCGGAGCGGTGGAGAGCGGTGGAGAGCTGTGAGCGACTGGGAGCGGCGGGGAGCGGCTGGGAGCGGAAAAGAGCGGCGCGCAGCGGCCTTCCGATATCCGCGACATCCAGACACCGCGGCACGTAGATTTATCATGTTTTACGAATAAAAGCACCCGTAGGTCGCACAAAAACAACAGCTCAGCGGTTATCCCTTCTTTGCTTCGTACACACCACAAAGAAGGGACGCCTGAGACAGAAACAAGGGCTTTTGTGGGGCATTGAAGCTCATATATCTGTAGGCGAAAGGTGGCAGAGCTTGTGGGTGCCGGCGACCCGAAGCGCGGCTTCGCTCGGGGCTTCTCCTACGTCGCTGATTTCCGTGTAACGTGCGGACCGGAATCGATAGAAGTGATGACTGCGGTGACTCCCGGTCACGTGGTACTAGGGCTTTTTTTTTCTTTACCTCTCGTCGCCATTCCGTGCATGCATCGTTTTTCCCTGTGGAATTTTTTTTCCCTGATTCTTTTTTTCTCTCACTTCGTTTTCCGCTTTGTCGCGGCCCCGTCCTTATCAGCAGAAAGAGCGGCGTTTTGGTCTTGTCGTCGGGCTCTCAGAGGCCTAATAGTAATTCTTGCTCAGGCTGACTCCATTTCACCGTTTGGAGCTTCTCGGTGTCGAGTTCAACAACCATGCACGAGCCGCGCATGCCATCGTCAAAGGCAAGAAACAGGCAATCCATCTCTGAAGCCATATCCGTGTCGCTCGGATTGCAGTCACACGCAGCGCCGGGTTCGCCAGGCGTCGATTTTAACCGGTCTCGGACGATATCAAGCGGCAAAGATTCGGCGCTTTCCCCGAGCTATCTCGGGAGGTCCTACATGGGGTATCTTTCCAAGTCGCACGCGTCCAAGGACAAGCACATGCCGCCCGCAGAATACCTGCCGATTGCAACAGACCGCTCCCGATCCATCCACGAGTCCAGCAAGGTTCACCGCGAAACCGCAGCCTTGTCCAATACGTTTCGCGACACGTTGAGTTTGGACGAAAACGAGGACGCTCCAAAGCTCAATTCCGACAACGCGGCCGGAATCGACGAGTTGCCGCCTTCCGACTCTGCTGTCACCCCTGTCAGCAGCCATTCTTTAGCCGGCGACGTCGACGCGAGCGCAGAGGAGTACACGAGACTTTTGTCCCCGACTTCAAGTCATTTGCTCGAATACGGTAGCTCGGACCCTACCTTTGGCGAGCATCACGTTTCTGACAATTCCTGGGCCACGGGACAGCACCAGTACGCCGCGCGACGCAATTTCTCCTCTCTCAAAGCAGAAGCAGGATTTTATCTCAAGAAGTCACTCGGATATCTGCCCGCGGTTGTCCTTGGTCTCCTTCTCAACATTCTGGATGCTCTTTCTTACGGTATGATCATTTTCCCCATAACAGAGCCAGTGTTCTCACATCTGGGCACTTCAGGCATTTCTATGTTTTACGTCTCCAGCATTGTTTCACAACTCATTTTCTCTGGTGGCTTTTCCTCTTTTGGAGACGCCATTGGAAGCGAAATGATTGAAATTACTCCATTTTACCATGCGATGGCAGGTTCCATCATGCGCTCTTTGCCCGGTCAAGACAATGAAATAATCAGCACAACAGTGGTGTGTTACGCTTTGAGTTCAATGGTAACGGGCATCGTCTTCTATCTTTTAGGCAAAATGCGCCTTGGCAAAATTGTTGGGTTTTTTCCTCGTCATATCCTCATAGGGTGTATCGGCGGTGTTGGATATTTCTTGATAATCACTGGTTTCGAAGTTAGCACCCGTGTTGCGAAATTCGAATATAACAAAGAATTCTTGTTTTCTTTGTTCACATCTTTAGACCTATTTGCGAAATGGGCATTCCCCTTGGCACTTGCCGTCATTCTAATCCTGATACAGCATCTTTTTGACAATTCTTTGGTTCTGCCGACATTTTACATCGTTGCTCTGGTTTTATTTCATTTCATCGTGGCAATTGTCCCCGGGCTTTCTCTAGAGGAGCTGCGTAAAATTGGTTGGATATTTGACAAAACTTCTTCATCTGAGCAATGGTACGACTTTTATCGGCTGTACAATTTCAAAGCTGTCCAATGGTCCTTGGTTTTACAACAATTGCCAACGATGTTAGCGCTGACGTTTTTCGGCATTCTCCATGTTCCAATCAACGTACCAGCGTTAGCAATTAGCGTTGGCGTTGACAAATTTGACGTGGACAAAGAACTTATCGCTCACGGCTACTCAAATTTTTTCTCCGGCCTCATAGGATCTGTCCAAAATTACTTGGTTTACACGAACAGCATGCTTTTCATTCGCGCCGGCGCCGACAGCTCGCTCGCGGGTCTTCTTTTGGCACTGGCAACTTTTGGTGTCATGGTAACTGGTCCCGTCATTGTTTCATTCATTCCGATTTGCATCGTCGGGTCTCTCATCTTTTTGCTCGGGTATGAACTGATTAAAGAGGCTCTCTATGATACATGGGGCAAGCTCAATCGCTTTGAATACTTGACTGTTGTTATCATTGTGTTTACTATGGGAGTTTTCGATTTTGTTTTAGGAATCATCGTAGGCATACTAATTGCCTGCTTTTCATTCCTTGTGGATAGCACAAAGCTGCAGACAATCAATGGCGAATTTGATGGCCAAGTTGCAAGAAGCACCGTATCCAGGGATTTTATTCAAACTAAGCTATTGAATAAAGTAGGGGATCAGATCTATGTTTTAAAATTGCAAAATCTACTCTTCTTTGGAACTATTATCTCGATCGAGGAGAAAATTGACAAGCTCTTGGAACTTAGTGAGAAGAACGCTGCAAGACGGAAAATTAAATATCTCATTTTGGATTTCAAGAACATAAATGCCGACAACATCGATTATTCTGCTGCTGAGGGATTCAATAGAATTAAAAGGTTTACAATCTCGAAACGCATCCAGCTTATAATATCCTCGATTACCGAATGGGATTCCATATACACTGCTTTTAACAAGGTTGGACTACTCGATGGTGTCGAATTGTTTGGAGACCTGAATAATGCTCTTGAATGGTGTGAAAACGAATTTTTAAGACAGTACGGAGATTTGCAGCACAAACGCAAAAACAGACCTGCTAAATCTCAGAGCGAGGCCCCAAAACAGCTTCTACCTATGAACACTCCGCGGAATACCCAATTTGTTTCTGCGGTACAAAAGCTTTATCTTGATGAGCAGCGCATTTCGAGCATTAAAAAGAAGTATTTGAATGACCAGCCAGTTCTCAGTCATCTTTTGGTAGCTCTGAAGGCATTTAGACCCCGCTTAATGTCAGCCGACAAGGATGCCAGAGAAGCAGAGGAGAGACTGTGGTCTCAACTTGGTAAGTACTTCACCAAAAAAAGACTCGCTGCTCACTCTGTCTTATTACACCAAGAAAACGTGTTTTTCCTCATTGAAAGCGGAATGATGAAAGTGAAATATAATCTTCTTCAGGGCCAAATTTATGAAATTTTGGCAAGTAGGACATGCTGTGGCAGAATAAGTTCTGATTTGTCTGGAGAACATGAAGGGCCTGAATTTTTTGTGGAGATGAGCACGGAAACGGACTGCAGTATTTGGATCATTGACACTTCTGCTCTTCATCTACTCAGAAGTGAAAATTTACCTCTCTTCACGGAACTTCTGCTGTTGTGCATCGGCATGCAGGAGCAGAGGTTGGGACAACTTCTAGGATATTGTCTGGTAAGCAGTTAACTTTATATTGCTGACTTGAGATCACAGATTATTCTAATAGCATCTTTTTTTAATTGGCCCCTCGCGCATCTATCTCAACTTCAAAATATTTATAGAATTGTTTACCAAAGCTGACTTTCAGGTATCTTCAATAATGTTGTGTGTGGTTTGAAAAAAAATATCGACCTTTGCGAATCATTTATTCAATCATACGTTGACATAGAGTTCGGGCCGCATCATATATTCTGTATTGTTGATTAACTTATTTTACATTTAAATATAGGCTGGTTACTAAGCAAATATTTACTTATCTTCTTGATTTCATAGCAGAACTATCGGAACCGCCAACAGAGCACCTATTTTCAGCTTGCCTGCCAAATTTTGATAAGTCGATACGGAAAAAGTATAAGCACCTGAGGTAGAGACGGAAGAAGCGCTTTGTAATGGATGATGAACAGTAGTAGGTTCCGAAGACTCATTGCCACTGCTAGGAGCGCCGCCAGAAGTCGATCCACTGGAGGAAGGCGTTTGAGACCCACCCGATCCAGCCCTAGCAGGCTCATTTGCTGTCCGCGAGCTGACACTGCCAGAGGAACTACCAGCTTCTCCAAGGTTGGGAGACATTGGTCCACTGGGAGAAATTATCGTTCTGGACCCTGTATTTCCACTTTCCGGAGGACCGGTTGTCGGCGCAGTGCCTCCAAGAGTAAATTTGTCTGGGAGCCTAGCGGAGGAACCAGTTGATAAAACCTCACGAGGTTCATTTCCTGTGTTAGAGGCTGAAGAGCCGTCACTTTGCAGCGGCAATGGCGCGTTAGTTGCCGTGTTGGTGTTTACTGAATAGGCTGCGGGATGAGTTGGCACTTCCCCATCAGGTTCAGTTCCCGTGTTAGAGGCTGAAGTCCTAGTACTTTGCGACAGCGATGGAGCGTTGGCTGCAGTATTCGCGTTTCCTAATCCATTCGTTGTCGTAATCCACGCCGAAGTAGTACTTGTGACTTCATTCGATGGCAGATTGGATGTCCTTAAGGTCCTACTTATAACAGACGCAGTTTCAACCGAGCTTAGGATGCCGCTTGAAGCGCTTGACGAGGATTCCATTCTTTTAGTTGAAGTAGACGATATTGGCGCAAAAGTATGAGAGGTTTGACTGTCAAATGAACTAGACTGAGTGGAGGTTTTGAAAACATGAGAGGTTGTGTTTTGATAGAACGCGCCTGTTGGAGTTCTAACATAATAAACATTTCGTTGAGTTGTCTCGTCATTGCTTCCAGTGATTATTCTCGTAATAGTAGAATAAGTTGAAGTCAAAGATCCAGTCCAACCAGTATATTCAGTAGATGCTTCGACCAATGGTATAGGGTGGGATCGGGTTTGGATAGTTTGAATACTTCCACTACCAATGGATGTAGTGACAGGGGTGGAATAAGTGGGCGCGCTAGAGCTCGTCCCGCCTAAAGAAACAAGTTCAGGTGTTTCGACGTAAAGTATGGTTCGCAAGCTTGGGTAGCCGTCACTGCCAGTGAAAGTTGAAACACCGGTGGAGTAGGCAGACGCAAACGATCCCGTCCAACTGGTCAACGAGGTCGAGACCTGACCTGGGGCTTCAACGTAGTAAACTACCTGAGTAGTTGGGTTGCCGTTGCTATCAGTAAAGGTTGAAGCACCAGTTGAGTAGGTAGAAGTAAATGATCCGGTCCATCCAGTGTATTCAATAGAGGCACTTAATGGAGTACCAACGTAGTACACGATCTGGGTGGTTGAATTGCCATTACTACCAGTAAACGCGGCGACGCCAGTAGAGTAGGTGGAAGCGAAAGTTTCAGACCAGCCGGTGTATGATGTCGTGGCTAAAGCTGGTGTCTCCACGTAATACACCGTCTGAGTGGTTGGGTTGCCATCACTACCGGTGAAAGTAGTCCCGCCAGTGGAGTAAGTAGACGTCAAAGATCCCGAACCCTGAATATAGGAGGTGGTGGCATGAACTGGGACCTCGACAAGATACAATCTGCGCGCGAAAGTAAATCCATCGGCAAGTGTAATCATTGTTGTACTAGTGGAGTAAGTGGAGGTGAAAGATCCCGTCCATTCACGAACCGAAGTTGAACACGGGGCAGAAGTCTGATAAATNTGAGCTGCCCATGCTCGTGCCAAGAACGCTACTAGGCAGGACGCTAACAGGAACCTGTTCATATATCAGGTATTGTTTTGTCTAAATGGGATATTGCACAGAACTGGATAGCGGTGGAGCAAGTTGGATGAGCAGAAACCTTTTACTCAGTTATTTGCATCCTTCCTTGGTTCACTCTTTTGAGTAGCAAAGCGCCTGCGATGCTTCCGGTGCGGAGGCTCGACAATCACGGCAAGCGCGCAAACTCTTGACCGAGGCTTTCGAGCTCTCAAGATAAAGATTGTCTTAGGATCCACATCTCGCACCCCGGAGCTCGTGCGATTTCGCGCTCAGTCTGTTTCTGACTACCAGCCTTTCCTTTTTACGAGTTGTTGCCACCAGTGAACCTTGAAGACTTCACTTTCCCGCTGGATGTCTTCCTCGAGACGAAGAGCTCTTAGAACGTTGTCATAGATACCATGACACCTTCAAAGCAACCATGCAGGCCAAGGCAACCACCCGCTCGGGACCGCGACCGAGAGTAAGACTCGGCATGCAACAACAGCTTAAAAAGGTATCCTATTTGCCGTTTTTCGCATGAAGCGGGCCGTTTCCTAAGAACAAGTTTCCAGTGGTGACGCCAATCATCGTTTATTTTTCATAAAACTGCAACGGCTCAAGAAAGGTAATGGTTTACGACACTGCAGAAGGTCGCATAACACTGTTAACAGTCCAGTCTTGGTATCATTCTAGCAAACCTCCAGAGGCTCCCCGATTACAGCAGAAACTTGAGCAGAAGCTGATTAGCTTTCCAAGTGAAAAATCGAAAAGCTCTCAACGAGATGTGGGAAACGGCGCTTGCATAATGTTAACGAAGACCTATGTGATGTTCATTGACTTGCCGTGCACGTTCGTTTGCCGGACCGTTTCCTTTCGTGCCTGTCTCTGAAATTGTTTTTCTTGCAACCAGCTCGAGCGAAAGTCCTCCTAGAGCACCTAACATGAGCCATGTCCAGTTTAGTTAACGGTGATCTTGTGAGTTTCGTGCAAGAGGAGCCGAGGGTAGTCGGGCGTAGCCATGACAGTGACCATTGCCGACAATGGATCGCACGTTGGCATTGCAGCAACTCACAGCGTCCGATAGCCATGAACTGCAAGAGGCGTTGGCCACTATGCCTTAGAGATGCCGCACGATGCAAGTAAGGCGTGCCTTGAAAAGCTCTTTGGTCGCTGGCGTAACTTAAAAACCCCTCGAAGCTCACACGTACATAATCATGCAGCGCAAATCGTTCCGATTACCTAAGACCGACCCGCTATCACCGGCTTTCGTATTGAGAGAAGCGTTGTCGTTCGGCTAACTTCGCTTTCCGAACTAATGAATCTGCTTCTCCAGCGAGCTGCAGCCGTTGAAGGTTAGTGCAGAGCGCAAGGCTGAACTCCATTTTTCAGCCGTTGGAGTGACAATGGGACTTAGGGCGTAGAAAATTGCGTAATTTCACGCGACGAACGTCGGGTGCGTAGAGACTTAGGCTGTCGCGCGTTGATCAGTTGAGGCGATGATAGGCGGATAAAAAGGCGAACATAGACATCTTCTTGCTGTAAGACTCCCAACTTGCTTTTGACGCGTCTCTAAACGCGGCAAAGAGGCTTCCAGGTGTTCATTTGTGGGTCTTACCGCGACTTTCGAAACTTGACACAACCGCTGTGATTGCTCGAAAATGGGCTTTCCGTTGAATGATTTGTGTCCCTAAAGGCCCTGCACATACCAGTGAGCATGTAATCTAGTTTACTTTTGGACTGTTTGCAGATCCGATGGTTCTTTTATCCAAGGCCTTTGCATCTTTAATCCAATATTGAGTTTAAGTTTCGTAGTTTGGTATGTTCCTGTTTAATTTTCTGATTTTCATGTTTAGAAGCTGCAAGGCAAATTTCATCGAAGTTTATCCAACCGCGATGAGCACCGTCACGTCAACAAACATAGATTATTGTATATGCGCATTGCCAATCGAGAAACCTGATGACATCCAATTCTCTTGTTATATGAATGAAGCTGATGTTGGCCTAAGGAATACTAAATCACAAGATTCAATTCTGCCCAAATTTGGGCCACACTGTTTTGTCGAGTGTCGTCAATCCTCTGGCATGCAAGTATTTATATCATAAAGATCACCACATGCGCTTACGCTCTCTGTGTTCTACTACTTAGTTGTTGTTGTTAGCGGGAAGTACATTATGAGAGGTCAGCTATATTATTTGCTAGAAGCAATAGCAGGAGGTGATGTTTAGAATACTGCGATTCTTGCAGAGAACAGAATCGTCGCCGCGTAGTCATTGATGCGCTTGAAAACGAATTCGCAGTAGCCCGAAAAGCTTAAATATACTCTCTTAAGGCGGTTGACCGCATTCTTATTTTTTTTTATATGTTGAATGAACACTGGCTCGGACTTACGAACAACTGGTACTAAGAAAGAATGCTTCGTTAAAACACAGTAAGTTCTTTTAAAGGAAGAGTTCACCGCTGCATACTGTTTTTCTATGTCTGTTTAACTCATGGATGGTATCGAGAGAGTTTACGTTAGCGACGAGCTCGTCGTCGTCTGAGTGATTTGTAGATCAATGCAAGAAACTTTCTTCGATATGAGAGCAGGCCCAGACGTTGGCGGCGTAGCTGGCAATCCGCGACATTTCTGGGCTAAAGGGCTACCGCGATTGCTAGCACGGTCTTCTTGAAAATCTGATGGCATCTGGACCCCATTACGTCCCTACGTAACCTAAAAGCAACAAAAGGCGCGGGTGTCGCTTTACATAAATTGAAAGACCCATCGAGAAATTTCTCCAATCCCCTACCTATCGAGCTTGAATTGAAAATTATCAACAATGGTGAACCAAGGTAATCGTCCAGCAACAGAGTCGACCAGTGTCGACATGGAATTGTCGCCAACTTTGTCTTCCAAATCCGGGGATCCCCAGCCCTATGAGGGGGCAGACGACGTCAAAGCATCGGCGCCGGAGATGGACTCAAATCGTATAGAACAGGTCATGTCGCATAATGCAATTGAAGACAAAACCGAAACGCCCGATACCTTGAAGCGAGAGGGCTTGGACCTGAGGAAAAAAGCGCTACCGGATTTTAACAACCCAGCAATGAATGCGGACCAGAGTGAGTTTCCGGAGGAGTATCAAATCGAGACGGATACGGGTCTCGTGAAGGTCAAAACGCTACAGAAGCTGAACCGACTTGAGAGCCGCGGATCTGCTGCCTCGGCCAGCAAGCCCTCCTCGCCCTCTAAGGCCGCAGATGCAGACGCCGCAGATGAGGAAGAGCAGAAGAGCCCGTACGATGCCTCAAAACTACAGAAGGCTATTCACAAGAATGAGAAAGAGATAAACATGTATCACCATCACCACGGCTACGAGAAGTTTATCAACATAATGGACAAGCTTTTCAAGTAAGTCCCACACCTCGGCAAGACCTGAGTTACTGTCCCTACTGTTTTATTCAGTTTAGCTACCATTCCTTGCATAAAGCCGTGGCGTGGAAGCGTCAAAGGCCATTTACGAGCTTCGACGGCCACCCAGTTGCCGTGTATGAGTATCGGGCCCAAGAAATGGACCGTCAACAGCGCTTATGAATTCGGACCATTTTGTCGGGAAGCACTAAAGATGTGATCAAGTGGAGTAACCAGCTACTGAACTATTTCTCCCAGATTATCTTTACACAATCAACCTAGTTAAAAGGCACTGGATTCGCGAATCACCGGCTTATCTCCAATGCATACGTTTCACGTACCAAATGTTTCCATTCGTACTCTGCAGGTGTCTCTCATGGCTCGTTACTGCAGTGCACGCAATCCTGACACCTTTGTTGGCACGTTTCCAGTTTGTTTCCGTTTTGTTTCGCGCTTCCAATGTTTCTAAAATACGCAAAGCAACATAATTCACTTTCTCCTTCACATTTCCTTCAGCGGTCTGACAAGTTCGTGGAAAGAGACTGAATCGGCCCCAGTTGTCCTCAGTGCCACATTGACATACAAGGATCTCTTCTCAACGGTAAATCAATTATTTTCCACGGTTAGCTGTCCTTGACATCTTAGTCAAGACCCAGTTTTGGCCAAGCGTTTGCTTAGCATTTAATGACGAACGAGAAATCACTACTTGACTTCCCGTTCAGGTCCACCTAGTAAATCTATATAAACGGCATCAAAACTTTCATTTCAATATCGCAACTTAACCTTGAAGAGTGAACAAGGATGAAATCAGAAAACAAGAAGCCATTGGTCGACTGAATGTTTGAAAGGTAGGCTGGTGACAGTTTTTGAACTCGTAATGTGTATTTTATTAGCAACTTCAGCACATCCCAATTATCCCCTTATACTCATCTCCAACAGAGATGAGTTCTTCGAACGTGCGACAAGCTCTACACACTGGCACGGTGACGACGACCACATTTTGTCACCGGTAGACATGGCGCTAAATTCGAAGCTTGTGGCCAGCCAGGGCACTTGGTGCGGTGTCAATAAGAGTGGGTTGATAGCGGTAATTTTGAATTTGAAGACGAACCCAAACACGTCGTCTGGCGTGGACAAGAGTCCTTTTTCTCGTGGCTCGATTCCTATAGAATTGCTCAGACGCAAAACTATCAACTTTGATGAATGGGACGACTACGAAAAATTCGCTCAAAAGTTTACTCCACTGAAAGACACCGGTCCGTTCAATCTATTCTATGGAGATTGTCGCTCACAAGATTACAGGCTGATCGATTCGCTCGGTCAAACTTTTCTCCCGTTAACTCCTGAAGATCGGTATATGGTGGTCTCCAACGATGTCTACAATAGTACCAAGAAATGGGTCAAAATAGACACAGCAGAGGCGCTTTTGCATGAATTGGTTGAAACATCGCAAAATGATGACCTGGAAACCCTCATTGATAAGTGTCTCGTGTTGGGATCTTCTTGCGTGGAAAAACAAGGCGGGGGTCTCTTGTCGAGTGTGAAACTAGGCAGCAAGGAACAAATTTTAAGCGAAAACGTTTTCATCCCTCCAATCTTAGTGCCAGGCAATAATGACCTTGGCGCTTCCCTTCCCTGCGGCAGGTTTTATGGAACTCGATCCCAGATTGTTATAGTGATGGACAAAAACAGACAACTTACTCTAGTAGAAAGAGTACTCCATGATTGCGATAAAGATGCATCCCAATTTTGCCCCACAAATCCCAGGAAAGTTCTGGAGTTCAATTTTAATCTTAACGACATGGCGTGACTTCAGAGACTTTGGATTTGGGGAGCTTTGAAGAGCATAAAAATTAGACGTTTTGAGGTGGATATGCTGTATTGGCTCTCTTAATGACGGAGAGTTTCTAACTTCCTTCTCAATTTAAAACTTTTACAAGAAATCAAAATGCTTTTATCATGTTGGACACTCGGCGAAGTAGTAAGTTATTCTAAGCGAGACTTGGACGGTCTTATGCGCAATTTAGAGCTCTATATAATCAACGCTATATGCAGCATATGGTTGCTCTTTGTCCGTGACGCCCTCAGATAGGAGGGGCGAAAATGCATTGTTTATCTTCTTGTCATCGAGTAGTTCTAATAACTCGATGTTTCTCGCAACGGTATCCACATGCTCAGACACATACAGCGATAGCTTTTCTAGGGTCTCGGTTTCAAGTGCAAAAAGTCCTACAGCATCCAAAACCAAAGAGAGCAATTGAAATAGTCTCGATTTGTTTTTGCTCTTCTCTTCATCCAAGGCTTCACCAGTAACAAAAGTGATAAAACTGTGAAGGTCAACCTTGCTCAACTTCTTAATCTCTGTTTTAATCGCATCTTGATTAAAGTCTTGAAGAATCCGAAGAGAAATATCCATGCTGAGCTCATCATTTAGGACAGTGAAAAGTTCCTGTAGCAAGTCTGCCAAAGGTAGGTTTGGGCATGTAACAACAGCTTGCTTGAATAAGCGGGGCGAGTCTCTCAAATTGGCTAAAAGGTTCTCGGTATGTGATTTCGGAAACAAAGGATGCGTTAAAAGATAAGTGAGGGCTCGCGGATAATGTGAGTCAAACTTCTTAAAAATAGCACCGACAGTGTCACCTAAAAAGGAGGAATCCATCAAAAATCGGTCACGCTCGGTATAGAAATCTGATGTTATGCTCAAAGATTCAAAAAATATCTTATCAAAAGCTTCGAGGTTTTTTGCCTTTTGAAGACGAGCGAAAATATCGTGGTACGCGTAGATTTTGATTTCAGACGCCAATCTATCCACCAGTGGCTTCGTCACGGCACTCGAGTTCTCGTTTTTGAGAAAGCTCTTCCCTAGAGAATCCTTTAGGGTACCGGTCCCACAGTCGATATTTAACAAGTCCAGAGCGCTCCCTGGGTTTGGGCCCTGCTTCGTGGACACTCCAATTGCTAAGGTTTTGTTGGTATCCTTTGATGTCCCTGGAATTATGGCAGTCGATAAAATTTGAAAAGTTTTGAAGTTTGGAAGTGCTCTTTCGCTGAGCAATGCATTATGAAGCAAATCTACGAGATAAATCTTGTTGTCCACTGTGACTAGAGCCCTATTGATCGAAATGCCCTTGAAAGAAATTACCTCACCATCGGAAATAAAAGGAAGCGTTGTTGTGGCTTGCAGCTGGAAGTTTGGTAGTGAATAGATGGAGACTTTCGAATTACACAGTCTGTAAAGTTTCCCAAACTGGTAGAAAAATTTGCTGGTCGCAATTGGCACGTCTTCTAATACAATAGAGTTTAATTCGACGCTGGCAATCGGATCTTCGGCTAGCTCGAAAAGCTTGAAACAGGCCTTATTGTCACCCAGGTCCCCAACGACTATCATGAAGTCCTGATTTGGACCACTAGTGAAATGCTCTACCAAACCGACCCCTTCAAAACTTAAATCATTGACTTTTAAAAGTCTCAGTTTATGATCATAGGTTTGAATAAGACCATTTTCGAGAACCGCTGTAATTTTGTTTCTGGCGCCCGCTCTCACCTGTATGCTAATCGCCTTCGCCGGTAATTGAATTTGATTTGCAACATGCTCTTCATGGTCTTGGGTTTCTGTTGCAGACGAAATAGATGGCTTTGAGATGGCATTCAAACTGAAGTTTTTACTCGCAGCGAGCCCATAGCACCATAGCTCCTGTAGCTCAACGTCGTTTTCTTCTGACGTAATTTCTGCGACACTGCAAGCCGTAACAATGTGCGTTGACGGAATTGGTAAATTGTAAATTAGTTTCGGCGTCGGATTGACAATGTATTGTGCTATTGATTGGGCGGATATACCGATATTGATTTTGTTTTCGAACAAACTCAGAGGTTCTGCTACCTGCAAATATTCCATCTGAATCGCATAATTATTCAATGATGATATTTTGGGTAGCTGTGTCACCCTGAAGGGTTGCGAAATTGAAGGCATGCTTCTTTGAGAAACCTTCGAGGACTAAGGTTACAGTCTGATATAGTCTCAAAATGATCTCATCGCATCTCATCTCATCTTCGTCAATGGTAAAATTTTCAATATTTCTCAATTTTTCAGAAAGATCACGTGATTTCTTGATAATTCGTAATCCATCATGGAGCTCATCACTTGCAAGGCCCATTTCTAGCGAGGCCTTTCTTCAAGCCCTGAAGAGCTACAACTCGGCCAAGAAAGTTATGGATATAGAAAAATATGCGGAAAAGTTTGAGGCTTTGAAAAGACGCGGTGTTCGTGTTTCCGTGGATAATCGAAAAAAGCTGATCAAAGAAGAACGAGAAGTAGAAGAAACTGGTAAACCAAGAGTTTACAGCATGAAGGAAGAAGATATTGAGTCAAATGATGCTGTCGACGCAAATCATGTGAAAAAGGACTTACTTAACTATTCATTACGAGACTACGATAAGTGGAACAGCCGAGGTGTTGAGAAAGAGACAACTACGAGATCGAAAAATATGAAAAGCGACTTACAAGATCTAGCAAAGTCTACGTACGATAAAGACGTCAAAAAACTGGTAACCACTGCCCCAGGAGTGTCGAAACCAACTTTGAATTCTAGAGGGAAAATTGTAGCAAACGACGACTGGCGTTTGATCGATAAGCTAGCATCGTCATTGAAAAGAACCGCACGGGAGAGACACGAGGAACTGGGGAAAAAATGGAAAGCCCAGCATGAATCATCGGAGGTCGCCAATTATGTCAACAATAAGAATAAACAGTTTAATGCAAAGCTGGCGCGACAACTAAGGAAAACGGACGACTAGGCTTCGGCACCTTCAAGTTCATCCAGCGTCTTCATACTCGCTTCCAAATCTTGAACGCACTGTCTGTGATAAACTAGTTGCAAGTTGTGGAATAGTCGCACAAGCGACACCACTTCTACGCTGTCCGTGACGGAAGTCATGGCTTCAACGGCTTCAGTGGTACTCGAGACAAACTCGTCCTCTAAAGTTTCCAGGAGGTTATGTTCCTCATTTTCTTCAGCAGGAGGAACCTCCACTTCAGCTTTAGAAGCCTTGGGCTCTGATGTTTCGGACTTAGAAGTTTCGGGCTGAGGAGTTTCGTCCTTGGCTACTTCCGGAGCGTTCGCTGATGAGTTTGTTTCCTTATTTGGAGATGAGTCTGCAAGTGATTTCTCTGCATTTTCCGCCTCCGGCTCCTTTTTGGTCGTCGCCGTTTGGCTTTCTCTGACCTTGAGTTCGTAGCGCAAGGTGTCAAACTTCAATCTCGACTCTTCGACTTTTTTACGCAGCGCATGCACTTTTTTGAAATCTTCATCCAACATCTGTTTGATCTTGGAATTGAACTCTTTAGCCATTAGAGTGTCCATCTGCTCCTTTCCCTCATCGATGCTGCGCTCACACTCGGCCCAACTGTCTAGCATCTTACCTAGCGAAATCAGATCTTCGTCCTCTTCTTCCGGGTCATTGCCCGAATGCTGACGGCTCTCCTTTTCCAGGTCCGATACGATCTGGCCGCAGTCTTTGGCAGCTTTAGACAACGCTTGTGCGAAGGACCGGGGCAAAAAAGCTTCTGCCTCCTTCTCGTTTTGCAGATCCTTGCTGCCCTTACTTTTGTTCCCTATGAATCCGAAAATACCTTCCCTATTGGTGCTCCACCAGTCGCTAATGCTTTCGCTCAAGTTGGGAGGATAGTCGTATCCCTCAACCTCGAATGTCCTTGTCACAACCAAAATTCTGCGACAGACTTTCTCAATCGCATCGCATTTCTTCTCGAGGAGTTGATACTGCGGAGGTAACTGGCTGATATCGTCAACTGCTCCCAGAGTTTCTTGGAGGTAACGTGTACGCGTTTTGAGCGATAGTCGGGCTTGCGGATCGTCCAATTGCATGTTTGCAATTGCCGAGTTCAATTTGTCTTGTGTTTTGTGCGCCGCATTGGACAAGGTATCCGAAAGCTTGTTAATTGTGAACCCATCGAAGTAACCTGACATCGTGTATTGATCGCTACTTTAGGCTATTAACAAGAGTTCATATCTGACGGGATTCCATCTTGATAATTGAAAGTTAATGGGAATCTTCTGATTACGTGACGAACCGTGTTAGATGACTACGTAGACCTTTGAAGGCAAACGATGTTAGCTGATCAACTAGTAAGTTGTTTAAACTATAGGGTCTTATCAATAAAGGAGAATAACATCTCTACGGGACGAAGGCGAGCAAACCAGGTGGATACCCATGCTTGAGGTTTTGAATTACGCGCTTTGAGCTTACGGCACGATCCTTTAATTGTCAAAAAAATTACTTATTGTTACAAGGCAAACGGCTTACAATGAATTTTCGCAAGATATCAAGCAGTTCAGAAAAGATATCGCGTTAAAATTATCGATCCTACCTTACCTGTTCTTTTGATATCTTTTCTCAGGGGTCTCTTTCGATCAGTTTAAACATTAATTAAATCTGACCCTGTGGGCGCGGCTTTGTTCAAGTGGTGGCGTCCTCCGAAAAAATTTCCACCTCACTCTCGTATTCGTACAACGAACTGTCTCTGGTTCGGTTCTGGTTCTGGGTCGCGTTCAGACCCTTAGAACTGGTTCCATTTTTGGCAACAAAGTCCGCACGGGCATTGTCCGCGGCGTGCGCGGCCTCAGCCTGCTTGTGCCTTTTTCCAAGCACCTCGGCCTTTAGCGCATCGTCCGCTTCCTGCTGTCTCTGTTGCTCTTGAGCCGCATGCTGACCTTGGAGACGAGATTTCTCTCGTTCGACTCTTTCGCGCTCCAACCGCTCCTGTTGCAGTAGATCCTCGTTGTCCGCAGCCTGGCGTGTGAATGTGTCAATCTGCTGTTGGTGATCTTCTTTCAAAAGTAGAAGCTCCTCCTCGTGACGTTTCCGCGCTTCGGCTGCCTTCGCTTCAAGTTCCTCGCGTTGCTTTTCCAATTTGGCTTCCTCTGCCCTTTTCCTCTCCTCTTCTTCTCTGCGTAATTTTTCTTCATGTGCCTTGCGTTCTTCTTCCAGGCGTTTGCTGATGGCCATAAATTCCGCTTGTTGATTAGAGTTTTCTTGCTTGATCATGGTCACAGAGGTCAACAGTTCTGAGATTTGACCGTCAATGGCATTCAATTCGGGTAAGTAGTCCTTACGGTCGATACTGGCAATAACTTCGGTGTTCTTGTCGTGAAGTTCGTTCGCCTCGTTGGTCTCCTTCTCGAGCTCTTCCCATTTGGCTTTTAGATTAGCAATGGCCTCGTTGGCTGCTGTTTGCTTCGCGCAGAGTTCTTCAATGGCGGCTAATTTGGTATCCAACTGAGACGTGAGATCATTGACCTGACTCAAATACTCCTCATGCTCCGTGCCAACTTCTTCTTTCTGTTTTTGCAACTCGTCGATCTCGGACTTGACCCCTTCTTGCAAGTCCTCAATGTCATCCTTCTCTTGAATTTTTTGTAGTTTCATGTTCTCGGTTTCTTTGAAAATGCCGGTTTTCACCACACTGTGCTGTGCGTTCGACTCAATCATTTGGCGCACTAAGTCGCTCTCACTAACCTTGATCTTTTCTGCGGTATCCTCTTTGAGTTGCTCCATGGCCGCATCAATCTCTGCCACCTGTGCCTGTAACGTGCTAATCTCGCCCTCGTACTCCTTTTTTTTGGAATCGTGCTTGGCGTCTTGATCTGCGCGGTAAGTGGCCATTTCGCGCTGATGGATGGCCTCCTCGTAATGAAGCGTATCGTAAAGCGCCTTGGACATGTAGCCCTTATCGGTACGCACTATGAACTCTGGGTCGTCAGGCGAAGCCACGGGCTGGCCCTTTGTGTTGGCGCGCGTCCAAAGCGCGAAAATGCCACTAGATTTGAAGGGAACGCGAGGCGCCTCCTTAATCGCGATTGGCTTCACAAGCTCGTCGCTGTTGTGTGCCAGGCTTGGGTCGACGGCGACATCGTCGGTCTTTGCTACGTCAGCGGAGGGCGCCTCCTTCAACTGAAAGCTGGAAGCTGCAGCGACGTCGTCGCTGTCGTTTGCGGCCGGGAGAGCGGCTGCGGGGTCATCGTTGACTATTTCGCTCTGTTCCGGTTCTTCGAGGGGCACTTGTGCTTCTTCCACGGCTTGCGCCGCATGTGAAAGGTTGCTGAACGCAGCCGCTTCTGCTTCCTCGGGCGCCTTGCCGGTGAGATCGGACTCTTCGCGGGCTCTTTCCGCCTGTACGGCGGCGGCCTCTTTGCCCGCGGCGCACTCGGGGTCGTCACGGCACGCGGAGTCGTAATCCTCTACGAGGGCACCAGTCTCGCGCTCTTTCGCAGTTTCAGACTCAGCAGCTGGCTCTTCTGTAGGCACTGCAGTTATATCCGCTGGTTCGGCTTCAGTATGGTCGGTAGGCGTCGCAGGTTCAGCCGCAGACGCGGCCCCAGTCTCGCCCGCATCACGACTTTCCGGGTCAGCCTCCTTCTTCGCGGCAGACCTCACGTCCACAATCCGCTGCGATTCCTGCAAATACTTAAGCTTGTCCTCTTTACGTTCCAGCTTGTCCAGGTTACGTCTCTGACGCTCGTCGTTTCCCTGCAGGTAACTTGGTACGGCAATATCCTTAGCCCGCTTGCGGGCCGCGTCGATCACCTTGTAACCCATTTCCGCGGCGGAACCGCCGGGGCTGGTGGCACTGACGGTAGGGAAACGCTTAATCTTGCGCCGTTGGGCGTCAGCGACGGTTTGTGTGGTGCGGAAGGGCGAATTGTACGCCTCTTGTTCATTGCTAACTACGCGCTGTAGAAACCCGCTTTCCGCGGCGGCAGGTTGTTGCTCGGTCGCGTCGCGGGCGAGCAAGTGACCAAACGGATCGTGTTGTGGCTTCTTTTTCAGAAACGACATGGCCAATTGGTAGTGTGGGAAGTCGGTGTTCTGTTGAGGGGGAGGATAGTTTGCGCATGTAGAGAACCAGGAAAAGGGGCGATGGGGTTCTTATATACCGATTGCTTCGATACCGTAAAGGGTAAAGGAGACGGACGGGGCAACGCGGCCGGGTAAGCTGTTTTTAATTTCGAAAAAAGAGGTGTGCGTACACAGTGACAGAAAGGTAGATAGGCTGCACCCGTACACCGATTTTCGACATCTGAGAGCTCCGCGGCTAAAGAACGTGTCCTATATATGTATGTGTAGATGGTGCGATGAGTAATTGTCAGTCTGTAGGTGCCAGTGACAGACTAGGAATCAGACAACGAGGCGTTGAGTACCGCCACCGTAACGCTGCATAGCCGCCGACGTATATATCATTCCAAACGTAAACTGGCCGGAGTCGTCGAAGTAATGATAGTAAAACAAATATCTGGCAGGGCATTGTGCGACGGAAACGAGGTCTATACAAGAGGGCTTCTTAGCAGCCCAGTCGATGAGGAGCGCATTTATTGCAGTGGCGGGAATCCTTAAACTCAAATTCACTGACGTCAATTTCAAAGAGTTGACGCGATTTTTTAGCTCAGACTTTGCCAAGCCTCCAAGACATGGGCAATGATGGGCATCCTGCGGGAAAAGGCGTATCACTTGGGAGAGTATCCCGCTTGGATGGGTGATGCTGTCGTAGATAAGTCACTTGGCAGAGTTTCACCCATTTCGCACATAGTTTTCAAGCGCCTGTAGCAGTATACCTGCAAGTTTAGGTTCATTCCCAAACACGGCCACGTACTCCTTGACGACAGAGAGAACCGTGGTCAGTCGCTTAGTGTCGAGTTCAAGTTGCTCCCGCTTTGCCCTCAGTTCGAACTCAGAGTGCTCCCGCTTTGCCCTCAGTTCGAACTCAGAGTGCTCCCGCTTTGCCCTCAGTTCGAACTCAGAGTGTTCCCGCTTTGCCTTCAGTTCAAGCTCTCTCTCCTGCAAATCCAGTAGTCGATTGCGGCGCCCCAGCTCCGCCTCGAAAGACCTGTCGAACAAGCTATTAACGAGAGCACTCATTTCAACTGCGCTAGATTTCAAATCAGAGACCAAGTTTGCACCTGCTCTCTTGTTACCTGCCATCGCAAAGGGATTGGGGCTCACGTCGTCGCAGAAAGATGAATCGCTTTCGAGGTCGCAGTCAGTATGGTCTGCGACTGCAGGAACGCTGTCCTCACCAATCAACCTTCGGCAACGTATTTCGAGCTGTTGAGACTCCAGTTTACGCTGTTCGGATTCGTTTTTCAGCCTTGTCACGTCCTCTAGAAGAGTGTCGGTTTCCTTGACACCAGCCATGAAAAGCGGCGTTTGGCTACCTCCTGTGGTAACAGCGAACAACTTGGGAAGCGTGTTGTCCACTAGATATCTGAATTTGCTCTTGTTTTGACTCTCTGTCGGGACGCGTTTGGCGTCGCAATTGCCTGAGTCATCTTTGACGGGCACGGTACCGCCGGGTCGAAAGGAGCCCTTCGAGCCCTTCGCAGCAAAATAAAACACCCACCGCCCACCCCCGAATTAGTAACCACCATTGACGGCAAGTCAGGGCCCTCTATCCAGCTAGGCAAACCCTGAGAAAACAGTCGAGCCGGGACCGATAAATACACACCCCTGCACCCCTACACCCTTGCACCCACACCCCCATCATCCATGCACCGAACCCCTGCCGAACATTCGACATACGTCTTCCTAAGGCCCCTTACGTCACACCTCCCCCCACTCTAAACCCACGGCCGATGCACAGAACCATCCCTAGACCGGTCTCGGTTCCGCGGAACCGGCTCATCCCCTTCCCCTAGAATCCCGCGCAGGGCACTTGTCGCTTTGGCACCAATACCAATACCGCTGCCGGCAATTGACCTCTCTCCCACGGCTCTGTCTAGTGCAGCCCATTAGTCGCCATTGACTAATACGCGCAAATACCCAAGCGGAGTCTCTCCCTCCCCTACAGACTCCCCTTCGCACCACCCCCCCCCCCTGCGCGGCGCCATGGGCGCGGCTCCATGGGCACGGCCCTTTAGGCTTTCCCCGTCCCCGGTCCCCTTTTACCTTGCCGGGCAAAGCGGCCCCTCGACGGCAACCGGCAGCTTAGCTTAGGTTAGCTGCAGGCTGCTTCGCAGCCTGCAGCGCAGTGTGACGGGTTTTGCTCTGTTTACCTTTTTTTTTTAGGGAAAGGTATTAAAGGAGAGCAAGTTTGGCCTGAGGGGAGGCCGGCCCGATTGCTTTCGACACATATATACCTCCATATATACCTCTCATCGCTGCGAGGCCTCGTTTTTCATAAATTACTTGCAGGCTTCAGAAACCAAAAACACACAGAAATAACACTGAAATCACACTAGCATGCTCTCCATTCTAGACAACTCCCTCCGTGTCGTCAACTTTGCGTTCCTCGTCATCGTGCTTGGTCTCGTCGGTTCCCTTATCGCCACACAGAGCGGTGGCAACCCACGTGTGAACTTCTGTATCTTCACGGCCACGTTCGGGATAGTGTTCGACTCGTTCTATGCAGTGCTCGCCAACCTTTTCTCGGCGTTCGCCTGGCCCATCATCCTGGTCACGTGGGACTTCCTGAACTTTGTGTTCACGTTCTCTGCGGCCACCGCGCTTGCCGTGGGCATCAGAACGCACTCGTGCACCAACCAGCTGTACTTGGACTCCAACAGCATCACACAGGGCTCCACGGACCGTTGCCGTAAGTCCCAGGCCGTTGTTGCGTTCCTATACTTTTCGTTCTTCATCTTTCTGACGAAGCTCGTGCTCTCGCTCATCAACGTGTTCTCCGCGGGCGCCTTTGGCTCCGGCTCCACCAGAAGAGCCACCGTCGGCGTGCCCACCATTTCCCAGGTGTAAGACGCCCCCTCCCCTTTTTCCAACCGTAGGCGGCCTCTAAGACGCCAGGTCTGTAACATTAGCAACCACAAGAACGTGACGCACCATTCCGGTCCGGAAGCGGGAAGGCAAGTTCATACCGAAAAGACAAAAAACGCTCTCAAAAAACCCCTAAAAAAATACGCACAAATGTTTGACCCAACTCCAACCCCCCCCCTCCTCTCTCTTCCACAACAATTTTTTATCCCTTCTGGAATACCCGCAGAGCTGGGACGAGGTGGGCCTTAATACCACACGAAGGATGCGTCTCTCAAAAGCACTCGCCAAAACAAAAAAAAATGAAGACCTACTCAGGGCATCAAAAAGCAAACCACATTTCTTAATTCTCTCTTCCCTTTTTCTCTTTTCCTCTCGGGATTCGTTCTTTTTTTTTTTGGTGTTCCGTGCTCCTGTTTGGTTGACGTTCCCGGCTTTGCCATCATGGCCCACTCCTCGTACCCTCCAACTTTAATTTCACCCTTTTACCCATCCTATCGTTTCATCAACGCGCGGAATTTTTATTTTCGTCCTTCGTTCGTCTCTCTAATGTATACGTTTTTTACATTCCATTTATTTGAATCAATTTAATACCACAATGGCGATTCTTTGATATTTGTCGAATATCGGTAGCAGGTTCCATAGAATGATTCAAAACGACTATATACAAAGTTATAGATGACTTACTAGCGGCCCAGGTTCAAAAGGAGCGAGTTGGACGTGCCCTGGCTCTCGCCACTGCCCGCGCTCGACTGCGCTGTGGGAAGGTACGTCACGTTAGATGAGTTGGCCAACGTCCGTGCGATGTCCTTGGACGCCTCAATACGTCTGACCAGCAATAGGCCGTCTCCAGCTTTCGCTAGTGCCTTGGAAATGTAGTCCGCCGACTCTGCTTCACCCTCGGCACGGATCACAGACGCTTGCCGTTCTTGCTCGGCCTTTTCAACCAAAAACTTGGCCCGCTCCGCGTCCTGTTGCGCGATTTGCTTCATCTCGACGGCCTTGGTGAACTCCTGACCGAAAGTCATGTGCGTGATCGACACGTCCTCGAGCTTGATGTCGAATTCAGACGCCCTCACGGACAGTTCTTTGCGGATGTACTGCGAGACCGTCTCACGCTGCGTGATCAGCTCTGCCGCGTCGAACTGCGCAACAATCGACTTCAACACTTCGTTACCAATTGAGGGCAACACACGCTCGTCGTAGTCCAACCCCAGGTTCTGGTAGATACGGGGCAGACGCATCACATCGGGACGGTGAAGAACCCGTAGCGTCAACGACACCATTTGCAGATCTTTGGTGCCCGTGTTTGTAGCAATGTTCTTGGGTTTCGTCCTTACATCGTACATCACGGCTTTCTGCACCCATGGAATTAGAAAATGGGTTCCCTCACCCACCACTTGCTGTTGAACACCGCTCAAACGGTCAAAAATAACTGCCCGTGTACCCCCCTTCACATCATACATGGAGTACTGTGCGGCGGAAATGGCGATACCAACAGGTAGCGCAATCTTTGCAATTGAATCTGCTAGTCGTGACATCCGTCCAACGCTGTTCCGGCTCTCAGTATGGCTCTTTGTAGTGCCCTTGGCCGTTGCTAACTGGTGGCAAATATCCTATTTGTTGAAGTTCACAACTTCTCGTAATGAATGCCTTGTTTCGGCTAATTCGCCAGCGATGCTTTAAGAGCATGAGTTGAACCGGGTAACAAGCAAGCACAGGTCACATGAATTCAGTGCCAGAAGCAAGAATAGCCTATTAAGAGGTGTCTCTATCGCCAGGAAAAACGGGCATAGTGTACATAAAGATCAGAACGTCTTTGGTCTGATCCAAGTCATACAGTTTCAACATTTCTTCCCTTTTCTCGACACAGGAGACATTCACAAGTCCTGCTCAGCGTAGCAACGTTCTTTCGGGCTCATTATTATTGCCGCCTTTATAGCGTTGCGTAGACGCTGCGTTTCTAGCGAATTGATTTCTTTTAATTTATACATTGTCTTACTTCAGCGCACATATATATCCACTTGTCATACTTCTCTCATATGGTTATGTTTTTCATTACCGTAGGCATCTCTTGAACCCAGAACTAAGAAAAACAACGTGCTGGGTGAAGTCACGTAGGGGCAAAAAGCGAGCTGGAGATTTATCCGTACATTTCGGTGAGCATGGAGTCCACCAATGGTAAAATTTCGCCGAAGTACTGATCACCTATGAGTCGCTGTTAAGTGAATACAATGGGCATTGCAGGTTTGAGTCACCTCGTACGTAGAGGAAGCCTATTTCGATTTGGCTCGTCTTTACCCTAAAACATTACTAGAACTAGGACCGCTGATGCTTCTGTCATGTCACAGAGGCTCGCTAAGGAGTACAGATCGCATGAGAAAACACTTGCAAGCGATAAGAGCTTTAGCCATGTTGTGGACTTAAGCCCTGTGTCCGACGAGGATCTCAGGTCGTGGAAGGCTACTATCGAGGGCCCTCCAAAAACGCCCTACGAAGGATTTGAGTTTCAACTAGAATTGAAAATTCCACAAAGGTACCCGCTGGACCCGCCCCAGGTGTCGTTTCTGCCCCGTTCCACACCCCATTGCAACGTTGACTACGACACGGGCCGCATATGTCTTGACATCCTTGAAAAGGACTCCTGGTCACCGGCGTGGGACCTTCTGCACGTCACGCACGCCATATGGCTTCTTCTCGCAAATCCAGTACCGGACTCGCCTCTCGACGTCGATTTGGCGTGTATACTTCGCGCTAACGACACCTCGGCTTACAATGGCCTCGTTCGCTACTACTTGAAGGATGAGTCACGTGACTAGACCACTTTTCAATCAAATGCAGCCATGTCGCCGTTTATCAAGAGACCTAACTGACCATCTGGGCTCGACAGCTGGTTCGATCCATTCCCGGTGCTTTTTAGATATGGTTAAGAAAATCGAGTGGAGTGACATTGGTGCTAATGCGGGCTCTCCTATTCTGTCTCCTGCGGTCGTGACGTCGAAATCGGACAACCTCGTGTTCACGTCGGGATGCGTTGGAACGGATCCAACCACCGACGCCTTACCAGAAGATCTAGAACAACAAACCCGCAATGCCATTCTCAACCTTCGAAATGTGCTAGCAGCCAGCGGTTCGTCGCTGGACCACGTTGTAAAGGTCCTGCTTTTTGTCAGTGACAGTGCCCACGCCAAAATCGTGAACAAAGTTTACCAAGAGTTTTTCCCTGGCAAGCCAGCTAGAAGCTGCATCGTCGTTGCATTCCCCAACACGGCACTTAAAATCGAGTTGGAATGCGTTGCTGAGGTTCCAGCTAAGCGTCGCTGGCTGAAGCTGTAGACACTTTTAACCGGTATTTGTTCGGCGATCGAGAGTGGTGCACATGCGTTTGCACATACACTCTTGCTTTATGTAGTTGAGTTAGCGGTTAGTAGAGTTACCTATGAAAAATTCTTTACTACGTCTGTATGCATTGTGTGAAGCGGCCTGCGCTTTAAAATGGACCGGGCATGTTTACCTGGAGATTCGCGGAGCTAGAACGACGGCACAACAGTGCGAATCACCTTTCGTCCTTCTCGCGTAGATACTTTATGAACTGGCTGATTTGCTTGGAGACCTTTTTATCCGAGTAGTCACCGCCTGCCATAATGCTGCGTTTTTTCCGAGATTTGGACGCTGGCGCGGACACCGCGGACGTCGTAGGCGTCGCGGCGTCAGGATGTTGGTTTGCGTTTACAGCTGACGGCTCAGCTGCTGCACTCACCATCTTGATCGGAGGAGAAGGTGGGGAACTGAAGGGCCGCAGTTCGTCTACAACCCTGCGTGGAACACCGATCCACTCGGGATAGTACTCCATCGCCATGCTGCTCGCGCTCCAGAGGCTAAAAGGAAGCAATTTCGCAGGGATGCGTGGGTTGTAGCGCCACGTCCCATTGACGCCACCGGAGCTGATGCCACCGGTACCAGAAGGCCCAGCTAGTGCGCTGAACTGATTCGCTGCGTTCCCAGCGATGACGAACGACTTTCCGAGGGCACGTGACTCGCGTTTCCCGGCTTCTTTGTACAGAGGATTTTCTCGCATAGGGTAGATATTGGGCCGGTACCCACTGTAAAGGATGTCGCGCGTCAGTTCCCTAGGTTCCAGGTATTGCGTCGTAGGTACTTTGGGCAGATTTCGGAATATATCCGCATTTTTCCTCTTCGCCAGCCTGCTGGCTTCACACATCAAATATCTCTTCTGTGACATTGTCTTGGTCCCTCGCAAATCCACGTGATCTAGTACTTGCCTCTCTATAACTCCGCGAAGAAGAGTGCTGTGCTGATCTCAAACTTAGCGTGTACCTGATAGCGTTCCAATGGCTCAAGATTCCTCCTGCTTTGCTGGATCGCTCTTTTTCACCTTTCTGCAAGCGAAACTTCTCACACGTTAAATATTCCTGAAGCCAATAGCCTCAAGCGTTCTGGACGACTGTGAAAACCTGCAATGAACTGAACTCAACAAGGCCTTATCCAAGCAGTAGAATGCTAATCCTATTTCGTTTAGTTTACCGAAAGATATCTAGTTTTATAGCGCGATACATGTTTGTAACACCCCTTTAGCAGCAATCAGGTGTGCTCGGATCTATCGGCCAGGTGAGATGGTGTTCCGAGATTGCCTACTATGCAGAGCCACGTACAAAACTAGGCTAGTAGTCCCGTGTGATGGCAGATATCCTTAATATGAATAGGCTTTGGGGTGTTAGGATGCAAAGAGGAAAGAGGGTAAGTAATCGTCATTTGGTACGTAGGGGATGAGATAATAAGTCACGTGATTGAAGAGGGCGATTCGGATCCAACATCTATCAACGATTGGACTGGAATCGTAATTGCGAGCTGATTGTGTTTGAACTCTTTGATTCTAATGTGTTGAATAGGTAGGTGTTCGTCGTCGGTAGCGCGAGCTGAAGGGCACGATGACTCGCCGTGCGTGGAGAATGATATTTTCGTTCTATGAAAGTGGAGGCTCTGAAATGGGCCTTCTTAGAATGCTTAGTGTGGGGCGGCTTCACCTGGGAACAGTCCCCTGCTTCATTGAAGACTCATTTGGATCTATTTGTCTATGGAAATCATTGTGTCGTGAAAAGTGATAAGAATGTAGTATATATATATATATAAAAGGTCAGCGGCTAAGACGATATCATTCTAGGCGAACCCCACTCGTTCTTAATTTAAAGAAGGAATCAGCATGAGAGCAATTCACTAGCGAAGAGCGATAGGATGTGATCAATGCTCGAAAAGAGGTTTCTCTCAATCCGTGTTGCCGACTTTGCAGAACGTTGAGACACAAAGAGAGGATAAATACCTTATTAATGGCAAGAAGGTATCTGAGCGTCCTATAATGGACGGGATACCAGTGGTTTGATGATGCTACCACTTTTTTGAGCAATATATCCGAGTGACACAATAGCTCAGCTTTTTGTTCTTATCGATTGGTACAAAAGGCATCCCGCTCATCTACTGCTGATCAAAGTCAATCATCTGTAGCTACGATGCACCACCATTTGCCCTCGAAAAGAAACGCATCAAATGCTACACGTGGTGGGTGTGCCATGAAATTACCGCTACTACATTCAAAGGCCGTAACGATACCAGGTCAAACAAGAGAAATGGAGCAACATTCTACTCCGTAGCAAGGCCTGAATACTCAGCGGTATATGGTACTTGGGCGTCTGTGAACGCCGATAAAATCTTTAGTGAACCCTGATCTTGTCACTACACTCGTTGAAGATGACGAATATTTCGTATTGTTACACCTACACGAGACCAACAAGACCTTGAAGGAACACATTAACCAAAAGTCTTAGCCTCTCAGACTGCGCGAGAATTATAGCATAATTGTGTGGTGCGGACATTCAAAATATGTCTGACATGCCAGAAGCCGAGCCGCCCTCCGAGGATCCGCACCTCGCAGAGGCAGAAGATGAAGAACTCGACGGGAACTACTCCAATGCTGATAATAGTCCGCTGTATATGACCCCTGTCCCATCTTCCGCTACGCCGTCTAAAGTAAAGAAATCGGATTCTCAGCCCGCTGTTGCCAAGACTAAAGTGCCCATGCACTTATTGGAAAAGCGCCGACTGGGACGTCAAAAAGCTGCTGAAGAGTTTGCCGAGAAACTTAGAAAGGTGGGGATTGAAAAAGTAGAGAACCTTGGAGTACGCCAATCTGGGCTGTTTAAGACTCTCATGCAGATCAACCAAAAGAACTACTCATCAGACTATCTGCGGCGAGATGATCAGATTTTTGCCATGCGGGAACGTAAATCTCTTCGAAACGCCGGCACCACGACTCATGCTTCACCAGACGCTGTCGAGGATGACGATCAAGACGAAAATATGGAAGATGGGGATGAAGCCAATACAATTGTAATTCATCCCGGATCAAGTTTGATGAAAATTGGGCTGGCGACCGATGTACTTCCTCAAATAGTCCCAAACAGCGTCTCTGTGCCAAATCCGGATATTCATTTAAATGTTTCGAAGCCCAAATCTGATCATCACGACACGGAGAAATACGAAGAACTCAAAGATACGATCCAACAAGATTTCAAGCAGCGAATGAGATTTTATAAGAGGAAAATTTTGCCCAATTCCCATGAGGCAGTTGCCAACTTCAATTTAAGAGTGGAGCCAGAAATCATTCCCGAACACAATGATCTGCATAGAATTGAATGGATTCAAAGAGCCGATAGGATATATTACGGAGAAGAAGCGACCAGATGTCTACCTCCTAATTTTGTTGTCCGTCATCCGTTTCGTAAAGGAAGATTCAATGTCGAATCGACTGATTACAAGTCAGTCCAAGAGCTTTTTACGGACGTTATGGGTCTTATAAATCATGCCCTTACATTACCCAAGTTAAACATAGGTGCAGACCAATATCCCAATTATAAAGTCGTTATTGTCGTTCCTGATGCCTTCGACAGGACCTATGTGGAGAACTTCATACGGTTGCTGCTCGTTGAAATGAAGTTTCAAGCTGTTGCAGTCATACAAGAGTCACTCGCATCGTGTTATGGTGCCGGCATTGGCGACTCGGCGTGTGTTGTTGACATTGGCGCTAGGCAGACAAAGATTGCTTGTGTCGACGAAGGGCTCGTTGTTCAAAACAGTGTGGTCACTCTAGATTTTGGTGGAGATGATATAACGCGATTATTCACTCAATTTCTACTTGATTCCAATTTCCCCTACAAGGTAGATCTCAATACCCCACATGGCTGGGGTTTAATGCAACATTTGAAAGAACAGTTTGCAACTTTTCAAGATGCTAACGTCACAATACAGCTTTACAACTTCATAAAAAGAGTTCCAGGGAGAGCAGGAGCAGAGAAATTTGAATTTAAAGTTTTTGATGAGGTGATGACGGCACCTATGGCCCTTTTCTTCCCAGAGATTTTTAAAGCTATAAAACCAAAGCAGACGACCAACGATTATCTAATGGCACAGCTCCCTGCCTCTAAAGACATTTTTTCTCAGCATGAGGATAATATGAGATCCATCACGCAGATCGACTGCCAAAAGGGTAAAACCTACTGTGAAATCTCTAATGATGCGCAAATCCTGGACAAAATTTTGAACCTTCAAACAGAGATAGATAAAGCTCAATCTCTCGCAATAATTGACTCGAAGGATGTCTACACTTCTCTTGAAAAGGCTATTATCGAAAGCATTACTAACGCGTGTGCCGCTTTAGACGGAAATTTTTCGAAGATGACCAATCTTTATTCAAATTTGCTGGTCGTTGGAGGAAGTTCAAAATTTCCAAGCTTAGACTTCATATTAACGGATCGTATAAATATTTGGAGGCCGCGGTTGCTTAGTGTGAATTCCTTTCCTACTCTATATGCTGACATTGCTAAGCAAATCAAGGAACAGGAGCAGCTTTCCAAAGCCACTGATAGCAAAGAGGAGCTTGATGTGGTAAAGGAAAAGGAAGGAATTCAAGATATTGTTGAAGAAACACTTCAAAAACATTGGGAGAAAATTGAGGCCCTTGGGGGGAACGAGGTATTCTTTCCCATTGATGTTCTTCCACCCCCACGGGAAATGGATCCCGCTGTCCTCACTTGGAAAGGTGGTAGTGTATTCGCACGCATTAAGCTCATCGAGGAACTCTATGTCACTGCCAGCGATTGGGACGTGTTAGGTAGCCGGATCCTGAAATATAAATGTATCTTTGATTATTGAGGCAAGTAACAGACTTTTGCACCAAGGCATCTTTGAGAAATTCATTCGAAGTCATTGTATTAAGTATATAGATTATTACAACCGGTCCAGGACCTTAAGCAGGGAAAGAAGCTTAGTATTCTGAAAAAGGACGGACGGTACATCAAATTCATGTTTCTTGAGTTTCTCAAGACTTTGTCTTTTTCGTGCGCGGCTCGTTGATCTCATTATTGAGAAGTGTGTGCAGACTGGAAGAGCTCCCTACGCGATCATCCCGACGTTTTGGCGGAGGATCTTCCTGTTCTGCAAGATTGACTGGCGTAGGTCTCCCGATCTTCTGAGCTTCAGCATGTTCAGAAACAGCTGGATTCAGGGGAGAGGGGCCCCTTTGGGGCGGATAAGCCACAGTCCTCATTCCTATCTGGTGCTGTACCACAGAGTGATGTGGAACCAAACCCTGAGGAGCCATCAATGGATATTGGCCATGTGCTAGAGCGGGTGTGGGAGCTCCAGTGGCTGCTACAGGGCCATACATGGGCATGGATTTGTATGCTACTGAACTAGAATGCGCCCTAGCATGTCCTCTCCCAGGGGAAGAGCTCATCATGCGATTGGAGTAAGATGGCGACAATGGACGTTTCTCTGACATTTTGATTTCGGACCTTGTTTCAATTCCCGGCCCTGACGCCATTCTAACATCAGCACGACTATCTTGCCTGGAGTGTCTAGGAATAGCATGCGAGGCGCCGCTACCAGAAAAATTCTGATGGGCGTTTTGATTAATATGCTGATACATTTGTTGCTGTCTGTGTTGCTCATTCAATGTTGGGGAAGGCGCTCCAGAAACGACGGAAGCTGCTTGTAGGAGAGGTGCTGGCGCTAACGGATCCATCAGAACGCTCATATTTCTATTCTTCGCAGAGTTAGAAGTTTTTTGCTCGAAAGGATTCATCATCAGATAGGGAGGTGGCATACCTGGCATGACAGGATTGCCGCTCGAAAAGTAATCCGTCTGAGTATTATTTGTATAAGCCACTGGGGGATGTACTGACGAGGTCATTAAAGGATGCGGTACGCCGGCAAGATTGGGCTGCGAGCCTCCGATGGAATGGGAAGCAACAACTCCCCGGTTGGTAGTTGGAGGCTCAGGGACAGAATAGCGGCCGGGCATATAAAGAGGATATGGATGAGGCCCAGCGACATCTTGAGTCACTGGTTGTGAGTAGCGGTGTGGTGGTGGGACGCCAAATGATTTACGCATTCGGGTTAATATGCTATTCTTCACTTTAGTAATTTCTGCTATCAATTGGTCACAGCGCTGATCATGGGGATCGCTAGATTGCCGTGATGCTCCAGTAGAATCCTTATTTCTTGGATGCGGAACGCTTTGCTCATCTGACTTACTTGAATGATCTCCTTTATTCTGGCTAACATCTGGTTGGTTTTGAGCCGTAAAAACATTATGCACAAGATCAATGACCCTAATCATGTCCATATTCATATGACGAATGTCTTCCACAGTGTGCTCATATCTTAATTGAAGCGCATAATTATCCACCATATTTGCAGGAACGTTGGCAACATGCGCAGTCGACATCTGGTGGTGAACATCATGCATGTCCGCTGTGGGAGGTGCGTAAAAAACACCGGAGCCTGGCGTCGGTATAGGATGCGTACTTGGTCCCAACTTGATGGGATGACTTTGCGGTACATCGTAATTAGCATTCTGTTTCGACGTCGCCTGATCGTTCCAGATCTCGTTGGATGCCCTTTCGTTGTTTTCTCCCGGTGTTGAGGCAGTACTCAACGAGCTTTTACGAGCACTATTGTGGTTTCTCGAATGCCTTCTTTTGATGAGTTTTAAGCTCTCCATGTCTCCTCTGCGGAAAACCCCAGAACTATGCTTGAATTCCCACAAATTCACAGCATCAGCGTCGTCGGCATTGGCTACTCCTGGCATCGACTCTCCACCCTCGTTCTCTTTAGTAGAGGCAGCAGGGCGAGACCCCGTGTGATCATTGACTTTATGAAATCCATACATGTTCAACTGCCTCACGAAGCTAGAGACATTGGAATGCTTGAAATAAGCTGCCAGCGCTTTACTAAACTTTTCGTTTGGTCTGATTAAGAATGACGTTTCTGACGGTGACCACCAGATTAGCTCTCGCATTTCCCTGTCCTCCAGCATCGCGTAGAGCTTGCGAATGAAGGCAGTATTACTGTAAGGAGCATTGGAATGCTGCCCCACGACCCCAAGCCATTGTTGCTGCGGCTGCGCCTGCGATTCCTGCTCCACAGAGGAAGAGGCATTTTCCAACTTCACCTCTCCGTTGGACTCCTTCGGCCGTACTTCTTCATCATGGACTGGCCTTTCTGTCTCCATTTGTCGAGGAAAATGACCCCAATTGATGCAACAATCGTAGGAATCTTGATCTGTGAAGCTTGCTAAAAAATTCACTTCCCTGAAATATTTTTCAAGGTCGTGAGATGCACATGAGCAGCTGCAGCCCAAAACGTCGCGCAGATCGAGTAATTAGTACGCATTGTTGTCATCACGTGAACTGCGTTCCGTATTAAGCAACCATGCACCCCACTGCAGCCGAATGGTCTTCTACTTCTCTTAGCCTTTCTGTTAAAATTTCAAGGTTTCTTTTTCTCGAAAATACTCTACTGGAGGAGGCCTTCGCATTCAGACGCCGACGCACCAAGCAAATTTTGGCACAGACTCTTTAACCGGCCGGCATATTTCGACACTTCCGACCGTTAGTAGCTGCGATCGGGTACTTATTATGTGCCTAACAGGGTTGCATATCCGCGCGAATGTCAATGCATGACGTAAGAAAGCTTCGTTGCTGCAAGGATGCGCTTTCGGGCGTCGACCGATTGTGCTTCTGACGAATCAACCTTGAATAAACAATGGGGTGGACTGGGGCTGCCACTTTTCGTGATCATTTCTTGTTTTGGTTTTCAGCTTCGTCATCTAGCAATAGGCACTGCTCTAACAGAAAACCGTTCATGTTTCCAAAAGTGGTGACAGATCCGTTGTATCCAAAAGCACAACCTTAAAGCCGATCGCCATAACACCTAAAAGCCGGGCCGTTGAGTCGCTGGTTGCATATCAACAGAGACCGCAGGCATGTGAAACCGTAAGGGAAATCAGAACGCGATTAAGAAGCATTTGCGACGTCCTTTAGCGTAAATCAGTTTGTTCAAACGTCACCATCCAATACCCAGATCCCAGCAAGGGTTTTGTGCGCCTCTAACGCATTTTCAAGCATGCATGCCCCTAAAAATCTCAAATCTTAACCGATTTCGCTCGTTTCTCGTCGACGCGCTAATTTTCTAGCATTTCTATCAGTTCTCCCTCCTAGCATATCTAAAGCGGTTAAAGTTGTGGTTGTTTCTTTGTTCCTCGTTGCTAGGGGAAAGTTCAAGTTTCTAGGAAAGTAACCCCTGAGCGGCTTATATAGAATTTTCATGGGCGGCTCGGCGTCAACAAATTGATGCGTATAAAATGACTTAAGTTTATCATTCCGTGGATAATGAGAAGTATTGCACGTGACTTTGAGAAGAATAGCCTTGCTGGTCTTTATGAACGAAGGGTCCACTCTAAGAACACCCAAAGGTAATAACAGCATTAAAGTGGGTTTTGGAAGAGGCAAAACCGGATTTGCATCAGCGTTTTACTAGCAATTTAGTTTGACGAGCTTTGACAGAGTCTGAAAACTTTTTTCAAAGCTGTGGAAAAGACAGTGTTTTCTCCTTTTTGGAACGTGCATCTGGAGGCGTCGATATGTCAGATAATGCAATTCAGTCCTTGCTGGATATGGGAATAGAACGAGATGTTGCCCTAGAGGCACTTTCAAGGACAAATGGGGATCTGGAAGCATCTGTAAATTACATTTTTTCTGGGGAATTGCCTAATCAGCATGTTGAGGATGCCGGGATTGCAACTGTTGAACCAGATACTGTGATGACTCCCGAAGTAGAAGTCAGCGTGGATGCTATGGAAGTATCTCCTGGAGTCGAAGATTTCGTGGAAGATGTATCGCAAGACGAACGTTCAGAATACAGTGGGTCGTTAGAGCTCTCCATGGCGCAGATCAAAGAGCACGAGGCGGATCCGGTAGTCTTCGTACCAGGTTCCCAAAATGCAGTTTTGGAAAGCTATTTTGCTTTGTTCTGTCTGGCTCTCAGCGAGAACATTCCGCATTATTTTCTGCAAGCGGATTTCGAAGACTTGAACTACAGCAGTGACTGGTATAAAGGTCACTATCGAAGGCCGTTAACGCGTCTGAAATATGACAAAGGCAGCAACGTCGTTGTCGTTCCTCAAGATGAACTTTTTGGAGAAGACCTCGCGGTAATTCAGCCAGATTTACTCTGGCAATTCCAGAAATTCGTCGCTGTTCAAAACAGTCTTCAAAGTCTGCGAAGGTTCGTCACATCCAACTTCTTCAGCAAAACCCTCGAACCGCAGGTAGTAGAGAGGCTAAATACGTACGAACACCTGCAAGAAGTTTTGCCTAGTTTCATCAAAAGTTTGGCCAATGACACGGAAATGTGTCCTGGTGCGCAGAAGCAAATCAAAGACCTCTTTATCTTCACGGCAAACTACACCCCGTCTCCGGATTCGGAACCCATCCAGACTTATCTTTGTCTTCTACATTTCATGCCCGAGGAATACGACTACAATTTGTACAAAATGTTTAACGGTCTTCTATTCCCAGAAGAAGATGAGGACGCAGATTTTGCAGACAGCCAAAACTCCTTGTGCAGCGTAGCTCCAGTACTGACAGTAATTTTCGATGAAATGGATGAGAGCACAGAAAACACGAAGTTTGCTCAGGGCGTTGACGTGCCGTTTGAGTTCTACCCACAGCTATACACCGCCAAGGCAAAAGAAATGCTTATAAGTGACATTGTTTTGAAAAGACGTCAGACCCAACTTGAAATCCGCCATTTGCTGCGCAATCTAAATGATCTCAAGAGTTTCCATGGTAAGCACATCAATGCTTTCGTTAACAGCGCGCTGGATTTCGCTTCCAAGCCGGGGCTTTTCCGCGATGGCAGCGATGCCACACATGGATCTCAGAAACTTTTTGACCTTCTACAGCCTGTAAAAGACCAGATTTCCGACCAAAAAGCGACCATCATGACAGACTACAAAAAACTATCTCACTTACTCAACACGGAGCTCAATGTTTCAAATCCGGAGGCGGGTATCATCGAGAAGGCAAAAGAACTTCAACTTATTGACTCACCTTATCTGCTTACATTTGCCGCTTTGTCTCCGAGCCATTACTATATTCGTAAGCGAGACGGCTCTTGGTATAGAACTCTGTCAGAACCAGAGGGAATGGGGTGCAACGTCACTAGGGTCGACCACAGTGCGGTACACGGTGCGATAAAAGCGGCCACTCGTATTCCCTCCGAGACGCCCTTGATGTTCACCTTTTTTAAGGAAAGTGCCATCGACACCGAAGAATTGGTGCTACAATCGCTCCAGAAAAACCAGGGTGCTCTGTCATTTGCCCAAAAAGACTTCAAGGTGCTCCGGGAACTCGGTATGGTAATCGCAGAGCAACGAGGTACCTCCGAGAACCTCATTGAGATGTAATTGTGAATAGCTCGCGGGGTGTGTTGATTGGCTAGATGTCTATTGAACTCCGTTGGATCGAGCGAGAATCACCATGTGCTCCTGAGGACTCATCAAGAAGTCTAAGAGCTGTGATCATCATCTGTAGATCAATCAATTCAATTCGAAAGGAGAGGATACGGTGATTACTCACTGTGGTGTCTGTTTCCTGGAGGCATTGGTTCCACGAGGTCCATCTATTAGCAGCCAAGAATCTCAAACTCCTGCGTGAACATCTTCGTATGATTTCGAATTTCCAGTGGTGCAGAAGCATTAATGGTAAGCTTGAGTGTCAATTCAAGACGATCTAATGGCTGCTCTGGGGGATTGTTTGAAGGCTTATTAACTGTTATCGGTGGTGCTCGAGCTTCGGAATTGTTTTTGACCGTTTTGAGCCTTAGTTCCTGGCATAGAGTTGATAGAGGAATTATTCAAAATGCAAATTTCACATGTATGCTGATCTTGGAATTATTGAGGCGAAGGCATATGGTACAAGTACGGCAATGTGAAGGACGGGGACTTTGAACGCTGTATAACCAACTGAAAGATATTAAAGGGTAGGTTTCGAAGATCAGCGATCGATGTAGTTCAATGTCATACGCGATAAGAAGAGAAGCGGTTTAACTGGCTTAGAGGCTATCGGCACGGAAAAAAGAAAGAGAAGTGGTAGGCTGATAACGGTGTTAAATTGACTGATAGCTTGTTTTCAGAAACGGCAACTTCAAACTCTTGCAATTTTAAGATTTGCATATGGCATCCGAGACTCACTAAAGTCGAAAGGACTATCTTTCATTAGACATCCAAACTCAAAAGTGTGCCACGAACATTTCAATAAAAGAATCTCTAGATCTGTTTAGGATGAGCGGTGATGTTCGTCATGATGAAACATGATCGACTGATGTTGCATTCTTGGAGGTGGTACAATTGACGATCTCAACCAAAGTCCCACACTCACTATTGTACGCGGGAGGATGGAATTCAGCAATTATGCTACCAAAGTACAATCATTGAAAATCGTGGCAATGCTTCCACAGAGTTCGAACAGCGTGAGTGGAGACGCTGACCTGGTGGGACAATGATCTACGACCACAGATCATACAATTAAAATTTGTCTCACACCACAACAGCGCGAAGCCTGGAGGCCGAGTGACGCATTGGACTCAACTTCGTCCGATGGTCAGCAACTTTTTCTGAGAAATTGCCAAAGCGACGTATTGAGCGAAATATCGGGCATGCCATTTCTGAAATTAGAATCCCAGCATTTCCCATTCCCTGAACATATAATCAGCGGTTCTTTGCGATAATTGATATTAGGAAGGAAAGGCAAGATTTAAACGCTGAGTGAAGGCGTTTTCGCGGAATAATGAATTAGATTAATGTAGGTATTCAGTTGTGGGCAAGAGCACGGAAATCCTTCTGTTTAAAGCCATCCCAAGTTCAGTACGCCAACCGCATGTGACTTTGCTACGGTGGCCTCAACGGGCGGGCAAGCTAGCGTCTTCTGGAATCCGATTTAGCAAGTTTTCGTATTTTTCTTTGGGACCATGATAAGAGACAAATCAGTTCGAACCGTCTGCGAACTTCATCGTTTGAAGTTTATGATTTTCAGTTCATTTACAAAAGGACCCCAGGCAAGCGCTAGGCACAACATTAGTGATAAGAAGCCTTCCATGTTGCTACATATTAATAATTGCCAGCGAGATGAGATGTAGTCAACACCTCATTTAGGTTGTGCATTTAAGGAAATTTTGCATACACCATGACGCGAATGGTCTTGGTATCGTTGTATAACGTTTATATATGTACTATGAACCTCAGCGTTAGGCACTGGAGACACTTATAAAAAGACTAAGTCATCATCATTACAATCTTTTAATGACCGCCTCCGTAAAGGAAGAAGTACTGGCGGAACCAGCCAGGTCACCTGTTCTATTTTCTGGACCGGAAGCGATTGTACCTAGGACCGCCTTCTCGATCGCATCCGCATGGTCAGCAAGACCCATGTGGTTTAACATCATAACAGACGAGAGTAACAAAGCGGTTGGGTTGGCCTTGTTCTGACCTGCAATGTCCGGCGCAGAACCGTGGACAGCCTCGAAAATGGACACCTGATGCCCGATGTTGGCGGATGGAGTCAAACCAAGAGAACCAGCTCCCAAACCGGAGTTCAAGTCCGACAAAATATCACCATACAAGTTTGGACAAACAGCGACAACATCAGAGTAAGTGCCAGGGTTGGAAACAACGTTTAGAACAGTGTTGTCGATCAATTCGGTCTGTAGTTCGATGTCTGGATACTCTTTGCTCAAGTCTTGAGCAACACTGACAAACAGACCGTCGGCCAGCCTTTGAATGGTAGATTTATGCACAACCACGACTTTTGGTCTTCCAACGGCTCTTGCGTACTCGAACGCATATCTAATAACTCTTTCGGAAGCATCGTGAGTGATCAACTTGATGGATTGTACAACACCAGGGGACACAACGTGCTCGATGCCGGAGTATTCACCCTCAGTGTTTTCTCTGATTAGCACGAGATCGACGTTGTCGTAGGTGGTCTTGAAACCCTCAATGGACTTGGCAGGACGCACGTTGGCGAAAAGACCGAAAGTCTTACGTAGCGTCAAGTTCAAAGAACGGTGACCTTTACCAATGGGGGTCGCCAGAGGACCTTTCAAAGCGACCAAGTTCTTGTAAATGGACTTGACCGCAGGATCTGGGATCGTCGTAAGCCCGTTGATGAATAGCGGCGTCACATCACATTTTTCCCACTGAACAGGAACATCTGCAGCCTTAAAGATGTCCTTGACAGATTTGGAGATTTCGGGACCGACACCATCACCCTCGATGAAAGACACCGTGAATTTGCCCGTGCTGGGGTCTGGTTTCCCTGTGAATCTACCAATGGATGGTTGTTTCTTGGTTGAGAGAAATCTCCTCGAGTTTCTCGCCAATTGTAGTCTGAGCATTGCTGGGTTCTAGTAGATGTGATTTTTAACCTACGTTTTCTAACAACGGTTTCTGGGGAAATAACAGGGCGGATACGTGTAATATCACCTTAATTCGATAGATTCCAATTTACCGCAAAAGGTCTTGGATTACTCTGATCTTTGAAATCAATTGGCAAGCCCAGCTGTGTGCTACGCGGGTCTTATGTTGATGCCGGGGTTCTTTGAGCATAGACTCGCCCCTTCCTTATATAGACGTCTTCATCGTATTCCTGCAACCGGAGCCGACGTCGGTACGGAACCGACATCGGCGCCGAATGAAGCTAGCTTCGTTAAGATAACTTGTTACGAATGAGTATACAATGAGTATTTCACTGAAAATCGAAGATTGCCGCAATTAGTCACATTGTAAAACAGATGTTAACAATTTGCCCCAGTATTATTTTTAAGTGGGCCTGGTTTGGTCTTTTGTATCGAAGTTCATTTGAGAGCAGTTGACAAGCTCTAAGAATGCTGTCGTAAGTAGTTATATATTATCTAAGCAGCTTATACGAAAAATGCTCTTGAATGATCGTATAAAATGAGTGTATTTTCTAAGACATGTTATACGAGAGTCACGTGGTTCATGACTGATTTTATTTTATAGATTCTGACCCCACAAAGCTCCTAAGTCAAGGACTCCATTTTGTTTCGAATCTTCTGCAGCAGATAGTTCTGTTAGCGTACAAAATTCTTTCCATTGTCTTGCTCGTCAGCTCAATTTCAATTTTTGGGGCTAAAAAATGGGCCGTAACGTCGTTAACCCGAGGAGTTGCTGTCAGAGATATAGTCTGCTTGCTACTAGCTTGGCTAAAAAGTCCTGAACTTGGTCTTAAGTTATGTCGCGCTCATAGAAATAACTGTCATACACATTAGAAAGCATTGGATACGAAAAGCGAGGCAATTGAACCGAACAGTACATCAAACCAATACTTACTGTGAAGACTTTTAGGTGCGAGTTTCGAAGATCCAAAGGTTTCAAAGGAGGCAGTATTCCCCTGAAATGATTATTTGAGACACCCTTGTGAAGATGAAGTCAATTGACAATACACCATAAGTTAACACAAATCACGTGACTGTGCAGCATCATCGACAAGCACTTCATTGGCAAGGTAAAAAGTCGATACGTGCTGAGAAAGATAACAATCAATTTAACACGCTAAAAGGTCCCATAAATAGGCGTTATCGGCTAATTCAATAGCACACCGAAGCTCTTAAGAGGGCGAGTAATGATACAATTTGAAAAAACCGCGTCGATCGAGGTTTTGGGGGCCGAGAACTATGCGAAACTGCGTCATACTAAAGTTTTGCTTGTAGGAGCTGGCGGTATTGGCTGTGAGCTCTTGAAGAACTTGGTACTCATGGGATTTGGCGAGGTCCACGTGGTGGATCTCGACACCATTGATCTTTCGAATTTGAACCGCCAATTTCTGTTTAGGCAACGCGACATCAGACAGCCTAAAGCTACCACTGCTGTGAAAGCAGTACAACACATCAGCAATTCCACGCTTATAGCGTATCAATGCAACATTCAGGATACAGAGAAATTCCCATTGAGTTGGTTTTCGCAGTTTGCGCTTTTCTTCAATGCTCTCGATAATCTGGAAGCACGTCGCTACGTCAACCAAATCGCCCAATTGCTACACAAACCGCTTATAGAGAGTGGTACTGCCGGTTTTGATGGTTACATCCAGCCTATAATTCCCGGTGAAACGGAGTGTTTTGACTGCACCACTAAAGAAACGCCCAAGACTTTCCCAGTTTGCACCATTCGGTCAACTCCCTCCCAACCGGTTCACTGCATTGTTTGGGCTAAAAATTTTTTATTCCCACAACTTTTTTCCACGTCAACCACTGCGTCTGCTAATGAGGATCTGGGGACCGACGATCCTCTTGAAATCGAACGAATTCGTCAGGAAACAAACGAGCTGCGGGAGCTACAGGAATACATCAAGTCTGGAGATGAGTCTCGCATACCTACCATTATCGAGAAGCTTTACACGCATGACATTGAAAAGCTGCTTGCAATCGAGAATCTCTGGAGAACACGCCAGAAACCTGTCCCTTTGGGTCGTTTCGATTTAACAGATGCCGTAAATCCTGATTTCAACGCCGTGTGGTCATTACAGGAACAACTTGACTGCTTGGCTAATGCCACAAAGAAGTTGATGAAAAGACAGGCCACCGAGGATCAGATAGACTTTGACAAAGATGATGTGGATAGTTTGGAGTTTGTTGCTGCTGCTGCAAATATTCGTGCCCATGTTTTTCATTTGCCCATTAAGTCGATATTCGACATCAAACAAATTGCCGGCAATATCATTCCAGCGATTGCAACGACAAACGCGATTATTGCGGGACTTTCGTCTTTGGCATCGTTAAGAGTTCTCAATCTCATGAAGGGCTTTCCAGTCAAAAGTCCGAAAGAGCTTAACATGGCGTTTACCGCTAGAGCTAGCAATATTCCTACTCATCGATACTTGTCAAACCCTGTACTAGCAAGCCCCAACTCTCGTTGTCCTGTATGTTCGGTCCCGCGCGGTGTTATCAAAATATCTGGCAAAGCGCTCTCCTCAACGAAGCTTCAAGATCTTATCGAGGCGATTAGACAGAAGTACCACTACCCCGGCGAGGTTTCAGTAGTCGATAAGTCTACGCAGCGTCTTTTGGCTGACATCGATTTCGATGATTTGCTTGAAAAGTCACTGCTAGATTTGAAAATCAGATCAGGTGTTTTGCTCATGATCGCAGATGAGCGAGACGACGTCGTTGAGATTCGCGCCGGAAGCGAGTTCTATATTCAAGAAGATTCAAAGAATTGTGCTAGCCATCCATTCCTTTTACCGGAAATGAAAGTCAAAATGGTAAAAAGTGAAGTGGAACCACCACAAGAGTCTCTTGAGAATGGACTTGACGAGACCACGACAAACGTGGCTCAGTCAAGCGATGTCTTAATCATAGACGAAGACGAGAGTGGCAGTAAAAGAAAGCTCGAAGAATCGGAGCTGCCGCCCAACAAAAAAGCAAAGCATACGGAAGAGCTCGTATTACTAGATTGAGACTTGATCCATCTAATAACCCTTTAACTGTACATATCGATAAGATCTATGTGTACAATTACATCTTACTATTACATCTTGAAATTTGAACGTCACAATCAGAGGTTTATCCATTACCAGTGATGTTAATCTCGGGTCCCTGATCTCGACCGACTTCTTAAACGCTTGAACCATGACTGCCTTTTGTTTTGCCTCGCTTGCCTCTCATCATCCGTTAAGGTTGGATTGCTTGTCCTTTCCGAGCCACTAAATCTTCGAGCTCCAGCTAAATGCAGCATATCCTCCATCGGTCTACTAGCGATTGGGGAAGTAGGGCGTGCGCCACCCGAAAAGTTACTGTTCCCACTCATGGTGCGAACCATTCCGGGTATGGACAGATGATGCTTTGGTACAGAGCCAGAAGTGAAGCTATTTGGTGATTGAGCACCATCTTCTTCATCGTCCTCTTCTTCGGTACCGGTAAATTCACCTGTGTCACTAGACAACGCACGATTGAGCCAAGAAAATCGCGAAACTCGCCTTCGTCCAGCAATAACGTCGGATGGATGATGTGCATAACTCAGCGATTTGCTGTGCGGCCTATTTTTTGGCAAAACTTTTTGCTTCTCAAGAAAAGAAGGATCTGGAGGCGTCAAGTAACTAAATTCAAGCACCTCATTGGCGTCACCTGTTGGTGTCTGCGGTACATCGGGTAAAACCACAGTATTTTCTTCCGCAGTCACAATTGTCTGAGGGACGGGGGCTTTCAAGGAAGAAGTTTCTGGACTTTCTTGCGGGACATCTTTGCTGGATGGGCTCTTACTTGTTGTTCGGCTATTTTTTAGCAAAGGAGGCAGTAATTTGTAAGAGTAATCAATCAAAAATTCTATAACGAAGCGAGAAAGCTCATATTCTTTCGGATTCATGTCATGCTGTGGATGCGAAAGAATGGAGGGTTGGAATATTGCGGCAAGATTGCGGGCTGTCATGAGGTTGACGTCTGCTTGCTGTGCAAAAAGACTCAGCAAATCCAGAAGATAGATGAGTAGCTGTTTGTAATCGCTTGAAAGCTGGCCGAAAAGAATTTCGTAGTCCTTAATGGCGGCTCGTATATCTCTTGTCAGACGCTTCTTATGGCGCAATTTTTTTCTCTGGATTGATTCTGTTTCTGGTTGATCGGTTTCGTCCTCGTTTTCGTCGCAGTTCTTTGCATTGGCACTTGACAAATGCTTCAAGATACGTACGCGCTCATTCAAAGGTTGTCTGAACTTTTCGTACATTTCCAATGGAATCAAGGGCTCCGTAAGGTTATTCAGGTACCTTCTCAGTAGCGAAGCCGCGTCGTGGACCGTGAAACCGTCCCAGTTGTTGAATTTCGCGCCATAACTCGGCGGTGTGGAAAAAATGTACTGCAACTCCTTAACGCGCTTGTTATTACCTGCTATTCTGAAAATCCCAGACGTCTTGAGCCCTTCCGCTTTCAAAAAAGCGCCGCACTTTGCGACCAAAATCGGTATGCGACCAAAACTGACCAGTTCGCTCTGAACTATGACCTCAGCGCTAGCCAAACTCAACGACCGCGTGAGCGAAACTCCAAAAACCTGGCCTGTGAACTGGTGTCTGTTGGACAAAAACGAATCTCGGTACGAGCGATACTCTTCTGAACTGGGGTCTAACGACCGCATATCGCGTTCAGGAGAAGCCCCTGCATGATTAAAAGATCGCGAGTGTGACCTTAACAGAGGCCGTTTGTTCATGCCTTTTGCAACGGCCAGTGAGTCGCTCGACATGCTTTTCGGATTGTTTCGAATCTGTTTCCACCAGGAACTGAGCTGCTTTTTCGACGGGGATCCACTACTTAGCACGTTTTCCATATCGGCAAAGAAAACTGTGCACCGCAAACTAGCTACAGTACCGCCAACAAGTCGTTTTTATGGGGGAGATGTGTTTCAAAGTCAAAGTATTATTGGCGTTTCGCGTTAATCCAATCTATCTTTTAAAACTTGAAGACGGGCGCGACCTCCGCTACTTTGACGCGCGTACAAAGCGACCTCATTTTTAAACCATAACGGGTATCAAATGAGTAAGTTTCACGTACTTTGAAAGTTAACCAAATAGAATAGTCTGCTGCTATTTTAAAGAAGACTGATGGCTTTGTACGAGGTATTCGTGAGCAAATATCTCGCTATGTACGTAGCGAATTAATGGTCTATTTCTGGATCATGCTATACTTGGATATGCGTTGATTGGGTTGAAGCCGAGTTGTAACTGGGTAGTGATCGGTAGCCAACACTTCTGGAACTCATTGTTGTTGGCTGGGGACTTAAGAGTAGCGTTGTCCACCTGGATACGATGGTAAACTCCGAAGCCTCAGGTCACGTGACTTTTCAGCTACTCATACTCAACCTGGTTTTAGCTACTGAGATTGGAGCAGAGGCGATGGCTTCAAATGTGTCTGGGTACCCAGCGAGAAACGACGGTGTTAGACGTGGTGGAATTACTCGACGATACGTAACGAACCAAGCAGTTGCTAATTTGACGCTTATAGGATTGAGGTTTATCAGCGTCGGATGTAGACAACCTGCTAATAAATCAAATACACACAGGGCGCCGTAGTTGAAAATGAGACAATCAACGAGTTTTCGAGCCATATTCTCAATCGCAATACTAAAAACAGCATTAGTGTCATGGTTTTATGGCTTCCTGATGGATTCTATTCACATCATGGCTTACAGATTATTCTGTCACGGTGATCACGTGATGAAACTAACACTTAATGTCATTTGTATACCTCTTCCTTTAATGCAAGCCGCACCGGCAATCATGAGCACCAAGACACGTTCAGTAGACCGAGGTTTGAATATTTCCAAAAGGGTTTTGATTCCAAGGAACTGCCTTGAGGAAGGTTTATATAACCATTATCACTATAAACGCAAACACTCATAGGTACTCAGCGAGCACATCGGTTTACTCGCTATCCCCCAACGGTGACCCAATGCGGTCAAACCGCTACCAGCACTAGGTATGTCACACTCACTATCAATATAACAACCACTGTGAAGAACAAATGACAAGTATGTATGCTAGGAAAATTACAGTTTCGGAGAATATACTATTTGTTCAATTGCACGTAATTGCCCGGGAAAAGACCTTGTGCACCATTGTAACGGCCCGTCCACCATCCGTTTACGTCCGCAGTGCGTTCTACAACCTCTATGACGGCTCCCGCAGGAAACGTCAGATCGCCATCAGCTTGCGCTTGATATTCGTAAAGAGCGGTGACCGTTTCTTGGCCAGGAGCATGAATTCCCGTGGCAGGCGCCGTCGTGGGAGGCGTGGAGGCCGCCATCGTAGAAGCCGCCATTGTAGAAGCCGTGCCTGGCGGATACGCGGCCGCAGGGGCACCGTATGCCGGATACTCAGCAGCAGCAGGCGGCTGTTGCTGCGTTGGGTATGCTGGCTGTTGGCCGTAGCCCGTTGCAGCGGCGTTTTGCGCGTACGGAGGAGGTGCGGCCGCTTGGGTACTGTAACCGGTGGACACTGCGGCCAAGCCGGGCTGCTGCTTCTCGTATGCAGAAGCCGCAGCGGGGTGCTGTCCGTAGGGCGTGAAGCCGGGGGCACTGACGGGACTTGTTGGCTGGGAATAGCCGGGCTGAGGATAGCCGGGCTGGGAATAGCCGGGCTGGGAATAGCCCGCAAGAGGCGAGGTAGGGGTGACGGGTGATTGTGGGGGTGATTGGGATCCCAAACGTCTCCTGGTCATCTCGAGCTTAGCCTTACCGTAACCAACTTTGAAGTGTGTGATGGTCAAGGAGTCAGTTTGCTCTTCTATATTGCCTCGCTTGGCGTAAAACGCTTCCTGAATGTCGGAAGTGAGGTCGAAGTATGGGATTTTCATGTCTTGCATGCGATTGTAAAGCGAGTAGAAGATGTTGAGCTGCATGTAGTAGAACGACACGAACAGAGGCTTGACGAATTCTGCCTCCAATTGGAACAGAATGGGGAGTTCGTTTTTGAGCATTTCGTTGTAATAGTCGTACTCCTGTTGCGCAACTTCGACCTGGCTTTGAGCCTTGTAGGAGCGCTCTTCGTCTTTAGCACTGGGCTCTTTCTTGGTCTCGTACTTGTGCAAGGTGTTGAGATGGCGGTCGAGGTCCAGTTTCTTGTGGTTACGCTTGGTGGCCATTTTGCGGATGTAATTGATCACTTTGAGCAGTTCCTGCGAGGGCTTGACGATTTTCTCGTCGATGAGGTCCAAGTCCGGCTTCAACATGGTTTGCAGATCTGCTACAAGCGCACGATACGACTCACTGGCCTCGATGCCCTCTGGATTGTCCTCGGGCACCGACGCGTTGGGATCACTCATTTTGCCGCTAATGGGCTTGAAAATTTCCTCCATGGCTTTGGCAAACCCGATCTGGTGCTTGAGCATGTCGTTGACCGCGGTGAAGTACCGCTTGGACTCGTCGCTGAGTTTTTTGGTCTCGTCCTCGAGCTCCTTGAACCGACGCTCGGCGTCCTCGTAGACGGCGTCTTCGGTGTGCTGGCCCATGTTGAACTTTTGCCGGAAGTTCTGGGGCGCTCTGGCCACGGCTTTGGTAAAACCTTTGAAACTCATGCGAACCGGTAGCGACGGTAGTGGAAGCGAGGAAAGAAAGGGTGAAGCAGCTTCTGCTCGACGGGAGTGGACGGTGGGCCTTGCCGCTGTCGATAGAGTCGGGTTGAGGAAAGGGGCTTCTCCTGGGCGAAAGACAGAAATTGATCATTTGAAAGGAAGGGTCAGGGGGCAAACACGCCGTGCCAAGCGACAACCCCTCCCCTTCAACACGTGACGCCCTTGAAATATAAGTCCGCCGCATCACATGCTCTAAACACCGCAATCGCTCCGTCCACCACCCACGCCCCCTGCAACGCGGTTCTTTTTCCACGAGACGCATGTCCCCCAATACGAAAAGCCTCTCTCCTTTCTTTCCCTGGCACGACCAGCGCCCTGTAAGGCACCGCGTGACCGCGTGACCGCAGTGTGCTGCGCACACTGAGGTCACCCTGTACGGCGTACCCGGCTTACGCGTCCCCGAAAAGAAACGCGTTTGCGGAAAATTGCGCTGCACCCACACCCCGCGAAGGTCGCTGCCTCCCTTACCCTGCCCACAAACCCGAAACTTGCCGGACAATCATCAACACGCGCTTATCTCTAAACACAGACAACCAGGGACATATGCGGACATCTCGCTTATCGGGATCCCTCCGATAGTCACATAATCACAACAACAACACCGCTTCCTACCACCACCACCAGATAATAACCGAGCGAAATCAGCTGCGTTTACAGCGTGGGTCGAAAGGAAAAAAAAAAGTTTATATAAGGGCTCGAGTCCGTAACTCCAGCCGCTATCCAACCGCCTTTTTGTACTGTGTGTTGACTTACGAGTGCTTTGTGTCACAACCCCAACCCCCTTTTCCCTTTTCCTCATCTGCCCTCTATGAGCCTTACAGAACAAACCGCTATTCTACAAAAATACCTCGATCTAGACCAGCGCGGCGCCGTTATCGCTGAGTACGTCTGGATCGATGGTTCCGGTAACACGCGTTCCAAGGGCCGCACCCTCAAGGGCAAAATCACCTCTGTCGACCAGCTTCCAGAGTGGAACTTCGACGGGTCTTCCACAGGCCAGGCCCCAGGTCACGACTCTGACGTGTATCTGAAACCTGTGGCTTTTTACCCGGACCCCTTCCGCAAGGGCGATAACGTCATCGTGCTTGCCGAGTGTTGGAACAACGACGGTACACCCAACAAGTTCAACCACAGACACGAAGCCGCCAAGCTCTTCGAGGCTCACAAGGACGCCGAGGTGTGGTTCGGTCTAGAACAAGAATACACCCTTTTCGACCACGAGGACCACGTCTACGCGTGGCCTAAAGGAGGTTTCCCCGCTCCACAGGGCCCTTACTACTGCGGGGTAGGCGCCGGCAAAGTTTACGCGCGTGACCTCATCGAGGCCCACTACCGTGCGTGTTTGTACGCGGGGATCACTATCTCCGGTATTAACGCCGAGGTGATGCCCTCCCAATGGGAGTTCCAGGTCGGTCCTTGCACAGGCATTGCCATGGGTGACGAGCTATGGATGGCGCGTTATTTGCTGGCGCGTGTTGCCGAGGAATTCGGAATCAAGATCTCGCTGCACCCCAAGCCGCTCAAGGGCGACTGGAATGGCGCCGGTTGCCATACCAACGTGTCCACAAAAGCTATGCGCCAACCAGGCGGCATGAAACACATCGAAGAGGCGATCCAGAAGCTGTCCAAGAGACACGCAGAGCACATCAGGCTTTACGGTGCGGACAACGACATGCGTCTGACCGGCAGGCACGAGACCGCGTCGATGTCGACTTTTTCGTCCGGTGTCGCCAACAGAGGCGCTTCGATCCGTATCCCAAGATCTGTGTCCAAGGAAGGGTACGGGTACTTTGAAGACCGTAGACCTGCTTCTAACATCGATCCGTACCTAGTGACCGGTATCATTTGTGAGACCGTTTGCGGTGCGATCGACGACGCGGACATGACCAAGGAGTACGAGCGCGAGTCCGCGTGAGTCCGCGTGAGAGAGCGAAAGCACGGAAGCACGGTCCTGGCGGCGGTGTGATCTAACATATATATATTTGTGTGTATAAAAGACGCAGTTTTTAATAGTAAAAAGGACTTTGATAAACGACGTTGCGGGCGGTAGGCGCTGATTTGGATTTTGGGCTTCCCCAGTCGTCGCTTTGTACGTGGAGGTGCCTCCAGCACGTGCGCGTAATATCACGTTCCACGATTTTTGGCTGGCTTCCTGTTACCCGGCCATCGAGCTAGTCTCGTTACTGCAACCAAAGGGGACTGGACTACTCACCGGTGAGCCAATTCATTATCTAGAAATCCAAGCGACACTGCGCACTAACGCACCGCAATTCCCTGCCAATCCGCCCTTCTCCCTCCTCCTGTCGCATGACCTCGAAACACGTGAAACTGCTGCTGGATAGCACCCATTTCAACGAGATCCGCAGCGCCGTCCGCTCGAGATCTGTCGCATGGGACGCGCTAGCTCGCTCCGCAGAGGTGAGTTCCTCGGACGCGGCTCTCGTCAAGGCTCTCGAGAGTAGACTTGTGAAACACACCAGCGCCCAGGTGTCGATCGCCGAGAGCGTGCCTGCCATCATCCACTTGCTCACGACTGCATCGAACCCAGACGTGACGCGCGCCGCGCACAATTTGCTTGCGGACCTTCTCGTCTCCGAAGAGTACTCGGACGACACCATTGACTATTTCGTGCACAGCCCCGCCGCCTTGAAAGATCTTTTCGCGGCCTCTGTCGCCTCGCAGGCCGACCAGACAGTACTCATCTCTGGCTTCAATCTCGTTTCCCTACTGATTCAGCCCGAACTTCACGACCCGGACCTCGTTCACCAGTATCTTTCCAGTGCCAAATTTCTTTCCGTTTTGCAGAATTTGGACCAAACGGAGAGCTGCTACATTTGCGTGCGGCTTCTCCAGGAGCTTGTCGCCGTAAGGGCCTACCGTCGCACCGTTTGGGCCGAACAGGCCTCTTTTTTGCCAACGCTGTTCGTCGTGGTCTCGCGGGCCCTGGAATCCAACTCCGCGACCCGGATCGCGCCTACAAACACCAACAATTTAGCGATACAACTCCAATACTACTCAGTCCTCACCGTGTGGTTGTTGACGTTTGACGGGACGATAGCATCAGAATTGCCCGGCAAATACCTCCAGGATTTCTTGAACCTTTTGAAACTTGTCAAAGTCACTATCAAAGAAAAAATATCACGTCTGTGCATCGCCACGATCCTGAACTGCGCTTCTCCCCACGTGAAGGGCCACAAGACTTTCATCAGACAATTGTTACTTTTGGGCAATGCTTTGCCCGTTTTGCAAGCCCTGAGCGAGCGCAAGTACTCCGATGAAGAATTGAGACAAAATTTAGAGACATTGAAGGAGCTACTTGAAGAAACATACCAAGAATTGACTTCGTTTGACGAGTACGAGGCGGAACTCGATTCAAAGCTTTTGGTTTGGTCTCCACCTCACGTGGACAACGGGTTCTGGTCCGACAATGTCGACAAATTCAGAGCTCAAGACTGGAAGCTTTTCAAGCAATTGGTTGACATTTTGAAAAATGCTGACAACGAACCGGCCCACAAAATTGCCGTGCAAGTTGCACTAAGCGACATCACTCACATAGTGGAATTGTTACCCGAAAGCGTCAACATATTGTCAAAACTAAACGGGAAAGTAGTCATCATGCAATTGTTGAATCATCCAGACTCCAAAGTCAAGTACGAGGCTTTGAAAGCTACGCAGGCATTTGTCGCTCACACCTTCAAATGACCTAATCAGGCGCCGCTCAAGACAATTTAATGTAATTAGATACAACAAGAAAAAGCGTTCCTCCTAGTTAGCTACCTACCGTCTAAACGTCGACATCACGACACTGTCTCCTAGATCCATATCTGATTCGGTTTCTATTTCTTCGTCATCATCGTAATCCGGCTTACTTTTGATATAAAACTGATCGGTGTTCCTCGTGCTATCGAACTCTTCTTCTTCTGCGTCGTTGACGTTGAAGTCTTGCCATTTATTCATGAGTCGATTGAGAAATGGGCTCTGGGTGTGTCCATTTTTCAAATCTCGAAATTTGGACGAAGTCATCTGAAGCAGATTCGAGCTTCTAGTCGGTGAGATCGACGATGGCTGTGGTGACTCCGACCGTGTCGGAGAGCGTGTAGGTGTTATCTCCTTTAGCGGAACGTCTTTATTAAAAAAATTGCTGATGCTTTGTTTGCTCTTAATAACGCCGGGACTGCTGTTCACGTCTTTAAAAGTTTGATGTATTTTGTGGGAAAAATCCTGTAGTTTTTCGGGGCGATCTCCTCCTCTATCAATGACACTCATATCAATACATTTTTGTTCGAGAACTCCAAGTTCTCGCTCAGCTTTTGCTAACTGTTCCTTCAATTCCACTACATGTCTTCGTTTCGACGCTAGTTGAAATAAAAGGTCTTCAGAAAATTGAGAATGCTCGGTTTTCGGTTTACTTGTTGGCAAACCGTCACGCGTGCCAGATGGCACGGCCGGTACGGGCCTGGTCCGCACAGGAACTGACAATGGTAGGCCCTTTTTCTGCAAATCCTCCCTGGTTTTCTCGATTCCTTCGTCTTTTGAATCTTGATCCCTTTCCGATTGTTGTTTGTTCACGATCGAGAGCTTGTAAAGTCCCGTAGACTCACTTATTACCCGTTGTTTCGACATTACTTGCCAATTGATCTGTCAAATGATCCGAGATGAGATGTCTTTATATTTCAAGTTTTTTCAAGATCTTCTTGAACAGGATGAATTACTATGGAGAAGGATAAACAAAGCACCAAATGAGCAGCTTAAAGGACGTGGTTGCTAGCTTTAAACGCAAGAAGGCAGACCTGAGGCTCATTGATTTTGTGAATTTTAAGTTTCAGTGTCAAAACGATGTCTTGGCTATTCAAAATGTCCGGGACGAAAAGCTAGCTAGGTTTCTACAGATCACGCAACAACTGAAGCAGACATACGCTACCGAGGGCACATACTCTGAGGCCTTGTTCGAATTGAGCAATGAACAGTTGAAGGCTTTAAATCGTATCGCAGATGGCGAAGAAGCGTGGATAACAGACGTATTGCAATCCTGTGCTCGACAGCTCTTGAAAGTCGGCCAGGAACTGGACCGAAGGGCAAAAGAGGAGTCTATAACGGCAAACAAAAAGAAGAAAGTGAAGGGAGACCTCGAGGAAGAGACTTTTTTGGAAAAATGCGTGCGCACCATACATACGAGTTTCAAGCTTTGCCTGAACGACAGAAATCCGGATTTCCAGAGAAACAAGAAGTGGGGGGTATATTACTTCATCAACATCGAATTCAAGATCTACCAGCAGCTCGGAAACAGGGACATGGTGCGAAACTTGGTCAAAGTCATCGCGAGTCGCGTTTCGGAGCTTCCCGCGCCCGAAAAAGCGCTGCGCAGCCATCGGTCTCAATTAATCACGTATCTTTACTACTTGGGCGAACACTACGGTTGCCACGAGGGCGACTACCGGCGCGGCTTTGAATATTTGCAGCGCGCGTGGTTGGGATGCCCTGCCAACGCCTCGCAGATGTCGCGCCAAACAGACAAAATCGTTGCCCTGCTTGTCCCCTTCGCCCTCTTGGCGAGCCACTGGTACCCCGATATGAGCGCCTTGGCGCAATACCATCCACGAGTCGCTCTGCTGTACGCCCCGCTGATCAAGAGCGTTCTAAACGGCGATCTGCGTGAGTTCGACAAATGGCTCGCAGCCAACGAGATGTTCCTCATGCGCCGCAACTTGTACGTCGCAACGGTTCTAATCCGCCAACTCGTGCTCCTCAAACTGATCAAAACGACACGCGCCGGCTTTAAGGACCCGGCCGCGTCTGTCGTCCCGCTCGCAAGCTTTGTCGCTGCTATACGCTACTCCGCCAAGCACAGTCACGTGACCCACATTACCGACGACGACCACGACGAAACGGAGTGTCTTTTGGCTGACCTGATAGCTCGAGGCTACGTGAGGGGCTACCTATCGCATGCGAACCGGGTCATTGTACTGAGCAAATCGAACCCGTTCCCAAAACTAGTTTCATCACCACAGTCCCAACTGTGAGATTCAGATTCCACGAGAGAGAGAAAGAGAGGGAGAGAAAAAAAGTCACATGCTCCTCGTTCCCATCGTTCCACGCCGTTCCAGAGAAAACTGTTGTCCGTGGCAACCTGTTTTTCCGAACTTTTAGCCGCTGGGCCAAGCATTCGAATGCACGGAACAGTTTGATAATCCGAGCTTCCGAGAATGCGTCTCTCCCCCGCGCACTTTTCTTCGCCGCACCCCGCTCTAACCCTCTTCGTGACCCCCCGTCCGTGGCTGTCTGTGCTCATCCGTGCGAAATGCCTTTCGCACTCATACCTGCGCTGCGCTGCTTCTATCCGTGTAAACACCGGCCACGGCTCCGTCTCTGCGGCGGAAATCGAATTTTTCCGAGATTGCCGTGCTACTAGGGCCAAGTCTGAGCCTGTCTCTCAAAACGATGGTAATGGCCGTAGTCTTTAAGCGGAGAGACAGCAGCAGGAGGCTTGGTTGAGGCAAGGTCGCACGTTAATCTGCGCTCCGTCATGCCCATCGTGAAGTTCAGCATCAGTGTGTCGTCGTCATGGGCGTGACTGTCTGTTAGTCACGATGGTCATGACTGGTTTGCGCGAAGCGGGATGACAAACTTCACGGGCGGTCATGAATGTGTGATCCCTAGAACGAATGGCAAGGACAGGACGGAAAGTATAAAAGAAGAAGATTGAATGGAGCTGTTGAGGAAATGTAGTCTGGTTACAATCATCAAGAACAATAAGCTTACACAGCAAACAATAGTTCAATCAAGCAATCCAACCCACAACCCACTATAGCAAATATCATCAACAATGGCTTTCCTAGTTTTGACCTCCGAGATCTCTGCTCCTTTCGTTATCCCATCTGTTTCTCCAGTGTCGCCAGCTGCCTCTAGAAAGAACAGCACTGCCAGCTTAAGCGAGGACCCCGTCAGAAAGACTTCTGTCTCCGGACAGTAAGCGCTCCAGGCACGTGACCCCTCGCGACCTTGTAGCGACGCTGGCATCACTGGCAAGGCCTGACAACAGGAGGAGAAAAAGAAGAGGAAACCGGCAGGGTGGCCGGTTTGTGGGGGAACATCCCCACCCTTCTACAATTTGATGTTTTGAAATTCCAACAGGACGGAACAACCAGGAGTTCCGCGCAGAAATTAAAAAAAAAATGGACGATCGGGACAGCTGCTGCTGGCACGATGTGCTCGGCAGAAACTCCGGCCCGCAGAAGTAGCATACGGGATAAGTACAAGTACGACTGGTGCAATTCTCTAAATAGTTTTGATATTAAAAAAGGCTTTGTGTTTATTTCCTCTACAAAGAATATGACATATGGCCGCATGCGGCATCTATGGACAGGGCAATGGGCATTAAAGTCCACTGAATCAGGGGTAAAACTCCTTGTACTTCTTGAAGTAGTACGCGGAACCAAGTCCGCCCAGCACGGTCAAGACGAGCGGAACGGGCTTCCGGAAGCGCGAGGGGATGCCTCTCGCGATTCCTGTCACCAACATGAGAGAGCTGGCACCTAGTGCCAGCTCTAGTCCGCCATCGGCGTTCTTGTGCAGTAAGTACCCTGCGTAACCGTAAACACCGCCAAACAGAAGCCCTGCGGCGAGCGAGGGCACGGAGCCCTTGCGCATGTAACCCATGGCGCCACCTGCCGCGACGAGAGCACTCAAAGTGAAAGCTGGGTGTTCCATTCTGGCTGTAGTTCGTTTGGTTACTGGAGGCGGGGTTGGTAAAAGTATATTACAAATCTTATTGAAGAAACTTGAATGCTGAGATTCGTGACGTGTGATATATATCACGTGAGCACATTCTCAAAAGAAGAGACCGGGTAATACTGACCTATCATGGTCACGTGATCCGGTGTAAACCCATGCTGGCTTGCTACCGGGTTTCGGCCAGCACCAAGGACGTTCCTAGCATTTTCGACCGCATATTCACTGTTTCCATCGACTTAGTTCGTGAAAATTGGCGAGTCTGTACCCTTTCCCGAGTTAGATTCTGACAGATTTGGCTGATTACAAATTAAGTTTAATTTCATTGAAATACATTAGAGCACAATCCTCAATCTGATCCTGGGCCGTCGGGCATGGCCCGTCGCCCATTAACATTACTATATTCACGGGTGACTCGTCGTACTTTGTAGTAACTTCTTACGAAATTGATTCTGATCTTTCGAGCACTACTGACGGCAGTGTTCGTCCCCAGCGTTACACCGCAATGAGGTGAAGCAGGGTCGAATCAAGATAAAACCGGTCAGAAAGACCATGAAGCGTCACATGCTGGTTTACTTTGTAGCTGATTCTGATTTTTCCTCCGCATTTGAAGTGCCAGGCTTTTTTTGACCCAATCAGTATATTTGTAGATGATTTTACGAGCCATCCAGGCTTTTGAGACCGGTCATCTTATTATTCCATCATATAACATTGTCTCCGCCACTAATAGCTTCTTAAAAGTCATTACCGAAGTACATGCATTCTCTCGCGTAATGCCCTTTTTTTAATATACGCATCACATAGTCGGGGTATCCCTTTAAACAATGTGTGAAATGACGATTTCATATCAAACTACAACATACGTCTACACAATATATATTCCTCATATGAGCCTCAAAAATTGAAAGGTGATTGCAGCGTTATTATCGTGTGTATATAAGCAGCATTGACAATGCGTACAATGTCAAATGCTGGCATGTAAATGCATCGGTGTGAGAGCGATCCAGTAGAACCTAAGATGGCAGAACTCGAAGTGCCCATCAAAATCCAGTTTCTCAAACTGAAACGTATCAATGAGCTGAACAAGAGACTGCGGGAGGAGATCAAGCGGGAAAGAATCACTGCGTCGAATTCGTGTCTGTCGATCATCGATTATAGCACGTCCCATCGAGACTATACACTACCTGGCATATGGGGTCACCCACCGCCAGGTTCCAACCCGTTTCGTGGCAGCACGCGCGGCTCGCAGCGCAAATACGCCGGACACCAGAGCGAGAGCTCCACGTGTTGTGTGCTGATGTAGCATATACTTTTAGCCAAGCGACTAGGATACGAAATAAAAGACTCCTGCTCCATTTAACCCCGTTGTTTATCCTCTTTTTCGAGGGACACTCTGTTAAGTTTGAGTTCCTCTACGATTTTCCCATCGCCATCACCGCAGCCACAGTCGTAATCGTCTAAGATATTGGAGCAATCGTACAGTGGTTTTTTTAAATGCTCATTCACTAAATTGTGCATATGACACCCCCACATCGCAGCGGCGACTCTGCTCGACGTTTGCGGTGGAGATCGCTGTAGCATTTTGACGAAATGCTTCGAGCACTCTCCGCACGGATACAATTCTGCATACAGTTGCAAAAAAGTCGCTAATTTCAACCTTTCTTCCTGGGTGGGCTCGTCGGGGAATCGTGCCAGTAACGTATGGAAATACGTCCAAGACGCTCTACCTAGTTTTTCCTTGGACTCCTGGTCGGGCATCGACGGCATTACCGTTTTGAAATCCGCCTTTCTCGTAACCTCGGCGATTTTAACTGATCCAGGATCATTATCCGTCGTATACGACAGCTTTTCCGATGAATAGTAGTACCACAGTAATATGAGCGCCAGCGCTCCTACAATCGACACTAGTCTCTGTTTGTAAATCATTGGACGATGAAAGATTATCAGGTTCCCAACTTCTGACGCAAATGCCTTGCTTTTATACCTTCACTTTGTCAGTTGTCAGTTTGGCCAACATTCAGTTCACCAGGTTTCTTGATTTCAAGATAATTTAATATTGAACTAGTCAAATACCCTGAAAGTCAAAACCTACCAAATTGATTAAGGGTCTAGTGAGAGCAAAATGGACAATAAGAACGCCCTTGGGCGAGGAATTGATACCATTCAGATAACAAAAGCCAGGGAAATCCATATGCAAACTGTCAGGTCTCGAATGCCTCAAGCAGTTCCAGTTCCAACGACCCAAACAGATTCGATGGGACCCGGAAACACCACGACGAACGTGGCACCACAAGTCGGTGGATGCCATATACATAGGCATCGGGCCAATAATCCGAACAATCCACCGTGCGCACATTGCGGGGCTGTCATTATTCCAGCCCCAAAGGCGAGATTTCCTGCTGAAGATGAGCCCTCGATAACAATTGGAGATTGGACCATTTCAACTCGCAAGAAAACGATTTTGAATTCGGTGGAGATGGAGCAGTGGGAGGAGAAGCTGAGGGGGCTTGCATTACCGGAAATGATTTTTGGTAACAGTTTTGTGCGAGTGGAAAATAAAGCCCATGGATTCGTCATGGAGTTTAACGCGTTAGAAGCCTTGAAGGCGGTAAAACTAGAAGATTCGGGTATTAGGGTTTCTTACGCTCATAAATGGATCTCGTCGAAGAAGCGAAATAGGGAGAAAAGCGCTGACCTGCAGGATACCTCGCTCGAGATAGGACATCACTACGATTGGACATATACAACAAGCTATAAAGGACATTTTGAAGGCCCCAGCCTGAAAAGGGACGACCAAGAGCGAATACCCATTGATAAATTGTCTCGTCCTGACCCAATTTTGTTTTACGATGATATGATTTTGTTTGAAGACGAATTGGCAGATAATGGTATTGGGGTGCTCAATGTTAAAGTTAGGGTCATGAACGAACGGCTTCTCGTTTTGAGCAGATTTTTCTTAAGAGTCGATGGAGTGTTGTTCAGGGTTTACGATACTCGTTTGTTTGTTGAGTTCGATGAAAACAAGTTGATACGGGAATACAAAGAGCACGAGGACACATATCAAAACGTTTTGGCGAATAAGGCCCTTAAACACGTCCGAGACCCCAAAGCCATGCTGAGAGACAGTAATTGGGTGGCAAGTCAACTGCCATTGCGAAAGCGTGAGTGCGAAGTGTTACAATTGTGATCGTACGGTAACTGGAATTTAGAACTCATCCTCTAAAGTGTTTAATTTATGATACATATCGAGAAGTTAGCTAGAAACGATAGTTCGACTACAATTTGTCTAAAATGATTTTAGCTATCATGTGGTCGTGGCTATCACTGTTTTGATTTATTTCTTCTAGCTTCTTCTTCGCCAAGCTGTGAAGAGCTTTCTTACCGTCTAGGATGCCAGTTATCTTTGCAACAAAAGCCCAGCCCTTCAAGTAAGTTTCTGAAAGTTCCACACTACGCAGAAAATTATTCAAAGAGTCCTGAAGAACATCTTTCTTACCCTTTTTGTCCCGAAGCGCCTTATAGTACAAAACTTCACCGAGCTGAGCAAAACAAATATAATTGAAAGGCGCAATGCAAAGTACTTCTTCGAGACAAAATGCAGCTCTGTCGAGTTGGCCCGCTTCGAGATATTCAGTGGCAAGGGCAGTCCATGTCTCACCGTCAAGAGGGAACTTTTCAGACAAGTTGAGTAACTCGCTGATATACTTTTCCCTGGAAAGAGACCGTTTTCTTATTGATAGCAGCTTTTTGCTGACAAGCAAGTAGTCCAAAATATCGGTATCGTACTCCAGAACTCTGTCCAGCAGTTCTTGCAAGTACTTTTCTGCTGTAACATCATTTTCGTTGACTTGCATCATGGTGGCCTGCATGACATGGAGATACGGCGAATTATCGCCGAATCTGTCCTCTAGCGTCTTGTAAATAACCTGTGCTTCGATATCCTTCCCATTGTATATGCACAGGTCGAACAGCATATGCATTAATGACATGTAGTCGGTTTGGCTGAGCGCTGGATCCACTACTTTCAGATATGCTTTCAGCTCATTGTAAAGCTCTACAATCTCATTAGGGGGAGCAATACTGAAAAACTTTGTTTCATATATTGTTAAGAATCGTTTCCTTAGCGCCTCCATGATACCTTGAGTGGATCAAACAAGCTGTGGCCCAAATAGTTGGAGGATTTACTTACCAACAAGACCTCGACAATTCTTCAAAAGACATTATGGTTTATTCTACTAGTACCACGTGACCTGAACGACAGTTGAGGGTTAGCTACAGATTTGGCATTCTAAAAAGCATTCTTAAGCGAGTTCTGATACCTGTTCATGGTCCAAACGTTTTGTGAGTACATCAAAAGATTCTTAGTTCGTGAGCTTTGTAACCTTTTTGTCCTGTTTTAGTGAACAGTATGGACACTCTAACTGAGCGTCGAAAGTAATAAAGTGGACTCTTTTCTCAATCGTGATAATCCTTACCTGTTCATTGCACCAAAACTTTGGATCTCTAAAACGGAGAACAATTGAGAAGTCTTGAAATGTTCATCACTGAAGGTTTTTCTGTTTCTGAGTATCATCACTGGGGCCCACTGACTAGAGTTATCGGCGAAGCTACTTTCCAGAAAAAGTATTGGCCTTTTAAAGTTAATACTCTTTTAGAGGTAAACTTTTGCACTGAGGGAGGTTTACGCTGGTAAATACGCTTCTTGGCCATTTTCCGATAAATTTTCGTGTCTTTGGTGCGTCTCTTTTTTAAATATACTAAGGCAAATAGTAGGTAACGGAATGGATCAGATTAGATTCAAGATCATTCCACAATTTATTCTTAGTAGTTTAAATGGGCTGCTCATGGGTATGTAAACAAGGGTGCTAGCATTGGAAATACTGATCGTTGTGACATTGACATCGTGATCAAGCCTTGACCTGGCGCAATCCTGAAACTTTAAGAATTGTTATATAAAGCCTGAGTTATATTGCGTCATTTTGAGGGTTTTAACTAGCATCAAACCTCAAAATGCTTGGATGCACGCTCTCTTGATCAGATCGGTAATACTGACATATTAACTAGTGACAGCTTGATCACTCTGTACTGTAGTGAAAAATTTTGAATAACTCATCTAAATCAGTGAAGTTCAAGACAATCGCAAACTTCACTCCATCAAGAGAAGCTTTCTGTTGTTTACTTAGACTCTAATACCCAATACTGAAGTTCCAGAATGTCCATAAACATTTGCAGAGACAACAATGATCCCTTTTACCGTTACAAGATGCCTCCAATCCAGGCCAAAGTTGAAGGCCGTGGTAACGGTATCAAGACGGCTGTGTTGAACGTTTCTGACGTGGCTCATGCGTTAAACAGACCTACTCCTTACATTATCAAGTACTTTGGGTTTGAACTGGGTGCTCAGACAAGTATATCGGTGGATAAGGATCGTTATTTGGTAAATGGTGCTCACGAACCCGCCAAACTTCAAGATGTGCTTGACGGGTTTATTAACAAATTCGTACTGTGTGGCAGCTGTAAGAACCCAGAAACTGAAATCGTAATTACGAAAAATGGTTTCCTTGTCAGGGACTGTAAAGCGTGTGGTAAGAGGACCGAGATGGATCTTCGTCACAAACTGTCGTCTTTCATTCTGAAAAACCCTCCAGAGTCTATGGAAGACTCCAAAAAGAAGAAGAAATCTGCTACTGCGTCTGCTAACGTGCGTGGTGGTGGTGTTTCGATTAGTGACATCGCACAGGGTAAATCTCAATCTTCCGCTGCTCAATCCAAAGCCGACGTGGACTCTGACGATGACGAACTTGCACGTCAAATCGCGGCTGCCGCGTCCACTCTAGAGAGCATCGAGGTAAACAACGATGACTGGGCCGTAGACATGTCGGAAGAGGCCATCAGAGCGCGCGCCAAAGAGCTCAGCGCTGCCAACGGCGACCTTGATGAAGGTCTTTCCAAGTTGGACGAGTACGGTGAATGGATTTTATCTAGCGAGGAGATTCCATCTGACGTGGAACTTTACAAAAATGCTGCTGATATGGAATTGTTGCAAGAACCCAAATTAGCTGCGGTCCTGGCCCAATCTTTGTTTGACAAAGACATTGTCGAAGAAATTGCTGACCACACTGCGTTCTTCAAGAAACTTTTCATTGACGAGGAATTTGAAAGAAACTTCCTTGGTGGTCTAGAAAGATTCTTGGGTCTTCAGCACAAAGAGTTGATCCCTTCTCTACCCAAAATTTTGGTTCAACTATACAACAACGACATCATATCCGAGGAAGAGATCATAAGGTTCAGTACCAAGAGCTCTAAGAAATTCGTTCCAAAGGACGTTTCTAAAAAAGTTCGCAGAGCTGCTAAGCCCTTCGTGACTTGGTTGCAGACGGCAGAATCGGAAGATGAAGATGAAACTGACTAAACTAGAGTGTGCATCAGCATCCTATGAATAAATATCAGCTCATGCAAGTACGGCGACAAAAGGTAATTTCTGATTAACTCGACCCTCCTGAATTTTACCAAACCATTTACTACTCATTACAATAGAGGAGCTAAACTCAATTCCAGGCATAAACCGTTTATATATGTATATGTATATGTAGTTCCAGTGTGATTCTCATCGTAAAGTTGGTTTCGGAGATGTTGATGATGAAGACGTTCATGAAAAACAAAACAACAGATTATCAAGTGAACACCATTTCAAAGAGAAATCTACAAAAGTGGATGGAGATAAAAGAGTCTAGCGATAATGATATTCAGTTGATGGACCTCCGACAGCGATTTGAAACTTTTAATGAGTCGATCAACCTCGAAGGAAAGAGATGTTCGTGGCCTTATAAAGTTATTCCTCCCAAGGCTATTGCGCTATTGGGATTTTCTTATGAGCCTAAATTTGATGCAGAAACGAATTCAGTCATTCGAGACAGAGTTCATTGTGTTTTTTGCCGGTGCGCGACAGTAGATTTCCACGATTGTCGAAGTAAGACCCTTACAATGACGCTTTGCAATGTTCTCAAAAAACATTTGAGCGATAATTCGGGTTGCTTAAATGCCATTCTCAAATTGAAAATAATGGAAACGGAAAACGATTTTGATTTGAAGAATGTGGCAGGTTATAACAACCCTATGGCGAAAAACTTGGTAGAATTTCGAGAAACGACCTTCAAGCACAACTGGATTCACGGAAATGAAAATGAAAATGAAAATTCACTTTCTGCCTCACGAATGGCAAACGCTGGTTTATTTCGGTATGAAAACAGCATCGATACTTCAGGGACGTACGAAAGTTTTCCCGATGCAACTTTTTGCGTGTACTGCACCAAGGTCATTGCGTCGTGGGAAAACCAGGATGACCCCTTATGGGAACATTTTAAGTGCTCTGATGGAGGTGAGTGTTATTTCTTCCAAGAACACGATAACAAGTTGTTGATTGACGATTTGAAACGACGATTTCAAGAAGATCCAACGCGGTATACTCAAGTCGAGCTGGGCTTGGATTATAGGCAACTCTTTCTAAAGCAAATAAAGCAACTGGATGAGGAACTTCGAAGCGATGAGACCAAGTCTAAAAGAGGAAGGCCCAGAAAAGTTGTGAGTGCAGAAGAGAAAGAAGCGCCCAAAGAAGTAAGAAAACGTGGAAGGCCTCGCAAAAATTCACCGGATATTTCAAATTTGAATACAGCTGATGGGAGACCTGATACCGGAAACTCACGGGAAATACAAGGAAGCGAGCTTGTTTTTGGGCCAAAAAGGAAAAGGGGAAGGCCGAGAAAAATCGGCACTGCAATAAAACTAGAAAGCGTCGATGATTCTAAACGTGTCGGAAATCAGAACAAATCACCTCAAGATGTGCCTCCGATGATACCTGTCAGTACGTCCAATTCTAACAAGGGCCTTGTATCTGGAGTTGAAAAAGCTGGCACAACTGAAGGGATACCTCTGGATTCACCGCAGCGGCCAAGCGAGCTTGAATCCCGAATTGAGATAAAAGCTACAAACCCTGAAACTTTGCCTCAAAGACGAGTAAAATTGAACTCAAGAAGCCGTGGCCAACTTCTAGACGCAAGGGATGATCTGGATATGCTCGATTACCATTCTAATAAAAGTATTGTGCTGAATTTCAAAAGTCGAAACTCTTCGCTGAGAATTGAGAACACAAACCCAATTCTAGACGATAGCTTTGATGCTTTCAGCTTCAGCACTCAAGGAAACAGTGAATTTGTGATACCTGAGAGCGCATTTAAATCAAAATCTCTTGCAAGTCAAACGAAAGAGATCACAGGAGATGTGTGCCCCTCTAATCCTGACGAAGATGAGCAGGACCAAGCTAGATCACCGTCGCTTAATAAGTCCGTTATGGCCTCGCCTGATATCGATACATCCAAGGCGAGAAAATTGGATGGCATAGACATGAATATTAATATGAGTGAAGATAGTGATTCAGAAAAATCGCTCAATGCGTATTCAAGCCCGGTAAAAAGCCCTATCACTAGTGTTAATGGTGAACAAGAGGCCCTTCCAAGACATGACAGCGATGAGCCTAAAATCCATATTCAGAACAACATTCGGAACACTGCTCCCAGTGATCATGAGCATGTGGCAATTCAAACACACAATGACGACGCTAAATCATGTTTGTACCGACCTGAGACACAAGAGGGCATTGAGGTAGGAAACCAAGAGGCATTTGATGGGAACAGTGGCAGAAAATTTCCAAGTCCTCCCTCAGACCACGTAGCGTTCGATGAAAGCGAGCTTCAGTCTCATGGGACGCCTAAAACCTCTTCTCCAAGGCGTCCAGCAAGTAAGGAAGATGATTTAACTCCCCGCTCTACCTTTGTGAGAAGACCCGGCCCGAACACTATTAATCTGAATGATGCCGCCGAAACTCCAACTCGCGCCTTTTCCTCTTCGGCCAAGCACACCAGCGTAGAATTCATGCCTATCACTACACTGAACAACAAGAAAGAAGATCATGAAAGTTCTTGGAATAAGATGCATGGCAATGGTGTCCAAAGCCATGAGCCCTGGGGAAAGAATATTGGAAACAGAGACATCACAAAGCATGAAGAGAATCGCCTCCTTTTGAGGAGTTATTTGCATAGGCTTTTGAGATACATTAACTATAAAGATGCTTCGTTGTCTAACGACAAGAATGGGGATCTCCATTTTTTCTTTAATAAAATGCCATCTGAGGAGCAAGACTTAAATTTCGTGTCGTGGCTGGATAACAAAGAACAGGAATTGAAAAGAAGCTTTGCTGAAGAACTGGCAAATAAAATGCAAGCTCTTGAAGAAAAGTTTAGCGATGCAAAGAATTGCATTGAAAGGATAAGTGACGATGAAACTCTTGCAGAAGTGGCAAGAGCTTTTAGCGTATGGCCACCTAAGGATGTAGAAAACTAAATGAACGCACTGTTTTAAAGCCTGCTTTAAACAATAAAAAATATCTAGAAGTGAACTGAAGCTGTAAATAGTCATGCATTTTCCAATGACTCGTCATCATCTGGAGTTGTGGTGGAGGGCTCCTCGCTTGCCTCTGGAACAAAATTAGGTGCGACGGGAAGATCTGCAGTTATAGCAGGATCTCCTCTCAATCCAAATTGAATCATTCGCAGGTCATTGCGTAGTTCAAAACGTTGCCAAAGGCTCACTCGATCTCCCATAGCGTTCCAAGCTTCACCTTCATGATGAGAATCTACATCTTGATCTCCTGGCGGGATAGCAAGGGCCGCACGTTGCCGTGCCAGAAAAATTTCGCGCTGCCTAGTCAAAGCGGCTACATTGTCTCTAAGATAAAGTCTCAATACGATGGTCGTGAGCTTGTATTTTTCCATCACTTGCTCGAATTTTTCAAGCCACATCATTCTCCACACAGTTAATCCTTTGACATCTCGCTCTATCCCGACGTCGTACACTCTGTCCTGAATCTGCGATATGCAGCGATTTAAATCGACCATTTGGAAATAAATGTGAGTCATCTCATTCAACAGAGCACCAGCAAATTGGAACTGAACTCTAACCATACTAGCGACATTCACTTCAAAGTCGCAGATGCGCTCTTGTAGTTCATGAAACTTTCTTATCATTTGAGCCAGCTCTGCATTCAGATCGTCGGACGCCTCAGGAGCGACGCAACCGTCGGCTCCACCAAACTGCTCCGAATCTGGGTCCTCACAAAAGTCCTCATCAACCAGAGAAAAAAGCCGGTCAACATCCTGTTCGGTCAAGTTTCTGTCTTGTTGAACTCTGCGCAAAGAGCTAAAAACTTGATCGAGGCGTTCGAAGTTGATGTTTTGAAACGCGAAGTCGTTATTGTTTAAAGCATTCAAAGGGGTCAAACTGTGCGTTGCTGCTAAAATCGCAGGTGTCTCGTTATTGATTTCATTTCCAACACGTTGCACCCCGCTTTCGATTTCTTCTCCCTCATGTAGTAAATTTTTAGTAACAATGAAATTCGTCAACACCTCGCGCACGTTGGACTGGGGTCCACTTGTCGGAGCAGTTAATCCCATGAGATAGTGCCTGAGTTTATGAACTCCTTTTCCGGAGAAGACGCAAAAGATCTGTTTTTGATTTTCACTAAAATCAGAAGGTGCTGCTCTACAGAAGGCCGTTATGTCAGATCTCAAAAAGGATGGTACAGCCGTCAAAGAAAGATGGGAAAGCTTTGGACATGCCATGAGCAGCTCGTAAATCGGATAGATTGTGAGATTGGAACAGTATGAGAGATGAACTCTTTCTAAAGTATCACTGCGACCTCGGAGCGCAACCATATTAAGAAGGCCTTCGTCAGTCATTTGAGAGCACTTTACAAGCCCTATTCTCTTTAGTTTAGTCAAATCGGCAAGAGCATATAGAGTCCTGTTCGTAAGATTAGTACAGCAAGCAAAATCAACATACTGAATTCGCGGACAGGACTGAATCAATAGCCTCACGCCATTGTCTGTTACATTGAAGCAGTGACCAAAATGCACAGTCTGTAAATTCTTCCCCAAATGAGTGAGGTACAATAAGGAGTTGTCTGTAATACGACTGCACTTGCCCAAAAAGACATTTCGTAGCTTAGGCGCAAGAGCGACCAGCAGTTCAACGCTCTTATCGGTAACGTTCTCGCAGTCGCACAGGTCTATCAACCTCAATGCAGGTAAGCTGCTAACCTTTTGGGAAACCTCCTTGAGAAATTTGTCAGTTATGGCCGAATTGTGAGTGATCCTGAATTCCCGCAATTGAGTGAGTTGGCAAAACAGTTTAACGAGACTTTCATCGTGCACATTTGGAGAAAGTGTGATGTCAACTTCGACTAACAAAGGGCACAAGTCAGCCAGAAGGGTTACGAGTTCATCGTTGAGATTAAAGTTGGCGGTAATCTTAACCCTTTTTAGCAGGGGTGCGTGGGTAACAAATGTTTGTAAAGCTTCTAAAGAAACGTCCCTTGCCTGCGGAACATAAAAGCCTTGCACACGCCGACACTGCAATGCTAAAGTGTTGAAAATGCTATCTGATACCTCCTTAATACCTGTGATATCGACACTTTGCAAAAATTTGCACCCGGTAAGTACAGCAGATATCGATGAGCTCGTGATATGCTTGCAAAATACCAGAGTGAGTCTTTCGAGGTTTGGACATCCGACAAAATGAAATAATTGCTCATCGGTCATATAATCTCCGACAAATGAAAAATTGAGTCTCTTAATCATCGCTCTATAGTCAAAAACCGTCATATAACCGGGCTTTGCCATTGTCTTCATGAACAAGTCCAATTGATGTTTTTTGTTGATATGAGGCCTATAGTAGAGTAATTTGACTATAATTTCAGCCCACACTTTGGACACCGTGAGGTATTTTGCAATTTCCGATTTTTGAGAGACTCGATCAAGAACCATGCTGAGAATCTCGGGCGGCAGACTTCTGAGGGGAAACCCTTTCTGATGCTGTGGGAAAGCATTGTGAAACGAAGCAATTGGAGAGTTCCCGCTATTTGGGAGCTCCGATACCATGGGAGTATCATTTTTGGACGCTAAAACCATCTTCATGCCTGTCATTTGATAAGGATCAATTTCGGTGAGAACAGATTGGAAAAAAGTAACTGGATTTATTGGATGTTCTCCTCTGTTTTTCGCAGCGGCAAATTTGTGCACAGCACGATAAAACTCCGCCATCTTAGTGCGAAAAAAGCTTTTAGCGCGTTGTAATTGTAGAGTTTCCATTTCAATTGCCCGCAACCGTATTCTCTGTAACCTGCTCACACTGGAATGGAAGTCCCAGTCTGTAACATTTTGAGGGTTTTGTTGGATTTGCTGCAACACCGCGTTGTCCGACTCAAACGAGTAGAGTAACAAGTCTCTCCTATTCTCAATCACTTTGACGCATTCGTTAAGCTTCTTGTGTATTTTATATTCGAACTCCCTCACTAATATGGCGTCTGAATCTTCTTCTTCTTCATTTTCACCCTCTTCATCTTCATCGCGCATTTCAATATCTTCATCACCTGCCACAGGATGCGCGTCTCGGACATCGGAATATGGTACCGCGTTTGGAAATCCGTCTAAGCGACCATCTTGTTCCAATCCCAGGCCCCGCTGTGATTCAATCCCGCTGATCCTTTCTTCTCTGAACCTAAAAGCATCCCGTAGTGCAGTCTCGTTTCGCGATATCCTTGATACCCGCTCACGACTTTCTTGATTTATACGCTCTCTATCATTCACACCACCACCATTTCTTACACGAGGATGGCTAGTGAACCAGCTCGCTGGGAGTCCACCACTCATGTTGCTCGATGAGGCGTCTCTCAAGTTCATCATTATGCTTCTTCGTTATGCGCCTATTTCAAACACGCTTTTTTGTCAGCGTATAGTCGATCGATCACCACCAGACCTTGTAGAAGTCCGCAGTATATCTAGACAAAGGCTAAACTCTTTACAAAGCCCGCTTTGAGGCCTCGATATAGACCCTAGTTTCAAACCTTGATCGACTCTCCCGCTCTCAACAATAAGTGGCGAAAGCTAGATTATTTCCCCTACTCGCTCTATTTCTGTTAGAGATTTTTTTTGTAAACCTAAGTGAATGTCATACTATACGCGTCTTCTTCTTCCCGAGTTGATTATGTCATTCTCGGTATTACCGACCAGAAGAAAACTTGGCAAGGCCTTGATGGACGAAAGCCTCATTATTAATTATAAGATGCAAATTGGTTTATATCTGAATGAGTACTATCTTGAAGGGGCGAAAATGAGTAGGGCGAGATGCATGCAGGTGAATTTGGGAAGGGGGGGATTGAAAAATAGTATGTTCATTGCAAAGAAAATCGAGAGATGATGTCGCGCACTTCAATACCCATACATCCCGTAGTTGTTACTACCTGATTTCGAAGCGTTAGGTTTGTTGTTGAGATTGGGATTTTTATTGCCCGCCATACTCAGCTGTGGGAGAGAGATTTGGGTGCCATTGTTCAGTGCCAGCATCTCAAGTTGCGACGATAAATCGTCACCGGTGACTGGGTACGCAGAAGGAGCTCCGGTGTTAACAGGGAACACTCCTGGATAGTTGTAGTAGCCCCCAGGCACAGAGAGGTTAGGTTGAGGGGGTAAATTGGCGGGAATCGACGCCACTGGGAGCGATTGGCCAGGCTGCGACCCGGACATGGCCATTTGAGAAATACCGCCGCTCGAAAGAGCCCTGGGGCGAGATGAGTTGCTGAGCGCACTGCTGACAGAAAGGTTTCGCATGTGACCCGACGAGTCATTACCTAGTAGGTGTGAAACACTTGGCCGATGCTTGGAATTGGATCCCATGGACGCCGTAATACTGTTGGGTCCCAAGCCCACTTCCTCCATGAGTCGGCGATGCATTTGAGTGACATTTATCTCCGACAAGACCCTACGAACTTGCTGCACTACATGAAGACGAACTTCACCTTCTAACAAAGACATGGATAGCACTTTGTGCAAGAACGTTGGACCGTAATTTGAGTCGCAAAGAATCTGGTACAAAACTTGAGGGAAGTCAGTCGAGTCCCTTTTACCGAATATGCTATCCAGAATTAATCTGCGAGCCTTATCATCACCACGACAGTTGAGAACCTTCAACACTGTGAGCGACGCGAGTCTGTGGCAGCACAATTCCACGATATTAGATACAAGTCTTGGAGCCAGAATGGCGTGCCTGTGTGGTAGGGTGCAGGTGTCCAAGAACCACGTCACCAACAATGCCCCATTGCTATTAGTTGCCAAATATTCGGCATATAGCACAATCATCCCGCTCAAAACCAGAATTTGCTCCCTTGTGATAATATCATGCGCTTCTAAGCATGCGCGGACGGCACGAGCACCATATCTGTTTTGAGCAATAGTCCAGAAATTGGATACAATATTTTCAAAGATGAAATTGTTCCATGGAAATCCAAATTTAAGGACACACTGTATCACGTAGTTGCCAAACTGGTCGTTAAACAGAGGCGTGCAATAACGTTTTACCCCCTCTGCGATCAGCATTCTTTGTCTTGGTGTGTCAGCCATGGTAATTATTTTCTGGCAGGCCCATGTACCGTTTTTGTGAACGCCCATCGAGGTGAGAAACTTGTTTGTCTGTCTGAGCATCAGGTCTTTTATAATGGTGGAAGAATGTTCAAACAACTTCTGAACAATCGTATTTCCAAGATAGTCTGAACAGAGCTCTGGAAGTTCGTCTAACATTGCAACGGCAAGCTGCTCTATTTCTAAGCGTTTTAACGAGTTTGCATCGATCGCTTTTCTGATCTCACGCAGCTTTGGTGCATCAAACTCTCGATTAGGTATTGGGTCCGGGAGAGGTCCGAAATCCCCAGTATCTGCAGTGCCATCGTAGCGCAAAGCATTTTCTACAATGTGCTTTGTTTGGCTCGCGTCGTAACTTGTGGTGAACGATGCTATAATGTCTCCTAAAACCTTAGTATTTTTCATGACATTAGGAGGAGGTAAAGCGAAAGGACACTGTTCCTTTTCATTGTTAACATGGGTCGTTGAATGGTTGTTGGATTGATTAGATTGAGTATTGTTTAAAACGGGGATTGAAAGGTTGCCTTGCTGCTGGAATGACACTGCGCCACTATAAAGTTGTTCTTGCAATAGAGACTGAGGCCCAGCAGATGCACCTGACCCAGAATTTTGGGGGCCCCCCACGGATTGTTGATGCATGGGTAGAATTTTTGCAAAAGAAACCGTGCTGGGTGCTCCGACCAAAGATACCTCTTTGCCATGCAACGCGTCTTTCGCCCGTACAGCAGCTTCAACAGAGTCAAATTCGACGATTGCCATGTTAACACCTTTAAAAGTCCGAGCGGAACTCACAGTTCCGAACTTCATGCACAGAGTAGCTAAACTCGTACTCGTCAGATTAATCGCGTTCGAAAGTTGAGGTTGCTGGCTTTGTAAGGACACCACATTTGAGATGGAGACGGTGTTCGTTGGAAGCAGGTTAGAGATCTGATTGATAGCTGGAACGCTCAGATCCATGGTGACCCAGTTAATAGAACGTGGATCGACATCATCGGCAACCAAAGGTCCTGAAGACGAGTGTGTGTGTTTTATCGGCACCCCATTCAGATTTGGCATCTGCGATTGATCTAAACCTAAGCCGAAAGTCGAAGCTCTGGATCTGTTGGTCGCAAGGTTGTCGTAAATTGGCGCATCGGTATATATGCTCGAGCTGTTCGAGTACGACCTGGGTCGATTGCCCCACACGTTTCCGCCAGAGACTGGAACAGCGAGATTCGATGTGTTGTTTCCATGCAAATGATTCGTTATCGAGTTCTGACCGCCGGGAAGCGGCGCCGCAGTCCCCATATTGTTTAAATGTAAATCGAAGTATGTGTTCGATGAATATTCATTAAGAGGGCTAGGATTGAAACCGGTACCCGTCATTGTCACCAGCGGTTGCTGCTCATTAGGTGACGTTGTTGTTGACCAGACATGCGCTCCGGAGGGAGATGTGATCTGGGACGATACGGTGTTGTTTCTCGTCCGCGATATAGTGTTGGAAGCGGTAGGATGAAGACCAACGCTAGTTCCAAACGTAAAGGAGTCGTCAGATCTGCGGGGTGGATGCACTAGATACGAACCCTCTGCATACGTTCCATCTGGATAGGTTCCATCTTGAGCAGTAATACCCGGTGGAGTCACGTGACCTGCGAGACTTACCTGACTGCTGGTGGTGGTGTTCGTGCTGGGTGATCTTGTGTTGGCCGTTTCCGTTCCGTTCTTAGCAGCTCCAGAGGCCTTTCGCGAATGGTGCAGTTTAGCACTGATACTGGGGAGCAAGTTACTCAATGTATTTGAGAATTTACCCGCTCGCGTGCGATATGATCCTAACTTTTGCGGCTGGGATGGATCGTGTGCTGACAACTCATCTTCGTACAAGGGCAGCGCTACTCTTGGGTCAACAACTTCTGGTATCTGACCCAGGCTATCGTTCTCGACCACCTTTCCTTTATCCATACTTCTTCGACGTCACAAAGGAGTTCTTTACCTCGAGTACTCGGCGTCTCTTATGGCTTACACGGTCCTTGAAGTATATAAGTTGTTGCCAGATCATCAACTAATTATAGGTTGGTCAAATAATTTTTTCCCCTATTGAAATTTCCATAATTTCGCGCGCTTTTAGGCAAAGCCCCGTCAAAAATACCCGCACTGAAAGAAGGCTACATAAGCGGAGATATATACAGGGATACTAAAGACATGGAGCGAGACATGCGATCCGTGTAAAATTTTACAAAATCTCAGGCCATTTATTTTGTGCACTGCTTTTTAAAAAACTCTTCCTCTTTTTTTTTTCTTCACCTTGCGGGGTGTCCGACTACCTTGTGAACTTCGTATGAAGTGATTACAAGGAGTACGATATGAGCGCAAGTAAGACCAGGATGAGGTGCTGTCTTGGTAGGTCGAATCGCTTGCGGACTGGGCTGTGAAGTCATTTTTATTTTGCAGCGCTCACTTTAAGAAGTCTTGGTGTTTCAAACCATCGGAGGAGTCGGCACCTTGAACTTGACACGTGACTGTGTGGAGGATCAATGAGCGGAAAACTCGCCCAGAGAAATGCTTTGAAAGCGGAATTCATTATAAATGGATTTACACAGGAATGGCTATTTTTATCTTAAGTGCTATCGCATGCTTGCTTCGCATTTGAATTGAATGTCTAATCGGAAACATTCCACTGAAAATGCTTTAATGTCCAATCTTACATCACAAACTTTAAAGTGGCCAGAGAAGGTGGAGAAAAGCATTGATATTAAAGTTGATGCAAAGAAAAAGCAAATGACGCATTGTTACTCCACCAACCTCCACTTAAAGATGGTCAGTTATGTACAATGTTTTTGATTTGCAAAAAAAATATTGAGAGCTGAGGGATTCGAACCCGCGCATCCGAAGATATCAGGGTTTCTGATACATGCAATATCCTAAACCTGACGCCTTAACCACTCGGCCAAACTCCCTTATGGATGGAATGAGGTATGAAAAGCAGTAATATATGTTGTAAACAATAACAGATCTGCTGCTACGGAAGCTGAAGCTATCTATTGTGAGCTATTGTAAGCTGACTCGTCGCAAAGCTTCAACAATCGTTGATTGTTTGATCCAGCGATTATGAATTGAGCAATCTTCAGTCATGCGCGAGGTGAAATAGCTTCAATCGGATGAGGAATGCTGTTGAGGTTTATCATTGTCGGTGGTTGATAGATTTCTGAACTGTTCATTTAATTCGTTCATAATTGATCTAAGTAATAAAGCTGATAAGGAATTGAGTACTTATATCTCTCCGTGGTTATCTTGAAGATACGGCCACTGTATGACTGAGCAGAATGCCTCCTTTTGTACAATTTTCGTAACACTGTTCTAACTTTAGAATCCGTTACTTTCTTCATACTAGACGGTTAATTCTCATCATACGTCATTCATCATACCACATATGATTAAAATGTTCTGAAGATTCTAGAACTGTCAATGGACCTGTTTTAGCTTCCAGTTCTTCCACAAAATGCCAACCGTCTGTCCAATCCTCTAATTTTATTCTGTCATGCCGATCACGTGATGATGCAATTGAACGATATCACCTTCTCGCCAGCTCCTTCCAACAAATACTCATGAAATTGTATCCAAAATTCCAAATTCAGTGCCTATAATAGTTTTGCGCAGAAAGCAGTGGGAAGATCAACGCCAGCCCAGTCTAGTCACGAGAGAGGATGTTATGACAAACAGATTTCTAAGAATTACGAAATCAATGAGACAAAAAAGCCCGCAGGGGAAGAAGTATGCTAGGAAATTTTTCGACCACATCAGCCGATTAGCATTTTAGGAAGTCGTTCTCGTTTCCACATTTCTTGTAGAATATATAATTTCCCACGAATACCAAATGCCAATATGTCCATAAAGGGTTATTTGTTTACTATATACCTTGTTGGGCGATAGGGCACTCAAGTGTTGGTCAAAGGTAAACATCTATGGCAAGGGCTAACATCAGTCGCCAAACCGTCATCTTAACAAACCAAGCTTCGTTTTGCTTGTAGTGTGATCAAGTTAAGCGTCTCTGGTATATTTCCTTCATGGATAGCCCTGGTAATAGTAGAGACTGTTGGCCGGAGGATCATACGGCTTCGGTGGACTTGCTTATTGAGGAGATTGATAAAGAGTTACCGAGCGATGAGAAGAGACAGATTCCTTTGCAAGATATAGGTGATGAGACCATGGAACACATTGTTTCATACAATACTCAAAAAAATGCTTTGATAGAAGAACAGCATCCTGCCGTACTTCCATTGAAAGCGCAGTGCGATCCTCGCAAGTCCGTCATGTTTAGCGATGAACATGAATTTCACGAATACTCACAACTCTCGCAGAACAGTGATTTGCAAGGAGCAGAAGGCGTTGAATTGTCGTGGGATAAGGTTGGACTGCCCGAAAGTGCGCCTCCTCTACAGAAACCGATCGCTATTGCGGAAAATGATAGCGCTAGTGAATCCAGTCTCAACGAAAACGTTGGAATCACTGAAGAGGAACTCAAGGCAAACCTGATTACAAATGTTGAAACAAAGCTTTCGCATATCCTGGGTGACAGCAGCAATCCTATTAAAGTGCCAAAGCTGAGAGAAATGGTCAACGAAATAGACGGATTAGTAGACAAGTTAGATCAAGAGGAAATCAAGCCTCTCAGTTTCACCATCGAGTCTACGGATCCTTTGAATTCTAACAAAAACCAGCATCATCGAATGATACACTACGACGTAGGTGTGGAACAATCGGTTGATGACATATCATTAGCATCGCGGAACAATAAACACAATCCTTCGAAATTGCCAACAACAAACACGGTTTCCATTAACAGACTCAGGCCCACTTCATCTGAGTATCGATTTTCCTCAGGTTCTTCTTTGGACGAGAGTGAAACCGATTTGGTCACGTCCACCACCCAAGATAAATATCGACTTTTAATGTCATGCAAACCAGGTGACATTGATCAATTCGACAATCCCTCAAGTAATTTGCCAAGCAAACTATCGGTAATTGATCTAGCCACCACGTCTAATGTGTTCAGCTCAACAAATACTGGCGATGAATTTCACTCCGTGAACGAAGTAAACAGTAAAGGCCAGCCCGAGCGTGATTTAAGCAATGCAATAGAAGACCTGTGCATACCATCTTCTTTGGAGGATAAAGATGCTACGTTCACAAATTTAAACGATTGCAGGAAGTCGATTGACGGCGAAAACTTTTCAGGAAGGCCGAGCAGTCGGACATCCAGCATAAGCTCTGGCTTTACGTCAGATACCGAATCTCTTTCTGAAAATCCTGTAACTGGCAATGAGAAGCTTTCTACGGAGTACGAGAGAACGAAAAGTATCGATAATGCTAGCATTATTTTAGAGACCACCATGCAACAGCCTTCCAACTCTCCCAAGAATGCTAAGGTGAACTCTCAAAATTCCATAAGTCACCATTTACCCGTTGCAAAGTCGGGCGACGCCGTTGACGGCTGCGACTGTAGTTCCCTCGAGAGCTCAATTGAGGAGCTAAATCAAGATTCTGTCTCTACGGGAGATCACCAAGAGGTTAAGAATAAATCCAAAGAATTCCTCCCAGAGATGCCTGAATCGATTTCACTATTTGATGAGGATGCCCCCTTCGGCAAAGACGAGGACACTTCCGCTGATTCAATTGACCTAACCGCAACTGCAAAACCAAACGATTATCTTTCGATATGGCATTATCAGGAAAATCGCGACTGTTACTCACCAACTGTCAGCCACAATTCTCAATTCTCTGGAGTCTCCACAAACACTGCAGCCTCTTCAATAACAAAATCAACCAATTTCAAGTTTAAACCGAGAATCGTTAGCCGAAGCAAGCTCTATTATCCACATCGTGAGTTGCCTGTCAATTCTTCAAATGAAGAGTACGATAATTATACGCTTTCTCAGAGTCCCGTGAACAGCGTTCTAGATCCTCTAAGAAGAAATACTCTCGTATCTCGAGGTATCCAAAATCAAATCAAAATGCATCAACAATTGCTCTCAAATGCGAGAGTTACAATTGCACAACTTGCTTTTGATAAGAAGTATGCTGGCTCACCTAAAAATCAAGATGCCAAACAAAACATTGAAGGCAGACTTTCACTTGACAACGAGATTCCTAAAGAAAATGATATTCTCCAGGGAGAACATGGAATCTTCGATGGCCATGCAGATTGCCATAGTGCTCATGAATTGTCCGGGGAAGTGGATAATGTTAACAACTTGAAACACGATGGGACCCAAATAATGGAAACCAACTCCTCAGGTGCGATTACAGGCGAGTTCGTTTACGCTCTGAGCGACATTGAGAGTGATAATGATCGAATTTCATTTTCTGAGCAACGGTGGACCAATAAAGGTGAGGAAAAGATTGTTGTTGATATTTGGCATTCGGGGAACACTCTCGAGCAGGATTATATAGCATCCCCGTCAAAGGATAAACTTGATGAAAGTGTACTAAATCAACTTCTCAAAGATGAGAACGAACCGGCTTCGGACAAAAGTCCTGGAGACACCGAAAAAGTCGCAAGTTATCCTGTCTTGAAAAACACTGATAGTCAGGTAAAAGTCTGCCGCCCCCTGAGTTTCTGCGGAATTGAAGTTGAAAAGACTTTGTCGAACGATGAGAAGGATTTCGCCACACCCAAGAAAGCTAAGAGCGCACAGCCTTCACCCACGAGGTCGAATAGGGTCGGAAGCCCATTTAAGGTGACCCGAGCAAGGAAACTTCCTCAATTGGAAAGCCAGACTTCACCAACAATCAAAAAGGCGTTGACTTACACTCAGGAGGGAGACGATACGTCAACTCCTGTCAAAGAGCAAGATTATGAAAATAAAGACGATGAGTCATTGGCTCATAGTTTGAAGGTTCAAAAGACGAAAACACAAGTGCTAATAGATCAGGGAAAAGTTTACATTGCTTTAAAATCTCTGAAAATTTTGGAACTGGACGACATTAAGCGCCATCATCCCACTATTGCAGTTGAGTTTGACAATGGTAAAAATATTGTTCAAACACCATGGAAACCTCTACAAGACAATTTACACGACTTGACTGATGAGTTTGAATTAATTTATGAAAACGAAGATGTTAGAACTAACTCAGATGTTACCATTACGTTGAAATGCAAATATCAGTCCCCCCAGTCCGAACTTCTTTCTGTTACTGAGAAAGTCCCCATAAAAAAGAAGTTTGCATTTGGTAAGACGAAATATCGGTACGAGAATAAATTCGTTCGGCGCAAGCTGGAGACAGACCCCTGGGACTTCAAATTTGCTCAGGACGGATCATTTGCTCGGTGTAAAATTCCGCTAGATACGGCGGCTCTAATCAAAAGCCGGTATTGCAAACAAGAGTTAAGTCTGGATCTCATGAACGAATGGGAGAGATATCCAAACGTTTCAGGCGTCAGTCATAATGCTCAGCCCCCATCAAGGAAGCCTACCTATAAAATCGGACGACTTACTCTTGATATCTGCTACTTTCCACGCACATCTAACGATGAGAGGTTCCCAAAAACCCTCCGGTTGGCGCATGAAATTATCGAAAAGTACTCTCAGCAGCTAAAAATCAATTATGAAGGGTTTTTATGGCAAGAAGGCGGCGACGTTGAAGGAATGCTTCAAAGAAGATATTTCGAACTGAAAGGCTCGCAACTCATTTCGCACCACGAGGTCACGCGCAAGCCACAAGCACTGATAAATTTGTTAAGGGTCAAAGAAGTACTTGGTAAAAACGAGTTGTCCCAAGATACCTCAAAAAACGTCCGCAACTTCACTGACATGGTCCTTTTCAGTGAGTGCTTTAAACTCATATTTGAAAATGGTGAGGTCATCAACTTCAATGCCGACTCTGCAGAAGATCAGGAAATTTGGAAGACCCTATTGCAACGCGTTATCAGTTACAACAAGTTCCACCAACCCTGGGTCAAACAATCCTTAGAAAGTAAAATCGGAGATAGTTGATACATAGGACACTTTTCACCATTATTTTTGAAATTATTTCTTCTGCTGCGACATGTTGTTCATCATCCCGGGAAAAGGAAACGGAAATCCACCGAACATAGGAGACATGCCCATGGTGAAACCGGCAGGAGCCATTGAATTTGAGGTTTTATCCATCATGGCGTTTCCGTCACCTGCTGTGCCATTTAGCTTACCTTGCTGCTGTAGCGCCAGTAATCCCATTAGTAATTTTTGAGGATTGTATTCGTTGCGTAGCTTTTCCTGACGATGCAAATATTCCATCCAAGTTTGCTCGTTAAACCCGTAATTAAAGTAATCGCTTAGATTCGCTCCCGGTTGTCTCCACGGCTTTTCCTTCAAAACTTCTGGATCTATGTCTGTAACGGCCTGATCACCTAATTTGCCTGGCGCATCCAAATCTATCGCATGATACCTCTCTGTCCCAGGAATCGCAGTGGGCACGACCTGTTGCGAGGTGGATTCAATCTTATTGTCTAAGTCTGTTCGGTTTATTCCAACTCCCGTCGTTTCATCAATTACCGGCGCTGACGCAGATATAGTAGTAGTAGTAGCATTAGTGGTAGGGGCCGTAGACACCTTGTCTTTTGAATCTAGCTTCGCACTGTCGTTTCCAACGCCAATAATAAACTCAACGTCTGATTCCTCGTCCGATTCGTCTTCTTCACTGCTATCCTCTTCGCTACTGCTCAAATCTTCGACCTTAGCCTTCTTAACCTGCACAGTTTTCTCCACAGCATCTGAAGCTGGGGCAGGCCTTTTCTCGGTCACGCTTTTAGAAACTTCGGCTTCTTCATCTGAGCCATATAGAAACTTTTCATCTTCATCACTTGTCATTATAGCTTGTATTTATCCTATCTTTGCCAGTCCCTTACTACTCATATCTGTTTAAATTGATTTACTCAGACTAACTGAAAAGTGAAAAATGATGATAACCATCATCGACAGATCTACCAAAGACGTATAAAAGAACGATAGAAACTTAACTAAAGATGCATTCTTTCATGTTTAAACGTTCATTTTCGAGTTCGCTAGCTTTCCTCCAGACGTCGAAAACGTCGTTTGTCAACAGGGTACCGCCCGTCAGCTCCGCGATACCTGATGTAAACACTTTTCTGAAAACCATCGGACGAAAATGCGATGAATTTAGCGAATTGTACGAAAATCAGTGGGAAAGTCTCTTCAAGTGGGACTCTGCTACTCTTAAGCGGAAGGGAATCCCTACACAGCAGCGGAAATACATTTTGAGCCAAGTTGAGAAGTTCCGGAAACAAGAGCCCATCAAAGAAACCAAAATCGGTAAGAAGTCCTATTGGGGCGGGGAACGTAAACGCAATGAAGTCACTGCCAGATTAAAAGCGCAGGAACGCAATGTTTCCTGATTAACTTTTCTAGTATTCTCTGTATATATGCATCTGTAAGTAAGCCTTTCAAAACTCAGAGTTTGCTTCCATAAATTTGCGCAGACTCTCGGCCAATTCTTGAGCTTCTTTTGACATTGATTCCGACGTACGCTCTACACGCTGTTCGTCAGGTTTGGCCAATTTTTTCAGTCCGTCTCGACCACCCAGCTGCATGTATTCAAGTCGCCGGTTTGGCCAATCATCAATTCTCCAGTCGTCAAGCAACTCGTAGATTTTATCCCCGATATTATGAATTCTGTAGCGTGGAATAACGTGCGTGTGCAAATGTGGAACTGTTTGTCCAGCTTCGGGCCCATCTTGTACCGCGATATTCAGGGAGTCTGCTTTGTAGTGGTGCTTAATGAACCGATGAACAAGTTGTAAGGTCTTGAAATAATCGGCATTCTCCTCCGTAGTTAAATCTGCAAGATTCACTACACTCGTTCGCAAAGGAACGATCAAAATATGGCCTGGAGTTATAGGTTTCAAGTTCACTAAGGCATAAGAATGCTTCGATATCTGAGAAAAAAGGTCTACCCGTTAGTTAAAGAGGGCTCTTGATTTGTTCACTTTACTGATTCTGACAGCTAACATACGTAAAACACTTGGTTTGTGACTAAAAAACGACTGAAGTATATCGGGTTGGACATTGGCTTTATTTGCGCTTTGTTCTTTAGAAGTTAATATAACAACTAGTTACTTATATGAAGTGCTTTGTTGATGATCACTAAGAAAAAAAAATTAATAGTTTAGAAGGTAACGTATATGCTTGCTTCTTGATCCTCCAAGCACGAGACTAAGTCTCCAACATCGTCTCCGTTCATGTCCCAACCCAGTTTTGATGTGACTCTTAAGGTTTTCAAATTCGGTAGCCTTTCTTCAACCACGGCGATTGTGAGATCATCAGGATGTACTTTAAATGCTTGGCCCAAGCTTCCACTACATTCGAGCCTGAGGTTCCTTAAAGGTCGTGGGTAAGGTAAAGGAGTGAGAAAATTCTCAGAAAAAGCCCATTTGGAACAGTAGTCGACGGTAAGCTGAAGAGTGATTAGATTGGAACAATATCTGAAAACGTAGTCAAGCGAGCTTTCTTGAAGTGCTGGCATGGGGTAATGGAAGTAAAGATGAGTCAGCGTGTCCCCAATTTTGGCCAGAACCGTGTAAACGGCGTGCTCATTTATCTGAGGACAGTAGGAAAACTCGAGTCTTCGTATGGAACGTGGGAAACTCGTTTCACTCACGAATTCGTTGGTAATACCTCCGCTTAGCTTCAAATATCGCAGATTGGGAGGCCATTGAAATTCTCGAAAACCCTCGCAGTCGATGGAACTTCTGGGAAACGAAAGATGCGTCAGACAATTAAAGCCTTTAATGGCCTGAAATAGTTCCCGCAGCTGAACGGTCTCTGACACAAGTCCCAAATCCAGATATTTCAGTTTGTGACATGACTTCAGGCTTATCAGAGGCGCGTAACCAAAACTAGTTTGAGGGGCGGTAAAAGTTTCTAAGCGCGGGCTACATCGGCGTAATAACTTGGAGACAAACGAGTTTTTGCCACTTTGTATGATGGTGGAAAGATCTAGCGTCACAACATGTTCGCCTAGTCGCTTCTTGCGATTGTTTACGAGAGCATCGACGAATTTGTAAAAATTCCGGCTTGAGAGCTTTGGAGCCCGATAAAGAAATGACAAGGAGATAAAATACCAAGTCCGACAAACGAGAAGGTATTGGGGTTCGATTGTCTCTGAAAATTGCAAAATTAGCCTGAAAAGCTCCCACGGGAGAGCCATTCCATCTCCCAGAGCCGGTTGATGCAGCTCGCGACTTCTCTCTTCATTAGCAGGGCGTATCTTATTGGCTCCAATCGACAATTCGCTAAACTGGTCTGCAAGCCCTCCTAAACTGTCTCCCTCATCTCGTGCCACGGCTTCAGTGGATGTAAACCCTCTGGTGTGAACAAACCCCTGCCCAGCGACATACTTGCGATATGGCGCTTTTGTCTTTTTGGGTCGTCTTTTGTTTGCCATTATTTTTTCAAAGTGCTCCTGAACGCTATAGTCATCTGTGCTGAACGCACTACTTTCTTAAACCCATGAAATCTAAACCAAAATTTGACCTAAAACCCCTTTAAAACCCGAAAATACTAAAAGAATAACCAAATGGAAGAAGCTTCAATACTTAGAAGGTGAAGATCTGTTGCTTTCTTGTAGTGTACTGGTCTGGTTCTTAACACACTTTTTACTTGGTGAAGACAATTATCGACGACAAGTCGCATACTTTTGACGAACTGTAGGAAAAAACTTCCAAAAACAATGTTCTAACTGAGGTTCGAACTCAGGACCTTTGCCGTGTGAAGGCAACGTGATAGCCACTACACTATTAGAACGGTCTGCTAAAACCTGAAGATATTTAATAAACTTGTGGTGGATTGTAAAGAGAACGTCAAGTAAGCTAATCTCTGTATCATAGTGCCTTAACCCATTGACTGAGCTAATGTCAAGAGACAGGGACGGTAAACGATCAGTTGAAGCTTGTCAAGCAAACTTTAACGTCTATTAGCATTCAGTGACTTTCAGTGACATTTAGCGACAAGTTTTTATTAATCGCAAATAATGTAGCTATCGGAAGATTTATATCATCAGCAGCAGCCTACGACTTTCTCCCATTCACCAGCTTCGACACGCAATACAGCGTGCAGTACAGGGCGACGTTGAAAAACAATCGAGCAGTGAATAAGTGAAGAAGAATAATCGTATAAGCAAACTCAATCAACTTTCCAGTGTAAGATCTGCGCTTGCGAGTTTTAATTGCGGACTCCGCACTTGCAACAGGAACGAGTACTTGCCCTTTTACGCCATCTGTGCACGTCCAAGTTTCGCTTTCGTTTGATGCATCTTGGAAACTTGTGATCGGGGCCCGCTTATCTGACAACCCTTCAGGCGCCTCTACGACAATTCTCGAATTTTTCCAGCCAGAAGCGCCATCGAGAGAGCCCAAAACTGCATGTTGAAAGCGTTTAGAATCGCTAGCTTCAATGACTGTAGTCTCTCTTTCCATCGATTTTAAAAGCGTCTCGGCGTCGGACACAAATTCTTCATTTTGCTTGACGACGAGCACAACTAGTTCTTCAAAAGCATCGTAGAAAAACTGACATAACAAGACAGATCCGAGTATAATGAATTGTGAAGGTGAGCAAATGACGAGCCTGAGAGCTTCGTACGGAGAGTTGGATCGTGTAATTGTATCGCTTGGCCCGGTGAGACTTACAGTCAGAAGGTGACCGAGATAAACTCCGCACAAGGTAAGAATTGGCACCATGAAAAGGTTTATACTGCTCAAATAGAGAAGAGTTGTGCTTTGAAGACGGTGCTTGCGACGTAATTTGAGCAGTTTTTTCCAACTTGGCTTACCACTGAAAGCGGAAAAATCTTGACCAAAATCGCAGCATTCGCTGTATTCCAGACAGAGTTTGTAAATGACCCAAGGCCGCTTCGTAACAGCCGGAACGACTTTGAGGATGATATAAAGTCCTGCTAAATGAACTATCAAACAGTCGAGATCACAGAGGGTAAAATTTGCCTGAGGTTTAGACAAGATGGTCTCACATGTCCTAGCGAAAGAATATCCAGACGATTCGGCAGCGGCGCATTGGGCAAAAAAAAAGAAGAATGATTTACAAATCACTGGTATCATAACGCTGCAAACAACAAATCGAACAGGCTCATTTTCGGTGTTCCCATTTGCCGCCACTTTTTCTTTGAGAACGCCCTCAATATCGATCCTTTTGGGCAAAGAGCTTTTCGGGCAGTCGTACGCTCCTGGAATAGAGCTTGAAGAGTCATCGACAGCAAGTTTGTCAAGTTGGGCTTCAATACTTTCCCGCGTACGTTGACTTTTCGCTATCGTAATCGCTGCGTTATTGAGAACATCTTTGATATGTTCAGAATTTGTCGTCAGTGGTCGACTCTTGGAACTTTGTGAGGGACTAAAAGCCCACTGACCGTGCAATCCCACGCGGTACCAAGGGTGCCTGCCCTTGACAAAATTGGAGGCCGCTAAGTAGTCTTCGTTCGGTGCTTCATTTTCGTTGCCAACGGTGGAATAATCTTGTCTAGCGCCAGCGACATGTCTACGGCGAGAACTCAGATAAGAAGTCGACGGTCTTTCGCTACCAGTCGACGCTTCTCCGGCTCCCCCGTAAAGTAATAGCGAATCTTTAACAGATTTATACCCTCCATTACAACTAAAATACATCGCCTTTGATTGCTTTCCAGCCCAACTCGCTTTCAACCGCAGCGAATTTTCAAAGTCCAGTGAGGCCTTAGACTCATCTGCCATTACTTCAAGCAAGTGAAAAGGTTAACGTGCACTTCAGGAGAATTGAGGGAATGATCTAAATCTGCGTCAAGTTTTGAATAATTTTGTGTCTGACGTTTCTCCAGAAAGTGTAATCCCATGATTTCCTTGACAAGGTGACAAAGCGTCGCTGTATTTCAAAAATGGGCAATGGATGAACTGCTACAATCTGAGGAGCCACAAATAGCGGATCAGAAATTGTCAGTCAAGCGAATATGGGAAAAAGCGTTTTTTTAGCAATTCTTCTCGGTTGAGTGGCAAAATCGGTAACTTTTGTGCAGGAATTCACAAAACGGATACGCTGCTGTAACGCATGCGTATTACGTGCTCTCCTAATGCGTACGCGTAGCATCTGTTTGTTTTGATATTTTTAGTGAATTCCAGTTGATCCAGCTTGAACAAATCCATAGATCACATAGTAAATATCAACTTTTGCCAAAAGCTCCCGCAAAGTCGCATGCTGAATGGAGGTATAGCAAAAGTATGCAAAAGCACGGCAAAAGTGTAGACTGGTCTCTTTGAAACTTACCTTGTAAACCTTTTGATTAAACCCATCCTCACGTTTACCTCGTAAACACTGGCAGATTCATCGCTTGCTGCGAGTTTACCCCATGGCGTAGGAAATTCAAAACACTTCGCTTTGCCATGTTAACCTGGTATTCAACTCTTTAATTTCGTTATATGAACGCGTTATACTTAACCCATCCTATCGCTACTGAGTGAGCTAAGTATGCCTCTAGTCTTGACGTTCTGATAAAATTATAAGCGAAAAAGAGCTCGTCGATCAGACCTGGTGACCGACACTTGACGAAACCGGCTTGCCAAGCTCACTATTTCGATGTTCTGATGGTAATTTATTTTCAGGTTGATCGTAAGACAAACTTGTAAATGAATGTTTTAATCTTCAAGAACCATCTATGAGCATAATTGCAGAAGAAAAAAGACCTTTCAAGCGGTTCGTGCCCTCTGATATAATTTTGAGGTCGACTTCAGGATCTCTTAATCTGTTAGACGGTATCCTGGCCCTCGGATTATCGGTATGGCAATTTTGGTGGAGAACTCAGAAATGGTCGATTTTGGATGATGTACTCGACAGTGAATTAGAGCTTTTGCAGGCAATTGAGCATTTTGCTACTAGGCGATTCAATTTGTTGCCTTTTCCTCCACTTTTGGTGCTGTTTTTGGGGGTCTGGGCCGATAAAGAAACCGGTGAAGTAAGCTTGTCGAGTATGCGGTTGTTTTCGGTTGCCTCTTGGAGTTTGGCTTTGAGTTTGATATACTTGGCTCTTAGAAAGGCTTCTATTTCTCAAACCATTGCTCTAATGGTGTCAATTGGATTTTCGTTCCACCCCCTGTACCGAGATGCAGAAACTGCAGAATTGACGCCCGAATCGTTCGGATTGTTCCTTTTCACTGCTTCACTACTGGCATGGTATTCTCTCAAAAGTTCTGCGCTCTTAAGCAAACAATGGCACCGGTACAATGCTATGTTGGGGCTGTCAATTGGCCTTTTGGCTGGCGTCAAATTTTTTGGATGGGCAACCTTGGTCTGGTTGATCCTTTTGACGGGTAAAGAGGTTTGGAAACTGATCGGAGACCTTAAAGTAACTTCAAGGAAAATTGTTCTGACGATGGCTGTACGGTTTGGTTTTTTAATTGGTATTCCTGCAGCTATATTACTGACTTCATATGGAACCTTTTTGGAACATTCAAGTCTTCGAACCTCAGAATATTCAACCTATATGTCTCCATATTTCAAATCTCAACTTTTGCCAGAGGAGTTACCTCAGCCCAATGCGGTTTATTACGGGAGCCGGGTTCTCATCAGACATAGCGAATCATTGGGAGGCTATTTACATTCTCACAACTACACCTATCAGTCAGGATCTCATGAGCAGCAAGTCACACTGTTTGATCAGGCCAATGATTCTGACAATGAATGGATTATTGAGCCACAGTCGAAAGAATTGGATTTCAAGAAGGAACCTGTTATTGTGAAAAACAACGATTTCATTTTATTGAGACATCGTGTTACAGGAAAGCTACTCCGCGCTTCGAGCGCTAAGCCTCCTGTTAGCGAGCAAGATTATGACTCTGAGGTTTCATGCACGGGTGACCAAAACTATACCGGCGATTCAGACGAAATGTGGCGGTTGAAATTTATTCGTGGGACAAGCAAGTTCGTTGATGTTCTGTCACCAAATCTCATTGAATTTCAGCTGGCAAATAAAGGGCAAGGCTGTACCTTGATTGGACATGATTTGAGACTTCCTGACTGGGGATTCGAGCAGCAGGAGGTTCTATGTTTGGATTCAGCAGATCTCGGTAAATCGCTATTTTACATCGAAAGGTCCAATCTTTATTTAGAGAGAGGCGCTTATATGACCTTTCCAAAGCTTTCAGTCTGGAAGAGACTAACGAAAATGGCGAATGAATACGTGGCGAAACAGGTCAAATATGATTACTACGTCAGACATCGTAAACAAGAAGGTGATATACCTGTTGAAAGCTGGCTGCTCCATGGCTTCGATTCCACAATCAAAAACATACTCTTCGTTTTACCTCTTGTTTCTACCATCATGTTTCTCGCTATGGAATTTAGAGCGTGGATAACTTGGAACCCATGGGCTCCAACAGCGACAACGGAAACCTCGCTGAACCACATTTACAAGGATCACACATTAGAGGCTCTGGCAGGATGGATGGTACACTATTACGCTTTTCTTCACTGCAAACACCGCGATCTGAGATTCGTGCAATATTTGCCATGCTATTTATTAAGCCTGTTCTCAACAGCTCAAACCTTGAATCTGTTATGGGTTTACAGCACTAAGAGCAAAGTGTTCCTGACCATAATGACGGCGCTCGTATACATGTGCTGCGCTATGTGAGCCCTTTTATGTGATCATTTTACCCTTCCTTTGCCGAAGAGGGCAAATCGCCAGCCGGCTTGCGAGAATTAGCAATGCCCACCGTAAACTCCGAAATCATCGAGTTGACTGCCCCCATAAGTTTCTCCTTCTCCTGTACGGCTTCAATCTTCTCGTTTTCGACTTTTAGAAGTTGACTTTGTAGACTGTCTATTCTATGCATTTGTTCTTCCGCCGAGACGTCGACACCAGGTAAAGAATCTATCAATTTAGTTATTTGCCTAGTTTTCAATATCAGATCGGTGGAAAGCTCATCGATGACGTTGGAGAACTCTTCAGAAGGCGCTATTGTCGCTTGAGGGTCCGTCATTCGTTCTTCATTGATAGAAGATGGTTCGAAATCATGGTTCTTATCAATGTAGTTCAAGGTTGCACAGAGCTGTTCCACCATTTGATCAAGACATATCTGAAGTTGCGTGAGTCTATCGGTCATCTTATATCCAGTTTTGCAGTTGATTTGTAGTTCTTCTAAACAGTTGAACAAAGATTGAAATTTCAACTCATCTCTGACATGAAACTTGATCTTTTCAATATATTCAATTACCTCATGAGCTAAGAATGACGGAGAAGAACGACACGCTGTTAAAGCTCTTAGATCTGTTGGCCAACTATGACACCTTACTGGAACAATTGCAGACTAGTTTTAGCGAAGGATTTTACCAGTTAAGCCGTGCCAATTATCACAACAAAGATAGCATACGAGGAAGATTTGGAATGGATTATTGGGATAATACTTTTGAAGGAACACAATTGATCAGTGTTAGCGAATCTGCATTCAATGTTGTGCCGTTCGAGTCAAGAGATGATGATTTAATAGAAAACGACATTTCTGATGATGATTTTAAGACAGAGAAGGATCTGGTTAGACGTCGTAAGCTGCGCAAGCAGCGTCAGTATGAAGACGGTGTAAATGAGGGAAAGCGGCAAATACCAAGATCGCATTCTAAAGATCCAATCCATATGTTTGGCGGGGTATTGTCTGTTCCAACGTCTCTTCGACAATCCCAAAGCTCATTCAAAGGAAGCTTAGCAGTAATTATAGAATTGACTAATTGCAGGAAACAAATCTGTCGTGCTCTTGAAGACTGGGAAACTCGAGGAACTCGAGACAATTGATGTGTGTAAAAGTAAGGATTAACGATGGACACTATACTAATGAGGGCTACACCAATGAGTGAATGCTTTGAGCCTTTTTTTTTTTTTGGCTCTGAGTGGGTACTTATGGGATCGGCAAAGATCCATGCACATGCTTAAACAGAAATTGGGATAAAATGCATTGGGGTGGTTGGTCGTTAGGCGCTTGCGCCGGTATGCCTGGACTTGACCGAGCGAATGAAAATATGCATAATGTTCTCACCTATCGGTTTGAAGGAATGGTAAGGGAAAACAATAATTTGATAATCAGTGAGGTGGTATGGATTACAATTGGTATCATGCTGGCGAGATCAATTTCTCGTCGTGACAGTCTATTGTGGGAGTAGGCTCTGTGTTTTCACACTTGACCGAGTTGCTTCCAGCCTCACTGTTCTGGCTGTTAAGATGATAGCATAAAAGGATGTCATCTAGGGATTTGCGAGTACGCGGCGTATCTAAAATGGGAGATGCTTTTTGCAACGAAGATGCTAATAATTGGGAATCTGATCCTCTGCGTGGAGTAAATTTGGGGCTAGGAAAGGCGCCGTTTTGAAGTCCGTCAGATTCACCACGATAGTTTTCCGGTGTTTCCCACGTGAAGCGCTCGACTTGCTGCGTCGAGATGTCTGGCGTCTTGAAACTTAACAAAGAAAACTCCTCGAGTACCGTGGGGAACTGGTATTCTTTCAAAAACTCAGCAGAGACGCTGTTTCTGTCGGAATTCTCGTATTCCTGTCTCTGTGACTGGCCCTGTCCTTGCCCGACTCTCAATTGAACCTTTTGCTTCTCGCTCAACCTTCTTGGACCCTTTATGTGTTCCTCTACTACTTGCGTTGCCATAGTTGAAGTTGAAAGTATGCGACCACTTGAGCTCGAGTACTGTGACGACGATACCGACAAAGAGCGACGTACCAGATCATACTTGGAAGCCACAGATTTCGTTCTGTCTTGATTAGGAACAGCCGCAGGTAGACTTTCAGTAACAAAAGCCTTGTTCAAAGTGACAACAGGTTCCTCTTTTCGTAAGGCATCATGCGGCGGTGCCTCTTCGCAAGTCACCCTCATATCTGCGTGTGAAATATGTTGAAAGTCGAAGGGAACCGAGATTTTGGGGCCACTGGACTCGCTGCGGAAGTCCTTCGATTTGAAAAGTTTTAGGAATGCATTTTTCTTAGAGTTTTTAGCTTGTACATTGGCGGTCTGTTTCAGCCCGGAATTTTTAGTTTTCGACTTGTAAGCAGCTGGAAGAAGAGGTGGTAACTCTATCTTTTTCTTATTGCTCAAAACAGGTCTGTTGCTGTTAATTAGAATAAAATCTAGCTGATCCTCGTCATCAGAATTTAGCAAAGTATGCGCGTGTGTCCCATACAATTTTTCAGCTTCTTGATCCTCGTCAATCCAAATGGATTTCATCTGAGGTAGCTGCGGCTGAAAAGCCATTTCGAATCACTGATATTAGTATCAAACGTATTGTACCCCAGCAAGTCAATTATTGAGCTTAGACCTATGTAGGAGCGCCGCGCCGATTTTATATTGTGAAGTTTGATTTACTTTGAAACCTCGATATCGCTTCCGATTCGAGTAAAAGTCACGAAAAATGGCAATATTTGAAGAAAAAAAAAATGCCCGAAAAAACCACTTAAATTCTGATCACGAAACGCGTCAGGCTTCATTTCATTTCAGATGCGCGAAGCGCGTGCGCCATTCTCGACCTGTGGGCACGGTTCATTTTTCAAAAACGCCCTTACTCCATAGTGTTTCAATGCCAGGACTTCTGCAGCGAAAAACATGTCCGTCACAGTAACTAAAATCTTCGGACTCTAAACCGTTCACGACCGTCATATTAAATGATTGATCTACAAGATGCGAAAAATCTGCCAGTTGCGTTACCGTGTCCGTTGAACTGGACTTTCCTTCTTTGTAAGCGTAGAAATGAGAACCACTTGGTTCTTCAATATCACTGTTTGTAACCCGAAGATGCCTTACATTCTGTTTATCGGGGAGAGACCATATGTCGCACTCTTCATCTTGCTCCATTCGCGTCAAATGGATATTAGATCCATCGGGCCCATCGTTTGATCTGCCTCGTTCGTCGTCGTCTAAACAAAACGTCGTGTTTTGTCCTCTAGTCTTATCCATTGTCGACAGCACCCTTGTAAGCCTGTATATGGCCAGATCTGTCTCACCATGCGACCAGTCAGAAGAAGCTTGCTCCAGAAGAGTGGCAACAGCAGGATTAATCGTTGGAATCCTTGTTTTTTCTCGCTTTTTCTTTTCTGTCGCAGTGTTTCCAGGTCTTTTGCCGATTTTAAACTTCGAGACTTGTCTCCCAATCCTTTTCATGCCTTCAAAAGCCATATTTATGTGTGTGTCACTCTTGTTCAAGTTGTTATAAGTCATGAACTGAGCTTAGCCGCCGACGGGCTTTTATACTCAACAGTCACGTGATAGATATATTCGTCAAAAGATACATACACTACCACCACACAGGACGACCTAGTTGAACAGTTTAAATCTGCAATTTCTTGGATTTGGGCTCCGGAGTGTCTCTTTCTTTTGATGGGTCCTCTATATTATCCGCTCTTTTCCTTTTCACGATTTTTATCATTTTCGTAGCGTCAATGCCATCTGTCGCATTGACAACGTCTGTGTCATGACCGATACCACCACCGACAACGACAGTCTGCTTGTAGCTTCTATTTCTGAGCCTGCCGTTAAGGAGAACCAGTGCCGGCAGCTCACCCATCGCCTTATTGCACTTATCACTGGATAGTCCTAAAAATTTCACCAGACTGCAAGCACTCAGAAGATTTCTACATTCCAAAGGCTTTTCCGCGCCACTGCTAATCACGATACCACGCGACCTGGAACTTCGTATTACGCTTTTCGCATTCTGTATAAATTGCCTTCTGGCTTGCATGTCACGCAAAGCATACGCGTAGACAATTTCGAGCTTGACGCCACGGTTGACGCAGCTGCAGATGTTCTTATGCTTTAAAAACGTAGGCAATCGTTGATCATAGCGGAAAGTGAGTAAATCAACGTCTAGGTTACCCGTCGCTAATGTGAGGCCCCGTTCGCTAATTGGCATTGCCGAAACAATGTCATAAGCTTGTGATATTTTGGATAGAGATTGACCCTTTGACGGATCGTCAATTATAAGCGTAAGGCGAGAGTAAAGCTTTAAACCAGAAGACTTCATCAAGTCACCGAAATTCTCTTCTATTTTGATGGGATTCATGTCCTTCACAGATGAAGGAAACTTGTCGCCTTGGCTGATAGTGAAATTTAGAGCGATGTGTGTGTAGCCCATCAAAGAAAGCGTTGAAAGCGTTTCTCGTACTTTCTGAATGTCAGATGCAGTAGGAGCATTCTTGAAGCTCGTTTGAGGCCAAGGTACATTTAGATCGACGAGCATCTTGAGGTATCAACCGTGTGAAACTTGTATGTACAGGTTGTCAGTAATGATAAGCATCTCAAAATTTTTAGCCGTTAGACCTATAGACGTCGATCATCAACTTCATTCAGAAAACTATAACATAACAACTTGAAAGAAGTGTTCATGCTATTTGGCTTATTTTGTAGCGTAGTGTATTATCATTACATATTCAAATTCTCAACCGGCGATGATGGCTTGAGTTCGTGATCTTCGACGCGTTCCTCAACATATTCGAACGTCAAGACCTTATCAATAATTTCGTTAATGTTTTCTTCTGTCACTGAATCGCCTAAAGTAGGTAAGGATTTACCCTTAGGAAACATCCACATGCGCCATTGAGTATCCGTATTCTCGCACAAGTCAAATAAAATCATTTTAAGTAAAGTGATGTGATTGTAAAACCACGAGACGGATCTGTTGATAAATATGCGGTAGTTTTCCATCTCTTTTACAGCGTGCAGGATTGTGAAATTGGGGAAACCCCTGTTTTCCCGAGATTTGTCTCTCCAGAACTCAAACAGCGCGAAAAGTGCTTTTCTTCTCTGCCATGTTCTTTTAGACTCTCGTAACTTCAAGCCCAGCCCTACAAGTTTGTTTTCCCACCTAAATTCCATGAGGAAATATTCCAAGCTGTTCACGTATTTTTCAGTTAAAATTATCTTACTCAAAACCTTGCTTGCAAATTCGGTCTCGACTTCAACGTCCGGCTTTAGGAAATAAGCATTCATTCGATCCTGTCTCGTCAGCTCCGCATAATCTTCCTCGTTCATTGTCAGCCGTATCAACTCGTCCTCCTTGGACTTGAACTTAAATTCTAAGTAAGCCCCTGTCGATATTGGAACTTTTGGATCTGAACGCTTGTAAAAAAGACCGTCACGGCATAAGAGCTCGACCGGGGAAGCCAACAACAGAGCTGTAGAATTGTCACCGCTGCTGCTGCTGTTCGCGGGTCTACCGCGATTGTCCTTTTTCTCCGGGAGCATAGGAAGCATAGACCTAAACTCCCTTCGGTAATCTTCGTCGATCTTTTCCTTCTTGGGAGGATAAAGATCGGCACTTGTTGTGAACTTCCATAGATCGGGCAGATCTTTCTTGTTCAAAAGATAATCCTCATCATCGTTATTCAACATGGACATTATACCGATCTTGCGAGGCTGAACGACACCCAAAGTGTTCATATTGTCAAACGAGCTGACCATCATCATTCCGCTGCCTGGTCGCATCATCAGTTCATTCTGAGCATCTGTTGGTGGTGAAGTCACCTCTGCTAGTGATTTGTCTTCCATCATTGACAGGGACTCTCTGCCTTCTTCATCATCACGACTACGAAGAGCTAAAGATTCTTTCAATTCCAAGTCTGTTTTACTGCTAAGCGGTAAATCATGGACTTCCTCAGAGGCTTGGGACATCAATGCACCTCGAGACGAGGTGGCTATTGTTCCTGGTGATGGTGTGTTGGCAGACGTGCTTGCAGGAGTTGGACCGTTGGATTGAAGATCATTGCCCAAAGCTGTCATTCTTTTCTTACGTTCTTCCTCCCGCATAGCGAGTAGAATTTCTTTGTTGGATTCCATAAACCATTTGGCCTTTTCGCGATCGCTATACTTCATGGATACCAGCATTTGTTCTCTTTCATCTCGCTGACGCTCCAGTTCTTGAATGCGCTTCGAGGTAGCTTGTGAGGGGGAAACCTTGGTGTCCACATCTCTTGCAGCGACGCCGGGCGTTGACAATAACTCGTTACCAGCTGTTGCACCCTCCAAAAACGAGGAGTCTGCACCCGCTGGTTTCATAGAAGATGCACGCGTATCATTGCTTTCTTCACCCTCACTCTTCGTTGAAATGAGGCCCAGTTCTTGAGATGTTTGCTGTATAGGTGGAGAGAGCGGCGCCGAGGCGGCTGAAGCAGCATCAGCTTTACGAGCCCAATGATGCTTTTTCTTGGGAGGCCTGCCCGGTCCTCTTTTCTTCACAGGTACGCCATTTATGTCTACTGGTGTGCTAGCCTTCTTGGCAATTTTCACAGCCGCAATTTCTTCCTCTTCCGTGGCAGTGTCGTCTGCCTCGGGGTCGTTGAAGTATCGTTTGGAGCGTGCGACACCCACAGCGCCATTAGGAAGTAGTTCTTTAGGTACGACGGATAATGACGCAATAGCATTTGTAAGCGTATTTCTGTTCTTGGGCGGACGACCAGGCCCCCTGTGCACCGGTTGAACAGGCCCAACGTTTACCAGAGCGTTGTTTTTCGCGGCTCTGTTCAAAAACTGCGACACTTGTTCGATTTTTTCTAAAAGTGAGTTAACCACCGTGTCTGAATTCACCTGATTTTTCTGCAAATCTTCAAACTTGCTCTCCAAAACCTGCTGGTTGTGCACCAGATTTTTCACAGCCCCTGCCATGTCCTCCAAGGTCTTGTCCAGCCCGCTGTCCTTTGATCCCAGCACCGATTCTAACTCTTTCACTTTGTTCCCCAGAGCACTTATGGCACTCGATTGCAATTGCAACTGCTGTGGCAGTTGCAGTGGCAATTCTGGCTGCTCTTCCTTCTCCTCGCCCTCTAATTTACCGCTCTCCAGTATGCCGTCATTCTTCTCTTTCTGCGCCAGAAAATCGCGACTGTAATTGGTCTCCTCTAAATTGGGTTCTGCGACGGCAACTTCTCCGTTTTCACCGCCATCATCGCTTCCGTTATTTATGCGGTCCACGTCCATCTCAAATTCAGATGCCAAATGGGCCTGACTGCCTGCTTTTCTGACACTGTCGTTGTTGATAAGTTTGGTTTTTCTATTTGAACTGACTTGATTTTTTCACTTGTCGCCAGTCTGCGAACAGAAAAAGGAAAAATTTTCCTGGATTCTTCTCCTTCTTAAAAGGGGGACGCTGAAATCCTCACCAGTGGAAACAATATTAAGCGAACCAGAGCGACTTAACTCACTAAAAGCGTCGAGCTCAGTTAACTTAGTTTCACCCTTTGTAAGCTGCGGCTCTTAGAAAAAACGAGCCCTTGCGAGCAATCCAAAAAAAAATCACAGTTCAAAATTTTAGTCTTTGATATCAGCGACGCTCTCTGCGGCGATGAATTTTCTAAGGCAATTTGAATTTGTAAATAGTTTTTCTTTGCTTTTATAGCCTTTTTCCTCTGTCGAGAAATCCTTCAGTTTTTTAATTGCAGGCTTGATTATTTTGTCAATGGCCCCTTGCTAGCTGATGATATCCTAATTCCGCCTGAAAAGAGATGATTGTCCTTCGGTTGTGGACAGAATCCATTATTCTCTGTAGTTGCAAACTTTTTCAGGGCGAAATTTTGTCCGTCGCACTGTAATTAACTGTACTGTGAGGGTAAACTGTAGCGAAGTCGACGAGATGAGACGGAAATCTGATACATCTCGGGCTTCTAGTCGTTTAGTAGAGTTCATAAACGTAATTGTGAGTCGTTCTTGACTTTTTTAGACGTGAATTAGTGCTGGGGTCGATTAGCCTTTCGTGTCGAAGTGGAAAACTTCATGTAGTCTCAGGGATCGACGCTGGAATGACGTAGCGACGCTGCAATTCTCAAGCACCATCTTGTACTGTGGTCGTTGGGGAATTAGGGCTACGATGCACTAATCAAGTTGTGGCCAATGGAAACAGACTTTAACGTTGAGCGAGACTCAAAAATAGTACCCTCAGCCTCCAAGCTAGTGTGATTCTTCTGTGCGTGTGTTGCTCGCGATCACAACTTCAACTCTAAGCAAATGGCCCCAAAAAGGGATATTTCCACGCTTTCAAACATGTGAAGTGCATACCATTAGTTTCATTTGGCCAGTAAATACCAATCGCGTAATGTCAACATCCAGGCGCACTCGCGGTTAACGCGCGACTACTGTTACGATCTTCATCCTTTAGAGAGGATCTCTAGCCTGATTTACGCTTATATGTTCCCATAACGTACAGAAAACGTTTGAAAGGAGTGTGCTATATCTGTAAACCCTCTAACGTCGCGGTTCCAAACTTAAGGAAGCACATAATCTAATACGGCACATTGGCGGCTAAATGTGTCACAAACTAGACTAGCCGCCTTCTGTTCAAAAGAGTTCGAAGACAAGAAAGCAAACAACACTTGAAAGTTCTGCTGGACATCGATTGCCCGCTAAAATGAAACTTCTTCTATTAGGTAAATATTTAGTATATCACATGCCTTTTTTCTTTAGATCTCGCCCTTGACAACGTGACCCGACTTCAAGTCCCTAGCAGCGACTCTTAGCACGCCACTCTTGTTGATGTTGAAAGAGATCTCTAGTCCTTGAGCGCCTCTAATGCCCAGCTCCATCAACTTTGTTCCCAAAGTGTAGTGCTTTTCTCTGATGACATCCGGTTCATCGTCATCGTCAGACCAGTCGCTCTCATCGTCATCTTCATCCTTGTTGTTCCCGTCCTTAGGGTCCACTTCGCGAACAGTTTCCTTGATGTGATGGTCTCCCTCGTAGACGCCGATCAAAAGGTCGCCCTTTGCACTTTTCAGAGAAAGCGTTTTCTTGACTGGGAAAGAGGTTTCGGCAAAGAGCACAGGCACGAAGTTGCCCTCAGCGTCCACGACCCCGATGGCTTTCTTCAAGTGCTCGGTGTTGATCACGACAGGCTCCAACGCCTTGGCAAGCTCCTCAGCGTCGTAGTTTGATAGCAACTGCGCTTGACGAGCCGCACCACAAGCGAGCAACTCGTTTGGGTAGTTGGTGGCGTTTTTGTTTTGAGGACCCAAGATCTGCACAGACTCTGGGAGAAGGAATTCGAGGTTCGAGCTCAACTTGGGGGTGAACGACGAACCACCACATAGGAGAACAGCACTGACGTCCAAAGGATCTAGTTCGGCCTTGGCAATGACGTCTTCGATAAATTGACCGAACCGACCTAACACCTTGTTAGCGACCAATTCGTATCTCATTCTGTTAACAGAGGCGTGGTAGTCAAAACCGTCGGCAAGAGAGTCAATAGAAATGGTGGCAGAAGTAACGTTCGAAAGCGTCTTCTTGGTAAGCTCCGCGTTGGCTCTCAATTTGGCCATGGACTTTGCGTTGGTGCGTGGGTTGGAGTGATTCTTTTTTTCGAAGTCCTTGGCAAAGTATTCGATGAGTTCGGCGTCAAGCGCGTCACCACCAAGAGTAGCGTCGTGTGCGGTGGCGAGCAAAGTGTAGATGCCGTTACGGATCGCAATGACGGCGGCGTCGGATCTCACACCACCAAAATCGGCGACAACAACGTTGACATCGGAGTCAAATGGATAGTCCTGGACGTGCGCCAAAAGGGCACTGGATGGCTCGTTGATGAGTTGGATGATTTTCAAACCGACTTTTTCGGCCGCGGCGTAAAGCGCCTTCTTTTGCGCGTCGGTAAAGTTGGTGGGCACAGAGACGACGGTCTCGGCGACAGACTGGCCAATGTAGTCCTCAGCGGCAAGCTTGAGTTGGTTGAGGTGTCTAGAGACGACCTCATCGACGGTTAGCCTTTCTTGCTGGCCGTTGCCTCTGACAACGACAAAACCAGCTTTTCCATCGATTTCGACAACAGGCGCACCGGCAGAGCATTTGGAGAGATCGCATTCCGCAAAGGGAACGCCCAATAGGTCGCGGAAGTTGATAATGGTATTTTTAGAGTTTCTGACCAATTGCTGCAGCGCCTGGCCACCGTGATATTCGTCCTCGCCAACGTAAGACAAAACCGTGGGGATGCACCGTTCACCGTCCGGGTTGGCGATCACATCAACGTCATTCTTAGGATTGACATACGCGATGGAAGAAGAGGTATTTCCGAAAGCGATACCGACAATTGGAGAGGCCATTATCTCGAGTTTTCGCGTGTATTCTTGAACTCAATCGCCAGTTCGATGAGATACCAACCTAGAAATGGAAAAATTTTCTAACCGGAAGCACTCTATAAAATTACCCGTTAATAGTGATTATCAATATAGTCAAACTATCTCCAGTCTGACGCACGGGCTCATGAAGTTTATGACGAAGCTGACGATAGCAAAAGCCAGCCCAGTCTATCAACTTCTTTTTATGTTTGTTTTGGTCATCTTTAAATTACCCCCTAAAAATGAAATTCTGTGATTTTTCAGCGATTTTCCAGACTTTTCATATCAACACGCTAATATATACCTTTATGCGCGTGTGAGGGTGTGCGCGTATGTGCCTGTAATTTCATAAACCGCTATATAATGAAATCATACTTGTTATGATTTCAAAGGTGAGGGAACTCTTTCCTGTGTCTGTCATTTTTGGTATGTGTTTGCGACGTATCTATCCAAGTATCAAACCACAATGAGATCAGTGGTTCCGTGGCATACACTCTGAGTGAAAAGAGGTCCGTCCAAGAGAAAGCAAAGAAGAAGCAATGGGTTGGCAGTATCTTGATTTTCGTGTTTACTTCAGAAAATATGCATCGCGGCTGTTGTTCGCATATTTTCGTCCCTGCAACAGCCACCATACGACAAACACCCTAAAGAAGAGGGTGAAGTGAAGGAAGGGTTGGTATTTCTCAGTAAACCATAAAATATTGAAGCGCAATAGTAAATTATCCGGTAGGGAATGAGAAATGACACAGGAATCACGTGACCAGTTGACATATTTCAATCATAACAAAACTGAAATTTAAAAAGTAATTGTGAAGCTCTCTAAATGGTTAGCTCTTAATATGCTACTCTACTACAAGGTTGAGCTGCCGGGGTTTTGGGCAATAACTTGGCTCTTCTTCAGTTTAGCGCAAAACAGTACGGCAAGTCACGCAGTTGTCGTAGAAAATGTAGCAGGTGACATTCGTGTTTTAGTCACGTGATATATTTTTTCATCAAGATCAATATTCATTATTACAACAATGGCATCACTTAACCTGCTGAACCTTATAAATCGCCGCATAGATCGCCACTCCTGGGATGTCTCATTCAGGTGCTGCTGTCTTCAAAAAGGTATCTGGTATCTTAGCCATCAATGAGGAAGTCTCCCCAGTGGAAATTGTCTGGAGGTCTACCGATGGAGACAAAACGCACAAGATAGCGCTGGACACCATCGACAAGCTGCAAGCGACACCCAACACAAGTGAAAAGATGATGTTGCGGCTAGTAGGTAAATCGGAGACAACCAAAAAAGTCAAAGATAACGAGAGCAATGACGTTAAACCTGCTCCGCCAAGTCATGTCTTTTCGTTCAACAACAGAACGGTCATGGACAACATTAAGGAAACCTTGCAGACAATTATAGCACGTTACAAGGACGAAGAGATTTACGAGGAGAAAAAACGTAAAGAATCAAGCATGGGGCCTGCACTTTCGGAAACAGCTCCTTTAATCAACACTTCCACACTAGACGATTCGCTTTCTCGTGAGAAGTTGCTCACCAACTTGAAACTGCAACAGTCGCTTCTGCGAGAAAATAAAAAGCTTATGAAAGTGTTTCAGGAGACTGTAATAAATTCGGGGCTCCCTCCCCATGAATTTTGGTCTACAAGAGTACCGCTGCTTCGAGCTTTTGCGCTTACAACGTCACAAAGAACTGGCCCTTATAACGTTCTGTCTACAATTAAGCCCGTGGCATCGTCAGACAACAAAGTTAATGTCAGCGTTTCCCGTGAAAAGATATTAACGATTTTCCAAACCTACCCCATTGTCAAGAAGGCTTATGACGATAATGTGCCCAAGAATTTTAGAGAGCAAGAATTTTGGGCGCGCTTCTTCTCATCCAAATTGTTTCGTAAACTTAGAGGAGAGCGAATTATGCAAAACGATCGAGGTGACATGATTATCGATAGATACTTGACTTTGGACCAGGAGTTCGACAGAAAGGACGACGAGCTGTTACTTCATCCTGTCAAGAAGCTCATTGACTTAGAAGGAAACATTCAAGACGATCCTCAGCGACGCGGAAATCGACCTGATTTTACCATGATTCCTGGAATAGATGAAAACGGAAGTAGCGATGGTGTGATTGATATTCTCAAGGGTATGAATAGACTGAGTGAAAAAATGATCAAGTCGCTAGAAAATGAGTATTCGAGATCTCATTTATCGGCCGATGATTTGGATAGAGAGGAGCGCGATGAGCTTGCATATAGCGATTTAGAGGACGACGAGGTTGCGTCTTACACCGAATTGCATTTAAAGAGAAGAATCATGATCGAAAGAAAGACAAACTTGGCCCAAAACGTCGATTCCAATAAAGCCAATGGGAAAGTCAACGACGAGGATGTCAAAAAAGGTATTGACACGTTAGTAAATGGCCTTATGAACCATATCGAATTGAGTAAGGTGACCACAGATGGTAATGCGAACAGCGTAGCCAATTCAAAAATCGTCAAGGCAGTGAAAACCAATGCAAAACAGGTGCGGAATACTAACGAGAGTGTTTTTATCGGGGGACATTCTGGAACCAAGGTGCTCGACAACTCAGAAGAACCCAAAACCCCGCTCCCTCCCGATCTTTTGGAAAGTTGCCGAGCTCTACATGGAACTTGTTGCGAGTTTGTCAAACATTTCTACATTCATTTTCAAAGCGGTGAACCACGACAGGCTGGGACAGTACGGAAGCTATACAACTATCTTATCAAGTGTACGGAAAAGATCTCTGACCTTTTATCGAAGGTGGAAACAGAAGACGGTGGCAAACACGACGCTTTAGTTTCCACTTGCGATGCTCTTCTCAAACCCGTGCTGGGCTCACTGCATCTTGCTAAACAAAAATATGAGAACGCTCTTCTAGAGGCCGGATCTCCAGCAGTAATTGACGTTCGATAAATTATCTCTAGTGCGATAAAGGTAATAGAGAGACCGTATGAAAAGGCTAATTTTCCGGCAATGGACCAAATTCATTTTGCATGAGACTCTTTATAGATGACCACCCAGATTATTGTTCTTCACGATCCATGTTTTCTTTAAAAGCCATTCTTCCTCTTCTTCCTTTGCCTCTGGCGATCTTCTCTTTATTCCTTCTATTAAGCTCAATTACGACCTCACCATTTGCTTTGTCCACAGTGTCCCTTAGAGATAACACCAGACCTTTGTCGACGTTTTCCTTCGGCAGCTTACGGCCCAGCACATCTTCAATTCTCAGAATTAATTCTAGGTCGTATTGCGAAACAAGCGAAATAGATTTTCCGGACCGCCCAGCTCTTGCGGTTCTCCCTACTCTGTGGATATATGATTTCGAGTCAACAGGGATGTCGTAGTTAATCACAATATCCACCGAGGGGATATCCAAACCTCTCGCCGCAACGTCTGTTGCAACTAAGATGGATCTTCTACCGGCCTTGAACAAGTCCAGGGCACCTGTTCTTTGATTTTGGTTCAGGTCACCGTGCAAAGCGGTGGCGCTGAATTCGAGCAAGTTACAAAGGGTCGAAAGCCTCTCCGCATTTGCCTTTGTACGTGTGAATACTATGATAGTCTTCCCAATAAACTCGTTCAAGAGGTAGATCAAGTAAGTGTTTTTCAGACCCCCTGGAACCACCATGAGCGTTTGAACCAAAGTATCGACGGTTTGGTATTTTGTAGAAACGGCACACTTGACGGGATTCGTCAAACTCGCTCTTTGTAATTTGTCTATTTTGGAAGTCATGGTAGCCGAAAATAGGTATGTCGTTCTTCCCTGCGTAGGAATTACTTTCAAGATTTTGTCCAGAACGGGACCAAACTCCATGTCAAGCAATCTGTCGGCTTCATCCATTACCAGAAATTTTAGTTTCCGGAGAGAAAACCCTTTGGTGTTTTCAAGATGGTCCATGAGTCTGCCCGGTGTGGCGATGATAATATGCGGCCTGCGCATCAAATCTCTGGCTTGGTCAATCATGTTCATACCACCAACAATGCAAGTCGAGCGCGCGCCCATACTGCTTCCAAGGGAGTCAAATGTCTCTTTGATCTGTTGTGCCAATTCTCTCGTAGGAGCAAGCACACATGCAAAATAGGGCTGCTGCTCGTGCCATAATTTGTTTAAGATCGGAATTGCAAATGCTGCCGTTTTACCAGACCCAGTTTGCGCGAGTCCAATAATGTCACTGCCTTCTAATGCCGGAGGAATGGCTTTGGCCTGAATGGGCGTTGGTTTAGCGTACTTCAAGTTTTCGCAGGCCTCAATTAGTTCAGGAACAAGATTCAAATCTGAAAACGATTGGAAAAGCTGCCCATCGTCGTCTTCTTCCTGTTTGGGTTCTTCATCATCTAATAACTCGTCCTCTGATGACTGGCCTTCGGCAGATGGCTCCTCATCGTCTTGATTATCTGTCTCTTTCCTGTCGGCTGCAGTGTGCTGTTTGACCTTTTCAACTAAAGACTTGAGCTCCGAGTTCTTCCCAGAACCATTGCGCACTTTCTTCACAACTTTGCCACTCATAACTTTATCAGATTGGCACTTCTTTCGTTTATCTATGACTAGTTCTTTAGCACGCTTCAAGTATGCGATGAGCTTCGTTTTTCGTCAAATTTTTCTTTTCAAAGTAAGTATTATGTAATCTTGCGCAATATATTACATAATCGCTCTTATATCATCATCGTCATCTTTATCACTATACACGGCATTTATATCACATGATCTCATAAGTTTATCATTTTCTACGCATTTATCCCGATCAACGAAACATGTCAATTTATCGAAGACCAATTCAAAGCGGATGATGAAAAAAAAATTTTTGAGAAGGCATTGAGAGAAAGCTCATCGCTCAAAGCAGGTTCAAAGGAAGGACCAAATAGAAGCAGTTGGACGCTTCTTTTGAACAATGGCTAAGCGGAGACAGAAGACCAGAACTCATGTCAAACTCGATGTCGAGGATTCTAAGAAGATTCCAAAGTCTATGGTGATCAGAGTTGGACAAACGTCGATGGGGAACCATTCTTTGAATCAGCTTGTAAAGGACTTCAGACAAGTGATGCAGCCTCACACTGCGGTTAAATTGCGGGAGAGAAAATCGAATAAATTAAAAGATTTCGTAGTTATGTGTGGGCCTCTCGGTGTGTCGCATTTGTTCATTTTCACGCAGTCGGAGAAGACAGGTAATGTGTCGCTAAAGGTCGCAAGGGCACCTCACGGTCCAACCGTAACATTCCAGGTACTTGACTATTCGCTGAGTAAAGACATCAAACAGTTTCTAAAGAGACCCAAAAACTTGATCAAAGAGGACATGATGAGTCCGCCCTTGTTGGTTTTGAACGGCTTTGGTGTCAAGCAAAACGGCGAGGACGCAGAGGCCAAAGAAAAGGCAAACGTTGAAAAAGTGGTCATTTCCATGTTTCAGAACACGTTCCCACCTTTGAATCCGGCAAGAACGCATTTGGGTTCCATAAAGCGTGTTTTCATGATCAACAAGGACGCAGAGACTCAAGAAATCTCAATGCGTCACTATGCCATTGACATCAGAGAAGTTGACATTTCCAGAAACCTCAAACGGCTCTACAAGTCGAAGAACAAGCTGAACAAAGCTGTGCCTAATTTGCATAAGAAAAACGACATCTCTTCTCTCATTCTAGATCACGATGTGGGGGCTTATACCTCAGAAAGTGAAATTGAAGATGACTCTATCGTGAAGGTAGTTGAGCAAGATAAAAGACATGTGAAATCTGTGGCTGATCGCGGCGCGGAAGGCGCACCAGAGGGCCAAATGGGCACTCAGGAAACAGAGCAAGCTGCCCCAAAGAAGAAGGCAGTCAAGTTAACGGAGGTGGGACCACGTCTTACATTGAAACTACTGAAAATAGAAGAAGGCATTTGTTCGGGTAAAGTCTTACATCACGAGTATGTGAAGAAGACGAGCGGAGAAATACGCGCGCTAGAGAAACGTCATGCTGCAAAACAACGGTTGAAGGAGCAGAGAAAGAAGGAACAAGAAGCAAATATAGCGAGAAAAAAGGAAGTAAAGGATGCCAAGAAGCAGCGTAAGCTCGAAAGACGAAGACAACGCGAGGCTGCTGGAGAAGGTGGGTCTGTTGCCAATGGCTCTGAGTCGTCGGGAGACTCCTCAAGCGGCGAAAGCAATGCATATAGCGATGTGCCCGAAGATCTCGACAGCGACCTTTACAGTGACATTGAATGAATATAGAGAGTCTCAAGATCCCTGCATAAATTTTAAAGAAGAGCACATATTTGTACATTACCATTAATAATATATTATCGTTCCAAAGAATAGATATAACGCCGATTCGATCTAATGTACATTGAAAGTTTGTTCGTAGCCAAAAAATGAGTGATCTGGAAAAGCGGTTTCGAGGCAACTCAGAAAACTGCATCATGCAAGGGGCAAAAGTTTTTCCCGCCGTATTTGAGAGTGCCTCTCTTCAGTTTCTGAGTTTTTTTACGAAACCAGCTCTTGATACAGTCGTAGTGAAACATACACAGACATTCGAGCCTTCCAACTTTTTGGCCCGGTAGCATTTCTTCAAAGCATATCGGGCATTCTGCGAAATCAGCGTTTTCGTGATATTCGCCGGTGGAATCGGGCATCTTGTAGACCAGCATTCTGTTTTGATAAGTAGGGCTCCCAACGTCGTCCCCGGGAGGCGAGTTGTGTTGTTGCGCAGTTTCTGCCATCTGAATACACTTGATAATGTGGGTGGAAGAGTCAGGATCGGAGAGCCGGGTCAAATCGGCATTACAAATGGGACAGCGCTCGACGTCGGAGCAGTTATTCCTTGCATGGGCAACGGCGCTGCTACATTCACTGCTGGTTTCTCTAACGTTCTCCATCACTTGGTTGTTTTTGAAGAACTCGTTAAGCCGCGCAGATGACGCCGACGACGCCGACTGTGGAGCTAACCTGGAGGAGTCTTGATTTGCCGTTGTCGTGAAAACGTCAGGCCCCGAGGGACGAAGACGTTCTCCCCAGGGTGAGAGTAACAGTTTCATCCTGGCGAGGGTGTAATAACAGGATGTGCAGGTTCGATATGGTGGGAACTCAGAATCTGCGACCCCGTCTTTCCTGCTGACAACCTTTACCCGTTTTCTGTCGTACCAGAGAAACTTGGTGGAGCAGGGACCGCAGAAAATGCCGCCGCAGCATCGACAGTGGTGCTTTCGCACCAGAAACATGAACTTGACCTCACAATTTAAGCAGTTGTATACCAGTTCATCGGGCTGCCACCGAGCTACGTTGTTGACGAATTCCGGCTCACCTGACATTCTTTTGAACGCTTAATTTTCTGACAATACTAATCTCGGCACGCTTCCAATCAATATCGACTCGGATAGTCCTCAAAATGAGCTGCCAGCTCTATTCGCCTGGCGAGTAACTCCGGGGGGTATTCTGATACTCTTGGTGATAAGAAATCACTTTTCCTTAGATGATCTTCGCGATGACCTGTGAGCAGTCACGTGGTTCTAGGTTTGAACGGTGACATCGCTCTCATCAAAAGTATCATTTGTAGAATCTTTTTAGCTAAATTCAAACATTTTAGTAGACGGGTCAGAAAACTGATAGCCTTAAATCAAGTCGATAAAATCAGGATAGTAACTTTCTTTTGGTCACACGAGAGTGCTCTCTTCTCGTGCTTTCTCTCTTATTTTTGTCGTCCAGAAAAGACGATGCTCGTCAATTAAAGTTCAAATCAATCCGAAGTCTCTAAATTACCATTCCGACGGTATGCAACAAATGTACGTAATTTATAAGTGCTCATATGTGTCATTAAAATTTCTGTCTTGGTGAAAACTGTTTTGGCAGATATCCGGTTTTGATAGTCATACGAAAGGGACGACTATTCGCCCTGGACGGATTAAATGCTTAAATGTTTGTGTCCAAGCGTGGCCATTAGGATACTGACTAACGCTTGCTTTTTTGGCGCAAGCAGCACTTTTTGTGTTAAGGTATGACGTTGTTCAGTTGTTCTCTCGAAAAGTATACTCTTACAGTACTGGCATTCATTGGCTACTTACAAACACGTACATCTTCTTATAGTGCTGGTTGAGTCTTGTAGTTTTAGTACCCAAACAAACCATCTTCTTCATCGTCGAATCCACTGTTGAAAAACCACGAAAATACGATGATGCTCGAATATATGATAACACCACCCGCCGTGCTCATGATGCAGCTGAGGTGGTTGATAAGCTGGCAATGATACAAAACCACAGGAAGCGCCAGGCCGCTTGTTACAAAAACACCCGTAAAGAAATGGCCCACGTCCTGTGCGCCGCCCGTCGACTCATTCATGAAATCACTCGATTCGAAATTCCTTTTATTGAAAAGTGCATTGGGGATTGGAGCTATCAGGAAGATCAAAACTGTAGTGGGAAACAAAGTTAGTAATATAGAAACACTAGTCGTGCTTTAGTGGAGCCACATACTGTCAAATAAAGGATAATAGTTGTGGAAGAGCGCACAGCTGAGAATCACCAGCAAAAACCCAAGAGCCAAGAAACCAGACAAAGAAATGATCTTGGTCAAAGGTGAAACTTTCAACGCCATTTGTTCACCTAATTATCACACCGGTTTGTGAAAATCCGACTCCTGCCTTTAAGCTCAGTTGTTCAGCAGAAGTTTATTAGCTGCCAGAATTGACCTTCTTTCCCCTGATGAAGATGGAAAAGTGGTCACCCGTAAAAAGACATATAAAACAAAAGATTAGGCCAAAGAACACAGCTTAAATTATGCTATTAAGATACCGACCTGTAATTTATTAGGAAACCTATATACAAGTTTATACAAGCGGAGTTTCCGGCTATGTGCTAGAGACATCGTAAGTAGCACCTCATGATTTTTTGGAGGGGTTTTCATTTCAATGTGTAGTCGTCATAATAACAACAAAAGATAGATATGGCCGGGAATAACGACATAGTAGACTTGTCATTTCGTGAGTTTAGGATCAATCATAGTTTGGTAAATCGTTACCACAACGAGCACATCGTGATTGTTTAAGTACAAGGTGGAGGAATACGGCATGTGGAAGCACTCGCAATCTTCGATTTTTCTTATTTCCCAATACCGCACGTCCTCTTCATGAGGAAAAGGCTAGGAAAAGGAGCTACTAGCTTACTGCTTTGGTTCTCCGTTACCTTCCGCATTGCTGGAAGAGTCGTTCTTGTACATTTGCTCGAACAATTTCATGGAGGCAGTTTGGAGCTCGTCGGTCTTGGTCTTCAAGTCCTCGGCATCGACTTCCTCACCAGATTGAACTCTGGCAACAATCTCTCTTAGAGAGGTGATTTGGTCCTTGACCTTCTGAGCCTCGGCCTTGTCCAACTTGGCTTCGAACTCCTTCAAAGAGCTTTCAGTGTCGTTGGCAAGTTGGTCGGCCTTGTTGGCGTTCTCAATGGCCTTCTTTTTGATTTCATCCTGTTCTCTGTACTTCTCAGCATCGTTGACCATTTGCTCGATTTCAGAGTCAGAAAGACCAGAAGAACCAGCAACGGTGATGGAAGCGTCCTTGTTGGAAGCCTTGTCCCTGGCAGAGACGTTGATGATACCATCGGCGTCAATGTCGAAGGAGACTTCGATTTGAGGAACACCCTTTGGAGCAGGTGGGATACCGGACAAAGTGAAGTTACCAATCAATTTGTTGTCTCTCACCAACTCTCTTTCACCTTGGAAAACTCTGATTTCAACAGAAGTTTGACCGGCAGCGGCAGTAGAAAAGATTTGGGACTTCTTGGTTGGAATGGTAGTGTTTCTTGGGATCAATCTGGTAAAGACACCACCCAAAGTTTCAATACCGAGAGACAATGGGGTGACATCCAACAACAAGACGTCGGTGACTTCACCGGCCAAGACGGCACCTTGGATGGCGGCACCAATAGCGACGGCTTCGTCTGGGTTGACGGCCTTCGAAGGCTCCTTGCCGAATAGCTGCTTGACGGTTTCAACAACCTTTGGCATTCTAGACATACCACCGACAAGGATAACGTCCGAGACATCGGAAGTGCTCAAGTTGGCGTCCTTCAAGGCCTTCTTGACTGGGTCGACGGTCCTCTTGATGAGAGGCTCGGTGAGAGATTCGAATTGAGCTCTGGTGAACTTCATGTTGATGTGCTTAGGACCGGAGGCGTCGGCCGTGATGAAAGGCAAGTTGATCTCGGTGGCCACGGTGGAAGACAACTCGATCTTGGCCTTTTCGGCGGCCTCTCTGATTCTTTGGATGGCCATACGGTCGTTCTGTAGGTCGATGCCGGATTCCTTCTTGAAGGCTTGGACGATTTCTCTTAGCAAGAAAATGTCAAAGTCCTCACCACCCAAGTGAGTGTCACCGTTGGTGGACTTGACTTCGAAGACACCGTTGTCGATGTCCAAGATGGAAATATCGAAAGTACCACCACCCAAATCGAAGACGGCAACGACCTTGGTGTCGGATTTTTCAAGACCGTACGCCAAAGCAGCGGCGGTAGGCTCGTTGACGACACGGAGCACGTTCAAGCCCACGATTTGACCAGCGTCCTTGGTGGCCTGTCTTTGGGAGTCGTTGAAGTAAGCGGGCACGGTGACGACCGCGTTTTTCACGTTCTTGCCCAAGTAAGCTTCGGCGGTCTCTTTCATCTTGTTCAAAACGAAACCACCGATCTGGGAAGGAGAGTAGGTCTGGCCACGGGCCTCGAGCCAGGCGTCGCCGTTGGAGTGCTTGACGATCTTGTAAGGCACTTGCTTGATGTCTCTCTGGACCTCGGCGTCCTCGAAACGGCGACCGATCAAACGCTTGGTGGCAAAGAGAGTGTTTTCCGGGTTGACGACGGCTTGGCGCTTGGCTGGAATACCGACCAAGCGCTCGCCGTCCTTGGTGAACGCCACAACGGATGGAGTGGTTCTGGCACCTTCCGCGTTCTCGATGATCTTGGGCACTTTGCCCTCCATGACCGCGACGGCCGAGTTGGTAGTACCCAGATCGATACCGATCACTTGGCCTTGCACCTTGGTGGAGTTGAAACGCGCGGCGGCGACGCTGCGCGTGCGGAGCGTGCGAAGCGCGGACTTGGCGGACAACATTTTGTTTTTCTGGATTTCCGAGCGCGCAGTAACGGTAACGGAGTAGCTCAAACGCTAGTTTTAGTCTTAGATATTGGTATCGCCGAACAGCCGCTAGTTGGGATGCTGTGCCAGGAGCTGGGATAACAATAAGGTCGCAAACTTTGAGTGTCTGAGAACTACCCTTTCTTTCGCGAAACGGACCTTAATGGCACCTTGCGGAGTGAGTGTATTTCTCCCTTCCTATATATATAGCCGGAAAATTTTTTAGCTGGCGAATTTCTAGAAGCGTCTGGAAAAAGCGCGCCGTACCCAGCGACGTCACCACGTGACGTCCGCTTCCCATGCGAAACCATCGCGCGCACGTACACCAGTAACACCAGTATCAGCGGATGCCCCTGGGAACTTCCTGGGAACCACAGAAGCACAGAAATGCCGTCCGAAGTCCGCCAGCTTCGAGCCTCGGGGGCGAAGTACTGGAGATCGCTAGAAGCTCAAGTGCGGGTAACCCTGCCATGGCATGAGCTCAACAGGGAATATCACAGAAGAGTCAGATGCGCGCAGCGGTAGAAAACCTATACATATATCGTTGTCGTGGTCCGCTTCTTGGTCTGTGTCAGCTGATATGCCGGACTTGAGAAGCGGGCTACATGAGCATCTTCACTGGTAGTGATAATCATAAGGACGAGCTATGCTAAGCATGCTTTGCATTCTTACAAGCTTCACATGCTGTACCCCCCGACCATGGCTCTCGGCGGGTAATATCGTTACATACGCGTGGGTAACAATGAGTTTCCGTTACCAACGACAACGAGCTCGTTCGTAAAGTGTGATAGACATTTCAGACCTGTTTTTCTCAACACCCCTGCACCCAAGTAAATGCTTATTCTATGCTATCTTGTACCTGTGTATTGTACCTTGCTGTGTAGCTTCGTTCTCGTCGTCTGTCGGCATTCGAGAAAGTCCTCCAGTGGAAAGCGCTGTCCAGGTTCGCTATAGCGGAAGCGGGCCGAGGCTGTTGTAACATAGAACAGAGAAGATCGCAGGTTGCAACGGAAACATAGTAGATGCAGCAAACATAGTAGCTCAGTAGTGAAACTTGGGTGGTCACGTGACTCTGGTTACGAACTCCGTTTCGGTCAGCCGGCTCGGCTTTGGTATGGTTGGTAGGGTGGCCCCCGTGTGGTTCGTGCAGTGGCGGCGGCTCCGCTGTGTATACCATGTACATGTACATGGTATACACATTTTCGCTTACCTTATGCATGGTATACACGGGCCGTGTCTAGCGCTCAGCTGTGGTTAGCGAAAAAATAAAAACTCTGGCACGCGAAAAACACCGTCTCCCGCGCCAGCGATCAACACCGCTCCAAGATGTCCCAGTCCATCCTGGTATGCATTGCCGGGTGGTACTTCTGCTCCATCACGCTCTCGCTGTACAACAAGTGGATGTTCGACCCGCACAAGGGCCTCAACGTGGCTTTCCCGATGCTCGTCACCTCTGTGCATCAATTCATCCTCTGGGGCCTATCCTGGTGCTATCTCAGGGTTTACGCGCGTCCCACGCTCGCCAGAGATGCGCCAGTTGCGGCGGCCGCGCCTGCAGGCGCGGCAGCCGCCGGCTGGCGCTTTTACGGCAAGATGATCGTCCCCACGGCGCTCGCGAGCGCCGGAGACATCGGGCTAGGTAACGTGTCGTTCAAATTCGTGCCCCTAGCCGTGTACACGGTTGTCAAGTCCTCGAGCATTGCGTTTGTGCTGCTCTTCAGCTGCGTGTTTCGGCTCGAAAAGTTCCGGTGGCAGTTGCTCGCCGTCGTCGTGGTCATGTTTCTTGGTGTGGTCATGATGGTACATTCGCCCGGCGCGGACACGCAGACGGCAAACGACGCCGCGGAAGTCGCGTTAGGAGTGCTTTTGGTGCTCGCCAGCAGCTGTCTTTCGGGCCTTCGCTGGGTGTACACGCATCTCATACTGAACAAACACGCAGGCGGCCCAGCCGGGGCTGCAGGCCCTGCAGGTGCGGCGAACGCGGGCGCGGGCGCTCGCAAAAAGTCGCCCGTCGAAACCATCTACCAACTCGCACCCGTCATGGGTGTCACTCTCTTCACATTCGCGCTCATCGCGGAACGGCCGTTTCCAGCTGTGTTCCACTCCCCGCTCTTCGAGGCCAATGGCCTTGTCAGCGCGTCCACCGTGCTGCGAGGCGCGCTGTTGTTGCTTGTTCCGGGCTTCCTGGTCTTTTTCATGACCATATGCGAGTTTGGCATTTTGCAACTGGCACAGGTCCTGACGCTTTCGATCGCAGGTGTCGTCAAGGAGATTCTCACCATTGTTGCGGGGCTCGCGGTACTTCATGAACGTCTGAGCGGCCTCTACAACTGGCTGGGCATGACCACAATCCTGCTCGACGTGTGCTACTACAACTACTACCGATTCAAGGAAAACGCAAGAACCAAATACATACTTGATTTCGACAACAACGACGAAGAGGCCAACGCCAATGCCCGGGACTCTACTAATGTCGAAGAAATCGAAATGGTTGTCACAAAATGAAATGCCGATGCCTTAGCTTCATACCCTCACAAAGTCAACATACGCAGCATTTAGTTGGCCGTTTGTTCTCGGGACTTCGCAGTTAATATTCAACAAGATACAACTTTCAACGACGGATTTCAGTTCAGCAATTCACAGCGACTTAACTGCTGTCTCTTCTATGTAATATATATCTTTCTTGTCCTAATAGCGTGCTCTTCGCTGTCCCCTGTTGCTGGTCAAGGTGAAATTTTCACTATCTTTAACAGCTTCATGAGAAAAATTTTTGAGAACAAGGATAAAAAATCACCTAACGACGAAAATTAGACCATATTTAAGTAACAACAAGAGATAATCTCAAGCTTTAAGACACTGGAACGGCACTATGACGGTTCTTTCGGTTCCAATGTCTAAACACACGGTGTTTTTGAAATCGATCACCGTGAGATTCTTCAAATTATTGCACAGTTTGGCCGACGCAGTGGGTATCAAAGAGGATAAAGACGATGGGACGGACGAGGTCGTAGCCAAAAAAACGTCAGAAAACGGCAGTGAACCGGATATTAAAGTACAAAGCTCGCTTTTCCCGAGCCGGAACAATGTGGATACGTCCCTCGATTTCAAGGCGACCGTTGTGCCTTGCGCACTTGATTTGTCTGGACTGCAGGGACCCATGTCTATGAGGGGAACACTTTCCGACGCAATGGAATGGGGTGGTAATGGCGGCGGGTGCGTGGCATCGCCACCGATTTCACCGAGAAGTAATAGCTCGAAGGGCGAAATTAAAGAAGTTGGTGCGGGCGCGGAAGCCATGGGCGAAGAAGGTCAGAAGTTCGTGTGTCATTACTGCGATGCGGAATTTCGGATTCGGGGTTATCTGACGCGGCATATCAAGAAACACGCCGTGGAGAAGGCCTACCATTGTCCATTTTTCACCAAGGATGGCTCCTCGGAGAGCAGGTGCCATAGCACAGGCGGGTTTTCGAGGCGGGACACTTACAAGACGCATCTGCGCTCGCGGCATTTTGTCTACCCAAAGGGTGTCAAGACGAGCGACAGAGCCAAATCGCACGGGTCCTGTGCTCATTGTGGCGAGGCGTTCGAAAATACGGATGTGTGGATTCAAAATCATATCGAAAAGGGCATGTGCAGTGGATTACCCAGTGGATATATTGCACAGACTAAAAACTCGAAAAAATCCGGTAAACTCAAGATGATAAGGACTTCGAACGGCCATTCGCGCTTCATATCGTCACAACAGAGCGTTATCGAGCCCAACGTGCTCTTAAACAGTGAAGCGATAGAGGCGACCGCGATCGTTGTCAACGAGGCCAACCAGCTCGTCGGATTCAAGCGCGCCCCTGCTATCACTAAGATGAGTGACAACAGACTAATGCTGAACTCGGACAACTTTAAAGGCGCGCCTAAGTCCAAAAAACGTTCCAAACTCGTGCGTAAAGGCGACAGGATAATGAGAACGGCCGATTTCACACCTTCCTCTATGGTTTCCCCGGAAGAAACTATCGCCAGGACCACCTCTTCTGAAGAATGTATCACCCCTTACAACGAAACGCCTTTAGACGAAATTTACATTTCTATGAACCCGACACCGGTCGAAGACGCTGCCTTGGAACCCGTTAAATCCGATTCTTCGGCATCGTCACGAATCTCGTCGCACGACGCTTTTGTCAAGAGACAAATACAGCCCACGCCCGCAATGTCCTATCCCGTGGCCGATGTGGATGCCGCTGCATTGAGCGAGCCCTTCTTGCTTCCACTAGACTTGGATCAGTCTCCCACCAACCTTCACGTCTTCGAACAAGACAAAATTTCAATGCGGCCTGTTTCTTCCAAGATAGAAGAGACTTTGGACAGACAAATGGACCCAATCTCTGTGAGCGAAAGGCATTTTCGTGAAACCCAAGGATATTTGAATTTTTACAATTTTACCTTCGACACTAAGCTATGACAATGAGAGCGGATGATGTAATCAGAGCTTTTTTTTTTATTAAGAGAGACACACAGAAAACAAGGATTTAATGCACCAATTAGTGTTGGGGGAAAGGGCAGGGCCATTTCAAGAGGTCGATTTTTTTTGCTCGGCAATCTCTGACGTGTTCCCAATTGCATCGGAACGGCAGGCGTTTCTATCGGAAATAGGGATTTGTATCAAAACATAAGAAAAACAATTAAAAATTTATTGAGTTACGACCATAAAACAGTGAATTTTCTCATCATTCAAAGGCTCTAGATGCAGTCGAATATGCTTTATACTTGAAGTTGGAGGAGATCAATTCATACCAAGCATTTGATAAGATTGAATAGTTCGTGAGTAATGACACTCGATATCACAAGTTTTAGAGATGAGATGAGGTCTAGAAGCGTCAACACGCTAGGATCACCCTACTGAAGCTAATCGCCAAAAGACTACAAAGATTACTTGTTTCGCGTTCCAGGATCCCGATTAGTGGAGTCAGACGTAGGAAATTTTGGGCTGTTTCTTCAAGCGATGTCAGAGGAACAGGAAGACCTAAATCTGAATGAATTAGTTGGTAATCTTCTGGCAGCTCACAACGAGAGTGAACCGGTACAAGACTTGGAACATGAGACTGCAGACCTAAATGAAGAGTTTCCAGAGCTTCAGGAAACCTCTGTAGAGCCGGGAATTGACTTTGGGGATGAAGATCTGGCCGCGGTAGTGGCCCAAGCGATTGGGGGCATGGATCATGTTGCAGAGAACGGATCTAAACCGCAACAAATAGGGCACGAACACCGTCAAGACACTGGAAATGAAGTATTGGGGGAAAGCTCGGAACTCGGTGAGGTAAACAAAGAGCAGGAATGGGCTCACATCTTACAGCAAGGACTTTTGCAAGAACAACTGCCTTCTACTCAAGATAACGTCCTTTCACGCGCGGAGGCAACTACAGCGGAAGATTTAGATCAAGAGGATGAGGCTCTACGGAGGGCCATTCTTGACTCGCTTCAGCACATAAATGTGAGTGGAGATGGTTTTGCTGAGGGCAAAAAGGATCAGATGCAGGCCGAGCCAACTCAAGCCAGCCGTAGCAGTAAGGAAAAGAAGGCTAGTAAGAGCAAAAGTTCGAAGAAAAGCTCCAAAAAGAAGTCGTCAAAGAAGAAGAAGGAATCGTCCAAGAAGCAGAAAAACGTCGAAAAAAGCTCTAAGACAGGTAAGGCAGAAGAGAAAAAGGCAGATGATGATCTCTTGAACTTTGAAGACGTTATCAAGAGTTTTATGGATCAAGCCAGTTTAGGGTCCACTTCTACCTCAAATTTAACGGAAGTCGATACACGTCGAGCTGCACAAAGTTACGAGTCCAGCGACCCTGAGACACAAGCGCTTGTACAGGCAACGTTAAAAGCATTCGAAAAGGACTTGGTGGATAAGTCTGATAAATCAAGCCATGCATCTACATCTAAGAAAAAGTCTTCGCTAAAAGGTACGGAGGGCCACAAAAAGCCCGCCAAATCGTCGACGCTAAAGAACAAGAAATCTTCTAAGGTTCAAAGCACCAGTACGACGGTAAAATCTAAAGGTTCATCTAGTAAGCATAAGCGAAAGTCGTCCAAGGCTAAAGCCCACGTATCATCAGAGCCGGAAGATGATGATTTCTCCAAAGCTTTGGCGGATATGGTCAATCGTGTTGTCAACACTTCTTTAACTGAACCCCAAGGCCGCCAAGAGCCTGCTGTTGCACCTTCTGGAAGTTTAAATGATATGGCGGCTAGCGCAGAAATAGCTGGTGCTAATGCTACCGACCAGGAGGAGGGCTTCGACTTGAATTTGATAATGCAAAATGCCATGGCCATGGCTTTCCAAGATGAATCACAATCAGAATCACAGCGCGAAGTTTCTGATGATTTAAATCGAGAGTTAGGTGACCTCAATATATCAGATCTTCTTGAGTCTATCAAAGTGACCAAAGGTCGAAAAAAGGTCGCATCTAAAAAGAAGCAAACCTCTATCAGCGAAGTTACCCCAACTTCTAAGAAAGCCGGCGCTTCCACGAAGTCACAATCTCGCCGAGTCTCTAATGCGTCACGCCCAGGCTTTGGCTTTACAAGCCAAGAATTGAGTGCCGCCCTAAATGCTGCTGGAACTTCGTTCTCTGGTCTTTCTGGAACATTATCATTTCCAACAGCTCTGAAGGAAGAAGCGCAGCCAGGGAAGCTGAAAAAACCTGGCCAATCACAAATCTCTACAGAAAAGCTATTGAGGAGAAAATACAGCATTGCAGTTAATGTTGCCGCATCTGTTGCTCGTAAAAACATAAGAAAGAAGAACAGGGAAGCCAGGAAAAAGCTTTTGGAGGCTCGCGAATCTGCTAGAGCTGAAAGGAAAAGAAGGAAAGAAGAAGAGAGGGTTAACAAAGAGTCAGAGCGAAAAGAACTCGAGGTTATAGTTTCACGCGGACCACCTTATCCCTCCGATTTACGATTGACTAAAAGTGGCAAACCTAAAAAGCCCTATAGGAGGTACACACCGGAAGAGCTTGCGAAGAGAGCTGCCGCACCGCCCGCGGAAGAACAAAAGAGTCAAAAGATCAAAAGGGAGAGGAAGAAAAGAGAAAAGAAGCCCAAAAAAATTCCGCTGTCGGCGCTTAAAAAGATACCACTTTTCAACTTTGCGAAGGATAAGTCACTGCTTGAAACGAAAGGCGGTTTAAATGACATTGACGGAACGCTGGCACGTATCCCGTTGAAAAACTCAGAGTCTAAAGCGGGTTCTGTTGAAATAAACCTGAGCGGCGAGACGCTCAGGAATTCAAATTCGCTACAAACGTCATTGACTGAGACAAGAGGAGATCTTGGAAAGAGTAAAGCTTCGAAACCCGGACCATACGACCGAGCTCAAAAGACGGTTGTGCATCGCGAAAAAGTCCCATTCCACCCTCCCTGGATAATGCCATCACAACCTCCCTTTGCATTACCAGTGGCAAGGAGAAAGAAAAAAGACAGGAGTAAAGGTCACAGCCATGCCAGGAGGGCATCGAAGAGCTTGCGGTCGTCGCATTCCAGAAGAAACAATTCGACTTTTGTGTCTGGTAATAAGATCATTCCCGCCGCTTTTTTCCCTATTATCAACACGCTCAAGGCGGCAGCTAGATCGAAGACCGCAGCAGGTGCCACTCCCGAGGAGGCCAGTCGTCATTTGGGTCTCATGTTGAGACAAGCGAGTACAACTATAGCGCATGTGTTAGCTGCGGCAAGGGGCCATTCAAAGAGAGATTACGCTTCTATACGTTCACAAGATGAGATCAAGAAACTCCAGGAAGAGGATCAAGAAATCAAAAGAATTCCCTTGTTTGGAATCAGTAGTTCAAAAGCTGCCGGTAAGCCGGCAATAACCGACAATGAGGATTCCGTTGCACGGGTATTAAAAATATCACATTCGCCTCGAACAACAACAGAGCCTCGACCTGAGCTGGAAAGTACTTCCGAAAGTATAAACATCCCTGATGAGGAGAAGGAAAAATCTGAGGTTTTTTCGGCAGCTCCTGCGGAGGATTCTTCTCGCAAAGATAGTCCTCTTAATGCAACAGAAAAAGCACATGGCAAAGAGGCAATCTCAAATACCCATGTATCCAGAGATGAAAAGAAGCCACGTTTTAAGGACAGAACGCAACCAAGTGCCGTTGAGCATTTAGATTCGGCCTATCAAGTGTCTATAAAACTTGAGGCTGACGAAAATGCTGTTCCTAATATGTCACAGGTGAAGGGACATTCTGCTCATAGTCCTTCAGAAGCTTATCTAAGTCCTGTGATTAATTCGGACATTGAAGTAACTAAGGAATCTGTCAGGAAATCGACGTTTAAGGAGCCATTGAGCTCGGTAAAGTCGGATGTCTTAAGCACTAATCTTGAAAATATGGTAAGAAACCAGTTAGGTGGAAAGCATGAAGCAAATGCGTCATTGCCGGCAAACTTCGATACTATCATCTCAACCGCAATAGCAGATCTGGTAAAACCTCAGGCCAAGCCCAGGAAAAAGTATACCAAGAAGAGTACGCCGGTTTTGAATATAGAGGGAATTGTACCGCCGAGTCTCAAGGTGGAAGTGGAAGCAGAAGAACGCTTACCAGATGTTGAGGTCTCCTATGGCGACCGCAAGTCAGGTCAACCAACTGCCCTAATAAACGCTCCAGTACGGCCTCTAAATATCATGAAAACCGAGGAAAAGGGCTCTAGGTTCCATGTTCCAACAACCACAGCGGCTGGGGAAGCATTGTTGGCGTCGGCAATGCGCAGGGCCAAGAAGCATTTAGATAGTGAAAGCTTGGTTACTTTGAAGAAAGCGGTAAACAATGAGAGAAAAAGGAAGTGGCGGGAAGCAAATGCTAAGAAGAATAAAGGCCATGACCTTCGAGCACGGTTGAAAAAACGAGCCAATGCTCTATTTGGAGAGCAGAACTCTTCTGAGAAATCTCAATGGTACGATCAAGAATACGCAAAGAGAGCGGTAAAACTTGAAGAAGAACCACGAGAGCTGCAAGTCCCAAGTGCAGAACCCACTACTAGTGTAAGTGATCCTGAAATTCTTGCAATAATTGCAGATACTCTTGACAAACCAGAAGTCGCAAAAGCAATCGAAAAGGAGATTGTAGACGAAGCAGGTACAATGTGCAACAACAAACGAGGCGTGAAGAGGCAACGCGGTTCCCATGAAATGAGCTTTGAATCATCTGGTGTTGGTCAGATCCACATTCAAGCAGGCAGATTCTCACAGAAAGCAAAGCATTTACCTCCAGTTGAGAATACCCAAGAACTAATCGACCCAACCCTCATTGGCTCACCAAAACGTCAAAAGAATGAAATAGCGGCTGATATCAATAGAGATCTTACAGACAATATTGAAAAAGAAGTTGATGGTAGGAACAAGAGGGTGATTTCTCGTGGAAGTCTACTCAAAAGACCTGGTTACCTTAATGCGGAGAGTGAATGAGTTGTGGCGGGGACGCAACGTGACACCGAGATTGGGTAGGTTGGTAACAAATGTCAATATAATGAACTTTATCAAAAAGCTACATAGTGCGAAAGCTAGGAGTTACATTACAGTCTGGTAATAAATAGTGGTCGGTAAAATCAAAAAGACTGAAGTCATACTTTTTGCTCAGGTTCTCTCTTCTCCCATTGCACTTCAGCAGGCGTTAGTGGCAGAGTGACCATACTTTGAAAATCAGAACCTGGAACACCATTCATCTTTGGTGAGAACTTCCACTTGACAGTTCTCACAAAAATGGATAGAATCGTGCCCAATTGGCAGTATGCGAAATGCTCACCTATACATCTGTGTCTTCCACCGCCGAAGGGCAAATAAGGGGAAGAAACACCTTTAGAAATGGCACCAAAACCATAATCAACCTCCTCACCAGTAGCGTAAGACGATTTGGCGTCGTTGTCCCAACGATGTGGGTTAAAAGTGTTCGCTTTGGGAAAAAACTCATCCTGCAGATGACAGTAACCCGGGGAAACAAGAACGAAATGGTTCTTTGGGACAACGTATGGGGTATTTGGGATTGGTAGGTCTCTGGTAACTTTGCGGAAAAGGGAGTGCAAAGGATGGTGCATTCTCAAAGTTTCCTTGATTGTCTGGTTCAATAGAGGCATTTCTTGCAGAAGATCGTAAGTAAGTTCTTTTTTACCGTTATCAAGGACACGCATTTGCTCCTCATACAGCTCCTGTTGAATCTCTGGTCTTTCAGCAAGGTGAAGTAAAAGCCAGGCTGAAGTAGCGGCGGAAGTATGCTGACCACCCATCAAAACACCAATCAGCAAATTTGCGATTTCTTGATCGGTCATTTTAGTACCGTCTTTGTAAGTCGAGTTCTTGAGCAAAGAGTCGATAAGGTCTCTGTCTTGAATGTCATTCGCGTCTCTTCTCTTTTGGATCAGTTTCATGTACGTGCTCGAAATAGTTCTCTGAGCGTGATCACGCTTACGGTAGTGGTCCAAAGGTAGGTTTGAAAAGACAAAATTGATAGGCTTGAAGCCCTTGTCCAAATCTGAGTACAAATAGGCGAAATCAGTGTCCAACATGGCGCGCATTTCTTCACCAAGTAAAGAGCGAGATGCTGTGAAAATGGTCATTTCAGGTTGCGTTTCCATCACGTTAATGATCCCGCCTTTTTGCTGATTCATGGAAAAATTCTTCGAGTTCCGGAAATATTTGTAGACTTCGTCAGCGATCTTTGGTACGTATTTACGGAACGCTTCTGTGGACAAAGCGCCTTTAGTAAACTTCTTCTGTTCCATCAAACGGCTGTTGGAGCAGTCGTAAATGACACCCTTGCCAAAAACCGGAGTCGTAAGATGCGTGTAAGCGGCTTCTGCAGAGACGTCCGCCAATTTTGCGTTCAAAACGAATTCGTGGCCCTTAGGTCCCAAATAAACGGTCATCACACGACCCAAAAGCATGAACGAGAAAATGTCACCATATTTCTTCTGACACTCGCCGAAAAATTCGTAAGGACGCGTACCGTACGCCACGGCACTTCCAACCCATGGAATGAAATATGGCACCAAAGGAACCCGATCTTTACGTAGAGAGAACAGGAATTGCCATGTCATGCTGTAAACAAAAGGCGCTGCAATGATAATAGAGATTTGTTGTGGGACGGAAAGCCCGCAAAACCAAACAAAAGCTACCTGTAAAAGGCCCACTGCTTTCTGCAGGGTCGCTTGCACCACTGATTCAGACTCAGACCCCATTACAATTCCACAATTGGCTGTTTTGGCTCTTACTTCTATGTCTCTCATCTCGAGATTTTGATCGTTCTTTACCTGCTTCTTATATTCTCGTTTGTAGAGCATTTTGAACGAAACCCTGTCTCCATCTTAAACGAGATAAATCCGATATGAAAATTGTCGCTTGAACGAACCGAAGGCCTCATGTTTGATGAACGAGCTCGGCTTCTATCGCATTGTTACGAAACTGGAGACGCCTCTCGGGCCTCGTATCGAAAAACGGTCTGTGCTATTTTTTACTTGTGATTTTTACGGTTTATCGCTTAGGAAGATTGTCGTGATAACATCGTAAAATGGGTTTTAAGCCCCAAGTTTCTAGCGTCGAGAACAAATTCGCGAATTCCAGCGGGCCGTCCCCGGTCGTCTGCTAGACCATTAGCTCAATTTCAGCTTTTTGTAGACGTCTTAGGAATTTTTGTAGATTTTTACCAAGATTCCAGCGTAAACTGACGCTGTAAAATTAAACATTAAACGACAGAATCTTCTTTGAATTTATGCCAAAGCAGAAGAAATCGTAGATCTATGAAAAAAGGCTCCTCGGATGGAGACGGATGGATTCGAATTTTGGCATTTGCGAGTTTTTCCGTTTTGAGATTGGAGCGAAGGTCTAAGCAAACCTTATTTCCGGATGATAATAAGTTTCGCACGCGAAGTAAGGTCTACGCACATCTTTCCAGCTAGGAAGTTGTGATAGTTGCACAGGCTCAAAAGAACACTTGAGACCATAATCACGCAGATCCATCTCGACTATACGTCTGTAAACGTCGTAACACACCGGCCGATCGGCACCCAACCCATTGAAAAACGAAAATACACCTTCGGGTTTCAAGAGTCCTACGACGGTGTCGTACAGGTCAAGCATGTCGCTGTAATGCTCGCTGAAAGTGTCATAATAAATGGCGTCGAAAAACACATTGCCGGCGTCTAGCAACGCCGAAAGAGTGTCCTGCCAACGGCCTTCAAGAACAACAACTCCTGGCCGGTCGTACCAGCCTTCTTGCCGCATGCGAGCCAGCACCGCAGGGTGCGCCTCGCATATGTAGTGTTTTGCAGGACTTCGTTCCTGAATGAAAGTATCGATAATCCCCATGCCAAAGCCAATATTGCAAACGACAGGACCGGTCTCACTTGATGTGTCGCCGTATTTGAACATGCTGTCGCGCGCCAGCCGCATGATATCTGTTTCCCAGTCCATCATGACTCCGTCACGATTATCCTTAGTTACCAGTGCGGAATCCGTATATTCAAGGTCAGAATTCAAATAGGTTTCTTGGTTTTCAGCAGCGTCCCTATTGGATGCTTCCCCGTCACCAGTTTCTTCCTCGACCGAAGGTTGAGGCATCAATTCTCCGAGTTTACGAAGCAACAATTCCGCGCTAACCCCGGCTTCGACAACCCTCTCGTACAGGATATTGCCCTCACGCATCCTGCGATCCCACAGAATGTCACCAACGCTCTTCCCTTCGAAATCGAGAAAGTTCCATCCTGCTCCATATTCAAAGAGAACCTCCATCATCTCCAGCACCGTTTTGGACTCTTGATCACTCACGTCATCGGGCAAGGATCTCACGAGAATGTGTAACGGCGTAGTGTTAAATTCAGGTCCCTCTGGGTCCTCTTGTCCAGCTTCGTGAGCTGCAGCTTGTTCAAGCGTATAAGTCGCTGGAATTCCGCTCTTCAAAAGCCGCTTCAACTCAGAAATATAGCTCTCATCTATAGGGCGGCTATCAAGAGCCAAAAGAGAATGTAATGATGACATCTTGCGATTCTATCGTGTTTGTAAAGTCGATCTTGTCCTTAAGGCGATGAGCCAAAAATTTTCGGGCCATAACGCTAACAATTATGTATGAATGTATGTGTTAAGACAAGTGGAATATATAGTGAAAGTAAGTAGCCTACCGCTTAGGCGTCGAAACGACGAGCAGCCTCTTTCCAGTTGATAACGTTCCAAATGGCTTTGAAGTAATCCGCTTTACGGTTCTGATATTGTAAGTAATAGGCATGTTCCCAGGCATCGATGGCCACCAATGGACGAAGGGGACCGGTGACAGTGTCCTGGTTGTAGGTTTGAACTACATCAATGGCACCGCCATTGTCCAAGTTCTTGACAATAAAGGCCCAACCAGAACCTTGAATACCGGCGAGCTTAGCGTTCGTCAACTTTTGCAATTCTTCCAGCGAGCCGAATTGGTCCTTGATTTGATCTGCAAACTTCCCGGAGGGGAGTTCTCCGCCACCCTGGGAGCTTGGTGCCAGATTTTTCCAGAAGAGACAATGGTTGGTGAATCCGCCGCCGTGGAAATTGAGATTTTTCTGCAAAGCGACGATTTTCGTCGTCACTGGGACATCCTGCTGCGTGTCGCCAGTCAATTTGCACTCTAGTTCGCCTAACTGCTCTGTCGCAGCGTTAAACCCGTTGACGTACGTTTGGTGGTGTTTCGTGTAATGAAGTTCGTTGATTTTGCCCGAAATGTGAGGTTCCAAGTCACCGAAATCCCAGTCGAGATCTGGCAAAGTCACTTTCGTGCGCGTACTCATCATGGATATTCCCATCTTAGGGGACAAACCCATAGAGCCTCGGGTAGATACACGCTGTAGTCCTTTTAGAGCTAGCATGGTTGGCTTCCTTTCACTTGATCTTCAAGTAGGTCAATCTGTACCTTTTTTGTCCGTTCGAACTCTCTTTTCAAACCTTAAAAGACGTTGGTTTTGATTCCGTGAAGCAGAAAGGTTGAATTGGCCTTTTTCTGCGTCCTAAGCTTTAAAGTTTCTCTGAATTGTCAGGTTTTGCTGAAGTGCGATATCCCCTTTCTCGATTTTCATCATGAGCCTTTATATATTAGGGTTTCCGGGACTCATTTGATTAAGCTGCGTTTAAAGAAATCTGATTTGCGGAACAATAAACGTATAAAAGGGGCTTGATGAGATCTGCCAAAAGGCCCAACGACTATGTGTTCTTGGAGCAGCTTGGTCATGGCTCTTATTCGAGTGTTTTTCGAGCTCAAGAGCGTGGAAATGGAGCGAGAAATTTCGCTATAAAGGTCTGCTCGAAGAAGCATATTATTAGTGAGAAAAAGGTCAAATATGTGACGATTGAGAAGGATACATTAAATCTGGTGGCACGAGAACGACATCCGGGTGTTGTGCGACTTTTTTGCACGTTTCACGACGCCGAAAAGCTGTATTTTGTGCTTGAATACGTTAGTGGGGGTGAACTTTTGGGATTGATCCACAAGACAGGTCCACTTCCAGAATTGTGGGCTAAACATTTGATGGTGCAGCTCGTGGACACTGTGGGGTTTTTGCATAAGCATGGTGTAATTCATCGAGATTTGAAACCTGAAAATGTGCTTCTTTCGCAAGAGGGTAGAGTCGTCATCACGGATTTCGGTGCAGCGTATAGAGTCGGACAAGGAACCGGGGAAGATGAGAGCCAGAGGGCCGCGTCTTTTGTTGGTACCGCGGAGTATGTTTCACCTGAACTTCTTTTGCACAGTCGATGTGGATTTGCGTCTGACGTTTGGGCATTGGGATGCATTCTATATCAACTTCTTCAAGGAGTGGCCCCTTTTAGAGGTGACAGTGAATTACAAACGTTTGAGAAAATAGCGGCACTCGATTATAAATGGCATGTTGTTGCGCCAGTAAGCCCGAGAGACCTTGTGACCACGATTCTGGTCCTCAATCCCGCTAAACGACCTGGCATTAACCGAATTAAGGGCCATCAATGGTTCAGCAACGTAAATTGGGCAGATAAACAAGCTATATGGCGCGGAATTTGGCAATTGCCTGCACCTTCAAGGCCTGTTAATCAGCTTGGCGATGTTGATAGATCCATGAACAAAATAACAAATGGTAGGCGGAAACCGGCCAAGATAGGTACTACAAGCAGCATTGTGGAATGGCGTAAAAGACTAGGTCTATCCTCACCCATCCAACCCATAATACCACAGCCATTGGGTTCTTCTGCAGGGAATATGCCGATGACACCTCCTCCGTCCGCTAAGGTTACACCTGTACCGCAACCACCAAAGCATGCAGCTCCACCAACGTCTCCACCCGTGGCTATCTTGAAGCGAGATGTAGTTTGCGTCTTAGAATTACCATATTCGCCAGACACGCAGCCAATATCCATGAATGGCTTTTCGGCTGTTGAAACGGGTAAAATAGTCAATTTCATCGCAAATCATGAATCTGAAGTCGTTGCCAGGTCCTCAAAATGTATACTGTCGTTACACCAGAATGGTGTTCTTTATTGTCGGAAGCAAGGACAGCCTTCGCGTGCCCTTGTATCGGTATATGATCGAGATCTGTCCATGTATGATCTGGAATTTGATGAAAATCGAGGAACAGGATTCTTGATTCTGGAGAAGTTTAAGTCCAAACTATGGTTTCTTTCAGTTTCTCGCGATACCCGAGAGCCAAGTGCACACTCCATCAATCAAAAAAGGTCGTGGGTAGATAGTCTCATTACGGCAAGAAAACTTAGGAAACCCCCCGTAGTTGACTTAGCAAAAAAGAAAACGGCTAAAACTAATGGACCAGTACAAGTAGTCATGAGTTCTAGTCGATTTGAAGTTCTACACACCCTAAACGGTATGAAAGATGGAGATGCGTCTCTTGGGGCAAGTGCTGCCTTTAAGAATCGGCACAGATGACAGATGAACATTAATTTTTAAAGCATATACATGTCGCGTTAATGAGGAAAAGTTGAAGAGAAGCTAATTTTAAAAGCAAGGCGGTACACAAGGCTTCAGTAGTTGTTTTTTTGTTTTTTTTTCTCATATGTATCAAGAGGGAAGTAGCGGTCGACATTTTTCTTAACTTGATTATGGCATTTTTCGGATCGCAGCGACACTGCTTCACCACAAATGAGTGATTGAGTTTATCAACGACTAAGGGACTTAACATGCCACTTTCCTGGGTCATCTCACTCTTCCCACTAAACATTTTCATCATTCTAAAACACTAGCATCGAAATAGAGCCCCGGATCAAGAGCCGAAATATCAGCGCTTGTGGCCTCACCATCTAGCAAAAGCTCACTCACGATTTTCCCCGTGGCAGGAGCATTATTTATACCCCAACATGAATGGCCCGAAGCCACGTACAAACCTTCTAGGTTTGTTTCTCCAATCAAAGGTCCCGAGCTCGTGGGAACATTCAACACCGGTAGGTAACATGCTTGCCTTTTCAATATGTGCCCCTCTGATAGGTTCGAAGACAATTTCGAAACGTAATGGTAAAGTTCGTCACACTTTTCACGTACAACTTCGACAGCATCGCTAGTTTCGGGGAGCTCTACCAGGGTGTCACCCTCTCCGCAAACATAAACTTCATCCTTCCGTGCGTACATTTCTGGAGAAAAGTACTTGTTTTTATCGACCTTCAGTTCAGTAAAAATAGCGTAGGGCGATACCGTGCCCGTAGAAGGTTTAATGGTAATCGAATGCGCTCTGAGTCCAGAGATAGGGCAGTCCGGTAAAATCTTGGAAGTCCAAGGGCCCATTGCCAAGACGACTTGTTGTGAAGCGAGGATCTCGATCGGTTGTTGTTCTTCCTGATCGTCGTCATCAGTCGTCGGTATATAGGACACACCAGAAGTACAACCCACGTCGTCGAATTTGATTTCGTTAACTTTACCCAATATGAGGTCGACGGCACCTGTATTCATGGCTTCGCGAAGTAGAAAATGCGTGAATTTGTAAGGGTGGACTTGTGCTGTGGAATCAGTACCTCCCAATGAGGACCAGTCCCGTACCAGTTCTTTTTTGATCCAGTTGAGGTCAACAGGTAGTTTGGTGGTCTTTCGACTACCTTCCATCTCGGTATTGAATTCTTGTTGCAAAGCTTCACTCTTCATGTCAGTCGACGAAGCATCTGTCAACTCCTTCTCGGTGCTGGATTGTTCAGTCATCTCCGAGAACTCGTTCTCGCGCTCGTCGTCGGCCTCGCTTCCAGTCGCGACACTGGATTCGAGAGAGTCGGTTGAATCGCACCTCGATTTTTTTTTCGGTGGGGCCACACGTAAATTGTAACCTTTCCGTGTAGAAGGGTGAGTCTGATGCCCGACATTCTGTACGTCTGCTTCGAGAGAAACGGTTGTGAGTCGTCTGTAGTCCCATTGGTTTTCTCCGTCAAACTCATCGCTCAGATCCTGGTGCAGCTGAAAACTGAGGGGCACGATCTGTTGTGGAAAAGCCCAGGTGGCCAAGAGTCCGCCTGCTTTCCCCGATGCGCCGCCAGCAACGCGCTTAGACTCTAGAAGAGTGATATGGTGTGTAGAAGGGTCAAATCGCGGATGACGGGTCAAATAAAAAGCAGTGCAGACACCAATGATCCCTGCGCCCACCACAATGATGTGGTGTTTGCCCTCGGCTTTGCCTGAAGGCCGCGACAAAAATTCGATTTCGTCAACCGATGGAATGCTCATGCCGTTCGATATGCAAAGTTGTCAAGTGGTACCAGTCAGTCGGTCGTCCAGCCTGCTGTCGTCTGTAGTTTGCCAATTCTTGAACCTCGAACTGTAAAACCCTGGCTAAGAGACTCAGCACAATCTAAATTTTGTGCTTGCTCCTACTTTTTTTCAGTTTGACCTTTTTCCAGATTCCAAGTCTCACGCTGGCCACAACTCCAAAAGGTGCTTGTAACACTTAAAAGACAAAACAAGGAACGATTTTTTTCGAACCTTGGAAAACCTTCGAAAACCTTCAAAAACCTTCGAAAACCTTCGATATCACTATGCTCAAAAATCTGCTTTCTGTCCCCGAACTTGATGAAAAGATCAATTGGAGTTTCGGTCCAGTATTTGATTCGAAAATCTCGATTCTAAGTCTCGTTGAAATTCAATGCACGCAACGCAACAATATCAAAAAAACTGTTGAAGTAGATGTAACGCTCAACTCAAACACTTACCTCAGAAATTTTAAAGGTCTTCTCGAATGACGTTCGTTCACAAGAGGCCTGCTTCCATATCTAGTGCTCGGAACGAAATTTTTCGCTTTACCCCATTGGTATTGGAAAGTGGTCCCACTTTATGACAAATAAACGAGGCGGATTAAAAAGTCATTGAAGACGAGTATCGGATGTAATGTCACGTGATAATTTAAATCCCTGTGCACGATTTGGAAAACTCCGACGAGCATGGTGGTCAAGCCTCGAGGGTATTGTGTGTTAGGTGGCTTCTCGTCTGCTCTGATCACAGCACAAAGGCTAGAACAAGTAACACAATCAACACGACAATCAGCAGGCCGATACAGCAGTCGTTGTATCTCTCTTTGTTTTTCTCGTAGACCCACTCCAGCTGGCGCCGGCCCCGTGCAAGCTTGCTCACCACGTTGTCGACGCCCGTGTCCATCTCTTCCAAGATCACGCCTTGATCCTCGAGCTCTTGTCCCATCGTGGTAGCCTGCAAATGCAGGTTCTGCATGGTGTTCTGAATGGAGTCCAGATGCACGTCCTGTTCCCGAAGAAGCTCCTGCTGCACCAAATCGTGGTCCCCGCCGCCTTCTTCGTCCCCCGCGGCATCTTGTTCAAGATCCAAATCTTCGGCGGGTCTACTAGACTTCGTAGATGCGTTTCGCGCCGCAAGGGCTTTCAACCGCGCCACTTCTCGCTTGAGCGCGTCCACGCTAGCCTCTCGGTTTCCAATCGTTCTTTCGTCGAGCTGTGCGCTTTTTCGCATTACAACGATGCTCCGATCCAGTTCTTGCACCGTCTCGTCGACGTCCCTTATGATGTCTTTGATTTCATCGTCCAGCTCGTGTCCGTGATCGAGGTATTGCAGCAAGCGAGAAGTTTGATCGCCAGTATCGTGCAGTACCTGGTCGAACGGATCGCTGGTCCCTGGAATGCTCATTGTTGATGGCTTGTGTGTCACGTCTTGACCATGTTGGTGTCAACTAGATGTTTTTCTTAGAACCTAAAAAATTAAGCAGCTCTTGGACTGAAAGCTCATCTACAAGCATAACGAGCCATACAAGAACACCAAAACAAATGGATTCTGAACCGACCTTCAAGCAGGAAACGCCTCAAGCAGTTGAAACGAGCAGAATTGACGTCACAGAGACCATTGGAGGCTCCCAAACCCGTAAATACCTTAACGAACACATAACACCGGCGCTACTGCGTGGAATGCGACTTGTAGCAAGGACGAAACCGGACGATCCGCTTCGGTTTTTGGGAGAATTTCTAGTGCGAGAGAGCGACCAGAAAAGCTCTGACAGCGTTGGTGGTGGTGAGGTCTCGGAGAAAGCCAATGGTAGCCCCGAATCAGCAAACTGAGACTGTTGGCAGCTATTTATTGCATGTCTGTATTGTTCTGCATGTGTGCGACACTTGAAAAAGAGTTCAAAACCGCTCTTCCTCCATGACGTCCTGATCCATCAATTTCAGCCCGTAACTGCACATTACGCTCAAAAGACCTAAACGCCAACCACGCCAGAGCTCGTGTAACCGGCCCTTTTCCGTCAGAGAAGTGTACACACCGCGATAAGCGCGAGGCTCGACGATCATGTAATCCTCGGACATGGGGAATGGGCCCTGAGGCCCCTGTTTGAGCAAGTACGAGACTTGGCTTCTCTTTAAGAGAGTTTCTACTGGAAGTTTCACGAAGAGCTCGATAATGCGTGAAATAAACTCAAAGGTGTTATACCACATGGCCTGTGAGTACTTGTCGATGCTAAATTGATTGTAGAGGATCACGCCTGTCATTTTGTGGAAAAGGGTAGTTATCGAAGAGTACCCGGTACTGAGTAATATCAGGTCTATGGGCATCGCTAAAAAATGTCTTTTCCAGGACCACTTGCGGACCAAGTTCCGAAAGCTTCTTTCGCCCAGTTTGGAAGACGTCACGGTCAGACGCGTGCGTATGATATCAATTGGCAGTAGCGCTAGCCCTGTAAAGACACTAGCCGCTACGCTCAGGATGATTGATTTTTTAGCATCGGTAGAGTGCAATATGTCAATGAAATACGGGTCTGGAATTTGCAAAAGTGGTGACATGAGCCCTGTGAACCACGCGTCTAGCGTAACAGATAGGAAATTATAAATGAAAGTAGTGTTATTTGCTCGCCATAGCCCGCGAGTGCCTTCCTCATCCATCACCGAGTTGAGCACATCCATTGTGTGTAGCGTCTTCGGTTGTATTCTCTTGGTTAAAGTAAATTTGTGATGTGTCGAGCTGTTCATATGCTTCAGGCTTGTTGTATCTTCGCCCGTTAGCTGAGGTGGATCTGTCTCAGGGAAAAAATCGATGTCTTCGTCATCCTCAGCATCGCTTTTACCCTCGTCACCAGCTGGGCTATTATCTTCCACCTCTAGCAGTATTCTACGTTTTTCCTGATCCACTTTTTGATCGAAATCTCCGACTTGCATGAGAAGTCTAGCCGCCTCAAACGGCTGTTGTACCAAGTGCCGCAGATATTTCCTGACAAATTGGTCTAACAGCTGCATTGTAACGTTTTTCCACGACTTCCAATTGACGAAATCACTCCATTCCATGTCATGAAGCGCTTTGTTCGACTCCTCCGATGAAACTTCCGCCTCACGGATCTTAGAACGAAGGCCGGAAGTTAATTGCGATAAAGCAACTTTCCGTGTTGACTTGTTTCCTAGTGCTGCTTTGGATTGTGTCATTGTTTTTAACTTGTCGGCAATGCTCAATCCATGACTGTCAATAACACCCTGATCAGGTTTGAAAACGGATGAATACCCAGCATTGAAGCTATCCGCATCGTAATAGGGTCTTAGCTGTTGGTGTGTCTTTACTTCATCCATCGCAAAAGAGCGCTCCAGTGGATGTGATGTTCAAAACAGGGAAGTCATCTAAGGCACTTAAGCTCAGTTTTCTGGTTCCCTAGTGTATAAATCCAGGACAGAGCCAAGGGTTCTTAGCCTCGTACAAAAGTACTTATTAAGCGACACGCATCCGCGTTCATCCAAGCATCCGAACTGGGTCGATCTAAGCGCTCATTGCTGGTTCATATCCACTGGTGGGTCAGATTCTTTGTCTATCTCGTCGTCAGAGTTATTTGGCGGGGGCGTGGAAGGCCGGAACGTGTCCGCGATGTTCAACGACATGACTCGTCGTCCTTCGTGAACACCTGATTTGCTACGGAGCATCGACGTAATTCGGTTCATCTTCGAGAGCGGCACTGGGCCGCCCTGCTCTTTGAGTAGTTCTCGTGAAAATGCTGTGTTTGCCTGTATATCTTGCCATTTCTGTATTAAATCGTGATTAATGCGGTCGTCGAGCTCAAGGTGAGACTTGCGAAGCGATTCGAACTCGTTTTTGCGATCCTCAAGTCTTGCAGTAGAATGCGCCAGCGCCTGCTCCACAAGCTTGAGCTGTGTCTCTTTGGACATTATTTCAAGCGAAAGCCTTTCTAACGTGCCGTGCTTTTCCCGAAACATTTGCAACTCTTGTTCGATTGTCGGGTCACAGCCTGCATTTCGCATGCTTTTGGAGCCGTTGTCCTCGTTCAGACGCTCGCTCAGCAGCTGAATCAAGCTCTGTAGCTTTTTAACATCCTGAGTCGACAGCAACAAGCTCTGCAGGTGTTTATTGTTGTTCGAACTTCGCGCAGCCAGACCATCAAGTTCGACTTGCGTTTGCACAACAGTACTATCCACATGCTGCAGTAGGGCAGTGTTAGATACGTTTGAGTCGGCTAGCTGTCGCAGGTACACAATGATCTCCCCCAGATCTCGGCGTGTCTCCTCTGACGCTTTGTCACCTGAAAGTTGTCCCTTTTTCACGTAATTTTCATCAAGAATACCGTTTTCGAGCCCGTTCGCCGCGTTTTCAAGATCATTCTCTTTGCCATTATGCCAATGAGCCTCGATTTTGTCTGAAACGCTCATCTTGTGGACCTCTGCCTACCTTTCTTCTTACGCAGAAATGAGTTTCTTTGCCGCTGGTGATAAACGCTGTTTCAACATTTGTGAATCGTAAACAAAATCAGAGAGCTAAGCAGTCAAGCATTGTGCAGATCACACCCACTCATTTTGTTTTTTTGGTTTGGATTTTGCACCCATGCATTAAGGGATGAGGAGTAGTCTTTTTTCAACACAGAAAAATGAAATTTCGATTAACATTTCAAGCTAATGCAAGTGTTGTCTATGACGCAGACATTCTACGGTACTTTCTCAGCCAACGACATTCAATTCGATGTGAGTGGGTGCTGTCTAAGCATCCTGAGTGGGTTTCCTCTTCCATCCAGTGGGACCCCCCTGGGGGCAGCCTTTGCCCTCCACCTCCCTGCCTAGCTCTGGCATTCCCGGCGATGCTTCTGGGTTGGAGGGGGAGCTCCCTCCATCGCTGGCGTTGCAGGCAGGTGCAGGCGGGCCCCCCAGACCGCTCTACCACCTCTCCCGGGTTGGTATCCCACTGGGACGTACCCTGCGGGCGACTGGCCTTGGATCCGGGAAACCTGGACCCCCCCAGGTGTTCCGGGCCCATACGTCGTCGTGCTGGCAAAATTTTTGAAAAGAGGTATACTTGGAAAATAGGATCTCTCTCACTTACGAAGGTAGAAAGGATCAATCACCAAAGATGGCTAAGTTCTTGAAAGCTGGTAAAGTTGGTACGTATACAAGGCGAATTACAAGATATGACGTTCCCGTTGGTTGGGTTCTGATAGAGGTGGATTGAGCTTTGTTTGGGTAGTTTGGTAACATGGGCTCATGGTATGAAATGTTACGAGTTTTGTGCTTAACGACATATGTGATATGGAATTTGAATGATTAGAGTAAGCGGTGGGTTAGGTGAGCTATTTTGTGGTTAGCTAGCAAGAGCGAGAGCGTTTCCATGATTTTATGAGAAATTTGACGAGAAACGTTCAAATTCAACACAGCGACGCTTCTCATGCTTCTGGTGGTGAATGTAATTCTTCAAAGTCGAAGAAGATTGTTTATTCAGGAGAAAGGCTCGGTAACGTGTGATGTGGCTCCTAGTGTTGACCCACTTTCACCAGACATCTATCACAACCAAACTTCCGGGAACCAAAACTTCCGGTTTACAATTATACTAACAATCTATTCAGCTGTTGTCGTTCGCGGTCGTTACGCCGGTAAGAAGGTCGTGATCATCAAGCCACACGACGAGGGTTCCAAATCTCACCCATTCGGCCATGCCTTGGTCGCTGGTATCGAGAGATACCCTCTAAAGATCACCAAGAGAATGGGCGCTAAGAAGGTTGCTAAGAGAACCAAGATCAAGCCTTTCATTAAGGCCATCAACTACAATCACTTGTTGCCAACCAGATACACCTTGGACGTTGAGGCCTTCAAGTCCGTCGTCTCTACCGAGACTTTCGAAGAGCCTTCTCAACGTGAGGAAGCTAAGAAGGTTATTAAGAAGGCCTTTGAAGAGAGACACCAAGCTGGCAAGAACCAATGGTTCTTCACCAAGTTGAACTTCTGAGCATTTTTCCTTGGGGACGTCATCTCTCATCGAACTTATGTAAATTTAAAGCTTTTATAACCTCTTAATTGTCACTTGTCAAAAGAGTTAACGGAAAAAAATTCTAGAAATCATTTCAAAGAAGTGCTTATTTTTTGGCACCTCATCGTCGATCCCGATGCTGTTGAAATTCTGCTCGACGGCTCCTTTGAGGCAGCTCAAAAGAGCTCATTTTGATGTCAAGAGCATCGTGAAGAACTTACCCCAGCATTTGGCGTCTATCAAAGCCAGACAATTGGCAACGGAAGATGAGCTCGTTGCTCAATTGCACAATTTACCAGCTCAGCAAGAAGACTTGAGACAGCTGTCAACTGAAAAAGTAGAAATACAGACCCTTAGGAAAGCAACTGAACGGAAAATCAAGCAAGACGCTTCTAGGGATCATGAGTTGCGAGATCAGCTCAAGTCGTTGAAAACCGAATTTCAGTCAACTTCCGAAAAACACCGGCAACTTCAAGAAGTCGTCTACGAAACCTGCTTGTCGCTGCCGAATCTCGTGGAGGATTCCGTGCCAGCAGAGGAGCCAGAATTAGTTCAGTGGGTCAACCCATTGTCCATGTACAGGGCCGAACCAGCCAGAGATCATGTCCAGATATTGGTTCGTAAAGGACTTGTTGATTTTAAAGCAGGTGCCGATATAACAGGCAGCTCTTGGTACTATCTACTTGGCGATGCCGCCCTGCTTGAGCAGGCTTTAATCGCTTATGCGACTGCGAGAGCCAGAAAGCAGGGCTTTTCCATGTGTATACCTCCGAGTATTGCACGATGCGAAATTATCGACGCATGCGGATTTAGGCCACGCGACATGAATAATGAACAACAGATATATCATATTGCCGACTCTCAACTGGGACTTACTGCTACTGCCGAGATTCCGCTAGCAGGACTAGCGGCAAACCGAGTCTTGGACCTGTCAAGCGGCCCTCGCAAGGTTTGTGGAGTCAGTAGAAGCTACAGAGCTGAAGCTGGCGCGAGAGGCAAAGACACGAGGGGTCTTTACAGGGTGCATGAATTCACGAAAGTTGAGCTTTTCTGCTGGTGCACGCCTGAAGAGAGTACTCGAATTTTAGAGGAGCTGCGTGAATTTCAAACGACAATTGTCTCAGAACTGGGGCTTCCTGCCAAGGTTCTTAATATGCCGGCCAATGACCTCGGAGCACCCGCTTACAAGAAATACGACGTCGAAGCTTGGATGCCCGGCAGAGGATCGTTTGGCGAAATAACCAGCACATCTAATTGCTTGGATTTTCAAAGCAGGCGCATGCATACTAAATTCAAAACCTCCCCCCAAGAGAAACCGCGATATGCGCATACACTCAACGGTACCGCTATGGCGATCCCCAGAGTCATTTTGGCCATTGTCGAGAATTTCTACAATCCCGGCACAGATAAAATCGCAATTCCTCTGGTGCTTCATCCATACATGGACAACAAGACAGAAATTTAAGCACTGCAAGACGTTCCAGATACCTGAATCGAGATAAGGCACCGCAGAAGTTCCTTCAAACTCGCTGAATTATCCATAGAATCATTCTTTGGTGGCAGGTCACGTGCTCCTTTTACGATTTCCTCGATGCTCAATATGAAGGGAAGTCGTCCTGTAAATAGTCCAAGATGAGACAACCGAGGCAAGCTAACTAAATTCCAACGCATAGATAGTTCTGATGCTACTGCTGGCTCTCAGTGATGCCCATATACCCGACAGGGAGAAGGTATGTTTATGACAAATCGTTTTTGGAAGCAATGCCGAGAAAAAACATAGTAACTAATTAACAATTTAAAGGACGTGCCAGCCAAGTTTAAGAAGCTTTTAAGCGTTCCAGACAAAATATCACAGGTTGTATTACTTGGGAATTGTACAAAATCTCTGTCATTTCTTCAATTCGTGAACGGGATCTCGACGAACGTTGTTATAGTTCGGGGCGAGTTCGACAACGGCACAATTGCCACGACCAAGAAAAGCCATGAAGACATACCGATAAACACGATCATCAAACAAGGAAATTTCAGGATCGGGTGCTGCAATGGGTATACGGTCGTTCCGAAAAGCGACCCGCTCTCGCTCTTGACGCTAGCAAGACAATTAGACGTCGACATAGTTCTGTGGGGAGGCACCCACAACGTCGAAGCATACACTCTGGAGGGCAAGTTCTTCATCAACCCGGGTTCGTGCACAGGTGCTTTCAGTACAGACTGGGTTGTGCAAGATCGAGACCTGGTGTCTGAAAACTCAACTGAGGCCAAAGGCGACAATGCCCAGGAAGACGAAAAACAGGAAAAAGGGCAATCCGCGCAGCCGCAGCAGGACCATGAGCAAGACGGTAAAACCGCGAGTGCGACTGAAAACGAAGACAATGTCTCGCAGGAAAGTCCGGTCCAGCCCGGTGACGCGTCCGCCGACCCGGCAAACGATGGAAAAGATTCGAGCGACGACGATAGTGACATCGATCCCGCTGACATCAACGGCGGCTGTGTCCCTAGTTTTTGTCTGTTGGACATCCAGGGCTCCACCTGCACGCTTTACATCTACACCTATGTGGATCAAGAAGTGAAAGTAGATAAAGTGGTTTACCGGAAGGATACCTGAGGAGAAGCAGGATAATTAACGAATTTGCTTCGTCATCGGGCTATGAAACCCAATTCACTAGGGGATGCCCTGAAAGCCCTAACGAACACCATTAGATCAACCTCCGTCTGGAACGATGAGCATTGTTCACATTTTGGATTATATATAAAGCGAAAATTTTAAGATGTTCACCCACCCATCCATATTAAAGTCAAGGCTCCGAAATACCAAAGCTTTGACTTAACATAATCATCTCAGAAGCGGCTGTCGACGATCTGTCGAAGAAGTCTCTTCGGCGATTTTCGACCTCGTTTAACGGAAATAAAATGATGAACATGAGTGCATTTGGCTCGAGACGTTTTTGTCGGTGTGGAAAAACCCAAGCTACCTTACTATTTTTTATCTGACATTATGTTTTCCGTGAAACTTGGGGAACGCTACGAGATTGTAATCTTATTCTTGGCCTGTATCTAACAGTATGCTAGGTAGATCTACGAAGGTCTCTAGACCGTGATCTGGTCAACACCTTCATGCAGCAGACTCTCAAGCAAATCGCTTTCGAGATCGTCCTCTAGCTCTCCGTGCTGGAACTTGTGTGGCTCCAGCTCTGAGAGCACAAGTTGTTTCCTCATGGCGTACGCGTCTTCTCCGTCCTGGTAATAGCTTTTCTCTACGTTGAGCACTTCGAATTCCAGTGTGTCTCTGTAAAGATGCAAAGCGGCCCGGTTCGACTGTCTCACGTGCAAGGACACGTATTTCGCCTGGTACACTTCGCACAGTGCGAAGAGCGCCTGTCTCATAAGCTTTTCAGCAATCCCCATGCGTCTGTAAGTGCGCATGACGCTCAAGGACGTGATGTGGCCATTGGCCTCTTCCTGTTGTTGCGACGGATCGTCGTTCATTTTCGCAAGCACGTATCCAACTAGTTTTTCACCGGGCCGCACGTAGCATGGATCCAGTTTTACCGAGAGCTTAGTTTCATTCTGTGTAATCTCTTCAAACTCGTCCAGTTCAGTCCCTAGTTCGTTTCCCACAGCAGTGGTAGTTGCGACAAAAGACGCTTCTGGCCAGGATAAAATGTGGTACATGTAGTATTTGTAAAGATAGTTTTCGGGCAGATTGTTCAAGTTAGCATTCTGCATACACAGCAGGTCCTCAATCGTTGCGCGTCTGATCGTTATAGCCATGTTGTCGCTTTGTCCTTAAGTATGGTGATGCTGGTCTTTGCCATAGTAAATCTAACAAATTTTTCAGTTTTCACTATGCCGTTGGTTATACTAGAACTCGACCTAACTGGCAACGAGAGATATCCATTGATGAGCCGGAAAATCATCTCTCCGTCCACCTCCGTGGGCCAGACGTCCGTTGCTGGCACCACGGGCTATGACTATACGATCGGAGCGCAGAAAACCCTGCCGAATCGGCAACAGGAAGACCCTTTAGCAGCTGCGCTGTACAATCATTCATTGCATCCGCACGCCAGAAGACCGCAGGTTTCGATCTCTGCGTATGCGTTCTTGTTCCAGGAAATGGTTTCGCTCGCGGTGAACACCAGCAAGTCCGTTACAGAGATCGAAAACAAGCTACATCGCCAGGGCTATGCGTTGGGGCCCCGTTTGTTGGAACTCTTGAATTTCAGGTCCAGCGTCACTGCGACGTCAAGTCGAGCTCTTTTCGGGAAAAGTGCCACAGGGCCCGGCGGCCTGGGCGGGCCTCTCGAGGACTCGCTGGCGAGTTCCATCACCGCGATGCGTCGCAGGGACCTTAGAGTGCTAGAAATTTTACAATTCGTCCATGGGCCCGTCTGGACCTACATGTTCGGACGCCAAGGTGACGATCTGGTCAAATCGTCAGAACGTGAAAACGAGTACATGGTCGTCGACAATCTGCCCTTGCTCACGCAGTTCATCGGCCATGGGAATGTCCAATGCGATGCATTCGTGTGTGGCATCGTCGAGGGCATCTTGGACGGTGCTTCTTTTCCGTGCAAAGTCACAGCCCACGCAATGCCAGAGGATCAACACGACCGAAGGGTCGTGTATCTGATCAAATTCGATCACGAGGTACTACAGCGAGAGGCTCTGAGATTTTAAGACTATGATGGCTCTCTATTCCCCTGTTCTAAGGCTACTGAGCCTTGGCGATGAGCTGCTCATCTTGATCGAATTCTTACGTCGAGAAAAAATTAAGGCATGTCAGCGGTCAAATCTTTAAGAGACCAAACTGGCGGGGCAAAAATCTTGAGACATAGCGCATTATGGAAGGTAATCGGGGTCACAAACGGTTCAGAATTGAGTCTCGTGAAGGAGTTTATGGTCCTTTGCAACCTAAGCCGGCGAATGTGCCAACGCCAAGACAAACTGGCGCGCAATTAGGTCAATTCTTTAAGAAGCGGAAGAAATCCGGCAAGAGTGAAAAACGGGCAAATAAGAGCTTTGAAAAGCCTGAACAAGCGGTTTTCGAGAACGATGCAGTCAGGGTACGTTTAGTGGAGCAAGAAGAGCCGAGAACAACCGAAAAGTCGGCAGGAAGGTCGCTGGGCCAGCCGCGTCGGCGCAAGCTTCGGAATGAAACCAAGGGGCTGAATCGCGCGGATTGGTCGCTGCCGCGTGGAGACGACAGTTGCGATGCAATTGGCAACCAGTCGATCCAGCTCGAAGAGTTCGATCAGCCGCCAGACTCGACTTCAACGCCGCTTCTGGGAAGTCCCTTGACACGAAGCCTTGCCGACAGCGCTGGAGACGTTTATGCGGATGGCAGCACAAACAGCTTTGCCGTTCCGCGGTTCTTGTGGCCCGTGGGCCACCAGGCGTCTGTGGGGGCGTCTGGCCCGTCTGGAGCGCCGGTGCTGGCACCCCAGGTGCCCCAGGGGCCGTATATAACACCCGTTCGATTTGAACCTGCCAACGCTAGAATAGTAGCGCCAGATGGCATGGTGTACGTTCCATCCGCGGGGCCCCTGTACGTCGACCCCTCGTGGGCCGCTACGACGCGTTACGCAGCTCCGTGGCCTGGGCCTGTCGACACCAATTGGGCCCTGTCACCTAGCCCTTTCATGCAGCACTCTGCTCTGCCGCAGCCACCGCCGCCGCAGCAGCAGCACCTGAGAAACAAAACTCGCATCGACCAGGAGAGAAGAAAATCAAGTCAGTCAAGCAGCTATAAATCCAGCGGTGGCAACGCGACGTGCCACTCGAGCACTACGTAAGAACGCGAATCGCTCGCATGTAAGATTTTCGATCCTATGCTAGATATAGATACCAATTCATAAATCATTGCAAGGTGTCTCCAAGCTGAACTAGACGTTGCTGTTCTTGACGTCTGGCTCTCCAGAGTGAAGAGCGTGCAAAAACAACGACAACTGCAGGATTCGAACCTGCGCGGGCAGAGCCCAAAAGATTTCTAATCTTACGCCTTAACCACTCGGCCAAATTGCCATTAATGAGTAATTCATATTTTGTGAGTGTATCTATAACGACTTTTTACATGCTGATTGACCGTTCTCGATGCGTCGGTTTTACCGTGAAATATGAGCCCTGGTGTCTATATTTTTGTCCAGGTTTATCGCTGGTAAACCAGTAGCCGCAGTCAAAAACAAGAAGATAAAGTGAGGTTCTGCGAGTCGTTTGGAACCGAATTGACATTTCCCTCCATTTCCCACCCTAACATGACCTTAATCATGTTCGAAAAGTTACAAACGGCCTTTCAAGGGTCTTAACCTCCGAGAGTCTTGGAGGTGGAAAAGGCACAACGATCGGCACGTCAAGTCGATCCTGAACGTGAACCTGATGTATCTAGATGGTGAGGGCATATAATTGTGCTAATTAAACGCAGGAGAGGACAAGAAATGAGATAGGTGTGCAAGATTACACTTGCTAGTCACGTGAATGTCATGAGATACGAAATGTTGAAGTACGGGTAACTTTGGAATAAGCTTGTTAACTGTAGTGACATGGACTATTGGAAGATCTTCCTTTAACGATCGGAATGGAAACATCCGTTGAGCTAAAACTGGCATATCATTGGTTTTATTAAAGCTCTGTGTGCGACTCAGATGGCCACTTCACCACCCACGAGAGTATGCCCCGAAAAGGTACAAGTTCCTGAGCCCGATTCGGTGGTTTCGGGGGCGTTAGGGCACAACGGCGATCAACACGATTCTCAGCAGGTTTTGTTTATGGAGCCTCGAGATACGCTGTCGAGGTCGAACCATGTGCCGCCGACATACTACCAGGTTGCGACACCCAAGTCACCGCATGAGTTTTCGTCACTTGACGAAGATGAGGAGCGACCGCACATTGGGGACGAAACAGAGCGTCTCAAGTACATACAGGCCAAACGTGAGATCATGGACGCTCTGAACCTTCACATACTGGTGAACAAGAAGGAAAGCGACGAAATCGAGCGTGAACTGAGACGGGTCGACGCACAAATGCAACTCATGCGTCAAATGCATGCGGACCAGGATTTGCTGGCAAAGGTCGACGCGTATCAAGAGCAAGAATTCCAAAAGAGGCAAGAGTTGCTAGCGTTCAGGCGATATACCGATACATCGCATCCCTTCGATGACACGACACTTTCGGGCTCTTTCTCGCGGCCTCCGCTTTCCACCAGCGGCAGCACAGCCTATTACTATCATACGCGCAGCAAAAGTAGCGGCAATGTTGGTACTCATAATGAGGCTCGCCTGCGGCCTGCTAACGACGGTATCATAAAAATGCGGGTTTCGGGTGCAAAATACGTGCCAGGTTCCGCGCAGGGACTGCCTGGTGGTGATTTATCGAGGCCGCCTCCGATGAATCAGTCTAGCCGACGCAATTACGGCAGTAGCTCGTTTTCTAGCATAAGCGGTGTCGTTGGTCGAAACGAAAAGGATGAAGCTATATTTAGGAGGCCCGACGGAGTTTTGATCGTTATTGCCTGTTCCTATTGCGAGAGAAGCGGTTTCAGCTCGGCCCAAGGTATTGTGAACCACGTACGCCTAAAGCATGCCAAAACCTACTCTAGTCAGCCTCTTGCGATTCTCAATAATCAGCAACTCTTACCAGAAGAGCAACAGCCGCGCGAAGTTTTGACAAAATTCAGGGAACTCAATTTGGATCCTCAAAAAGAGTATTTGCCCCATGTTTCTGGATCTTCCTCTGGTGGCTCGTTGTCCGGTCCATCTGGCCGTAAGAATTCGAGCCGCGAGCTTTCACCTAAGGGAATATCCCCCCTCCATTCTCTTCCACAGCAAAGAGCTCAAAAATCGACCAAGCATCTTGAAAAGTTGTACACCGACAGCGACTTCGAAGAAATTGTCAAATACGTTAACGATGCTCAGAAAGATCTAGATGCCATTCTGAAGTCGTCACCTGAGCATGAAGACAGCGACGAGCCCGACGGAAAGCAGCAACAGCAGAGTTTCAATTCTGAAAACGACGAACAATGTCAGTCACCCCCATTTACGGCCGCATCAGCTATTCCCGCGGCCTCTGCTGCGTCCACTGGTGCTGAAGACCATAAAAAGCCTCTGAACAAGAAACGCGAGCGTTCTCCTGACTTTGAAGTCAAGAAAAAGCAGAGGCCAGCTGAAAAAAGAGTACGGCCTGACGCTATTGCAATGATGAATATTCCTGACGAAGAAAAAAGGTCTTCCCATTACAACTTGAGGGCGAAGTCAAAATTGCGGAGTCACAATAGATATCAGTAGACCCACTTAAATAATGATTTTAGATGATAACAACTTTTTTAGCTTTTCATACTGGGCTTGCCAAAATTGGTGAATTTTGCTTGAAGTTGACATTCTTCAAACAACTTAGGGTTTGGTATCATAGCGAGAAGTCGATGCTCACATGATTCTCAGGAGACAATGGATTAGAACTTTCAATCAGATTCGCCGTTACAGCGAAGCAATTCCAAATTGTAAGGTGCAGTGGTACTATGCTACTGATGTACCCAACAAGAAACCATTTGAACCTGAATATTCCAGAGGTGAAAAAGAACCCAAAAAATTCTTAGCATTCTCGCAAACGGATTCTAGACGACTAGAACGATTTTACCAGTTGTTCAAATCGAAGGATGAAGCCGAATCATCTGCTTTCAAAGCCATTCCAGTGAATGAGGATTATTTGTTCGAGGTCGATTTATCGAACAAAGAGTTGCGTCCTACATATTGGGAAGGGCCCGTTTACGAAGTGCGGCGCGGCCTTTGGTTCAATTCTGATGGTTTGCCTCTCCAGGATAGCTTAACTAAAGAGGTGGAAAATTTGTATCAAAAGGTACATCGACACAAGCAAGAGCTTCAAGCGTCAAGTCAGCTCACGAAAAACAACGGGAAGGAACCTGATCAAGATCCTCATCGTGATCTGTTCAAGCTCAGCGGCAACAAGAACCTCGGGAAATACGTATTTTTTTCGGACGATAAAACCGCTTTTATCCTGCCGGCGCTTTACGGGGGAAGTCTGCAGCTTAACTGGCTCCGAAGCAATGTGACACAAGCGGTAAGATTCGGGATCACCAAATTAACGCGTGGGGTTGATGCCGATACTAATATTTTAGATGCTGCAAAAGAAAGCGTCGAGAAGGAAGTGGAGGAGACAAGTAAAGGACTGGGGAAACTGACGGATATGATCAATTGGGAAATGTTCGGGTTTATGAGTGGTTTGAATCCTCTTGTTGGCTCCTCCAAGCGGCCGCGAACTGAGCGCGACGCAGACAAAGCCATGGAGAAGGAAATAGAAACGGATTATAATGGCGGCGAGAGTACGAAACGAAACTCTACATCCAATCATCGGGACGTGGATCATCTCGTGTTTTGTGTTCACGGAATTGGCCAAAACTTAGGCAAGAAATACCAGTATGTCAATTTTGCGCACACTGTCAATCTACTTCGTCAAAATATGAAGAAGGCCTATGAGAATAGCGACAAATTGAAGGAGTTGAACAAGGCAAATGGTCAAGAAGATTGGAGCGCTAATTGTCGAGCGCAGGTGATCCCAATTACCTGGCGACACCGGATAGGCTTCAAGACTGACGACTACGATATAAACACCGAAGATGTGACATTACCAACTTTGAACGATATAACACCTGATGGTGTGAAGTCGCTGCGAAAGGTCTTGGGAGATGTAGTTTTGGACGTTCTACTCTATGGAGAGCGTCAGTACAAGCATCGAATTTTGACCGCGGTGACAAGCCAACTGAATCATCTCTATAACCTTTACTGTTCGCGAAACCCCGGTTTTAACGGGAAAGTTCACATCGTTGGTCACTCATTGGGCAGTTTGATTCTGTTTGACATTTTAGCAAACCAGAAACAATATGCTCTAGACTTCGATGTGCACAATTTTTTCACGATTGGTTCACCAGTCGGAGTTTTCAAGTTAATACAAAAGTCGAGGCTTCGGGGTTCATTAGATGAAAGTAGCGCCAAATATCAATCTCCCAAATGTCAGAATTTCTACAATGTCTTTCATGTCTGTGACCCAATTGCTTATCGAGTGGAACCCCTGGTGGATCGTTCCCTCGCCAGTATACAGCCGGCTTATATGCCTCATTGGACAAGCAACGATATCACATCTAAAGTTTATGAGCTCGGAACTTCTCTAATTAGTTCTGACCCCCAGAAGGATCAAAAACTTTCCACAGTGCTAACTGCAAGACAGCTAGCGCTGCTGACAGATATTAATGCTTCTGGTCGCATTGACTATTCATTTTTACCAAATTTCTTGGAGGTCGATCTAATATCTGCAATTCGTGCGCACGTTAGCTATTTTGAAGAAATGGATATGGCAGCATTTCTACTGCGAGAATTGCTCTCCAAGCGACCAAGAGTCACAAATCAAGTTCGGGCTCGAAAGAAAACTGAGCCAGACGCTCATGAATAACCTGTGCCTAAATGGCAATTATATACCAACTAGATAGGACGGCCTACAATTTATTCTTCAAATCACGATCGACATGTGGTCAGACTTCCGAAGTTCAATGAAGCACAGTGAAATATGTCAACGAGGTTTCCTGGACTTATCTCGTGTCAACCCTACACTGCATGATATCTGTTTTTGAATTATACATAGCATGTCAAAAACATTAAAACTGTTAACACATTTGCAAAATATATACGGAACCTAGTAATCAAGAACTAGAACTCTCAATGCCAGTTATTATGAGCCAAAACTCAAAGATCAATTTTTAATGTGAATGACATTACCTACTGTGTTTGATTGAGCCAATTCTTTTACCATATAATTAAAAAAATGACACGGTTACCTCAAATAATAAACTGAGAATTCATTCTCAAACGCTCAAATTTCTCGCCAAATATACAGGCCTTTCTTGGTGATATAGTGGTAACTGCTATCGCATCTCAGAACCATGGATAACCGTAGCTCTTCTTGAAGTCTGTCGACTAAGGTTCATTTGAAAAATGAAAATTTGATGGCTCATCTCATCGCATCCGAATGGAATGAGACGAAAGAACGTTTTTCGCATAAAACACTCTGATCGTCAATATGAAGTATATCATCGAGCACATGGAGCAGGGCTTCAGCGAATGGGTGACCCTGGAATATGCGCAAATTATCAGGGACTTGGGAGCATCTAATTTGATTCTTTCATCGCTTCCTAGCGAAACGGAAGAATCCGACATTCCACAGAAACTGAGAGAATTGGGCCTCCAATGGACTACCAAGCCATTGACACAAATCCGCGAAGAGTTTCCGGAGCTTCCCGAGCTTGAAAAACAACGGGTGTGTTTGCTAGATCCTCGTGCCAAAGGGGACCTTGAGACTGCGGACTCAAGCAAATTCGATTATTTTGTATTTGGCGGGATTCTTGGCGATCATCCGCCCAGAGATAGAACGCGTGAGCTCATGACTGCGTATCCCGACCTGTTAATCGGGAAAAGACTAGGTGACAAGCAAATGACCACTGACACTGCTATCAGGACGACACAATTGATTATTGAGGGCCAGATACCTTTCGAAAAGATCAAGTTCATCGACTATCCGGAATTTCGTTTCAGCAAAAACGAAGCCACGGAGATGCCCTTCAGATACGTGCTGGATGCACAGGGCAGACCAATTTTGCCAGAGGGTATGCTAGACCTCATAAAGAAAGACTCCGAACAAAGTTTAGATGATATCCTTTGAAGCTGCAACGATCTGAATATATGTACGCATAAGAAGCTGAATGTATATACAATTCCGATTCTGGGGGTGAGTAAATAGCGAGTTTTCATCGCTTCACTGTTTTTCGTCCCTAATAAATTGATCCACCAGTTTTTCGATATCAATGTCTGGTTCTGATTGTGTCGTTTTCTGACTACTGTCGACACTAGTCTCCTGAGTCTTTTCCGGCTTGGATCCGGTCATGGAATACACGGCTCCACCTACGGTAGCTGCGATAGTGGCAATTGCCAACGTGTGTGGTTGAACTGTTCTCCCCAGGATATGATAAGCTGCTCCCATTGCGGTATGACGGCTTGGTATAGATAGGGTGTTTAATGTCCTTCAGATGGAATAGGGCTCTTCATTAATGGTCTACACCTCGCGGCGTGAATAGTGATCTCAAATGTGCCAAATGCTCGAACCACGGGCTATTTCGTCGCTAGTCCACCAATATTCTTCAGGTACCCCCGAACCCAGTCCTGTTATTTCTCACTTCACGGGCTTCGCGGTGCTTAACTTTAGGCAGTCAAGGCTATTCACATTGTCGCTGTTCCATGCTCTTCGGTGACAGAGTTGCCAAGAAATAAGATCACACAACGCAGTGTACATACAGTTAATTAGTATGTAATTGGAACTATAAGACTACAAAACCCGTTCACCACTCCACTGTGTCGTTCATGATTCTGAAACAGTATTTCAATACAAATTTTATTGTTTAGTACGCCAATGACTACCTTCGAAGCACCGATATCAAAAGTAAAAATAAATTGACAGTTCCATTCATACTTGTTAGCACGAACCTGAGAGGACAAACCAGCTTAACATTCTTCGGTGAAAGAACAATCTGTCAAAACTATACACTTAGTGAATTCTCCTCAGAATGAAGAGGCACCATCCCGAAGCTTCACATCACTTGAAAGCCCATATCTAAATCGAATTTTCGTCTCTATATTTAGCGCACCCCGCAAGAAAGATTAGGTTCTCAATCTAGACAGCACGGTAGACACAGTTCTGGGTATCGTCAGCATGCTGGAAATATGTCACACATATCACGCGACCGTTTAATTATGTATCACGTGCTCATCAAGATGATATTACAGGTGTTTTCCAATTTATTCACAGATAGCTGCCCCACAATCACCATGAGTATCCCATCGACGAAGGTTTACTTGTAATTATGAATTAAAGTCTCAAATCACATTTCTACGATAAGTGGGGAAGCCCACGAACAAAAGCTGACATTTCTTTTTTTTCAGAAAATTAATCACAATCAGACGAAATAGCACACCTCGAATTGGCTGGTATATGCACTCAAACCAACAACTTAGAACGCAGACGCCTGGGGAATACCGAAAGAGTGGTCGAGAAGTTAAAGCACGTGATTTAATTGTTCAAAATACCCCTGTACGAACACTCAATTCTAACTCACTTAGAATATTCTAGAGCTCCGTACACGGATATGGTGAAAAAAAGAGGTTGACACTATATATATATATAGGGTGAATTCTGTCTAACCCGACTCCAAAGTTCACAACGAACCAGCGCGATCTCAAAGCCCAAGCCTCCCTCCGTTTCTTTGCCTGGTGTGTGTCACTTTCGTATCAAGATGTCCACTTTAATCAAGTCTGCTAAGTCAATTGTTCCTTTGATGGATCGTGTTTTGGTGCAAAGAGCGAAAGCACAGGCCAAGACTGCGTCAGGTCTTTATTTGCCTGAAAAAAACGTGCAAAAACTAAACCAGGCCACCGTTTTGGCCGTGGGACCAGGATTCACGGACGCAAACGGTAACAAGGTTGTCCCTCAGGTCAAGGCAGGCGACAGCGTGTTGATTCCACAATTTGGTGGCTCTACTGTCAAGTTGCAGGACGACGAGGAAGTGATCTTGTTCAGAGACAGCGAGATTCTCGCTAAGCTTTCGGACTGAACTTTTTTTCATCCGTTTTCGCCGGACAACCTTGCAAATCCGGTCATAAGCCTGTAAATATCCGTAAGTAGATTCAATGCACGATTTTAATGCCCACGATGTCCTCAAGAAGGTTCAAGCCCCAGCATTCGCATTCGTTATCGGCAAGTCCACTAACAGCGAGAACATAAACGCTGCATCGTAGCGTTCAAGCGTTTCCTTCAGCTCAGATTCCTCGTTGCACTGTTTCATGAACCAGCCTCGGAACTTGGTGTCACGTAGATATCCTTCCCACACGAGCTCTGCACAGTTATTAAGTTCCTCTATTTCTTCGTCTGTCTTATTGTCGACAAAGGTCTCGTCCCATTTTATGCGTCGCCGCACCAATTTATCGTAGAATCTGCAATTCTTGTCAGAACCAAGTACAACAATTAATCCAGCACCATTTCGAACATGCAAACATATGCCCCTCAACCCTAGTTGTCGGCTATTGGTCGCGAGTTTATACCTAATTTTCGGATTTCGTATGCTTTTGAAGCGCCAAACTTTGCAGCATAATTGACCTTCAGCTGGTGCGCTTTTTGGCCGTTCGAGCTTCGCAGCCAAGGCCTCCTGGTGTCTAATCTCATTTGTCTCCAAGTGCTGGAGTCGCCGACTCTCAACTTGTTGTCTGACCGTTTTTTCCCAGCTCGTTGGATCCGTGATATTTTCCGAATTCTGGTAAACGCTCATCATATTGCTGAGTTTGACCTTCGGTTCTGGTTTGGGTTTAACACCAGCTCGAATTTTTTGCTCATATTCTTCACGCAATAACTTTCTGTTATTCCTACGAACCTTCCTGTGTTCCATTTTGGTGAGGAAGACCCTAGGTGGCTTTTTATCGTCCGGAATTGGCAAAAACGGCACTGGATGTTGGACAAACCTGATACTAGGCCTTTCAAGCTCCGAATCGTCATCTTCGTCGCTGTCTTCCTCCAAATTATCATATTTTCTGGTGTATTTGTTCGTAATAATCCATTCCGTTTGGTCTTTCAAATATTGCAAATCCCACCATTCTACAAAGGGTGGCTCTTGGTGCAAATATTTTTCCTCACCTTTGATCTTGTCTGGAAGTTCTCCTGACAGGATTTTCTGTTGTTCTTCAATCGCAGCTTGCTGGCTGGCCTTTTCTCTCTTGGCCAAGTCTTCTCGTTGCTTTTGAACTCGACTAGTAATAGACCCAGGAACCCGAAACTGAAGACCCTTTTCGTAACGCTTTAAAATTCCAGACGCTTCTTCCGCTCTAGCTCGTTTCTCGTGTGCCAAATAAGGATTAGCGTCTCTTCCTACAAGATGGTAATTGGCCGATCTGAGGGCCGGATGAAGTTCTACATTTAAACCTTGACCTTGAACCCTATCTGCTGGGGACAGGGCTTCTAAAGACTCCGAATGTCTGTCAGTTATAGCATTGGCCGAACGTTTAGGAGGCCCCCTTCGCATGGTCTCCAGTCTGCTCCTGTCGCTTACTCGCCAATGCTCGCTTTCAAGTTTTCTTCATGTAGCATGAAATTTAAATACAGTAGTAAGTGTTAATACATGACTTTTATAAATGTTAAAGTTAGGAATTCGAGGAATCGCTTTTTATCCATGTCAACCAATAGATATCAACCAAAACCTTTTCCCCAGAAGCTGCTCTTTTTCTTGCGACTCGCTTCACTAGATGTACTGGTTTTCTCAGTTTCATGGTAATTTTCTGACTTGTCTCCACTGGATCCTTTAAACAACGAAAGAAATCCCCTCGAGCGCTTCCTTTCGGTCTTCGCTTTCGAAGGCTTGCCTCCCGCGCTGCGTACCTTTCTTAAGTTAACATCACTGCTCGAGCTCCTAGAACTCTGGGAAGACATGGGCCTTAAGACCGGATCATAGGAGAGAGACCGTTCCAGGTCGCTGATATCGTTTTTCTTGACACCTGGTGCAAACTTTATTTGCGACACGCGTTTGGGAGCAGCAAGAGCGCCACTGTCATCAATTGTTATCTTGGGAGTCGCTCTTCGTGATTTAGGACTTTCAGCAACGTCTATCATAGATCTCCTTGAATGGCTAGATCGTCCATCATCTGGAGGCATTAGATGTCTCAGCCTTCCAGAAGAGGCTCCGCTTTTGTTTTGCTCTTCAAGCTTCTTCAAACCGTCAAGGGACGATTTGAAGACTGCGTCAACCTCTTCAATCAACTTATCGTCCTCACTGAGAGAAGAATCCTTCTTTATGTGGTCAAACCTAAGTTTAGTCTTGTTCCGCAGAACTTGCATTTCCTTCAGAACACCATCATCCCCGCCAACATCTATAGTCTCTTTTTTCCTCGATATCCAGCTACCCGTAGAGGCGCCCGAGTCATAACTTGACGGTGTGTTCATACCACTGCTGCTGGAATCGATATCTCGATTCTGGTTAGTCGCCGAAAGATTTCGTGAGTACCCTTCTACTGTTGCTCTCGATTTGGCGCCTTCTCGCAATTCACGCAACAATTCTGTTTCAAAATTGGCGAGCTTTTGAGCCGGCACGAGGATGACTGGGACGGGAAAAGACTGACAAAGCTTATCGGTGAGGGCTCTAGATTTCCAAAGAACCAAACTGTCAGTATCCTTCGACCGAGGCGTCCCCAGGACGACCAAGTTTGGGGAGTAGACGTTCAAGGCCTGTGACATTATACGTGTAGCCCGACCAACCACAATCTCAACTGTAACTTTAATGGCTTTCTGAGGAGATAATATGGCTACAATGTAATTGAACAAGCTGTTCAAAGCTTCTTTAATGTCAGCGATATCATATCCAGAAGCCCATTCGATCCAGCAATCGTGCTTCGTTTTGAAACGCTCACTTTTCGAGTCTACCGACTGTGCTCTCCTATATCTGTAGTCAGAATCGGAATCATCATTTCGACCCACTGAAATGTTTCGACGGGAGCATCTCGATCGAGATCGGGAGCGACCCCTTTGACCTGTTCTTCTCGGAAGGTTGCTTATTACAACCAAATGATCCACATCTTTGGAAAACGACCGCACTAACCAATCGAGGGCGACCCAAGTATATTTCCGGCCACTCACATGACACAGTATCGTCCTTGGTGCGTTTGTATACCCCACGATTTCATTCAAAATCTTGGATTTTTTCTTCTCTTCCTTCGAAAGAGGCGTAAAGCCGTCACTTACGGTTTTATTCGGCGGCTTGGGAAACAAAATCTGTGGAAATCGAAAAAATGTCTTTGGAGATGCAGCGCGCCCGTCTATACGGCTTTTTCTTGCTTCCCAAAGTGAGTTCCATCTTCGGTGAGTCCTGCTCAAAATGAATGCGTCGTTGACAATCGTGGGCCTTGTTGGATAGTCCGAACGAGTGATCTTTCCATTACTGCCAATATGAATCCCATCTAGACCCTCCAGGGTTGCATCCAACGATGAAAAACCGCCAATTTTTGGAGGTGAAGATTTCTCAGGAGTGACGTACCCTGGATAGTCCCAATGGAAACTTTCCCTAGGGTACGGCGACACAGCTAACGAATTCTCATTATCATAGTACTCCTCTTCAGTATAGTCTAGAAAAGGATCCTCCACGTCACTATCGTAAGCTTCACAGGCAGTTCCCGCGAGAAAAGGTACTGTATCGAAAGACACGCTGGGCAGAAAAGTTTCAGATTCACTCTCCTCCGCTTGTGTGCTCATTTCATCAGGTCCTTTAAGTGCAGAGGGAAGCTTGAGTTCTTTATCTCTTATCTCACTTCCGTTTTGACTGGAATTTTTGGTCTTCGTAGATACCTCCATGCCGGCACTCGTAACTGCTTTTCTCATGCTGCTTCTCCGCCTCACTGTATTTCCTCTCGTATAAAATTGTGAGGATCTGTCTAGGATACAAATATGCTTCAAGCAAGCGGTTGATCGACCAGTATTACCATGCAATAAAATCAAATTAAGGTAAGGATTTGAGAGAAGCCCTATAGTTCTCGATCAACTTAATCTGTTGATATCATTTTGTACAAAGGACATCCAAATCGCCAAGAACCGGAAACTTTAAAAGACAATGGATGTCCAATCAACCATAATCACATTTGCGCTATCCACTCCAAGATGTCTTGTATGTTATCCCCGTTTTTGCAACTTATTGGGAACATGACGAGTTCGCTGGTGATGGACACTTGCGTGGTGTCGGTGTGTAAAACGTTGCTCTTCAAGTCCAATCCTAGCTCTTTCGAGAGTATTTCTATATTTCTCAGCAAGTACAGGTTTGTTTCATCGAGCTGGAATACAGGAATGTCGTCGTAGTCGTAGTTTCTTAAAAGAGGCGCCATATACACATCCTCCATGATGGGTTGTTCCTTTGCGGTACCTTTAGATTTACTCTTCTTCAAAGCGCGTTTGGCAGCCGCAGAGGCTTCTGAGGGAGCTACCAGATCGGTCTTATTGCCAAGCAATACAACCGGTGTCGCATTTTCGTTCACTTTAATTAAAACGTCCCATAGCTTGTGTTTGGCCTCGTTCCAATTCGTCATGTCAGAAAGGTCCAGCACATAGATTATCAAATCGGATCTGTCAAAATATCGGTTCCACATGTAGTGGAACCGATGCTGCCCAGCCAAATCAAACAGCTGTATCAGGTTGGTTCCTATGTAGAATTGCTCCATCCGCATCCCTAGTGTCGGTATTGTGTCTTGCTCGAAAGGCTTGGACAGCAACGCCCTCGCAAGTGACGTTTTCCCAGAGTTTTGCAATCCAACAATTGTAATTTTGAGCTAAATTTGTACGTGTTAGACACATGGTTTTGGTACCAACAAGTTTACAGCTTGCCAAGGTTTCAATCTTTGTTCTTGTTCTTGTACATACCTCTCTTTGATAAAACAGCGAAAGAAAGTACTGCCACAGCGAGTCAAAGAACTTGCGCAGCGTTTCCATCCGATAGGTAACCACTCTTCGCGCGCTGAAATGGTAAACTCCAACGCAAATGCCTGTAACTGGCTCAGATACTGTCTTAAACCCTTGAGGGTTCAGTTTCACTGCTGAAAAATATCAGCTTTAAGACAATGACATACTTATAAAAGACGTAGACGTAGACAAACGGAACGACGTGAGATAGCTACTTTATCGCGACAAAGCGTTCACTAATGCTGTGTAGGGGATATTCAGTCAGTCTTGGACTCCACAAGCTTGTTGAATCTCTGGATGGCAGGAAATCCTTCAAGCATTCCAAAGAGGTACCACTCGATGAGAAAGTCTGTCGGCACTCTGTAGAAATCGAGTTTTGGTTTCAAAATGTAAATGCATTCCAGGATATGGATAGCGAAAGCGGCCACTTGAATGCCGATGAGCAGAGCTCCATTGTTCATTCTCGGACCTACGACTGGGATGTAGTTTAGAAATTCACGTTTATAGTAGCACGCCAGCGGTAAGAACACCAATGCAAGAATCGTGTATTCCCGCACCGTTTTTGGATAGCTCATTTCATTGATTTGTATGTGCGAATAACCCCTTTGCTTCGCACCTACTTTGGCCATCTCGACCAGTCGAGGCCTCGCTTGCGTCCAGTCCTCAATAGCGGGCTCAAATGCTACTGTTTTTTCAATTTCAAACTCTACGTCGAAATGGTTGAACTGGATCACCATGTGGGTCAAATCGATCGACAGAAGTCTCACATTGGCAATCTTGTCCGTAATGGGTACTTTGCCGTAAGCATAGAGGTAATCTTCCAAAGCCAGCTTATGGCTTTTGTTCATGTGCGCAATGATGCCCTCCTTAGTCTGGCCAGTCATTGCTAATTGATGCGCTAATATTCGAGCCCTGGGTGTGTCTCAGAAGTGCCACTTTTTCGTCTTTTATTAGAGTATGCCAGTTTAACGAAGTCGAACACATTAATTACCATAATATAGCTTCTACAGAAGCAAAAACATAGAGAAAAGTCGCCTCGTTGACATCTAAATCAGTTAAATGCCAGAGTGACTCATATAGGGCAATATGGCGGTTCAAACGTTCTCAATCGCGTGTATAGGTGGCCAATAAAGTCAATATCATTATTTACGTTGAGAGATAGGATGATTGAGAAAGATGCTGTTTAGAAACCAGATTGTCCCCCTACTGAGACATGACCAAGTCGAAAGGGGACCTTCAAATCGAAAGCCCTTAACCTGAAGATTGCCAGTCGCTGGAACACCCGAACAGTGACAAGAACGTGATGTCTAACCAGAGCAGCAGTGGTCATCACCACCATCACCACCACCACCACCACCATTCGTCACATACGGGCGAACAAAGGATTGGAAAATATCAGATAATCAAAACGCTGGGAGAGGGTTCTTTCGGTAAGGTGAAGCTCGCATATCATGTTACGACGGGCCAGCGTGTGGCACTTAAGATCATCAACAAGAAGGTGCTTGCGAAAAGTGACATGCAAGGGAGAATCGAACGTGAGATCTCGTATCTTCGGTTGCTGAGACACCCGCATATCATTAAGCTGTACGACGTGATCAAATCCAAGGATGAAATCATCATGGTGATTGAGTATGCGGGGAATGAGCTTTTTGACTACATTGTGCAGCGCGACAAAATGAGCGAGACGGAAGCACGCCGCTTCTTTCAACAGATTATCAGTGCGGTCGAGTACTGCCACCGCCACAAGATTGTGCATCGGGACTTAAAGCCGGAAAATCTGCTTTTGGACGAGCATCTTAATGTCAAAATCGCCGATTTTGGTCTCTCTAACATCATGACCGATGGTAATTTTTTGAGGACGTCATGCGGGTCGCCCAACTACGCCGCGCCAGAAGTTATCAGCGGGAAACTTTACGCGGGTCCTGAGGTTGATGTGTGGTCCTCCGGTGTCATTCTGTATGTGATGCTGTGTCGAAGATTACCCTTTGATGACGAAAGCATACCAGTGCTGTTCAAAAACATCAGCAATGGTATCTACACACTTCCCAAATTTTTGTCCCCAGGAGCCACGAATTTGATCAAAAGAATGCTCATTGTAAATCCGCTGAACAGAATCACTATTCATGAAATTATGACTGACGAGTGGTTCAAAGTTGATTTACCAGAATATCTAGTTCCTCCAGACATGAAAAATAACGCCAGTGACGGGGAAAATGATCCCACCACGGCACAGGACGAAGAAGTTGACGATACTTTAGTGACAGCACTTTCGAAGACGATGGGTTACGACGGAGACGAAATTTACGAAGCTCTAGAATCTGGTGAGGACAATGCTACATTCGCAGAGATAAGGGACGCATACATGTTAATCAAAGAGAACAAGTCGTTGATTGACGATCTCAAAGCCAATAAGGCTCAGAGTAATGAGCTCGACACATTTTTGTCCCAATCTCCTCCCACATGGGAACAAAAACCACGCAACGGCAGTCCCTCAGGTTCCGGGCACCGTCAGCATCATCATTTCAAAAAAAGCGGCCAACAACGCACATACCAGTCACCTTTTGGAGATCAGCAAAAAGACGAAGACAGTACGATCGCCATTTTGCCAAGCTCTCTACCTCAAATACATCGCGCAAACATGCTCGCCGAGGGTTCCTCTGCTGCTACCAAGATTTCTCCTCTAAGCACCAAAAAGTCCAAAACTAGATGGCATTTTGGAATCCGTTCCAGATCCTACCCGCTAGATGTTATGGGAGAGATCTATCTTGCTTTGAAAAACTTGGGTGCTGAATGGGCCCGTCCTTCCGAAGAAGATCTTTGGATTATTCGGGTTCGTTGGAAATATGATTGCAAACAACCTTCCACCGACAATATCCCGGATCTCATGAAAATGGTCATACAACTATTTCAAATTGAAGCCAATAACTATTTGGTCGATTTCAAGTTCGATGGTTGGGAAACCAGCCAAGGTGGTTCTGCAACTCCTTCGAGTAACGAAGATGAGATGAGTACATTTTCGGCTTACCCATTTCTACATTTGACTACTAAGTTGATCATGGAGCTCGCCGTTAATAGCCAAGGTGCTTAAGCGACTCGAAATGTTAACACGACAACAACGCGTTATTTAAACCAAGAGCCTAAAGCCTTTATACGCATCATTCACTGTATGAACGAGGATCCATCGATATCGATACCAGTTTATTGATTCGCCGCTAGCTGACGACTTTGAAATTTTTTTTAACTTTTTTAGGTAAAAGATCAACTTTGATCAATGATCAAGCAATGCAGAGAGAGCACAACTAATCAAAACTGAGTTCCAAGATCCTAGTGAGAAGAGAACCAGCTTTGAACGCCGAAAACAAAGGCCAGAATGTCGGCCCTGACGTTTAGCCAAGAATCGTTTGATGGGAAACTGCCTTCCAGTTTGAAGAGGAGGGTTTCAAGGCCCGATTTAAGAACTCTAAAGCTACAATGTCTGACTATCGATGAAGAAGAGAGTAAAAGTCTTATGGATTCGATAAATAAGCAGATTAATAGATCTCGCAAATGCTTGGTGCTCACTGGAGCCGGAATATCGTGCAACGCAGGAATACCAGATTTCAGGTCTTCAGACGGGCTTTACGAGATGGTCAAGAAGAGCTATCCAAAGCTATCGATAAGATCTGGTCAAGAAATGTTTGACATTTCATTGTTCAGGGAAGAAGAGAAAATTTCTATCTTTGCTACGTTTATGGAGAAGCTGTATAGCAGCACCAGAGTAGCTCAGCCGACGCAAACGCACCGGTTCATCGCGCATTTAAAAAATAGGGGCAAGTTACTGAGATGTTACACTCAAAATATAGACGGAATTGAGAAACAGTTAGGGCTTGAGATGTCTTCTGGAGGTTTAGAAGAAACTTGCTTTTCGAATCACTGGAGTGGATTAGACGTTGTGCAACTTCACGGCGATCTCAATATGCTTAGTTGTACGCGCTGTTCTAAAACTTTTGCATGGAGCAGACATCTTTCTCGCCATTTGAGGAATGGAGTGCTTCCCAATTGTCCGAAATGTCATGAATTCCATACGCAGCGATCTTTGCAAGGCAAGCGTAATACTGGGACCGTTGGATTATTGAGACCAAACATTGTGCTATATGGAGAAAATCATCCAAGCTGCGACTTCATTACCCACGGGCTCAACCTGGATTTGTGCAAGGGCAAACCAGACGTCTTTTTCGTAATGGGTACTAGTTTGAAGGTCGATGGAGTCAAAAGGCTTGTGCGCAGTATAAGCAAACAGGTTCATGAACGGAACGGATTAGTTATCCTCATTAACAAGACACGCATAGCGGATAGCAGTTGGCACAGTATCATTGACTATCAGATTATCAGCGACTGCGACGATTGGGTTGCTTATTTAAAGAGCGAGATACCTGAGTTTTTCCGGTCTCAGGAAGAAGTCAATAGGATTAGACAACTGAAGAGAGAAAACAGCGAAGCGCGAAAAAGGCAACGGGAAGAGAAGAGAATGACACCTCCTCCAACTCCTCAAAAGGGGACTAATTGCAAACACAATATCGAAGAGCCACCAAAACTATCGAGAACCTCGAAAAAGACCAAAACTGCGTCGAGTCGGTCATTGTATTCCGAGCTGTCTAAAGGGGAAACTAAAATAATCCCAAAACTTTCAGAAGAATATCTGCCGTTTATAAGCAACAGCAACACATCCGGTAGCCAAGAGACATATAGCGACTGGACCGCAAATGGCAAAATGGAGTACTCACAGTCCTTGAGCCGACAAGACACTGTAGATTGCCTGACAGACACCACTATTGAGGATGTTGTCACTGACGTTGACGATCTCGAGGCGATTAATTTACATGCTAAACTTTCAAAGACAACCTATCCAAAGAATTAGCCAAAAAGCACCCTCTAACCATAGTACATCTATAAGTCTATTTTATTGATCATCTATGAGTGAACTCGAAATATTAGGCGACGATTCTTACCACCAAGGTCCGGTGTGGTATTGAAAGCGACGAATAGCGACGGCCGGACTGACATAGCGACTCTCTGGTAAACTGAATTATCGGTCACCAAAGCGATTTTCCCATGATCACTGATGTGAGAAATTGTGAAAGTCGTCGTCCGTATGGAAAAGTCACTGAAGAGCTTTGCCGAAATTAATGCCCGTAACTTTTCCAAATTATCTATTTCTGAGACTTGACATTTAATTGCATAGCAATCATCATGATATAAGATCTTGACTTTAACCAATTCCTTGTGGTTAATCGCCAAGTCGGATGTTTCGGTATGCGATGAGAAAATTGGGGGGTTTCGCATTACAGGAGTGCTGGGCGCTGAGCTGACACTGGGGATCTTGTTGATTTTTACGTCTTGAGATGAAGATACCATCATTGAGCGCGCCTGAGATCGTTGTTGTGATTTGTGGGCTCCTATAGCTCGAGGCATTGAGACTGCGAACTTAGATGTTAGGTTTTGAAAGACTGCTAGCTCAATTTTGCTGGGCGGCAGAGTAGCTATGGTGATGTAAGACGAACTTGTCATTTTGGAAAGCGTGAAAAGCGCTCCGATAGACGTGAGTCGTAGATCTCCAGATCTTGGTGCCAGAAAACCGCCCAGAGGCTCTCCATCTCGTAAAATTGTAGAAGAGAATGGCAAAGCCATCAAAACTCGGATGTATTCACTAAACTCCTTGCAACGAAGCTTAATGTTTTCGTTTGCCAGTGAGCGCGTTGGATCGGGCAAGGCTGGCAGGTTCAGAGTACTATTGATCTGGCGTTGCATTCTTACTAGAAGCAGTTGCAAAGCGTAAAAATCCTGAAAAAAGCGGCACAATATGAAACGATCCCCAGAGTGCATCTCGCAATCTACCCGGTACCAGACCCTGTTATGGGAGACTTTGATATCAACAACACTGCTTGCTTTAAGATTCTTGGGGTCAAATTTTGGAGCGACAGCTTTCTCGGAAGGGTTCTCGAAGCCAGAGGGATGTGACCACTTGGTGCCGTGGAGGAAATGAGCCGCCAAACGTGGATTGGAAAGCGCGGTGTTGACAGAGACGCATCGCAAAGGAATGAGACCCTGTCCTACTCGACTGAGTAGCTTCACTTCGATGAGATTGTTGTCCATCGCTTTTACCAATTGCACCGTTTCGCCTTGGTATACGTTCAAATATGCCGAAGCATCTTTAGAGCTCGACGTCATAAGACTCCGTTCAAAATCGTATAACACATCCAGAAACAAATCGGGATACCGAAATGTGGATTTCAGATGATTTGACGTGGCGCCGCTCACCTTGGGTCCTGAAATAGATAATTTCCTGCGTCTCTTTTCTGCGTCTTCTCTGTTTAAACTTCTAGCTATGCTTCCCAAACCGAACCTGTCGGTTTGAATGCGCAGCATCTTGACTTCCGACATGTGTGCTTTTCTTCCTAAGAATTTTGAGAATATACAAACCCCGAACTCCGCTTAGTGAGCCGAAACCTACAATTAACGTTCAAAACTCAAAATCCGACCCAATCTTAGAGTCACATCGCTTATATACAACCGTATTATTTTGATCTGCGTCTTTGAAGATCTCTTCCTATCAAGAAGTGTCAATCGCCGAAGACAAACGCCCCCGTATGCGTGTCACCTTGGCTTTCGGCGAAGCGAAGATCGACAAACGTCGGCAGCTGCATGTCATATTTGTAGGCACAACGGCTGTTGTGCATGAATCAGAAATGTAAACAAATGACCTCATTGGGAAATCATAAACATTCGTATTTAGGGATATTACCTGAAACGAGTAGCGCGTTCGCAGAATGCCGCGGTTAAGGACCTGGGAACATGTAGATACCAGTCTTCGCCGGTCAATCATAAGATAGCGAATTTTATCATAGGTACAACTCCCCTCGTCGTCGGCAGCTGATAATGCGACATCAGAGGTCTAAAAGAGACATATTATCACTTACAACGACAAGTAAGAGTAGACTACACCGGACAACGCCCGAAAGAGGAGCGGACGAGCAAAGGTGTCCTCCCGAAGCGAATCGCCAGGCCATCTAGTAAACAGCGAATAGCCTCTTGCGAGGTTATAGCACCGCTATACGGCCGTTTGAATTATAACGAGAAATAGCTCTCTGAGGCGAGTGCCCCAAAAACCTTAATTCTACTTCCGGCCATTTGCGCCAGGAAAACACATGATATCAAAAGTGTCCCAGCTGGTATTCCAGAAGATGTAATATGTATTGATTTTTTCAGCATAGGAATACAGTTGGTAGTCGAGAGGAATCAAATTTTTCAGTTCAGCTGGCAAGTTTCCCCAAGGACCGGGAGGAGGCCGGGTAATAACGAAAGGGCAAGCCACGGGCTTCACTCGGATCTTCTGCGTGATCAAACAGACCGACCGTCTTAGCATTCGGATTCTACTGCTTAGCTTTAGAGCTGGTTAGACACGCCAAGATTTTGCAGTATGAGCTTGCAAATTATCGAGTAGATAAAATAGACGACTTTTTATGTATTAGGTTGTCGGTTGGGAATAATTAAGCTAGCGTCGTCGAAACGTGGAATGTCCATGGAAAGCTGCACCCGTCTAAGGTGCGTCTGTACATTCCCAGTCAGTGGGTTCGTAAGCATCGGGCTGATCCAAGAAGTCCATTTGGTCCTGGGACAAGGTGATGTTATAGGATTCCAGGTTACCTCTCAGCCTGTGAATAGATCTGGATTTCGGAAGTGGCACATAGCCATGCTGCAGCGACCAGCGAATCAGCACTTGGCCCGGGTCACAGCCGACTTCTTGTGCAACTTTCAGCACGTTTGGATGGTTGATCTTGTATCCATGCGTCAAGGGCGCGTATGCTTCGACCACGAGACCCTTTGACTTGCAAAAATCGGCCAGCTGCTGACGCATGAGCCAGGGCGAAATTTCGATCTGATTCACCACAGGTTTGTACCTCAGGCCCTCCCAGGACAAAAGCTCTTCGATATGTTGGGCTCCATAATTCGAAACCCCTACAGACTTGACAACGCCTTGATCCACCGCTTCTTGCATCGCCTGGTATGTCTCCAAACGCAGTTTGGGCCCGCTGAGCGGCGAATGAATAAGCAAAAGATCGATGTAGCCCAATTCTCCGGCTTTAGCAACACATTCTTTGATGGCACGTTGCGCGTTCGCATACCCATTTTGCGAGTTCCACAATTTAGTAGTGTACACAACGTCTTCACGTCTGTTGTTAACCGGGTCCTCTTTCAGCCAGCGCACAACTCCCATTGCCACTTCTCTCTCATTTCCATATAGGACTGCCGTATCCACATGTCTGTATCCCGTTTTCAAAGCTTGATAAACCACCTCCGACGAGTCACCATGGGGAATGTCGTAACATCCAAGACCGATACTTGGTAAAAGCTTCCCATTCGAAAGCTTGTAGGCTTTTGGAATCGATTTTGTTGTCATGACCCTTATAGCTGGAGTCTTGAACAAAGTGATGAGATCTTCAAGATAAAGTTCTTTAGCTGAAGGCGGATATATAATGTCAAAAACAGTTTGAGGGAAAGTCAACCGTGCTCTAGTTTGCCTTCTTAAATAGCCGTGCAAATGTGCTCTATTGAGCTTTTATTGCGGCATCTGTTGAAGCAAAGTTTGCTCGGACTTTAGCCTGGATCAGATAAAAGGAAAAACTGATTGCCGTTCTGCAACTGACATGTGATTTAAGAATATGGATTACATAGCAGATAAGCGCAGTAAAGAGCTTGTATGCCTGAGATGAGTTTGGTAACGAAATCCGGGAGGATGAGTGGTCGACATGGTGACGTATATGAATTGTTGATACGGTTTATCAGCGCATGTTTTGTGCACGGAAGGCTTCTAGACGTTTGCGAATGAATTCGTATACTGTGAACGTCACTGCCTGCCCTGGCGCTACACGCATGACACGGGGAGTGATGCCCTTGTACAGAGCCCGGAATCCTTCCTCGTGAATCAATTGTTTGCCGATGGTCGCGATTCTGACCCATCCCGACATTTTGGTAGTGGATTTGTCCTTTTGAAGTCTGGTCTTGATCGTGTCCAACGGAGCGTTGGAAAACGGTCCCACGGCACCCGATACAAGCCCAATGACCGAAGTTTGATACGCGGGTAACGTCTCGATTCCTTGACGTTCCTGCAGATGTCGTTTCAAAGTTGAGTATACGGTGAAATTAGCACCTTGATTCGTCGCCTGGCGCGCAGCCGTGAGTGAAACACCTCGGTAAAGTGCGGCGGGACCTTCTTCTCTCAAAATCACGTAGCCGGCCTGCAGCGCATTCCGATATTTAGGCGTAGCTACAACGTTCTCTGTTGCCGTTGTTGCGGCGTGCGTCGTCGCCGTTGCGTGACCCACAGCACCTGCAGTCTGTGCCATTGCAGACACATAGGTCACGTGCTGCGCCTGAAGCCGTATTTTCACAACTTCCATAGGGTTGACCACCATCACCGCCTCGGTAACGCCTGCACCCACACCGGCGAGGAACGTGTTGGCAGTAGATACCGCGTGGGTCTCTTTGTCGGCTAAAAGCGTGCGGAAAAACTCGTAGGACGTGAACCGAATCGCCATTTTAGGGATAATGCCGAGGACAACGGCGCCCAGACCTTTGTACAGGGCCAAAAGACCCTCATTTTTGTAAATGTCCGCACCGGTGCGTATGAAACCCGGGGGCTTTTGCGATTCCCGCTTGTAGATCTGCATTCGCACCTTGATAGTGTCCAGTGGATGACAGCAGAGCGCTTCAAAAAGGCCTGCCGTTCCGCCGGCGATAAGATTCACCGCCGGATGCGAAGAGCCGTTGTGTTTAGATGATGATGCTGATGCTGAAGAGGCCGATTTAGACATCTAAAAGTATAGGTATTTCGTGCACGCGAATAGTCCTTTTGACAATTGGAGATGGCAACGCTGGTTATTCTTGATTTTCTGTCTGGATGTCTTTTTTTGCCCTGTTGAACGCTTGAACGCAGAGTTTTCTAAGGCTACTTTTGATTGATGCACACTTCAAAGTCAACTCAACATTCTAGTAACCGTCTTTATAAATCCCCACGGTCCTTTATACTCCGTCGAGACGCGAATTCCTCAGTAGAAGTTGGGTCCTCGGGCTAAATACAAACAGTCACAATGATTGGGCCCGCCGGACGAAATGCGGCGGTTAAACCCAGCTCATTTGGTCCGAGACTCGTTTCTGTCCCAGTTTCCTTTCGTCCGATTGTGTAACCCCGAAAAAAAAAGCAATCAGAAATCTGGAGAAAAAGGGGAGGACCGTTGCGCGTTTGAAAAAGAAAGCTGATCGAAAATTAAACGGTTTTAGCCGCCAAGGTATTCGATGACGTAAGCAATAATTGCGTCGCTCCTCCTCTTTATACGTTGCTTATGACAACGTGGCGACGTCGCATTAGCGACACGGAATCCCTACAAAATCAAATTTTCTTTTCAGTTGCATAGTTATTTATCTTGTGTCTTTGAGTTGAGGCGCATAGGCGCATTAGAAAGGCGGGATTTGGCGTTGAATCGAGCAGAAGCGCTTTGTGTGAAGTTGTGTTTGTAAGAAGGCTTTCCTTGAGATATAAGCATTCGTAAACTGCTTTCTGGGAGGACCACAAAGCGACTGCTCCTGTCTCTCAAAAGGGCTTTCCGCATTCCGCGCTATCACTCAACGGTGCTCTCGGATAATGCCAAGAAAAGACGTCAATAACGACAACGACCAAAATCATTCGCCGTACATTAGAGACCCCAGGTCTTCGCTTGCTCAATTGCTTCGTGAAGAACTGTTTTCATATCTTTACCGTCGACGTTGAGAACGTGTGCGTCTTTTTCGGTGTTTTTGGGCAGTTCCAGATCCGCAAACTGGGATTTCGCCATATTGGCCTTCATGAAATGGCCCTCCCTGTGAGCAAAGCGTTGCAGGATCACATCTGGGTCCGCATAGAGGAACAAGAACGCGAACCGAGTGTCCGGTTCCTTCTCGCGCATGAGATCTCGATATTTCAGTTTGAGACTCGAGCACGACACTATCGCCAAGCCGGAATGATGTTCCGCGGATTTTGCAGAAATTCTCGCCACATCCTGAAGCCAACCCCAACGGTCCTCGTCGGTCAATGGAATGCCCCGACTCATTTTATCGATATTGGCCTGTGGGTGAATTGCGTCCCCTTCAATGAATGCAGTTCCTGGATATTTGTCCTGGAAAAAACTTGTCAATTCGGCCCCAACGGTGGATTTACCCGTACCGGCAGTACCACCAATGACAACAACAACTGGATGCGTTTCTTCTGCCATCGTAATGCTTGACTATAGTACTAATTCTGTAGGGTCAAAGAGGTTTAATTCAATAGGACGGGATTTTAAGATCTGGGGAAACCGGTTAGAATCTATATAGCACGATTTACGGAAAGCTAAAAAAACATGACAGAACCGTTCAGCGATAGAAAGTAAGATAGTGCGAGGGTGGGTTTTACCTCAATCGATTAAGCACGTTCAATGACAATTGCAGAGGCTCCACCACCACCATTGCAGATTGCAGCGGTACCCAGTTTTCCGTTCTCTTGAGAAAGAACGGAAATCAAAGTAACGACGACTCTGGCACCAGAGCAACCCAATGGGTGTCCGAGTGCGACGGCACCACCGTAGACGTTCGTCTTCTCGAGAGGAATGCCTAGAAGCTTTGGGTTTGCAATGCCAACGACGGAGAAAGCCTCATTGAATTCGAAATAATCCACCTCGTTCAATTCACGACCGGCATGCTTCAAAGCCTTTGGAACAGCCAGAGACGGCGCCCAGGTGAAGTCTGCTGGTTCGTGGGCAGCCTCACCCCAACCACGGATGACAGCAAGCGGGGTAAGTGCCAATTCCTTCAATTTGCGTTCAGAAACAAGGACCACTGCAGCACCACCGTCATTGATGGGAGATGCGTTAGGTGCGGTGACGGTACCGTTCTCCTTCTGGAAAACAGTTCTTGCAGAACGCAACTTTTCGGCATTGAGTTTGGCTGGCTCTTCGTCTTTGCTGACAATGGTGTCTGGCTTGCCACGGAATCCTTTGATGGTGACGGGAACGATTTCACGGTCAAATTTCCCGTCTGCTTGGGCTCTCTGTGCTTTCTGGTAAGAGTTAATGGCAAAATCGTCCTGCTGTTCACGTGTGACCTTGTGATCCTTGGCACATTTTTCAGCATGGACGCCCATGGCCTGTCCATCGTAAGCGTCGAATAGACCGTCGCGCTGAACGCCATCCACGAGTGTTGTGCTACCGAACTTGGCACCGCTACGAGCGCATGGAACGTAGTAAGGAGTGTTGGTCATTGATTCGGCACCACCTGCAACAATAATATCTGCTGTACCACACTTGATCGCCTGTGCACCGCAGATAATCGCTTTCATACCCGAAGCACACACTTTGTTGACCGTTGTAGCTACAATGTGGTTGCTTAAGCCCGCCTTGAGGGCCACCTGTCTAGCAGGAGCTTGACCAACGTTTCCTGATAGCACACACCCAAAGAAAATCTCGTCGACTGCACTGGCATCAACTTGAGGAACTTGAGCGAGAGCGCCCTTCACGGCGGTTGAACCTAAATCGACGTAGGTTTGAGACGCAAGGGAACCCAAAAAACAACCAATTGGTGTTCTAGCAGCGGCAACAATGTAAACTGGGTCAGACATCGCTCGAAGATGACTGAGTGGTGAATAGGTGATGTTCTCTGTGTCACACCTAGATGGTTAAGTCGTTTGAAATTTTCAGAAAATAAAATCGATTACCTTGCAAGAGAAAGACTTAAACGACAGTAACGATAGACAACTCGTATCGGTCAAATAAAGTGAAAATAGGTCAGAAAGGGCTAAAAGGTATTTGATATAATATTAATATTAACAAGACTTGATGCTATTTTTTAGTCGTCTTTTGAGCTCCATCTTGCCAAAATTTCGAGTTCAAAGGGGCTTTCTAGATGACATTAGGACATTTTCCCTCGCTGACCGATTGGCTTATTCAAAAGACGTGAAAAATTCGTAGTCGAAAGTTGGCTACGTTTGGCGTATGGGTTTCTCTTCAGATGATCTAGTTTCTCGAAAATTATGAGCTCGCAGACGTTTTTCATTTCTCGAGCGCTGGTTTGGTCAATGAAATAATGCGGATACCTATTGCTCAACCAGAAAAACAACATTATGATATTGTGAAGCGATTCATAATATTCAAGCGTGAGCTTTTCATCTAATATGCAGGACAGGTTCAAAATGTTGAAAGGAAATGGGTAACTGAGTAATGAGCGGGTTTGACGCTGGGCTATGGTCTTACAGAATTGAACAAAAGCGGATTTGACCATTGGCATGTCCTTAACGGGCGCATTACTCAAACGCAGTTTTTCGAAAAAGGGAATCCCCTCGATATGCTCGAAGAGCGAGATGTTTTGCAAACGATTTTTCAAGTCACTCAATTGGAAGAGTTTTGCAGACCGATTCTCGACATCCTGTGCCAGGGCCTCAAGCAAAGTTGAGACTTGGGTGCCCGCGGGACTGTGGGTCATGAGTTTACCGCATATTTCGTCCGGAGGCCACACAGTCGCTGATCGCAGATATTCTATAGGAGAATGGATACCTTGGCGGACAGCAGTTAGAACATCGGGATCCACCGCAGTTACGAGCCCGATGGAAGCGCTTTTTGCACCTGTGGTATTAAGCAAGGAACGAAAGCGACCTGCCCTTCCTCCAATTTGCTTGACATTGGAAGAAGTGAGTTTGACCATTTCTTGACCATTGAATTTCAAGTGCGTCGTAAAAATGACTCTTTCGATAGACAAATTAAGACCCATCCCGACTGCATCGGAAGCCACCAAAACGTCGTATTCACCAGAATTAAATTTATTCGCTTGTTGAATTCTTGTTTCTGGGGGCAACGAGCCGTAAACCACTGCGACTTTGAGATCGGTCTGGCTTTCGATCTTAAGTTTCAGGTCTAATATTTTTTTCTTGGAAAAGGCGATCACACAGTCTCCCTTCTTTAGATCCCGAAACCCGTTCAGTAAGGCTGTATCTGTGACCTCTAATTTTCCTAACCTTTCGTATTCATTTATAATTAATCTGTCGCCCGTCATCTTTACTATCTTTTCAATGAGTGGTAAAGTGCTCTTTTCACCACATACATGGATTTCGCGAGCTCGTGCACCAAGAAGCGCGTTTGTCCAAGCCCATCCACGATCAGAGTCCCCCATCATTTGAATTTCGTCTAAAACAACCACGTCGAATTTTTGAGATAGTGGTACCATTTCTATTGTCCCTGAAGTCAAGCCCGCCGGATTACCCATCTCATCCAGATCTTCTATTACTTCTTCGCCTGTAAGCAAGTTGCACCTTATTCCCTCGTTTTTAAATCGCTCGAATACTTCGCGGGCCAAGAGCCGCAAAGGGCCTGCATAGTAGCCTCTACCACATTGCTTCAATCTTTGTAAAGCTTTGTATGTTTTCCCCGAGTTAGTGGGCCCAATATGCATTACAATGTTCCTTCTCCATTTTCGCGCCTCAGGAAACCACTCTGCTGGATTTGAAATGTCTATGTCTCGCTCACTGGTGGTGCTCGATTTTACTGGTGTTACTACCGGAAGAATTTGTTGTTCGTAAACGAAATCAAACATTTTCCCAACTATGTGTTGGAATATCGTATGCGAGGAAACCGAATTTGTCTCCAGTATGGCTTTCCACTGACTTTCCGGAATTTTAGTGCAGTTAATCAGCTGCGGTACCAGCAAATCTGGTCTAGTGGGATACAGCATTTCTGAAAGACAAACTTTGTAGTTCGCAATTTTTTCTTCAAGACTGCGATCTCTCAACTGCTTGTAAACATGTTCCCGTAGTTTGAGCCATGCGTACTGCTTGGCCTTCGATGCATCTTTCTCGAACGCTTTTAATTTATTATCGAACACCCATTGTAAGGTGTCATCAAAAACTCCTTTGAATTCGCGATCTTGAAGATACAAGTTGCTTGCCTTGGCTGGAAATGAAAGTTCCGTGCGATTGATTTGGGTACGCTCACTGGGTGAAAGATGATTAAATGTGGGCTTCCCCAGTGGCCATTCTTCTTTTTTCTTCGAAGATGAGGCTGCAAAACTTCCAAAAGACCTTGAACGTCCTACGCCAAACCAGTAACCCAAGGGTCCCCCGCTCACTCTTCGAAGCATCGACTTTATTTTCTAGCACCGCAGCTCATCTCTATTCTCGAAAAGTATTCTATATAACTGAAATGTGAAAAGGTCACGTGTTGATGACCAAGATGGGTAATTTGGCAAGAAGGGCCGACTCTGATGAAATGTTGTTCGGGCATGTGAGGCCCAAATGATGCCAAGTCATGTCCTGGCAGATGATAGAGACTCATTGCGCTCTTTTCACCCTTTTCCGCGAAAAATTTACATATTTATAGGCTCAATGAGCTCTAGGAGACCGTACAGTCAATGCCATTGTGTTTTCAACCCAACCATCTGCACCTCCACCTTCAAGAATAGTGTCGTAGACGTCTTGAGTCGGCCACTTCTCCAAATTCGGATTTTCGGGCCCAATGATAGCCGCGTTCCTTGTACTTGGAATTCTTAGCATTTCTTTCTCGTGCTTCCAGCCGACTCGATCGGCTATGAACTCGACGCGATCTACAAGTCCCGCGTAAGTGCTATTGCTGTTCTTAATGTCGGTTTTCTTGACAGGGTAGCGGACTCGCTGACCAGAGAAATTATGGGAACAACAAGGGATTACCACAAATGGATATCCTAAAAGCGGAATCCAGCAAGTCAGCTCGTCGGAATGGTTTCCGATAATAAAGGTGTTTTTGGGGAATTCAGCTGTGTTAACATTGGGGGAGTTTAGCAAGTCTTCGCTTGAATATATCACGGTTGCCGGTGCAATCCGGTCACGGACTTTGATAGGGAAAAAGCTTCCGTTGTGCTCCAGATGAGAAGCTCTCTTTTTCACTTCAGGGTGCGGTCGTAACAAAACTGAAGGAATAATGACTTGTTCTTTAAGACAGTTTTGTACTTCAGCAGGGTATATTTTCCAGGACTTCCTGTGTCTCGCGTCAATGCCGATCCCCTCGATGCCTTCCTGTATCAGTAGATAGCACAGGACTCCGTTCCCACATCCTAAATCTCGAAACTGCATCTTATTCTTGAAATCCTCACCATACAGTTTGTTCCACAGCTCGATGAGAAACGCAGCAATGGCAATGTCTTCAAAAACGTGCTTCTTGGGGTCAGTACTTTCGGCCCAATTATCGACCAAAAAGCGGGAGTACTGTTTTTTCAAAGTAATGTAACGATTCTGGAACAGCACTTTGTCGACCACCATATCGTGATTCACACGCTTTCGGTATCCATCTTTGACACCGCTAGAATGCTTTTTCGCGGTCTGGAGCAGTCGCAGCGCCGTTCGAACGACGCGCTGCGATTCATCGCCAAACCAGACAGTGTCTGACTCCGAAAACGGCATGTAGTGAACAGAAAGTTCCCTGTCCGCGAGCAAAATGCCCACGGCACGCACTTGCGGGATGTAGAAAGGGCAGTCTTCTTTGTTCTCGAAATGCGGTGTGTATACGATCAGCGACGTATCGGCGCTTTGCTCGGTAGGCTCGAGGATCAAACAGGTCTGGTTGATAATGGAATCCTTGTAAGGGTTGCGAGGTACGATTTGGCGCACGATGGCACGTTTTACGCCAAGCGAAAGTTCCGCACTGAGGTCAACGGATCGGAGCTCGACGTCGTCTACGTTCACCGTTTGCGCTTCTGGGTCACCAATCTCGCACATTTTCTCCTTATAACTAACCTGGATTCCGCTACTGACATCAAACTCCCACTCCCGAAGCACATCCGCCCTCAGAATCACCGTCGAGTTGATATTCGGCTGCCGTATGACATTTTCCATCGCGGTCTCGAAATGCTCTTTTTCGAACTCTAAAACACCCAATGTTTTGTACAAGCATTTCCAATCTTTGCCCAACTTGCTGGGTTCCTGCTGGCAAAAGCTAAACCTCTCATTCATGCTTCAATCAGCGAAATAAACTCCGGCTTTTTAGCACCTTATTTGAAGATCATCGCCTGCCAATTTTTTCATTTTTAAAATTTTAAGCTCTCATTGTAGTAGCCAGTAAGGGCCCCATGCAAAACCCTATTATAAAACAAAGACTATTCCGTACTCCTGTAAAATCAATAGCTAATTAACCAGATATTCCATCGAGATCAATTCAATTCCAAGGCCAAGTTTACTAGATGCTTACGGCTCAAAGTATCACGTGATCGTCAAACAACGCTTTAAATTAATCCGGTATCAAGATTTTTTATCAAAATAGATAGACATAGTGTAGTGATTAAATCAAAGTGGAGTGAATAAACCCGTAGAGACAGAGTCGAGAAATGGCTTCATCGTCTCAGTATGTGAAGTTTGCGTTAAGCATTTAGTAAGGGTGGTTTAAGAGATTTTTCAGAAGACTAACTATGTGGAACAGGTTCAAACAGTTGGAAAAACTGGGAAATGGTACCTATGCTACCGTATATAAGGGATTGAACAAGACGACAGGCGTGTATGTGGCGCTGAAGGAGGTGAAACTCGACTCCGAGGAAGGGACGCCTTCTACAGCAATTAGGGAAATTTCGTTGATGAAAGAGCTCAGACATGATAATATCGTAAGACTTTACGACGTCATACACACCGAGAACAAGCTAACGCTTGTTTTCGAGTTCATGGACAATGACTTGAAAAAATACATGGACTCCAGGACCGTGGGAAATGCGCCACAGGGGTTAGAGACGAATTTGGTCAAGTACTTCGAATGGCAGCTGTTACGTGGTGTTGCATTCTGTCACGAGAATCGAATCTTGCACCGGGATCTCAAACCCCAGAACCTACTGATAAACAACAAAGGACAGCTCAAATTGGGCGATTTTGGTCTTGCGCGTGCGTATGGAATCCCTGTAAACACGTTTTCGAGCGAAGTCGTGACTCTTTGGTATCGCGCGCCGGACGTGCTAATGGGGTCTCGGACGTATTCGACCTCGATCGACATATGGTCGTGCGGGTGTATTTTGGCAGAGATGATCACGGGGAAACCGCTTTTCCCCGGTTCGAACGACGAAGAGCAATTGAACATGATATTTGAGACGATGGGTACGCCCACGGAACGCACGTGGCCCGGGGTCTCGACGTTACCTAAATATAATGCGCAATTCAAACAACATCTACCTAAGGATTTGAGGGCCATTTTGCAAAGTCAAACGCAAGGCACGATCGATCCCGTGGTGATGGACCTCCTCTACGCGCTCTTACAACTTAATCCTGATTCAAGAATCACTGCTGGCCAAGCGCTGAATCACTCCTGGTTTGCGGAGTATTATCAATAAGGATAACAAGATTGTTATTGTAGAAGCCTCTCATGCGTACCAATTTTTTAAATTAAGTCAATTTACTACGTCAAAACTCGGCGCGCCGCCGTGTCGCACCATTACTTCGATCAGCTCAAAATCCTTTATTTCGCTCACCGTGCGCCAAAGGGAGTCGTGCGACAAAGAACTGACATCGCCTCGATAAAACTTGCGCACAAACTTGTCCACAATTCGGGCCTTGCGCTCAGAAATGAGATGTGCGTCTTCCAGCTTTTCGCACAGAAGTAACGTCAATAATCGGGGCGTCACGTCCATATACATATTGATGATGAATTCTGTGAGAGGCCCCACGTCGTCTAACGTCGAATTGCGCAGCCGCGACAAATGCAAGACAAGCTTCACTGCATAAAACATGTGATTGATATTGTAGTTTTCAAGGTCGTTCTTCCAGAAGAACCAATGGACCACTGTTTCGCACAGAGAGCTTGGATGTTCGATTTCGAAAAAAGCGTTCAATTTCAGCAACAGTTGGCTGTAGACGACTCGCTTCCCTGTAATATCATTGTAAAACAATAACTCTGGGTGTCGATAAAAGGCGTTTGGAAAATCCAAGAGTTTTGTTGAGTTATCTTTTGTCGTAATAATCGCATCTACTGATTTGACGCCGTCAATTAAATCCAAAAACTCCGAATTATCGACAAAAAACGTCATTAATGCTGGCACGTCAAATGCTTCCGTCGCCAGGACATACTGATTCTCAACCGCCCACACATAATTTTCCAAAACATACCTTCTCGCCAAATAAGCATTTGCCCTGAGAACAGCATGAAATTTCTTATTGACCAAGGGCATCGCGTTGTTCGTTCCAGACAAAACAAAAATATGTTGCAAAATATCAACCGGAAGCCTTTCCAGTGTCAATTTCGCTCCTCGAGAAGCTCCTCGAGCCGCATTCAAATTTTCACTGACATTCACATTTTCGTAGTACACTTTCAATGCGGTTTTTTGTCGCTTACGTCGCCGTGTCGCGTACCCTGGAGTCACATAGCCCATTCGAAACCATCAAGTTCACTAGATTGGGCAGGGTTTCGCTCGCCGATGGGGGACCCAATTGCCAGTCTCAATGCTGTTTTTAGCCAGTACTTATACTTGTTGTTTGAATAGTAATACTGGAAAAATTTTTGAAAAAGAGCCAAGCCTTTAAAAGTAAACTAACCTTACCAGACTCAAGTTCCAATAATCGAGAAAAGGATATTTGGCATATTGGACGCGTTAGAATGTCTTCGCTAAGGATTCTGGTGATTGGAAACAATCCGAACGTTCTATTTTATGCTTGGAGATTACAGCAATCGAAAAGCGTGAGCGTTATTTATGTCAGTAGCGCAGCCCTCGGCGAAATTAAGATCGAGACAGAACAGTATGGGAGCGAAACCTTCCGCTTTAAAAACCACTACGAGAGTGTAGATGATCTGTTGAAGCGAAGTGAACAATCTGTGTTTGATTTGGTTATTTTGAGTGCTTCGTCACTACAAGAGATCTCATCAGTGTCGGGCAAACTTAATGCGCTTTTGAACGTGAATACGAAAATATTAGTGGAAAGCACTGGATTTGTGCATTTAGAGCCATTTGTTCGCATGTCAATTGAGTTCAAAAAGCTGAAGGTGTTCTCAATTATGTCGGAGTTTGACATTCGCCAAGTCTCGGCAAGCACGTTCAAACAGTTTAACGGGAAAAATGGGAATTGCAAAATTTACCTGGGAACGTCGATGACGAAACAGACCTCGAGCTCTGGAGCCCGATATTTGAACGAGGACGCCGCTCTGCTCGAGACTTTCAAACGGCTTTTCAGCAAGCTGTTCCCACGTGATCAGCTTGACCTATGTGGTCTGTCGGGACTCGACTTCCTTTGCCAACAGTGGTCATTGGCACTGCCCAAGATCTGCTTTGACCCCCTTATGATTCTGCTTGAGGTTTCACAACCTGCCAAGCTACAGGAACAGATTTTGGCCAAGCCCCTCATCTCGGGCCTTATAACCGAGGTAATAACGGTGACTAAGAGTATGGGCGCTAGGTTACCGCAGGGCCTAGATAATGAGAGCACTTTAGTGGTCAACTGGCTCGATTTCAACCATAACGATACGCCGAAGCTACTCTATCACTTTTTGCGCAAATCGGCTTCCTTGGACATAGACATGCTGCTACTGCAGCCCATCCTTCTCGCGGACGATTACGGCATAAAAACGCCGTATCTTGAGTTTTTATATTCCATGATGTGCCAATTACAGAAGATTAACAATGGTCAGTCGGAGTTGTTCGGACGCCTGGATGATCACAAGAACAACAAAGACGAAATAGCTCGGGTGAAGCAACAATGCAACTCTTTACAAAATGAATTAAAGGATAGAACTTTGAATTATGAAACGAAAATTGGGCAGTATGACGAACAGATGCGCATGCAGGAACAGCGTAGTAATCAACTAATTGCCGAAAACTCCCAGCTCAAGGCTGAAATGGCAAAAGCTAGAGCAGACCTCTCACTAGCTATGGAAAAAGCTAGCACTGCAGAGAACAATTTGCGTCAAATGATGTTGAAAGAAAAGACCCCGCCTGGATCAGATTTGGACAATTCTGGTCATGCAAACGGTCCAACAAGCAACTCAGGGACTCCAAACATGCATGATATCGAAGATTTTGCTGTGTACGGCGTTGTGTATGGCAATAACTCACCCGGAGTAGCCAAAGATGAAAGCAGTACGGAGGTACCCGCTCCTGCCACTGAGCCACCCATCGCTTCTTTCAGTCGTGAGAATAATGGCAGCGATGTTTCGCTGCGAGAACGCGAACTTGGTATACGCAAGAAGGAATTAGAACTGCAAGAAAAGGAAATGGAACTACAAAGACGAGCGGCAGCACAACCAAGGCCGCAAAAATTTCCTCCTCAACCTTTCCCCGGCCATCAAGTGAATCCTCCTCCACAATTTTCAACTGGCGGTGCATCAAGAAAGTCTTCTTACTCGCAGTTAGGTGGTAGAAATGGAAGGGGTGTACAAGGGGCGCAAATTAATAGCGCCAACTTCATTGATCCGTTAGCCACAGGAGCACCACAGCGCCCCATGAACAACGGTAACGGGATACCAAACCCAGTCGTAAACCACGCCCATCCTTCTCATCCCATTAAAGCTACCAGCAGAAAGAATCGACGTAGCAACATGCCAAATTTGAGAAATGCATCTAGTTCAGATGTTCTCTCAATGGCTGCGACCGGCGCTGCTCCTCAAGGAGTACCCGTGAATAACACTAACCCAGCTCCCCGCCTAAATGCGCCACCTAAAAGCGGAGGAAACCCGTCTGTGGTCCACAGGTTCAATAACGGTAGTCATCCTCAGCTGGGCCCCGTTGCACCTATTCCTGCACATCAAGCTAGATCCAATTCTACTCCGTCACCGGTTGCACTTCAGCAGCGCCAGATAAGTACCAGCACTACGGTTGACGATAGTCGTCAAAATTTGCAAGCTAATTTGTCAGTGAATTCAGTTGTTCACAGCCCGTTAGCAACCCAGCAATTCCAAGCAGCTCATGCCGAAGAGGGACAAACGATTGAAGTCCCCGAATATTCAGCGCCTGGTACTCCTGTGGTACCTCCAAGTGACAGCACACCTACGGATTCTTCCAGCCACGATCAAAGTCAGGCTCTTAATCAAGAATCAGCAACCTCTGGATCTGCTTCTCCATCTGTAAAGAAAAAGTCCAAGTTTGGCATTTTCGGCAAGAAGAAGAAGTCACAGAAGTGAACTTTATTGCCAAGGCATGGGCACGAGTGCTTAGGTAAAAGTTCACCAATTTACTATCATATGGACAACACAAATCTAAATCGTATAACGTGTATAGGTCTACTCAATTATGCGCTGTCAATGAATTGACGCAAAACTTTGGAAAGTGTAACGGGCGGGAGATTTGATCAGACTTTATGGGATCTCAAGCGGTTGAGGCCAAGTCTCAGGTTTACCAAAGTCTCCACCGTTTGATTGGTCTTGAAAGTCGAAGCAGGCAACCCTAATGACTTAGCCAGCCTCACAATGTAACCATTGATGTATTCAACTTCGGTGTCCCTCAGATTAAGCGTATCTTGTCTCATGGAAGAGCTGTTATTTCCGTTAACCACGCACCCAATGCGGATAATAAAATCGAGCAGACGCTTCCTCTCTAGAATCCCATGAACATCCAGCTTCGGATAGCCTGGCCCGGTGGCATTATATTCGAATAGAGGCTTGTAAGCAACTTTAAGGATTTCCAAAGCCTCTGTGATGATTGCATCAAAGATAGGTCTGGCGATGTGCTCTAGTTCACCATTGATACAATCGACGATCGAAGTAATGGGATTGATGCATGCATTTACCAAGAATTTCTCAAGTTGGCTGAGCAAAAGTTCTTGGTAAGTTAGATGCTTAACGTTCATGCTGGTTACAAAATTTGGGTTGGTCAGCGCGCGGACAAGCATGTTTTTGGCGGCGTCTTGCGCGACCTCGTCTAATGACTGAACAACACCGTGAACTTCGTCAATGGGAAGCCGTGCAATTTTGAGGTCTCCAAAACCCGCGTGCTTGAACGAAAACGGCTTATCTTGAAAGATACCATGCGAAATAACGCCTTGGAAGAGTTGAGGGCGGAAGGTTGTGAAAACTTCTTCGGTAACGGTCTCAAAGACTCCTAATCCATTTTGGATTAAGATGACATTGGTTCCAGCATGTAGATACTTGAGCAATGGTGAAATAGCCTCTTTCGTCTGATATGTTTTAGTAGTTACAATCAAATTATCGATCTTACAACCATCAGGAATGCGTTCCGGGCAAATTGCTCGGTCGAAAACCGATTTAACACATTCTTGGCTCTCTTTGAAGAGACTTGTCACAGCGACAGCATTTTGATTCTCCTGGAAGTCATGGAGTCTTTTCTCAGATCGAAACAGTGGAACAATTAGGGCCTGTGTCTGTTGTTGCAGGTGCGACGCCAACATCGCACCAATTGACCCGAAACCGAGCACAAATATTGTTGGTTTTGAACTAGCCATCGGCGAATGCCCACAAAGAGGTATTGTTGCTAGTAGAAGCGTTTTCTGCTGAGCGTTTTGGATAGTTGTTTTGATAAACATTTTTTAAGATCACATTTTTAAGTTTTCGGCTCCAATTTGTAACAAGACGTTGATCCCGGACTTCTGAAACTCTAACCCGTCCCTAGATCTGCGATGCGTTCCTATGCTAGAGTACTACCTGGGCAGAGGCTCCCTGTATAATCGTGAGATAAACATAAATATATTTACGTATATGTTATCGATTATCCTGAGCGCAGTTTACGATGTGATAGAGAAAAGTTCCATCACATTTGATCTAAAGACCGGTTCCCGAACTACTGCAGTTTTGGTTCTCGCAGGGAATCCAAGGCACATCGTGAGTATGGCCTCTGGTGCGTTGGCCCGACATGCAAAGATACGTTTGAGTCGCTTAGAGAAACATCTAGTAAAGTAGATTTGAGAAAAAAAGTGAAAAAGTGGTCTCTAGCGGGATCGAACCGCTGATCCCCGCGTTATTAGCACGGTGCCTTAACCAACTGGGCCAAGAGACCTGTCAATGGGACCAGAGATTCTGGTGAATGCATATACTAGGATGATATTCATTTGCTCAGCGGCAATAGATTCTTGTTTCATAGCTTGAAGCGGAGCGCTAAGGTTTGAAAAGGGACACTTCCTGAATTTTGGTTGGGTCCTGTATGGTGTTGAAGTGACAATGGGAAAGTTTAGGTGGGGAAGGGGAAGATCGTGGTGGTGGCGGTATTATCAGTTCATTGATCAAGGCTTAACACAGGTTCTCTTGGCTGTCGCGGCACAAGTTTCGAAATAAATGTTTATAAAGTTTTCAAAATCCTGATGTGAGAGCTCAAGTCTGGTGATGGAACCTTTAGGCCAGTTGGAAGGATCCCCAAAACCGGTTGAGAATCCTCATAAACGTATTTTTCTCGAGAAGTGCATGCTCTTTAGACGCAAAATTTGTTGACGCGTAGGTACGAGTCGCAAAACGTCGTTTCATCAGCCAAACAGTACCAGTCTAGGCGAATAGATCGAATATTGTCTCTGACAATTGCAGGGTTTCCTTCGTATTTCCTGCAATATCCTAAACGTCAAAGAATACTAGGTGCATTGACGAAATAAAAACCAATTACTTTAAGGGAACTACATGGTGGATCTACGCGTTGAATATGTCTCGTGAAGGTCACGAACTGCGAGGAACAGTTTGAGATGCTTTACAAGTTACAACTTTCATGACCATCATGCTTGGCATTTTTTTCAGAAGTGTCGCTGGCATGACAAGCTTAGTCGTTGACTAAAAAAAATTTTCAGAATTAGACCGATTCAGCTTATTCAAAAGGTGACCAGTAGACATTTTGAAAACCAATTCAACACTTCAAGCGACAACCCAACGATGCCAATTGATCAGGAAAAACTAGCCAAGCTGCAAAAGTTGTCTGCCACCAACAAAGTTGGTGGAACGCGCAGAAAGTTCACTAAAAAGACTGGATCTGTTGCTGGTTCTAACAAGGATGACACCAAACTGCAGGCACAATTAGCCAAGCTACACGCCGTGACCATGGACAATGTTGAAGAAGCCAACTTTTTCAAGGACGATGGTAAAGTGTTGCACTTCAACAGAGTTGGTGTTCAAACTGCTCCTCAGCACAACACTTCCGTTTTCTACGGTCTACCTCAAGAAAAATCTTTGAACGAACTCTTCCCCAACATCATTCCTCAGTTGGGTGCTGAATCCATCAATGCGTTGACCCAGCTTGCCTCTCAGCTTCAAGGTGCTCAAGCCGGTCAAGGTGAAGCCGGTGCTGCTAAGGGGGCTGAAAATCAAGATGCCGACATCCCTGAGTTGGGTGAGCAAACTTTCGAAGCCGACGTCGAATAAATGGGTGATCGACTCTAGCTGGGAAGCGGCTGCACGTGGGAAAGAAACTCATTTCGCTGTTCGGTCCTTAAGTATTATTCACAAAAAAATCACCTTTGTACGTAACCTCCCACTTAACAAATTTTCTACCTGTTTTGCCTAGAGAGCCAGTCCCTTTCCTATTGATTTACAAGCCTGTTCTATACATTGGCGCCGTTTTCGCGTGCTTTTTCCAAAATCTCGTTGATGTCGCCCCCAATACTAAGCAGTTTTTCTCTATTGCGCTTGCAAGTTAGAGTGTCGTAATGACGTTTCAGCGCGTCTTTCCGCGCGAAACCTTTCCCACACAGCGAACAGATATTGGGTAAAATGGGCAAATGCGCCCTTTCGTGCCTTCGTAGGTCGCTGGACCGTCTGAACACCAGATCGCATTTGGCACAAGGATATTTTTTGAGGCTGGCGTCCTCGTCATCTCCTTGCGATATTTTGCTCGCTTTATCGGCTTTCTGCGACCCATCATCTCCAGCTGGCGATTTGCTGCGCTTTCTAGTATAATTTTCGGCATCATCTCCGCTGTTCGTCGGGCTCTTCGAGTCGTTCAAAAGCTGGTCAAAATACTTTAAAATGGTAGCGTTCTGAGGAGGTATTTGGTGCGCAGGAGGAGGAGATGTTCGTTGCTGTACTGCAGGTGGTCTCGATGTCACGGGTATGTTGGGCGATCTCACCTTTTTAATTCTATTTAACAATTCTCTGATAGTAGGGTCCAAATTCGCGGCATTCAAGCTTGCCGCCACTATCGCCTCCGCAGCTAGCTGGAAAAATATAGCATCTTCGCTCATATCAAGCAAAGAGTGCCGCTGCCTGTAGACCCAGGTTTCGATTACCAGGACTTGATCAAAGAGGCTTCCCGACTTGCTTTCCGAGCTTTGAATGTAAGCGATGCTTCAAGTCAACATAGACGTTTTTTTCAATTTATTGGAGCCACAGTTTATTAGTCACGTGCATGACACTTTACCTGAATTATTAGCTAACTCAAACCTAAAAAGTTAGCCAAACGAAACCAATCTTGATTCAATTTTCGCTCTAATGAGTAAGGTCCCACCGTATTTGCTTAATTTTCTTAAGTGGCATTTTCCGTGATGTCGACTTTTCGCTGGCCAGCGGAAAGTCAACAATTAGATGCTTATTGAGGGTATGCTAGTTTCTTGAAAAACGTCCGAAGCGGGTGATTAACAAGCCAGTAGCTTTCGCTGGTCTGAAATTGTTCTGTAAACAGTCGTTTTGGATCTTTTGAGTATAAATCAAGAAGATATGAATTTATGTAATTTTGCTTATTGACAAGGCTTGAATTGTAAGCGAACTGTATCTAACAATGCTTGCTGGACAAAGTAAATAAACGTCTTAGCTGAAAGCGGGAGCTGAGAAATAGATAAATGCAGATAATTAGGCGAAATAAAGAGTCTGGCAAAAATCTCACTTGACCGTAAACTTTAGTCTCTAGAAATAGCAGCTTGGCTTTTTCTTCACTTTACAATTTATCTGCTTGATTGAAAAATTGCAAGGTCCCAGAACAACTACTTCAAGCCATTGGCACTTGTGCATCCCTTGGGTCTGGAAGATGGTGAAGCCTTCGCTCAAGCTTGGTTCCGGACACTCTTACCAAAAGACCTTGCTTTTGCCCAAAACGAAGTTTGCTAATCGGTCCAATCTCCAAAAGTCGCTCACACAACTCATCCCACAGGCATCGCAAGAGGTATATGACGCGCAGCTTCGAGAATTCAAACAAAAACTGAACGAGATTATTCCTGAAAAACGCACCGATTTCGTTAAACAAAACCTGTTTGTATTACACGACGGACCGCCGTATGCAAACGGTGATCTTCACCTGGGCCATGCCCTCAACAAGATTTTGAAAGATATCACAAACCGGTATCAACTGTTGAAGGGTAAGTATATCTATTACAAGCCCGGATGGGACTGTCATGGTCTCCCCATTGAGCTGAAAGCCCTACAGACCTTGAGCCGGAGCAAGCTTGAAAGCATATCTGCGTCGAAAGTTCGATCATTAGCAGCGCGTCATGCGACGAAAACCATGAACAGTCAGCAAAAGACATTTGAGCAATTTGGGCTTTTGATGAATAAAGACGACTATTATATGACATTGCATAAAAGCTACGAAATCAATCAATTGGGCATTTTTAAAAGTATGCTTCAGAGAGGACTTATCAAACGGCAATACAAACCCGTATACTGGGGGACAGAGACAAAAACGGCGTTGGCAGAAGGTGAACTTGAGTACAACGAAAGCCACAGGTCAACTGCTGCTTACATCGGCTTCCCAATGCGCAAAGAATCCATCCAGACTTTTATGCAGCGTCTTGGCCTCGAGAGGAATATGCCAACAAAATGTTTAATTTGGACGAGTATGGCGTGGACGGTTTTCGCTAATGAAGCAATTTGCTATAATAGGAAATTTCAATATGCTCTGGTCTCCCATAAAGGTGAAGACTATATTGTAGAGGCCAAATTGCTATCTCAAACCCCTGAAGTACAGAATGGCGATTTGATTGCAACTTTTTCCGGGTCGATGCTAGATGGGTTGTTTTATTCGTCTCCGCTGGATCGGACCGAAATCTTCAAGCCTCTTCTTCATGGTGAACATGTCACGGACTCCTCAGGAACTGGACTGGTCCATAGTGCACCGGGCCATGGACAAGATGATTATTTTGTTGGAATAGAAAATAAGTTGCCCATCACGTCAATAGTTGACCATGAGGGCAGATACAAGGTTGAAGCTATTCGCGAAGAGTTTCATGAAGCCCTCACAGACCCAAGCTTCGGAAAAGGCAGAGAGGTTCTTTCAGCCGATACCACAACGCAAATTCTTGAAATTCTTCATAAAAAGAATCTCTTGTTAAAATCCCATGATTACGTTCACTCGTATCCGTATGACTGGAGATCGAAAAAGCCTGTCGTTATTAGAGCCACTTTACAATGGTTTGCCGGTCTCGACAGTGTAAAGCCGCTTGCCTTGCAAAGCATCGACAATGTCCAGTTTTTCCCTCAGAGGGGTTCCAAGCGGCTTTCCTCGTTTGTAAAGGGCAGAAGTGAGTGGTGCATCTCAAGGCAGCGCTCATGGGGGGTACCCATTCCTGTTTTCTACAAGAAGGAGAATCCAGACGAAATGCTAATGAATGAGAAAACTATAGATCACATTTTAAAGGTTTTCGAGGAAAAGGGATCCGACTCATGGTTTTCCGACAACCAAACGGACATGGAGAGTTGGTTACCGGAAGAGTATCATGAGGTTGCTCACTTGTATTGTAGAGGCCAAGACACGCTTGACGTTTGGTTTGATAGCGGGAGCTCTTGGAAAGTCATCGAGGATTTTTACAGCAAAGAGCTGAACCTTCCAACTCTTCCAGAACCTCTTACGAACATGTATTTGGAAGGCTCGGATCAGCACCGTGGGTGGTTTCAAAGCTCGCTTTTGACCAAGGTAGCATCGGCGGAGAAGCCTTCATCACCTTACGGAATTGTTTTGACGCATGGATTTACGCTGGACGAAAACGGCATTAAAATGTCAAAATCTATTGGGAATATTATATCACCCGACAGCGTTCTTGCCGGAAACGATCAGCTAAACCTTCCCCCGTTAGGAGTCGATGGCTTGAGGTTTTTAGTGGCGCAATCAGATTTTACTTCTGACATTACTGTCGGACCCACAGTCATGCGACATGTCTCTGAGGCTTTGAAGAAGCTTAGATTGACATTCAAATTTCTTTTGGGTAACTTGCAGGAGTCAAGTCACCCAGCGGAGTTATTAGAGATTGACAATTTGCGTCCAATTGATCAATATATTTTGTGCACTCTTCAAACCCTGACCAAGGAGTGCCAAGAACATTACGAAAGTTACGCATTTTCGAAGGTGCTGACCGCTGTTTTGTACCATATGAATAACCACCTTTCGTCATTCTACTTCGACTGCATTAAAGACTCACTTTATTCAGATGCCACGCCGGCACTCAAACGCAAGCAAATCCAAACCACTCTACTTTATATTCTCGATATTTATCGGGGTATAATGGCTCCGATTACACCACTCTTGGTTCAAGAAGCCTGGAATTGCCTACCCAAACAGTGGCTACCTGCCCTGGAGAACTGCCACTCAGCTAGCTCGTCACGATCCCCTATGCGAAGACCATGGATGCTTTTTGATCTGCAAAATATCCAAGAGAAAATCTCGTCTTTCGAAGGTGCTCACATGTTGATTCTGAAAGCATATCGAGCCGAATTTCACAAGCTCGCCGATGTCACCAAAAGTGTTGAGACAAAAGTCAACCTGATTTTAAAGGACAACGAAAAACCTCCATTCACAGAGGAAGAAATAGGTGACATTTTACAAGTCTCTGGCGTTCATTTCGGCAAAATCGTTGAGAAAGAGAGTGGCAGTTCTATCACATTGTCGAACGGGCAGCAAATCCACTTAGAAGTGGAAAAAAGTGACTTACACAAGTGTCCAAGATGCTGGAAGCACAGTTCTAGCGAGCGTGATACCCTCTGTCCAAGATGCTCAAACGCTGTCACCTGATCATTTGGACGTTTTTTCAATCCTGTAGATAAAAAGAGCCTGTATATATACGATGGATAGAATGAAACTTAACGAGAAAGCTTCAAGACGGTTAAAATAATGTGTTTGAACTCTGCATCTGGCTGGTTGAGTCGTCTTAGCCCCGGCATCAAGTCATCTTGTACAATTGCGCATTTTAAAGCTCAGAAAGAGCTATACGCCACCGCGATCAGAACTTTTCATTCTAACATTGTAAAACGAAACGAGTATCAACAAGACTCTAGATCTAGACTAGCCTCGGCAAACAACAAAAATGAGCCACAGCAGAATGATAGGATACATAAGCTTATAGCCAGGTCCCGAACGCTCTCCAAACTAAATGAGATTCCAAGATTTAAGAGGTACTTCGATCAACTCTCCCAGACAAGCGCTGTATCCACTATAACTTCTTTCCTCGTTCTTCATGAAATTACTGCGATTGTGCCATTGTTCTCTTTGTGGTGGGTGGTCTACCAACTAAATCTGGGCCATGAGCTGGCCTTGCCCGTGTATTTTACGGACTTGTTGAATCGCTGCGGGGAAGCCATGGAAAGGCTTGTTGGAGACCACTACACTGGTTTCGATCGCAGCAGACTGGTTCTCTCTGGAGCCATATCCTATGCAATTGTGAAAATGCTTTACCCGGTGCGAGTATTCCTGAGCTTATGGGCAGCTCCGTATTTCACGAAGTGGGCACTTACGCCTTTTATTAAGGTAAGGAAGGCCATAAAGGCCAAAAAGACAGCTGGTGAGCAATCCACAAAACAATAGAAATAGCATAGTTAACTTGAGAGCTGTGTATTCGGCGGGTTTAGTTCCTGTGCATCATTCGCTCCAAAAAGATAAAATACGAAACAAGACCAATGCCGCAATTCTAAATGAGGCACTATGGGAAAGACAATGCTTGTAACTGGGCCTTAATCGAACCCGGACGGCAAGAAGACCTTGATGGGAAGAGTTCCTACGGAATTTCGATATGGCGATAGGTCACTAATTAATATACAGAAAGCCGAGCTATCATTAAAGTCATGTGATCCGATAGTTGATAAATCACAGCGCTCGGCCAAACCCGAAACAGAAATCTCATAATCATATGAGATTTTTCATTGTCAGCATTGTATCACACGACACCAGGGTCTGATACGACCCGATTGCGGCGCTTCAAAATCTCCTTTTGATGCCTTTCTCTTATCTGCCCGCGAGTTTCTCGGATTCTTCCGAATTTTTGATTTTATTTCTTTTGCTGTAATCAGATAAGGATTCGGCGAAAGGGGAAGGTTTCGAGCAAGGTCATCGCGATGAGCTCCTGTACATATTAGAATAAAAGATCTTCAAAAAAATGCTTCAACAGTTACAGAAATAGTGTTTATACCCATTTTACATAGTAGTCAGAACGGTGTCAGACTTGTGTTTGCTAGCATCGTCATTAGCAGATAATACCTCTACAGCTATGAAAGATCAAGATGTTGGATCGAACGAGAAATACGGCATCGACGACAACATAAACTCCCAAACAGACGGGACACAGTCTCTGGAGCAAAGCGAAAAAGTCCACAATGTGATATCAATCACTAGAGCAGACATTGGCGATCTTGAAAACGTCATTTCGACTATCGTTTCACCTTCTGGTAAAGAAGTTAAAGTGACTGGAGATGTCGACGAGGCGATGCGGTTAGCGCTCGAGTCGCGCGAAATCAAGATCACAGAGCAAGAAGATCGCAAACTTGTCTGGAAAATCGACTTATACATGTTTCCGTTGATGTGCATTTTGTATGCTATTCAATTCATGGACAAAGTTTCGAACGGGTCTGCTGCGGTGATGGGTTTACGAGATGATCTCAAAATGAAGGGCAATCAGTACTCCTGGGTCGGATCTGCGTTTTACTTTGGGTATCTGTTCTTCAACTTGGGTCCCGGTCAGCTGATCTTCCAAAAGTCCCGGTGGCTTGCAAAGACTTTAGCCGTCTTTGTTGTTTTGTGGGGTATGATTCTGGCACTACATGCGGCGCCTACGATCAATTATGCTTCGTTTATCTTCTTGAGAGTGCTTTTGGGTTGTGCTGAAAGTATGGTTACGCCAACCTTCACCATTATCACGTCTCAGTACTGGCGCAAGGAAGAACATTTCATGCGTGTGTGTCTCTGGTTTGGATTTAACGGTCTAGGTGGAATCTGGGCCAATTCGCTTGCGTATGGGCTTTACATCAGACAGGCCTCTTACAGCATTGAAGCCTGGAGAGTTTTGTTTGTTGTGACTGGGCTAATAACAGTTTTTGTCGGATTTGCCATCTTCTTCCACCTTCCAGACGATCCTTCGAAGGCCTGGTTCTTGTCTGAGCGCGAGAAACTCATGGTTGTTGAGAGAATCAGAGGAAACCAGCAAGGCTTTGGTAACCACCACATTAAATGGTACCAAGTGAAAGAGGCTTTCACTGACGTCAGAACCTGGCTATTCTTCGCGTTTAGCATTGGAAGTAACATTCCTAACGGTGGTTTGACGAACTTCATGAACATTCTAATCAAAAACGACTTTGGATACAGTACCAAGGAATCGCTGTTGATGACCATGCCTACCGGTGCTGTCGAATTAGTCGCTTGTCCTTTGATCGGCTTTCTCTCAGTATGGTGTGCCAAAAAGAAGATTCCCTTCCTACAAGACAGACTGATTTGGGGTATCTTTGCTGCTGTTCTCAGTGTTGTGGCCACATGTATGCTTGCTTTTGCCAAGGAGTCGAAAAATGCCAGATTGGCGGGTGCTTATCTGCTTTACGTTGCTCCCGTCTCCTTCATCTGTGTGCTTTCCATCATCAGCTCCAATACTTTGGGATATACTAAGAAATGGACGGTGTCCTCCATTAACTTAGTTTCATACGCGGCCTCAAATTTGGCAGGACCTCAAACGTTTATTGCTAAACAGGCGCCAGGTTACAACGGTGCGAAAATTGCAATGTTGGTTTGTTACGCAGGTTGTGTCGTTACTTTGTCGGCCCTCTACGTTTTGAACATTTACGAAAACAAGAAGAGGGACAGAATTCAGGCAGAAAGGGGACCCAGTGACACTATTATTGAGAACCTTGAATTTGCCGACCTCACGGACAAAGAAAACCCCAACTTCAGGTATGCTTTGTGAGCATTGTCGGCACTCCCTTCCTCAGTCCTTTTTGACCTACTTAATACATCATCTCGACAAGTTACGTAAACTGTTAATAAATCTTCAGTGAATAGAAGAATAGAATTCCTCTAGTATTGGAAAAATCAGGCACAAGCGACTCGAGTTGCCATGCTGACACTAAAAGAATGAAGCTCCTGGGCAAGCAGATTCTCATATATCATATTGCAACGTCAAAGAGTTTGCCACTTCTGTGGTCTCCACAGCATTTTTAAACTCAGCGAAGCTCAATTTACCGTCACCGTCAGAGTCGTTTTCAGAAATAGTTCTATCCACGATCTGTTGCAGCTGTTCGTCTCCCAAGTTATTACCAACCATAATTTTCAGTACTATGAAAAGCTCCCCGTTTGAGATGTATCCGTCCTTGTCTATATCATAAATCTTAAAGGCGAATTCGAGCTTGCCATCTTTGCTACCCCTGCCACTAAAGATTGAAAGGCCCGTGATGAATTCTTGAAAGTCAACATCTCCACTATTATCCTCATCAAAAACTTCCATAATGCGACCAGCCAAGGGATTTGACGAAACGCCTGGGATTGACATGAACTCTTTCTTATCAATAGATCCAGAACTGTCTCTGTCAAGCTTCATAAATCGCTTTCTGAGCCGCTCTATCTCATCTCGTTCAACTTGAATGAATTGTTAATAAATGCGTCGTTTGACTCCCAGAAAACTACGCGCGAAACTTACAGTTAGTGTCCTCTAGTAAATCCTCAATTATCTTCGATGGAGCCGTCCCCATGGCTCTGCTCGCTGGTCTCAAGTTGATTATAGATGTAATACATACATATCATGGAAAATGTGGTAGCCCATTAGCCAGAGGAACATGACTTTAAACAAGTCATGTGACCAGTAATGAGAAGCCGATGATCTTGGCGAATGAGGATAACCGTTGCGATGATCCATTAAATACCTGCTCTATGACTGCCTTCGATTGTCTTGATCGAATTGGTATTGCCGAGCAACTCCCGAGGTCCCCTCTTCCAAGGTCGCACCTTCTTCCTCGTAGTCTTCACTTTGAAAATCGCTTCCCAAGCCAGACCACATCCTCGAATGTAGGGCGCTTGCTGAAGTTGATACGGTGTTTCTGATGGAAACCGCACCGGCAAACTTTTGAACGAGTTGATCCGAGGATGAATCCTCGATCGAGCCTTGAGGAACGTCAATTTCAACGCGATCGATATGTCTCAATGGGCGCGAGGTGCTAACATATCGGCCGGTCACGGCATCAAATTCTGGTGCGTCAGCATCAGATATTACCTCATTCTGGTTGGTGTCGGGTTCTTGTTGGTCTACCGACTCTTCGTGGTCTTCTTCCGATAATTCATTCATAACGTCTTTGAAGTCCACGACCCAGCTGCCGGTCCACGTAAGCTCTGGACTCAGGGCCAAACTGAGCTCATAGGGTGTCACTATGGGCTTGTAAAACTCGTTGTGCTGGTCGATGATAATACCACTCTGTGCGCAACCGAGGACACACCACACGTCGATGGCCTCAAAGTTTGCCAACTTGGCCACATTTGGCTTGCCCACTACAAACATGTAGTATTTCTTCCCGCTATCTCTAATAAGATTTGCGAGCTGCGTTATCAGCTGCTTCGTGTTTTTCAGAGATAGCGTGTTGACCAGTAAACCGATGGTTCCCGCGGTTCTGGCAACATGCATGTATTTGTAACGCTTCATCATTGAAGGAAATGGACCTTGAGAAACGGTCTGTGTGGAATCGTCGAAAACAGATATGCTATTAAATTTTGTTGTCAGATAAAGCAGTCTGGGATTATCTGGCATTGTAAGATGGAATAAGCTGAATTCGCTCTGTAACTGTTCCTCATCTATATCCCGAAAGCTCTCATTATCTGAATATAGTACACGGTTTCCTAAAGTTAGTACAGGTTGTGAGGCTCTGGCGACCTTGAAGTCAATAATGTGCGCACTGGGACCGGCACTTTGGGAATTGACTTCAGCAACAAAGAGATTATAGTATCCATTTACCTGAAGCGCCTGATCTAAATCAGTCAAGTGAAAACTATAAGAAGCGTCAGCCATCAGACACACTTTGCTGGCTTTATCTGGATATGTTTGTTGAAATTTGCTGATTACCACATCGAGATCTAAGTATGGCTGTCCAAACACATATAGTACAGGTAGTTTTTGCACTGCGCTCAAGCATGCATCGCCGAAATGTACAACGATATCTCCACCAATGTGTTCCGAAGCGACTTCGTCGACGCAGCACGCACTGTATGCCGTGTCAGCGAGAATCCATATTCTCCTTCGATTAGCTTGTTCCTTAACGTGAAACTTTTCTTTGCAATCCGACAGACCACAACACACTTCATTTGAGCATGATTTTGATACCTTGGATTCTTCATGGGCCGAGTCATCGTCTTCGAGTCTTTGCTGTAATAATTGACATACAAATGTAGAGTCCATCGTCAAAGTGTCAGGAAATTGCAAAGTTATTTTCCTGAACTGTAGGTTTCTTGAGAAAAACCCAGCAATATCATCAATTCTGTAATAGGTAGCCAATAGATCTCTCAGGCCGACTCTGCCACCAGCGTTGGGTCCAAGATAATGTGTTCTATCTTTGGTAGAATCGGCATATTTGTCCAAACTGAAAACTTCAACACCTTGATGAGTAGAAAGTGCAGGTGGAATTCCAGCTATGTCATCCATTGGAATAGCAGTGGTTTCCCCAAGTCTTAGTACCGAGACTTGTTTCCTTGCAGATGAGATGAGATGAGGTACCAAATTTTTCAAATGATCATTTCCGAGAAATGAAAAACTGACATACAGCACATCACGGTTCAACGACCAAATATTCAATTCATCACACAAGCCAATCCAATGTCCGAAATCAATCTTGGTGTTACGTGCGACATGCATGTTCATCTTAGGGAGGGAGAAATGTGCGATTTGGTCACTCCAACTATAAGAGAAGGTGGTATATCCGTTGCATACATCATGCCTAATCTCCAACCACCGATCACTACTTTGGACAGAGTTATTGCTTACAAGCAAAGGCTTCAGGAACTGGCTCCTCAGACGACGTTTTTGATGAGTTTTTATCTGTCGAAGGAACTTTCTGCCGATCTTATACATCAAGCAGCTTCCGTTGGAGCCGTACAGGGTGTTAAATGCTATCCAGCCGGTGTTACGACTAACTCTGCTGCTGGTGTGGATCCTAATGATTTCAGTTCTTTCTATCCAGTTTTCCAAGCTATGGAAGAGGAAGGGTTAGTTCTAAACTTACACGGCGAAAAGCCATCGGTTGCAGGAGAAAGCAAAGATATCCATGTGCTTAACGCCGAGGAATCATTTTTGCCGGCTTTGAGAAAGCTACATAGCGACTTTCCACAATTGAAAATCATTTTGGAGCACTGTACGTCGGAAGCGGCTATAAATCTCATTAATGAACTTAACAAGGATATTGCAAACGTTCAAGACATTAAGGTGGCTGCCACTATCACCGCTCATCATCTCTTCCTTACCGTTGACGACTGGGCTGGAAATCCAGTCAATTTTTGCAAACCGGTGGCCAAGCTACCTAGCGACAGAAGAGCCTTGGTGTCAGCCGCGACGTCAGGGAAACCTTACTTTTTTTTCGGGTCTGACTCCGCACCTCATCCAATCTCGAACAAGGCTAGGCACATCAACGTCTGCGCAGGCGTTTACACTCAGTCGCTGGCGCTTCCATACGTTGCTCAGATCTTTGAGACTCAAAACGCCCTCGACAAGCTAAAGACCTTTGTTTCGGACTCCGGATTGCAATTCTATGGTGTTAAAACACAGGACTTGAAATCTACGGAAGAAGCTGTGATTTTCAAGAAAGATCAGATAGTTCCAGATTGTCTTTCCGATGGCAAGGGGACCAACGTGGTACCATTTTTGACTGGAGAAAAGTTGAACTGGTCTGTGAAGTGGTGTCCTCAATCTAGTTGAAAAAGTCGTATATGCATATTTATATACATTCAATTGTGTCACCATTAATGAACAAATATTCAAGATTGCACTTGACTCACTGATTTTCTTTCTGCAAGGTGGCCTCATCTTTTTCTTTTAAACCTTGGGATCGTGCTCCTTTGATCAGGCCCAAAACTCCGTTTCCTGAATACTCATAACCGAATCCACTCGCAACTAGAAAGCCAGCCTCCGGACCTTCGAGAAGCGACCGCGAAAGGGTATCTATCGTCTGAGCGAAAAAAGGTCCCCGCAGACATTCAATTAGCGTAGTTTTATCCTTATTGACTTCTTCTGGGAGATGGCTCAACAGCCTTTGCAACTGAGGTGAGTCCGGTGAAAGGTTTTGCACATAGCTTACCATAAGCTCTTTGTCTAGAAAGTCACGTATGTGAGCAATGGGACTTTACGTTTAAATCGTCGTCAGTTAGTATACATAAATCTCAAACAGCAAAGTCAAACACTTATTTTCAGACGCGGACTTACAGATTATTCTGTTCGGACTGTGGATTTTGGTGTTCTTGCTCGTCAACGTGCATACTGTCTTCAGCCGTGTCTTCAACTTCGTCTTCTTCCACCTTTAGAATGTCATTGAGCTTTTCAGTGACAGTTTTGTCAGCGTCTGACAATTCATTGAGTTTTGTAGTACCTTCCAGCGCATCTTGAAGCCAAAAGAAGTACTTTTCACCAGATGAAAAGACAAGACAGAAAACACGTCCGTTTTTGGACGATTTTACCTGCACCCACCTGGTCTCACCAGGAATTAAAATTAGCTCAATGGGCTCCAAATTTGCACCTGCAACTTTTTCTTTGGCTTGCCAATGAAAGTCATAGAAGCCTTCGGCCTCTTCTGACGCTTTTACGTTGATTTCGCCCTTCACGGGTTTCGGTGTACAAATTCTAGAGCTCTCGTCAAAGTCGGCGACACCTGCATTGATATGAAGGTTGAATTCAGCCATTGTACCCGATTAATGTGATTCAAATTTCTTTACCAATGCGCCACGAGCAGTTCAAGTAATTTGCCACTTTTGTTCTACACCACTTTTGACCTTTAAGTATCTTCATGAACTAGAGACTTGTACGTGTTACATGATCTTTAGCAGCGCGAGACTGACAGTGTTAGTTTACGCTGTTATGCTGATCATTAACAACATAGCAGACACGTCTCAAAAGCCTGCACATGAACCTGTCGGCTGTAATTGGTTTTGAAGGAATTCTTTTCCGTGCCTTTTGCTATGATTCTTGTATACTAAGTTGACGAAAGAACTCTTTTGAGAAGAGGCGTACAATAGATCTAGGCGGTGCTAGAATAAACCGCACCGCTTCTTTGTGATCATTCTTCTAAATAGGTACATGCGGCAACTATAATCACTAATTTTTGTAAACTGTAATAACCTCCTTGACCATGGAATAATACTAGCCTTGCTGAAAAGGATAATCGAAAGTTCATGAAGTGAACTTGCTTTAATTGACGAGAAAATCCTTGTCGTTTATTCTTATCAGCCACTAGATATTATTTTGGCAATTATAAAATGGAATTAAATTGGATTAAGGTGTGCTACATATCCAACCGTACTTCATTTAGGTGTCTCGCTACTGCTACAATGTCAGTTTTCTGTAATTACTCGCCAGTTCAATATAACGAAAGAAACGGCTAATGTACGCATTGGTTTGAGAAGAAATGGACGGACGAATCAAAGGTTGTCTCTGTTTTGCAAAGCTACTCATACAATGCTTGTAATTTGCACAAAATTCTTAAAATTTCAGATGATCTTGATGAGGTCTTTCTTCACTGTTGTTTTCCATATCATCCTAGACCTCTCAAACTCGGTAGCAATTACTTATCGAACTTCAACATGAAGTATAGACAATAAACAAGAGGGGTTAATCGGCATTGGAGCATGTTTCACAAATGGCTATTCAAACTTATAAACAACTGTAAAGGTCCTCTTTGACATCTGCCAGGATCCATCTTGTCTTTCAAGTGACAATAATTGCCTTACGAGAAATTGACCTTGCAGGAAAAAAAAAAGGTTCATCCCATTGAGTGTCCCTCGCAAAGAAACAAGCATGGAGTCCGGTTTCCCGCCAAACAGGGCCCATGAGATTGTCCACAAAATATCTCAGCTTCTCGAGAAACGCAACGAAACAATTGCGGTAAGTGAAGCCGCATGCGGAGGTCTAATGTCGAGTTACCTGGTGTCGGTGCCGGGCGCATCCTCGTGGTTCCATGGAGGAACCACGGTATACAGTCTTAAAAGTAGACTCAAACTAAGCGGATGGAGCGAAGAAGATATTCAGAACTACACGGGTCCTAGTGTGGAAGTCGCATTAAGATTGGCGAGAAATCTCAAATTTGAACTGGGCGCAACTTACACGTTATCGGAAACGGGCTTCGCTTCGGATTCCTCACGGTTTGTACCGAAAAGCAAAACGCAATCTGTTGGCACTGTTTATTTGGGTTTGTCGGGACCCTCGAGAGACCTCTCCGAAGTGTTCAATAGCGGCAGCACCAACAGATGCCACAATATGCAAGAGTTTGCCATCCACGGCTTAGAATTCCTACTGAAAGAGATAGAGCACGTAGACCGAGCTTCACAGCCCTCCAGCAGCGAAGAAGAATTCGAACCCGAACTCGTCTCGAAAAAACAGAAGCTGCCTAAAAAATGAGAGATTACCAGAGGAAAAGGTGGTGCCAACTCTAACCGCCAGCCCCGTCAGTCTATTACAAAAATTAACTCAGCAATAGGTGACATGACCAGTTATCACCACCACCACATACGCTTCGTGACGTTCACAGGCTAGAACCGTTGACTTCTGCAGAGTCACGTGAATTTATCTCGTATTCTTGACCAACCGTTCAGACGGAAAAGTGAACCTTACATCAAACCGAAAAATTATCATAGATATATTAGTTAGCCGTAAACGGGTGCTCACAGCTCTGACCTACAAAGCCTTGCGAAGCATTGCGAAGCGTAGCAAAGCCTAAGAATAGCCTGGATGCTGGAGTCTGTAACCTGGGTCCCTACGGATGGGTTGATTCATGGTAGAATCACACACAAGTTTCTGCCACTCAAAAAACATCCAAAGATTGGTCTTTACAATGACTGCTACGCAAACCTTTACCCTGGTGACGAAGTATACGTTTTCGAAGAGACCAAGGACGGTAAATGGTGCAGAGGTTACATATTGTGGCAGCCTTTGCCGGAGGATTTTATCAGTTCATTGGGATCTTATTGTGAAAAACTACCAGGACAGAAAGTGAAAAGGGCCATTTTCCCGAGACGTGTCAGCAGGCTGTACTACAATGAGCAAGTGACGAATTTCCCCTTTTTAAGCAACCCGCAGCAGAGCCAGTTCGAAAAAATGAACCATAACAAGGAACTCCCTTGCTTGTACCAAATGACAGGAGAGTGGTCAAAGGACGATGCTATGGAGTTTAGTGGTTCCATCTCGAAAAAAATTTGTCCCCCGTTCCCGTATTTCCGACTCAAGGATCAGGATTTTATCAGAGAAATGGCACCCATGTTGTCCCAGCTTGTGTCTCATGTTTTCTCGATGTATTCCTTCGGGGCCTTTGAAACCGCGGATAGTCTGTCCCAACTGTACCACGAGCTAGATGACATTAGAATCAAACTCGAGTTCCGTTTGACTACAAAGTTTGAGTACGAGGAACTTCTGAAAGAAGCGAGCTCCCTTACGTACAAGATCGCCAAGTTTATCTCGAATCGTGGAATGAGAAATTTCTTCATCACAGAGTCTTCGACGATCGTTGATTCATCTGGTTATGGCAGTATTTTGTGCAGAGACTTGGACACCGGCGAATTGTACAAATACGAGGACACACCACCACTTCTCTTGGCAAATGTTACCATGCTGTGCTCCCTGGCCACCAATTTTCCAAGTGCCAGTCGCTATAGGCTGAAATTGGCACCTCCAAAAAATACCAACTACGACTCTTTGGAGCGAACAAGCTTACTAGTCGATTTCAAAGACGCCATCAGTGATCCCACTGTAAATCCAAATTTCCAAAGGCTCTCAGCAGTCATGTATCTAAGGACTCCAAAAAAAATCCTCACAGAGCCATTTGTCTTGAACATGGACCGAGACGAAGTTGTGTCAGTTGAAAATATATCTGCCGCACTTTTTAACGATATTCCTGTGGTTGAAGTTGATCGTAGTAAAATTTATCTTGTTGTGGTTTTAAAAGAGACAATTAAAGTTGAGCTAGTCTCAAACAACTCTAAAGATGTTAAAAAGACTTTTATTCCCTTCCAGGCAAGTTCTGAAACTAGGCTACCACATATCAACAGGGGCTTGGCTGCCGGTGTTGTTGATGTTAGCCGTATTTTTACGAGAAAAATGAACGGATTAGCTGCTAAATCTTGTGATTTTCAAGTCGAGTTATATGGCTCGCATTATTCGAAAGCGTCGCAGCCCTCTGCAGTGCCTTCTCTTTTGAACATAGCGCAAGGGGGTTATGGAAATGGACGCAAGGGAGGTGACAATCAAGGATGGGGTGAATTGATAGATCGAATCATCAACAATTCTAACAAGGGTGTTGCGGTAAATCCCAGAGCATTATCATTATCTGTTACGGTAAGGGAAGTTTTAGGCGACGCTGCCTCCTCCAAGCTGTTAAAAAATAACCTATCGGCGATTCAGAGCATATCAACCGCTTTTTTTGACACACAAGCTGAACCTGATGATAGGATCTACTTGACCTTGAAAAAGGTGTCGATAAGCAACATCAACGCTTTGGAAACAAATGTCGATAGTATTTCAATACAAATTTCATCCGCAAACGACAAAGTTACTTTTAGACGAGGGGCGACAGATAAGCCTCACAGACGTTGGCTTTTTGTGTCTGTAAGACCCGGAGAAAGCGTTGGTGAAATGATCAGGGTTGATGGTTTAGAAGATATGGTCAACGATGAAACGTTGAGAATCTCCGCGTACTTAAATGGTCTGCTTTTGGCTAAATCGAAGTTCTGCATCAAAAAGAACGAAAACTTTATTGACTATCCCGCGAAGACCGTTTTTCAACTTATATCATCTCAAGGTGAGCCATTGGTTGACCTTGAGCTGTCTACGGAATACGTTGGAAAATCTTTTAACGTTGATCATACCATTAGGGAATTTTTAAAACTTTCAAGGGAGTCCTTTACTTCCGACGATGAATTTGAAAGTACTTGTGAGAAATTGATGTCTAAATTGAAGTCTTTATCTCATTCCCAATTAACGCAAAACTTTGATGCTATTTTAACCAAAATTTTGAACGTCAACTTCTATGCAAGCGGCTTGAGTTTATCTCAAAGTTTTAAAGACTCTGCTTTCTTTTCGTTAATCCATTTCTTTGATATGATTATTGCAAGACAAGAGAGTTACAGGCACCTCTTCCACGATTTCGTGAGAAACAATGAAAGGAAATTCACCATTCCATTCATTGGTCCCTATATTCTCTCTTTTGCTTCAAGGCTGTTTGCCAATTCTGCAGAAGAATGGAGTCAGCACGGTCGTGCGCTTTGTCGTGTTTGTGTTTTCATTTTGAAACTTTCCATTTTTGCCGCATCTGAACAAAGTATCGAACTCCTTCAAGCTATCGACCAGTTTTTCAAAGGGATAGCTTACTTCTTCTCCTGCACGAAAGAATCTTTTCTCGTTGATCAGGTTTTGATCCTCGATGGATTTGACGTGCTCCTCCTATCAATTTCGAAAATTATTGACTCAAAGAAGCTAATCGAATATGCCTGTATCTTTTTCCAGGCTTGTCACGACAAAGAGCGCTCTTTGGGAATGTTTAGGAGAAGTATCTCTGCCAAGGAACAGAAATTTGTTGCTTATAAACTAATTTTACTTCGTCGTCTCCTTACTGACTCCGAGCTTGAATTTATGACGGAGACTGCTAATAGCGAGGACGAAAAAGTCCAATTTGTCTCGAAAATAGTCGAGTGGTCGTTTGAGCCTTTTTTCAGCTACAACGGAGAAAGCTTGGATTTGCCCACTATTAGGCTGGCAAATGGAGTGCTTATCACAGTCATTCAAAAGTCAGGTGGGTTGGTGTGCAGGAATTTGATCAGGCTTCTTCCAACTCTTTGCAGATTTCTCATTTTGGTGAGAAAGTTCTGCAAAGAAAAAGAGCTCTTCAAAGCGAAAAGAACATTTACCAAGCTTTTCCCAGTCAATTTTCCCTTCGATGAAATCACCGTTGACTCCATAGTTCAAGAGGAAACTGTAGTAGAGGTTTTGATAGAGCTCGCCACAATTATTGCGAACGTTACTAAAATAGCGGAGGGCAGCAAAGGAGAGCTGATCACATTCAAGCAAGTAATGAGTCAATGCGCCAATGACGCTCATTTTAAATCTGTGTTTTACATTAGCCGATTTGCTAGGGAAGACTTACTCACCATAATACACACTGTTAAACTCATTTTGAAGGGCCGGTTTTTCCCATCCAAGAAATGGGTCACTTTGAATGAGCTTTTCATGCGGAGTTCACTCAACCTTTTAGCCATGTGCAAAGACATAATGATCGAGTCCTACATTCCGCCACCAGGTGCTTTTGGCGAGTTTGACGTTAAACTGTGGTGCGAGTACACCAGGACCGCTTTAGTCCTTGGCAATCACATCCCCCACAATCCTCTTTCTCTGGCCGAATTGCCCCGCAAGGCAATACACTATATGGCCGGTAACTTTAGACTCCTTGCTTGTTCAATCATCGAGGACTGTTGGGATGCTTTGGGAGCTGACACCTCAGAAACGGAGATATTTGATAGATTTGGCTTGACAAGAGCCGGCGGATTTCAAAATCTTCTTGTTCGGGCAGAGAAGCTGTTTGTGAGAGATATAATGGAATTCGTGTTTCAAAACCATACCGATGCCCGCAGAGTAGGTGCCAAATTGATTTTCGGATTGACGGTTAATTGCTGGATGGCTTTTGGTACTCTTGAACCCGTTATGGCTCTGACAACGTCGGAGGTTTGTTTTGCCTACCAATCTGGGAAATTTGTCCCTACTTATTACGGTACTGAGAATTACCTAAAATCGTTACTCTTCACTGTCCATCTGAGAAGGGATGATCCACTTTTGGATTCGCTTATGAAAGTTCTTCGGTTGGCTCGCGATTTGCTGTTTATCCTAGCAGAATCAAGTGAAATCCCCGATGATAAAGAGTTTGATGATGACAGAACAGCCCATCAGATAGCTGTTTTTGGATATCTGCTCAAAATCAATAAACCCGAGGAATTCCACAGACTTGTCAACGATCTTTTCGTTTTTAACATCAGAAAGAAAGATTATGTTCAAGCCGCTCTGTGTCTCGAACTTTTGGCAAGAACTTATAACTGGAACCCCAATGATACATTGCCGTCAACATCTTATCCTCCTTTACCGGAGCAATCTTCTTTTGAAAGAAGAGAGTACTTATACAAAGAGGCAGCCAGGAATTTTTACAGGGGATTGAAGCTAGAAAAAGCTTTATCGATCTACAAAGAGCTGGCGCAAGCTTACGAAAAGATCAACTACGATCTTAATGGACTAGCTTTGGTTCATGGTCAAATTTCTCGACTCTACACGGATCTACAAACTGTTGATAGACTTGTTCCAACTTACTTCAAGGTTACATTAGCAGGGTTCGGATTTCCCAGCTCATTGAGAGACAAATCTTTCATCTACGAAGGTCTACCTTTTGAACATATTTCATCGATGCAGCACAGAATATCCGTTAGTCACCCAGGGTCTAGGCTCATTAAAACACAGGAAGAAATGGATAGTTTACGTGTTAATCCGGCGATGGGTAAATTTATCTATATCATAGCTGTTGAGCCTAGAGTTGAAATTTCTGATGAATTCACCAGCAACGGTAAGAAAAACAGTGCCAATAACAAAATCAGAATGTATGTGGAAAACAGAGATTTGAACACCTTCTGTAGCTTTCGCATGCTTTCTGGCGCAAGTAACGCAACCGACCTGTGGGTTAAGGAAGTTACGTTCGAAACCGCTTCAACGTTCCCCACGATGATGAATAGATCAGAAGTTAAAAAGATTAGTGAAAGAACCTTGTCGCCGGTTCAAAACGCTATTCGTTCGATGCAACTGAAAATTCAGGACTTGGCAGGTCTTGAAGATACGTGCATCAAACTTTTGAAAGAAAATGGAGATTATGCTAGTGCTTTTGCTGAACTATCAAGAAACATCAGTGGAACTATTGACGCTCCCGTAAATGGCGGTGTGGCTCAATACAGAGACTTTTTCAGCTTGGAAAACACCAAAGATGTGAAGACTAGTGAGCTGAACTTGTTACAGTCCACTTTCGATGAGCTTGCGGTTGTTCTGAATGGCTGTTTGGTTCTTCACGGACGCATGTGTCAAAAACGTCTGCAGAAGTCGCACGACATGTTAGTAGACCTTTTTCAAAAGAATTTTAATGACGAAATTGACAGAAACAGTATAACTGTAGGAGAAACCGATCACGAGTTGATCAGTCGCGTCACTACAGGAACTACATCCAATTCCCAGGCTCCACTAGACAATCAGGATATGATATCTGCGCCAAAGGCTCCATTTTCAAGTACCGCTTCTGTGCATTCCGCCGAAAGCTCCACAAGCAAGGCCAGCTCTGAACGTGCTGCTTCCACAGTTGTGTCTCAGCAATCAAGCAACACCAACGCGTCTACGCGAAATTCAACTCATTCCTCAAAAATGAGCATCTTCAGGAAGCCGCTGAACAACAAATTTCTGAAATCTGCTAAATCCAAAGCTTCCTCGAAATGAAGAGCTCAATTTCGATTTCACCAAAAAAGGAAGGCAAAAGATCATTTGACTTTAAGTCGGAAACCAAACCAATAGAAACGCTGAAAATCTCATGTCCATATAATTATTGTCAGTTTCGTTTGTATAGTAAGCTATTGCAACTTATCTTGGAAGAAGATTCACGTTAAATTTGTATATAACTTTGCACGGGGGAATTCACCAAAAATTTTCATCGAATCTAGTTATTGGTTTAGGCACTACTAGTCGCACAAGATAGAGCAAGGACTATTCTCTAGTGACCGATATAAGCAGAGACGATAACAAGTTATAATGTTCAGACCTATTTTCCGCGGAGTTCCAAAGATTTCGAGATCGATCATAGCCCAAAGTTCGATTAGCACTCGAATTGCAGCTCCCAGGGTGTCTACCCTTCGTTTTTACTCATCATCCCTAAACAAGGATGAAATTTCCAAGAGGGTTATTGAAGTTGTGAAAGCTTTTGACAAGACCACAGCTGCTGCAAATGTGACCAGTAGCTCCTCCTTTTCCAAGGACTTGGGTCTAGATTCTCTGGACACCGTAGAACTTCTGGTGGCAATTGAAGAAGAGTTTGATATTGAGATTCCAGACAAGATTGCTGACGAAATCAAGAGTGTGCAAGAAGCAGTTGATTACATTGCCTCCAATCCGGAATCAAACTAAGCGCGCCAGCCCCGTGCTACTGAAATGATGACTAAAAGCGCGCTCACTGGCGTCTTTTCAGACTCTTATTTGGAGCTCAAATGTACCCATTCTTGTATATGTATATAAATTGGCAACCTCTGGCCTGGAAGTGAGGAAGAATGAAGTTTATGCATACCTTCAAGTCAATTTACGATCTCATAGGATTAGAAAGCCCGGAGTCTCCAGAAAGAGGTTGATCAGCAAATTGAAAACTATATGTAAAACCAGGAACTGCGAAAAAGACTAATGGAAGCTCTCGGGCAATCAAGAGGACTTAACTATTCGCGAGCGACGGATTTGTACCATTTTGACTAATTATCCCGACTTCCCCGTCAGGAACGAGGAGGCCTCTTCACTCAAGTTCCCTTATAACTCAAAAGGTGGTAATTACATCTACTAAAACCGACACGCCTCATATCCAATCAAGTTTCAGCGAAGATGACTGACAAGCAGTTTGCAGAGGGTGATAACAATCAACAGAATGTGGAACGTACAAATTTGATAGCCAATGGCGAAAATCATCCGATAGTCCAGGCAGATGCCATCCCAGATTCAAATATTGAATACATCAGTCCCGATGCCGAGCTTACCAAGGAGCTACCAGTAGATATAGAACGCATGGATTTAGTACATTTGAGAATTAGATCTATGGAGGATCTGGATCTATACCGTTTTACAAAGCTCAAAGAACTATGCCTGAGGCAGAATTTGATAGAAAGCATGTCAGAAGTGGACGTGCTACCCGCTTGCATTGAAGACATTGATCTATATGACAACAAGATCAAGCATATCTCGAGCAATGTTAATAAGTTAACCAATTTGACGAATTTGGATCTTTCTTTCAATAAGATTAAACACATTAAGAATTTGGAGCGGCTGGTCAAACTCGAGAATTTGTATTTTGTGCAAAACAAGATATCAAAGATTGAGAACCTTGGCACACTAACGAAACTTAAAAATTTAGAATTAGGCGGAAACAAGATCGAAACGATTGGACCCAACTCTTTTGAAGGTCTTGGGAATTTACAGGAAATTTGGCTTGGGAAAAACTCGATTTCTCGGCTCAACAATCTTCAGCATCTCAAGAGCTTGCGGATTCTCTCAATTCAGTCTAATAGACTGAAAACCATTGAAGGTCTCGAAACTTTAGAGAACTTGGAAGAGCTGTATTTGTCTCACAATTTCATCAGAAAAATCGAAGGTCTAGAAAAGAATCGAAAGCTTACAACCTTGGACATTACATCAAATAAGTTGACCAAAGTCGAAAATTTAAAGCACCTAACGAATTTAACCGATCTCTGGCTATCATTCAATCAAATTGACCAGTCGTTCGAATCACTTGGCGAAGAGCTTCGAGAATTGCCAATGTTCGAAACCATTTATTTGGAAGGTAATCCCATTCAGACTCAGAATGAAACGGCTTATCGTCGGAAGCTCGTACTCAACCTGGGCCCCAGCTTACAAAAAATCGATGCTACGTATATCAGAGGCTAGGAAAGGGCATGATAAAATACCTGGTCATATGTCCCATTTTTATACGGTTTTAAAATGTCTGATATCCTTGAAACGGAGACATTTGAAAAGTGTCATGCTCCACTGTTTTTGTAATGCAATTCAGCAGGAATACCGCCAAGACCTGCATACATTCGAAAGTAAAATTTGTGTATTCCAATGCTTGATTCGAACCAATAATAGCAGCAATACTTATGCTATTAGCAACAGAATAAACGTTTTCAAGTTACTATTTCCATTCTTTTCAATCTCGAGCTACTTTTCGCTAATTGAAGTGATCATCAAATCATGGCTGCATACGAAACAAGATCATGCAACTAATTTGTAGAAAAGAATATCTCGCTTTAATGAAATAATCAGCAATTAAGAACTTATGGCAGCTACTGCAACGCTAGTTGGGGCTTTGGCTTGCCAAAGAAACTCTTTCCTAGCTGAAGGCTTCGAGACGACGGTCTTAAAATGCGAGAAAACCAAGGAAGACAAGATCTTCGAAGTGCAACTACAGGACACGATATTATTCCCTGAGGGTGGTGGTCAGCCAAGCGATCTTGGAGAGCTAGTTGTGGACTCAAATGATCGAAAGGTTTCTGTTTTTGGTGTCGAAAGGAGAGGTTTGCAAGCCATTCATCGAGTCAATGAATTTGTCGAACCCGGTACTTCCGTCAAGGTTACCGTTGATTGGCAAAGAAGATTTGATTTTATGCAGCAGCACACGGGACAGCACTTAGTCAGTGCCATTTTAGATCAGTGGGAGCTTCCAACGCTTTCTTGGTGCATGGGAGGAGTCCCAACATACAAAAACCCGACTCCTGGACCAACCGAATTATTTAACTACATCGAAATTGGGAGGAAATTGACTGCTGACGAAATTTCTAAACTGTCGCACATTTGCCATGAACACATTACTGTCAACCCGCAAAAGGTGACAGTTGTCGAGAATCAGAAAGACGACGAGGCCTGTGAGAATGATCAGGCAGATATAAATATGTCCAAAATTCCTGATGATTACGATGTCGCTAAGGGCGTGGTGCGGACAATCCATATCGGAGATATGGACGCAAATCCCTGCTGCGGGACTCATCTGACCTCCACTGCCCAGATTGGTTCGATATTCATTTCTCCTAATCAAGGCGCAGTGAGGGGAACAAACTCCAGGATTTATTTCATGTGTGGCTATCGAGTGCTCAAATACACCACTTTTGCAAATGCATTATTAGGTCAGATGAAGTCCTTGTTATCATGCTCAGAACCTACTATTGTCGAAAAAGTAAGCTACCAGCTAGAGTCTGCCCAAAAAACCACTAAACGTGAGCAATACTGGAAGAAAAAAATTGCTACTGTCGACGCTTCAACTGCTTTCAATGCTCTGAAGGAGCATGGGAAATGCTATTACTCACAAGATGAGTTTGGGTCCCTGGACTATCTCACATTGGTGCATAAAGAAATAGAATCGAAAATTACCCATTCAAAATTAAGAGACTACGTCGCTGTCATTAGCGGAAGGGAAAAGGCTACAAATTCTGGTGCTCTAATCGTAGTTTCAGATAGCGCTGACAAAATTGCCTCAGTGACTTCGAAACTCCAAGAAATTTGCCCAACTTTGAAAGGTGGTGGTGGTAAGAAAGGTGGAAAATGGCAAGGTAAAGTGGTCTCGTTTAAGGGCCAAATTTGGGAGAATTTAAACGACTATCTTTCTGAGAATTTTAAAAAAGTTGCTTAGCTTATGAGCGAATTGTCTTGCTCTATGTGAAGACTTTGTATCTATTAGGCATATAGTGATTGAAGTTCAGATAGATCAGCCCTTCGTTCAGAAAGACATCAACAGACTCGCAGAGACAATAATATATGTACACCAACCTTCAAGTACACATTCAAAAGACTTTGACCACTAAGTAATCCTTGCTTATCACCAATGGTTCCCAAAAATGTCTTGGCTAAGACGGCTGCTCGAATAAAGTGTCAAAAGTTTCCTTTTAGCACCAAAAACGCCAAAGAAACAATCGCTGCGACATCTCACGATGTATCAACGAAGCAGCAACTATTCATAACTGATCCCATATCACCTGGCTCAATCTTTTTCCTTCCTAACGGTACGAGAATCGTCAACAAATTGGTCAATTTCATGAAGCTCCAGCAGCAGTACAAATATGGTTTCCAGGAAGTCATCACGCCTTTGATCTACCGTAAATCTCTGTGGGAACAATCTGGACATTGGGAAAACTATAAAGATGACATGTTTCGGGTCGAAGGTAATGACTTAGAAAAAGAACAGTACGGGCTAAAGCCAATGAATTGTCCAGGACATTGTGTGATCTTTGGCAGAAGTAGCAGGTCCTACAATGATCTACCACTTCGTTTTTCCGACTATTCGCCTCTGCACCGAAACGAAGCATCTGGGGCCCTCACAGGCTTAACCAGAGTAAGAAAATTTCATCAGGATGATGGCCATATTTTTTGTACTTCTGACCAAGTCAGGAATGAAATTAAAAGTTGCATAGAATTGATAGATCTTTGTTATGGGAAAGTTTTCCCACTGGGCCAAAATGGTACCCCAACAGAATATGAATTGCGCCTATCAACCAGGCCTGACAAATCCATTGGGTCCCTTGACGATTGGAATCATGCTGAAACGGTTTTAAAAGATATAATCGTGGAATCTGGGAAAAAATGGTCTTTGAATGAAGGTGATGGGGCCTTTTACGGGCCCAAGATAGATATAATATTGAATGATCATGCTGGAAAGTCTCATCAGGTCGCCACTATACAGCTGGACTTTCAACTTCCAGAGAGATTTGATCTAAAGTACAAGGACAAAGACAACAAATTCAAAAGGCCAATAATGATTCATAGAGCTGTATTTGGGTCCATTGAAAGGTTTTTGGCACTTCTTATTGATTCTAACCAAGGAAAATGGCCTTTTTGGTTAAATCCATATCAATGCATGATAATTCCTCTAAACACGAAGGACCCAGAACTGGTACAAGCTTCTAAGACGCTCCAAAAAGTTTTGAGAGCTGAGTCAGATCGTGATCAAAGTCCCGTGCCGCTACATTCAATGCATTTTAACGTAGATGTGGATTGCCGCGCAGAGCCAGTTAATTATAGGATCAAAGATGCAATAACGAAACAGTACTCCTATCTGATCATGGTCGGCGCTAAAGAAATTGAAAGTGGCAGATTTGCTATCAGGTCTCGCGAGTCTCGTGAAGTGAAGCATTCGACCACCAAGGAGATTGTGAAAATATTCTCCGATCTGGAGAAGAACTACCAATAGGTTACCGGCAACTTTCTTAATTTCCTTACTCTTGTAAATACTTGTCATAGTCCCGCACTTCATAGTGCATGGAATATAGTGGTTTCATATCATCTATCTTGTCTTGCCATATGGTTTCTGGCAAGTATTGGCCATTTTCAGACAGGAAAGTTTGACGGGCATTGATGTCTTTAGCATTCACCTCTTGAAGAGCATCCTCGCATGACTTAAGAATCTTAGACAATTTGTGTGAAACTTGTTTCCGACGATTTACCTCGTTCAAGAGATTCGCGTAACTTTTCTCGAATTTATCATAAAATGTATTCAACTCTATAACTTGCTGAAGTTCTTCCATGCAAGTATCTTTGAATCGTTGCACTAAATCCGAAATACCTTTGAAAACGGACAAGTATTCTTCGTGTTTGCGTGACTCTTGAAAAAGCTTTGATGTAGAGGTCATTAACCTATGCCGACCTTCCTCCCTCTCTTGTAAAATTGACATAATCTCATCATACAGACTGCTTACTTCGCTAGCAGTCTCTTCTAGAAGTTCGTATATGGACGCCAACTCGCTGTCGTCCCTTTTCACTATTTCAAAAAGAGCTATACTGTCAACAGCAGGTAAATCCTCGCAAAGTAAATTGCATTTGTCGAAATGATCTGTAAAAGAGTTCAGGAAACTAACAAGTTCCTTCTCCATTCGTTCTTTTTCGTCCGGAAACGCATGATCTAGAGTAGCTGAATTTTTAGACTCTGCACTGTAGCAAACATTAAAATCCCCGATTGTTCCCCTTACTTTTGTATCCAACAGCTGATTTCTGACTTTATGGACCATTAAGTCGTACTGTTTTCGTATATTTTCGACCTGTGCCTTAATGACCGGGATTTCACTGAGTTTATCCCTTAGCATGCCATTACTCTCCTGTGCGACGTAATCACCCAGAAATGATTTACCACCAGCAAGAACATTTGGCACTTTCCCTAAATGCTCAATTTTCTTGTATATGGCATTATGCCAAAATTCCATTTCTTGAACTAAATCTCCAAGCACATTCTCACACCATTCATGCTCTATGAGATTTTCCCCAATTTCTTTAACCAAAATATTGTTCAGCAAAAATTCCACTTGGCATTTGATTCCCGTAATGATAAATTGCAGTTTCGTTCGGTGCTTCTGTTCATTCTGAATTTTCAACTTTAAGTTCATTAATTTCGTGTCTGATTGCTGACAGAGTTCCTGCGCATCGGTCAGAAAATTTCTGGCATTTTGTCTAAGCGCTTCAATCTCGCTGGTGTTCATTCCATTAGTTTCTTTCAAATCCGAGGAATTCTTGTTGTTATCTCAACAATTCTCGTGTTAGACTTGATGTAGTCTTGATATCTAAAAGTTCCCACCCTTTAATAAATTCAAGAACACTACCATACAGTTGAAAAAGATGAACTTAAGATGGAAAAGGGACGTTCACAAGCTGATGGAAGCTCACAAAAGCGCAGGCGTAAGGACAATGCTACTGAGATAAACAGTAGTAAAAATGCGCCGTTACTATTTCAAAAGTCCACTGATGACGAGAGTTCGAACCTGTCGAAGATGAACAATGAGGTAATGATGATAGACGACAATGCCCCAAAGACAACTTCAAAGGCAGGTGAAGCGCATGCTTCGCCCTCCATGATGCAGAAATATGGTGTAGGTGCCAAATTGCTTGCTAAAATGGGTTACGTGGCAGGACGCGGTTTAGGTTCAGAGGGGAAAGGAATTGTTAATCCTATTCAAGCTAAAATAAGGCCACATGGATCGGGATTAGGATTGCTGAGTGATCTTGGCTCTAGGGAGCAGGACGATTATGCAAGTTCTGATGACGACGTTGCGGTGAAAAATCAAATAGAATTCAAAGCGGGTCAAGTATTGTCGGAGAGTTCATATATTTCGGAAAAGATTGAGAAGTTGAAGGATCTTGGCTTGAATGACTATTCAGCTAGATTACAGAGTTTTCTTGCGACCGCTACAAAATCAAAAATGCACCTTTCGGCATTAAAGAATCTTCTGGATGATATAATTGACATAAGCGAAAATCTGGGAAATCTAGATATCAGAATTTCAGCACTTATTGAGCAAGAATTGGCTACAAAGTTGGCCTCTAATGAGTTGCGACTAGCGTCCAAGTGCATTACAGCGGTAGACATGCCGTTGGACAACCGTCTAGAGATTGCGCTTGGGATTAGAGACCATGATCTTGCAGATAAGGCTCTGAGCTGTCTTTTGGCAGCTGAGGTGTCCAAAAACTCGTCAATGGATCTTCTGGATACAAATAACTTCCTCTTGGCCTCGGTAGTGCCCGTACTACAACGTTTCCCCTCAGGAACAACCTATTCCGAGAAAGGGCTCAATTGTAGCCAGTCTGTTCTCTACGATTTTTTTGCCAGCAAAATAGTGCCATGTCTAGAAGGTTTTCAAATTTCAAGAGAGAGCGTTGATATGGTTTCTTCCATTTTTCTCGAATACGATCCCTTGCTTTCATACTTGCACTGCAGGGATTTTTTGGCAGAGATGTATCTCGCTCGGAAGCTCTCTGCCTCATTGGAAACGTGGAGCATTTCAGTCAAAAGCCCAACCTGCCCAATAAACTGGTTTTTCCAATTTGAGTGTTTTTTACCTCGCAACATTGTTAGCGTTTTACTAGTAATGATAGAGGGGAAATTGAAATCTTTCTGTTATAACTGGTATCACAGAGAAAGCTCATTTGAGGTCACAGATATCATTTTCATCAGGGAAGCTCTTGGGGAGAAAACCTTCTACTCGGTGCTCGAAACCTCATTTCTGCCTAAATTCGTCACGCAGCTCTGGGACCGATATTTCGATCCTTTAATTGAACTTGAAAATCATAAAGAGAAGGAATACAGCTTTTACTTCTTTAAAAAACTCAAGGAATACCGTCTTTTCTTTAGCGACAAAGTTTACGAGATTATCACGGCAAGTATTTTTAATGAAATTAACAAAGTACTTTATGAGTGGCGCCTTTTTTCGTACCAGAATTTTAGCGAGGAGGCATCTAACTGGTTTCGTTGGTTTATCAATCTTGCATACCAAAGCATCGAGTCATTGGAGGCAAAACAAATTCATGCATCTCTTTCATTTATCGAATTCCGAGACTCAGCTCCTCTTCATAACGAATGCTATTCAATTCGAGATTCTCTTGGCTTGGCGAAAAATGAAGAGAAGCTTACAGTTCAGAACATTCCATCAAATAAAATTTCTGTCACCTTCAAGGACGTTGTGCAGGAATTTTGTGACGAGCATGGTCTTCTTTTACAAAAACTCGAGGGAAAATTTACAGATCTTCCCATTCGGCAGCTGGGTGCACCTAGTGGAGAAGCAGTGGTTCCTTTATTCAAAATTATTTCACCCACTAAGATTCGGGAAGTGGCGCTCAGAGGCGACGTAATTTGGATGAAATTGGATGGAGTTTTCCGCCCCGTGTTCCTTTGGGAGTTAAAAGCGCTATTGGCTGTGAAAGTGTGAAAAATCATAAAGGCATTCCTACTGTATTTACAAGATTTATTCTAATTCGCATAATGACCTTTTTACATATGGCCTTTTTCCTTTGGTCCATTATTTGTCAGAGGTTGAATGACACTCGTGTTCCTCAGCGACAGGTTCCAAGACTGCATGCTCTTGAGACACGGTAGTCGACAGCTCTGGCGGCGTCTTTTGAGCCTCCGGTTGCATTTCTTCTTGACTATGCTTGGACTCCATTTCTGCTGTTGCCTGTGCAGCTTCTTCTTCGTCTTTGATTTGTTCAGCGTAGTAGTCAGGATAGCGTCTGAAACAGTCCTGCATGCCTTTAAACTTTTCAACACAGTCGATTCCCTTTGGATCAGCCTCAGAGTACACGAAACAAGAGAATGCGAGCTTAAACTCTTCTCCGCAGGGCCCGTTGGCCATACCGCCAAGACAAGGACAGTCCCAGTTTATTTCACCCGTTTCTGGATTGTAGGCACTTTGGGGTTCGTCTTCGTTTTCACCTTCTGGCTTTTCACCAGTTTCCTCGTTGTTGCCCGGGGTCTTCTCTGACTTCTCTGACCTCTCCGACTTCTCTGACGCTGGAACACCCTCAATTTGACCAGTCTTGGTCTTCTTGGTCTCCAAATTCACAGATCCATGGTTCAAAACGCAGAAACCGCCTACAGCTCCAACAGCTGCCACGATACCAACAAACTTCTTTGCCATCGGAGGCCTGAAAACGTTCGAAGACCGAGAAGCAAACCGCTGTGATGATCTCAAAATCGTTCTGGAAGTAGCAAAATGCTGTTGAGCCCTAATCAAAGTGCGAAACATGATAGATTAACAACCTAATAACGTCCTTATTCGCCTTGATTTATAACAGCTGTTCGGTAGAAGGGTGTTACACCTAAGCTTATTCGATGGTTTGTCATTTTTTCATATAGCCCTTCTCAAAAATTTAAGACTGCTGAAAAACACGATACTCGTTTTAGCATCACTACACTCATCTAGAGACTCTAGCATTACTTGGGTGAGCTAAGGGGACTCAGAACTCGAGAAATGAAAATTTATTATATTGGAATTTTAAGAAACACAACTGACAAAGCCCTAGAGCTGTGCTCTGTCAAAGATTTGTCGCAATTTGGGTTTTTTGAAAGGAACGGGGTGGCACAGTTTATGACCTTCTTTTCAGAGACTGTGGCGAGTAGAACGGCCGCTGGCAAACGACAGAGCATCGAAGAAGGTAACTACATTGGTCATGTGTATAGCCGGTCCGAAGGTTGCTGTGGAGTTTTGATTACAGACAAAGAATACCCAGTAAGACCTGCATACACATTGCTAAACAAGATTCTAGACGAATATCTGGTGGCACACCCACCTTCAGAATGGAAGGAGATTGCAGAGACAAACGAGTCTTTGAAACTGAAGGAGCTGGACCTCTACATCACTAAATACCAAGACCCGTCCCAAGCGGATTCGATCATGCGTGTGCAACAAGAACTGGACGAAACGAAAATCGTGTTGCACAAGACCATTGAATCTGTGTTGCAGAGGGGTGAAAAGTTGGACAACCTTGTCGACAAGTCCGAGAGCTTGTCCGCTAGTTCTCGCATGTTTTACAAACAGGCGAAGAAAACCAATTCTTGCTGTGCCATCATGTAGCTAAGTGTACCTAATTGATAATTATTTGAGATACTGGTGTTCTATCAGGTACTTTTTGATATCGCTCTGGCACTCTGACATTGTCGTTCAGCCAAGAGGACAAATGCAAACAAAAATTACGACCTCGGTGAGGATTGAACTCACGATCTTGCGATTAACAGTCGCACGCCTTAACCAGCTTGGCCACGAAGTCTGTTTAGGTTCCGAGAAGGTAAACTGGGCTTTATAATGGTCTGCTAGAGAGCTACCCACCGTATGCATATGACAACTTTGAATGTAATACGAGGTCCAAGTTGGTCTACCACTGGCAATGTGAGAATTAGAATATAAGGCGCTGTGCCTTTGGAATTGCTTCATTATGTCAGTCGTAGAATGTTAGAACATTTCTTGTCATCGCGTCGCCTCTTATCCAAGGGATCAATTTTGCCAGAATAAAACTGTCGATGATCCAGGCTACGTATTGGCTATCCGACTGCACCAAAGGAGTACTTCATTTTTACGCACAAAGATCTACGACAAACTAAAACCAGCTCATTGTTGCTTCATAGCCACGCAATTGCTATAAATGTGTATAAGCTCTGAGCGTCTTCTGAACATCGGAAACAGCATCTAGTTTGAAGTCTTTGAAATGATACAGTACTAGCGGAATCACTCCGTAAGGAACTACTAAGGTAGAAAGAGTTCATCATGAGTCACGAACTTGAATAGATGATGATCCCGTAAGTTCTAGAATTGTAACCAGAGAGCTTAATTAACTTTTATTAGGTCATCATTGAAGTATAAATTAGTTAAAGCTGTTTTCAAAGCTGAATGTTCGGAAAAAGACTGGATTTTCCAAATTCGTCTCCCGTGCCGAATCGATGATCATAAATATCATCTAATACGAAAGCATCGATGACCTCTTATAAGCGATATTTCCTGAACAACAAATCCCACGCGACGTGGGATGTGGCTCTCTGACAGACACTGGATCTTAACAATGGGGTAAGATAGACTAGTCATTACTAGAGTACTTGTTGCGAACTCTACCAACAGAGGTACTTCTGATAGTAGCTTGAGCCAATTGAACGCATAGCGCATGTTGTTTAGATCTCAGTCCCGTTTGATGAGGCTTTCGACCAGACTGTCGTTGAAATTTGAACGGCAGTCGGTCAGAAATTTTGGTAGTAGTGCGTATGCGCGCTCCATTGGAGGCCAAAGACGCATGCGCATCTTGGCAGGCGCTATTGCTTTAGGGACAACGGCTTTTTCGATTAACTATTGGGCTGATGCTTCCAAGATAAAAAATAACGAACTCCGGGATTCCGCGAAAGCACCGGTTAGCCCTTTCGAAGTGGTCAAGCACGACAAAGAAAATGACTGCTGGGTTGTGATCAACCAGTATGTCTACGACTTGACTGAGTTCATACCCATGCATCCGGGCGGTCAAGCTATCATCAAAGCTAATGCGGGCAAAGACGTGTCTGCCATTTTCGGTCCACTGCATGCGCCAGACGTCATTGAGAAATATATTGCTGAAGAAAAACGTATCGGGCCACTTGAGGGGCACATGCAACCCAATCACGTATGTACACCTTTAACCCCAGGTGAAACGGCAGACGATGTTGCTAGAAAGGAAGAATTGCGCGGCAGACTTCCAGATCTCGACACTCTTCTCAACTTGTATGACTTCGAGTACTTGGCCTCTCAAATACTCACAAAACAAGCATGGGGATATTACTCGTCGGCCGCTGAGGATGAGTTCACGCACCGTGAAAACCATGCCGCCTATCATCGTATCTTCTTCAAGCCGAGAGTTTTGGTGAATGTCAAAGAAATTGACACAACTACCGAAATGCTCGGCCATAAGGTCTCTGTTCCATTTTATGTTAGTGCTACGGCGCTTGTCAAGCTTGGGAACCCTGAGGAGGGCGAGAAAGATATCGCCCGCGGCTGTGGACAGGGTGAGCTGAAATGTCCTCAGATGATTTCTACGTTTGCTTCTTGTTCGCTGAAAGAAATCATTGAGGCTGCTCCCTCTAAGGATCAAGTTCAATGGCTTCAGCTATATGTTAATACCGATCGAAAGGCCACTGAGAAATTGATTAAAGAAGCCGAAAATTTGGGCGTAAAAGGAATCTTTGTGACCGTCGACGCTCCCTCTCTTGGTCGTCGTGAAAAGGACATGAAGGTCAAATTCCAGTCGCCAAGCTCCCCTGCTAACTCTAAAAAGCCTCGGACCGGCTCTTCGCAAGGTGCTTCTCGCGCTTTATCGACTTTTATCGACCCTTCTCTGAACTGGGATGACATTGCTGAATTAAAACGGAAAACGAATTTACCAATTATAATAAAGGGGGTGCAGCGTGTGGAGGATGTGCTCAAAGCCGCAGAAGTGGGTGTTGACGGCGTTGTATTGTCTAACCACGGCGGCAGACAGCTTGATTTCGCTCGTCCGCCTTTAGAGATTCTTGCAGAAACGATGCCCGCGTTGAAAGAACGCAATCTCGAAGACAAGTTTGAAATCTTCATCGATGGAGGAGTGCGTCGCGGTACTGACGTGCTGAAAGCCCTCTGTTTGGGCGCTAAGGGTGTTGGTCTGGGGAGACCAGCCCTCTATGCGAACAGCACGTATGGCAAAGACGGTGTCCAGAAAATGATCGAGATGCTAACAGATGAAATTGAATATGACATGCGACTTTTGGGCGTAACATCGATCAAAGACCTGGGACCTGATCTTATCGATGTGACAAGTTTATCGAACCGATCTGTAGAGTTCGCCCGCGACAACCTGTACAATGCCGTTTATGAAAAACCAGAGCATGTTGAGTTTAATCCAGTTCCTGAATGAGGAGACTCTTGCCCGGCCGATAAGTATCAACTAAGAGACTTATGCAAGAGTCTTGCAGAAGTCTAACAATATTTTACCTATATTCAATATGTATGTCTTAACAACACCTAAGCACCAGTCAGGGTGAGTGGTGAGCCAAAAACAGATAGCCACCCAGAGGAATTTTGAAAAAACAAGCGATTTCAGAAAAACGATGGTATATAAGCTATTGCGAGTGACTTGAGAAACTGTCTCAAATCTGGATACTTCAGGACTCAGCCTTCAAGTTAAATGGTGAAGTCGATATTATGTGCAAGAAATCTGGATCTTAAAAATTATCTTTCAACATTAATCAATTAAAAAGACCTTATAGAAAGATAGAAACAAAGTGTTCGGTGACTGATACTCATCAATCAATTCAGTTTTGAAAGCAAACACGGGGCTCTCCAAGCGTACCATTTAGAATACCGCTTAAATACACACCGAGTTGCACCCAAATTATGGATCGCAATGACCAGCGATGGCGGGAGAAGGAATTGAGCTTGCCAAAACTCCCGCCGTTATCACCTGGTAATAGGATGCTTCCGAACAACAGTCGCAAAAGCAATGTACCGATAGGATGGACGCCCGTCATGAATTCACCATTGTCACCAAGCGACAGTGAACACAATTCGCCTTCCAGTGGATCTCGCTTTCGCAGCGGGAGGCCGCCGCCACCGCCGCTACTAAGCCAAATTCCGTATCAGCAAGATACCGAAAGGCGGATAAAACCTGACGATCATTCCAAGACAGCTTCCTCGACGCCCTTGAACAGAGCGTCTAGACCATCTTCCAGTTATGCGTCTCCTTTCATTGGTGAAGACGAGCTTCGAATGCATGATTACAGTGCGGCGAGCACTCCCACAAAAATATACAAGTCTCCTTTTATGGGAGACGCTACTGGCGTTTACGTCAAGCGAACCCAAAGCTCAACGTCCACGCCAAAAAGTCGAGATTTCCATGATATGGAAGGCAGCGAGCTTTTCGACTCCAGCCTAGAAGGTCGTAATGAGAGTTTACCCTCAATAACATTCGAAGCTAGAAGCCCTGGCGAGAATCAACCAACATTGAAAGCACTTCCATCTTTGCCGCCCAGAGACAAAGTTGCTTTACCGGGGAAACAATTGCCAATATTGCCCAAACTTCGAACCCTCAATGATTCTAAAGACCCTTTAGCGCTGGAGAGTAGCTTTTACAAGCCTCCTCCTCGTTTGCATTCAGATTTGAGGGGCTCCAGCGACAGCAGGACTGTCTCGGGTAGCATCAGCAGTTATTACTCCAACACAAATTACACTTTCAACGAGGAAGATGGTCGACAAAGTAGTTTCGGTTCCATCGTAGGAGGGAAACCCCTTCAAGAAGCACCTAGCGTGATTTTCCCAACTCAGCCTTTCAGCATAGAATTACTTGATGAAAACAGACTATATCAATGTTACAACGTTTTCTTTTTGTCAGATGTTTATGAATGGTTGTTAAAGGTTTATTTTGAATGGTTCAACGAGTACGTTTTTCACAAAATTGAGTTTTTCCAATTAGTCCAGCTACTTCTGGAGTTTCAGCTTCCTCACTCCTGTGATCAAGATCTTCTTGACTCCAATGTTGATAAGATTATTGAATCACTTGTTTTTCAAGGCGCTGTGCGCTTTCAGCGAGATACTGTAAACCATTCAGACGACGAAATAACTTTCATTGTCGCTGGTCTAAACGTCCAAGGGGTATTTCCCGATCTTTTGCCTTGCTATTCTCCCAATGGAATTCAAATCCATGGGGATCAAGATATGTTGTGCTACTGCCCCAGATGTCCTAAAAGGATCTCTAATTTATCAAGACCTGATCTAAAGTTGTCCGAAGTCATAAATAAGACTGTTGGTCATTGGACAGACTATTGGCAGCTTAAGCCCGATGAGCTTGCCGAAATTAACCCTCGCGAGGTCAAGCGCCAAAGCCTCATTTTTGATCTCATAGTTCTGGAAGAGCGATCATTAAACTTGGCGAACGCCGCAATTGAAATATATGGCCGTAGCTTTTCACCAAAACTGCTGCCATATGACCCTGAGTTTTTCACTTTGGCATTCGATACTTTTACTCCTTTGATTGATCTCCACAAGGAATTCCTGTTAGGTCCGATATTGTGGAAATTAAAAAGTAAAGGTAAGTTCATTGATGGAGTTGGAAAAATATACTTGAAGTGGTGCAACGAAGCCCACGACATATACTCTCGATATGCTGTCAGTATGGCTGAAGTCCATGAAATTATTACGTGGGAAAAGGAACATGACACAAATTTTGCGCATTGGCTGAAGCAGTTGGATGAATCATCAGAAATTTCTAGGTCAAAACTGTATCATGATGTTGTTTTTTTTGGTGGCTTCTTCAAATCGCTTCAAAACATACCGCTGACATTGAATTCGATACTGAAGTGGACTGATCCTTCTTCAGAGGACTATGAATACCTAAAGATGGCCATTACTGAAATCGAAAAGCTCAGTGCCAACGTAGATAGAATTCACGGCGAAGCAGCAGATAGAAGAAAGATTACTAGACTTGCCCGACAGCTCCTCCTTTATCCGGGGAGCAGTAACAGTATGGTTAATTACATCAATGTCGGTGATCCTAAAGGTTTATCTGAGACGGGCAACGAGAAGCTTGACTTAAGACTCAATGAAAGATCGAGAAGAATATTGAAGTCTGGTGTGCTAACAAGAAGACGTGATCTTTGGTTAGAGGGATCTCCGTCTTTTGTAGTTTTGTTGGACAATTATCTTCTCATAACTGAACTTTCTTTAAAGGAAGGTGGTGAAAAATATAAGCTCAGTGAACGTCCGGTCCCAATTGACTATCTGAGTTTGGAAAGTAAGGAGGACGTCAATTGGCAGCATTTAGACCTCAACACCGGTTTTGAGAACAAATATACGTCACAACCTTACAGTGCTAGTCTGGAAAGACCTCTCCCGCCTTCATTTCCCTCTAGGCCTGTCATATCGAAAGTCAAGAGTTCTGTGCCTTTCATACCCAAAACTCTTCAGGGAGCTGTGGGAATGAATAGTACAGAAGACTTCACGGAGGGATCAGAGGGCTTTAAGTTCAAGATCAGGAATACTGCGACGAACGAGTCTTTCACTTTTTTATGTTCAAGCAGTGATGATAGAAAGGCCTGGATTATAGCCATTATTCGAGCATTCAAGATAAATCAGGAAAAAAAAGATAGAAAAGCTTTTACAATGAGATGTCTCACCGATGCGTTTGCTTATGACGAGCGAGAAGCTCCCATCAACCTTCCTGTAACCCCTGAAGGCTCAGAGATAGATGTCGCTTTGAAGTGTTTCTATAAAACATATGGTAAGCTACACAGTCCTCTTGGCATCAATGCACAGTGCAGTGCAAGATTTTTTTATGAGAATCAAGAATTTATTCTATGTGGGCTTAATGGTGGGGTGTTTATGGCATGTGCGGATGACCTCAGCAGCTGGAAACAAATTCTATCACTTTCAAAAGTATCGCTACTGCAAGTCAATCTCAAACTTGCGTTATTGTTTACATTAGCGGACAGGCGCTTGTGCTATTTTACTCTTCCTAGTTTGATTTGTGCGTATTATGACCCAAATTTCTATCTCACGGACGGCCAGCTCACTGGAGTCCTTTTGAGAGAGAAGGTGACTTTTTTCAAGGTGGCGGACGATTTCGGGAACTCGCGACAGCTCTTTTATGAACGAAAGGGTAAGCTGGTTATTTTAACACCTGAGTTTGACCGTATCACCAAAGCGTTCAAATTCTTTAAATTTTACAAAGAGTTTGATTTACCAAGCGGTGCTGGTGGCCTTACCTATATCACAATAACCGATATTGTCGTGTTCAAAAAAAGTTTTATTGCTTGTTCTTCGAAAGGTGGTATTTTATACAACGAAGCGTTCAATGATTCTGGAATACAATTACCCAGTTTTGCTAAGGACAAAGGTTTTAAGCCTCAGCATCATTTTTCTCACCATCCATTCAAGACTGCTGTCGAAAAGTCAGCCAAGAAGAATTCCTCAAGATTAAAAATGGCCGAGTACGTCAAATTTGACATCGCCGCTAATATGACACTTCCTGTAACATGTTTCAAATTGGCAGAAGATGATTTCGTCTTGATTTATGATGAGGCCGTCATAAAATTGAATAAACACGGTGAGATACCAAATTGGCAAACAGACATCATGGTTTTGGACTTTTTCTGCACTGGCGCCGCTCTTCAAAATGATTTTTTATTTCTCGTAGGCGAAAACCTAGTACAAATCTACGATTTGAGTGTTGCCATAGGCGCCGATGGAAAGATGAACAAGCTCGCCCCAGTCCAAATCATTAAGAGCAAAAAAATAAAACTTATAAGTAATCAGAGGGATGAAAGCACGACAGTTGTGTTAAGTCATCCTTTGATTCCTGGACGGCAGTGTATTTTTGAGTTCAGACCTTCATAAGAAATTCATCTAAACCCGACTGAACAAGAACATTTCTCACACGTCAAAAGCGAAAGCGAATTTTTCTCTCTGAGGCTTCGTTTATGCTGAGGCTGGACGGGAGCCTAGCCTTTTGAGCAAGGATGTAAATATATCGTAACGTTAGAATTTCCAAAAGGCACATTTTTGTCGTTTTAAACAGGTCCTAAGCAGCACATCAAAGTTTAGTAATCCATTCGATATCCGATGTAGTCCTTTTGCTTTGCTATTCTTTAGCGGGTCTTGTCTGGTTATTCTTTGATAATGCTTTTCCTCAATGGTAGCTAAATTATAATTGCAGCGTCTTAAAAACGTAGTTTTCATCGACACAAGATCTCTCATACAAAGAGGTTTCTGTCGCCAGAGGTGCTATAAAAGCATGCCATTTGATTTTGACTTCGTGGTAGAATCATTTGTGATACCCATCATCAGATATCCTATTTTAGTGCTGATTCCCTTTTTCAGGTAAGTTAATGGTATAGATTGAAGTTGATGCTCAGTAATGAAATTTACTAATGATGTCAAAGGGCTTTTGATTTGAATGTTTCCACCTTAGGTGGCTTTCTTGTCGTTTACTCATTCGTTTTAAATGGAGCCATTCTTTGCAACAACATGTTCAAGCTCAGGGGTCGATGGAGGGCGATGAGTAAATTGACACATTTCAAATGTGTCGTGACAGGCGGAAGTTCGGGTCTGGGAAAACAAATAGTACTTAAACTACTGGCGCGATACGATAATGCTGAAATTATTATCATTGATAAAATTGAACCTGAAATTGCAGATGCCCGCGCCAAATTCTTTAAGTGTGATTTATCGAAAATGGAGGATCTGGATTTGGCATTAGCCAGCATTCGAAGCGTCGGTCAGATCGATCTTCTTATCAATAATGCTGGAATGAGATGCAAATATGGTTCATTGAAACAGACCACATATCAGGATATGAATCAAATATTCCAAGTTAACGTTTTCGCGCCTATTCGACTCTTGCAAGAGTTATCGCCTAATCTCAGCGAAGAGCGTCAATTCTACGCCGTCACAATCGCCAGTGCGCTCGGCATTAATGCTCCAGCACGGGCATCTAGCTACGGAGCCACAAAGGCTTCACTCATTGCGTTCCATGAATCTTGGACTCAAGAGTTTTCGCAGGCAGATTCGGTACGCTCGTTGTTAGTTCTACCGGGCCAGCTCAAGACTACAATGTTTGAAGGGTTTAAGCCGCCTAAGCAGTTTTTTGCGCCCTTAGTAGAACCGGACTTTTTGGCGACTCGCATCATAAATTGCTGCGAAATTGGGCTACGGGGTGAACTTTACGCACCATTTTATGCGAATTTCATGTATGCATTGAAAACATCTCCATACATGGTGACCTGGCTCGGACGATTCATGTCCGGAATGGATTCCTGCCTCCCGCATGAATAAAAACAAAAAAGTTAAATAGCTTATACATATTGCATTTCCTGAATTGAATTTACTTGCATTCAAGCTTTTTTCAGCTGTTGTTGGAACCATTGGTACAATAAGTCTGCTTGAAGGTAACCTGCCTCCGTAAACACCTCGTTTGCTGGCAATACGCACTTGACACAGCTATTTGGCCCTTTTACCAACATGACATCGTATTTAAAGTCATTTTTCTCTAGTCTGGTTGACACTTTGATTTCAGAAGATTTGCTCTTACCAACGTATTTAACGTCTCTGAGGACAAATTTCGTATAATACCAGAATACCACGGACAAAACCAGGTTACCAGCTACAAGCAGCTTTTGATACGTGAGTGATTCCTGGAAGTCAAGTTTCTTGTCCAGCAAAAACGAAACCCCGGCGAGCAAAGCGATCGAATACCCTATGATCAATTTGGTGTCTATCAAAGTGTAGTTTTCGGTGTAGCCTAGTCTAGAAAATACACCTGGAAGTGCCTCATCTAGCGTTTGTCTCAATTCTGGGCTGGCATACACATTTATAAGTTTACTCATGGTGCTACACTCATCTGGCTCAAGGCATAATAGGATAACTTCGATCTATGGAAATTTCTTATAGGGAGTCCAGGTTCGTGGAAACTGACACGTGAACACTTATACGTAGTAAACATTTGTTGAATGCAAGAAAAGACGCCACACTCGCCTATAATCTTTTAAACTCCTACGGGAAATTTCTAAAGCTCCGAATCCAAATAGCCAGCAGTAACCTCTGGAGTTCCACTTATGTTCAAAAAACCAGTTAAAATAAATAAAGTAAATTACAGGCCTTCTAAATTTCGCTTCTGATCAAATTCACGTAGACATTACATTGATTCATAGCAAATTCTGAGGCTTATAAAGGCAACAATATCTTCTTACTGTCCATCTTCCTACGTTATTACCTTAAAGCTGAAGTTCTTTCTTCCACGTAAACCTTTAATAAGTTGATCAATTAATATATAAGAAAAAAGACAGTGTTCTTAATCATAATCGAACCCTAATGAAAACGAAGAAAAAAGACCGTCCAATGAAAAATAGCCAGCATGTCTTCAGATTTTGTTAGCGAATCGACTTCTGGCAAAGTTCTAGATGCGAATGAGGCCAAATCCCGAAGAAGTTCAAGTTCAAGGCGCCGGAATCAACAGAAACCCCGTTTAGAGTATAAACCCGTCAAACGCAGTAGGCCGAGGAAGGAACGCCGAAGAAGTAGTGGGAACAAGCATGATGGTCCTGATCTGGAGTCAAGTATACAAGATGAACTGACAAGTGGAAATTTCAGGGCTCGTGGTAGAAAGACTCAAATATCAATCAATCATCTCCTGGATTTTCAACTACCGGATAGAAAGGCTCTCTCAGCTGACAGTGGATCAAATGGACAAATGAGAAGAAAAAGCAAACGGCTGGAGCGCGAAGTAGTTCATTTACACGGGGAATCGTTCATTAATGCGAATTTTCGGTTTTTGGTTGACGACAGATTTGAGTATTCAGAACAGAGCTTAGACCCGAATTTCCCGATTCCCAGGGAAAAAATTGTTCGTGTAGTGGCCCCTAGGGGACAAGCATGTCCGATATGTTTAAGCGAAAATATGGTAGCGCCTTGCATGGTGGCTTGTGGCCATCTTTTCTGTTTGACATGTTTACTGCATTTTTTCGCTATCACGGATCAGGAGTCTAATGGATATTCGAAACGTAACAGGCACAAAGAATGTCCCCTCTGCAGTACCTTCGTCAGCAAAGAGAGGGCCATACCAGTTATTTTCACGAATGCAGAACCTCAGCTTGTTTTCGCGGAAGTTGGACATGTTGAGACACTTCAGCTCATGTGCAAGCCGCATAATTCGATGTTACCTTTACCTGCGAACTTAGGCATTGATCCGAAGAGTCTAGGTAATTTTCCGTCTGCCGAAATGGTAGAGTTGGCTCCCTACTGCCGCATCATGAAATGCGGCGCTGAGCTTGCATTAAAGTACTATCAAATGGATCTGCAAAACGTCGAATCGCAATTTGAACAGGATAAATCACTCTACGACGACGATGGCACTTACGCGGAGATGGCAAGAGATCACATAATGAAAAGTATGCATCAGTACCAGGTGCAAGACGTATCCAACGTCACGGATCGGCTTTCAAATCTTTCCCTCGGGGTAGGTCTCGAGTCCTACAATGACTCGAACGCCTTTTTCTTTTACGAAACAGGCTTTAATGCCCTCACGACTTTCTATTTATCTCCTCTTGATGTCAAAATTCTGCTTTCGACATTCGAACACTATTCTAATTTCCCTACGTCACTTACCGCTAAAGTGGAAAATGTTCACTATGGTTTTGTCGTTACCGAGGCCTTAATTCAAAGATACAAATATTTTGGTCATTTACCACTTGGTAGCGAGCTGGCTTTCGTTGATTTAGACTGGCGTTCAGTGGATTTCGTGCCGCCAGAAGTGCACAAAAGGTTCGCCGCAGAACTCAGTCAGCGAAGGCGAAAGTTCAACTGGAAACAGCAACGGGAAGACAAGGAAAAACGACTTTATGAAAAGAAGCTCGAAAAAGAGCATGCCGAGTTTTTTATGAAAGAAAATGGTGAAGTTGATTCGCCACCTTTATGCTCACTTTCGTCAAACCCCTCAGTTCCGCTTTTTAGTCTTTCTGATAAGTCTACTCTCGAGCCAAAAGCTCAAAAAACTGGCTCGCGCATGGAGAAAACCGTTTGGGGTACTTCAATCCCTGCGTCTCAGCATAGCGATACGGAGCGAACGCCCGAAGATGCTGCATTAGAAGACATGTTGCTTCAAATGAGTAAAGATGGAACCCAGACGAAGAAGAAGAAGAAGAAAGTTGTGACTTTGTTAAGCTCTGGGCAGGGGAGAGGTGCGTTCTGAGGTGCAAAGACATTTTTCCCCGGCGTTTACCAGACCTTGTCCAACCGGTCTGTAGTTTATGAAAGGACCTTGCATACATAGAATAACTTTGAAGCGACATCCTCGCAATTTGAGTGCAGTGTCATAAGCTTCACGCCACACACGAATCTCGAGATTCTTACACGAATTCCTATAATTTAATGTCGATACATCGCGTTGATCAAATTCACATTTTTAAAAGCTGAATACGACAAACAAAATAGGCTCAAGCTGATGAAATACAGAATTCTGTGCTTTCGTTATCATGGAAGTTTCAAAAGATGTGGTGAGCGTGCAAGAAGGAATAAAATAATGCCCGTTGAATATTGAAAATGATGAATTTTCGAGATGAGAGAATTGAGCTTTTGTCAAGAAGTTTCTGATTGATATATAAACAGACTTAGGTAGCTTCCATGTTGAACGAATTTAGAAGGAGCAAGGCTACAAAGACAGATCTGACCCGTAGTGCAGATGCTATGCTTGCTCAAAAATTTGCGCAAATGTCAGAGATTATTACAAAGTAAATAGGGGTCTAAGAGTCGCAGAGCCAAAAACATCAAGTCTGACCCTGATTCGATTGATAACAGAGTTGAATATCTACTCAAATCTAAGCTTTGGTTCACTACACACTGTATAGACATTTGTCCCTATTATTTATTTTTTCTGATCTGATTCTTCCTCGATCAAGAAAACGAAAAAGATAACATTCAACTAAGGTGTCGAAACGCTTATACGTTTTTGAAAATCACGAGAACAAACAAACTAGGGCAATTGGCAATGAGGTAAGTGGCTAAGACTGGTATATCTTGGGGTCTGAACTTATTATTAACTTTGATTTGAAAGTGGCAAATTTGTGCGTGCTTCGAAGTTCCGGCACGTCTATGGCCAGGCTGCCAAAAAAGAGCTACAATATGAAAACATTCGTGTAACAAACAACGCATGGGATTCCAACCTCATTAAAGCCAATGGCAAATACATTGCAGTCAATTGGAATGCGTCGGGTGGTGGAGCGTTTGCCGTCATTCCCGTTGGTGAAGTTGGTAAAGCTCCTGATCAGGTGCCTTTATTTAGAGGCCACACTGCACATGTTCTTGATACGGATTTCAATCCCTTTGACGACAATGTGATCGTTTCTGGATCTGACGATGCGAAAATTGGAGTTTTCGAAATTCCCGAAGGTTATTCGTTCCAAAATTATGTGGATGAAGAAGGTTCCCCGAAGGATATCCATGCCAAAAAGTTTCTGACCGGCCACAACCGAAAAGTGGGACACGTTCTTTTCCATCCCACGGCCAAAAACGTGCTTGCTTCGTCCTCGTTGGATCGCACCGTCAAGATTTGGGATATCGACACTGGAGAGTGTTTATTTACACTTCAGCATCCAGATATGGTGACGTCCATGTCTTTTAGCTATAATGGCGATCATTTGGTCACAGTTTCTCGTGACAAGAAACTGAGAGTTTGGGATGTCAGAAAGGAAGCCGTTGTGAGTGAAGGGCCCGCGCACACGGGTGCTAAGAATCAAAGGGTCGTTTGGCTCGGAAATTCTGATAGAATAGCGACAACTGGATTTTCAAAATTAAGTGACCGTCAAATCGGTATCTGGGATGCCTTCAATCTTGAGAAGGGGGATTTGGGCGGATTTTACACCGTCGATCAGTCCTCGGGTATTTTAATGCCCTTTTATGACGATTCTAACAAAATCTTGTACTTGGTCGGGAAAGGTGATGGCAACATCAGATATTTCGAATTTCAGAATGATGAGCTATTCGAACTTTCCGAGTTCCCTTCCACTGATCCTCAAAGAGGATTTGCCGTGGCCCCACGTCGTTCCGTTAACGTGAAGGATAATGAGGTTTTACGCGGCTACAAAACTGTCTTAGATCATTGCATAGAGCCAGTGTCGTTTTACGTTCCAAGAAAATCGGAAGGTTTTCAAGACGATATCTATCCTGATGCTCCCTCGAACACTCCAGCCTTGACTTCAAGGGAATGGCAGTCTGGGAAGTCAGTGAACGGCCCCGTTCTGTTTAATGTCAAAGCGCTTTACGACGGTAGCGATGTGGTATTGACAGCAGCTGTGGCCGCGTCTGAAACTCATACTCCACAAGTCGACACACAGAAGAAGTCACCTCTTGTAAAGGAAAGCAGTGCGGGTTTACTTTCGCAGCAAGAGCAACCATCCTCGCCTGTAGCAATCTCCACTTCTTCCTCTGCCAATTCGAGAGCTGACGAAAAAGCGGTTGGTGCGAACACTAAAAGTCAAGCGGATGACGCTTTGAAGAAGGATGAATCCGTTGACAAGCTGCTTGAAAAGGCGCGCAACCTTGACGAAGTCAATCGTGCGGAAGACCCCTCAAAAGACGTTTCAGACTGGGAAGATGATAACGAAAACAAGACTTCGCTAAGTAATAAAGCTGCAACTCATGAAAAGAAAGAAAGTGTGCTGGCTGAAAACAGCAGAAGTGCACAAAATTGTTCCTCAGCTTCGAAAACCACGGCCTCCTCTCAAAAGCTTGAGAAAACATTCAAACCCGAAACCTTAAAGTCAGATGTTTCGGAAAACGGCCCTGCAACCACCTTCCAAGTCGAACAACTCCCCGCAAAAGCTGAAATCAAAGAACAGCCAAATAAAGCTTCTCCCAGTACTGAATTGTCCAGTTCTAATGCGCCACCTGCCGCCAAATCGATGGGATTAAAACAATCTGTAGAAAAACTATCCTCTTTAGTGATACACCTGGAAAGCGTGGTTCAAAAACTCATTGAAGCGAATATTGAGAAAGACAAGAAGCTGGATCATTTAACTTCGTTAGTGGAAAACTTAAATCCTTCTTGATTGAATGTCAAGAGAAACTCAATGTATAAATCAAAACGCGAAAATTACTTTTACGTTTCACAAAGATAGCTACATTTACGATAAACAATTGAAGAAAATATGAAGCGATAGTTTTCAGTGCCTTGATATATCTGTGCTATTTTCATTATCAACCCAATATATATATTGAATTTTTAGGCCAGCCCTCTAGTTTGGCGTATTTTTTCATGAGATCATTTAAATTGGTGACAGGAATCGAAAAATTTCAAAAGTGTATAATCAATCAAAAACTGACCTTCAGTAACTCGTTTTGCTCATCCAGAGAAGACGATAATCAAGGAGTTCAAGCTGCTTATCAGCTATTGAGACCCAGTGTTACTCATTGAGGGCTTTTTCTGCTCTCATTTTCTCGTCAATAGTCTAAATAGTGCCTACTTTTTGAGCAGTCAAAGCGTGACGCTTTGAAGTAAGGTAATGGAGGTGACCCCAAAGTCTAATATCTCGGAGCTAAAGGACATTGCAAAGAAGGTATTACCTCAAATAGAGCAGGTATACTCTCACTCTGATCAGCATATCGATGAAGCAAGGTTACTCACTGAGCTTCTGAGAGTAATTGCTCAAATTCCGGACAAATTTCATTTATTTTGTGATCCAACCTTTGGTCCAATATCTGTTTTCTGTTTGACGCTGTTTTCGTTTAGCAATCAGGAAACTATCGAGTGGCTGAAGAAGAAATTCAATCCTGTTTTGGCGGAATGCTCAGACTGTGTTTCTGCATTTACTCGCGGGAAATGTCAAATGTTACAACATTTTGCCGTTCGCCGAAAGGTGCCACATGAGCATGTTATGAAGTTCAATAACATTATCTCTCTTTGGCGCTCGGAGGCCTTATTACCAGTGGTACAAGGAATATCTGTTAATAATAACACCAACGTTAGTGTCACGCCGCAAATCAAAACCGCACTTCACGAATGTCTTTGTAACCCACAGGTACTACGAAATAGTGAGAAATTGAAGGCGACATTCGACGCAATTTTCAGGTACCTTTACGATTCCCAGCATCCATTTTTGGACGTTAATGGCTATGCCAAGAAAGCTAAACCTTTTACTGCTGGTATCATTTATTGTTGGTTTGAGGGCACTTCGGAGGAATCCGCTTGGTCAAAACGAATTATAGAATCTCTCCAAGATGAAAGTTTCCAGTTTACGTCAAAGAACTTTACTCAGGATCTACTCGAGGAGATAAACGTACATTTTCTTTACTTACAAATCGTCACCAACTTCCACGAGGCGTTGATATCCCATTTTTGGATCAAATTAACCCCAGTCTTAGAGCTCATGGAGTTAGACTTGATTGAAGAGTATTTTGTGGTCCCAAAGGATATTGAATCCTTAAAGCAATCCTTCAAATATCCTATTCATTCCATTTTCGGTCTATGGTATATTCACTTCGCGCATAACTACAAAAGCAAGCCCTTGGAGGTACTTTTAAGAGCGCTTAAAATGATGTTACAGAAGTGCCAGTATAACTTTTGGACATTGATCGAGCCGTTCACATTCCACAGTATTCTGGATATAACTTTCGAAAACGACTCATTCAATCACGCGTTAACTAGAGTTCGCAATAATGAGATTTTGCCCAATGATAGGAAAAGCTTGGTTTCAAGCAATGGCTCTTTAACCGATCTTGTCGCTTGGACGTTACCTTTTTACTTTTCTTTATCTTCATCAAAAAGGATCCAAATGGTGAAAAAGGTTTCCATCGCCTTCTTGAAGATTGTATCCCATAACCAGTCTCTAAATTCAGAACCGAAAGCATTGCTCATGAATTCATCGACAGCCTTACTGAATGCTGTATTAAGTATAAGTGACGAAGAAAGATCGAATCTTTACTCAAGTGACGTTTTTGAAACGACCCTTTACACCAAGCTCGACTCTCGTGCTCTTTTGAACAACGACTTGATCTTACAAGTTGTTTTAAAGTCTGCCACAGATCCTGAGTCGCTATATCCTGGAATGGGCGAGTCTATCTATTCCGTTTCTTCATCAGCAACTAGTGTTTTGTCAACATGCATTGATTACGATATTCTTGTTCTATGTCAGGCATCTTTTCAAATTTATTCTGGCAAGAAGGCTAACGATATCAAAATGTCAACTAAGTTACTTTCGGAAGTCGTGAAGCATTTAGATTTGAGGCGCTTCCATGACGGACCAAAGCTCGCCACACAACTTTTAGCTTCAATGAGAAATGCTAACGGCCTTCTTACTTTTGATTCTAATGATGAGAACGTGAAATTCCATAACAGGTCCATCCGCTCGTATACCGAACTACTCCAGGTCCTTTTGACAAAATTCACAGATTTGCAACCCTCACAACTTATTAAGGTCTTGTCAGATGATTATGCCTCACATGGTTTTTGGTCTTGCATCTTCGCTTCTGATAGTGGTCTTTATCAATCGGCAACCAACATGCTTTACGAAACGTTTGATGTTGAGGGCAGATTAGAAGGCATCCATGAGATGTTAAGTAAAGATCTTAAGTGCTGTTTGAACTCCATAAACGCAGTTCTTTCTCAACTGATAAAAAACGAGTTTTTTGAACCATGCCCGCGCGCTGTAAGAGTTCTAATGGATATCATCAGCATCTTCAGTGATCCCATTAATGGAACGCTTGCTAATCATGAGACATCAAATCCTGAAGGAACAGACAGTGCCCTTCTCAAGTTCTGGGAGTATTCCTGGAGATTTCTCAACATGATCTATAAAGCAACACTCAAATGGGCGACGCGGTATCCATATTCAAAGCTAGAAAACTTCACGAAAGACACATTGGATACAAGTATTCTTCTGATAAATGCATACAGAGAGTTTTATGCCACTCTCTCAGGAGATAATAGTGTTACTGATGGTGAAAGTTTTCTCAATAATATCTTGGACACTTTTAAGGATATGCTCTATTGGCTGAGGCTCAGTGACGAATATTTACTTGCGTCTTGTGTCACATTGATTGTGAAGGCAGCTGACCTTTCAAAAGAACAAGGACTGAAGTTCAATGATGACCTCGTTGAATTGATGGCACGCTATGCGCTTAGGGCTCGTAAATTCTCGAACAAGCTAACTCCTCAGCAGTCCAGCGATATCCTCTCTCGAGCTAAAGCTTTCAACGAGAAACTTGTTGATATTGTTGCGGCAGAAGCCGACAACTATCACAGAGAGAAAGACAAACCAAATCCCTCCATTGAGTCGAGGTCTGTATCTCCTCATCCAATCTCTGCATCTCAATTATCTTCGACAGAATCAAAAGCCGACTTTTTGCAGAGAAAGGCGATGGCATCATCAATAGTGGGTCGCCCTAGAGGACAGGCTAAGATAACTTCCTTCGGCACACTGAGACCCGGAATGGCTTTAAAGCCTGCTGCTCCACCTAAAAAACCTATTTCACAATTGGAATTAGCCAGGCGACAGCTTATGGCAGATCGAAAGGTTCATCCCCCATCGTCTTCTGTATTCAACCCGAGAGGTGCGAAACAGACTCATTACAAGTCGGTAGACGATAGTAGTGATGAAAGTGGAGATGACCTTGAAGGAGCTCAGGAGCTATTTTCTCTCTCGAAGCCCAAAGAGAGAAGTACTCCCATTGTGCTAGACATTAACGGTAAACCTGTTCAGAAAGTTTCCAGAGCCCAATTAATCAAACAAGAAGAAGAGAATATGAGGAAGAGACTCAATGTGGATATGAATCCTCTTTATAAGCAGGTACTAAAATGGGACTATACGAGTACCTCGGAGTTTCCCTCTACTGCTACAAATTTCAAGTACCAAGACTTGAAAGACGAATTTAAGTCTTCAGAAGCATATCAGGGAATTATGGAGCCTCTTCTGCTTCTTGAGTGCTGGCAAGGGCTATGTGCAGCACGGGATAGGGAGGATAATAAGCCATTTAGCATAGTAATTGGAAATCGCACAGCTGTTTCTGACTTCTACGAGATCTATGCCTCAATAAATAAACGGATGGCGCAGGATTCTGGTATCACCGAGTCAGATCTGATTGTTCTGTCCTTCTTCCCTAATAATCCAAGAATTGATGATCTAAAAGCAGATGACTTCAAGGCTTCGCAAGCCACTTGTTTGGCCAAGGTATGCTCCTTGAAGAACTCAAAAGGAGGTAATATGGATTTGACAATTAGAATTGAAAGGAGCCACAGCTTTAGTCGATTCTTGACACTCAGAGCTGAAATACAAGCCGTCAAGGTTATGCAAATGACGACGGTCGAGAGAGAATACAGCTCTTTGGTGGGCTTACCTTTTTATGATCTTGTCGATCAGATCCTCGAAGGCAAACCGACCTCGAGGCAGGAGTTCGACTTTTCAGAGGTTGACCGTGTGAAGACAAATTATAAACTCAATAAATCGCAGGCAGAAGCAGTGGTAGCCACAGTAGGCGGAGAAGGTTTTTCCCTCATCCAGGGTCCTCCGGGAACTGGAAAAACAAAAACGATTTTAGGCGTTATTGGCTATTTCCTTACTACTCGCAAGGCATTGCCATCCAATGTTATTAAGCAGCCCACAGATTCTGTTTCTACTTCGACGGAACAACTTCTGCAAAAGCAAAAGGTTCTCATTTGCGCTCCCAGTAACGCGGCAGTTGATGAACTGGTGTTGCGTCTTAAAAGTGGCATATATGATAAGAACGGTGAACTTTTCTCGCCAAAGCTGGTGAGGGTCGGTAGATCCGATGCTGTAAGCGCGGCCATCAAAGATTTGACCCTTGAGGAGCTTGTAGAAAGAAGATTAGCCGGTAAAAGCTATGAGTTTTCGCATGATGCAAGCCTTGACAAGAATTTTCATGAAGCTGTTTTGGAGCGTAAAAAACTGCGCCAAAAGCTGGACATTGAAGATGGCTCCATATCAAGTAACTTGTCCACCGAAGATATCTCTAAGATCCAAATGAGTATCAGAGAACTCAGCAAAAAAGTTAATGAGCTAGGGCGTCAAAGAGATGAGCTTCGGGAACAAAACTCCGTTAACTTCAGGAATAGAGAATTGGATAGAAGAAAAACGCAAGCAAGGATTTTAGCTGAAAGTGATATCATCTGTTCGACGTTATCAGGTTCTGCTCACGACATTCTTGCCTCTTTGGGAGTGAAGTTCGACACAGTCATTATAGATGAAGCTTGTCAGTGTACGGAGCTTTCGAGCATCATTCCTTTAAGATATGGCGGCAGAAGATGCATTATGGTAGGAGATCCCAATCAACTTCCACCCACAGTGCTTTCAGGTGCAGCCAGCAAATTCAAGTATAATCAATCATTGTTTGTTAGGATGGAAAAGAAATGCAATCCATATCTGCTTGATGTGCAATATCGAATGCATCCCTCTATCAGCAAATTTCCCTCTTCTGAGTTTTATGGGGGTAAACTTCATGACGGGCCAGATATGGAAACGCTGAGTGTCAGACCTTGGCATTCACAGCCTACACTAGGACCTTATAAGTTTTTTGACGTTTTTAACAGTCGTCAGCAGCAAAATCAGAAAACAATGTCTTATGTTAATTCTGAGGAATGCAAGGTCGCGATCGAACTTACCGAATTTTTACTTAATAAATTCGAGAAATCGGTAGATTTCACTAGGAAGATTGGTGTCATATCCCCCTACAGGGAGCAGATGCAGAAGATGAAAAGAGAATTTAGAAGCTATTTTGGAAACCCGATATTAAACATTGTGGATTTTAATACCATCGATGGGTTCCAAGGTCAAGAGAAAGAAATTATTATTATTTCGTGTGTTCGGGCCGACGATTCAAAATCAGGTGTTGGATTTCTAAAAGATTTCAGGCGTATGAATGTGGCCCTAACTCGAGCAAAGGCTAGTATGTGGATTCTGGGGCATTACTCTTCTCTTTCGAAAAATAAAATGTGGAGAGATCTCATCAACGATGCCAGGGATCGTGGTTGCTTTGAGTTAGCGTGCTCTGGCTTTTTGAATCCCAAAAACACTAAAGCTGCAAGACTTCTAAAGCAATATTTAAACAAGTGTGAACCCTCTAATTCAGACGATTACGATCCAATAACGGCAAGCGTGGCTGTCAGGAAGCAATACACCAAGGCCTCTAATGAAAACACGCGGGCAGTTATCAATACATCAGTGACCGATCTCGAAAAGTTCAATTCCCAAGGAGCCAACAAAGCCCCGGCGTCCCGCACTCAGTCTCAGAAATGCGATAACGTTAAGGCCGAGATCTCGAAACCGCGTTCGAAGACGAAAAATACGCAAGGAACACGTAAAAAGTCTTCGATTTTTGGTGCACCTAGTATGATGTCTGGTGTGGCGAATATAGAAGCAGGTGATCCTCCCAAACCCAGCGTTTCACAAGATTCTGTGGCTTCCAAAAAAGTTAGATTTGATGAAAGTAGTAAGATTCACAAGATGACTGACAGGAGTTTGTCAGAAAAAGAGGTTTATGGGAGATCGCACTTGGAATGTCGATCCAGAGATTCGTTTAATTTGGCGGAGAACGAAGTCGAAGAAAATGGAAGTGATGACTATGATCCCATCTTGAATCTATCAACGTTATCTCAAAAAAATACTATAAATTCCTCAACATCGGGAACAAATGGAGCCTCTACGAGGATGAGGTCTCCAATTCAGCAGAGAATTGAAAACCAGATTTCTAAAGTTGCCACTCCTGGTCTTGAGTCTGAATATCCTGATGCGACTAACAACACAAACCATCTTGACAATGGAGTAAAAACGGATGTGGGGCCCAAACCGGGAGCGCAATCCCCACATCAACACGTTTCCAATAAGCGGTCATCAGGAGCAAGCAACCTGTTCATCCCTAAGAAGAAAAAAAAATCTTGCCACCTCATAAAAGATAGAACACTTAGCAGCGATGACGTACTTGTAATACCATTGACGCAATTCTTGAACTCTAATCTTCTTTCTTTAATTTTCCTACATTAGTGGTAGAGTTCCCTGATTGAAATGACATCTGGCTTGTAATTGGGATGAAGTCTCGATTAAGGCCTGTCTTTGGCGGCGAAGTTCCACTCAGAAACGAAGGACTTTTCGCCCTCACGGCATGTTTGGGTACGGATATATCTCTGGATCCAATTTGCTGTCGAGCTTGCACTAGAACCTCTTTTTCGTTCTCAAGACATTTTGTCAGAATATCTGATTTTGCTTCTGATAAGATTCCGCTTAGTTCAGTAATTGTAATATCCATTGGTATCATAAGCTCCGACAAAGACGGATCTGATCCTGAGCTTATTTTCACTTTCGATACCCGCTCAAGTTCTTGTATTTTGCTTAGCGCGTTGTCCCAGAGATTCCGGCTGTGTTCAGAGCGATTCAAATCTTTCTTGTATTGCGTAACATCTGCCTTAAGTGCATCTTTTTGGACTTTCAAAAGTGTCTGAGCAGCGGAAATCCTGCTCTCGATGTCTTTTGGAGTAGGGACGGCTGTGCTTTCCTTACTTCGAGTGATAAGCGCTAACAAAGCTGGCCTTAAAGCCCTCCCGGCTTGCTCGTCGCTAAGTCCCAATTTATTGAGAATTTTGTCGATTGAAACATTTACAGCATTCAAATCTTCTTGAAATTGGGATCCTATGGAATTCACTCGTGATTTGGTCCTCTTCCGTTCCTCCGTTATGAAGCTTTGATCTTTTTTAAAAGTCGCAAGTATCGCCTCAAGTTGCGTAATCTCCCTATCCACCTCGCTTTGGCAAAGACTCAAAAGAGAATACCTATCTAACAATTCTTTGGTCTCAAACTCTGCTCTTGCCTCGGTCAATTCGCCATGATCGCTCTCCTTATCCCATAAAGACGTCTTCTCGATTCCAACTTTGTCGACATAAAAGTTTAAAAGTTCATGGTAATTGGCTTTCAAAGTCAGAGTGTCGGATTTTTTAAAATCGGTCCAATCTCGCTTGTGTTCTACGAGGGCTTTCCACTGCCGCTGTTTTTGTTCGATAACTGTCCTTTTATCCAAAAGCTTCGAAAGCTTGCTTCCGAGGCTTTCAAGTCTTGCGAGCTCTCTTTTGATGCTCCCATTTTCGTTTGAGCTTGTTATTATACCGTTCAGAAGGCACAAGTCATTGAAACAAATCCGGATGTCTCTCCTCACCCTATCCAGATCTGCCGTATCGCTGTCGTTGAACAGTATGCTCTGGTGTGCATCGGCAAGAGTCCTGAGAAACTCTTCTATTTCAGCCTTCTTGTATAACGCGTCCTCCAGGTGCATTGGCGCTTAGCCACTAAGGAGCGTAGGATCCATCCTCTTCCCCTAAACTGATGGGCTTTCCCCAGGACAATGCCCATGACATTTCTGTGTGCAAAGTCACGTGGTAAAAAGTGACAAGTAGAAACTGGATCACGTGACGTTGCCTGGCAGGCCCCTGCGCAAATTTATCTATATATCTATACACGAATAGCCGCCGAGAGGCTTGAACATTCCAGCATCAAACTCAACAGCTTTAAGGACCTTCCTGAAGAGCCCATGAAACTTAATCTTGCCGATATGTCATAGGCGTTTAAATATGTTTCCTTCAGGGGTAGATTCTCGGGTATATTCCCGATACCCCACTCTCGAGGGCCATATTCTCGAGTCAAATTCGTACCCCTTTTTCATCATCCTTTCCCTTACGACGTCATAGCCGTCCCAGACATCTGCGGGGGGAAATCTTTTTTGCTTTCAGCAGATGTGTAGCCGCCCAAGTTTCGACAACCCCGCATCTCGACGTTAAAACAGTTTCACGCCGGGCAAAAGCCCGGATATGACCCGGATTTTACGACAAGGAGGAAAGAGAGCTATCAAACCATGTACTGTCCCTGTAGCCGCGAGCATTTTATGGGGCATGTGCCCTCCAGACACCCAGGGCACAAATCACACTTGCGATTGATCTGCAAAAGGAAGAAGAAAATACGACTAATCAGTAAGTCGGCATTTCCTTGATTTACCTAGGTAAGCCGTTACCAGCCAAACTAAACCTCTAGTCCTGGTAACCTTTTCACCAGGTTAGTTCATTGACTTAGGATGTACAGTACACCCATACCCCCTCCTCTGTGGAAAGGAACCTAGGAATTCCAGGTGCGTTCGTACGGCTTCGGTCACAGAGACGGTTCGTGTGATGAGCACATTTTTGCGCGTCGTCCCTCCCCGTCCAGTTTGCAACCCTGGCCGCAAGCGCCAGGAGTTCCCCACACCGGCAAAATGCGAACACGGCATATCCGTGCGGCAAGAACCCGGGAAGGAGGCCAAAGAAGCCATCTCTTTGTCGTTCATAATGACAGACTCTCTTGATGCAGGTGAAAATTTTTCACATTTCTTTTTCGATTGTCGCCTGGCGATGAGCTCGCGGCGCATCGAGTATAAGTACAGGACGAAAAAGCCTCTGAAATTCCAGTTTCAATTGAATTCTTTGGTTCGGTGGTTGGGACTTGGATTTGAAAGATGCTTGTTTTTGTAGATTCTTTTTTATTCTCTTGATTCAAGTTTTAACTTGAAGCAAAGCTTTCTTGATAGTGCTCGGCTTATAAGTACTCGAATATCACCCAGAAGGAAAATGTCGTACAGAGACCCCGCCACGGCGCTTGAGTTCCTCAAGACTTTCGAAGAGAGAGATGGGCTGTCTGCAGAACAGCTTATGGACTCCAAGACTAGAGGTGGGCTTACATACAACGACTTTTTGATTTTGCCCGGCAAAATCGATTTCCCATCTTCTCAGGTCAGTCTGCAGACCAAGATCACCAAGAATATCACACTTAACACGCCGTTCGTGTCCTCTCCTATGGACACCGTTACTGAGAGCGAGATGGCCATCCACATGGCTTTGCTGGGTGGCATCGGTATAATTCACCACAACTGCTCTGGTCAAGAGCAAGCCGAGATGGTCAGAAAAGTGAAAAAATTCGAAAACGGTTTTATTAACTCTCCTGTGGTTGTTGGTCCATCCACGACCGTTGGCGAGGCCAAGCGCATGAGAGAGCAATTTGGCTTTGCCGGATTCCCTGTTACTGGTATGTTTAATGTCACGCCGCTTTGAAAACAGCGTCAAAAGTCGATCCCGTGCAAATGAGCTTTATGATGATCGATTTCAATTATAATAACTTTCGTTCTACTGAGTGCCGATCAAACGATCTTGTAGACAACTTTTTTATCTGATTTTGCTCCCTTTGAAGAATCGACTTTAGCGTATGCATGCGTTTCTTTACTAACTTTCGAAAACAGAATCTGGTACTCTACCTGGCAAGCTTGTCGGTATCATCACTTCTCGTGACATTCAATTCATTGAAGACGACACCCGTGAAGTGTCTGAAGTGATGACCAAAGATTTGGTCACTGCTAAGGTTGGTGTGACCCTTTCTCAAGGTAATGATATCTTGAAAAGCACAAAGAAAGGTAAACTGCCAATCATTGATGAGAGCGGTAACCTCGTTTCCATGTTGTCTAGAACTGACTTAATGAAAAACCAGAATTATCCCTTGGCCTCGAAATCTGACACTACTAAGCAATTGCTATGTGGTGCGGCTATTGGAACAATCGAAGCCGACAAAGAGAGACTAGCCCTTTTAGTTGAAGCCGGTCTAGATGTCGTTGTTGTGGATTCTTCTCAAGGTAACTCTGTCTTCCAAAAGAACATGATCAAATGGATCAAGGAAACATATCCTGGCCTACAAGTTGTTGGTGGTAATGTTGTCACCAGAGAGCAAGCCGCCTGTTTGATTGAGGCTGGTGTCGACGGTTTGAGAATTGGTATGGGTTCTGGTTCTATTTGCATTACTCAGGAAGTCATGGCTTGCGGTAGACCTCAAGGTACCGCCGTCTACAACGTCTGTAAATTTGCCAATCAATTTGGCGTTCCTTGCATGGCCGACGGTGGAGTTCAAAACATTGGTCACATTGCCAAGGCTATAGCTTTGGGTGCATCCTGTGTGATGATGGGTGGTATGCTTGCTGGTACCACCGAATCTCCAGGTGAATACTTTTTCAGAGATGGTAAGCGTTTGAAGACCTACCGTGGCATGGGTTCTATCGACGCTATGGAGAAAACTGATAAAAAGGGTAACGCCTCTACCTCGCGTTACTTTTCGGAGTCTGACAAGGTTTTTGTTGCCCAAGGTGTTTCCGGTTCTGTTGCAGACAAGGGCTCTATCAAGAAGTTCATTCCTTACCTTTACAATGGTATGCAACATTCTTGTCAAGACGTCGGCGTTAAGTCTTTGACTGAATTGAGAACTCAGGTTGACAGTGGTGTGGTCAGATTTGAGTTCAGAACCGCTTCTGCTCAACTAGAAGGTGGTGTCCACAACCTGCACTCTTACGAAAAGCGTTTACACAACTGAGGCCCTGCTCTAGTATACCAATTAAGGGGAAAAGATTTGGCCTAGCTATCAGTCGGTGAGATCATTGAAAATCGCCAATATTCTCAACTTATTTACTCAAGTATTTACAACTTTTTATTTCTTTGCATTGTTGACAACCTTCTTGTAAAAATCTTCCCGCTGCTTCCCTAGTTCCTCTAAACGTGGCGGAAGTCTTTCATTCACGAGATCTTCTCGTCTGGCTTTCTCGAAACTCGTTAAAGTCTCATTGAATCCTTCTACACCATGAGAAAGTGCTCCTCGAGGTAGCATACCAGCGTTAATCGTCTTCAAATATTCGACCTTATCACTTTCTTCCCTCAAAACCGAGAACATTCTCGAGACTTTGGCAATAGCCAAAATTTTATTTCTCAAAGCTCTTCTTTTAGCCATATCATTCAAAATTGAACTTTCCCCCTCTTCGGTTGTTGAATTAACCTTGTTAACTTGAACTTGCTCTTTGACCGCTTCCGTATGCCCAACCTCTTCTCTTATTAACGGTGTTTCTTCTCCTAATTCCTCTTCAGTACAAACGTTCAAAATCGAGACCAGCATCTCTGTGACCTTTTCACCAACAAACGGTAGCGACCAAGTGAAAACGTCCATGAAATTTGGAAGCCAATATGGATGGGGTGACATGTTGAATTGCCGTATGTTCATAACATTGTCAGAATATTTCAAAACCGCGGCTTTGTTCTTGTAGTTATCCAGATAATTCGGTGCACTGAACAACGTTAGGAGACTGGGGAAGCCTAAAGTCTCTGTGTTCTTGTACATTCGATAGCCTGCGTCCTGCGCTTCATGAGCCCTGATTATAGATAACAGCCCCGTCTTATGCAAAAAGGCACATGACGCTTGGTATGTGAACGCGAATGAGCAACCTCTTACGGTATTGGGTACAAAATTTCCAATACTTGAATCATCGGCATCTTCGTCGTAAGTTTCAATCGGATCAGCCCACATCAAATCACACATGAGACCCCGAGAAGGAATTTCCCGAAATCTGTTAATCTTATTCACGTCATCCAAGCTATTCAATTCAGGCGAAATGCCCCCATGAACGCAGAAATATTGACCATTCATGACAGCAGCCAGGGGCAGCGCGTTGAAGGATTTACAACATGCTTCGTACACTTTCATATCATATTTGTGGAGGCATTCGCTTTTGAAAGTGAAGTAAGACGTGAGATGTTTGCATTCGTGATTCCCTCTTAGCAGCCAAAAGTTTTTGAGATTGAGTTTTAGACTGTATAAGTAAATGAGACATTCAAACGAGAAAGCACCGCGATCGACGTAGTCCCCTAGAAACAAATATGAAGTAGACTTAGGATCTCCGCCGACTTCAAACAATTTCATCAAATCATAAAACTGGCCGTGAATGTCACCACATACCGTAACGGGAGCTGGGACGTGCAGCAAATTCGGCTCATTACTCAGACATTCTGTTGCCATGCTCAAGATACGCAATGCCTGTGCTTGAGTTAATCTTCCTTCGCGTTTGAAATAGTCACACAAAAAATCAGTGTCTGGAAGCCCGTTGGGTTGAAAGAGCTCTTCATCAGTAGGCGCTTTTCTGGCAACGGCCGGCACTGAAGAAACCACCCTTTCGACTGTTGAGACTTGTTTCCCATCTTCCAATGTATACGTCGTCAGATCAGACTCCCGAGATCTAGTTCCGGACTTACTGCGATCCACCGGCTTGTTCTTGATTACATTCAGAGCCGCATTTATCTTGTTAGTATTCTCCTGAGCTGTTGATAAACCAGGGTTAGACATATGGACAACAAAAGAAGCACAATTCAACGGAATTTAAGTCGAAGTTTCAAGAGAAACGTCCAATCAGGTTGTCAGCGTTTTTGCCACTTCGCTAGTTTGAAGTATAACTGGGCTTCGCACTGCGAATATCACTGGTGTTTAAGGTTGTAGAATCTTGACGGAAAAGACTCTTCGTGTACAATTACTGAAATTTTTAAGCCGAGCTCATCGCTCACAAGCTAGCTCATCGCTCAGGCCGTTTCGAGCTATTGAACGAGCTCTTGAATCGGTAATCGGCTACAAAAGAGAGGATTGGAATACTTGAAAAAGCGTGCAATGAATTCTATAAATATCATGTTAGGTCCAATCGACCACACGGCGTTTGTCGAGGCATCAAAATCTCGAGCCAATTTGGCATTTCAAAACGACAAACAGCAGGCGAAATTCGAGCTCGGAGTGTCGATGATGGTGTACAAATGGAATGCTCTGGAAGTTGCTGTAGTGAACTCCTGGGGAGGACCTGCTTCTGCTGAGAAACGAGACTGGATGACTGCTATTGTCGTTGATCTTTTCAAAAACGAGAAAATCGTGGATGTGGTCTTAATTGAGGATACCTTGTTGTATGCTATGGAGGATGAGTTTGAGACCAATGTTGAGGATGATTCAGCCCTTCCAATTGCAGCGGGGATCATAGAATTGTACAAGCAGTGTGATGCTCTGGATTTTACCACAGTCGAGCAGCTTTACTCCGATTGGAAAGAGAACGAGGAGAAGAGGGCGTCACAACGGGCGGCCTTGATCATCAAGAGTATTGAGGATTCGTCCTCAGATGATGAGGATGGTGATAGTGACGAGGACGATTTGGAGAACGGAGATGCATCTGAAATGGAGGTTGATGACGTGCCCGCTTTGACGAAACAGGAACCTGTTATAGACGACGACGGATTCGAGCTCGTTCAAAAAAAAGGGAGGAGAGGCCATTGAAGAAGCATGGTCGCAGATAAGGGCACCTTTCGAGGGGAAAATCGCGTTTGCTCATGTCATGTGTATATTAATTAAATATCTGTAATAATAACTTTTCTAACGTTGCGGTATGCCATTCCGTTGCAATCCTCCTGAAGTGAAACTTGTGTTAGAGTTTCTCGGTGTCCAGGGGCGCGACGTTGATGGATTCAACGTTCCTGCTGTCACAACAACGGCATCTGCTCCATATAACCCTCCTGATCCATTGTATATGAACTTTCGGAAAAAATTTGATGTCATATCAATCAATGAGTTGGTCTCCCTTTCTTCAACGGTCACTGGAAATAGAGTCACCCGCGTCCCTACCCAGATGTTTGCTTTCAATATACCCATATCCGGAATGAAATCGCTCCGTTGTCGTCTTTCACTAACTACAGAATGAGTGTCGCTTTCTTCATCAATCTTATCATCCGGGCTTCCTCTATTAAAACCCGTCCACGAAAACTTGAAAAGCGAGGAGCGTTCGCTGCTGTGTCCAGTAGAGTAATTTCCCTTCATCCAGGTGGATACATTGCCCCCGACAGTTGGGCTGTTAGGGCAACTATTTGTAGCTGACTCCGGATCGTGCAACGAAAGAAAGTTGGAAACTGAGCTTCCATTGCTGTTTGTTCGCGAGAGTGTAGAGCCGTGAGAGTTCCATCTCTCAAGACTTGGTGTCTGTGGCTGGGCAGGCTGGCCATTTTGGGAATTTCCCTCCTGTTTGTCGAACTCCCTCGAAAAAACACTCACAAATGGTAAACTATTGCGATTAAAGACATCAGCCCAGATAATTGATCTAAACCACTGCATGGTCACTTCATTGGAGAACCAGTTTACACTTAGAGCCGAGCTCATCTCCAAGGACTTTTTTAGACTTGGAGTTAGTACCCGGTAAACGCGTTCTCTAAAAACGGTATCGTAATTTTTCAACTTGCCCAGCAAGCTCAAAAAGTTTGATGAGTTGGCTTGGGATATTTCAGGAAATTTGTTATTCATGAAATGGGTTATTTTTAACAAAACCTGTAATGAGGAATAACCCAGCCAGCTCACAGCAAGGTTTTGAGTTTTCCTGATTTTAGCTTTCTGTTTGTAACTCATACCCAGAGGTCTAGCGGGTCTCGAGTTTATTAGAAGATTCATGTTGGATTCGAAAGGATCGTACTCGTAGTCGACGTGCTCAAATAACTCGACGGTTTTGCCAGGTGATTGATTGTTCAATTTTACGGCGGTAGCCTCCACTTCATCGACCTTGTTCGAATTAACGACAAAACACGGAATGGATGCCTTGTCACTAAAGAATGAGCTTGACGACTTTTTTCCAGCATTAAAGTCATCAACGTCATCAACAAGTTTAACGTATGCATTCTCAAAGTAATCATCTATCGTCAGTTTCTCTGCTGGCTTTCCAGCCTCGTCTTTTTGGGAAATAATGGATCCGTTGAGCGTCTTGGAAATAACATCAATACTCAATTTCAACTTTTGTAACGCTCTTTCGTTTCGCGACAATGCGAATAGAAGATTAATTGAGCTCTGGAAATGATTTATGAGATATTGCAAAATTGCTCTCAACAACAATGCAAGCATATCAAGCTTGTGACCCGGTGTTGTCAGATAAGCTCGCGGTTCGATATCGCTATCCTCTTGCGACCGTTCCAGACCTTTAGCCGTCTTCGAAGCTGAATTCTGTGCCAATGTCGATAAAAAAGTCTTACTTGACATCTTGGATATCAACTGAATTATTAAAGCAGATGTACCATAGCTCATCGCTGTTCTCTTGTTGACTTTTTCTGAAGACAGCTGCACGAGATCTTCTTGATTGGTGTCTGATGATGTGCATAAGAGGTTGTAAATGAGCTCGAAGAGAGAAGGATGCAAAACCTCATTCAGATCGACTTGTAAAATGGCAACGTTGACTAAGTGGGACACCGCGAAGTCGCGGTAAGTGAGGCTTTCTATCCCACCCACCGAAAGCTTGTAGAAATTTGGGATTTTGTTCGTATAGTAATTGCCATTGAAACAACATAACATCTTCGAGAAGATCAACGGCTTCGATGAAAGGTAAGTTGCGAATCCAGAAATTAACGGAATTATGTTATTCCGCAACTCTGGTGTGCTGGAATAAAATTTAATGTAAAAGATGCAGATAATCAAAAGCTTGTTCCCGTACTTGTCAGCCACATAGTTCTCGAAAGATTTGTTGCATGCCATCAATTCCCATAATAAAACAAAGACCTGCAATGACCATCGAGGGACAGACGGAAGAGTTGGATTGGCTTTGCTGTCATTATTTTCGGCTCTGTTTGCAGAATAAACTCTTTGAGATGATCTAGAAGTCTTGGATTTCATCACACTACTGCCATTGAGAATGTTGAACGGATTCGATTCGTTGTCGATGGCTTTATCCAGGGGTCTCTTCAAAAGGGTAGCAAGAGACACGAGGACGAATTTCAGATCAAATTCTCGTCTCAAGGTTGATAAGTACATTCTTGCGCCGTTATTGATCTGGTAGTCAGTTGGGTAAAGGTTAAGGCCATACAAAAAGTCATATAGCTCCTGTTTATCTCTTCCTTCGACTGAAAAGGATATCATAACGTTCAGTAATTGTAAAGAAGTAGTGACAAGTTGTTTTCGCAGGGAATCAATCTGTTGAGGCTTAAGAGAACTGGAGTAGGTATTTGATGGATAGTGTAATCCATTGTTATCATCGTTATTCCTGCACGACCGACAGACCAAGTTCAGAAACGATGAAATCATGCGAACAATATCAAACTCGGGTAATGAAGTACACATGACCGCAAGAAACTTCGAAAACTCGGTGTTATAAATCTCAGTAGAGCATAGGGTTAGAAGTAATTGCAAAACTTCTAGTCTCGCAGCATCAAGTTTCGGATTCGGATTCTGATATGACGTCTCACTCGTACCCACGCCGTTTTCCCAAAGAAGACTCGAATCCGAGCCCAAGCTCTTGAGATCCGGCTGTGTAAGAGGTACAGAAAAGCCCTCCATAAAAAGTAATTTTAAACATGATTGCAAGAGCACGAGCCCTGGCGGAAGTAAATCCTCGCCAGACTCTACTGCATCAATCAGGACGCGCAGTGACTCCAAAGGCGCTTTATTGGCCGTGATGTGGTCCGAACTAGGCATGCTAGGCTGGTCAGCGGAACTCGCTGAGGAGAGCTCGCCAAACGAGCTAGAATCTATGTCTCCGCCGTTGTGCTGGTTTCCAGGTAAAGAATCGTTATTTTGGAACGCCTGACGACTATTCCGGGTCCAAAAAAAAGCAGAGTCCAGCTCTGACCTGGCATCACTCTCGAGCAGCACAGGCAAAATTTTGATCAAAATTCGCACACAGGTCAAAGCTTGTGTCTTTAACATACGAAATTGCACCAGATTTTGTGACTCTTGCATCTGCGCGACCAGCGAGCAGAACTTGATCGTGGCAAAACGAACGAGCGCACTGAAATTTTGGTAATTCGATTCCAACAAAAGTCGTACTTCTTGAGTTGTCACGATAGAATATACCACTGTCGCTTCTAATGAACTTTCAACAAAGGTATTGAAGTACGCTGAGAAGGGATCTGGTGTGAGTTCGACTATTCTATCATCGTCGTTTTCGGTGGCAACGAATGTTGGTGTTTTGTAGTATCGAACTGCTGACTCTTGAGAAGCCCAGCTTGCGTAAAGTGGTATGTTTACAGTCCCGGCGAGTTGGAATATATGTTCTCGGCTCTGAGTAAGCTTCGAGTCGCTATTCCCCATTCCCAAAGATGTCGGCCGAATCCCCTTCCTCAGTCCCTTTTGTTGGATCTCTTATTTCCGTATCATTATTCGAAATATTGAAATTTTCCCTCTCGGAAGATAACATATATCGTCCAGCGGAAGCAAAATACTGATGATGACAGCGAAATGGAAAATAAAAACACCCCCTCGGTCATCATGGACACTGAATACCAAACAAGACCACAGGTCCCAAAAACAGAAATATTTCTTGCCCGTAGTTACTTAAACATAAGTAAGACCTAACTAATAAGTTCACGGCCAAATCAGATATAGAAAAAGAGCAAATGCCTATGCTGCGCCGTGTCGCTAATGTACAGTACGTTTCATGAAAAACGGTGGATGCGGTTGTGCACGAGAGTCCAACGCAAAAACCGCCGTTTACGGTGTCCCTTCTACCACTCAGAGACCTGGTCGAAGCCCCGTTTGACGCCCATCATGAGATCTCCGGCGCCCAGCTTGTTGCGCATGATGTCGTTGTCAATGTGCTCCAGACGCTCGTCCAGTTGGCTTTCCCACATGGCGAGAGAGCTGGAACTCGAGACCGTGCGCTCGTTGACGAGCATCGGAGCTTGACGAGCACCAGATAGCGGAACACGCTTGTACTCTGGGATCGTGAAGTTGGAGTTGTCCTGCATGCAGACGTTGGAAAAGTGCGAAGGCGAAGAAACAGGCGCTGAAAGCGACTGTGGTGTCTGATACCCGCGGTCGACGGACTGTCTGATACGCATGCCCATCGTTGAGAGGGCCCCTTGACAGCCATTCAGATCGGACTGTGGGAGGATCGCGGCGTGAAGTTGTCTTTTGACAGGAGATTCGGTGGTCATGGTCAAAAATGGGAATGCTTCTAAGATGTTTCGGTCCGCAACCCGACAGAAATTATAAATTGAGAGTAAGTTCGGAAACAGCTACTCACACGTGTTTTTGCCTGCTGGCGGGTGAAGGTGAGGAGCCAGTTACATATCACGGGGAGAAACAAAGCAAGCCTAATATATAGACAGCCATTTCCGAGGGCAACCCATCGAGGAAGACAACTTCCGAGGGTCCATATGTTTACCAAAAAACCATACTAAGCTGTGGTGTTTGGGTTCCCCATGTTTACCTTTTAGTTGGTGTATGGGTGTTTCAGTCGCTTCTAACGGAGAGATTCGTAACCTATTAATATACCCTTGTGTCTTTGTAGTGTGTTAAAATATGCTAAAATTTCCTCAATATCATTGAACATGGCAATTTGGCCGAGTGGTTAAGGCGTAAGATTAGAAATCTTTTGGGCTCTGCCCGCGCAGGTTCGAATCCTGCAGTTGTCGTAAACTTTTTATCTTGATATCCTCATATTACCGTCCGTAGCGATCAGGACTCAACACACGTAAACTTTTTTTTCTTTTGCCCCGTTCGTTTGATACTGTTGACCCTATGCACTAACAACAGCGACGATGTTTCCTCTATGCACTAAAGACAGCGATTCTTGCGTCCTGCACAGACCATGCGGCTCTAAGCACCGATTTTTGCATGAACAAGTATCAGGATAAGACGCGCACGGTCGATAGACAACACGTATATATAAAAGGGACAGAGCCAGGGCGCTTTTCCTTGTCACACTAAATTTCTCTCTCAGTCTCAACTACTTTAAGTGCATAGAGAACTTACACCTTCCAGTTAAGCATGTCAGAAATCAATCTCTCGTCAGCAACCACTGTCGACTACGAAGAACGCTATTCCGCCCACAACTACCACCCTCTACCTGTCGTTTTTCACAAGGCGCAGGGTGCGCACGTATGGGACCCCGAAGGCAAAGAGTACCTTGATTTCCTGTCTGCGTACTCCGCGGTCAACCAAGGCCACTGTCACCCGGACATCGTCGCCGCCCTCGTCGACCAAGCCAAGACGCTCACGCTATCGTCACGGGCCTTCTCTAACGACGTGTTTGCCGCTTTTGCCAAATACGTCACTGAATACTTCGACTACGAAATGGTGTTGCCTATGAACACCGGCGCCGAGGCGGTCGAGACCGCCATTAAGCTCGCCAGAAGATGGGGTTACATGAAGAAGGGCATTCCGCACGGCGAGGCCATCGTTCTAGCCGCGGAGGGCAACTTCCACGGACGCACGTTCGGCGCGATCTCACTTTCGACCGACGAAGAAGATTCTAGAAAGTTCTTTGGGCCTTTCTTGAAAAACACGTCTGCGCAGATCCCCGGCGAAAAGCGATTCATCCGCTATGGCGTCATCGAAGACATCGAGGAGGCCTTCAAAAACGCAGGCGATCGCATAGCCGCCATCCTGCTAGAGCCAATCCAAGGTGAGGCCGGTATCGTTGTGCCACCCAAAGATTACCTCAGCAAGGTCCAGGCCCTATGCCGTAAGTACAACGTGTTGTTGATCTGCGACGAGATCCAGACCGGTATCGCGAGAACCGGTAAAATGCTATGCTACGAGCACTCTGAGGGCGTCAAGCCCGATGTTGTGCTCCTGGGTAAGGCCATCTCGGGTGGTGTGCTGCCCGTGTCGTGCGTGCTCTCGTCCAAAGAAATCATGCTTTGCTTCTCGCCCGGTTCCCATGGCTCTACGTACGGCGGTAATCCCTTGTCGTCAAGGGTTGCCATTGCCGCGCTCGAGGTCGTACGCAAGGAGAAGCTCGCGGAAAGAGCTGCCGAGCTTGGCGAGCTCCTGCACGGAGAGCTCGAGAAGCTGCAGAAGGAGTCCAACGGCGTTATCTCCGAGGTCCGCGGCCGGGGTCTACTGACGGCGATCGTTATCGACGCGTCCAAAATCGGTGGCAAAACCGCCTGGGACCTGTGCCTGCTCATGAAGGACAATGGGGTGCTTGCCAAGCCCACGCACGAACACATCATCAGACTCGCGCCTCCGCTGGTCATCTCTAAGGAGGATCTGCTGAAGGGTGTAGAGGCGATCAGGCTCTCGCTCAAGCAGCTGTAAGGGTCCTGTACACCCTAGGTAGCAGACCGTATGTTGTACCCTGTATGTAGATTACGCACTGACTAAACAAATGTCACTTTACTCCGACGCGGCGGCCTTTGAGCTTGGTACAGTTTGCTAAATACATTGAGAATCACCAGTGTCGGAAGTCAGTGGTCGTTTAATGGTCATTGCTGGGATCGTTTGGCTTCTATGTATTTCTTGGGAACAGAATAAGAATTTCCCACTCTACCTCGTATTTCATTCCGTCGTCGTGGTCACGTGATAATGACTTCCGGAAGTGCTACTTGCGACGACGTACACTCTCTCCAACAATATCAGCATTCGATTTTCATGTGTTCATTACACTCGTAGTCTATATTCCATAAAAACTGCTCTATACGCGTAAAGGTTTTCTGACTTATTTGGAAACCTTTTCAACCAAGTCGACAACTCTGGTGGAGTAACCGAACTCGTTGTCGTACCAGGAGACCAACTTGACGAACTTAGGAGACAACTGGATACCGGCAGAAGCGTCAAAGATCGAGGAGTGGGAGTCGCCCAAGAAATCGGTAGAGACGACGGAGTCCTCGGTGTAGCCTAGAACACCCTTCAATGGACCCTCAGAAGCCCTCTTGACAACAGCCTTGATTTCGTCGTAGGAGGTGGCCTTCTCCAACTTGACGGTCAAGTCAACGACAGAAACGTCGACAGTTGGGACTCTGAAAGCCATACCGGTCAATTTGCCCTGTAGCTGAGGCAAGACCTTACCGACAGCCTTGGCAGCACCAGTGGAAGATGGGATGATGTTGCCGGAGGCGGTTCTACCACCTCTCCAGTCCTTGTGGGATGGACCGTCGACGGTCTTTTGGGTGGCAGTCAAAGAGTGCACGGTGGTCATCAAACCTTCGTCGATTCCGAAGTTGTCATCGATAACCTTGGCCAATGGCGCCAAACAGTTGGTGGTACAAGAAGCGTTCGAAACGATCTTCTGGCCGGCGTACTTGTCCTCGTTGACACCGATGACGAACATTGGCGCGGTAGAAGAAGGAGCAGTGATGACAACCTTCTTGGCACCAGCATCAATGTGCTTCTGGGCAGAGTCCAGTTCCTTGAAGACACCGGTGGAGTCAATGGCAACGTCGATGCCCAATTTACCCCATGGCAATTGCGCAGGGTCCTTCTCTTGGAAGACCTGAATCTTCTTGCCGTCGATGATGATGTGCTTGTCATCGTGCGAGACAGGGCCCTCGTATTTGCCGTGGGTCGAGTCGTACTTGAACATGTAAGCGGCGTACTCAGTGGCAATGAAAGGGTCGTTGATCGCGACGACCTCGATATCCTTTCTCTGAAGCGCGATTCTTAGCACGATTCTGCCAATTCTACCGAAACCGTTGATGGAAACTTTAGTCATTTTGTTGATAAACTGATTAGGCTTGTTTGTTCAGAACTGATACAGCTGTAGTGCTTGAAATGTTCCTGATATGAGAAAAAAAAATTATAGCTTTCTGTACCAGTTAACTTGACAAACAACTGTCCTTATATACTTTATTTCTACTCTTGTTTCCACCTTAGAGAGCCTACATTATAATCCCGCTTATTGTCTGCATACGACGGGCTGCCAAGTGCTTCCTATTTACAAGAAGCCAGGTAGCAGCTACATTGCATTCCTCCGGCTCGGAAGAGAAATGGGTTCCAGAATCTTCGCGTAATTAGGGGACATACTGCATTGAGGCTCGGACTAGGCGGGTCATTACAAGGGAGGCAGTGTCTCCGTCACCCAATTGTGTGCTGAGTCTCCTGATGCAACCGGAGGTCCTTGCCAGTGACACGGACGCAGAGCACCACTGGCAACGTCACGTGAGACTGCCGACGAATTGGTAAGAGCCGCGTCGTAGAGAAAGACAGACCCACGGACTTCCGTTTTGACGCGGCTCGAACGGGTGATGGTACAGCACGTGAGCACAGGAGACAGCACGTCTGCATAAGCCTTGGACGCGGAAACGCGGACAAACCAAAGGCAGGTTCAGTCAGGCCCTAATGTGGTGACCACCACCTTAGTAACTGGTGCACTGATGGCGACTTTCCTGGAAGCTACACGGCGCGGATTGCCGCGGATGCGTAAAAGCAGGCTTTTACAGGTGGTACGAGCAGCATGTTGACGAAATAAGTCGAACCTAATTACTCAGCGGGCCCTGCGACAGCCCTTTTGGCCGGTGTTATGGCCTCGTGCGACGGACGTCGCGGGTTTGGATCACGTGACTCTTGTCTAATTAGTGACCCTTATTATTAATGCTAGCGACAGGGTTTGAGAAGCAAGTTAACGATAAGAAGAGTGGTAATCGGCCAAATCCACTGGTCAGTTGGAAAACTGGTTATACTATCGTAATTCATACAGGCCTGTTCTGTATCTTGTTTTTTTAATGTTTTCCAGACCATACTGGAATTTCGGGCCATGCTAGAAGCCTAAAAAATAATCGTTGAAAGGAGACAAGACCACAAGGAGCAAGAGAAAGATTTGCCTTGACTCAGGGAGCTAACAGCGACCCTACTCTTGCATAATTAATTACAAGAAGAGCGCAGAAATCGAGGCTCTCCCTTGAAAGCCCTGTTTGGGAACCCCATGTTTTTTTCGTCACCGACAGCTGGTGAGGGCCGATGGTGTGTATACTCTTGTACGAACGATATCTAGAGCTACTTCAAAGCCGCTGGAAATGTACAACTGCTCTGATTGCTTCTGGGAATCCAAACAGTTCGTAATGACAATGGGAGAAACCCTGCTGGCCAATGAATCGACTCTAACAACCGGAGATCTCTTCTACAGCGGCAGCGAGTTGCTCGGGAATGTAGCGAACGCGATGGTTGTCAGTACGCAGTACCTGCTGGACTTTACACACACCACGACCAAAGTCACGATGCGATACTTCTGGAGACTCGTAAAAGCTGTGCTTCTGGGAATACCATCGAAGGTCTATATGTCGTCATCGGTTGATATAACGGTGCCGTTCTCAACATTAATGATCTGCCTCGTCCTAATAATGCTCGTCACATATTATTTTGTTCGAACGCGATTCCTCAATGCATACAGGCGACTTCAGCCCGACGAAGACGACGAATTCCTGCTCAAGAACAAGAAGATACAAGATGACACGGATGCGCTTTTCATGAATAACCTCAACGATCGCAGGAGAGGTGATTTTTCGTCGTACTTGGAAGAGTTTCTAAGCGCGATAAAGATATTTGGTTATCTCGAGAAGCCTGTATTCCATGAACTTACAAAATCGATGAAAACCCGCCGCCTAGAAGAGGGCGAGGTAATGCTTGTCGACAACGCTCTTGGTTTTGCAATTGTTGTCGAGGGTAGTCTGAACATCTATCACAGAGTGGACAGACAAAGCAAAAATTCGGGCCCGTTTCCTTCCAATTTCGATACAACGCGCGACTTTGAGAACCAGAGTGACGATAGCTTAGATTCAGACGATCCCATATCCAGTTTAGGATCGTCTTCGCTGGACGGTGAAAAATTCCAGCTGCTGAATACCGTACGAGCAGGAAACCCAATATCATCTCTGATTAGCATCCTCAAGCTTTTTACCGAGACTAGCAGTGATTACGAAGACCAGATGGAGTCTGTTTCTAATACCATGTCGCCTCAACCTAATTTTATGACTCCCTTTCTTGATTCAACTGTTGAGCAGCATAGCGAACACTTACAGCACTCTGAGGACTCGAAGGGCAATAAAGGGAGAAACACGGATCTGAGCGATGATCTGAATGCACAAGCAGACACAGATCATGGTTCCGAGAAATCAGATAGTGGAAGGGGCGAGGAACTTCCACCAGTAGTACCCGAATTGATTGCTCGTGCTTCAAACGACTGTACAATAGCCATAATTCCTCCTTCCTCGTTTGTAAGACTCACCTCCAAATACCCCCGCTCAGCTTCTCATATAATACAGATGATTTTAACAAAACTGTACCGCGTCACCTTCCAGACTGCCCACAATTATCTTGGTCTAACAAAGGAGATTGTCAAGACCGAGCAAGTTTTGAATGCGAGCGTAGATTTCGACTTGCCGTGCTATTTGCGGGAAGCTGTTGTCAGGAGAACAAACGCGGAGGACAAAGGTGAAGCGCGAAATGCTGCAGATAGCAAGCCCGCCAAGCATCGGAGACCAGAGCTTTTGAAAAAGGGTGGCCGCGCTACTAGGCCGCATAGCTTCATGAGAACGGGAGAATCTCGGCATGTTGTTTTAGATTCCAGAGACCATTTTAATCCGGGAGATCTACTCTCAAACGTTCCGCTTTCAAGGAAAGACTTTCACAACGCAAAAGGCAACAATGGGGGTCAACTTTACCAGAACTCCAGTAATGGAACTGTTTCTGCTAGGACAATGGACCGTGTTTCTTCGGACAGCACTCACCGTCCCGGTTCTCCTTCCCCAGGAATAGAACAAAACAACTCCAGTAGTGCCGTAAGCAGCGCAATGAATAGCGCACTTGTTGATGATGATGTCCGCCGCAGGACGTTTTCTGCCATTCAGGACGAAACTGAGGAGTCGTCATGGAGAATGGCTTTAATTGAGGGCATTTTCGCATATTTGGGAATTACAAAGCAGAACATATTACCAAGCTCCAATACGAGTAATCTATCAAATAGTATGAGACGATCATCTGAGATATCTTTAAGCTCCTCTCGAACATCATCCCAATTCCCGTCTTCTCTGGAGTATCACATCATCCCAAGCAAAAGATTTCCAATAAAGCACGGAAGGAGTTCGAAAAGAAGCAAAAAACACGGCGAGGAGGTCCCTCAAAACATAGACTTCGACACCGTCAAAAATGAATTTGCTCAAGGTCTACAGACCATGTTTTTTCGAGCAGGATCGACAGTTGTTGAGCAAAATAAAACTAACACAGGCCTCTTTTATGTCATCTCGGGAACTTTGGAAGTGGCCTGTAAAAATGATGATGACGATCGCAAGGAACAGGTTCTGTACAATGTTAACCCTGGTGGAATTGGTGGTTACCTGGCGGCTCTAATTGGATGTAAATCGTTTGTCTCCCTTAGGGCCAAAACAGATCTTTACGTGGGACTTTTACCCACCGATACTTTAGAGAGACTTTGTGACAAATATTTTATGATTTATCTGCGGATAGCTGAAACTTTGAGCAAGGTCCTGAGCCCTAAGATTTTGAAGCTTGATTATGCTCTCGAGTGGATCCATTTAGAGGCCTCCGAAACATTATTCAATCAAGGCGACCCAGCAAATGCTATATATGTGGTTTTGAGTGGGAGATTGCGTCAACTCCGCAAAGCACCGAAGGCAGAGGTTGAAACGAAGCGCAAGAGGAAACGGGATGAACTGCTCAGCTCTAGGAACGTTCAAACTGTGGGCGAATGTGCTCAAGGACAAAGTGTAGGAGAGGTCGAAGTCCTTACTGCAATCAACCGCTTGGCCTCAGTGGTTGCACTTAGGGAAACCGAGCTTGCACGTATTCCTCGAACTTTATTCGAATTGCTAGCCCTTGAACATCCTTCAATAATGATTCGGGTCAGTAGATTGGTTGCGAGAAAGATTTTACAGCAACAGAATGCAACAGAAACTACCTTACAGAACAGCTCAAATGACACCAGATATGATTTTAATCTATTAATTCCGCCTTCAGAAACCCTGAAGGGGAGCACGATCGATAATAAAAGAACAGGACAAGCCAGTGGCCGGACTTATCGAACCATTTCTATATTACCAATCGCTCAAGGTGTTGCGGTAGGTGATTTTGCTTCCAGACTAGTGACAGCGCTTAAGCAGGTTGGAAGGAAAACGATAGGACTAAATCAATCCACCACCTTATCACATCTAGGCCGGCACGCATTCGACGGACTCTCCAAGTTGAAGCAATCGGGTTATTTTGCAGAGCTAGAAGAGCTTTACGATACTGTCGTTTATATCGCTGACACACCCGTCAACTCCTCGTGGACTCAAACATGCATAGCCCAAGGAGATTGCATTTTATTACTTGCCTATGCAACAATGGATACTGATATAGGAGAATATGAGAGGTTGCTCATTAAGTCCAAAACCAACGCGCGAGTAGAGCTTATATTTCTTCACGAAGAAAGATATGTCAGTCCAGGATTCACACATAAGTGGCTCAAAAACAGAATCTGGATTCATTCTGAGCACCACGTTCAAATGTCGAGCCCAAGCATCATTTTACAAGACGATGAGAAGACGTCTGCGCCGCTACAAGGCAATATTATGGACATATTCCGTCAAAAAGAGCGTATCAATAAAATAACTAGAAAGACGCAGGAGAATATATCGCGGTTGCTTCCAGATTCTCTTAAGGCGACTGTAGAGAATCTGTCACTGAAGTACATTTACAAGAAGCAGCGATATTACACCCCAGTACACTCTCATAAGAATGACTTTCTGAGACTGGCACGAATACTTTCAGGACAAGCCATCGGACTGGTGCTCGGGGGCGGAGGTGCGAGAGGCATTAGTCACCTTGGAGTTTTGAAGGCCATAGAGGAGCAAGGAATTCCGATAGATATGATCGGTGGTACCTCTATAGGTGCCTTCATCGGAGGTCTCTATGCAAAAGATTATGACCTCGTGCCCATTTATGGCCGTGTTAAAAAGTTTGCTGGTCGTCTTAGCTCGATTTGGCGCATGCTGACCGACCTTACGTGGCCTGTTACATCATACACAACCGGACACGAGTTTAATAGGGGAATATGGAAAGCATTCGGAGATATCCGAATAGAGGACTTCTGGATACAATACTACTGTAACTCGACAAACATAACTGAGTCAATTCAAGAAATCCATTCATCAGGGTATGCATGGAGGTACATCAGAGCTTCTATGTCTCTAGCAGGATTACTTCCACCAATCGAGGACAATGGATCCATGCTTCTCGATGGCGGTTATGTCGACAATCTACCCGTCTGGGAAATGAAGGCACGCGGTTGTAAAACCATTCTGGCAGTGGACGTGGGCTCAGTAGACGATCGTACGCCATTGAGATATGGAGATTCCTTGAACGGCTTTTGGATAGTTTTCAACAGATGGAACCCCTTTTCCACGCATCCCAACGTGCCAAACATGGCTGAAATTCAAATGCGGTTAGGGTATGTAGCCTCAGTCAACGCTTTGGAAAAGGCTAAGAATACCCCTGGAGTTATTTACATTCGTCCACCAATCGAGGGCTATGCAACGCTAGATTTTGCTAAATTTGAGGAAATCTATGAGGTTGGTGCTGCGTATGGGCTCGAATTTTTCCAAAAGTTAGAAGCAGATGGCAAGATGCCTCCAATTCCAGGTTCCGCGTCCGATTTCAGCGACAGCAATCTGCCCTACAGCATGATGCAGAGACGTAACAGTATCTGATTATTCTTACAATGCCGGCCCTATTAATGCATATTTTAAAAAATTAGACAACTATACAATACATCTGAAAACCTCCAGCAGTGGTGGTCATTATCCATTAGTTATTGGTCTGATGGAGTTGTCACCAAAGTCACCGTATCCCCGCGAACAAATATCATTTCGGCCTCGCGCTTGGTTGACTTCAATTCGTTTTCTACCAGCTCGTAGATGGTTTCTACCGCATCGGACAAGACGATATTGCAGTGAGAATCGAATGCCTGCAGAGTACCAGTTAATTCCCTAGCTCCACGCAACTTGACGTATACCTTCTCATCCAAGTTCAGTTTCAACAAGTCCAATGGAGAATCAGAAGACATTATATTTCAGAGCACAACGATATGTCCCCTGCCAGCGAGAATTGTACCGAAACCTCTTCCAGGTTTAAATTGTCAAAGCTTTCTTGATGAAAATTACTGGTGAAGATATCCGGGTATCATTGATGGACAAAAATTTTCAAAGGTTGAAGACAGGAGGATAAAGAACGACAAATTTTGGGGCGAAAAGGCCGGATACTGAGACCCGTAAATCATTTCCAAAGTTGAGTTCTGAGGTGTTCCGCGTAGTTTGGATATTTGTATCATTTTTGAGCTGAATTGCGCAAGAATTAATCGGCTTTTAGCAATGTTTCTGGCCAAAAGAGAATTGCACACTTCAATACGGTTAGCTGCCAGAACCAGATACACAAAGCCCAAACCAAAGCAGCCGGTTGGCAAGCCTATTGCGAATTTGGCTCAGAAAGCACATCACAGCAATGATTTGCGTGTTACGGCACCCATCCCGCCTGCTACGTCAAATGTTCAGGTTCCTGACGATCATCCTTTATGGCAGTTTTTTGCGGACAAAAAGTACATGCGAAAGTTCGATGAACTAGATACCGATTCGAGACCTTGGACGGTGGCGGAATTAAGAAGAAAATCGTTTGATGACCTCCATTCGCTGTGGTACACATGTTTGAAGGAAAGAAACGTCTTGGCCAGAGAAAACCATTTGTTAAGAAACGACATAGGATCTAATCAAGAAATCTATGAAACCGTGGCCGAGAAGATTAGAACTACGATGTGGAGGATAAGGCATGTTTTGAGCGAACGGGATCATGCTTTTGACAAGGCCCAGAAAGATTTTGATAAATACCGCGAGGGCTTTCTACAAGATTTTGAGCAAGAATTTTTGGCTACTCCGGCTTCCGAGGATCAACAAGCATTTGAAAAGCTTGCACGTCTGCAATTCAGCATCTTTGGCATCAGTGAATATATCGACGAAAACCGGGTCGATCGCAAGTTTGTCGATGGAATGAAGTATGTTGCAACCCTAAAATTGAAAAGATTTGCGGCAAGGAACGCAGATATCGAGTCTATCTTAGAAGGATCGAACTACAGTATTTCAGATGCCGGTGAGGCGTTTGTGATATTTACGGCAGAAAATACTGAAAGCGCTGCCGTTGAAGCCTGTCAGGTCGTTCAAGAGCTTCGTGAAAAGAAGTCAACTGTAAAAAGGTACGACGAACTCGACACTGTTGGCGAATACGTCCAGAAATTGGCTGCTGCCCAAGCAGAGCAAGCAGCTGTCACCACTGCTGAACTCTGATTATGCTGTTCAGTCTGTAACCGTTCATTAAAGTCATGTAAATACCTATCAAGAGAGATGATGTTACCTTCAACTTTGAACACTCTCCGTGATCCTCCTTTTAATTTCCATTGCCACAACCTCCGTCCCAACTTTTTCCTCTACTTTCACCTCTATCTCGAGTTTTCTCTTGCTTATAGTCCCTTCTTGGGTAGCGCCAAGCGTTTTGCCTATTTCCTGGGCAAACACGATGCCTTGAATCCAGCCGGCATAGTCTCCCCATAATTCCTTGAACATGATGCGGATAGAATCCAACTCGTAATTGATTTTTCTCCGTGTAATGGGCATATCTTTGTACATATCTTGCAACTGGAATAAATCTCTTTTCCTAGAGACAAACCGGTAGTCCCGTTGTGCTATGCGAGCGATATGCACATCTACGGGTACCACATGGTCTAAGCGCATTCCAGATAGGCAAACGCAGTCTGCAACCTTGGGGCCAACACCAGGAAACCCCATAAAATTTTCTCTGATCTGCTCATAGTTCAAGGTTTTTTTCCAGTTTTCCAGAAGCGGTGTGTCCGACAGCATGCCTTTCGCAAGTTCCTGCATTTTCTGAGCTGTTCCCATGATATATTTGGCCCGATACCCAAACCCCAAAGTCCGCAATTCAGATTCTGACGCTCGTTCCAGAAGTTGTGCGCTCGAAGGAAACGAGCAATGTTCGACTCCATTGTAGACACCCAATTTGTCACCGTAGTTCGAACTTAATGCATGACACATTTTCGTAATCCGAGAAATATTATTGTTGCTCGAACATATAAACGAAACAAGCGTTTCCCAGGGATCCTGGGCCAAGATCCGCACTCCAAGTGGTGCTTTCGATTTCAATCTTGAGTCTCTTAATGCCCAGTCTTTAGCGAATAAATCTAAAAGTGGTACTTCCAATCGGAAATAACTTTCAACAAACGAACGCAAGACATCTTCTTCTATCGTGTCCAAGGTTCCATACTCTATGCAATTGTCTTTACCCTGTTTCACCACCACTATTCTGTATTTTCCCCCAACGTTAAGACTCGCTGAGTACTGTCTCAAATCTTCGTGAAAAACCCATCTAAAGGCCTGTCCACAGTGCAAAACATTGTCTATGACCAATTCACCCGGCTGGAAAAGTATCTTGTTGAACTTTATCATCAACAAATGGTTCTGCAGTTTCTTCACGGACTGGTACTTATACATGCAAGATCATCTTTCTTCATCACTGTTATGGTCGAGAGATCATGAAATGCGTTTCTTCGAGTTTCGCGTATGCAGTGATGTGATGATCTTCGCGTAAGATCATCAACTGACATATAGGTAAACACCTGAACATTTCGCCAGAAGAATCCAACTATTAGGGAAAGCGGACTCTCGCAAAAGCTCTCGAGACAGTAACCATATCTGTGTTGAATTCTCTATGTTAATTTGAAAATATTTGTCACTTTTCTCCCGCTGCTGTCCTTGTATGAAATTGGGTAGATTGATCAGGATCAGGATCAGGAGCCCATTTGGAATCACGAGAAACATTCACAGTCACCGAGTTTTGCTGACAATGAAGTTGTCTCAGCACTATCAAACATCGTTACAAAATGAGAGAGCCAAAAGTTGGGATAGCAGCGAATTGTGTCAGTTGTTGTCGGACTCTGACGAGTGGGATGACGAGCCTGCGTTGAAGAAAGTGAAACTGAAACCAACAAACACATTGGAATCTACAATCTTTGAATCAGGAAGTGATGACGATGATCTAATGATATTGCTGGAGCAGAAAGCCCCGGTTCGTGCAGAACTGCCCGCGACTTTGTTGCTAGACGATGAGAATACGAATTTAGCTAGCAGACATCATAAAGTTCACACAGAGAGCAAGAATTTGGATACAAGTTCAAGCCAGGACAAGACACCATTAGCAAGCTCATATCAAGCTTCAGACGCCTCTTATGTACCGTCGAGCAAGGACGAAGTTAACGAAGTTGACGTGACAAAAGACACAAAAAGACCTGCATTGAGGGCACGAAATCATGAGCTTGTATTTCTTACGCAGCAAACAAATATGCATGAGAATAATTCTAAAGAGGGTTCCGCGGAACCAGCGAGCCGAACTTCGACTGGAATTGCGCGGAAACAAGTACAGGGGTTGGTTCTTAGTGAGGAACAAGAGTCGGTCATCGAGCTTGCGAAGCAGGGACTTAATATTTTTTACACTGGTAGCGCAGGAACGGGTAAATCTGTTCTTTTACGCGTTCTTATAAAGACCCTGAGAAGAATGTACGGACACGGAAGTGTGGCAGTGACAGCGTCAACGGGGCTGGCAGCCTGTAGTATCGGAGGAATCACGGTGCATTCTTTCGCGGGAATTGGTCTTGGAATTGGGGAGCCGTCTAAACTAGTTCAAAAGGTGAAAAGATCTAAAAAACATGTCTTAAGATGGCAAAATATTTCAGCTCTCGTCATCGATGAAGTTTCCATGATTGATGGAGAGCTTTTGGATAAGTTGGATCATGTTGCAAAGAAAATCCGAAAAGACTCTTCACCTTTTGGAGGTATCCAAATCATATTATCCGGTGACTTCTTCCAACTACCGCCTGTTAACAAAAATCAAAATCAGGAGATCAAATTTGCCTTCGATTCGAGCGCGTGGAAAGATTCTATCAATGCCACCATTATGCTCCAAAAAGTTTTCAGACAGCAAGGGGATGGTCGGTTCATTCAGATGCTTAATGATATGAGAATGGGTAACATCGATTCGGAAACCGAACTTGAATTCAAAAAGCTATCTAGGCCCTTGCCAGACGATGAAATCATACCCGCGGAGCTATACAGCACGCGAAATGAGGTCGAGAGAGCAAACAATTCAAGACTTTATAATTTGCCCGGAAGGGTCAGACTTTATCAGGCTATTGATGGTGGAGAGCTTTCAGATGTGGATGCGAAAGAAAAGCTGCTTGCCAATTTCTTGGCGCCAAGAGAACTACAACTTAAGGTTGGCGCACAGGTTATGATGATAAAAAACATAGATGACACATTGGTGAACGGCTCACTCGGAAAGGTTATAGATTTCATTGATTCCGATACTTATTTGTTTTACGAAAAGCTACGAAGTAATCCAGATATGAAAGAAGGAGATCTTAACGTGCTACTTTCTGGGAAGCGATTGCCCGACATGCATTCTGACGATGAAGATGATGCGAATCAGCGCGTTAAAAGGAAAAAGACGCTGAAGGGCACTTTCTGTAAATCAGATAAAGATGAACCCGAAGAGAAATTGGGCGAAACTATCTTTGATTTCTTAAGAGATGGGATTGACGCTACCGATCCCCAAACCATGGCAAACGCCGAGCGGAAAAGAAGGCTCATTGAAGAACTACATGAAAGTTCATCTGCTCGGAAATTACCCTTGGTTAGATTTCTGACGCCAGATGGATCGTCAAGGTGTGTTCTGGTCCGACCAGAAGACTGGGCAATAGAAGATGAAAATGAAAAACCGCTTGTGTCTAGGGTGCAGCTTCCACTGATGCTGGCATGGGCTTTGTCGATTCATAAATCTCAAGGTCAAACTTTGCCCAAAGTAAAAGTCGATTTGCGAAGAATTTTTGAAAAGGGTCAAGCTTACGTTGCCCTTTCTCGTGCAGTCTCAAGAAGTGGATTACAAGTCTTAAATTTCAATCGCTCGAAAGTGCAGGCACATGGGAGCGTCATAGAATTTTATAAGACGCTCTCGTCTGCACATGAGGCCAAGAAGCGTTTTGATAACTCTACTCGAATACAACCGAAATTGAATTTTGCTCCAAAAACCATTACAAAAGTACCGAAAAAGTCTGTTACGCGCCAACCAGTAGACAGAATCAGCCTTCTCTTGGCGCAGAAGAACAACAGAAAGAACATTGAGATTATGGATAATTCCTCGGCGTTATAAATTTTACATACTTCAATGGGACAACAGACAAAGGATAAAGCATAGACAGATTTTGTGAAACATGAGCAGATTAACCCAATCAACACCCAATACGTGCATAGAGAAGGCATCTTATTGTAAATCATTAATAATTTTCATCTACCCTCACTCAGACTCCATTTAAGACTTCCGGATAGGAAATTGGAAACGCTGTTGGTGGCATCTTTCAAAATTATGTTTTTGAATTTCTGAGTAGACTTGTTATTTCTGAGAGAGTATTCATCATCAAGAATATCTCGGGAGGCTAATTCTAATTCAAGCCCACTCCAATGCGAAATAATGGCCTCGGTTTCCTCCACTGGACAGACATGCAACAGCTTTCCTAATATTTCTAGCTGTAGGTAAATGATTTCTGTCGGAATTTCATTATCGGGCCAACTTGGATCGAAGAATTTCCCTATCTGGAAAATCGTAAGCCAGTATTCGCTGCAGTTCTGACTCGCAAGCAATTCTTGACCTCTGCCGTATGCAAATTCGAAATCGAAATCTGCTAGCGCAAATTCAATATGAAGACGTAGAAGATCAAGACACTCTTTTTCCCCGAAGGCGATGTCTGGGCTCAGAGCTCTCGAAAACCCTTGGGCAATGCTTTTTGTGAAATCAACATCCTTGTAGAGGTCCGTATTGTGTTCAAGTAAAACGGATATCAAGCCTACAACATTGTTCTTGAATTCCATCAAAATCAATGGCTTGAGTGGCTCTTTACCTTGCCCCAACCTCAAGGAGTGACGCGAAAGATCTTCGATGACCTCTAGAAGAGTTTCAAGTCCCGACCTCTCCGGCTCTGTCAACATACTAAGAATTTCACGGGCATCTGCGACGTCAGACCTCAAAGAATTTCCTCCGGAAGAGCTGTTAAATATGTGCCAAAAATGAGTCTTCAAAAGATCATGTTCGACATCGAGGTGATAATTCTCGACAAAAGGTTTGAGTATGTCGAATCGGCGCTTTGTTAAAAGAGCATCGACCGCTAGTCTTCGTTTGTCCTCGATTGGTATGGAAAAAACAGTTCTATCTTCTAACAGAGTGTTGAAGCTCTCAAGAATGCTTGCTCTGTCATCCTGTTCTAAAATATTCATAAAGGCACTGGAGAAGAATGATTTCTGAATATTTCCAGTTTCTTGAGTAATTCGGCGAATCTCGCTAAGATCAGTAATCCGTAAGAAAGGCATAAGCCGGGCGTAGGCTCTGAGTGCATCAATTGACGGAAGTTCGCTGCTTGCAGTCACAGTAGTGACTTTTCGAAATATTTGCAAAAGATCTTGGGACAGATCGCTTGATGACATATAATTGATCTCTTTACTCTTTTGGAATAAAATATCGAGAGCGACCCCCTGTAGCTGCATTTTAATATCATCATTAAACTGGTCACTAAGTTCCACTACAGAATACTTCAATAGCTCGTAGTTGGACTCAAATTGGAGACTAAATGTCTCCAAACTGAATATTCGCTCTACCACGAAGTCGAACGACTTTCTGTATTTCATTAAAGGTATTATTTCGTAAGCCAGAACCGATTTCAATGTCAAAAACCTATTACTTTCCTGCGCTGTAAACCACATCAGTTCGAGAGCCTCGAAATAATTGAGCTTCTCAAATAACTCAATGGTTAGAAAATCACTGCTACGTGCGTTTAAGTGACCCAAAGGCTTAACCACGCCCACAGTCCACCTCTGCAAATCCGGATATTTTTCTGCCAAATGTGAGTTCCAAACTACCTTATATGCCGAAGGATCCTCCAGGAGTTTATCATAGCCGCGAATTTTACCCTTTATTAATTCAAAACACCAGTTTTCAGATGTCATCTCTATCGCCTGACAAGAAATCGTATCATTGATAAAACACATAACAGAGTCGTACCTTTTCGACAAAGCATCGCTTTCTAACTCGACGATAAGTTTCATCTCATCATCAAGCATATCATCCCAAAATTCTTGTCCTTCTCTCTCATGCGACGACTCAAGAGCCTCTATCAATTTCAATACGGTTCTCGGTTCTGACAACGCGGGCCAAAAGACCAGAACGGCCTTAGCGTTTCTGACAGTTTCAGATCTTGAACATTTCTGCAAAATTGATAAAGCTTGTTCCAGAAGAGAGTTCGAAAGGTAATAGCTTAACAGAATAAAGGTAGTTTGATTTTCCATGAGTCCATTGAAGAACAGGTGATGAGCTTTGTTTTTAAACTGAACCTTGATACATGTGTTGAAATTCAAGTTTTGATGATTTAATTGATCGATTCTAAACAGAAAACCACTACTTGGTTAATCATATAAGAGAAAAGTCAAAGCTCTTGGAAATGATTTCAGCTGAGGAGAATGCGAGAGTCGATAAGAGGTTGCAGGTTTACTCACCAGAAACCCAGCTCAATAATTATATAAATACTGCACAGGAAGTGGGATCTTTATGTTATGCTATTCTTATGGGCCAAGGTTTGGAAGCTCAAAGTTTGAGTCAGGATAATGTCGAAAAGCTAAAAAGGAGCTTGTCACTGAAGAAAGTAGAAGCCAAACTTTATGCAGATGCCGAATATCAGAAGATTCGCGCAGAAGATGAAGCATCGAATAAGAACATAGAGAGAATCAAAGCGGCAATGAAGGAGACATTGCCGCGGATTAAGAAGTTGAAGGAAGAATTTAATCAGCGTAATAAGGTTCTAAGAGCTTACAACTCAGACATTGACATGGTGAATGATAGGCTAAAAGAGATGCACAAGGGCAAATCGCGACTGACAGCGTCCCGAGAGAAATGGGAGCAAAAACTTGGGACAGAAACCGTTGCGAAACTCATTGCGTCCAAGATTCTAGTGGTTCGGTTTGGTAAAGCGAATACTGAAGAACTTTCTGTATATTCGGATTTTTCACAAGATACCATGGAGCTGCGGAAACAGAATAGCATGATGAAGGGTGACATTCAAAGGCTCAAGGAAGAACTGGACAGTTACAAGTCTAAATGGTTACACGACGTGGGTTTGGTGGACAAAATTAGGGACGTTCTTAGGGACGAAATTGATAGACGACAGCTGCCAACTTCTTCTTCCACGCAAGATGTAGATGAGATGGACGTTGACGAAAACAATCCAGGCGACCAAACGAGAGAGGCTTCAGTAGACACTGGGGACAGTTACTATAGTTCAGGTATCGAAATCGATGAAAGCGTTTCAGGAGGAGATGAAGATAGCGTTGACAATACAATTGACAAAGAAGCGCCGAGTCCGAGTATTTAGTTAATTAATGGTATTCTGCATGAATTGGTAAGGTTAATATGATAACTCATTCAGCTTTAGAAATTATACTTCTTTTATACAAAAAACAAGGTAAAACTTGCTTTTCATTGATTTACACAGTTTCCAAGATCTCATCCTTGAAACCGGAAGCAACCTTCTTACCCTTCTCTTCACCAGAGGCCTCACCGTGCAAAGACATCAAAGCACCCAAGTCGAACTTTGGCTGCTTCAATAGCTTGACCTTTCTGATATGAACGTTTTGCAATGGGAAGATGTCCTTAGTAGCGTTCTCGATTTCCTTGTTGATGACTTCTGGGATCAACTTGGAAGTCAATTGAGCCAAGGTAGAGTTTTGGACCTCTCTAGTCAAGATCTCGGAGATGACCTTTCTGATGGCTCTGATGTGGGAACTCTTGGCGTAAGAAGTCTTTCTCACCTGGTTAGATTGTCTTCTGGTGAAGGCAATGGCGAATATTCTCAAGACGTAGTCGTCAGCAGTCTTAACGGTGACGTTAGCCTCGATCAAGGATTGCCATTTTCTGACCATCGATCTCATCTTGTCAGTGGTGAAGTCCATGCCGTGGAAGTTGGTCAACAAGTTCTTACCTTGAACTTCGTCAACTCTCAACTTGACCTTTCTGAAGGAGTGGTCCTCAGAACCTTGCAAGTCGGCCAAGCACACTTCGACGACTCTGCCCTTCAAGTAGTCGGCGGCGTTTTTCAAACCAGTAGACTTGTTGACCAAGGTCTTCCCGACGTTTCTGTTTTCGAAAGTCGATGGAGCCTTAATGTCGTACCATTCTTTTCTGGTGAAAGGGTCGACGACCTTCTTCTTTAGACCCTTCTTACCCTTGGATAGTCTCTTGTTCTTACCAACAGCCATTCTTGTGATCTGGTACTATGCTTCTGTAGGTAATGGTAGTAACAGTTCCTCTCTTTTGTTAACTTCAAACTTTTCAATTTCCACGCTGGGTGTGTCTACCGGAGGATACTACCATCCCATGCCCTCTGGGCTGAGCAGGCGGACGCTGCTGCGTGCCAGGGAGGAGTGCGTCGCGCTAGCGACCCCTTGGTGAGGGACCCTCCTCCCTACGCTCCGTTTGCCAGCGAGCCTAGGAAGTCTCAGCTTCCCACTGCGCCGGAGGATAGGCTGGCTAGCGAATGTGCCTGGGAAGAGGGTCAAGCTGCGTCTATGCTCACTACAGTCATGCCCGTGGGCAGAGACAATGGCCTACGGCCTCTCCTACCATCTCTGAGTTTTCCGCTTACTTAAACTTCAATTGTCACATCCACTTTTAGTTGAAATGAAATTTTCCATGTGTAAGGGTTTTACGAAAAGCATCATTTGAAATGTATGGGTTGAGAATATAGCTGTTTCTCGTCTTGCCCTAATAGCATTGGCATCGTAGCCCTAATTTTTGCCTTTCGCGTTTAACTTGTTTATTAAATCAAAACTAGAATCTAACTGACGCATATATAGATCCAGGGAGCTGGATATCATAGCTGAGTTGTATCGGTGCATCTCATCGCTACAGGGTGACCTCCATTCAATTGATACGAAAAATCACGTTCTAGGGACGCATTGTCTAGCCCTCATTGAAGATCTACACTAGCTTTTTGGTCAAGGAACGTCGAGCAATCTGATGTCAACGAATGAAGCCAATGTACCAACCTTGCCGCAGCCGAAAAACACGTTTACGATCAAAGTCGGTCTAATAGGCGATGCTCAGGTGGGGAAAACGTCACTTATGGTTAAATACGTCGAGAACGTTTTTGATGAAGAATACACGCAAACGCTAGGCGTAAATTGCTTAGATAAAAAAATCAAATTGGGGTCTGCAGACATTGTTTTCTATATCATGGATTTGGGGGGACAGCGAGAATTCATCAACATGCTTCCGCTGGCATCTGAAGGTGCGCGGGCTATTATCTTCCTCTTCGACTTGACGCGTCCGGAAACGCTCAAGTCCATAAAAGAGTGGCATCGACAAGCCACAGGGTTCAACGAAATGGCCGTACCGCTACTGGTCGGCACAAAGTATGATCTCTTTGTGAACTTCGACCCAGAGTACCAGGTCCAAGTGTCTAAACAGAGTATGCGATACGCACAGGCAATGGACGCTCCGTTAATATTTTGTTCTACTTCCCATTCTATCAACATTCAAAAGATTTTCAAAGTCATAATCGCCAAGCTTTACAATCTGACAATGCGGGCATCAGAAATAAAGCAAATTGGTGACCCGCTGCTAATTTACAAACACCTAGGGTCGAAGAGACGATTTTCAGAAAATCCGTCGTCAAGAAACTCAAGTTCTCGAACACCCTCACCGCATCGCTCGCCGTGATTACTAGAACATTAAGCATTTTGATATTTATTATCCATCCCTGGCAATTAGAAAGCATTTCTACGTTCTCTATAGCGTTTTCATTACTTCATCTTGCTCAATAGCCATTTTCACGTCTTCAACTGAAACATCAAATTTGACTGCGGACATTCTCTCGTTTTTTAGATTCTGTCTTAGAATAATTCCGGCTTCGACTAGCTGATTTATCAAAAAATCCCAAGACACAATTCTCAGTTGTTCCGACGTTAATTCCGTATTTTTAGCAAATAAAACCCTATGCATTTCCACCACAAACTTGTTATTACCATTGGCTTCAATAAGCGATTTGATCTCGTCGACAATATCACCCAGATTTTGTTCTTGGAAACCAGATTTTCTAATTAAGTTCACTAAAGCGTATAAGAAAAGCTTTCCCGCAAAAGACAAGCCTGCGACAAACGTGAATACGGGAGAATTGACACTTTCGTTCAGTGCTTTCATGATATGAGCTATTTCAACCGTTTGGAACTCTTCTCCTGAACCGGCATTATTTTCTCTTTCAGTGCTTTCACCATCATATGCGAACCCATGCTTTTCCATATACTCGTGTTCCGCAATTTCCACTGCCCTTTTACAAGCCTTAAGTGCCCTACGAGCATCTCCACTAATACTGGCAATCTTTCGTGAAGCGATCTCGACAGCGTCAGGAGAAATCTTCAAGCGCACTTTATGCATCTCTCTAGGGTCAAAGTGGAAGCCATTTTCTTCTGTTACAATTTGAGCACTACCATTTTTGATGTCGACATAAAAGAAGCGGCCATCGACGCCTTTTAATCTCAAATTAATGATGCTTTTGAGCTCCTCGTGATTATAGCCTGTGAACATTATTCTCGTGAAACCTATTCTCGATGATACTTTATTACCCAGCTGACGTTCTGGGAGATCCATGGTGTTCGCCACAGCCACAATGACCAGGTTAGCATTTTTGTACGTCGTCCAATTAAAGAAGTTGTACATTACATCTTGACTTTTTGTAACGAGGGCATCAAGCTCGTCTAATAACACCAAAACAGGACGTTTTTTTTCCTTAGGAACCTTGTTAAAATAGAATTCTAATGACTCCATTGCAGCACCTGAAGTTAGTCGTTCTCCTGAAATTTTGTTCCACAAAACTTCATAGCTATCACTTGGTTTGATCATTTTTAAGCCGTTTATCTCAACATACTGAAATATCGGTAATTCATTCTGATCAGCGGACTGCAGCAACTCTTTAACTACTTCTCTCACCGTCAGAGTCTTTCCTACACCTGGTGTGCCCGCAAGATATACCGTTGTACCAGTACCGGCTTCCATAGCACTGTAAAGACTCAAATACAAGGACGCAAATTCATTTTCACGCGCTGGTAAATACTCATCAAAGTTCGTCGCTTTCACAATCTCAGCTTTGCCGTGCGAAGTATAAAGCTGCTGCTTGACTTTTGAAAAAATGGTCTCGACTGTCTTTTGCTTCTTTGGACTTCTCAAATTATTTTCGATAGCAGCAAGATCCAAATCCATTTGATGTTGGTTGAACTCGGCCAATTGCGTCAAATCGGGTATGTCTTTAGTACTATTAAAACGTTTTGAGAATGGTGTGTACGCTTTCTTGGCACGGAAAACATTCTTCTTCGTGTACTTTTTGATTATGTTTCCGAGAGACGATCCGGTGGTAATGGCCGCGCTTGATTGCTTTTTAGGGGTTGACGGTTCTGGGATATTATTCGCCCTTCTAACTTTCGTCGGGCGTTCGGAGCTTGATCTTCTTCCATTAGCCCTTTTGCCTCTTGAGCTTTTTAACTGGACACCCGTATCCAAGCTCTCCTCTTCTTCTTCGTCTACCTCAAATTCATCCTCAACCAATTCTTCATGTTGTTCTTCGTCTTCATCTTCTTCTTTTCCCAAAATCACATATTTTGATGCACTTCTTCCCAATTCATTGCCGTTTTGAAAGGGACTTTTTCTGTTGGATCTGCCTCCTTCCTGATAATCAAAATCTTCTGAGTTGTCCTCAGAACTTTCTTCACTAGACGAATTATCTCCAGCAGATTCGGAAAACTCAGTTTCTCTTGGCGTCATGGATATCTGGTCCCTTTCCAGACTTTGGGATCGAATATCGAGAGCTACATGTGATATTTCATTGGGCTCCACGTTAGCCGGCGCACTTCTTTTCTCAGCTTCGCGTAGAATCTTAGGTGGCTTGAGAGAGGATTTGCGAGAAGTTTTGCGCAGGCCGGACGCCGTCGCATCTTTCAACCATTTCTCAGATGCCTTTGGTGGTATATTCTTCACTTTTTTCTCGAATGCATGGATATCAAGCAAAACAAAAGCAGTCCCATTCGGTTCGCAGGCCCACTGTACCAAAAATTGGTTGGGGTTAGGTTTTAGAACATCTCGACGACCAAACTCTTCGGAATCAGAAATAATTGCAATGTCCATAAAATTTTTGATCTTCAATTCTGAGAGCTCTGCCGTCAAAAATATCTCCATTTGCTCACACACATGCTCCAGATGCGCATTGTCACTAAAACTTGGCTTTGATTCCTCATCCGCATGAGGATGCGAGAGACACGATTTCATGTACGCGTCCTTATCTAGTTCAAACCATCTCAGGTATGTAAACGCCCATATCTCCACAACACTATTCAGCGTGTTCTCGCGAATTTCGTGAATCAAATGAACAGAGTACGTTTCTGTTCCTTTGTCTCTCATCATAATTGAGTCACCGGGACCAAACACGAGATTATCGGCAATTCGTCTCAACGAAACATGTTCGAGATCAGTTCCCTGATTTTTCGTTCTCCTCCTACTCGTTCGCGATCCGGACGAACTTCCGGTGATCACATCGCCTTTTGCGTCCCTCTTCACAACCTCCCATCCCTTCAATTGACCTAATGTCGAGGCCATAAAAGTAGTTCACCTTGGTAACAGCACCTGTCACTTCCAATAAACGGTTCTTCAAGACCGTTTGTGGGGTTAGTAGCGCTTGCCGGTCAAGTTGATCAATCTTTGAAACCCTTCGTCCATAGTTAGATGTTAGAACTCATCAATCGAGCCCGAAAGATGGTGACAGCTCTAGACAAAACTTGAGAAACATTGCTGCTTGTGGCTTTGTTAATCACGTATTACACTTGGAGAGAAACTGAGGCGGGTCTTTATGTCATCTTTCCACTTCTGAGAATCTCTTTTAAGCAATTTATCATGAAGTTGCGACTTCACCGGATGAAAAAGGTGTTGGCAAGACCCTTCGAGAACCTGACTGCGTTGGATCAGCTCGTGCAGATCATAAGACTTGCGTCGTCTCTTTTGGTGTCCATTTTGATTTTTATTTTGACTGTTGGAGCTCTAGTATCACCTACTGCGCTTTTCATGGGCAAGTTGAACACGTCGTCGATTGATATAGCATACGGTTTGTTCGATGCTCTGCAATCTTCCGTTGAGTCATCAGTATCCAACATGATAAACAATGGTGTAGGTCTCACTACTTCAGAGATTCTAATTTTGACGGAATATGCGTCGTCGCGTGTAAGTGAGGTCCCTGACTTCATTGTAACTTCGGTCTATGGTTGGTGCAGAGTCACAAACTCCACCGAAACGCACAATCAGACGCGCACGGCATGCATTAGAGAACATTCTAATTATATTTTTGATTACAGAGACATTTTGGAAGATATTGGATTATCGATCATACTGACGTACGCCTACGGTACGACCGATTCATCCACTGCGGCAGATGTAAACACTAGCAGCTACGAAGACTATCTGAAGCAAACTCGCAAGACGAAAGAGCGCATGATCAATTTGTTATACGTAACTCTGTCCACTCAAATGCTACTAGCGGGCCTTTCGCTCTGGTATTATTCGATTAAAGACAAATCTTTGAATAAGCTGAAAGAGCAGTTTCTCGTCCACAGCATCTCCTTTGGATCTTTATTCATATTCATATCATCACTCGTGGTGGTCATCAACTTGGCAACTATCAACATACAAATTCGATCCAAAATAAAGGACGAGCTCAAAAGTTTTGGTATCTCGTATCATTTGGGGAACGCTTGGTTCACAGCACTGTGGCTTCTTGTCATTTTTTCGTTCGTTTCTTGCGGTCTCTGGTCAGGACTTGAATGGTGCATAAGCGAAACACCTACAGTAGGTGAAAATTATGAACTAGGAGTCCTTGCTAATACGGACGACAATAGTCTAGAGAGAATTCCATCAGTCGGTGGTCCTTTGCTACCGCGAAGTACTAGCCAACTTCTCAAACCTGCACAAACCTCGATCCATTCCGATCATGAAATGGGGCAAATGGAATCTGCAGATATCTCCCCAACAACGACCCTCAGGCCTACCCTTTCTAGCCGCAGTGGTAACACGTCGTCTTCTAATCCCAGAGTGGTGATTCCTCTTTCAACCTTTCAGATGTAATTGAGACGTTTCGACGCACTTATGGAACCGCAATCTTTAAAGGTTCAAGAAAAGATTCCAAAACAGCACAAAACATCTCGAACAAACTTTGCAACGTAGGGAATTTTCAAGATTCTCTAAGTGTCGCGTTACATGAAACGGCTGAGGTTTACAAAGGTTGCAGCCCTGTGGATTCTTCTAGTAACTTCATGTGGAGTCCTTACCGTTTTGCATTTGTTTAATATGTCGTGCCAGACAGGTACAGGAACGAAGTTTTGTATCCCACAGTATTCTCTGAGATTCAAGGAAATCGATTCTAAGGAAGAGATTGGTATTTTGCAGGTGATTAAGGACCTGATGAGATTATTATCTTACGTTGCCATCGACTTCAATTTTGAGAAAACAACAGGCACAGGGAAAGAATACGAGGATATCAATCTGGCCAATACGTTTCACGATCGCAACACCTTCGAGCTGAATTATTTTGGTTTTTGCAAGTCTCAAACCATGGTGACGAAGCTACCGAAATACTGCGTAACCAATCGTAATGGCTTCAATCCTATCACGACGCTTGCGATGGATTTGGGTATTCAGTTTGGGTTTCTCTCTTCGCGAAATCCAGTTCTCATGGGTAAGTCGTTTGTTTTAGCGTACAAGTCCGCCATCGAGAGCCTTGAGGCTTCTTTCCATAACAAGACTGCTGCAACTGACAGTCTCTTAGATGGGTTTATTGACACCCTTGGCGATAAAGGTGGCACTGCCTTACAAAGCAAAACTATACAATCCACTGTCAGCTGGCTCTCGTTGAGTGGGAAGTACTGTCATGTGTTGAATACGTTCATTACTTTGGAACTCATTGTTAGTTCAGCGGTGATAGTGTTTGCACCAATGCACTTGACAAAATTCCACAACTCCGAAACACAACCCGCATTTAGTTCCGGTGGGATCATTACCAGAGTTTCCCTGGTATTTCTTCCAATATTACTTTTAACGTTTGGGATCATTACTGTCGTTTTGTCGTTGATTTGGTTCTTCATTTTGAATCGTCTCAGTGATTGCTTCACTTCCAATGGACAAATTTACAGCGTCAGACCCGAATGTGGATTTTACTTAGCGTTTCTTAGGTTAACGATCGAAACCATTATCGTATGGAATATTTCGAGCCTTGGTAAATACGGTTCCAAGGACTCGGAAAAGCATAAGAGTGACGAAGTTAACGACGAAAATACAATCAAGCTCGAAATACCCACCTACGATACCGTTTAATGGTACACCAGGAGGAGAACATATAGATTGCGTATAGATGGGTTTAATGTGATTGAACAATTTCGGCATCATAATTTTTCATTGAAAAATACAACTAGTAGTAGTAGTATTTCGTGTATACATCACCTAGTTAGAAGCCCACTCCAAGCTCAGGGTCTGAACACAATGCCTAGTTTGAGAACGTTTGATGCATTTCGTATGTACTATTATTCAAACGTATTCTTCCGAGTTGCCGTGGTAGCCCTCTGCTAACTCTAAATGACAGCGAAAACTGGGTCGGAACATGTTCAAAAGTCGTCTAAAGGAGGTGTATCCTCGATCCTGACTTACTTTTTCCTCTTATTTATAGCCTGGAGTGAGTTCGGAAGTTATTTTGGAGGTTATATCGATACCCAGTATACAGTTGATGATCGTGTTCAAGGCACCGCTCAAATCAATTTAGACATGTTCGTCAAGATGCCTTGTAAGTGGGTTGGTGTGATTGCATTAGATCAAACTGGCGACAAGAATATCGTTTCTGAGGACCTTTCTTTCGAAGACATGCCATTTTTCATTCCGTTCAACACCAAAATGAATGGGAAGAACGACATCGTAACACCAGGTTTGGATGAAATTTTATCTGAAGCGATACCTGCTCAATTTCGAGAGCGTATAGATACTTCGCAATTGGAAAGTGGTCAGGAGTTTGATGGTTGTCACATTTTTGGGTCAATTCCCGTCAATGCAGTACGAGGTGAGCTTCGCATAGTTCCTAAGGGTTTCTTTGGACTTGGCCTTCAAAAGCCTCCTCTAGATGAGATTGATTTCTCGCATGTATTCAATGAATTTTCATTTGGAGATTTCTATCCTTACATTGATAATCCTTTGGACCAGACTGGCAGGCTGGTCAGTGAACATCTAACATCAATCAATTATTACGCTTCCGTCGTGCCAACGACTTACAAAAAAATGGGGGCTATCATCCGCACAAATCAATACTCACTCAGCGAGACAGCTCACGCAGTTTCATTGAGGAGCAGAAAGGCACCGGGTATCTCTATTTTTTACAATTTTGAAGCTTTAACGATAGTGGTGAGTGACGAGCGTATCACTTTTCTACAATTTGTTGTTAGATTGGTGGCAATGTTATCCTTCTTCGTTTACATTGCATCCTGGATATTTAGATGTGCTGATACCGTTTTGGTTCTTGGATTGGGTCCAAAATGGTCTCTCAGGTACCAAGGCCATCATCAAAAAGTGGGAATTTTGGAAAAGAACAATTCCAAGTCCATCTAGGAAAGCTGACAGAAAGCGACCACATTTCGACAGATCTCTGCGAAAGGGAGAAGTACATTCAAGTACATAATACGATGTTTATTACTTTTACAAGACCTTCGTTAGGAGGTTAATCAGGACCCTCCAGGTATGGCGTTAAAAAACTTGCAGGCAATTGAGGGAAGGGTCACTAGGAAACTTTTGTACTATCAGTTTTGCTGCTTTTTGTGAGGTCTAGAGAGTATTCGAAATTTCTTCGCCCGATCGCAAACTAGACCTAGCTTGCAGACAGTAGTATGGAAGAATTCGCTAAACTGTAGAGAGCCATTCGGTTTTCGAGTTATGAAAAGAGTTCCATGGAGCTAAGCGCCCTTTGAAAAAACCTTAATCATTGTCTTCAGTTCCAGGCATTCCTTCGAAAAGAAGTCCATAGCATGGCGAAAAATACTCCCTGAAATGTGCATACGGATCATCTCCAAACAAGACTTTGCCACATACGAAACAAAATCCAACTCCGCATATCGTGCACTTCATTTTATTGCAGCCTTCAGATCTTTGAATAACGGTTTTGCAGTGAGGACATCTCTTCAGATTTGAGTCTTTTTCTTCGATTGCGAGATCCAGTAATTTGTCTCCCAGCAACTGATCGGCAGCTAGCTCCATTGTTTTTCTGCCAAATCTCAATTCTAATTCCCGTTTTCGATCTAATGAAGTCGACTCGTCCGCATATTCTTCAACATACTTCAATTCGACCGAAATTCGATTGCCACATGAGTTAGCGCTACCATGCCAAGAATGAAGGCAGTTAAAACAAAAAGATAGTTCACACTGCTGACATATCACCATGTCGTCATCAGGGTCTCCTTTTAAGCACCAGTTGCCACAACGCGGACACTTAGTGCAGGAATGAGGTCTTAGCTGAAAAAGCTTGGTATACATTCGTTCGAGGAAAAGTCTCTTATATCTATCGCAAAGATTTTTTGAAAGAAAGCTCTCAAAAAAATTGAAGGGAATTGCAGGATTTAGGATAACTTCCTCTAGCTCTTTGTCATAATCCAGTGTGTTCGTATCAGCTTCTGTTATTGGACATTCCGGGCATCGAACGTTTTGGATACGTCCTTCCTCTATCATTGTTCCAAAGTAGGACTTGACACAACCCCGGCACAGATAATGCTCTTGACAAGGCATCGCGACAAAATTAGATCCCTGCTGCACTTCTAGGCATATGCAGCAGTCAAACGAGGTTTTATTAAATTCCTCCTTTAACGCCAAGTCCCTGAGCCGCTTCAGGTTTTCGAACTGCTGGCTAGTCTTGCATTCGTACCTTCCATTGACACATAAAAAGTCCGCTGCACAGTTGATGAAGAAATCAAATAGCATCATTAATAAAGGGAAACTCTCATCATAATCCGGCCCCTCTGAATCGCACTGAGTTATGAAATTCCTAAAGCTCTTTTCTTTCAACGTTTGAACATCCTCGGTCGACATCCACTCGGAATCTAAAGCATAACTGAGTCCGTGCTGCAGATTGGGATACGATTCACGAAAAGCTTTAAAATTGAGGGTACATTTGGGTAATTTAGGCATAATTATGCCACTTGTATTTTCATTAGGACAGAGCACTTCTATATCTTGTGAGCATATCAAGGCGAACTCAAGACATCCGCAGATGCAGTTGTCAGAAGTACCATACAACTGCAATTCGGGGTACATAACGGAAAGTATCTCAATGTCATTGTCCAAGTGATCAGTCCCAACATCCATGCAGTTCTACTATAGATCCGATCAATTTCGATTTAAGGTTTTTCAATAATCTTTCGGCAGTTCGTGAACTAATACATATGGATATGGTGAAAAAGTCTAAAGATGGAAAAGTGTCGAGGAAAGGTTCGAGCATCATCACTCTAATTTCGTTTTCTTCGCCGGCCTATCGGCATCTTCTCCTTCACCATCACTGTTACTGACAGCCGCGTCAGAGTCAAATTCCTCAGCCACATCATCATCACCAGAACTTTCCTGGAAATCTTCATCTACGGACTCATCATCCTCTCCTGCGGAACCCATATTGATATCAGCATCATCGCTATCGGAGCCTAGTGCATTTTCGAGTCTCTGTTGTACCTCTTTCTCCTCATTCTTGACCCTTAAATTCTTGGATCTCAAAAATGTCTCCAGTATTTGCTGTTCCTCTTTGGAAATGTTGGCAAACGTTGTTTTGCCGCGGTTCGAGCGTAGTACGACTTCTAAATCGAATGTTCTTGCTGAAGTCGTTGTCTGTCCAGCTCTAGAAATGTTCACGATGCTTACATCGCTGAAAGGCATGTACAATGTCGGTTTCGTGAGGAACAGAAACGCAGAGTCCAACGGGTAGAGATAGCCCTCATTCGCCTTAAAAGAACATGAAACGGCACATTGATCAAATTTGGACTTGTACTCGCCGGGCACAACGACCCTTTTGTTTGTTAAGCCCTTTAATACATGACTCAGAACAACGTGCGTCTTGGCGTCATACTGTTTCATGAGCCTGTCTTTGTAAGTGGTTTCGAATTCCTCGTCTGCCACATTCAGCTGTACCTCTGTTTCCTCGTCTTTCTGAAATTGCAAAACCAAAAATGGGTAAGACGTCTGACCCTGGCGTAAGGGAGGGTCAATAGATAGCACCATGAGATGATGAATGTCATCAGCTTTGGGCAAAGAAAATATCCTTTGTATTTGGGAGTGTTGCAATTTGTACTCGTAAGTTTTACCACGCAAACGGATGGAGTTTTTGTATATGTCGATGTCGTAACGTCCTCTGGGCGTGGTGAAGAAAACATCTTGGAAGGAAACGATCGCGTCTCCGGACACCTCCCCGATATCAGCTTTCTCTTTCAATTCTTCATAGAAAGCTTCTGCCATGGTTTTCTCCTCTTTGGTCATGTCCACATCTTGACTTTCTCCATCTTCTTCTCTTTCGACTTCCCCTTCTCCTTCTTCCTTCACTTTCGCGTCAGCGGTCGCGCTTTCTTCTTCGTCCTCCTCACCGTCAGCATCACTAACAGTGATTCCCGGAACATAAAATCTCATTTCAACTATTTCGTCACCAGCGGGTTCGTAGTCGTCTCTTTGAAGATCAAATTCGATCGCAACCTCGGTCTTGGATGTCAAGTTCGTATTATTGATATGAGCATAAGGAATTTCAAAGGTGGGCTTCCCATTCAAAGCAAACACCATTTCATTTCTCGCCATATCGGCTTTTCCCCAATTCCAGCCCCGCATAGAGTGATCGCGCTGCTCAACTTGAACATTAAACCTTCTTTTGAAATCGTTTTTGATAAGGTTGAAGTCTTCTTGCGAAAATCCATCCAATTGAATAACGCCTTCATTTTTCGTATTGATCTTCAACTCATACCCACGACAGCCTCTTGACCAATGTACTGATGCCAGTTCAGTCACTGGCAGCAGCAGAGGTGCCTTCTGCTGATTTGCAGATGATCCTCCACTGCTGGAAACTTTCCAACCCAGACCAGAGTCCGCAATACGAAACCGGCCATTTGATTTGGACTGATTCAAATAGATTCTATCGAAGTCTGTACTCATGATGAAAATGCAGCTACAGGCCCTTTCGATACCGATGCTGATACGTGGCGAATGTTCCCTCAAGATTCGCGTCTACTTAATTCATTTCGTACAGTAAATCATTCTTAACGAGTGGACAGGATCTTCATTGTGGCCTAGGTATTAGAGTGTTGTTAACAATCTGTGATAAACTGTGAACTCCACTATATAATCGTCTTTCATCAAATTCTCTATTGCGTGAACATCAACTTAAACTCTATAACTAATTCGTTAGGACTGTTTAATATCCTTCTTTAACACCTTTCAGAAATTCAACAAGACCAATGGCACCTGGGTCTGGAATCTCGGAAGAGTCACTCACATAGGAAGCTCTTCCAAACTTGGCTTCAATAGAACCGGTGGACTTGGCACCTTTTTCGGCAGCTTCAATCGCTTTGGAGAAGTCGTTGGAGGAGCTGAATTCCTTGACAAAAGGTTCGAGTGCGTCAATGACGGTGGAGGACCCAGGTCTAGCCTTGGTGTACTTGTAAAGAGTCTCAAGAGCATGTTGAAAAGCGTTTGAAAGAATCTCTGGAGTGACCTGAGTGTCTTTCTCCTTACATTCTTGAATTATACCCTGAGCAAGCCCCGAGATCATAATCGAGTAGAGACCGCCAGAGGTACCGCCCATGGAGCTCTCAATGATGTCGGAAATTTGAGCAAGCGCTTGCGAAAGGTACTTCTTATCGACCTTTTCCAAATTTTCCGTAATGCCCTTGGCACCACCGACCAAAGTATAACCGCAATCACCATCGCCCACCTTGGAGTCCAGCTCGGTGATGTAAGGTTCGCTCTTTATCAACTTGTCAGCACCCGATTTCATCATCTTGGAGAAATGGTCGTAATCGTAAGTTCCGGCTTCCTTGACTTTGACGTCCTCCTGTAGTAGCTTTTCGTCAATTGAAGGAGCCTCGGACTTGTCGTAGGAAATACGAGGCCAGCCTGGGGCATCGGTAGGCGCATTCAACAGCGTACGGACGCATTTGACCGCAGAAAATTCTTCGTGGAGCTTCTTGGAGGCCTTGGAGGCGTTCAAAAGTGTGATGCTGAACCCGTCCATATTGAAAGAGGTCATCAAAGTTCCCGTGATGGTCTGGACGGGCTTGATTTTATAGTTCTTGTCGAGAAATTCGACAGTCTTTCCGGCAATCGCAGTCAGCATGAATGGCGCGACGCCACCAAGGTTGTTGACGAGGAGCACAACGTCATCGTCCTTATCGAAGTTGACAAAATGTCTGTCCTTGTCGTTTGGATCAAGCAGCTTGGGCAGCATGTCCTTTTCGAGAAGCTCTTCTACGGAGGGAACGGGCTCGAGAACGCGCACACCGGGCTCGTTGTGAATACCCATACCAAGCTCCATCTTCTTGTCGTTGAGTTCAGTCTCAAACTTTCTGCCAGGCACTTTACAATGGTCCAACGATGATCCAATCGTGACCAGATTTTCGTTCACAATTTCCGCCACACGCGCGGTCCCGTCGAGCCCGTATTTCTCTGAGTACTGCTCTGCGAAGGCGCCAGTGATCTTATGCACAAGAACGGTCCCTGCCAGGGCTCTCCGACCCACAAATCCTCCCTTTTCTCTGCCAACCGCAACGTCGTCGCCCACCACCGCCACACGGGTTGGGATGCCCAATGCGCGTGCTCTTTCGGCCGCAAGGCCGAAATGGAGCACGTCGCCGGTGTAGTTTTTGACGATCAGAAGAACACCGGACGAGTTCTTGTCCAGTACTTTGATGGCGTTCAAAATCTGCTTAGTCGAGGGTGACGCGAAGATCTCGCCGCACACGGCGGCACTTAATAGCCCTTGGCCCACGAACCCCGCGTGCGTGGGCTCGTGGCCGCACCCACCGCCCGAGATCAACGCGATCTTACTCTTGTCGGTCTTTCTCAACACGATATCCTGCTTTTCGATCAGTGTCAACCCTGGGTTTGCGAGAGCAAACCCTTTCAAACTTGCCTGTAGCGGCTCCGAAACTTCAAACGACTTAACACTCGTTGAGCCTTGAAAAAAATCCGTAATACCCATGATTGATATCTATCCCTGTGGTCACCTGTTGAACCAGTTGTCACTTATCTGGAACCTTGCTGTGTTCCCCCCAGCTTTGCCGGAGTTCCTTAGCCCTTTTATACTCTTCTCTTTGCCTATGCTCCGTGTAAAAGTATAAAACACCCGCCAGGTGGACGTCATTCCCCTAATTGCTCTCTGAACAAATTGACCATTAGGTAAGCTTTCACCTTTACTGTCAAATCCCACCTTATCCATCTCATCCGGAACTAAATAGAGTTTGTTCCGGCCGTTGAATGATAAATATCGCTCAATGGCAATCAACGCCGGAGACCAAGTGGTGTAAAGGCAATGAAGCGGAGACCAAGCGGAGTTGCAGTCAAGGCGTTAAGTAATACCCTGTAGCGACGCCCTCGGTAAATGCTTTAGCAACTTTTTGTTAATGCCTGTTAGCAATGCCTTTTAGCAATGCCTTTGGCAACGTCTTCGGCAACGAGATTGTACCCTTGAGAGCCAAGCGGAGTAGCTCGAGTGTCACTGGCATGGTAGTATCCTGAATTCCGTACTAAAGGCTAAGAATTTTCGGAGCTTCTCTAGCCATTTACAACTACTGGACATGACTGGGGACAATGATTCGAATCATTACGTAAGAAAGTGCTATAAGTGCGACGATCCTGCTATTAATTCGCTAGCTTGGACAGCCGACGGTCTAGTGAGGGATCAAATTCAGTTCCCCGGTAAATCAATTATCTCTCAACTGGTGTAAATTCACGTAGCAGAGTCAAGGCAAGATGGCGAATAGAGGCTAAGTTCGTATTCAATGCTCTCTGGAATGGCAAGTTATGCGTTGTGAGAGGCAACTGGGACTTTTGCTCTCATGTGGCTATTTGCGACGCCGTTTGTTGCTGGGACAAAAAGCAGATTCTGAAGGAACGTCTGTAACGGACTTTTATCGACACCGGCTTGTAGAAGTGGTGTCACCGTGTGAAGTAAGGAAAGTAATGGCGGCGGCGTTTGTATCATTCACTACGAAGGCTTGGCAAAAATTAGCCGCGCATGGGTCCAAGAAAAAGGGTGATAAGCCTCCGACGTTACGTCAGGCACAATGGCAAAGGATACAAAAGACTACGCTGTTGACAATAGGTGATATAGATCTATAAAGACGGCTGGTGATCTGGCGTTGGCAATGACAGGCACACTTTAGGAGAGCCCAGGAGCTCGGCACGTGCACGGAAGTCCTCGACAATAGTATGCCAGCTGGGCAGGCCCCCGTCCGGTTTTTGTAGCGTTGCTTTGTTTTTGGTCGAAAACATGTGCAGGTTGTAGTATATTGTGTAGACGTTGTAGTAAAAGTTTGAAAACCAATCTCGCAAGAGATGCTTGAAAGCGTCCAAAAAGACGGCCAGCTCCGATTTTAGCATCACGTTGAGCGACTCGTAGCGCAGTTTTTCCAGTTCAAGGTCTCGCCTCGCCTGCAATCGTTCACGCGGCTTACAATCGGCGCCATCGTGCAGCTTGGCCCGGGTTTCTAGCCGATTGAACCTATTGGTCGCAAAATTCAGGTCCGCAACGAGTATCTGTCTTTCGCGTAACGTTCTTCGTACCCGTATGCACAGATCTTTGATCACAGCGAGCGGCTGTCTCACTCGGTCTTCCAAAAACATAATATCTTCACCTATCTTCGACTGCAGATTTGGCCCCCGGGGAGGTTGTGCTGGTGCCGCTGAGCCAGCAGCAGTCATAAGGCCAACCGACGACATCCATTCCTGTTCGCGACGTGATTCCGAGCCTGGATCCTTGAAAGTCGCAGATTTGGCAGAGCTTAGCGGCATTGAAGACGCACTAGAACAATTCACGTCCAAAATTAGCTCCAAAAGATCTCGGATCTTGACGGCATGTTCTGTAAAAGCACTGAGGGCCTCTGTGAAAGCGTCGTGATAAGCTACAAGTGCTGCAACGCTGCTTTCGACTTTTTTGAACTCATTTTCAAGGCTATCAAACCCTTCATCACATGTGATTGCCCCGGTCCCGATCTCGAATTGCTGCCGAATGTAGTGTGGAGTCCGCTGTAATTTTTCCCTCCATTGCACGAAATCTTTGTCATTGATCATCTTCTGAATTCTGCATCTCGAGTTACTTGACGCCCGGTTCAGAAATTCCATAGCTCCAAGCGCAACCCCCGGACCTATTTTACTCTGAAAACATTTTGTTAAAGGCAAGGATTTTTTGAGGCCCTCTGGATTTTTGCGACGTCCCCTCGACTTGTGCCGTGCCATGCCTCGGGTCACATCGCCGTCAGACGATATAGCGACGGAACGAAACTCGCTGAATAATCGAACAGACGATGATTAAGCTGACATAATTAAGCAAACGACAGGTGGGCTAGCGAGTTAATGTATTCTTTTATTCATCAATTTCTTCTTTATCGAAGTAGGTCCATCTTAAAATGTGTTTCCCCCCTGCCATATGTCCCTGGATTTTTTGTTTTCTTTGAAAACCATAATATTGGGTGGCTACAACAAAACATATGAACATTAAAGTTTTAAGCTCTACTTCGGTTCAATTAGCTTTGACTCAAGAGCCTGTTCTTATCTCATTGAACTTTGCAAACAATGTTGAATATTTAAGCCTTTCTTGTCAGATATCTGTACCTACATGGTATAAAGTGGCCGACAAGCAAGGCAGCGGAAGAGCAAAGCTATGGAAAGTAAAAATAAATATTACACAAAAGTCAGCGCATATGGCTAGATTCGGTTTACGTCGTGATTGTGTTGGTATGAGACGTTGTGGAGTTCTATGTAACAGGACTTTCCTTGCACTGCAAAATACCTTGGAATAGTAGTAGATCAGACTATCAAAGAGCTCAATATGGGTTACTCAAGTGATGCATCGTTTCAATGAAAGCTCGCGTGGCGTAATGGCAACGCGTCTGACTTCTAATCAGAAGATTGTGGGTTCGACCCCCACCGTGAGTGTTTTTAATTTTCTCGCTTGTGCTCCCCTAAAAGTCCTAATAAACTCGTGCTAGGTCTCTTCCAGGCTTTTTCATTACAGTTAACCAATACAATACAAACGCCAATGGTTAAACAAGTCTTGAGTGAATTTTTTAGTCCAACAAGGCTGTATTTCGTTTGCGGCAAAGTCTACGAGAATGGGACCTACGCCAATCAAGTCGTGCACTGGTTTGTTCAGCACAAGTTACCGGTGGTACCAGTGACTCCAAGAGGTGGTGTTGTTAATTTAATGGACAATTCGATCACTAGAACAGTAACAGACTCACAGGAACTGGCCATCCAGAAATCGATATCAGATGGATTGGAAGTTTCACCGCTCAAGTCCCGTATCGATGGCATAAGTGCGTGTTTCGTAACTCCGCCTGCAATAACGCTTACGATCCTGAATGAGCTCAAAGAAAAGAAGTCTCCCGTTATAAGCGTTTGGTTCCAACCGGGGTCCTGGGACATGAAGTGCATAAAAGCCTCTGAAGAAGGTCTCAAGATTCCCAGTTCCAGGATAATTAACGATTGTGTGCTTGTCAACGGTGCTGGACACTACCGTCCATCTTCTTTGACGATATGATGTGGCATATCAAGGATGACCATTTCTTTCAAGAACACGATGTTAGGACGCACGTTGGTAATGTTTAATCAATTTGAGGCATCTCTTTCCCTTTGACGCTATCAGTAGCTTCAGTTGGGCGAAACTTGAGGATATGGATTTTGAAAAATTTCCGCCAGTCGAGAAAATGTCGACCGACTTGAACTAAGAGAGGGAGACAAATTCATGGATAGCGCTATCCTTGGTGAACTTGAGCTCGAGTTTGCGCCCAATCAGAACTTTGAAAATGTGGTTCGGCTAGGAAAGGAGGAACTGCTGCGTTTCTACAAGGAGAGTGATTGTTCAATGCTACCTTGTGGGAAAGCTGAGAAGGTTAAGCACAGAGCGCTGGACCCCAACACGCGTCTTTTGTCGCTGGATGTTGGTGGATCAGTTTTGAAAATGGCCATTGTTTCACCGACGGTTTTTGATGTCGTTTTCTCGAGAACAAAACCTCTCTCCGCCGGCACAGTAGACGAATCCTTTTTTGCTAACATTGCTGAATGGAGTTGCGTACAAGCGAGGAAATATGCTGAGGAGAATTGTATACCAGAAAAGGATTTGTCATTTTTGGTGGGTGTGACTTTCAGCTTTCCGTTGACTCCAAACAACGAGCTGATCACCATGAGCAAGGGATTCGATATCGCTACAGAATTGAAAGGTGTAAACTTATTACAATTATTGCGCCGACAGTTCAGCAACATTCAAATGGATTGTGCCTTTAGTGTTCGTGGGATCATCAACGATAGTGTAGCCGTTTATCTCACGAATAGCGCTTATGGCGCGGGAGACGATTTCACTTTGATCGTCGGCACGGGCACCAACGCCTGTCTTTCTTTGAATAGCGCTGACGAAAGCATACTCATTAACGCTGAACTTGGGTTCCTCGGGAAGGACTTCATACGTTTCTCGAAATTCGATCTTTTTGACAGCACTGCTGGTCCGAACCTACCACTTGAGCGCGTAACTGCCGGGAAATGCGTTCCTCAAGTGTTGAAAAGAGTCTTGGATTATTACAAGGTCCCAGTAAGCTCCCATTGCGAGTTCAATGGCAAGCTTCTGAGCAACATATTAGAGGAGAAGGACTGTCATTATTTCGGTACGCGGTACGCCTTAGTCAAGGAAATCACCAAAATTCTGTTGCGCCGCGCTTCTTTCTATCTTTCTGCGGCGTTAATGAGCATAGCTCATCTTACGGGTAAAGCAAATCTGTCGAAGGTTAGAGTAGGGTTTGTGGGGTCTTTTTTGGCGAACATTACCTTCTACCAGGAAATGACTCAAAAGTTTGCTGGTGGGAAGATACAGCTTCATTATTTAAGGGCAAGTCACTTGAAAGGAGCTGCTATCCATACTTACAATTCGCTGTGATGGAAAAACCGTTAAATGTAAGAGGGCCCATCCGCGAGGTCGAAGATCACACAGTTATTCAGAATGCCGCATAATCTCTCACTAGCACGAAGCCGGCGATGCAACAGAGAAGGCGAAAATTCCAGCAGAAGCACTTCCAATCGAGAACTTTCTCACAGTCATTACGAAGCCCACATAGAAACGACGTTCGAATAATTGGTCAATAAGAAACCCAGCGATCAGAATTTTTGTTGATTACAAGAACTCGCTGTAAGATCGAGAGCCATCTAGAAAATCCTGTTCCAGGGTCCTCGAAGTCAAAGAAATGGAGATTCTCAACTGGAGGCAAGACTGCGAGCGGCATGTTGACCTCGAATCTCTGAAGAACAGGCTCTCCACAGGCTATCGATTCGAATCCTGCTAAGATGCTCAAGGACCGGGCCACCCTGATCTGGTGATAGCTATCATGAGATCACGTGACTTCAGACGGACATCCAATATCGATATCTTGATGTTGATGTATTCTAACTTATATAACCAAGTTTAGTTGATCAATCAACTGTAAAGAAAGAATTCAATTACAAGGCGCTGGACTCTTCCCCAAGCCATTTGAAAACGTTTTTCGGTATCAAGGTTATTATTTTTGATCCTTGTACTGAGCAGCACTAGTGATGCTTAGCACGTGCTCAATACCTGATTCCAGCTCATCGACATGTGACGAATAAATAGGCATCTTCTCCTTGGTTCTTTCGTGGAGAAGCCTCTCCTGCCTCTCAATCTCCATAATCTTATCCAAGTCCCAGTATCTCCACAAGAATATGGCAGCAAAGAGAACGCCCAATCCAGTTAGTACGGCAAATGGAATGATTAGGTGTGGATCCTGCAAGGAGGGTGTCACAATTTCGCCTAGGGCAGCCGATAAAGCACTCGTGAATAAAAACAGCGCCATCACGAAACTCTTCATGTGGGTGGGGGATCTCTCGAAGGCTAATTCATAACCAGTAGTCATTGCCAGACATTCGCTGAAACCTGTCAAAGTATATTCGGAAACAACCTCCCACATCGAGATGGGAGAAAAGGCCGTTCCATCATTAGCACAATTAGTTGCGTACCAGCCGCAGCTGGAGGTCTGATAGATGCGATATTGGATGATAGCACCTGCAAGACTGGCCATCGAAGCGATGAAGAAGCCGGCAGTGATACGATAGACAGGCTTGAAGTTAATCTTGAAGCGTCTGAAGATGGGATAGACGATCCAGTCAAGAAGCGGCATAGAAATGATAATGGCCAAGGGATTGAAGTTGTTGATGAGGTCGTTGGGCACGCCGTTGTCGTCCATGCTTGCGGTCTGATTGTTAACGATGGCACCAATACCGCCATCGTTAATGTTGTAGATAACGTAGTACAGGAAGATGGCACAGGCTGACATGGTCGCTTTGGTATCAGACACAAGGCTCTCGGCGTAAAAGCCTGGTTTATTTTTGCGCCAGCCGTTGCGACCCATCTGCCTCAGGTTAGAGGGACGAGCGTATTCCCAGAATTCGCCGTCGCGGTACCGCCGGATCCAGTTACCTTCAAGACAGACAGACAAAACTTTGCAGCAGTCCGCGAGGAGTGAGTAACCAGATGGTGGCTCGTCCTTAATGTGGCGACGCAGGAATATTAGGACTATGGGCATGATGAGGTAGATGATGAGCGGGATTAGGTAAGCTAGCCAGTAACCGATGTCTTTGGCGCAGTATGCTGTACCCAAAGAGACGAAGGCGCCGAAATTGATGGACCAGTAGAAGGTCATCGTCATGCGCTGGAGGGATGCATCACGGTCAACAACAACCAATTCGCCGGACTTGAGAGTCTTGACAACGTCAGTTTCGTGAGGATACTGGGAAAGCAAAGTGGGGAGCAGAACGGGCTTGATGAAGGACGTGGCGATGGCAAGAGTGATGATGCCTATGACGCAAGGTGCGAGCGCAGAATTGCCATTCTTGAGCACCGAAGGAATGGCACCAATGACAAAGATAATGTGAGAAACAACACCTGTAATCACACCCATCCACAGCATTTTCATACGCCCGAGGTAACGGTCGCTTAGATAACCTGTGATGAGAGGGAAACAGTAGGCCAAGAACGTAAGCAACAAGGTGAGACCCGACGCGGCCTGAAGACCCATGTTGAGAGCACCCGCAGACTGACCAGAGCCTGCGGGGACTGCGCCAGTGCCGGACCCGCCGGTAGGCAATGGACGTTGGATGAAGTTGGATAGACGATCCCCGGTACCGTAGTAGGAGGCTCTTTCGGCAAACTCAATGAGACAGATGAGATAGACATACCATTTGGGATATCCAATAATGCGGCGCAACGTACGGCTTTCCTCGCCTGTAGGCTCTCTGTACTGATTGAGAGAGCCGTCGTAGCTTTCTGGACCTTCGTCAGATTGACCCTCGACCTCGTTAACGAGGGCTGGGGTCTTTTCAACCAGATAAGAAACTTTACCAGAGGACATCGTAGAGTGGAGACAGAGCTTGTTTTTCGCTGGGGATAGAAACAAGAAGAGTTAGAAGACTGTGCAATTCTCGGACAAAGCGGCGCCTTTATATATGTGCCATTTGCACACAGTTCACAAGCCGAGTATCGATCCAAGAGGTGCCACAATTGTGTCAGACTTGGCCATTAAAGATAGCTGTGCTGTGGAAATATCTTAACGCCATGCGCAAGAGATAGCGATTACGGAATGTGTCAGCCGACTATCGGGTTACTCTCGTCTTTCAAGGACCGCAGGCACTGGAGACGGTAAGGTAGGGGTCCTCAGGGAATGTGTCTAAGACTTGCTTATTCTGCGTATAAACGCCACGAATGCCGGGAATACGGCCCTGAACGATCTAAATCGTGGTGGCTGCTGCGTGCGAGTCTGGGATGTTACTACGTCGTGACATACTCATACCACCAGCGTTGCCGACGCGTGGCATGGCTCAGCCTAGTTGTTTTTTGATTAACTTGAGACCGCTATCTACAATCTACTCCTGTGCGCTATCAGTAGAGGTCCCTGTGATAACGGTTTTCTTACGGAGAGACCCCACTATCTTGAAATACCTCTTGATAAGCCTAAGATAGCGGGTCGTTTGACGTCAAGGAAGCTTGTAGTGGACGGTTGCATCAGCACTGCACGTGGAATGTCTTGATGCTGGGTAGAGGCTTGTCTCGAGCCTGCCCCACGGTGTCTCCCGCGACCGGTCACTGGCTCATACGTATATGCCAGTTGCGGCATGAAGTCCGAGGACAGGCACATAAAAAAAGGAATGCAGACACCAAAACTCACCGCGGCCTCTCTTTACTTGCAACCGGACCTCGGCCGAGGCTGCGAGATAGAAGGAATCACGCTATTGATTTTTAGATGGACCACTCTAAGTGTCAGGAAAGGCTCACATACACAGTGACGACGGTTCGTAGAGCCGCCGCGGCCCATGCAAGCTGAGTTGGTTCTCTCGAAAAATAACTTACCTGTTCGCCGAGTGCCTTAAGACCGTTATGGTAATCTCCGAAGACTGCTTATGCAACACGGTGCGAAGGAAAAAAAGCTCGAGAGGGAGAGTTGGTTTACAGTGGTACAGCGCTACTTACTATAAGCGGCATCCGACAGTAGGAAACTGCCGCCCACTTCCATTAACAATTTGATTCTATCTGGGGGCTAGAAATGCGATGCTTTTGACTCGGATTTGGTATGCCTTTGTCAGCAAAAATTGGAAAACAAGAGAAACCACAACTCATTTGTGCATCATGTACCGGTGTGCATTTTATAGTGTTGCCCGCAAGCATATTTGCCCGGCGGATGGTGATGAAGACGTACAGCGTCCAGCATCGTGGTTGAAACCAACATAACGGGTTTTGGGTTTATAAGAACAATCACGAGGCATTAAATTATCACTTAATCAAATCAGATCAAATGAATTCCATCAGATTGATTTCACAAGACCGCCCACCGTGTCAGGCAAAGGCAACGTACGTCTAGATAGACTCCCGGTCATTTCAGGGTTCTTGTCTTTTATCAAGTTCGCTTTGCGTCACCCTCGTTTAGGCTGATCTGTCCTCGACCCTGAATTCTGGGTTATCGACATTTAGCGAATAAGCTGGCACCTTCTCAGTTAAGCGCTCTCCTTGCAGCCTCTGACGCCTCTCAATCTCCATAACCTTGTCTAAATCCCAGTATCTCCATAGGAAAATAGCTGCGAAAAGTGTGCCTAATCCTGCGAGAACCGCGAAAGGAACTATCAGATGCGGGTCCTGCAAAGAAGGCGTGACAATTTCACCTAATGCAGCAGATAAAGCAAGCGTGAAGAGGAACAGTGCCACTACGAAACTCTTCATGTGGGTGGGGGATCTCTCGAAGGCTAATTCATAACCGGTAGTCATTGCCAGACATTCGCTGAAACCCGTCAAAGTATATTCGGAAACAACCTCCCACATCGAGATGGGAGAAAAGGCCGTTCCATCATTAGCACAATTAGTTGCGTACCAGCCGCAGCTGGAGGTCTGATAGATGCGATATTGGATGATAGCACCTGCAAGACTGGCCATCGAAGCGATGAAGAAGCCGGCAGTGATACGATAGGCAGGCTTGAAGTTAATCTTGAAGCGTCTGAAGATGGGATAGATGACCCACTCGAGTAAAGGCGAGGAGACGATGATGGTCAAGGCATTGAAGCTATTAACAAGATCATTGGGGACACCGTTGTCACTCAGGCTCGCGGTCTGATTATTGACAATGGAGCCGATACCACTGTCATTAATATTGTAAATGACGAAATAGAGGAAAATGGCGCAGGCTGAGACTGTCGCCCTGGTGTCCGGAACGAGGTTTTCGGCGTAAAAGCCTGATTTATTTTTACGCCAACCGTTGCGACCCATCTGCCTCAGGTTAGAGGGACGAGCGTATTCCCAGAATTCGCCGTCGCGGTACCGCCGGATCCAGTTACCTTCAAGACAGACAGACAAAACTTTGCAGCAGTCCGCGAGGAGTGAGTAACCAGATGGTGGCTCGTCCTTGATGTGGCGACGCAGGAAAATTAGGACTATGGGCATGATGAAAAAGATGAGAAGCGGAATCAAGTAGGCAAGCCAGTAACCGATTCTTTTTGCGCAGTATGCCGTACCCAAAGAGACGAATGCGCCAAGATTGATGGACCAATAATAAAACATGGTCATACGATGGAGGGACGCATCACGGTCAATAATAACCATTTCGCCGGATTTGAGGATTTTGACAACGTCGGTCTCGTGTGGGTACTGGGAAAGCAAAATAGGAAACAGGACTGGCTTGATGAACGAACTAGCGATGGCGAGGGTAATAATACCTATAATGCAGAGTGCGATTGCCGCGTCCCTGTTGCTGAGTACAGATGGAATAGCACCTACGACAAAAATGACATGTGAAATGATATTGACGATGACACCTATCCACAGCATTTTCATGCGTCCAATGTAGCAGTCGCTAACGTATCCTGTGAAGAGTGGGAAACAGTAAGTCAAGAACATGAGCAGTAATGTGAGGCCTGTTGCGGCCTGAAGGCCCATGTTGAGGGCGCCCGCGGACTGACCAGAATTCGCAGGGACCGCGCCGGTACCGGGTCCGTCGGTGGGCAATGGACGTTGAATAAAGTTGGATAGACGGTCCCCGGTGCCATAGTAGGCGGCCCTTTCGGCAAACTCGATGAGACAGATAAGATAGACGTACCATTTTGGACGCCCAATAATGCGGCGCAACGTACGACTTTCCTCGTCTGTAGGCTCTCTGTATTGCTCAAAAGAGTCGTCAAAGCTCGTTGGACTATCGTCAGAATGGCCATCACGGTCTTCAAAAAGAATAGGACCCTTTTCGGCACTGTGGGGGATTTTTTCAGATGACATCCGCACTTGGGAAGGAAAATGCTAAAGTAAAGAGGCAGGGAGATGTACCATTCGCAAGACTTCAGCCCAGTGGCTTGTATTTATATATGCACTGTTCGCACGGGATTCAACAATTTTTAGCCTGCGCTATAACTGTATTCAAGTTTGAGAATCTTAGTTAAATGCACTGTGGGTGCGTCTGAGTATCATGTAGGAGAGAGCTGCCGCCATCGAAATTTAAGCATCAGTTGACAGTCACGTAGAACTCACAGAGTCACAGACAACAAATTAGAGGTCATGAAGGGTCCAAAGAAATTGTTTAAACGTTGCTTACTTTAACCAAGCGTGACTGGGCCTCGGATACACCAGCCTTGATTATGACTACTACTACGTCCTGGTCTGTGGCCCTAACCTACACTGGCTTGATATGTTTGCTCGCGAAACCTTCAACCTTCAGCCGCGTCTGTGACGCTTTCTTCCAAAACAGTACGTGCTATGAAATTTTCCTGTTGGACTTAATATATTAGTATGGTTGGGGCCAACCTGATTGCTCGAGGCGTTGTAGCACTGCACAAGGAAGATTCTCAGTTTCCTTGCTTGTAGGCGAGCCTGGTAGATGTCCTCTGAATCTTGAAATCCCGTTTTGCTCGGGGTTAACTCGTTAGAATATGCGAGGCGCCCGATAACGCTCAACTACACGACACATAGAACGGGAATGCCCAAAGTCATGTTGAGAGCTATGTTGAGAGTCATGTTGCTAGTCACGTTGCGAGTCATCCGCGAGTCATCCGCGAGTCATCCTCGAGTCATCCTCGAGTCATGTTGAACTTCACAGGATCAATGAAACAGAAGACTGACAAAATACTTACATAATATTGGGGAATCTATAGAGACTTTAAGGCTTGTATGATAATTTCTGTATTTCGATTTACTGTTTTTGACGTAAAATCGATTCTCTATATGTCTCGTCTTTCGAGCCTGTCCAGTTTTTGACACATTTCGGCGCGGCTGTGCTGCTTACATAAAATGCAAAGGAGAAAAATCACGTGACGGACCACTTCAACACGTGACTATGGATTTAGCATTGTGACGGGAATACGCCAAGTCACACCGAGACAGGCATTTCTCCATGAGTCTCATGCGGCTCACGCATGTAGCCTATAAGCGGATATTTTCTCTCGAAAAACCGTAGCCATTCGTCCACGCGTTCGAGTTCTGGACCCGAAAGTGCGTCAAGACTTGCTGAACAGGATTCTCGCATACCACGCACATCCCACATACTATGACTGAACACACGCGAACAGTCACAGCCTGCGAATTTGGAGTATGGGCCACGTGGGCCATACATGGAAGCACGTGAAGAAACGTCGAACACGTGACTTTTGATCCCCAGTAAGATCGGGACATTAGGGGCCCTCCCGGAGAAATGTGCCAATTCTGAAGCGGAAAACAGCAGTGGTAACGACTTAGTAGCCCAGTAGGGTCCTGGAACTTGTTCATGAGTTGAACTCGATGTGTTTTTGGCCGAAAAGCGCGGGAAAAATGACCCAGTACCGAATTTTAGCATCACTGCGATTAGTAGTACAAGACCTGCGGCCATGCGTAGCACATCTAAAACACTAAATCTTATAGACTGTTCATCGTCTTCGCCAGCGACATTGCGGGCCATACCATCGTGTTTTTGGTCCATCTTCGTCCCGAGCAGCGCTAAGATTTGGCTTTCTTTACTTACAAAGACCCTTCGCAATCTCTGCTTGTACGAAGAGCGACGAACGACGAGCGTATCGTAGTTCTACCCTTTCAAATATCTAATACGTAATAAGGGCTGCTACACAACTGGGTCGCGGAGCCAATCTGAGTTTATTTGTAGACACTCTAATACACAGAGATGTAGTTGTTGATCCGTTCTCTCTGGTTTTGAGCGATGCATTCGGCGATCCACGTGATGTTCCTCACCTCCTGCTCTCGTGACTTCATCCAGGCCCATATGGAGCTGACGGTGAACTGCTGCGTAAATCCGTCTCTGCACAGCTCCATCTCCATCTTGTAGAAATGGTCTTCTAGGTTCCCGTTCTCGAAGATTCCACGGTACTCATATACCGTGTCGACAATGCCCCTAACGGACTCGAAATCGGTGCCGTGGGCAGCCAACTGCTCCGTGGCCACGGGATAAAGTTTGCCCAATGTGGGCAGCAGTTCACGCTTCAAGTCTGCATTGATCAGGTCGGTGCTCTGCAGTGAGTTCAGAGAGATGTTTATCGCTCTACGGTCTCCCTCGAACTCAAGCAGCGTGAGCAAGATTTCACGCGCGGGCTCGTCGATCTTGGTGCTGACGAAATTGGCAAAATCGGCCAGATACGCCTTGTAAAGCTTGTTTCTGATAATCTCGATGTTGACGTCATCTAGCTCGTCTGCAGCGCCAAAACAGTCCCGGAAGTATGGTGCAAGCGGCGTGTCGACCAACACCGTGTCGTACAGAGACTCAAGGTCTGTAGCGACCGAAAGTGTAGGCAACGTGTCGAACCACCCAAGCGGATGACACCGCGCCAAAATCTCGGATTTGTCGCGGTCGTGGATCGTGCCCGTGATCATGAGGGCGACGTTGTCAATCATGTACCCATACGTGACATAGTCCAAAAACTGCTTCGTCACAGAGCTCGATTGGTCCCGAATGTACTGAAATTCCCTGTACAGCTTGGCCGCGGCCTGTTCCTGGATGATCGACGTCGTGAGGGCGTCCGCGGGTACAGCCGCAAGAAAATTACCGTAATCGGTCGACGAAAGTTGCAATTTGAGATCTTCCAACGTGTCGCACTGTGTCAAATTAAGGTATTGGTTGCTCGTGAGAAGCCCGTTGCGGTACCCTCTGACCACACCCTCGATGTACCCGTCGTTAACGTTGAAAAAGACACCTTCCATTGCCCGACAATTATGGCTCTTTGCTGGTCAACTAGCTACTTCTTGCCTGTTTCCCTCTGCTGTTTTATCAACAACCTTAGTACTGGAAACGAGTTCACTCTAGATTCACTCACCAGTTACATTTCCTAGATCATGTGCAACCATAGAGGGGTGAATATTTCGTGAAAAAGAATAAATCCGTACATAATGATATATACAATCACGTGCATTTATTCGTAAGAAAACACATATACACGCATCACATATTACGAATATTGTATTAGATCTCACGTGATTTTATAGTTCATATCGTCGTCCTAAGCGACCCCCGGTAGCTCCAGTTTCATTCATCTGACGCTGTTTTGTAAGGGATGAGTTACACCTCTTCCCCCCTTGGTTAGTAGAACCAGAAAAGGATCGCAACTGAAAAGAGGGAACAGGAGGAGGGCTTTAAGGCAAGCAAATAGAGCTTCTTTAATCAAGAAAAACAGAGTTAGGCATCTGAGTTTGGTTGTTGCCCCATTTGAAGCGCGAAAAAAGCAAGCGAATTTTGGTTCTTAAGGAGCATTTTAGGGATCAAGGGCGATTCTTTAACCACTCGTCGTCACAGTAAGCTCCAGGTGGATGCTTGCATACACAATATCCACTTATTAGAACGCAGGGAATTCATTTTGTTTGAAACGTCGGCCCGCGACAGATGAGCAAGTACGTGGAAAAGCAGCACACCAGCAACAACGCGCAGGACGCGTTTTCGTCCTGTGAAAACACAGTGGCGCAACGTACAAGCATTCTCGACCCACATCTGTCAGTTTTGCAGCTGTTGGAGCAAGAAAGCGATGACGTGGCCCACTCACAGGACCAGGATCGCCAGGCGCCATCCCAGATCTTGACCGTTGATAAACCCCAGAAAGCACTTCAAATTTCGCCCGAAATGCTGCATCGCAGCATTTCGGACTCGTGGCAGTCTATCCGCCACACGGACTATTCCATTCTGAACGTTTTCGGTGAGAATCAGGCCACACAACACGCAGGCATTTTATCGTCGTCGGACACGTCAGAGGACGAGCCGGAGCTACAGTATTCGCCATCGCCCAACCATTTTGTGTTTCCAGGATCTGCGCTGCATTCGTCCGAACGGTCGTCACTTGCGTACTCCAATAAGCCCAGAGACCCTGGAATCGGCGCGGACGCGGACAACGACAACGAAACAGTGACTGTAAGCCTTGCGAATTCATCCAATTCCTTCGTAATGCCAAAGCTCTCACTGGTCCAGAAATCTCAAAAGTTTTGCATAGTAGTAGTGGGCAGGCCGGCGCGCAAGTTCTACAACGGATTCCCGCGCTCGTATCAAAAAATGTTCGAGGTGGGCGACTACGAACATCTAGAGAACGCCAACTTGCGAAACTACAGCGCGGTCATGATCGTCTTTCAAGACGTCCAAACTGCTCCTGCTCTCCTAGAGAATGTTACGCATTTCAACAGAAACGTCATTCCGGTGTGCCAGCGCGGTCAGCAGCACCAGATAGCTAGCATTCTCAAAGCGCATGCACGGAAAAACCGCATACGTCAAATTCATGCGCTCATAGTAATGTCCGACCACAGAGAGGTTCATGACCTACTCAAACACCTTCACAGTCTGAGTCGCGAAGCGGACTCCGGGTATGAAACCGAAGTGGGGTCTACGGCTGTATCAAAGCGCAAAAAATCGTACAGGAAAAGATCCACGCCTCATTTAAGCCCATGGATCTTCTGGAGCATATCTTTGACCGTCGGTGTAGGCATAGGGTACTGCATGTCCTGCATTTTCTCTTCCAGCAGGTCATCTGGCGAAGGCTCTTTGGTATCCGTCGACGAATTCACCTGTACTGACGATCATCATTTTTCCCGCTCACCAGATGGAGCGCTCGAAAAATACTGGCGCAAACTCGTTTATATGATGAAAGCTGCCCTTCGAAATGTTTCCATGTCATTAAAAGAGGCTATCAACGCCCAACTACCCGTTGTCACTTGGATGCACCGTATCAGCAAAGAGTGGCTACCAGATGATTTGGACGGCACCGTTCCAGGTGTTGCATCTCTAGATCTTGTGCTGATCTGATTTGAGCTACTCTACATTATAACGTCACGCATGTGTAGTAGATCCTCAGGTTTATAAAGTGGTTTGTCAATATTAGTAGTGAAGAAGTATTCGTTTTTTGGTTCACACGGTTCCCTCTCATCGTTTTAATCAAGGAAACCCATTGATGAAAAAAATGAAGACATCTCATGGAATACACGGAAACGCGAAAAACGTTGAAACAACGAGACGATAAACTATTAGCGGGAAGACATTTCCATTACTTGTTGATCATTATATTTGGACTCAGCTTGGGCTAGGAATGCTTCCCTGGCTTCGAAGGAAATGGTCCCTGACGCATGTCAGAAACTTTGTTGAAGCTCCCTTAGATATTAGTATCAGAGCCCAACTAACGGCATTAGTATGTGTTGTGGCGCTTTTGTCTTTGATCGTACTTGCAGTGATAACAGGAGTGTACTTCTCTTCAAACTTCAAGTCTCTAAGAGGCGAGCGTTTGTATGTCGCAGCCCAGCTTAAGGCGTCACAAATTGATCAAACTTTGAAAAGTCTGTACTATCAATGTTACTGGCTTGCGACACGAGGCACATTGCAAAATGCACTCACGCAGTACTTGGCAGGTAACGTCACGGAAGAAGACTTTTCAGATTCTTCTACGGTGGTGGACAAATTCCTAGGGTCTTCGGACCTATTTTCAGCTGCAAAACTGTATGATTCAAGCTTCAAAGAAGTTCTCTTTTCTACCAATAATAACTCCGGAAATGCGATACCGCCTGACGTCCTTGAACAGCTTTTCCCTCTGTCAACTAATGATTCTCTACCGTCGTCCTTAGAGTCGTCCGGGATGCTGACGGACCCGGTTCTGAATGGCTCCGTTTATTTGATGTCAATGTCACTACCCATTCTCGCTAACCCTTCCATCATTCTGTCTGATTCAAGGATTTACGGCTACTTAACAGTGGTAATGTCTGCGGAAGGATTGAAAGCGGTCTTTAATGATACCACGGCGTTGGACAAATCGTACGTCACCATAATCTCTACGTCTTACCGCGAGGGGAAACTTGCCGGCTTCCATCTCGTCTTTCCACCTTACGGCACGCAGACATATGTGACAAGTTACGTCTTCCCAATGACCAACGGCAGTTTTACAGAGGACGCGCTCTTGGAAGGCAAAGGAGGAACACTAGATAACACAGAATTTTTGGGCAGGAGGGTGGCAATGGGTTACTCGCGTTGTACTTTCAGTTTTGTTGCGTGGGTAGCGATCGTTTCTCAACCGGCAAATGTCTTTCTGTCTCCCTCTACAAAATTGACCAAGATTATTGCCGGAACGGTTATCGGGATCGCAGCTGTTGTGTGTTTAGCGACTTTTCCCTTGGCTCATTGGGCCGTTCAGCCCATTGTCAGGCTTCAAAAAGCCACGGAGATTATCACAGCTGGCAGGGGTTTACGGTCGGATAACAATAGCGCCTCTATAAGTCGATCAGATTCAAGCCACAAACGTTCGAGCACCGTGGGTTCATTTGGGTCTGCTTTCCGCCTGCGTAACGACAAGCTTTTAGCAAATTCCTATGTTGAGCGAACCGCGGGAAATGGCTCTCCGGAGAAAGGTGATGCATCTGCTGGAGAAACTAAACTCGATCGCTCGAATCATTTGGTAGGGAACTCAGCTCGAAATTCCTTTCATAGCGAAACAGCTTCGGAGAGATCTGATCGCTATATGATTCCAACGAGTCTGATGATAGATGCGCGGGTTCCCGTATACCGAAGGTTTTTTTCTGATGAGCTTTCCGAATTAACTGACACATTCAATACCATGGCTGATGAACTCGACCGGTACTACACTTTATTGGAAGATCGGGTGCGTGCGAGGACAAAACAGTTGGAGGCCGCGAAGGTGGAAGCTGAAGCTGCGAATGAGGCGAAAACAGTATTCATTGCCAACATATCGCATGAGCTTAGAACTCCGTTAAACGGTATTTTGGGAATGACAGCTATTGCAATGGCAGAGGATGATCCTCAAAAGTTGAAAAACAGTCTAAAATTGATATTCAGGTCAGGAGAACTTCTGCTTCACATTCTGACTGAGCTTTTAACCTTCTCGAAAAATGTTTTGAAGAGGACGAAATTGGAGGAAAGAAACTTCTCAATTTTGGATGTCGCTCTGCAAGTCAAATCTATCTTCGGAAAACTGGCGAAGGATCAACATGTTAAGCTAAGCATCACGATAGAGCCAAATATGCTTAGAAGTATGGGTCTCTGGGGAGATTCTAATCGAATAATACAAATTATGATGAATTTGGTTTCCAATGCATTGAAATTTACGCCAGTTGATGGTGAAGTCAATGTTCGCTTTAAACTACTGGGTGAATATGACAAGGAACGGAGCGAGAAATCCAATCGCTGCGAAGTTTGTTTAGGAGATGGAACAACGCCACATGACATGATAGAATCGGAGCCTTTCCCGACTATTGAACAGAAAGAAGGGAACGCTGATGGAAAGCAAGAAGAAAGGGTTGGCTCCTCTGACCATTCTTCGTCCTCTGAAAGTGCTCAAAGCTCTCCCCAGGAATTAGCCAAGAAAGCCAACTTTTCAGACGGGTCTAGTGATGAGAAATCGATTCAAGAATCGTTAGATTCGAGTACCACAAGCTCATACGACAACGCAATTTTTTATTCCCAGTTTCGCAAAAGCTTCTCGGATGATGACAATGGTGACTCTAATGAGGATTCCAAACTCGAGCATCCCAAAACTTGGGTCATAACTATGGAAGTTGAGGATACAGGTCCTGGGATCGACACAAGTCTTCAAGAAAGTGTTTTTGAGCCTTTTGTTCAGGGTGATCAAACTTTATCGCGCCAATACGGTGGAACCGGACTTGGACTCTCTATTTGTAGGCAGCTGGCTGCCATGATGAAGGGGACAATGGAGCTGGAATCGACAGTCGGAGTAGGAAGCAAGTTTACGTTCACCCTACCCTTAACTCAAGTACGAGAAATTTCATTCGATGATGTTGAAGCTCCCTTTGAAGATGAGTTTAATCCCCATAGTAAAAAGAACAGGAAGGTCAAATTTAAGGTGTCAAAGGCGAGCAAGAAACCGCGTTTGAGAAGCACAGCAAACGAATCTGAGAGCTCCTGCGAAAATAATAATATTTCCGGAAGCGATCTCAGCATGGGAAGCGTCAGGGTCGATAGACCCTTCTTGCAAAGCACAGGTACCGCTCAGTCTTCTCGTAACGTCACAACGCTCCAGACGTCAAGGAATGAAGGTAAAATTTTGGTTGCTGAGGACAATAACGTTAACCAAGAAGTCATCAAGAGAATGTTGAACCTCGAAGGGTTAGCGAGGATTGATCTGGCCTGCGATGGAGAGGAGGCATTTTTGAAGGTAAAGGAACAAGTAGAAGAGAACGATTTTTATGATATGATATTCATGGACGTTCAAATGCCCAAGGTTGATGGACTGACCGCCACCAAGCAAATTCGTCAGGAGCTAAAATACGATCACCCAATTGTCGCGCTTACGGCCTATGCAGACGACAGTAACATCAAGGAATGCCTAAATGCTGGAATGAATGGCTTTTTGTCAAAACCCATTAAGAGACCAAAACTCAGAAATATCCTACGAGAGTTTAGCCCCAGTACTTTGGAAGCTGCCAAAAAGAACCCTTGATTTAAGTAAAACGCCTTTGGGCACCGACAATAGAGTTAATAGAAAGTGTTCACAGCTTTAATAATTGGACAGTTAGATTATAACCGAAAAGTCTTAATTACGTACTTGTATGTGCTACTAAGCGTAAGTTGCAGGTAATTGTAACAGAGAAAAGAAATGCCAAAATGCGAGGGCAAATCAATCATTTCAGCTTCTTCTTTGGACGCAATTGGTTGGTGTGGCCACACTTTCTCTTTCTGCAGTTGGTGGCTCTTGGTGGCAATCTAGCGTAACACTTACGGCAAACAGACTTCTCACAATTGTACTTGGAAGCTAAAGCCTTCAAAGATGGTTCGATGATACCACCTCTCAATCTCAAGACCAAGTGAAGAGTGGACTCCTTTTGGATGTTGTAGTCAGACAAAGTTCTGCCATCTTCCAATTGCTTACCAGCAAAGATCAATCTTTGTTGGTCAGGAGGAATACCTTCCTTGTCCTGGATCTTCGACTTGACATTGTCAATGGTGTCGGAAGATTCGACTTCCAAAGTGATGGTCTTACCAGTCAAGGTCTTGACAAAACTGCGATAAAAAGTTAGTGACAAAGGTCGCGCAGAAATAAAAGCGGAAAAGCACTTCGGTGATCTTGCTAAGCTTTCAAAGGTTGTAATTGTGATAAAGTCTTTAGAGTTGGCCGCTTAGAGTTGAGTTCACCACGATCCGTCAGAGGCATTTAACGCAAATTTCCCAAGTATCTTTTGCAGAAACCAGTTTACTGCCTCCGTTTCCATTCTAAACCCTCCACAAGCTTTCCTCAGTAATCAAACAGCTATCCACAATTCTTCAGCAATAATCACCATATCTCACTCTAAACCAACCAATGCTACCCAAATATACCCATATTCACCGCTTAAGACAATATACCACTCCGTAAGCACTCTTTACCATCCCATTATCGACATACATTTGCATCTTTGTGTCTTGATCTCTCTAATCTTGTTAAGCTCAGATGCCCAACTTCACTTTCAACTACACTGGATTTCACGAACGGTCAAACCTAGATTCCGCCCCACTGCTTGCGTCCTGCTCCGAGAGAATACATCATGACAAGTACAGTGAACTAAACCTGTCGCTATAGGGCAGTTTCTGAGGCGTGGCACTGAGAACGGCAAATTGGGTTTTTTGTAAAAAATTGAATAAAATTAGCCAAAGCCCATACATTGCTCTGAATTGAGAGGTATGGGTGATAGTCATATAGAAGTCTTAAAGCCCTAATTCCAAGCCCTTACATCGATTGAAGTTACCCGCCCTGAAGCTCAAATGGACCTTTTCCTTCAACTCAACTAAAACTCAATATACTTGATGTAAATACGGTGATAAGCTGGCCGTGAAGGACTTACCAAAGCTTTCCAATCGGGATAAGCGTGTAGGATAGAGGACCCTGTCGGGATCGAGCAGTTTTTTGGTAGCTTTTGACGTCAGAAGAGAGCCCACTGGTAGGAATTGAAGGCGCCCTCTCCCGCTGAGATCCCTTGCCAAGATTAAAATAAAAAACATGGATATCAGCAACGAACAATCGGGCCAAACGGGCATGGAGCAAGATGCAGATGTCAAGCTGGAAGAGATCTCATCATTTCTTGGCGTTGACATAAGTGCCGTACAGCGAATTGACGGCGCTGTACTGACTAGCATAGCAGACAAGGCAAACAAGTTTGATTCACTGAAGGCAGAAAATCTGAAGATTACCGTAACTCTTGAGGAAGTCAAGACCAATATCTCGCAAGAGAAGCATGCATGTGAAACGAAGGCTCAGTCATTACAGAAAGAAGTTGAGAAACTGCGAAGAGACCAAGCAGATTGTGAAAGGCAACAGTCAACATTAATGGAGGAGAAAGCTTCCGCTATTAATAAAACCCAAACTTTAACAGCCCAGCTAAAGCAACTGCAATCCGAAAAAGAAGTCTCGGATGCTGGCAAAAACGATGTGGCTCGTTTGATGAACGAAAAGATAAGCGACCTTGCGCAAGCGAAGCAGGAGACGGAGAATATGCTAGCGAGCAACAAGGATCTGCGCTCGCAAATAGTTGATCTTGATGCCCAGGTAAGGGTTTCGAAAGCCAGAGAACTGAGCCAACGGGCAGAGCTGCAAAGGGCAACACAAGAGAGCAGCTTGCTTAAATCTAATAACGACTGGCTTCAGAGTCGTTTGAAAAGTATCAACGAAGAATTCAGCAATTACCGGAAAGAGAGTGACCAGAAAGTGCAAGAAGCCCTCAGGAATGCACAAAAGGCTCAATTCGAAGCACAAGTGTCTACTAGTACATTGACAACTCTTCGAGAGCAATACAATGAAGTGTCACAAATGTCGGAGCGAAAAAGTGAGAAAATCAAGCACTTAAGTGATCAGGCAAACACCGATAAACAGGAATTCGCCCGCGAAATGGCCTTAAAACAGCGATTGCTGGAATTATTAGAAAATCAGGTTGAATCTCTGAAAAAAGACTTAACAACCTTTGAAAGTCAAAGATCGCTAGGAGTTCAGGACCACAAGTCGGAAAAAGAAGAGCTTCTTCAACAAGTCAAAGATGCCCAGGTTAAGTTAGATGCAAGTGAGGTCAAAATTGAACGGTTAGAGAGCACCGTAGAGGAGTTGCTCTCCATGAATCAACAAAGCGCCCGCTCAGCGTCACCATCGGTTTTAAAACAAAAATCAAGCTCAAATAGCCATGGCTCCTACGACTTGACTGTCATCAAAAAGCAATTAATACATGAGAGGCGTCAGAAGGAAGCCTTGCAAAATCAGGTGGAAGCATTCATTATTGAGCTAGAACACAAAGCCCCTGTTTTGAATTCATTCAAAGAGCGCAATGAAATGCTAGAGGAGGAGCTTACGGAGACGGCTCTTATGCTGGAATCGATCACAACTGTGAAAGAGAATTGCGAACGGGATCTCCACAGATGTAAAAGTAAGCTGCGCGATTATGAAGCTCAGGTTTCCAGCCTAGTAAAACAACGTTCAGACCTTGCGAGCCAAGTGCAATACCTTATTATACAAGCTTCCTTGTATTCCAATTCTGAGCTTCTTCTTTCACCCGAGGAAGTTTCTTTTATCAAAAAACTTCAGAAGTCCGAAAGCCATCTTGCAGAGCAGGATTCTCAAAAAATAATCACCGAGCGGTTGGTCAAGTTCAAAGATGTCCACGAGCTGCAGACGACAAATATGAATTTGCTAAATTCTGTGAGAAGCTTGGCCAGCAAACTCGAACAAAACGAGAAGACTGCTGGAAAGATGGCAGAATCGATAGAGAATGCAACGGTAGCTGAAGCCAAAGAGGCGATTTTGACACTCCAAGATCATAATTCTAAGCTTGAAGAGAGGTTGGCTGTTCTTTCCAGGGAAAAAGATGCTTTGAAAAAAGTTGTCCACACAAGGAATACTTCTTCAATCGATAACAGTATTGATAAGGATGAAAAGCCATTTAACTTTGCGAGCAATGATAGGATTAGAGAGCTCGAAGCTCAGATTACAACTCTTTTGCAAGAAAGTCAAGAGAATTATAAGCTATTGAACGAAGAAACCAAATCACTTCACAAAAAGAACTCGGAATTGCTTGTGTCACTTGAGAGAGAAAGATCTTCAAAGTCTCTTTCCGATGACCGTCTGGCACTCTTGAAGCAGAAAGCAGATTTTATCCAAAGGGATAAAGAAGAGCTTTCTCGTAGGGTAGAACAGTTGGAGACAAGCTCGGGACACCAAGAGGAAAATAATCAAAAGATTCTATCCGAACTAATTGAATGTCAGGGATTATTGAAAACCAAAGAACTCGAATTGAAGAATAGGACAGCCGAGATTGAGATGTTACGTACCTTTCAACAGGATTTGAAAACCGAGTTGCAGAATTTATCCCGTGAAAAGAATGAGATGACAATTTTGGTTACTCAGTTACAAGCACTTGAAAAGGAGCGCACGGAGATTATGGCTAGTAATGAAAAGAGTTGGAAACAACAACATTCGAGTTTGACAACCGAACTCTCGGAGCTCAAAGGCACTCTGAAGGAAAGATCGGAAGAACTAGCAAGTGTCATGGCGGCAAAAAATTCTCAAACTCAATGGTACCAAGAGAAATTTGATTCGATCTCCGAATCAAACCTCTCGACACAAAAAGAATGCCAAGCGAAAACTGCTGCCCTACAAGCGTTGGAGAATGAGGTTAAGCTACTCAAGGGTAGATTAAAGGATGAAGAACATAACATGCTATCCTTTGATCATAAGTTTACCACAAGCGAAGAATCATCACCTGAGGAGTTGCTCAATTTCCAGTTGAAGGAGGCCAAGCTTCGGTTGAAAGAAGCCTTCTCTCAGGTCGAAGAATACCAGGCCATTGCTCGCACGAATGAGGAGGCTCTTCTCCAAATTTCTTCAGCCTTTGAAGAGTCTAAGGCAATTACCAATAAAACCATTTCTGATCTTGAACTCGAAAGTGCAACTTTGAAGCAGAAAGTCTTGGATCTGGCAGACGAAAAACAAGAAGTACAGCGCAGCTGGGAAGCTGAAAGAAAGGATTATGATTCTAAGAGTAAACAATTTAAGGATGAAATCTCAAACCTGGAAAATAAGCTGATGTCTTTTGAATCAATGAAGGCCGATTGTGATGCCAAATTGGCAAAGGCCCAAGAAGATTTGGCGCATCAACTAAACGTGATAGACCTCAATCGGCAAATATATGAGAAAGAGAAAGTTAAGTATAAAGATTTCGACACTGATCTGGACCGCGCTAAAGAGGAGCTAAATGATGCAAGGAATAAGGCCGACGTTTTCAGAAGAGAAGCAGAAATTGCAAGAACTACAATCAAGGAGGAAGAAGAAGCTTGGAACAATCAAAAATCCGATTATGATGCAAAACTGATGTTTGTGAATGAGCGAAATGAAGACTTGGCCACGCAAAATCGCCTTTTATGTGAGCAGCTGGACGTCATGAGCAAAGGTACAGGCGCGGTGGAGGCTGAGGGAACTGAAAACTTGCAATCAAATCAGCTTGTAGCCTCATTGCGTCGGGAAAATGACATCGTGTCAGCCAAACTAGAGATAACTAGGCGGGAGGAAAAAGCGCTGCGCCTTAAATTACAGTCTTCCGAAGCTCAACTTGAAGTTGTTAGAGGGGAATTAGTTCGAACTCAAATCATGCATTATCCCGAATCTCCTTCTGAAAGGGAGCATGAGGTCATCATAAATGAGCTTAATCAATTAAATCTTTTCAGGGAGAGTAATGTCACTCTTCGAGAGCAGATCAAAAAGCATAACGACACCATCAAAGAACTTCAAACGTACATTGACACTCTAGAAGATAAAGTCGTGCCACTAGAAAAAGAAATCCAGTCTTTGCATAACAATGTCGCAGCTAAAGACCGAGAAACGACTTTGTTGAAGGAAGAAGCAGCGAGGTGGAAGCAAAGATCCCTAGATGCCTTGCGCAGGGACTCCCATGTAGACGTTAGTGAACATGAAAAACTGACCGAAGAGCTAAAAGAGTTGAAGGAATCTGTGAAGGCCAAAGAAGCTCAAAATGCGGAGTTAGAGGACAGGTTTCAAAGATTGAAAAAACAAGCACGGGAGAGACTGGACAACGCCAAAGTTCAACAAGGTAATCTAAATGTACAATTGGAAGAGCTTAAGAATAATGTGCAAGCCTTGGAAAGTGAACTCCATAAAGAGCGCCAGTTGAGGACAGCTCTAGAAATGGAGGGCTCTAAACATGCATTGGAGAGCTCTGATCAAGATGTAAGAAACGAACTTGAACTAGCTCACCAGGCTATAAAGGAAACTGAAATTAAATTAGCTGAAATCCAAGCAACTGGTAATGCCACGGAGAAGCAATTGAGGAAAGAACTTGAAGATGCGAGAGCCAGATTGGCGGCCTTTCAAGAAAATGCCTCTCAGGACACGATTGAAGACCATTTAAGTGCGGAAGCCTCGAAAGAAGAATTGAATAAGGCACTCAGTGAGTTGGAGGCCACCCTGAAAGATCAGTTTGCAAAGGAGAAGGAATCCATATTATCTCAACAAAAGGAAGTATTACGTAAAGCTTTCGAGGAGGAAAAGGCCGAAGAAATGAAGAGACTTGAAAGCGAGCTGAACGAAAAAAATAATGAGCGCATTGATATTGACGCTATAAAAAAACAGTGGGAGCAAGCGTATGAGGAGAATACTCTGAAACGTATTGAAGAAGCAAACAAAGATCTTCGAAAAAGGATTCGACTCCCTACGGAGGATAAAATTAATAAAATAATTGAAGCCAGAAAGAAGGAGCTCGAGGATGAATACTCCCGTCGCGTTGAGGAGGCATCGAAAAATGCCTCTACCAGCCGGCCAGCCACGGCAGGCTTCACGGAATTGATGAAGAATCACAAGCAGGAAGTGGACAAAATTAGAAAAGAATTGACTGAAAAGTTTGAAACAGAAATAAGACAGGTAAAGAAGAAAGCTTTCGACGAGGGCAAACAGCAAGCAGGTATGAAATCAATATTTCTAGAAAAGAAAATCACCAAACTTGAGGAACAGTTGAAAAACGCTTCGTCGAACCCATTGCAGGCTCCTGTATCCAGACAAGCTTCTGCAGGTGGAACAAGGCCTTCTAAAATTACTGAAGTTCAACCGCTTCAGGAGTCAAGCGAACCATCGCAGCCAAACATAGCGCCTCTGCCGATAAAAACACTGCCTTTTAACGAAAACGATGCGGACGCCAAGAATGAGCCAAGTCCCACAATTACTTCTGGAACACTCTCTTCAGCTCAACCAACCGCTGATAACGGCAATGGGTCACCTAAACGTTCGGCAGAGGCTGCCGGGTCCATTAATGAAAACCAGGGAAACTGCTTCAAAAAACCCAAGGGTCCTGATTCAGATGCCTCAATCGAGTGAAGTAGCGTTTATCAATTAACTTTGTTTATACATACTGGATATATCCAAGTTTTTACCATTTCAGCAGCATTTTGTTTCGATTTTACCTTTTTCTCGTGAATTCGCGATGAGATCGGAGTTTAAGTTGTTAGAAATTTAATCTAGAATTCTATACCCAGAAACTAGCAACGTTGATGAGCAAGAACGACCCACGGGATACAGTCGAACAAGACCCTTATAATGTTCTAACTTCTGATGAAGATGAAAATATCAAAAGTAAGTTTGTAACTGCAACTGTCACATCTCATCCTGCCTTTACTGACAAGAGTTCACATAGTACAAGCAGAGATTGACGAACTTGAAAGACGAGCCAAAGACTTAAAAACAAGACTGCAGCCCAGAGACAGAATAAGGTCAAACTCCATCAATAAAGAAGTTAAAGCTGTTGAAAATACTCCGCGAGAGAAATCGCACAACTTCCGAAATAATATAAATGCGACTAAGGGTCGAGACGAAAACGGAACAACTCTCAAGTCCTGTGAAGGTCATTCTACACCTTATTTTACAGAGAAGTTTGCTCAGATCAAAAAGCGGGAGGACTACGAAATTCGTAGGGCTGAGGAATTTTTGAGACGGAGAACTCATACTTTTGACAGTTCACGGTTTACAAATGATAGAGAACCTCAGGTGGTGAACGAGAAAGAGAAATTTTCAGGAAAATGGATTTCCAGGCGATTCATTACTCACGGTGAATTATCTGAGTTACTGGACGATAAAAAGGTCTTGAGATTGCCAAAATTGTTCAGTAAGGTTCGTCCCCCTAAGTTCACCGAACCAGAATATCCAAACTGGGTTGTGTTTGGGGTTTTAACGAATAAAAGCGACATCAAAATGACCTCCTCCAAGAAACCGAGCAAGTTTTTCAAGCTGACGTTATCTGACTTCAAATACACAATCGATGTGTTCGTGTTTAACAAAGCAAATGTTGAGAAATACTTCAATTTGAAAGTGGGCGATATTATTGGCATACTAAATCCAGATATTCTGCCGTGGAGACCTTCGAGAATCGAAAATGATGAGTCTAGTGGCTACACGGTCAAATCGTTTAATTTGTCAATACGACACGAGTCCGATTGTATCATAGAAATTGGCACAAGCAGAGACTTCGCGCTATGTCCGGTCACAGATAGTTCGACTGGGAAATGTTGTGGGACAGCAATTGATAGGTCCACAGAGGACAGATGTCAGTATCATCAGGAGACGCGCTTTCGCAAGGTGAATGCACAACGTCTGGAGCTTAACGGCAACAAATCTCTGAGAGCACCTACTCAAAATGGGCTCACTCAAACCTTATATCAAAAGTCAAGTAAAAATCGTAAAAACTACGAGCTTTTTACCGAAAAAACCGGTCAGGGACTTCAAGATGGGAGTCGACAGAACAAACTATATTTCAGTAATCCCAACTACGCCAAAGCATTTTTTGACCAAACATATCAAAATCCAGACATATTGGCTAATCTAGAAAGCAAAAGGCGGAAGATCAAGAACGATTCCAAGGAGACCTTACTTCAAAGACAGCTTGCAAGTGCCATAAAAAAATCTTCGTCGACTACCACCGATAACCTAGATCAGCAGACTCGAGACAAAATGAGGAGTACTACAGAGCGCGCCCTTCAAAACGGACTTATGAACAAGATAGGGTTTGATCCAACAAATGGCCAGATGACGTCACTTCTGCGGGCCACAAGGGGCAAAGGATGGGCCAGGACATCTAGCAATGATGTTAAAGATGTGATGTATTCGAAGAAGACCAACATAGTATTAGCTCCTTCGAAAAAGGAACTCAAAAAACGAATTCAAAGAAGAGAGGAGGTTTGGAAAGAACATTTTGAACGCCGAGAAGAGCAAATTGACTCAGGAAGGGTAGCCGTTCATGAAAACGCTGAAGACGAAAAGAGTAACGAAAGTAGCAATGAAAGCGAATTAGATATCATCTAGAAGCGGAGCCAACTAAGGTGCTAACAATTCCAACTCAAAGCTCGAATAGTTTTTTAAAAACTTGATGTCAATTTTGTTGTTAAAAGGTTTGCCGTCTTTTTGCAAATCTAGGAGGTTTAACAGGTGGCCATCGCAACATATGTCAAACTTACTGCGAGGGGAATTTGCAGGATCCGAATCAATATGCACTTCAAAATCATCCAGCATTCGCTGGTATAAAACACCATTGTCATTTATATCGTCGCCAGCTTTGTTCTGGTAACCTTTCATGATGCGGGCAACAAGCTCCTCGGTGCAAAGGGATGATGAGTAGGCGAGAAGGTGTAGTTCAGATTTTAAAACATCAGAGCATGGAGAAGGCTTATAAGTTCGCTCCAGATTTGAAGTGTTTATCACAGCGAAATAATTGAAAGAGCCTTCTGTCACCTTGGGTATGCAAATTTGACAAGACAAGGCTTCATCATTTAGCAATTTTTCGCTAGCGACACGAAACCGCTCGACGCCCATCTTTTGATACTTAGGATGCGCGCAAAGATGGAGAAGATTAGCGTGGAATGCGGCCGAGAGAATGATGAAAAATACAAGCTGCGTGTCATTAGGGAACACTGCCCTATAGAGGGGAAACTTTCTAGAAGTAAGCTGGCCGGCCAACATGCTTCTGAAAAGTGCTATAGGCGACGTAAATCCCAGGGAACTGGCCCACGCATTACCAGTGCCCATGGGAAATGGTACTAAGGTGATTTTATGTGCCCTTTTTGATTTGCAGTCGTCTGGCAGGCCGTTAAAAAATTCAGAAATACTTGTATCACCCGATAGCATCATTATGAAATAATCCTTGGAAGGAGAAAGACCTTTCGCTAAATTTTTGATTGCATCGGTGCTGTCTGTTTTCACTACCTTAAAATCAACTTTCAAGTCTTGCAGAACAGGGGCGACAACGATATTTGCAAAATCTGCATTTTCAGATCGGCCTGTTCCAGATTTTACCGAATCTAAAACGATCACTTCAGCGTCGCCAAAGATGTTCCTCGTTGCTTGTGGATCGGTTTTTAGCAGCACTTTGTCATTCCCAGATAATAAAGAGCTAGTTTTTAGGGTCAAAGCAACTGTTTTCGAACCTTGCTGCTTTACTTCGACGCTGAAGCAATGATCAGCTGTACAAATTAAGGGCTCTTTACGATATTCGTCTCGCGCATTACCCAGCTTTGCCATTTGTTCTCTTTTTCCCAGTATTAATAATCAGCGATGCCCCTCTTTTCGAGACGATTTCTTATTGAGAGTAATTTACACGTATTTTTTCAAATCTTGAAGAGCATCATCATTCATGATCATCATTTTCATCATCATCAACAATACCAAGTAACTACAAACTAAAGGCAAGAGATACTTATACAAAGGTGGATTTAAGCCTAAGAACAGTAATGAAAAGTTCTCACAGGCCTGAATTGAGCCATACACTGTATGTCATTTAATCCAAATGGAAAATGTTAAGCATGTTAAAGTCTCTAACTCTTCCCTTCAGCTCTCTCAATATCCCTTTTGAAAACGAAAGACAAGCAGAAATAGCGGTAAACGCCCTCTCCCCAGATCCAATCCTGAAACCGCAAGATTTCCACATCATATACACGAAGAATGCATCCGACTTATCGATCCTTTTCTCTGCAGTCGATGACAGGGTGCTGCGTGTGGGCGTAAGCAGTATTATAGAAAGTGTCAAAACAGTGATCGAAACCATTGATGAGTTGCAATAAAATGCAAGGCGTTGCGAAAGGCACCTGCAGAGTGAAGGTGTACTCAACAACAACTCAGAGCAGATTCACTATGGGTTGGAAGCCAAAAGAGAAAAGCATCCACCGGACGCCGAATCGACATCAGTATGTTGTCATCGTCTTCAGGGCTCCGTTCTGAGAGCATGTTTGTAGGAATATGCGGCTCTGAAGTGAACTACTTCCCTGCAGAAAACAGAAGTTCCCAAATCAAAGTCCCATAGCAGATGCCTTACGAATTTTAAGCTGGTTTGAGCTTGGAGAAGGCCACATTTGGATGGCTTGTGCGTTGTGCGAGTCGGTGCGAGTCGATGTCGTACCGCCAGTTTATGTCAGATGGAGACTCAAGAGAAGATTATCTCGTATGATGTGACATACTGAGGGTATATAAGAGAGACTCTCAGCGGCTGTCCTTGTCTTGATCCTCAATCACCCACGAACTCAAAATACCAAGATCATGGGCTTATTGTGTAACCTTGTATATGTAAATGGAATCCAGCGTTCGGGAGAAATTCGATGTTCTCTGGCGAAGTCGAATGCATGTTAAGTGGTTGGAACGCGACCGCTTTACTAGCCGTCATTTATGGGTCGATGCGCAAACTTGAAGTATGATAGAAAGGAAATAAGGCCTACGAGGAACACAGATGAACTACAGATCAAAGGCCGTGAAGCAGACGTTTTTATATCGAGACTCACCTTCAAAACGGTCTATGAACGTCTACCAAAACAAGACTCAGAAACGTTGCATTTACATACAAAAGATCATACAAAAGATCATTATCGTCCCAAAGAAAACTAATCTCAAGCGTCTTCGTCACAAACCACTTGCGACAAATTCTAACTGTTACATGTTACACGTTTCATCGCTTCTGGAGGCACGTTTTACAAAGGCCGTTTTGAAGAGGCCGAGTTCTCGGCAAAAACCCGGCCTGCGGACGGGGTTGGCCGTTGACGTTGACGTCGACATCGACGTGGTAAGATACACATGTCACGTGACTTGAAGGAAGAGGCTAGAAACAATTCACCCCATAATTAAACCGCATGATGACAAAAATTTTCCCTTTGCTGGCGTGTGGGAAGTGACTCCTTGGCTTCCCGCTCGAGCTATACAATCTTATTATCTCGAAATTTACAAAAGCGTGCTGTAACCAAGTCTTTGAGAGCAATTAGCGATCAGCATAGCTTAGAAATCTTTTTGGTTTCAGAGCGTCGTCATTTTAGCGCGCCATTTGTAGTATCAGGGAAAAAAAAATAATATACTGGAATTTTGAGAAGCAAGGGCTGCAACCGAGAGAATAGGCTTATGAAGAGTATGAGGGACCTGAGTACCCCTTCTGCAAGCGTTTTATATATGACTGACGTGAGCCCGATGCGAAGCAGCGAGCATGGCAATCATCCGACAAGCTCGATGGCCAGGTGTAACAGCGGGCATCAGCAGAAACGGCAACATTCGAACTCGCACGATCGATGTGATGCAAGAGGGATGACAGACAATAAGCGGCGAATTGCAGAGGCAGATCGTATTTATAGCACAGGGGTAGAAGCTTCATCTTCTTCCCCCTTTCTCGATGGTGTGACTCCACCTTTGCCGGACCACGCGTTCTCACCAGAGTATGCTCCGACGACATGGTCGCGGAATAAAAGAGCAGCAGCTCACGTCGCTGAAAACAATAGCATTCAACAACAACAGGAGGCACAAAAAACTCCCGATCCACCAGAGTCTTCACTTCCCGCCAATTGCGCGTCCTCGCCGTCAAATGATAACCACAACGAGCAACATCAAGACCAGGAGGAGTCACAGGACATGCAGCAGAGCTATTCGCCCGACAAAGATGATGGCGAAAAATCGAGCGAGAAAAGCGATGGTAATGAGAAAGGAGGCAAAGAACCTGATGAAAACGATAACTCTCAAACTTCAAACATATCCGGTAAGCAGACGAGTCAGGCACTCGTTCAAAAGTTACAAGACATTTACAGAAACATTGTGAAACAAGAAGTGATACTTCAAGAGCGGTGTTCGCAATTGACAACCTCTCAAACGACAGAACTGAAAAATCTATGGATGATTTACAAGGTCAACGCCGATTTAATAAACAATTACGTTGCATTCATAACAACAGCACTGCTGCCTTCGCAGCCAGAACATGATTTGTTGATGGGCCAAGAAATCGTTGAAATTTATCGAATTGAGAGACGTCTTTGGGTATACGGGACCATTACATTCTTAGATGTGCTCAAAAATTTCTCTGATTTTATGGATCCAGAGGTGTGTTGTCAATTTATCACACATGTGTTTGTTTCTATTTCTAACATGTTGGGTGATATGTCTCCAAAATATGCGACACCTTGGCTAGAGCGATTAGGCGACTTATCGCGAATGGCAATAGCACTTTATCCATCAGGTTTCATTGATTGGAAACTCAGCGCCGAGTACTGGTATACTCAAGCAATGACGCATATTTATGGGCATGGAAAACTATACTATCACATGTCAACAGTACAACAAAATACGTTGGAAGCCTTCGTGAACCTTGGGAAAAGTGTGTTCTGTCAGGATACCTTCATCCCATCCCAACAGTATATGCAGTTGGTCATTGATAACATATATCAAAGAGCTTTTGCAGAGCGCAGCTGTGGAAACAACCGCAATTCGCTTATAGTCGAGTACTTGAAACACAGTGAGGTCATGCTACTCTCTAGTTTTTTGGAAAGTCCGGAGCTTCAAAAAGTCGTCCTTACATTCTTTGAGGAAAAGTTTGGACAACTCTCAAATGGATCCAATTTCTTTGAACATCAAGACATGTTTATACAGGATGGGGAAAAAATCAAATACTATTTCCAACATGCCCCTGCTTTCGCAGAATCGCATATTTTACAGTTATGCGGCTTTGGTGAGCCAAAGAATCCCTTTGCACTTCTTTTTGAACTCCCTAAATATCTAAAGGAAAGAAAAGAACGTAAAGAACGGAGGAAATCCAAAGCATCTAATTCACTTACGTCGAGTGGCACTTTACCTCCAACTTCTCCAGCGGATTTTTTACAAAATGTGGATTCACCAAGATATACCTATGTGTTTCCTGAAACGCTTGCTATTTGGGAGGAGTCTATTTCTCATGTCAATTTGACGTCTATGCAATGCAGCATATCCGTCATGAAAAAATTTATGAGTGGGCCGCTAGTGGTTGCTGTTCCCCATATGCTGCCGTGGGCTTATTTCCTTTTATCCTTGGCTCTTAAAATATCTGAAGTAACTGACCTAAAGATACGGTCCTTTTGGTTATCATTTGTAAGGCGGGTTTTTCCATGGAACAGTTTGGTCAATTTCATCAACACATTAATGGCCGTAGTTTTAGACAATGACTCAAGAATCACGCCTATAGACACGCTCTGTGATCAGTTTGACAGTGTGAATATCTACACTTTGATTGATCATTTTGCCAAAAATGAAGATCTTCCTGAAGTTTGGAAGTGTTGGGGCTCCCTCTGGTTTGATGTTATCGCTGACAAATCTAAAGTTGATGGAGATGGAACGATGTCCAGTGTTGGTGTCAAAGACCATATGTTTCTAGACAGCCCTGTCGATGGCATTTGTTTCGACGAGGACGATGAAATTGGTGTAAAATTTTGGAAACGCGCTTGTCGCTTGATTTTTATTTTCAAGGGCCTTGCTCGTGAATTTCCATTTTTCGGGCTGGTTTTGGCTCCTAAAGCCCTTTCGGTAAGACGGCAAATATCACCAGATCATCCTCTTCAGCGATTTTGTTTCAAGTTCCTGGAAGGCGAAGACAATACCAGGGAATATGAGTCCCTCAGCAATCTCATCCTGTTGTCAGAACCAATAAGCGAATGTAATAAAGACTTTGACGCTCTCCCTGAAGAAAGCATGATCAAAGGTCAAAGTGTTTTTGATTTTCAAGGCTATAGAAGGTTACAGTCAGATTACACGTGCTACAACAAGAATGGTGATATGATCACTTGTTCGTTGTATACCTCCGGACCGCTTGAGCGAAGTGCAATTCAAGGAGGTGATGACTTCAATTCAGACTTCACTACAATACGGGAAGGTATTTTCGAACCTGAAGAAGAACCTAATCAATTACAAGCAATGGAGAGAGAATGGCTGGACACTTGTATGGATCCTGAATTCATTATACAAACCTATGACGTTAAGTTTCCTTTCGGTGATCTTTCGTGCTACTGCGACAGCGCTGTGACTTATTTTGTCCTTGATGCAACCTCTTGGTTGCGGCACTTCGCTCATGTTTACAAATTGGCCAAACATGGGGTATTAAAATTTGCCATATGCTTGACAACTTTTCAAGAATTACGATTTTTGAGAAAATCTAAGGATGAGAGCGTCGTCGAGGCTGCTACTCGTGCTGTGATTACTGTGAGGCAATTGTATAGCGAGAAGAAGCTTTTGCCCCTCCGTTTCACAGGAAACATCGCCACCCACCTGGAGGAGCATTTGGAATTTGAAGAGCAAATCACATGGAGATCTCATGTTGATGAGTTTGTCATAGAAGCGGTTAACAAAGCTCAGACTAAATTCGAGTCCTTAAACACCCAAGCCGAAAATGAGGGTCGCGATTACATTACCTCCCACCCTAATAATCCATTCCATTTCGTCGCACTTGTGACAGACGATACGAATATGAGAGTGAAAGCTCATTCTCAAAGAATTCAAACTTCCAGCAGTCGGTTTCTTTTTGCCGTGTCCAATCAAATTGGACTAGCACACCACGCATGCACCAATTAGTGCGCTTGTTACATTCACGATTTTTGTTGTTTTTTGTTTTATTTTATTTGTTTCTCTTGCATTAAACCAAGCTTCCCTTTGCATATAAAGTCAAACTATCTAGCTTTGTATTGATAAAAGCCCCTCTTCTTGGCAATAATTAAAATCCTGTCCCAAGATGCCCCCTTAAGATTAATCCAAGAGCTCCCATCGTAGACACCATAGCAAACCGGAATATAATTCCATGCTTAAGCTTTTGTTAAACCTCAATTTAGCGTTTTTGCCGAATTCTAAGGGTACGTGGGTGCCCTTGCGAGCATGAAGTACCACTGCAGAAGAGCGTCGGCTCAAACAATCTTCACTGCCAGCAGAAGATCCTATGACCAGAAACCCGCCGCTGGGAAGTTGTAAAACATTTTTAACTGCCATCGTCATATCGAACTCGCGAATTTTGAGGTGCTGCTCTTGAAGCATGCGAGTTGTCTCTAAATGGCTAACGGCGCGTAACGTGAGGTAAACCAGTTCACTTGTATGCGGAGTAGTCAAATGCGATCGCCGTTTCCGTGCGGAACTAGATGGCTGTATGAAAACAAGCCTCGAGCCTTTGGTTCTGGCCTGTTCGCCTAAAGATCGCACAGGTCGCTTTACTTCTTTATCATGAACGACCTCTAATTTACGACCGCTTGTTGAAGGCGATTGTATCACCCGCGAAAGTGGGAGCTGAGGTACATAGCGTTTTTGCCTCTCTGGCTTTGCACTTTTCGTTATACGATGCAGTTGTGAAAGATTCACGGATTTCGGTGCCAAAGGCCTTCGCGTCTTTGACGGATCCATGTTTTTCTGTAGATCCCTGAGCAAGTTCTTGCCGCGCCGTGGATCGCTACTCATACGCTCGAATTTTGACCAAGCAGAATCCAGGAAAGCTAGCGGGAAGGCGGCTAATAAAACAGCGAGACTTTCTTTGTCATTTTATCAATTTCCTCCGTCTGATCTTGTTCTCTGGGCATCGGCGTTTCCAAATGGTGTCGAGATCCACGAAATTCCACGACTCGATTTACTACTCGTTTTGCTACTCGTTTAATGACTCAAGCTATTACTCGTTTCGTAGTTAATGACATTTTATCCCGGAGGTTTTGGCTCGGACGAAAAGACAAAAATGAATTGAAACTCCGGGGCGTTACATATTGTTCCTCTTTTTGAAACCTTTATTTTAGCGCGACACACATAGTAAGCTTCGGACAAAATGAAATATCACAATATTTCCTTTAGTGCTTGAATAACGCCTATAATGAAATTCACAAAGTACCGAACCCCCGGGCGAGCCCGGGGCTTTTGACAAGGGCGACTTCACTATATAAGACGATCGATTTATGTTCTTACGAGTTCAAGCATACTGCTATCAATTGAATTCAATTCTATTGAACCGGTTCAATATCTACCAGTTGACCGCACATTTCTCCGATTCTCATTTGGCTATCATTACAAGTTAACTGAAATTAAGTTGCGAGAAACCGAAACTTCTAAGATTCAATTTTGCGCTCAAGTTTGAACTTCAACCATTCACCATGAGTCCCTCGAAAATTCACAGATCTGCTGAATCCAGCATCAGAGATGAGCTCAACCTTGGAGAAGAGGTTGTGACCATTCGTCACAATGCACCCGCTGCGCTTCTGTACGAGGATGCATTGGAAGAGCATGATACCGCTATTTCTTCCACAGGTGCTCTCATTGCGTTTTCCGGCAAAAAGACGGGTCGGTCGCCTAAGGATAAGCGAATTGTCGACGAAGCAACGTCGAGTAACAATATCTGGTGGGGTCCCGTGAACAAGAAATGTTCGGAGAAGACTTGGCTCGTCAATCGTGAAAGAGCTGCAGACTACTTGAAAACGCGCGATCACCTTTATATCGTGGACGCGTATGCCGGCTGGGATCCCCGCTACCGCATCAAAGTTCGAGTCGTGTGCGCAAGAGCATACCATGCTCTTTTCATGACAAACATGTTGATCAGACCGTCTCAGCAGGAACTTAAAAATTTCGGGGAGCCGGATTTTACGGTTTGGAACGCTGGCCAGTTCCCAGCGAATACGCATACGGAGGGGATGAGCTCGAAAACTACTGTTGAGATTAATTTCAAAAAGATGGAAATGGTCATTTTGGGCACCGAATATGCGGGCGAGATGAAGAAAGGTATCTTCACAGTCATGTTCTACCTGATGCCCGTTAGCCACAATGTTTTGACGTTGCATTCTTCAGCTAATCAAGGCATTCACAAACAGGATGTGACTTTGTTCTTCGGATTGAGTGGAACCGGTAAAACCACTTTATCTGCCGATCCTCATCGCGAGTTGATTGGGGATGATGAGCATTGCTGGTCAGACCACGGTGTCTTTAATATTGAAGGCGGGTGCTATGCCAAGTGCATCGGTCTTTCTCAGGCTAAAGAGCCTGAAATCTATAACGCCATCAAGTTCGGCGCAGTGCTAGAAAATGTCGCATATGATCCAAACACTAGAGCTGTCGATTACGACGACTGTACCATCACCGAGAACACCAGATGTGCTTACCCAATTGAATACATTCCAAGCGCCAAAATTCCATGCATGGCAGATCAGCATCCATCTAACATTATTCTTTTGACATGTGATGCTTCTGGAGTATTACCACCTGTTTCTCATTTGAGTCCACAACAAGTGATGTATCATTTCATCAGTGGCTACACCTCTAAAGTGGCTGGGACGGAGGACGGTGTCACCGAACCGGAAGCAACGTTTTCATCCTGTTTTGGCCAGCCGTTCTTGGCTTTACATCCCATGAGATATGCCGAGATGTTAGCTGAAAAGATGCATCAGCACAAAGCCAACGCTTGGCTTATTAACACTGGATGGACTGGGGCCGGCTATTTGTCAGGCGGTCAACGTTGTCCTTTGAAGTACACAAGAGCAATTCTGGACGCAATCCACGATGGGTCCCTAGTCAAGTCCGAATTCGAAACACTACCTACTTTCAACCTGCGCATTCCTACCAAAGTAAACAATGTTCCTTCTAATTTACTTAACCCCTCCAAGAATTGGAGTGAGGGCAGTGCCAAGTACGGTAAAGCGGTTCAAAACCTGGCAAACTTGTTTGTCGATAACTTCAAGAAATACGAAAGTGAAGCCACGAAAGAGGTTTTATCTGCAGGACCTAAAGCGTGATGTTACTGTGATGCGTCAAATCTATCAGCCAATATTCTTACTTTTACCTATATATCATTTACTCTAAATAATCTCGTTATAACAGAAATTAGTTTTACTTCATGTCTCAATGAGATTGAGGTCGCCTGAACCTATCAGGAGCGATAAAGCGACTTACGTTTCGAGATACTGGTGGTGCCATTGCATGTGAGTAAACAGTGCTCAAGGATCCGTTCGAATTAAAGGTTCTTCGAGCTGCAACGCCTCCGGTTTCCGGTGGGGGTTCGAAAACTGCGAGTCTTGAACCATCAGATGCACTTACCCAGGGAAAAAACCCATCCCCGAACCAGAAATGCTGCACAACAGGGAACTTCTTCAATACTTCGACAGAGTACATTTTTTGGAGACCCTTCAACGCCTTGGACCACGAAGAAACTGTCTTTGAAATATCGTAGAGCATCGGAGAATGCTCCGCAAAGGGGCCTGATTTGACCGTGTAGACAAAGTTAACAGCCTGGCAGTAAAAATTCACAGAAGCATACTCTTCAACAATAGATTTATCTGTCACATCTTGTGGCATCATGGGAGCTCTCTTGTTGTTGGCCCACTGAGAACTTCCTAGAATGTAAATGAAATGGAAATGGTCATCTAAACCCCATACGCCATGCGAGCCGGCCGGTTCGAGCGTGTAGGTCGCGATAAGCTTTCGAATGAGAACGTAATACGCATTGAAAATAAAGAGAACGTCTTGGCCACTAAAATGTTGCCCCCAGATGCCCAACATGTCAATGGCTGCCACAGCGGCCAGAAATGACAGTTCGTGGCCAGTACCGTAGTCAAGTCGCTCTTGGGAACCGAGAGAATTCAACACGTAGTACCTAAGCTCCACGACACACGATTCGAATTCTTGGCCAACGAACTGTAGCAACATTCCGTCCAATGAATCTCGTACTTTATCATGCCAGTCCCTGCAGGCCATATTCCCGTATCTTCTCGGACCCGGTAAAGGAGGCACTTCGTCTATTTTAATGCTCAAATTGAGAAGAATTTCCACGAATCTGTTGACCACACCATTGTTAGACCCATCGGGTATATCAACTCCATTCACAAGCCTCACGTATTTGGCCAAGTATTGTTGTAAACGCTGCATCGCAGCGGAATGCTGAAATTCTTGAACGCCTTCGGAATCAAAAATCCGTTTGACGGGTTCGACAAAGTGGCATTTTGAAGCATCAAGTGTGGCTGACGTATTTGTCGAATTCATATTGTTTGAATGACTTGAATCCGTTTTCTGAGTGAGTTGTTGAAGTGACAATGTTAAGAGCCGTTAGAAGGGTTAAGGAAAGTCATAAAGGACGCTCTTCTTGAAAGACGCCAGATGTCGACTTCCTTCAAAAGACGTCACCAGGCGACGTATTCCGACAATCCACAATATGAACCAATCTAACACTGCAACTGCGGACTATGTTCTAAATGGTTGAACACCACGTTACACCGTCTAATGTATATCTAGTGAAACTCGCTCTTAGCTACATATAGAGCAGAGTTTTCCAGAAGAGCATGATATATAGTCTCTGTAACTGATCACAGTTCCGTTGATCTCGCTGCAGCTTCATGTGATACATGGCCTTTTCCTTTTCAGATTTTCTGATTATTCTCTCTGAACCGTCGTCCCTGGTGAATTATCTCATCTTGCCAAATAATGCAAAGGTACTCTCGAGACAAATCTCAATCAGCGAATCTTGAGAACGACTATGTAGATACAAAAATGTTTTGAAAAATATCTTACTTAGCGAACAATTGCGAGCTGTTCGCCAAATATCAAAGCTTCTGCGTTTTACCAACAATCGTCGGTAGGTCTACTACTCTTGAATTTTTTTACAATTTAAGGTCCGTTGAATCTAAGAAGTTGGCATTCGCTTTTTAGCGTCAGCTTAGTTTCCGCCCAGTTTCTGCTGCTTCCGTTGCTTCTCTTGCAAGTGTTCATTTACAAGTCTTTGAGCATCATCCATAATGCGCTTACTGAGGAGTGTTGATGTTCGTACAGTGCGATGTGAATATAATTAAAGGAAGCGCTAGTAACAAGTTAGGGTGAACACACTGAAGAAAGCTCGAAGAGATAGTTCGATAAGAGCTGAAGAGGTTTCACACGATTACTGGTCTCAAGCACCTATAAGGAAACTTGGGACGAAAACTCTTCTGGACGACACAAATTCTCCCGAAACCACAAAGCAAAATGGAATATGAACCGAAACGAAGCATCTTACTTCCAAGCAAAGCAGAACAAGGCAATAACGACAACGTGCAGATAGTAGAAAGCGAGTTTCCCAGCAGAGGCGAGAGAGGGCGGACCAGAGAGAAAAGATCAACTGCAGGAGGTGTATATTCGCGGTCCGGATCTGGTAACACGTCTAGGGGTAGCTCTAGAGCCAGCTCGAGAATAAAAGTCGAATCTGATGCACATTTGAAATGGACGTTACTCAGACGCGATCCTTCGGAAAGGCTTCAAGGCGACGACGACGATAAAAGTCAAGAAGAGGGCGAAGAGGCAAGTGACGAGGAACTGGTTAGCGACGTCGAAAACGACGCAGATATCGACGAGACCCTGGACTACGACCTGGGCTCGAGAGTGCTTCCCAACTATACGGTCAACCTTTTCAGTCTGGTCTCGTCGCGTCCCGCCTGGTTAGCGGCCTACAACAAGGAGCAAGCGCCGGACAAGCACGAAGTCCGTGTCGACGACATGGGGAGCGGATATCTAAGAGCGGCGGACATTTTCCATTCGCAAAAGAGCGACGACACCGAAGACAGCAGCAAACGTGACTCAGGATCGAGATATATCGCATTTGTGGATTTGACAACGGAATCGATGTACTCCGTCGGTTATGTCGTGGGATCTGTTCTGAGTTCCAACGACACCCTCTACGTTTTGCATCATTCCGGAACCGGCACAGCGGACCAATTGCGCGCCAATGTAGGGCAGCTTAGAGCTAATGTAGCCTTTGCGCTCGATGCAGCAGCGGCATCGCTCGAGAACATCAAAGTGGTAATACTCTCAGTGACGCACCCTTACTCAAAACACTTGCTTAATGAGCTTATACTCGCAATAGAACCCATCTCTCTATGTGTGCCGCTCTCCCTGGTTCTCTCAAAACTACAGTCTTACGTGTGCCCAGTACCGACTCTTGTCATACGGCGTAAATTGCGTCGCTCCAAAAGAAGAGGTATCACAGATTAGGAGCTGGGAGCTGACACAGACTTTTCAGTAGGCTTAGTAGATATATCATAGACAATTACGAATTATGAGCACTCAAGGGGTTGGCGACCTGGCTATGATTGAGAGATGGCAGGTGGCCCGCAGGCGCTATTAACCATTCTCCGGTGCGAAAAAAATACCGCCAAAACAACGCAGGCAGCACAACAGAAATACAAGCTTTAGCTAAGTTTCTAACACACAAATATGGGGGTATCGGCTACGCTTCCAATTCGCTACCAACTTATGGCCACTGTAATGTACATATGTCACTTTCGTAGTACGTGATGCTTATTGGGGCACGTGACTTCTCTAAAAGTTACCCGCACGACAAAGATCGTGAACTTTCATGAAAATTTGCCAGCTTAAATCTCATCTCATCAATGCACACTAATTAAACATACTTGCTCAACTCCATCACGGCCGTTTTCCCGCAGCCCATACCATGTCCCGCGAAGGTTTTCAAATCCCAACAAACCTGGATGCTGCCGCCGCAGGCACAACCGCGGCCAGAACCGCGACTTTGAAGTACATCTGCGCCGAATGCTCCAGCAAGCTTTCGTTGTCCAGAACCGACCCCGTGCGGTGCAAGGACTGTGGCCACCGTATCTTGCTGAAAGCGCGTACCAAACGTATGGTCCAGTTCGAGGCTCGCTAAACTTTCCTCCGTAGAGCTCCGTCCTCCCTAACTCGAGTCCGCAAGCCCCTTGAGCCAGCACTGCATGTCACTCAAGTGTGACCCAACAAGCCCTGCCTCCTGCACTGAGAAGCGCATTTCGAACACCATTTGCCAAAACAACTGATGGGTTCGGTCAAGAGATGCGCCTCCCGAGGTCTCAGAACCTCTTTTTTTTCTGCCGCAGGCGTATTTAGTTGTCATGTATTCAATAACTACTGTACCAAATTTCTTCAAAGAACTTGCACAATGCAGCACCTTCTACGGTGTATGAACGTCTGCAGCGCGTCAGAATGTCAATATTATCTAAGCCTCTCATGTCACATCTGTCACATCTGTCACATCTGTCACATATTTTCCGTCAACGGTTTACAAATAGCTTGCAAATAGCTTGCAAAAAGTTTACGGTGGTTTCCGGAGAGAGCATTTTCCAGGCCAAAGAGACACTCAGATAGTCCCCTGTGCTTCGAGGGCTACAATTGCGTACGAATCTTTTTTCAAAGTTACCTTCTTCTCCAGATCCACCTGTCTTTGTCTAGCATTTTTCAAATAAACCTGTTTTTCTGTCGCGACGTTAAAACGACGCACAAAATGAAAAAAGCGGGGAAAACATCCAAGGAGTAGATCAAAAAAAAGAGTACGTTACACAAAAACGATTTCCGCGGTTGTACGGCAATTCTCAAAAAAAAAGGTATAAATAGGTGGCATGGGGAGCGGAAGTTGGCAGAAGCCGGAATTGAGAATGTCCTTACCTATCTCACAATAAGTAAGCAGATCTTTTTCCAGACTTAGCCTTTGCGCCGCCATAATTCAGGATTATCAGGCATACGTCCGTTTACTGCAATTGACTCTTCTGGCTGATAAGAAGGGCTATATCCTGGTTGTGGTTGTTCGTCTTTTAGCCGCCCAAAGCTTTCTGATACCTGTGCAAACCAAGATGACGATAAGAAAAGCCGGGCTGTCATCATAGTATACGATATTTTTCGTATTTGATTTTGATTTTGATTTTTTGATTACCTAAGACAAATCCAAGCGTGAGTTTCCGTTGCTTTTAGGTCACTCTCTGTTCCGATTTTTTTTTTTCTCAGTTGCGGCGGCGCTGTTGCTTACCCTATCATTTCTGAGATTTATTGTTAAACTAGAGGAAACCGCTCTTCAAGATTAGTGAACAACCGTTGAACCTTTTGTAATAGTTATCTCACGACAGCTTTAACGGGAAAAACGAAGTTCAATCGCGCAGCCATCGAAACTTATGTCGAGCAACGGAAGCCGCGAAAACCTCGCGGTGTCAGCGTTTGACCTCGAGCCTAATCCTTTTGAGCAAAGTTTTGCTTCGACCAAGGATGGGAAAAAAGTTATCCGGCCTGCAAGCGCGGCGGCTCCGGCGGCGAACCGCGAGATGGGCGCTGCGGCTACGGCTGCGGGCCCACTCGCCACGGGTAGCCTTGCCGGGGGCAACCTTGCCCCGAGCAATCTCGGCGCAAGCTCTTCGCTCGCGCAGCCGGTACCACTCAACTCGCTCGCTCAAGACAAAACGGCGCTGAACAACGTTCCGGCGCCGGCCCAAAACACGAGCGGTGTGACGGCTTCACTTCAGCATGCTGGTCTCATGCGAACATCCTCGATACAGTCGCCTCATGGCTTGACTCCAGGCGGGTCGAGGAAGCTGCCGCCGTTACTCGTCTCTCCTCGGCTTGCTCCCGACGCCCCTAATCTTGCCGCGGCCGCGGGGGCCAGCGCGGCAGGCCCTAACGTGCCCCATTCGACTTCACATGGCGTTTTCCAAGGTCCGCATTTGTTACACTCAAATAACACGTCGCTTCTGCCCAACGCGGGCAACGGCACTACGACTCCAAGTTTTTTCCTAAATCTCACGAAATCAGGTTTATCGCCCAATGAATCCAGTATTCGGACGGGGCTTACACCTGCCATATTGACACATAGCACGCTGGCCCCAGATCAACATCCAACGGGTCCACCCGTTACTCTACCCGCCGCTATTGGCGAGGGCCAGTTCACTCCTGGATTCTCGTCACTATTGGGCTTATCCTTGGGGGAAAAAAGCTTTTCGGATCAGGCGCCCTCAATCGAGTCGGGTACAATCCAGGATCCGCTCCAGGCTGGTTTACCGATAGGGTTACCTGACTCTGTTCCCACCACCGTGACTAATTCCAGTCTGAATTCAAGTAAAACTTCTGTCTCGACGACTGCCGCTAATTCTAATTCGTCTTCTACACCATCTAATGCAGGAGATAGTTCTCGTAATTCTTCTAATGAAAAGAAGCAAATGCCATTGGAACCTCCTGCCAAAAAACAGAAAAGCGTCGGACCCAAATCGACTCCCAGCATGGAATCGCAACAAGACAGTGTTAGTGAAAACTCTCATCATGACCAGGAAAGAAAACGTCAGGAATTTCTGGAGCGGAACAGGGTTGCGGCCTCCAAATTTAGAAAGCGGAAGAAAGAATACATCAAGAAAATAGAGGCCGATTTACAATTCTACGAGGCCGAGTATGATGATTTCAGCCAGTGCATGGACAAATTGTGTGGTATTTCTAAGCAGACTACCAACTCTTCATTAGTTGGCCATCTAAAGCAAGCTTTACTTCGTCAAGACCTCCCGACAGCCTTGACATTATGCACTGGGATAGAACAAGTGTTACTTCAATCGAGATATGTTCAAAGGTGTGGTAAGAATCCACGTCGCGAGGAAGATGAAAATCGCAGGAGGAAAAGTTTGAAAGACGAGTCGTATGCCAATTCGGAATTACGATTGAGTCACGATCAGAGTTTTTCCTCTGGGGTCCGCTCAATGTCAGTGGACTCTAAGGAAGGACTACCACTGCAACAGGCTCAGAATCACACCAAAAATGTGATGGACAAAGCAACTGGTACAATTAGCAATTTGCCGCTGGTGATAAATGGCAATACTCTTTTGAGTCTCGATGATATCCAACGGGCTCAACAAAAAGAATCTCTTGCACCAAGACATGGTTCATTATCCAATCTCCAACAGCATGATTCCATCGGAAAGTCTCCGGCTTTGCCCCAATATCCGAACTCCAACTAACGCATTTTTATCCAGCATTTTTATCCAAAATTTACTCCCAATCGTCTCTTTGACAGGTCAAACATCATTATGTACACTACTCACGACGTGTTGGCACCGAGGTTTATAAAGTGTCGCCGCACGCTAAGGTTATAGGTTTATTAATTGTTTTTAATTCTTTTATTCCCATACATAGCGGAACGAAGGTTTATGAAAAAACGGAATATCTCAGTCTTTAACTTTTACCTTACCTCATGACCGAAATAGAAAGATTCGATAAAGCGATCCAATTCTCGATCTTTTCGAAGCACAATGAGCTTCAACTATTTAAAATCAGCCAGAAAAGTGGTTTGCATTGGTAGGAACTATGCAGCTCATATCAAAGAACTGAACAATCCGACACCTAAGCAACCTTTTTATTTCTTGAAGCCGACTTCAAGCATCGTTACACCTGTTGAAACTGACGACATCATACCAAGAAATGAGACCGAAAGTGTGACTTATGCGGGTTTGAGAGCGGATGGGTCTAATCCAGGTCCAATCTATATTCCCAAGGGTGTTAAAGTTCACCACGAAGTTGAACTTGCTTTGATAATGGGTCGTAACGTGTCCAACGCGACACCGGAATCGGTTCAAGCTGATGACGTCTATGATCTCATTAGTGGGGTTGCCTTGGCATTAGATCTGACAGCTCGTAACGTTCAGGATGAAGCGAAAGCCAAAGGGTTACCTTGGTCGATCGGAAAGGGATTTGATAGCTTTTTGCCTATATCCGATTTTATTCCCAAGTCCCAGCTCAGTAGAGATGACTTCCAAAACTCGTTTCGTCTTACATGCTCTGTTAACAATAAGGGCAGACAGGATGGAACAACGGATCTCATGCTAAATCCGCTTCACGCCATCATTCAGCATATATCCAGTACGATGTCTTTAGAGCCAGGTGACATTGTGTTGACAGGGACACCCGCTGGTGTAGGTGAAATTGGTCCCGGTGACACGATCAAGTCTGCTTTATACCAGAATGGGAAACTCTTGACTAGCTTCAAATTCGATTGCAAATCTCGTCCTGGCCCTTACGTGTTCCACGAAACCTAAGCCCGACTGCTCAAATCAATAGACCTTTTAGATGTTTTTACGTTTTCAGTTTTAAACGATAATGTGCATTGGTTCTGCCGGTACGCTGAGCTGCCGTACCAGGACTCCTCCTTCCTGCAAAACTTTAAAACTGGCTTCGTCCATATTGTACGATTTTGAGTAAACCACTTCGCGGATTCCAGTTTGAACAATTTTCACAGAGCATGTGAGGCACGGACAGGTGTCGCAATACAAGATAGCGTTAACGCCAACACGGTCTCTCCCTGCTTCCAACAGCGCATTTTCCTCTGCATGCAAACACAGACATGTGCTCAGTTGAACATCACCGTTATTGCACCTGGGACACCCACCTGCATGGCAATTGACCAGATGTCGTGGAGTTCCATTATACCCCGTTGCGATGACTCTGCATTCTCGCACCACGACGCATCCGACACGTCGTTTCATGCAGTTAGATCTCGACGCCGCTAGGGTCGCAAGTTTCATGAAATACGCGTCCCAGTCTGGTCGCAATGGCGTCGTCGTGTGAGAAGCGTCTCTGAAATTTTTGCCGTGGGCAGCAACCGTCAAAATGCCTCTCAACTCTTCTACCAGCCTTCGTTCAAAATCCGCTTTTCTCGAGATAAAAATCTTGATATGCGCTCTGTCCCACAACTGAGGTTTGTACGTCCGCTCTGCAATCCTGGAGTCATGTCTTGCGACGAATTGCTCGAGATCTGCGCCCAAATGCGTCGCTTTGTATCGTTCGAACCGTAAACTTATTGCAGCGTCAAGCGCCAGATGTACGAAAAACGGTCTCTTCTCTAGAATTTCTAAGTCTTCTAACGTCAATTCCCCACGCATCACCAAGTTTTCATTGTAGTGTTTAGTCACGTAATTGCTAATTTCCATGATATCTCCTGCATCATCGCACCTTATTTCTCGAAAACCAAATTCACAGAGTATTTCCAAAACCTGATTTGACCCTGCATACCAAGTCTCACTAATGTAAATAAACATTAAGCTTTAAACGGCTTTATTTAGGTATTTGGCCCTCTTTATGTACCTAGCGATATCTGGTGATCCTAAGTTTTCCAAACTGCGCGACGCGATGAGTTTCGCGATTTTTCAATTTTGAAAAATTTCAGCTTTTGATAGAGACCTTTTCACATGCACAACTTGAAGGGCTACATGGTGAAAAAATAACATAAAATTCTCGAACCTCAGTTACTTGGGCCTAATCTGGTTATCAATTGGTAGACTTGAGCTGGCAAAGAAACAATATATGAACAACCGGATCGTCAGCACCGGGTCGGGGATGATGGGGAAGATGGCATCGGGACGACTTAGCGGAGCGTCTGTGGTGAGATTGAAAAGTCGGACGGTGACGCTATTTAATTCGAGATTTCACACTGGGAAAGAAGAATGGAAAAACCGGACTGCTGTCTTATGGGATAGACAATTTTACTCGCAAAAAGTGCATTTGCAGAATTACAGCAAGAAGCGGCTTGCGAAATGGGCCGTTTTGACCAGTGTGACGCTAATTATTGGGTCTATCTTGCTGGGACAAGACGATTTGGAGAAAGAGGTGGAAGCAGAATCTGAGGCTGCGGACAATGCTCGTCGGCAACGTGGGCCCAAGATACGGATTTTCAACAATAATTGGCTGTTTTTCTGGTATTCAACGCTACCGCTGAATGCGATGTCTCGTTTGTGGGGGCAAGTGAACTCGCTAACATTGCCAATGTGGATGCGGCCCTGGGGTTATCGTTTCTATTCTACAGTTTTTGGAGTTGATTTAGACGAAATGGAAGATCCAGATTTCACACATTACAAAAACCTTTCGGAATTTTTTTATCGCACAATCAGACCCGAAACTAGGCCCATTGCGCCGGGCGACGACGTCGTCGTTTGTCCCAGTGACGGCAAAGTCCTGCAACTCGGCGTCATTAATTCGCATACAGGCGAAATCGAGCAAGTTAAGGGTTTGACATACTCCGTTCGCGAGTTTTTGGGCACTCACGCGCACCCTGCTATGAGTAGACAAGGCTCCCAGGAAAATCTGGACACCAGAAAGCATGACAACGATTCTGATAATGAAAAACCCGTTGAATTTGCTCGCATTAATAGCATACCTTATACCTTCAATGACATCATTGGCGAAACCCCGGGACCAGAGAGTTCTCACCTTCAAAAAATCCAGTACAAAGACGAAGGAGACACGTCCCTTTCATCCAATACCCCTTCTGCCAACAAAGTCTTGAAATTGTTAGGTCAATTGTCAACTAACTATTTGACACGTTTGACTGATAGTGACCCCAAGAATACCCAACTTTATTTTGCTGTGATTTACTTAGCTCCCGGCGATTACCACCATTACCATTCGCCGGTCAACTGGGTTTGCAAATTGAGGCGGCATTTCCCAGGGGAACTGTTTTCCGTGGCCCCATATTTCCAAAGAAACTTCCCGAACCTTTTTGTTCTTAATGAGCGAGTAGCCCTCTTAGGACACTGGAAATATGGATTTTTTAGCATGACGCCAGTAGGCGCTACCAATGTTGGGTCCATTAAACTGAACTTTGACAAAGAGCTTGTCACTAACGAGAGAAGAAGAAAGCGACTTGAACCACATACATGCTACGAAGCGACTTACGAGAATACCTCAAATGCTTTGGGCGGAGTGCCCCTGGTTAAGGGAGAGGAGATGGGTGGCTTCATGTTGGGGAGCACGGTAGTGCTTTGCTTCGAAGCTCCAAAAGATTTCAAGTTTCAAATAAGAATTGGTGATAAAGTTAGGATGGGTCAGCTGCTAGGTCAAACTGCATAAATAATGGCTGGGGCCTGCCCTTTTATATATTCGCAGCTAAGGTTAAATTTAAATATGAATAGCATCTCGAATGATATATCTATTATATTCAAAGGCCGTGTTCAATTTTCCAAAGCTCAAACGATGAAGCCAAATCTGTATTGTCACAGCTCATCAATATATTTTCATCCTGGGTTCTATGTGAACTGATCGCATGATATATTTCCCTCTCAAATTCTATCTTTTCTGGTGAATCTAGTTTCAGTAAAGTTGTTAGAGACTGTTTGGGCTTTGAAAGGTAACTTTCGCCATCCTTACGGTATCTCTTGGCAATTTTCTTGGCGAAAAGACGGTTAATTTGATCGAGAGATTTTTGGTCCCGTTGTTGGGGCGTTGCATCTTTTTCAGAACTTCTTGATTTTACCCATATCACACATCCTTGTTTTGAAAAGTTTCTTGACGCGGCTTCGTCCTCAATCTCTACACGAATGGGGTAATGATCAAACGATTTAACCTCAATGGCTTTGATTCTTCGTAATTCAGGCAACAAACAGGGTGAAGACAACCGCAACTTTGAGTTTTGCTTCTTAGCATTGTCACTTTTCATTGTGATCTCTACGTCAATTTTGCTGAGAACAGCACCGCTCTCAGAATCCCTTATCATTAGACTTCTGGGCTCAATTGCCATGCTCCAAAAGTGCCTGGCTTCCTGAAGAAGATATGGTGGAGCAAAGGTAGGCAGTATTGAGATCACGAGATATGAGATGCTCAAGGCATCAGATGTTTTAAAAGCATAATGACCAGAACCCAGGAATAAAAAGCCCATGGAGAGGCTAGTGGTGGTATACTTTCCATAATGATTCTCATTGTCAGTGAATGGCTCATTTGATTGACTTTCATCTGAATCATCGGATCCACGAGACTCAGATTCGAATAGGTAGGAATACTCACCGGTTAGAACCTCATGCAAATAACGCGCTCTTCGGAACACATTGATGTCTCCACTTCCTCCCATAATCATACTAACCGAAATTAACAGAACTCCCACAACAATGTTAATGCCTTTTATTGTTAGCTGAAAGTCGAGCCTGGTATCTAGTTTGCACTGATAAAACGGCAAGAGCCTGTCTATAACGAGTAGCATCCCATCCCGGAGGGTCTTATCACATGAAGAAGCAAACTTAATCGCAAGCGCCAATGCTCTCCCCCCAATCGCGTAATAAAAGGGTAAATTATCGGTATTGACTTGTAAAGAGGCATGTGTAGGAAGCGATTCTAGTAACCAAGCAAGGGTGCCCTCAATGGAGTCCCAAAGAATCATATGGTACGCCCATTCGCGAAAAAGGAGCAGATCTGGCCTCATGTTTGACTTGAGATTGGCAGTGCTCCTTTTACTGGGCGGCAGGAGCTTTTCTGCCACTATTTTTTTATTGCTCTTCAAGAACATTATCATCAGCGCCAATATAGCTCCCAGCTGAGAATTCTCTAAAAGGACATCAGTTTCTTTATCTTGATTTTTGCTAATGAGACCTAAGAGTTCTTCGACAACAAAAGGATCCATGGGACCCACGTTTTCAGTCCTAAAACTTTCCTGCGTTACAATATCATCTGCATCATTGGAGCTATCTCGCGTCCAATTGTGATAGTTTCCATCCTTGGATCCCGCGCCGACGTTCACTAGACCTAGAGCTACACCAGCAGCAAGTCTATAACCCTCATCAGGGGAGGGCTTTTCATTGACAACGACGAAAGATGTGAGTTGCGATAACAACATGCCGGTCATTTTCTTGTGATAGGATTTCTGAAAGAGAAGTCCAATGCTGAGTAGTCCCGTTGTCTGTACTTTGTAGTTGATGTTCAGATCGGTCGATCCTGTGGGCAAGAGTGCCACGACGTGAACACTCAGTACTTTGGTGAGTTTCAGATCCATTGTGCCTCTTAAGCTTGCCGCCATTCCCAAAAGAAGTCCTATGCTGGTGTGTGTTTCTTTCGGGCTCAAGTAGTTGTAAATATGCCATTCCTCAAGACTTTTTAAGTGTCCGTTCAAGCCTAATCCTAACAAAAACCCTCCATGCTGTGCTGTCAGGTTCTGCGGTCGATTGAACGTAATCCAACTTCCCGTCACCCCTTTGGCCTTCTTAGAAACAAGCAATCCTGAACTTACGCCAGCGTGAAATTCTCCCCATTGAATCATGCCTTGATCTAGAGTCTCTGGATCAACGTTGATTGTCGATCCGTCGGAAAAGGTTGAAATAAAGTTTGGCTTGAGGCAATGCCATTTCTGGGACGCCAGTGGATGCTTTGTGGAATATTTGATAGCCGCCCACCCCATTGGGCATGCCAACGCCCTGATTGCAAAAATTTGCGACACCTTCTTCTTCTTCGTCATTATCTTGATATAGTTTTTGTCATTACTCTGTTTTAAAACCAGCGACTCTACTCTGTGTGGAACATAGAACCGCAAGCATTTGCCTAGTTCCAAGAATCTACTATCCTCTGAAAAAATGATGGGAGGTTTAGTATCTAGCGCCATTGGAACTGTCGTCCCTTCCCTTCCCTTTTTTGGCATCTTCTCCTCTCTCGCCTTACTGCTCGTTGAAGTCAGAAGATCGGATATTAAACTTTTAACACTCCTCGATTTTTGGTCACGGTAAGGTCCTTCTTTTTCAACGCCCATTTGCTGCAATTCAAACAGTGGATTTTCTTCTCGCGTAGACCGCAATCCTAAAAGAATCTCTTGATTTTTCCGGAGATCTGGACGCTGTAAAAGATTCAAGTTCATTTCTGGAGAGATTTGAATAATGCAACTCTCAAGCCGGGAAATCAACCTCCGCAGTGGTGCGCGGACGCCCATAGGATAAGTTTCGAGTTCAAGCTCGTTGTTGAATAGTGCATTCATAATATCGAGCAGCTCACTCTCCAGGTGCCTCTGAGACCTTAAAATATCGAAGAATTGCAAAAGTTTATGAGTTCGAGGTGAAATCATTTCATCCACATTTGAATTGTCTTCCAGCAGCCGAGAGAAAGTGATGTAAGGTGTCAATGGAATTGCACTGGAGCTCGTAGCACTATAGATCGACTTCATTATCGAGGGGGGCTCATCCAAAGGGTGTGCATAATACCTGCCTGTTGGTCGAATCGTCTCATCTCGAGAAATACTGCTGTTGGCATAAAATTCTTGCCAAATTTTGGGCCAGCCCATCAAGGAGGATAGCATGAAAAGTAATTCGCCCAATTTATCAACTGCGTCCTGTTCAAGTAGATTGAGTTTCAATTCCTCCCTTTTCAGATGCAGTCCCATAACTATTTTTGGTAGCAGAGCGTCAAAATTAAAGTCTTTATCAAAAACTGGGCAATTGCAGATGTCTTCGATTTCTTTGAAAAGGCTAACTTGAGGCGCTATGGGCAAAAGGCTCAAAAGCGTTGAGCGGAATGCTATAAAATCTGCGTCTTTCTTCTGGTAAGGCATTTTATGCCTTGCAACCTGCCATAGTAAGAACAGGTAGGAGTGAGTAAATGAATCGAGTAAAAGTCTGATAACTTCAAACAATTGCAAGACAAATGCGGAGAGAGGTAACATATCAGTAATCGTACGATTGTCGTCAAAATCACTAACAACATATCTGTCGCAAGCGTAGTATAGACATTTGAGAGCCTTTTGGTCTCGGAATGCGAGCGGAGCCGAAGTTAGATTTGAGAAGGGATTATACAACGTGAAGTGTGTTTCTTCCCTCTGTAAGAGAACGTAAAATCCTCTTAGGTGAGAAGACTCGAGCGCAGTGACATCTTTCATGACATTTGGCTTCAAGTCGATGGTCCGGATGGGAGACACCGGCGAGTAACCAAATACTTTTAACTTCATGTTATCCGTCGTAGAGAGTTCGACATCGAAAATCCAAACTTGGCCCCAATTACGGTCTTGGTCATAAAATACAATGCTTTCCTTATCCTCGTATCTGGAACCCACAATCTTCAGGTTCGCGGAAAACCTTTTTCTTGGGATCTCCGTGTGGGAAATCCTGGTTAACACCAAATCTTTACTCATATTGCTTTGCTCGACGCTTTCCAGAGAGAATTGTGAAACCGCGTTGGGAGCAATGTCGAGAGTGCTCCCACTTATCATTCTGTCGAGCGTGGCCGATGCACTTCTCCTGGTCATGTCAACAGCTTGCTGGCTAGGCGTAAAGAGTTGGACGGGCTCATGTTCGCTGCCTTGGATACTTACCGTGGCGGATCTGCGGTTAATGATCGACATTTTCCGCAGATTGCCGCTGATGCCGGATGCGGCAGAGCTACTGCCGGTTGAGATCGAGGACAGGTCCGACGAAAGTTTGCGCTTGAATTTAGCGGAACCAGATTTGGACGCGGCGGCATCTGTGGAAAGACCCGCGTATCCCTTTTTGTTGTTGACGGTGGTCCTCCCTGGTGTCTCTTTGTCCGAAAGAACGCGAACGTGGTAGAACAAAAGCAAATCGCGTCTTTCATCAAACAGCACGGCGGTTTTCTGATCTGCGGCTTCTGGGAGATACAGCACCGAAAGCGCGTCCGCGTTTTCCGAGACATTGGACGGAAAAACGGCAGTTCCGAAAAGCGACAGCGGATCGGAGATGGTGACGAATCGCGGAGTGCTTGTATTGGACAGGACGCCGCTCGCAAATTCGTCGCTCTTACGCTCGAGCAACACGCCTTTAGAGTAGAAAAAGGCCTTGCTGATGGTGAAAGGAAAGGTCACCGTGGTTGAGTCGCCTCCGGAAACCAAGTATATGTGCGCTCGGTCCTCAAGGATGACCAGCAATGAACCCTTGCCCTCTTCGAAGTAGACAAAGCCCGCCTTTAATACTTTGGAGTCGTACACAAACTTGCGGATGCTGTGATTCGCGATTCGCCAGTCGACGATATGGCCTTCGATGACCCAAACTTCGCCGTCCGGAGACTTGTGAAACGGCATTTTCGTCAGGCCGGAAAACTCGCTGGTACCACCATAGCTGTTGCTGTCACTGTCGCTTGTGCTGTCGCTGTGATCCATAACAGTATGTGCGCGCTTCGGGATACACGACCATTACAGGCCTGCGTAGTATATCATCACAAATGCGTAATCTGTAACTTCGTATGCTATGATTTTAGGAAGGGCCCTAAGTTGTTTCACTGCCGGCCCACAGAGCTTCCCTCCTATCGACCTTTTCGCTTGCTTCTAGAGAAATTAAGAGCACTCAGGGTCTTGGCTGCTCTATAGTCGGTTTTATCCTCTCTGTTCATCCCCTTCGCTTTGGTAACGAGAATAATGTCGCAACAGTCACGTGACCCCGCTTTTGCATGCTGTCGTTTGCCGGGCGTTTTGATGCATTCGTATATCGGGGGAAATACTCAACAGCCACCGTTTATAATCGTCTTTTTCGTAGCCCGGAGGAATTTTGATGCAGCGGTAAGTCCACGAGACTCACGCGCAAAAGGTGAACGGTTCTAATCACGTGATCTCTACGACAGAAAGCCAAGAAATAGACAACGAAGAGAGAGCCCAAATTAGTATCTACCGAAATCACAAGGATGCTAATAATCCCGATTGCACAATGAAAACAGCTTGCCAGCGTAGCGAATATTACGAGGGTGGGTTTTCATGTCCGTCACAAGTGATATATCTTGGCAAAATCGTCAGTATACAAGTCTCAACTCCCGGTAGTTAGGCTTTCATCAAGAAACACTGCCAGCAACAATTGCCGTCGGCAGTGGACAGACGACGATCCCACCGTAATCAAATTCTTGTTGCGTCGCCTCTGTCGCTCCCGTTATCTAGAAAACGTTTTGGTTATATATAAGACACACACCACTAATATTAAGCACTGCTCCCCTCTATCGTTTAAATACATGTTTTCCTATTCGCACTTTTCTCTTCCTATTGGCAATGTCTCTCATTTCTAGTTTATAAACCTTTGTCTGACTTTCACAAGACTGAGGGAGATCATTTCACACGCATCATTTTCACCTTTGATGCTACACATAAACACTCCCCTCGTTACAACTATCCAAAACCTCGCAAGTACGATCGTTGCGTGTATCGCGTAGTCAAAGGTAAATGTTGTTTTCAAATTCAACGAACGTCGGTGGTCGATAGATATATAAGTTGGTACGTGTTAATTGTTCATTCAATTTGTCCTTTGTTTTCTTGATTGTAAACATGTCGGCTGTAGTTCGTACATCTCGCCGTTGTCACTCTGACCACATGAGCACAGTAAACTGTTCATACCGTATCTTCTGCACAATACTACAGGTATTTATAATCTCTCACTTCCGGCTAAATATGTTGAGGTTCATCGCTGTCGGTAGTTGATAGATTATTGAACTGCTCATTTAACTCGTTCATAGTTGATCTAAATAATAAAGCAGATAAGGTGTTGAGTACTTATATCTCTCCGTAGTCTTCTTGAAGATATGGCCACTGTATAACTGTTCAAATCGTCTCCTTTTATACAAGTTTCGTAACACTGTTCTAACCTTAAAAGCCGTTACTTTCTCCATACTAGACGGTGAACTTTCATCATACGTCATTTATCGTACCACACATGATCTGATCACAATGTTCTGAAGACTCTAGAACTGTCAATGGACCTGTTTTAGCTTCCAGCTCTTTCGCGGAATGCCAACCGTCTGTCCAATCCTCTAATTTTATTCTGTCATATCGATCACGTGATTCTGCAATTGAACGTTATCACCTTCTCGCCAGCTCCTTCCAACAATATGCCGCCTATGCCAAGAACAGAGTGCTTTTCAAAATTGTCACATGGTATTCGTGACAGGAAAACCGACGGATTTAGCTATGGAACACACACTATACCCGGAAACAATCGGTAGACCGCCAGCAGGTCGCCAGTAGATCTCCGAGCATTGTGGCAAAGGTGCGATGCTTTCATTTCCGAAGCTGTCAAACCGAAGATCCACACTTCTCGCTCCTAAGAAGATACGGATGCCCTCAACAGATATATCTAACTTTTTGGTTTCGCGCGGCCCTCACGATTTCCTACCGCTCCTTTTTTCCCTGTGTCCCTGTACTCTGCTTCCTTATCTCAGAAGTAACTCCGCTTTTCACCCTAATGGCTTTTAGCAAAAAAGGGGGCGAGCTGGGAATTGAACCCAGGGCCTCTCACATGTTTGGTAATGGTTGGACCGGGTGACCCCGGTCCTCGCCCAAAGCGAGAATCATACCACTAGACCACACGCCCTCGAATTGTGGTAAACGAGGCTAAATAGTGGGTCATACTGGCCGAAAGCTAAATTTTTGGATTTTTACCTGGATGCTTCCATAATGTGACAGACGGAGTGGTACAGAGTTGTGTGACGAAAGCGGAAGAGAAAGCGTGACAAGGGTTTCGAATATAGGGAGAAGAGTTTAAAGGCGGAGATAGTAGGGCGTAAATGTTGTAGGCGACAATGCCATCAGGGTACGCGTAACGTTACTGAAGCTGTGATTGGCTGAGTCTTGGTCTCGAAATTGGTGGTGATGTCACCACACACGGCGCCCACCAGAACCTTGCTTTGGAGATGGACCCCCCTAGATATCGTTTTTTTTTAGCAAGAGTTGCACTCACAAGCACCACTTTCGACAAAAAGGAGTCAGCTTAAGGCTACCTGATAATCCTATCACAGAATGGCTGAATTCACGTTTAGATGGCCCAGCGGGCCGCACGAGGTCTTTGTTACCGGGGATTTCGATAACTGGAGCGGTAGCATGCCGCTGGTTAAGTCACCTCGCGGTGACTTTGCGCTGACGTTGCCCATCAAGGAAGGTCGACATGACAGATTCGAGTTCAAGTTCATCGTCGACGGCGAGTGGAAGACTAGTGAGGACTACAAAACGGTCAGTACGAACGGCAACGAGAACAACTACTTGATCGTGTCGTCGCTTGCTACGCAAGCCACGACTCATGGGACGTCGCTGGGTAACGGAAAAATTCCAGAGATTGGTATGAATCTGGTCGCACCAGAGGTTGCCGCGCCGGTACTCGGCACTCAGGCACCCCAGAGAGCACAACCGGCGCCTGGATCCAAGACCAAGAAGGGCAAGAAGAAGAAGGTGCAGGTCAAGCGCAGAATCCGCAAGAACAAACACACCGGCGAGAAAACCATCATCTCCGAAGAACGCTCCGAAATCACATTCCCACCCGATGCAGACTTCTACGAGACCGAAGAAACGGCGACCACGACCAACACCTCGCGCGAAAACACGCCTGCGTCTCTGGGCGCCGAGGGCGCCGCTCAGGCGGCGGCCGAAAGGCTCGAGAATGAGAACCAGTTTTCCCATACCGTGATGCCTTCGTCCGAAAACCAGCAGCAAACGCTGAGTGAGCCCGGCATTGCGATTGTCCCCAACCCTCAAGAGATCAAAGAGTTTTCGGAAGTCAGAGACGTAAACGCAAAAGATTTGAACGCGAAACTCAATGCCGAGATGAAGGAAAAAGAGGGTGCCGAAGCCCGTGAGAAGGGCCAAGCAGACGCTAAGGCTGCTGCAGAAGCTGCTGTCGCTGCTGCAGTTAGTTCCAATGCTACCGCTCCACAATTGCTTGATGGCCAACAGGACGCTGCAGCCCCTGTCACCAAGGACACTTCTGCTGCTGAAAAAGTGCCATCTGTGAAGGATCTGCCCTCTCCTGTGATCAAACCCGTGCCATCTGTGGAACGGGCCGAGACACCCGAGGCGCCCGTAATTTTGAAAGAGCCTTTAGAACCTGTAGCGCCTGTTAAATTGAAGGAGCCAGAAGAGCCAGCGGTACCAATTGAACCAACCGCATCCGAAGAAGTCGATTCTGCAGCACCAGTGAAGTCGTTGGCGCTCGACGGTACAACCGAACCTGCGGCTTTGCCTCCTGTTGAGGACGGCTCAAAGGCCGAGCTTCTCAGCCCCGAGCAACAAGGACCAGTCCCGGTTGAAGGCGCGGTCGTTTCTTCGCCAACAGACGTTGTCGCACCTAATGAGTCAGAGGATGCTTTGATATTGAAAAAAGATGCTGCTCCTGCTGTTACCGTGGGTGAGCAGGCTCCAGAAGTCGAAGAAGTGACTGACGTTGGAGAAACCGATAAACCCCAAGAGACTGTAGAAGACGCTGTTGCTAAGAGCCAAAAGAAAGCCGTTGCTGAGAAGCCTCTTGTCGTAGAGGAAGTTGGAATTATCACATCGCCCGAACAGGAAGAAGCGCTTATTCAAAAGACTTTGGACCCAAAAGCGAAGGGCACGGAAGAGTTACTCATTGTCGAGGGTAACATTTCTCCAGAACAGCTTGCTGAAATCCAAGCTGCTAGCGACAAAGCCGCTGACGCTGCTATGCGCAACCACATCCCAGAAACGAAGGTCGTTAGCGATAAGGAGCTTATCCAAGAGCTGGAAAGGGGAGGTATTCTTCCTTCGTCCAAATCTGAGCAGAAACCTGCTCAGAAACCGGAGCAGACGAAACCTGCTTCCACCCCCATCAAAACCTCTTCTGCCCCAACCAAAGAAAAGGCAGCACAGAACACTACAAAGACCGAGGAAAAGAAGAAGAAGAAGAAGGGACTCTTTTCCAAAATGAAGAAGCTGTTTTCTTAATCAACTGGGTTACCGTCGGCTACCTTACGATTTGTTCCCTTGACTGTCCCATTTTTTGGGACACTTATTTGGTGCAAATTGCACACCTTTTGCAGCTTGACATGACAAGACTGCAACGTTTGTGCGTCTTAAACCTGCCCGTTGTGGAATCTACAATATCACAAATAATCTCCTAAAATGGGAGAGTCTGTAATCATTTTAATTATCAGTCCAATACTCGATTGAAGAACCCGAAATCCAGACTTTCAGGCAAGGTATATTAATTCTTAAAATTCATTATTCTTTAACCGCCGCGGCTCCCAAAGGCTAACGCAAGCTAGTGAAGACCTTCGAGCAAGGCATCTCGAGATAGATAGTGGTTTCTCAGTTTTTAAAAAATTTCAAGAGCTTCTGTTCCATTATCTCTGTCACGGGAACGGCACAGAGATCATGGTCCCGGAAGTGTCTCTTATGAGCCTTTTCTGTTGTCGGCCACTGGTATTTCATACCAACAGTTTGTTAGTTTCGAGAAAAATAACAGAGTTCGTACAAAGGAAGAAGGTTGAAAAATTTTTTTGAAGAGCGATGGGATGAGATGAGATGAGATGAGATGAGATGAGATGAGATGAGATGAATGCACTGAAAATTATCAGTTTAAGACCGAGAGCCTCGAGACGGTAACGAAAGTAATAAATCCAAGACGCTTTAAATTTTTACCATGACCGACAATACAAACCAAGAGCTAAAGGACCATGAAAAGGCCGAATTGAACAAGAGCGAAGACGTGGCAAAGGCCTTGGCGGATCCCGTAAAGAAAAGAAAAGCAGACGATGAGATTGAAATCGATCTGGATCAGCCCGTTCCACTGTCGAAGAAGCAAAAGAGACTGTTGAGAAGAGGCAAAGTATCTTTGGAAGAACTGAATGCGAAGTTTAATATCGACCCAAGCTCGATTGAGGAGTACAAGAGCGAGCTCCAGAAGAAAGAAGGCAAGCAGGAGGAAAACATTCCAGGCACCGGAGAGACAGCGGATAGCTTGAAGGAAAACGATGTGAAGAAGTTTGGAGTTTGGATAGGAAATTTGTCGTTTGACACCACCAAGGAAGATCTCAAGAGGTTTTTCCTAGCCAAGACGAAGGAACTGGACGAGAATTCGAGAACCGAAGAAGCCGACATTTTGAGAATAAATCTACCTCTCGCGCAAAACGACGGCAAGCAGGTACGGAACAAAGGGTTTGCGCACATGGATTTCCGCACGCAGAAGCAAATGGATGCCGTAATAGCGCTGAGCGAGTCTCAACTCAACGGTCGTAATCTGCTCATCAAGAACGCCAGTTCTTTTGCCGGTAGACCCGACAAGACCGATTTGATCTCCATGTCCAAAAACCCTCCTTCCAGAATTCTGTTCGTCGGAAATCTTTCGTTCGACACCACCGATGAGCTACTGAAAAAACACTTTCAACACTGCGGTGACATTGTAAAAATCAGAATGGCTACCTTCCAAGATAGTGGTAAGTGCAAAGGGTTTGCCTTTGTTGATTTCAAAAATGAAGAGGGCGCCACTAACGCTCTTAAGGATAAAACATGCCGCAAGATTGCTGGAAGAACGTTGAGAATGGAGTTTGGTGAGGACAGAAGCAAACGTCAAGTAAAGAGAAGGCCCGCAGCGACGACTCCTTCTCAAGGCGAAACCCCTGAACCCACGCTAACAAGAAGCTCACTTTCTGAAAAGACTACAGCTCCTTACAAGGAAAGAAAACCTGCAAGCTCATCGCGAACGTTCGCAAACGCCAGAGGCTCTAATGAACGTCAGAAAAGCAGCATTGCATTAGCTACTGCCCAGAGGGCTTCCGCTGCTATCGTTCCCTCCCAAGGGAAGAAGAAAACGTTCGACTAACTCGAAAAATACTCGTTAAGTACTGTTATTTTGCATTTTGGATATCCATAATCATTATTACTTCTATATTAGATTGGCTTTCTCTATGTAGTTTAATATAGATTAGACGGAAAAAAAAAGCAAGATCATCAAGAAAGCACTGAACCATCTCGAAAAACTTAACCTCTATATCCAGAGAGAAGTTGCCCAGTTGACCGTTACTGACCAGATTTTACTCCTTTTTATAATACGTTGCTGATCCTCACGACGCTTTTGGCGGTGTGTTATAGTAAAGTAACTATAGTCCGTATTCCAAGCGACTATCAATAGCGTGGCATCTACTAAGAAAATCAAGTCAGATAAGGATTCAAGTCATCAATTTAATGCTATTCAATGCATCCAGGATTTCATCGTCGAGGCGAAGTAGCGTGGGTACCACGAGGTTCTCGACAATCGATCCACACTCGACGTCGACATCGACGTCAAATGCAAATTCAGTGAGCAACAAAGCAACCGCGTCGGCTTCTACAGAAGCCGTTTTACCAGCAAGTTCGAATCTGAGCTCAAAATCCCAGTTTTCGACTGTCAGATCAACTACTAGATCAACCGTCAGGTCAAGCTTTGAAACCTCTGAGCTGTGGTCCAATTCTTCGACGGACGGCATACCAGTCTATGCTTCGACAGGTGCGGAGCAGAGCGCAACGTCTGCTACGGGGTCTCACGAATCGACGTCGTCTCCCGAGGCTCCAACGACGCAATCGGCTTCGTGGAAGTCCCTGACCGCTCCGTCTGGCGACACATGGCTTCCGTATACCAGATCTTACGTTTTCACGGCGCCTTCAACGACAATAACAACGGATTTGGTACGAAGTACACTTCTACCGACGAAACGCACTTCATCATATACCGCGCCAACAGCAGTCATCACTACGGACATCTCATACTACAAGAAATGGCTTGACGGCTCCATAAATGGTGCGGACGTAACTCCGTCGACAAACAACAAAAATACCATAATTGGCAGCGTGGTGGGCAGTGTGGGCGGGTTCCTGTTAATCTGCTTTCTCACATGGTTCCTGCTTTACAGAAGACGACGCAAACCGGCTCAAATTACCGAAAAGAGCTTCAGCCATGACATAGGGTGCAGGCTGGACTACCCTACTACGGCTCAAGGTGCCGATGAGACCATAAGGATGGCCGACGATGAAGAGTTCATCCGGGGCAAATATAAATCATTTGGCAAAAAGATTCCGCTCTGGAGAAAACCCGACGCCGCTCCCAGCGACGACGAAAATCACGTTGTTCGCGACGGCGAGAAACGTACGAATCCATTTAGCGAGGAGTTCGATTTCCAAAAACGATTACCTTTACCTCCTCCAGTACCTACAAGAAGTTCTCCTGCGCGTTCTTTCATGTCGACTATCAGCACCTCCACCAATGGTTCGACAAGCTCCGATGACATTTCGTCCATATATCTCGCAAGGCCGACCGGCGAAGCCGGTTCTCAAAGCTTTCTCACGGAGGTTATATGACATTAAGTACATAGTCCTCGATTATAAACTACTAATGCATGGTTCCGAACCCAGGGCAATGGACCTGTCCTGATTTTATCATAAACTTTTCATTGTAGATGGTCAACTCTGATTTCTTGATCTACCGTACGAAAGTCAAAGAAATTTTTCTAAAATAACCATCCAAGCTGAAATTTCAAAACGATTGATTATCAGTAAAACTTAGTTATTTGGGAGCTCTCCACTTGTAGGCCAAGCGATGCTTCAGCCAACATTTCAATGCTTTAAGCGGGCTGCGCTTTCTCCCTGCACAATCAGAACTATACATACGTCTCGTATGGTCTTGAACAGCAGTCAAAACTCATCTTTATTTGGTTCAATAACTCAAAGTCCGCAAGAAAACGTCGATGATCCAAACCAGATTTCCAATAGACTGACGGCCGCTTCCGAACGATCAGGAATGACCGACAAGGATGCCAAGGCAACTGTCACAGTTGACAATGACAATCTTTTGCAGAAATACATTGCCAAAAAACAGTCAGCTCTTCCTGCGTCGAAATATCTGTTGTCGCCATTGAAACGCAGAATTTACGAGGAAAACTGTAAACTCAATGGTGGGTTCTATAATAGAGACAGCGTCGTGTCTCTGAAAAATGAGCATGGGTCCTCTTCGAAGTATAAGCTCCGATTAAGTCACGAGGAAATCGACTTGTTAGAACCAAGCGTCTACGTCAAGTCTTATCGGATCAAATCCTCCATGAAGAAAGCGACTCAGCTTTTGAGGCTATTGAATGGCCTGGATGCGAAGACGGCGTTGTCTCAATGCCATTTTTCTACTAAGAAGATTTCTCGCGATGTTGGCGCGCTTCTCACGCGTGGACTTGAAGACGCGGAGAAGTTAGGACTCGACCCCAACGATCTTTACATCGGTCAGATATGGACAGGAAGTGATGGTAATTGGCAAAAACGGGTAGATATAAAAGCCAGAGGTAGAAACGGTGTCATCACACATCCTTACGTCCATGTACGGTGCATTTTGAAGACAAAGAGCATTACAAAGAGAAGACTTGCTTTTGAGAAGCAAGTCAGACAAGGAAGAAGCAAACCTTGGGTGCCATTGGCTGATAAACCCGTAAGGGGCATTATGGGTGGTGTGTACAAATGGTAACGCGATCTAATAAAAAAACGAAAGAAACATGTACATAGGATTATCATAAGTCTAAAAGCACGAGCCTATTTAACTCGAGTTGAAGAACCACAACATCGCCTAGCCTCATTTAGCCTTTTTAGTCTCAGCCTTTGCCTCCTTGGTGCCCTTAGCGTCCTTTCCAGACGCCTTGACCGCTTCAGCCTCCTCCTTAGCAAAAAATTCCTTTAGACGGTATTCATAGTCCCAATTGGTGTACCAAAGTCCAGCCTGCAGCACAATGACACCGGCAAACACAATCATCAAAATTATATTGGAGGAGCCAATAACAGCGAGACCTTGATTCTGCGTGACCTCACCCCACTCGCCGGAGACTGACGAGTCGATGCCGGTCTTGATGTTCGTTATAAAAACGCAGACACCCAGAACGTACATGCCCAGAGAAGCGTATTCGAACAATTGCATGTCGGGATTAGGCTTGTAAACCCTGATCAAGGACCCAATTAGCCCAATGGCCACAACGGCAAGGAGCGCGTATAGCACGGGACGAGGTGTGTAGAACAAGGTTTGGTAATGGCGTAGAGCATTGTCGAAGTTCTCCTGGCCCACTGTGGGGTCGAACAAAATGCTATAATCGTAGGTTTGATTTGCGAAAAACACACCCATACAGAAAGAAGTCCCGATAAGAACTAACCCGGTGCCGACAGCACATATATCCTTGTAAGTGAGTCTCATTAGCAGATCTGGAATAACAGTTCCTCGAAGTTTCGTTGCGTAGAGTTCAGATCTAGTTTCTAGAGAGTTGGAAAAGCTTTAATGACTTTGAAACAACTTACATTCGTGAACAGTGACAAAGACCAGGTTAAAGTATAGAAGATATCAATTAAATACCTGTAGACAGATTAGATACCTACTAGACTTAAGCAGAAGCTTCAACTGGAGCTTGCTCAGCGGCTGGAGCCTCCTCAGTGGCAACTGGGGCTGGTCTGTAGTCCTTGACGGATGGTTCCAAGATTGGTTCCTCGTCCTTTGGCTCCAAGATGTTAACAGCGTCTGGCAAAGCTCTTGGACCAGCTCTGTTTCTAGCTGGATCTCTCATGATCTTGACCTTGATACCCAAGACACCTTGTCTCAACAAGACGTGTCTGGTGGCAGTGTCGATGAAGTCGTTGACTGGTTGACCGGAGTGGATCAAGAAACCGTCGGCAAACTTCATGGACTTGGCTCTGGCAGCTCTTAGCTTACCGGAGATGACAACCTCGCAACCCTTGGCACCGGACTCCATGACGTATCTGACGACACCGTAGGCGGCTCTTCTGATGGCCAAACCGTTCAACAACTTGAACTTCATAGATTCGGCTTGGGCAACAGCGGACAAACCACGGTCCTGGACTCTCTCGGCGTACAGAACGATGGATCCAGGCTGGTACTTGAATCTCTTTTGCACCAACAAGGTCAATTCGTTGATTCTTCTACCGTTCTCACCAAGGACATCCTGGGTTCTGGTGGCTCTGATGATGACTTCGGTCTTGGTTGGGGTGACACGCACTTCGACACCAGAGTAACCTTCCTCGGCCAATTCTCTGGTGAAGAATTCGTTCAATTCGGCGTAGAAAACACCGTCAGCTACTAGCTTTCTCTTCTTGGAAATAACGGAAACCATTGTTGTGCTATACAGAGTAGCTTCTATAGTGTAGTGGACGCAGTTCTGCTTGTCGAGTTACTGTTTTGTTAAAGCGATGCACAGTGGCCCATCCACCAACCACCAACCGGCTCCCAGTGCTGGGGTTTGGTGAAAAATTTCCTGTGTCCGTGACGAGAAAATGCTTGGGTGCAAGATCACCAAAGTCCATTTCTGCTGGTAAAAACTCAAACTTTTGAATATTTTATGGAGGGTACGGATGCAACTGATCAAAATTTCAGACACCCATACACCATAGATAAGTCCGCCATTACGACGAAGAAAGCAGTCACATCAGAAATGTCGTCGGTCTTATCTCGTAAGTAATTTCGATGCTGGCTCGAGAGAAAGTACAGTGGAAAATAATCGACGGCATTTCTACTGCCAGCTGTTCCGTCGATTCTGCATTTTTTCAGTTCCGCTGCCAATAGCTAATATAATAAGGTAGTGTTCAACAGGTCTTAAATTCCTTAAGGTGGGGACTCCTGGAATTTAATTCGAAGATTTATAATAGAGAAGCCGGAGATAACTGCGGACATCATCGACAGGGCAGGATAGGACAGAATAGGACCAAATATCAAAATGAGATCCGTAAAATGCGTCATTGTCGGTGACGGTGCTGTTGGTAAGACATCTTTGCTGATTTCTTATACCACGAACACATTTCCGCAGGATTACATTCCAACCGTGTTTGACAACTACACGACGACAATTGCGCTCCGAGATCCGAAAACGAGCGAGCCACAAGTGTTCAAGCTCAACTTGTGGGACACCGCTGGCCAGGAGGAGTACGACCGGCTGAGACCGCTGTCGTACCCGCAAACAGACGTGTTTTTGCTGTGTTTCAGTGTGAACGAGCCCAACTCGTTCGAGAATGTCAAGGACAAGTGGTTTCCGGAGATTCGACACAACACGAACTACGAGAACATGGAGCTGTTCCAGCAGTGCGGCAAGTTCCCGATTTTGCTTGTGGGCACAAAGGCAGACCTGCGTGAGGAAGAACACGAACAGGACCGGCTTAGAGAGCTGAACGCCGATTTCGTGTCGAAAAGCCAGATCGACCAATGCGTGGCTCATTGCGGGTTTATGGGCTACGTCGAGTGTTCTGCTGCGACGCAGGCCGGTGTTGCTGAGGTTTTCGAACGAGCTGCACAATGTGCCGTGACCGAGCCCGAAAAACTGCTCGCGCAAAGCAAACAGCAAGAAACCAAGAGTGCGAACCCGGCCATCCACGAACGCAATGGCGGTGCGGGCAAAAACTCTACGGTTGGCGCAGGCGCTTCTACGAAAAATACGGGCTCTACTGGAATTGCCAAGAGGGTTAAAAAGAGAAGATCCAATAAATGCACCATTTTGTAGCGTGTGTGCGTGCGTGAAGTTGTGATAAGTTTAAGGTAATGTATAATTTTTTAACCGGAAATAACAACTACTAAGCTGGCCTTTTCTTACCCTCACCCTTCGCCTGTGCTTTCTTCTGCTTATTCCTCTGTAAAGCCATTCTTTTCTCGAGTTCTAGGATCTGCTTTGACGTATTGTCGTAAAGCGTATCTTGTAGTTCTACGTCTTCGAACTCCTTTCTGGAATACTTGGACATCGTGCAGTTTACAATGTATTTAACCTGCTCGTCCTTCCAATTGATCTCCTCCAATTCTGGGGTCATCAATGCATGCAAAATCGTTTGGGCGCCGCGGGATGCGCTTTTGGTGAATAGCCACAACAAAGGATACAGTAGAAAGCTGTAAACAAAAATCAGAGCCAAGACCGAACCATTGCTAACAAACCTTCGTAAACTTGTCGACCGCATGATCCCGGGTTGCACAAGACACACGGTCACGTTTTTGCCCGACCGCCCGTCCTTATGAGTAGCTTTGAGAAGACGCCGTTGCAGCGAGAGCATGCATAGACTCAGTTGCAATTTCGAGCTAGCGAAAAACTTGACCGCACTGTCGTAATTCGCCTTTTGCCACAGCGGATCTTCGACGTTCACCGAACCCATGGCCTGCAACATACACGTCGTTACGATGATTCGGACGTCTCGGTCCGGCGGTTGAGCCTTAAAACTGGGTTGCAGAAGGTCCAGCAAGTGGAAAACGCCAACGAAATTTGTCGCAATCTGAACTTCTAATCCGTCCTTTGACGATCGTCTCACGGGCTTGGGCAGCAAAGGAATCGACAAACCTGGCTCCAGATCGCCCGACATCACGACAGCTCCATCAAGCCTGCGAGGAGGCGAGTTATCAAGCCATTTTGTCGCAAATTTGCGCACTTCGTGTAAATCGTTCAAATCGCATTGTTCCAGATAAATCAAGTTATTATCGCTAGAGGCTCTCAAATCCTCGCACCATTCCAGCGACCATTCGTCACAATTCCGCGTCAAAATAATCAATTGTGCTCCACGTCGTGCCATATCAAGTGCAACGGCTGTCCCCATCCCCTGCGTCGTTGCGCCGGTTAATATATATACTTTGCCATGCAGGTTTCTTTCCCACGTATTGGTGGCACCGCGCGACCAAAATTTTATGGCTGAAATGGCCAACACGTATGGAAACGCCTTTTTCAATTCATTGTAGTAAGGAATCTTATCAGTGCCCTCTATCAGAGCTGTTCCAATGATATTTACCGGCATCTTGGCTATGTAAAGAATTTCAATATTTCGAGATCAGTTTAGCGTCGATTATAATTTCAAAAAATTTTCTAGTTACGGGCTCATCTCATCTCATCTCATCTCATCGTGAAGACAAGCTAGAGCTATTAAAGCTACCTTTAAAGCCGAGAGAGGTGATGGATGAACAGCTTATATTCGCGACGCATTCAACATGCACGGTCGGTAATTTACACTCCTCTACGCAGACCAATTTGAAGCAGTGTACGACTGAATACGACAACGGAATATGTCTTGTCGGTAACAAGCACTTGTTTGTTTGCCAGGCGAAAAAAGCGTTGATAAATGTGTATGACATTGGTGGGGAAAGCAAGCGAGAGTCAGTGGAACAGAGATTGCCGTTACCAGAGGTTTTGAGCTGTCTGGAAGTGGCGGGAACCTACGATCAGGCACCAAACCGGAGTTTGCCAGAGTTCTGTATGCCGCATCTGCTCATTGGGTCTACGCCGACTGGAAAACTTTACGTATGGGAATTGAACTCAGGAAGACTGTTGAAGGTCAAGCCTATGGCGCATTACCAGCCGATCACAAAGATAAAGTCGATCATAAACGGGACGTACATCGTCACGTCTGGTGCGGACGCAAGAGTTATGATTTGGCAGACAATAGACCTCGTCACGCAAGAAGATCCCAAACCCGTTTGCATTCTCCACGACCATACCCTGCCAGTGACCGATTTCTGCGTTTCGGACGCGCACTCCTCTTATCTGTCTGGAAAGCTTTACACTGTGTCTCAGGACATGACTTTGAGATGCTACGAATTAGATCCTAGTAGGTTAAAAAATCCTCGCATTCTCGCGACGTTCACTTTTTCTTCTTCACTCACATGCATTGCAGCGGATGCAGCCGATCGCGCTTGCTATGTGGGTACAACGGACGGCGTGTTTTCGCTTCAATTCTTTTACAAGTTAGAAGCGCAAAAGGTTGCGAGTCTTTTGACCTCGGCAGAAAGTGCCATTTACTCGTGCGTCGAAAGTCATGAACACGCTAAGAAGAATGATTTGTTCAAAATGAATCAAATCGTTTGCGACAGGCTCACAAAGGGCACTCCTTCGGCTCTGGCGTCTTCAATGGATGGTACACTGCTTGTTGTCGGTGACAAGACCGGCAAGTGCACGGTCATAGACGTGTATTCGAGGCAATCCGTTAAAGAGATACAGCCTTTGGTTTCGCAGGAAACCGCAGGAGCGGTAACAAGCCTCATATTATGCATGCCTATGGATACTCAAAAATACACGGGAGTAATGTTCCAGGGTAAAAACGGCACTGCAACCAAGATACCAAACTTGCAAAAACATGTCTCTGGCACTGAAGGCCTGCATGACATCGTACACCAGGTCGGTGAACCCAGAGACGATATCATTCCAGTATTGCGCGATTTCGACGGTTTCCTCCATCAAGTGGCTTCTCAGGAAGGTGTATTCAGACAGCTCGGAGGCGTGACGTCCGAAGTCAGGTATATCGAACCACAGATGGCAGAATCACCAGCTGCAGCCTCCACTTATATGGGCACTCAAGTTACATCGGACAGCGGTGCAGAAGTCGACCAACTGAAAAATACCGTGTCGCAGTTGACGGACGCATACCAGGAACTGCGTGAAATGCATGAAAAGCTTTATCGCGAACACGAAGAATTACTCGAGAAAACCACCTAATTCTATGCATAAATAAAATGTACACTAGTCGGACTTTTTCGTATTTTTCTTATTTTTTATGTATTGACGATATTTTGCGTTGGTGGAAGGCTTCTTGACCCGTCGACCTCCATTACTCTTTGACTGCACTTTTTTGTTTTTGCTTGAGCCGAAGTTTTGGAATCCCATGATACCTTCAAGATTTAGTTTAGTCTCATCTGGCAACTTTTCATCATCTTTCTCATTCAATTTTTGGCGTTCGGGATCCGTTTTTGTCACAAGCGATAGGACTTTCTCATCTGTATTTTGCTGTTTGCTCTCGAGATCCACACCCCGCTTTTCCAATGGTTTACTCATCACCGCTAAGGCTTGACTTGATGTTCATGATACATCTACCTATGCGATGAGCTCCTGATCCAAGAACATTGATACGAAAAATTCTGGAAAATGAAAATTTGAACTCATCGCAGGACATCTGATAACATAAAAAGAGAAGCAAAGCACAGTCAGGAAGGATATGGACGTCAAAAAGCTTACCAAGAAGCAGCTGAAAGCTCAGCAATTTCGCAAGTCCAAGGAGGAGCGCGGAGAAGAGAAGGACCTTAAGAGAAAGTCCGACGACGTTGCGACTGACCAAAAAGGCACTGTCGATGAACACGACGAAGCGCCCCGCAAGAAACGTAAGACGAGAAGAGGTAAGGGAGGCAAAGGAGGCAAGGGATCCAAGGGGAACCGTTTTCTCATTTTTGTAGGGAATCTGCCGCGCGACGTCAGCTCGACCGAGCTGCAGGCACATTTCAAGTCGAGCGCGCCAGACGAAATCCGTATACGGCCCGACAAGGGCATTGCGTTTCTGGAGTTCGATGCTGAGAAGGATCTGAAGAATATCCAGTCGCGAATGGACGTGGCTTTGCTACAACACAAGACTCTGGTGAAGGGACGGAAAATCAACGTTGAGCTGACCGTGGGCGGCGGCGGTAACAGCAAAGCGCGGCTGGAAAAGCTAAAGGGCAAGAACGAGAAGTTCGAGGTTGAACGTCGCGAGAGAACGGCCCATATCATCCAAGAAAACAAACGTAAAAAGACTGCCGAAAACGGTGACGAGAAACGCGCCTCTGGAGTAGAGACGACCGTTTCTGGCGGAGTCCATCCAGACCGCTTAAAAAATTTTAGTTGAGCTGCCTACGACGGGTTGTGCATCGTTCTTTGCATGCACTACGGCGACTGATACAAAAGTAGAAACTCGCTTTTGCAATCAATCATCCCTAGCGTCAGAATCAGATCCTCCAAGAGAACAAAAGGATACCAAAAAAGGCTCCAAAATTAAAAAAGGTGCCATAGCTATCATTCCACTGGTTATCCCCGTACGTCATTAAACCGTCGAGGACCCGGACAGGTCAGGTGACCTATACTCTCTAGTTTCTGTCCCTTCATGGATTCAGACCCCCAACTCCTTCTGTACATTATTCAAGTAATCCCATCCAATCTCCGTCTATAGGCAACAGCACCACGTTACTCCGAAATCAGTGATATCTTGATTTCGTTCCGTGGAACTCATTTTGATTCGATATTTAACCAAGCGCCCGTTATCAATGACTTTGAGAAATTTCAAAATTTTCAATTTTGATTTCCCCTATGCTCGCATGTAGGTTTACCCATATAAGACTATCATTTCTCGAGCCCGCGCGGTTCAACAAAGAAAAGCATATAGCAGATCAAATCAAGCGGGACAGGAGACACTGTTGAATCATGTCTTCGCTGACGAAACTTCTTCAAGAAAAGCGCAAAAATGAAGTAGGTGCTGCTGTGAGCGGCGCCGCCCCCGTTCGACCACAGATGGATAACAGCGGTTCGCACAGCACAACCACGGTGACTATGGTGGATTCCAGCGATGAAGGCGAACCTGGATCTGTGGGACGGTCCCTAGAGGCACAGGTGAACTTCTCGTCGAGCTTTATAAATGCGAATTCGGCGCACACAGCAACAATGCAGGAATCTACCGGCTCGCTTACGCGGGATAAACCGGCGCCCCTTAGCATCGAGTCACCACACACGGATGCGTCTACGGCAACCACGACAATTGGCCAATCGTCGCCACAAGCCGCGAGCAGCAGCGGCGGCGGCCACAACCGGAACGTACCTTCGCTTTCGTGCAGTATTCCTTATTCTGTGCCCAACTCCAATAATGGCGCCTCGTCGTCTAACACAGGCAGCGCCGCGTCGTCGGTTTCGTCGTCGTGGCTCGAGCACTCTGGCCTGATGCCGCACAACGTTTCTGCGATTGACTCGAATGTGATCTCGTCGCCCAAAGTGGATGCTGTAGAGCCCCGTTTTGTGATTACGAAACAAAAATTCCAAAAGTCGTCTATGGACAATGCTGCCAATGCGGCTCAACATGCAGCCCCAAACAGTTCCATATCGCGATCGGGCTCCATTTCCTCTCAGCTCGGCAATCTTTTCTTTGCAAAACAGCAAAAGGACACGTATGGCTCTACTCCGGGCAAAGATGTCACGGGCCCCTCCTCATCGTATCACGGTTCTTCCATACCTAAACCCGTTCGTGCGCGGCGAAGCTCGCTTTACAATGGGTCAAGACAGCCCTCTGGGTCATATCAAGACAGTTTCATCGGTTCTCCGTCTTCTTTGCATGAAAACCCACCTAATCAGTTCATTCCTAGATCAAGACACTCATCGATTGCCGATCTCAAGAGATTCTTCAAAAAAGGACAGTCAGCAGGAATGAGCATGTCTCCAAACACGCCGCCTGTTTCGGCAGGCGGCAATATCAGTTCCCACGCTTCCAACACTTCAAGCATTGGACCAAGCTCTCACAGTAGCACCAATGGGGATACCATCTATTCTAGTGCCCATTCATCTACTTTACCATACTCCAAGCGGTACGCAAAGACGGGTGAGAGTTTGGGTGCCGGTGCCGGAGGTTCTGTTAAACTTGTAAGGCGGTTGCATGATAACAAAGTTTTTGCTGTGAAGGAGTTTCGCACCAAGTTTGAGTCCGAATCTAAAAGAGATTACGTCAAGAAAATCACATCTGAATATTGCATCGGCACAACTTTGCGCCATCCCAACATCATCGAAACCGTGGAGATTGTCTATGATAATAATCGCATCTTACAAGTTATGGAGTACTGTGATTACGATTTGTTTGCGATTGTTATGAGTAACAAGATGTCTTACGAAGAGATTTCTTGCTGTTTCAAACAAATTTTGATCGGCGTGCAGTATTTACATTCCATGGGCTTGGCTCATAGAGATTTGAAACTCGACAACTGTGTTATAAACAGAGACGGAATTGTAAAACTTATAGACTTTGGCGCTGCTGCCGTCTTTTCCTACCCATTTTCCAAGACTCTCGTTGAGTCGTCTGGAATTGTAGGTAGTGATCCCTATTTGGCACCCGAGGTATGCATTTTTACCAAATACGATCCTCGTCCCGTTGACGTGTGGTCTGCGGCGATAATTTTTGCATGCATGATTCTCAAAAAGTTCCCTTGGAAGATTCCAAAATTAAAGGACAATTCATTCAAACTCTTTTGCTCAGGACGCAACTGTGATTCTTTGAGCGCCTTAGTCACACGTACTCCAGAACCACCCTCATACGACAAAGCAACGGGGTCTACACCCACTCCTGAAACAACTCCAGTCCCTGCTGCACAGGCGTCTAGCAACAATCCTGCCGATCCAGAAAACACCAACATCGGACCTCAAAGACTTCTGCATTCGTTACCTGAGGAATGTCAGAGTTTAATTGGACGTATGGTGGACTTGGCTCCCGCGTGCAGAATCAGCATTGACCAAATAATGGAAGACCCGTGGATTCAAAGTATCGATGCCTGCTGTGTCGTGGATGACGGAGTAACTGCAAAAGTTGTTCCAGGCAAAACGCATACTCACACGCAAGTCGATCAAAGTGAGGCTCACATTGCAGGTCTAGAGAAGAAGAAGAAGAAGCAAAAATAGATGGCCCAATCCTGGAAGTTGCTGAAGGCCTAGGCTTCACTAAAAAAAAAAGATTAACTGTCTGTAGGCCATGGAGTGACTTTAATTTAAAAACTTAAGCGTAATAATATCAAGGAAATATGTGCACATACGCTCCCACTCCTGCCGCTAGGTGAGGGGACCAAGTAAATAGTTGATAAAATTTAAACAACTTGTTTCCATAAGCATTTGAAATTTCATTCGAGAATCTCAGGTTTTTTTAAGAAGGTGAAAAAAAAAAGCTGAGATGTACTGCGTTGGAACAATCAAGCTCTCAAAAAGTCCTTACATAAAGCGATGTCTCAGCAACTTAAGAACGTGCTCGTGAAGCTCATCGTTGGAGCTGGTCAGGCTGCTCCATCTCCGCCAGTTGGACCAGCTTTGGGTTCGAAGGGTGTGAAAGCCATTGACTTTTGTAAAGAATTCAATGCAAGAACTTCATCATACCAACCAGGTACACCGGTACCTGTGCTGATAACAATCAAGCCAGACCGTTCCTATACGTTTGAAATGAAATCTCCTCCGACAGGATATCTTTTATTAAAGGCTATTGGTAAAGAGAAGGGCATGAGCCAACCTAACGTTCAAAGTCCGACGAATACCTTGGGACAGCTGTCATTGAAACACGTCTACGAAATTGCCAAGATAAAGAAAACGGATGGAAGACATGCTTCGATTGAAATGGAAAGTATCGTGAAATCGGTAATTGGGGTTGCCAAAAGTCTTGGCATAAAAGTTGTTTTGTAAGTAAGTCCAAATCACCGTGTAAATAGAAAACTTACAAAAAGAGGAAGAGGAAGTGGAAACGATAGTTTAAAGTGTTAGAAGATATTTTAAAAGAAAATGCTATTTGTTAAGGCGCCGTTTCTTTCTATTGTGGTTCTTCTTTTTCTTCTTTGAAGCGGACCTGCTGCTCTCACTAATGCCATCGAACAAAGATTCGTTGGCTTTTGACGCCTGCAATGGGGTGGTTTCTACCTCTTTCGACCATTTTACTGATTTTGGTGTCAATCGGGTATAAATAAGGTAGTATGCGTTCGGCTCCTTCAACATTTGCCTATCAGTTATTTTGTTGATGTATTCATCGTCGTAAGTCGACCACGAACCATCAGGCTGCTTACAATGAGCAATGTAGTGACCCGAGGACAAGGAGCGACCCTCGTGAACCACAACGCTGATCAACTGATATTTCACGGCCAGGGTATCCTCTTGATTTTCGCAAAACTCGGTCAAATCGAGAAACATCGGATATGACACCGCCTGTTTTAGCTTAGAGGACGACGTTCCATTGAACCTGAATTTTTTCAGGTGAACCAGTAACGTTTCTGGGGCACGAAGAATCGAGTTGTGTTTCAGAGCATTGCCAGTCTGAGAGCAGCTTTCACAGAAATAACCATTCTTACCTTCCTTGTCTGCCTTTATTAGCTCTACGTTGAAAAAATCTCTTATGGACTTTTCGATCGAGAAGCGTCTGGATGGTCGGTCGTCTGAATTTTCACCAATAGCTTCACTATTTGATGGTGGCTTCTTGCCCTTTAAATGCAAAGAAAGATCGTAAAACGGCTGTTCCGTTCTTGAGATCTTGCCGCAAGATTTGCAAGTGACTTCTTGGCAAAGCATACCTCCGAAAATATCATAGATTATGCTTTCGGTCATCTTATGACCGCGGGGGACACCATCCTCTTGGAGACGGGACATTAGGGACATAAAATATTCATGAGAATCTTCTTGCTGCCACTCACTCATCATGCAGTTGATATCGTCGAGTTTGCCAATGAGCTTTTTGGGATTGACAAAGGTGTTCTTGGAGCCATCTGGAGACCACATGCGTTTGCTGGTCTCTGCCAAGACATTTGTGACCGAGTTTTGAGATATCGTCTGTTTGTACTGCCCGCGCAGGACGGCAAAAAGATAGTGCTGTATAGCGGGGATGTGTAGCATCGCTTGGACGGCAGCGTTCGTGTAACACGTAACGCCGTGGTTCAGCAGCCCTCGCGGCTTCAGAGCGGTTAGCTTTGGACCCCAGTTTTTCATGAGGCAGGTGGAGCTATTCGAGCCCCGGTCGTTTGGTTCTTCGTTGAATAGATAAAACTGCTGAGCGTCTGGGAGCGTGGTAGGAGGCGTTGGTGACACGCATTTGGGCTGTGGTTGCTTGTGCTTGAGCTCGTCGCCGTCGTCGTCGCCGTCGCAGGCGGCACCAGGTTCAGGTTGCTCTTTACCGGCGTCTTCATTGGCTTTGGCGTATTCTTGCGCTTCGGACAGGAGTCCCGCGCGCTCTGCGTCGCTGATACCTTTGTCGTCGTCCTCAGACACCTCTTGGTCAATTTCCAGCTCGTAATCCGCGTCGGCATTATCGCTAGCGTCGCTTGCGTCGTCAACAGATGTCGGAACCGGCGTATCCGCCGACAAAGAGTTGCCCCTGTCGTCCGCCTCGCTTTCTAGCTCTTCTCCTACTTCCTCGCCCAGTTCCTCACCTAGATCTTCCCCAGCCGTGACAGCTGCAGAAGGTCTCTGCGCCGAAATCTCCGCATCGTCCTCTGTGAACTCGCGCGCCTCCTGGTACGCTTCTGAACCCGAACTGGATTCCCTGCTGGATTCTTCGCCGGATTCATGACCAGCTCGCTCGTCCGTGGACCCCGCAAATTTGTCATCGCTTAGATCTGCGTCTGGCGCGGGCTTCCGCGCCGTATACATCTTCAGCGCTTCGGAGAAACTCCGGGGGGTCCGCACTGTCTTGCGCTGCTTACTGCTAGCCGGCTCGCCCTCAGCTCCAACCGTACTGGCCAACCGCATGCCTCCAGTGCCGATCTGGTGCTCATCGCCGCCGGATCCCAGGGCGGGCACGTGCCCGCTGCCGATCACTATACACGAACCAGGTTTCGATTCTACTCCATCTTTCCGGGTGGCTTCGTGAAACTGTAGCGGGTTCATAAGAATCCGTTCTATTAGGGGCTGGATGGCCTCCTGTTGCTCCATGATCCGTGTGTGTCCAGTTCGAAACCGCCGTGGCTATAAACCGCTGTTCGCGTGTGGTGGGTGGTGCAGGCGCAGAGAAAAAAACAAAAGCTGCGGGATTCAACCTATCGTCGGTAAGCTTCAATTAACACCTTTCTTGCGCGGCCGGCTAAAATCAGGCTAAAATCAGGCTAAAATCAGGCTCAACTTGCACCTGTATCTGGGGCGCTATGCTGAGTGGGTTGAATCAGGTGTTTTTTTTTCCTTCCTCGTCTTGGTCCTTGGTCTACGTCTGCCTTGCGTTTCCACGCGATGAGCTGGGCGACCGTAGCAGCGGACATGGCGGACGCGGCAACGAAGCTGAAAAATTTTATAAAAAGAACCGGCCTGGGACGCTGACGACACGTACAAAGGCATACTGTCACGTGGCCAACGCATCGCCGACGATGGAAAACACGCACTCTTCGTCGAAAGCGAGCGGCTTACGTAATAGAGTCACATGTATTACGTACAACGCTATGAAGGTATGAGCTGCGGAACTGACACTCCCAACACCCTCGCACCCCGCACCCCGCTCCGCTTGTTCCGTCCGCTTCCCAACCCCCAGACAACTCCGAGCCGTAACCAGTCTGCCCCTCTTGCCCCCCCCCCTGAAAACCCAGATCCCACCCATTTCTTTTCTCGCACGTCACTTGCCCCTTTCTCCCGGTTTCCCCGCTTGCTCCTGGTGGCGGCTGGTATTTGCTTTTCGTAGCCCACGAGGCCTTACGCAGCACTGTGTAGCACTGCGTAACACTGCCAAACAGTGGCCCCGCTGCAAAGGTCGCCATTAACACGTTCCTTCCGACCGCAAAACAGCGTCAGCTGCCACCGCACTGTGAAGCAAACAAGGCGCACATCTGTTGGAAACGCTCGCCGCGCGGAAACGCCGCTCATAAGTCATCAACCGGCCTTATGGGTCGGCCCCTCTTTTTTGTCAGCAACGCTTACAGTGCATAAGTATAAGGCTATATATATGTAGGCCAGTTGCCCACAGTGCGTTGCGAATTTCATTCTGTACTCACACCATTGGATTAGCACTGCCAGAAACACTCACAGCTGTGCAATCTTGGTCACCGTTAAGCAGATAAAAACAAGTTAAAAATGGTGCTTTTGTCCGCAAACGCGCGTGCCGCGGCACGCGCTGTAACCGCGGGTCGCGGACTGTCACGTGCTTCATTCCAGGGCTCGTTCCGTGCTTTCTCGCAACTGCCGCTCAGCGTGCCCATCAAGCTGCCCAACGGCATCGAATACGAACAGCCTACGGGCCTGTTCATTAACAACAAGTTTGTGCGCTCAAGGCAGGGTAAGACCTTCGAGGTAGTGTCACCTGCGACGGAGGAAGAGGTCACGCACGTGTACGAGGCACGTGAGGATGACGTCGAAGACGCCATCCAAGCCGCCGACCAGGCATTCCGGTCCGGAGTGTGGTCCGAGGCAGACCCTATTGTTCGCAGTAAGGCGCTCTCGAAGCTTGCTGACCTAATCGAGGAGCACCTGGACACCATTGCGTCGATCGAGACCTTGGACAATGGTAAGGCCATAACGAGCGCCAAGGGCGACGTAGCGCTAGTCGTGAACTACCTTCGTTCGTGTGCTGGCTGGGCCGACAAAATCGACGGCCGTCTCATCAACACGGGCAAGACCCACTTCTCGTTTACGCGCCGCCAGCCCCTGGGTGTTTGCGGCCAGATCATCCCCTGGAACTTCCCACTGCTGATGTGGGCGTGGAAAGTGGGACCCGCGCTGGCTACCGGTAACACGGTGGTGCTCAAGAGTGCGGAGTCCACGCCGCTTTCTGCGTTGTACGTCTCGCAGCTGGTTGTGCAGGCCGGGTTCCCCGCCGGTGTTCTGAACATTGTGTCTGGTTTCGGTAAAATTGTAGGCGAGGCGCTCTGCACGCACCCCAAGGTCAAGAAAATCGCGTTCACGGGCTCGACCGCCACGGGACGTCACATCTACCAAAGCGCTGGCGCCAACCTCAAGAAAGTGACCCTCGAACTTGGAGGCAAGTCCCCCAACGTTGTCTTTGCCGATGCCGATCTCCCAAGAGCCGTCCAGAGCGTTTTAGCCGGTATCTTTTACAACGCTGGTGAAGTGTGTTCCGCTGGCTCCCGTGCATACGTCCACGAGTCGATCCACGACGAGTTTGTCCAGGAACTGAAGGCCGCTGCAGAGGCTTTGAAGGTCGGCGACCCCTTCGACGAATCCACTTTTATGGGCGCCCAGACCTCGCAGGCCCAATTGTCCAAGATTCTCAAGTACGTTGACATTGGTAAGGAGGAAGGTGCTACCTTGATCTCCGGTGGTGAGCGTCTAGGATCCAAGGGCTACTACGTCAAGCCCACCATCTTTGGCGACGTTCGCGAGGACATGCGCATTGTCAAGGAAGAGATTTTTGGACCTGTTGTCACTGTTAGCAAATTCCGCACCGTGGACGAACTGGTTTCCATGGCCAACGACACTGAATACGGACTCGCCGCTGGTCTGCACACCACTTCTCTGCAAACCGCGCTAGACGTGAGCGCCCGTATCGACGCCGGTACTGTCTGGGTCAACACGTACAACGATTTCCATCACTCTGTGCCTTTCGGCGGATTCAATGCTTCCGGTATTGGCCGTGAGATGGGTTCCGAGGCCCTTGAGAACTACACCCAGGTCAAAGCTGTGCGCGTCAAGCTCGACTAAATTTAAGCTCTCACAACTTAATTATGGCCCTTGTAACGAAACTATTGTATTTGATACGTGAATAAATAAAAAAGTATTATTATTCTTAAAAAACTTCGGAGAAACGATATTGCTAACAAAATGCCTGCCTATTTTCAATGCTAGCTCTTTGTCTCTAATCTATTTCCAGTAAGATAAAAAGTGCTATCTGTGCACGCGAAGCCTTCGATTGATGTCCCTTGGATGCTAGCCCCCTTTTAACTACTCCTCATCGTCGTCTTCTTCCATCACCGAGATCTCGAACTCTTCTTCGTACTCGTCGTTCGATTTGATAGGGATGATCGTCCTTGAGAGTAAATGCTCATGCTCATCCTGGGGTTCTTCGCTCGTTGTTGCAACCGACGTGCTCTTAGCAGTTGAAGGTGGTCGACCTTTCGCCTCCGCCTCGGCGGCTGCTTTTCTGGCCTTAATTATCCTTTCTTTGCGTTCAGAAGTTCCAGTTTCCTCATCTGCTCCCATCAACGCAACTTTAATTAGAATCAGGGCTGTAGTAAGTACGACTACTAGCACCCCGATGGAAAAGACCATCCCTTTGAAAACATCATCAAGCAGCATGAACCAATTGACAAACCTGTTGATACTCGATGCCAAAAATTTAGATTCCGACCCGTCTATGCTTGCCATGCTAGAGTTCCCTTCACTCACGGAGTTTTGATCAACTCCTCCCTTCTACCCCAAACCTTTTTTCTCTTAATATAGTTGCGCTGTCTAGGGCAAAGGAGGAAAAAAAGACCTTTTGCTGTACAGCTTCCTGTACGGCCCTTCTATCAACAGAGGCCTTGTTAGGGACATCTGCAATACGTACATATTAAAAGGCGCAAACAAAAACTGTTCTTAAAACTGTTCGGATTAATAGCCCTAAACTCTTTATTTTGACTTTAAAGAACCGTGCAAAATTTCAGACAAGCTATTTCGCCTGGCCAAGTAAACTCTGATTGTAAACATTTGTGCTTTTCGTGGCAAGAAACTAAAAGTTCTTCGCATATCCTGCTGCATTTAAACTGTTAGTCTCACAGAACATAAAACTTTGGGTTGTCCTCCAACTACGTTGGGAATTTAGCAAAATGCACTCTTGTAATTTACAAAACTAATTTCATGTAACTGCTTCAACATGCTCTACTTTTAGTATGAAATGGCGGATCTAGGATCTCGTTTTATGCAAATTTGCGCGACAAACACAGTTTTGTTTCGACTGGACTTTATGGCAAGCCAGTAAGACAAATGCTCACGTAATCGAGAAAGGGTATCCTGTTGATCCCTGGACCACCCGCTGAAACATCTATGCCTCCGTGTCATCGGGTAGCAGTTCAAATGCATTTTTAATACTGTTATTTGCCCTTCCGACTTCCGCCTCATCTATGCCATCCGAAATATCCTCGGTCTCCATATCGATTGACCCGCTCGTTGAATTGGTTTTCTTATCTTCCTTTGGGTTCCCACGAAGCGCAGAAAGTCCACTCTTTATTTCCTCATTCGTCTTATCCCAGCCTGCTTTACGGGCCCTTTGAACATATTTTGCTCTGGTCTCCGCTTTATGCACTTTGCCGTCAAGTCGGTTCGTGAACTTCAAAGCTTTTTCCAGACGCTCTTTATCAATGTGTCTCACAGAGCTTCCTAGCTTTTGCGCTTTGCCGACCTTCTTTTGAGTCCTCTCCTTCTTTCGAAGTTTGTCTTCCAGCAATTTCTCATTCTTTGAAGCGGTTCTAATGATCTTGTTTGCGAGATCAGCGTTTTCTGCCCTGGGAAGCTGCGCCAGGGTCTGCGCCTCAGGCTCTTCGGCTTCTAACCTTCGAGCAGCTCTTGAATGTTTAGACACTTTTCTCGCCATTGTCTTGTACACCGTGATTGCCGGGTTTTGATGACAGAGGTCATCTCATCGGAAACATCAAAATTTTTTTTAACCTCGACCGACGTCAGACCTGCTTGGGCAGAAAAAAGTCTTTGAATAGACTACATTTGATGTTAAAGCTAAGCCGTGGAGATCTTCTTCCAGATGGCATTTTATTGATTTTGTAAATTTAAATCGGAGTTTCAATTTTTTGCAAGCTTTGTAAAGTATCTTGAGCTGATAAGACCTACTCCAACCGACATGTCTCATTTTGTAAATTTTTCTCTCTATGAAAGAATATCAATACTTGGCTTAAATTCTACGTAAATTTAAAATAATATAAAGAAAGAACTGCTTTATATCTTGCCCGTTAAGTCGACTTCAACCTGATCAATTTCGTAAAAGTAAGCCATTTTTGCACCGGCTCAGCGAGAAAAAATGAGCCGTGAGGATTTCGCCATTGTTCAACAAACTCCGCATCACGCAAGCTCTTTGAAATTATTAGGAGTTAGCAGAATTTTGATATTCTTCTTGTTGTTAATCAATTCCATCAAACCCCTGTCGAAACCGTCCTCAATTCTTTCGCGCCCGGTAATCATGTGCCGGGCTTTGTCGATGTCAATTCTTCCCTCATGCAACGCGGCCACAACAGCTTCAAAGTCTTCTCTGGTATAACAAATCGAGCCAGTAACAAACTTCTCTTGTAAAGTGACAGACATTGGGTAGAAATCGATAGGCTTGTGACCCCAGATTGCGATGTTAACAGCAACTCCTCTGAAAGTCAAAGCATGTAGCCCCGCGTCAAACGTGGCCTTCATCCCTGAACAATCATAAGAGAAATTGAATCCCTCGCCACCAGGAGCCCTTTTCCGCAACTCTTCAAAGACATTGTCGCCGAAATCGAAGGGATTGAAAGCCTCAACGCCTAAACTGTGGGCCTGTTCTCTGCGAAATTCTGCAGGTTCTGAAACGAGGATTTTACCTGCCCCATGGCCTTGCAAAGCAAGAATAGTTGCCAAACCAATTGGTCCAGCTCCTAAAACGAGAGCTGAATCTCCTTTTTTCAAACCAGAGATGCGCACGGCGTGCCACGAGACCGCAAGCGGCTCTACAAGAGCAGCCACATCCATTGGGATGTTATCTGGGAGCTTCACCACATGGCTCTCACTGGTAACGACCTTTTCGGCGAATCCACCGCTGCCACAACCCAATCCACAAAAGCCCAGATGAGAACAGCTGTTGTAAAGGTCTCTTGCACAAGCGGCACATTTTTTCTCTTTGAATCTCTTGGATTTAGGCCAGCGGTAAACGTCTTTGCATGTTCCGGTAACCTCCACCACCACTCTGTCACCAACCTTCACCGTCGATACGCCAGGACCAATTTTAGACACCACCCCTGACATCTCGTGTCCCATAGCTTGAGGAAGCTCCAAGGCGCTCAGGGCATGAGGCTCGCCATCTTTAGGGAAAAAAATGGGGCCGTCTAAATATTCATGTAAATCAGTTCCGCATATTCCGCACCAGCTGACGTCGATAATTAATTCGTCGTCGGCACCAATGACAGGCTCAGGGAGGTCTTTAGTGAAGTTGATAGTTTTCTCACCGAAATAAGCTAGCGCTCTCATTTTTATGACAAGACGTTTAAGATTTACAGGAATTATTGCTTGCCCATGAAAGAACGAGCAAAATCGATTCAGATACTCACAGGAGCCCCGCCCATTTATACATTTTTTGGAAGTACCAGTTCACTTTCTCGTCACGCTGCCCGTTTCCTGAGGAACGACAGGCAAGGCGGAAAAATGCGAATCTGAAAATCACCCCTCGCAACGCTGGTAAAAACCCGTCTCTGCAGAAACGATCTCATTTATGAGGGAATTCCATGGTTGGTCATGTTCTGAAGTGAATTCTTTGTCAGATGTCACTACAGCGATAGCTGATAGGACGCGTCCGCAATGGCGCCCTGCGTTATAATATATATGACTTGTTGTACCCAGAGTAAACCACCGAAAGGGTTAAGAAGTCCCCTGCCGTCCTTTTTTGAAAAAAAGGAAAATAGATGGGACTCCGATCTCTTGGTTGCTAGCGGTTTCATAAACGGCGAACCAATTAGATGCGAACCGCTAGTACTTCCATATGAATGGGTTTTGGTAGAGTATGTTTCATGATGGGAGCTCTAAAGTCAGCTATGAGAAAGATTGGCACGCTAAGCTTTGGTGCTTTTCGATCTTCCTATCTCTAAGAAATCTCCTTGGCCTCAGGGCTTGCATAGCTTTAAGTTGGAAAAGAGTTTCTCCTCGTGTATGACGATCACGTGGGGAACAAAGGAATTGGCAATTTCAATGTTGTCATGGACTTATTCATCAAAGTAAAAATAAATATTTATCACGATTGAACGTACTTCTAGTGAAATCAGGATAGAAAATCAGAATTCTATCCTAGACACGTTAACAAAATGCTTAACTTTCAAAAATGAATACGACTAGGAGCTCGCACTTTAATTTTACACGTAGGCCTTACCGCTGGTCTCACTGTTGCCAGTTTGAAATAGCGAAGAGGTATATCGTCTTATACGCATATATCTCGAAGAGTTGGGATCGCCTCCGCAAACTAACTGTCCTTTTCGCTGATATCAATCTCTGTACCTTCCTTGGCTTTATCAACGGTTCGGTGCCAGACAGTGCCTGGGTTGTATTGGCGTATATGTCTTTTGATAGGCTAAGACATTAGAGTATGGCGAACAGGGCTCATTAACCCCGACAAACCAAGAAGCAAAGAGTAGAACAAACCACGAGATCACAAAAGCTCTCTTGAACCAGATATCATCCAGGCCAAATTCACAATTGTTTTTCTTTTTCAAAATTCAACAGGCAACCCGTTTTCCTTCGCATTTCAAGCACGCAACGGGAGCAGCGTTACCCCGCGTTTAGGTTTTCTTGTCCCACCGCATCGCATTTGGAAATGGGACAACGCCTTTAGGCGACCAATTCTCTTTTCTATGTGGCTGTCCGAGAATCTCGAAGGGGCTCTTATCCTTTTTAAAGTCATTTTGTACTAAGAATAGCGTTTTCTTGTTGCATAATGGTCGCCCCTCGAGAATAACGTAAATGGCCCAAAAAGAGGGTGACGAGCCGGAGGTCCGGTGACGAGGATTCAAGAGAAGGGACGAGCGGAAGCTTACTGAGCAAGGTTGGTGGTGCATTAGAAAAGCTTGGCACTACCGATATAAACTCGGGCCTAAAATGCGGATCTTAGAGAAATCACTTCACAGATCTGGGGCCAAGATCCTAAGACAAGAGCCAAGGATAAATAACAATGGTTTTTCGTAAAATTGGTGAAAAGCTACGAGTAAAGAACATATTTGCCAAGACCGCGGAGCGGCCTACGCCGCCTGAAGTGTTCAACTGGCGTGTTTATTCTATGGCGATAGTTGCGTCGACGGCAAGTGTTCTAATCGGTTACGACACAGGGTTTGTGGGTGGATGCTTTTCGAACAAGTATTTCCTAAGCAACTTTGGGCTTGTGAGCGGCACAAGCGCCGCTAACACAGCGCTTTCCAATGTTATATCTTGTTTCCACGCAGCCGCATTTTTTGGAGCCCTTTTTTCATATCCGATGTCCCATTATTGGGGAAGGAGGGTCTCGCTAATCATAGCTGCCGGCGTCGCAGCCGTCGGGTGCGCGTTGATGCTGGTGGGTATCCAGGGCAGTTTAGCTCCTATTTACATTGGCAGAGTGATGACAGGACTGACCGTGGGGGCTTCAACTAATCTCACAGTCGTGTATTTGAGTGAAGTGTCACCGGCTCCCATTAGAGGGCAGATTATTGCCGCTTACGAAATAGGTTGGAGAGTCGGTGATTTGATAGGCTTTTGGATTAACTACGGCATAGCGCAGCACGTTCCTCCTGGTAATAAGCAGTGGATAATTCCTGTTGGAGTACAATTGATTCCTGCAGGTTTTTTTTTCATTGGATCGTTCATCATGAAGGAGTCCCCACGTTGGTTGTTTCAAATGAAACGCGACCAGGAAGCTATTGAAAACCTTGTTTTCTTGAGAAATCTACCATCTGACCACGAGTACATGGTTTGGGAAATCAACACCATCAGAGACGCAGTGGAAGAGCAGAATGCTACAATTGGCTTGGGTTTGATGGATCCTGCTCGCGAAGTCTTTGTAAGAAACACAAAATACTTCAAGAGACTGGGAATAACATGCGTTCTTTTCCTATTTCAAAACTTCATGGGTATTCAGTCAATCAACTATTATTCACCAAAAATTTTCGAAAGCATTGGAGTGAAGGGAACGAATGCTTCGTTGTTTTCATCCGGTATGTTTGGTGTGGTGAAGTTTATTTGCACATTCATCTATATTCTTTTCATTGTTGACAATGCTGGTAGAAGAAAGGCTTTTATGGGGTCTGCAACAATGTGCTCACTCTGTTTCTGGTACGTGGGGGCTTATCTCAAAATTAACGACCCTAGCCAACCTGGAGTCACGGCTGGACCAGGAGGCACCGCAGCGATTGCATTCATGTTCATTTGGACTGCCTCATTTATCATGGCTTGGTCAGGTGGGCCTTTCGTGTGGGGTGCAGAAGTTTACGAGCAAAACATCAGAAGTTTTGTACAATCAATCAATGCAGCAATCTCATGGGTGCCGATCTTCATAATGACGAGATTGACGACCGAAATGATTGAAAAAATGAAATATGGCATATTCTTTTTTTTTGCTGCCATTGCTGCCTTGGCTGTTCCCTTCGTCTTCTTTTTCGTCCCAGAAACCAAGGGTATTGTACTTGAAGACATTGATAAGTTGTTCAGAAAAGGTCTCTCCGCTCACAATGCTCACAAGGTGGTTATGGAAGAATCAAGAACGACAGTCAGTGAAATCAAAAACGAAACCTACCAGTTCTTCAACGACGAGACTTTCAAGAAGACTAATGAGGAGCAGATCGAAGACACCAGGGTCGAACACGTGCATTCAACGAAAGTTTAATTTTTTACCGCTGGCTGGTACGACACATCTTTCATGGAAAGCTTTAGTGTTTTTGCAATAAAAAAAGGTTTTCCGTTTCGAAATCTATCCTTTTAATTTTTGATATTATCAGATTATATACATATCATATCGTTAACACATTTATTCCCAAACATCACCTTGGTCGAACATGGCATCGGCAACTCTAATGAAACCGACCAAGTTGGCGCCCTTGACCAAAGATGGTAGAGATTGCTTGTTTGCCTCGTTGGAGTACTCCAGAGCGGTTTCCAAACAGTCGTTGAAACAGTTGACCATGATTTTCTTCAATTCAGCGTCAACTTGCTCTCTAGACCAAGTCAATCTTTGAGAGTTTTGGGCCATTTCCAAACCAGACACAGCGACACCACCCATGTTAGAGGCCTTACCAGGAGCGTACCACACAGCTGGTTGAGAAGCGGTCTCAGTAACGATACGTTCACCTTCGAAAATGTGAACAGCTTCTTCAGTGCAGCCCATGTTGGAACCTTCAGCAACGAATTTAACACCAGCGGCGATCAAAGTCTTGGCTTCCTCGCCGGAAACTTCGTTTTGAGTGGCACATGGCAAAGCGACGTCGACCTTTCCGACGTGAATCCATGGACGGGCACCTGGAATGTAAGTGACCTTGTTATCAGAGAAAGCAGCGAAGTCGCCGACAATTTGCTCCAAAGTCTTGAAGTTGATCTTGGCCTCAGAGATAGCTCCGACTTGAGCAGCTGTGATACCAGCTTGAGAAACAATAGCACCCTTAGAGTCAGATAGGGAGACAACAGTACCACCCAATTCGATGACCTTCAAAGCAGCGAACTGAGCGACGTTACCTGAACCAGAAATAGCAACACGCTTACCAGTGAAAGATTCCTTACCCTTCGAGGCGTAGTCAATCATGGCTTGAACGTAGTAGACCAAACCGTAGCCGGTAGCCTCTGGTCTGATCAAAGAACCACCCCAGTTTAGACCCTTACCGGTCAAGACACCTTCCCAGGAGTTCTTGTAGGACTTGTAGGCACCGAACAAGTAACCAACCTCACGGCCACCGACACCGATGTCACCAGCTGGAACATCAGTGTCTTGACCAATGTGTCTGCTTAGCTCTCTCATGAAAGCGTAGCAAATTCTTCTGATCTCATTATTGGATCTGCCCTTGAGATCAACACAAAGACCACCTTTGCCACCACCGAGTGACTGGCCAGTCAAAGCGTTCTTGAAGATTTGCTCGAAACCCAAAAACTTCAAGATAGATAGGTTGACGGTCGGATGAAAACGCAAACCTCCTTTGTAGGGACCCTTGGCAGAGTTGTATTGAACTCTGAAACCGGGAGCAACCTCTTGCTCGCCTTTGTCATTTTCCCAAGTGACTCTGAATTGGATGATTCTCTCTGGAACAGAGACAACTGGAAGAACTTTCTTGTACTTAGGCTTCTTCTCGAACAAAGAAGAGTCTCTCAAAGAGGCCTCGACTTCGTTGTAAGCTTGTTGAAACTCAGGTTCAAATGGTTGAGCAGACATTGTACTTGGGACTAATCTTATTGACTTAGCACTGGTGTTTTGAATCCATTGTTAACTGCCGAGCGTTCTCTTTATATATTAATGCTTTCGCACTCGCTAAAAGTAACTTCACGGGGTTCGCCTATCGCTTCGCCTTTCACTCGGCCTGCATAAAATCTAGCTTCTAAGTTTTCTATGATCTCTAGCCTACCCTTCCGAAATTGGCGCATAAACCAAATCGCCGTTGGCGCCTATTTCCATGCAGCCAATGAAAGGCGCTACTCGTACTTCTCGAATCCTCTCTCATTGGCTGTGGTTCAAAGAAGAAAGGCATATCACTTTTTTCACGTAAAAAGCACAGAATTTGGCCCAGCCAATAACCGTCGAGAACACATTTGCGAGATCTTCCTTTCTTTTTCTGAAATGCAAAGGTCACGCCTCGGATCTAACCGAACCAAATTCATGGGTGCATTCCCGCTATCGTCTTACACGAGAAAGGCCGAAGGGCTTACCTAACCAGGAAAGGTCAACGTCGGGGTCGAGGCGACCAATCTACGATTATCGCTGTCGACTCATCAACTTCTGGGTCGGGCGCCGAGTGACATACTTTACTTTAAGAGCAACAAATAGTTTAAGAGATTAGCGGCTGCCACTTGGCCCGATGATTGCGAATTTGTATCTGAAATACTTATCACAGAAGCATCAGAGTGAGTAATTATCGTATATTGATGTGTAGATTAATTGGCGCCTCCGCCAAGAAAGAGAGCAGGAGATCGCATGCAGGGAATTTCATCCCGATGCGTTATAGTATACACGATCAGGATGTAAAGAAAGTTCTAGATAGTTCCTTGGCAAAATACCAAGGTGTCAAGGTGAAATAGACAAAATCTAGGATCAGAATTGATGACATCAGATACCGCCATCAAATCAATCGTAATGCAGCATTCAAGCCTCTTTTTTCGAAAAAGGGCGCTTCAGCGTTGATGAAAACCAGCTTGCAATGTAGTCTTCGTCCTCGGTATCGATATACTCACCGTTTTTGACGCTCGTGTGGGCAATTTGATTGGTCAACTTAGCATCCCTTAAGCAAAGCGAAAACATCAATAAAGGTGCGCAAAATACCAGCGCGACAATCGTTTCCAGCCTTTGCACGTACATATATGCTTTGACAACAGCATTTCTCTCAGGGGTATTCCACAGGTAATCCGCAATAAAGTCATAAGGCTGTGTGTAAGCCAAAGTGGCCAAAGTTTTGTTTCCCAACTGCTTCAGTAACTGCTTATACAAAGTTTGAGTCCAAATTGCTCCAGAAACCGCAGCACCAACCGCTGAACCAATACGATATAGTGTGTAATTCAAAGCTGTCACCGTAGCCATGTTTTCATGCGAAGTTGCTGCCTGTACTGACACGTTTACTGGATACGTGAAAAGGGTTGAGCCAACACCCCAAACACACAGAGCTCCGATTATACCAGAATGTGACCCTTCGCCACCTCTGAAGTGATACAACAGGCCCATAGCAAGCATCCATAGCCCACATCCAAAAACAATGAAGGGCTTTAGCCTTGTAAAGCGAGTGATGAATATGGCGAAAAAGGGAGAGAAAACTGTCGAGACAAAGGACGAAAGAGTACTTATTCTGGTTGCAGACAAAACCGATTCATTCACTGATACAATCATAACGGTGTATAGATAATCGGCGGCCATGTAGAATATAAAATCGATCAAGAAAGAGCAACCCATAGCCCCCCATACAGCGCGATCCTTCAATAAGCCGGCGGGAACCAAAGGTTCCCTCGCCCATATTTTTTCCCACAATATCAGGATTGGTAAAAGTACCCAACCCAAAACGAAAGGTCCAATAACGTGCGAATCATTCCATTTCGAACTAGTCCCACCGGCAAGTGTTAAAGGCACAAGAATACATCCCAGCGAAATGGTCATAATGAAAACTCCAACCACATCAACCTTCCAAAAAAGTTCGATGATGGTTTTAACAAAGCCATGCTCTTGAAAATATGACTTTTCTTGTTTCAGCTCTTTCCATTCAGGAGTGTTACGAGCCTTCCATCTCATATGCAGCATGCAAAGTGTAATGGGAACGCATGATAATGGAAAGATGAAAGCCCACATTCCGATGTCCCAAGACCAATTGTTAATAGGGTTTGCTCTTGCAGTGATATTACCGGAAATCCATGTGTTGATAATAAAAGGCCACGTTGGAGCAAATTGATAGAAGAGTCGCCATTTCAAGGACGAAAAATCACTCAAAATGAGCAGTAAAATTAGTATAATTCCCACGTAGCCGGTGTTATAGAAAATCGAGCCGGCAGCAAATCTTTGAACGTCGTAAGCTTGCGATTGGATGATTGTACCAACCACGTAAAAAACTACAGCAGTTAAAAAGAGTGACAATCTACCGAACACATCTGACAACCTGGCATATATCAATTGCGAAGCTGCTGCAATTACGCCGTTTATAACATTCACCGTAGACAACAGAGAATGCTCAGCATATGAGTTTGTGGCGTACGATGTGTAAATATAACGAATATTGCCATCGAGACCATACCCATAGCCACAGAGAAAAGCAGAGAATAGGAGAATTATTCTATAATACCAACGATCGTACTGACTGGCCAAAATTTCGGTTTTTCTGATGACAATGGCCTTAGTCGCATGTAGCTTGTCAGTATCTCTCAGATCAGACGTTCCCAAGGGAGCCTGCTGTTCCCGCACCGAAACAGTCTTTGAAAGACTTGCCGGCTTCTCAGTGTCTCGAGAGTGTTGCTCTGCCTCCATTGCTGAGCGGAACTTAGTGCATGTTCTTTCTTTCAGGTTTCATGACCGTCAGACGCTCCCTCGTATTTATACCAAGTGGAAGACTTACCAATCGTTTGTTTGCTGTCTTAACACACGCTTGTGCCAATCTCCAGGATGCACCCACTTTTCATTTTCTCAAAAGTTAAATAATAATGGGGTGCATTTAAATAAGTTCCGTACAACCGTTTTACAAACTATGGCTTTCAGTCGATGCGCAAACAATGCCGAAGCCAAGAAAATAAAGGTCAAGATTAGTTAAGCGCGCCAATTAGATGCCGCGAAAAAAGAAACCTTATATTTTTGATGACAGACAAGCATAAATCTCTAATTTAACGAAACGGGAAGGTAATCTTGGCATTAGTGAACTTCCGCGAGAGTGTTTTTTACAAATCTCAAGTGCTTTAACTAGATCGCATTGCCGTAAATTTACTAGACTCTTGCCGTTTGTGAAAAATGACGTTCTGGAAAAGGTTGCGAACGGTGAGCTTCACATTCCGTGCAAGCTATAATATGTCGGGGCACTTTTTCGGTCTTTGCTAGTTCTGAAAATCTCTATACCAGTGATGACCATGGTGTCTTCACACCCCGTTATCACTGCAAGAGTGATCTTATAGGTGACATAATGTCGACTCACCTTCAATCTTAGAGATAGTAACGGATTCCAAAGTGGCAACAGTAGTACGAGAATTGTATAAAAGACGGCGATATGACTAGAATTATAGCGACCATGGTGTCAAGAAAGATACGGAGAGACGAGCACTCAACTCCTTATCTGCTTTATTCGCTAAATTAAGTATGAACGAATTGAACGAACAGTTCAAGAACCTATCGACTAGCGACAATGGTACACCTCAATAATTTTCGCATAGCCCAAAGTCATTTCGCCGTGAGCGCGCATAGAGACTTGAATCTCTAAAAAGTCTTCGTTGATTAGTGCAGATTGACACATTTTTGCTCCATTGTCGTTCCCGTTCTTTAACGTGAGCTTACGGCTGTTTCTTATTCAGAAATCTATGATATTTGTTTAGCCAAGATAGTAATTGAGATATTGTCAAGTAGGTGGATGGACTTAGTCCCAACGCTGTCGCGGATGATTTGCTCATAATTTCTGGGTGCGTTTGATAACACGAGACTATAGAACCCTAATATCCGAGTCATGCCGAACGGAATCGTAAGCCTGCCTATGCAACGACAGGCTTTCCAAATTTGCCCTTTTTTTGTGACGTAAAGATAAAACGACTTCTTGAACAGAGAACTACAAATAAGCTCAAAGAAGGGATTTTAAAAAATGCTTCTTGAAACAACTCGAGAGAAGAGTGGTAAAGAACATGATATAGGCTTGATTGTGATGTGCGCGAACAATCAATGCGCTGTTCCTCTGTGTGATATTGGAACTGGGTATGAACACATAAAAAACAGCAA